AACCCTAACCCTAACCCTAACCCTAACCCTAACCCTAACCCTAACCCTAACCCTAACCCTAACCCTAACCCTAACCCTAACCCTAACCCTAACCCTAACCCTAACCCTAACCCTAACCCTAACCCTAACCCTAACCCTAACCCTCATTGCTCGGGCCGGTTTCCGATCCTGATCCTGTTGGAAACTGTGGACGTAGGTCCTCGGGCAAGGGAGATGAGAAGTCTGTCGGGAAGCATGTGGCGAAGCCCAATCAGAAGGCTATGGAGACACCGAAGAGGAGCAAGGATAAGGCAGCCGAGATGCCTGTGGAGAAGTCTGTTGAGAAATCGAAGAGGAGTAAGGAGAGGGCGAAGGCGAAGGCAGACAATCAGATGGAGAAGGAGAACGATTGTGTCGGTCGTGTTCTGTCCAACGCATCTGGTGACATTGTGAATTATGCTTTGCGGGCCGGTAAGCCATTGTCGATGACGTCAGGTGCAGTGCGTGTGGGACTGTCACGCCCAAAGAGCGTTACCAGCGTCCCCAACTCCAACACTCCCACGTCATCTGCTAGCAAGCCCTCTCCCGCTGCGAAGCCGACCTCTGCAATCAACTCAGCTGCCACTACCTCCTCCGCCTCCGGCTCCGCTTCCAAGCACTGTTCGAATGTCAAGTCTGGCAACCAACGCGGTCCTTCTCCTGCTCCCTCCGTTGCCAGCAGTCAGGGCTCGAAGAAGAGGGCTGCTTTGGTTACGACACAAAGAAACGAAGCGAAGGCCAGGCTCCTCGCCAATGATCACGAAAAGTACGCCAGCAGCAACAGCAACAGCAAGAGCTTGAGTACCGAAGACATCTTTGCACACGAGGATAGTGCTATCAACAGCAAATTCAGCGGTCTTACCAGCAGCAACCCCATGAGCACTGCCAAGCCTGCCTCTGGCGTCGTCGCTCCCAATCCGTCCTCCATGTCAGATGGCCGCAAGGCTCCAGTCCATTCAGCAGCTTCAACACAGTTATCAGTCTCGACCCAGCAGCAACAGCAGCAAACCCATCTTCGGCCTTCTGCCACTCAAAGTCGTCGCAATGGGAGTCTCTTGATGTTGAAACAGGCCCATTTACGATCCAGCAAAGGGAAGGTGCCACTCGAGAGTCTGGTATCGAGTGAAGCGAGTGATGAGCATGAAGGAGGTGGAGCTGGAGCCTGAAGCCCGGGAGGAGAGAAGAGGTGCCGGGAGGAGAGATTTGATTTGACTGTATTGATACCACATATGGGATGGAAGCGGGATATCACCTACTACTACTGTTATTACTAATATAAGCTCATGGAATCTCGAAGTAAGACGCTAATGGAATTTCCCAGAGCAAAAGTGTCAGATTCCGTAAGCGAATTCCATAACTACGCTCATGGGTTTATCATGGAATTTCCATGAGCAAAAAATTCCATGACCGGTAACTTCATAGGGCTCATTCAACTCAGCTGTACCGCTCATCGACATCTCGTGGGCTACCTGCAAGAGCTGGATGTGCGGATCAAGGCAGATCAGGTGGAAAAGACTGTTCGTGCCTACAAGCGCTTCCAGCTTTGCGAGGGAGGAGATTTAATCGGTTCCTACGAGAGTCAGCGTAAAAGCGACAAAACCCGCGCCTCTAACATTGTCCTTTACACACATGACTCTGATTTTGGTACGGAAGTCTTCTTTGGCGAGGTTATGCTGTTTGCAAGACCATTGGTGAGGCGTGTGTACTACCCTTTGGCGTACATTCGGTGTTATGGTCCTGCTCAGCTTCGTCGTCGCCGTTTCTTTGTGGTTGACACTCAACCGCCTGGGAATTTACACGAGTGGGTGAACATACGGCAAATCAAGAGGGTTGTTGGCACCTTGACTACTCAGCCATTGATTGACGAGCTTGGGGGAGATGCAGGCAAGCCTGCGTGGATCATTGATAGAGAGACATTTGCGTGGAACAATGCGGCTAGGTTGTTAATCGACTGATTAGTACTACTTGTCTATACATCCATGGCCACGTCAACGATTGTCAGCTGCCATTTCCACGTTGGCCAGCTAGGATTTTCCTAGTCATGGAAAAAATCCACTACGTTTCCACGCTGGCAACTAGGAAACTCCGCGCTGCCTAACAACCAACGAGGAAAATCCACGTTGGGCTGGGTCGTAGGGATACTGGATAATTTTATTCGGGTTTTATAATCGTGTTTGGTAGAATTTGGGGGTCTCGTAGGGATCTCTTAAGATCTTGCGGAATGTTTATACATGAATGTCAGAATCGTAGATAATGCCCAAATTTAATTAGGCAAGCACGTACTTCCCGGCACCATCATGTATCAACCCCAATGACAATGTCATGTGTCACAAGCCCAGGTAAAATCAAGGGTACTACTTGAAGACATCGCAGCACAATTTTGTCAAAATAGCACGAGCATTCTCTGAATATTGCATGCTTACATGCGATACACGAGTGTTTCCCTGTACTCGGGTTAGGATTGGCTCCACCAGTAACAAGTTGCGGTCTGGTACCATGTTGCTGTGCCCTACAAAGTGAAAAATTTAAACACGATTCCTCTAAGGCAAGTGCGTAATCCATGTCAAATTCGTGGATTGGTCTGGAATTACAGATGGATTACGCTAATCATCAAGGATTACCATCCTAGCAGAAATCCTAGATAAAATGCTGGATTACTGCCAAAGAAAAAGTCTAAGCAAAATACCTCATAAATTGCAAAAATAACACCTACAGTCGCGGAGAAAAGAGGATGGCAAAGCCGCTTGCTCAAACGCCACCAGGAATTTGAGAGATAGATGATGAGAATCAAATGAGACCATTAAATTGCATCGAAGTATTGTCTGCCAGAATTTCCGCCGTTATAAACAAGTGGTTGTTGAGTTACACCACCACAGCGTTTCCCTTACCATAAGTACAAGACCTACGCTGCCCCCCTCCACCATTTGAGCCCTTACTTGCTGTCTACACACTTCGCCGCCTTCTTTCTCCGCGATTGTATATGCCTTGAGATATTGAAGGCTCGCTATACACAACTCTCTCCATGTATTTAGTTCAGAGAGACCTCCTGCTATATATATAGACACGGTCAACATAGATAATGTCATGTATGAGTAATGATGACATCATGATGTGACTGTTATGGCTAAGTGCCTGGCTGTGTTGTAACTGTGCAGCAAAGTGTCTATTCAACCAGAGGACCCACACCTTCTTGAGAATTTCCAAAAATGCTTAAATCCCTTAAGTCCCTAATGGTATCCATGGACAGCAAAGATCAAGCATGTAGAAGTATGAATGAAATTCCCTGCACAATATTGAGCTTGTACTAACATCCTGACTCATAGGGCCATTGTTTACCACTGTCATAGCTGTTCATTACCAAATGAATCTTCTCCCTTGCCTCATAATCTCGCTCTCTTTTGTGGCCAAGGAGATAAATTTTCCCCTCCCTTTGTCGCATTTTTCTACGACTTTTTTCCTGGATGATGCTGAATAAAATCATGAATTATGCGGAATAACATCGTGGATTGTACGGAATAAAAGTGGGGCTTGAGTCCCGAGATCCATGATTCGGTCATGCATTAATCCACGATCGCAATCGTCGAAATCGTGTATGTAACGGGATTTTGTAATCCATGATTCTCACGACCGTTGGGCGTGCTCTGACTGCAGCTGTACAGAAAGGTGCACATGCAACGCACTGTGGAGGGCTGACCACTTTAAACATTTCACGAAACTTCAAACCCGTACATGTATCCATCAGCGCATGCGGTTCAAGGTCAGGTCTATCCTTTGAAGACAAAAATTCTGGATTAAACCCGAATTCTCTCAAGCAAGGGCGTAATCCACGATTTCGACGATTGCGGTCGTGGGTTAATGCATGACCGAATCATGGATTTCTTTTCAGCCAGTAATCCATGACGGAATCGTGGATGGTGATCCATGACCGCTGTCATGGTTTACAACATGGATTCTCAACCAGACCGATCTGCGTAATCCATATGTAATCCTTGCGTAATCCATGATTCTGACGTGGAATACGCATTTTGTTAGGAGTGAATGTGTTTAATCTTTGACAACTCGCGTCATAAGGTAGCGCTCGTGGAAATCAATTCTGGAAATTCCATGGTCAGATTATGGTAATTTCATGAGCGGATTGTGGGAATTGCACGACCATAACCCTAAGGCATAGAGCATCCTTGTATTCAATGTGTGTCAGTGGTTAACCCTTTGGGGATCTTGTGGGTCGTAATCAATCTGGCGCTCTTCCGCTCTCGACTCCTGTCGCCCCCCCGTTTTCTCCAATCAATGTGCCCTTTGATCAAGGTTTGGAAAGGCGTGTAAGCGAGTGACTTTCTCAGCCCTACGAAGCTGGCGCTCGCTCGTGGATTCCGTTTGCGTAAATTCCGCTCGTGGAAATTCCACGAGTGCGCTGGTGAATTCACACGAGCAAGCGCTTCCGGTTTTCGAGATTCAATTACACGAGCGCTTCTGTAAACTACACGAGCAGAACTCATGAGCGCGCTCTAGTTGTAGATGCGTCCAAGGTCATTGTTGATATCAATTATCTATCCTAGATATATATCCCGCAGTAACAAACACCCTTCCCGTTCCTGTGCCCCTCGCGCGCCCTTCTCTCAACCCATCCCGACTCCCTGAACGATCTACGATGCAAGGGTTATACGATGGGGCATGGTGGTAGGGACGACATAGGGCCCTTCAGACAGCATGAAAGTCGTAGTCCTTTGGTTGGTTTGAATGCTGGAAGTAACAGTTCTCGTGCTGGGCAGTTCTCCGGGCAATGCGTACGTACAAGCCCAAGAAATACCGAAGTCGTTGGTCGGTGAGCCCAATCAGAGGATGAGCCTAACAACTGCTCACGGAAATTTCATGAGCGAGCGGACCATACGGGAGTTCGCCCTGGCTTTTTGACAAGCGCGCTCTTCTGGAATCCATTCTGGTATCAGAACTGGAATGTCCATGAGCAGAACTGCTTCTGCAATTCAACCAGACTGAAAACAGAATAATTGCAGAACTTTGTCATGGATAACCCTACATTCTCAGATATCATGGATTTCAGGATTCAAACCCCGATTTTATTCAGCATAAGCTATGATGAAAGGGGGTTTAGGTCTGTAGAATGGTGGGAAAATGCAGTGTCAGTAGGACAAAAAAAGCGAGATTACCAGGTAAATATGTTGTATTGTCAGTATCCCATCTATATATAATAGAATGGCTCTCTGGGTTGAGTACACGAGGACAGTTGTGTATAGCAAGCCCTCAATATGTCAAAGACAAGGAGGTGTCATATTCGCATTTTTCTGAGGTATCTTGCTGCGAGTTTTTCCTGGCACTGATCCATGATCTTATCTGGAATTATAATCTCTGACATTTATTGGGTTTAATCCATGATAATATCAAGGATTGTAATCCATGATTCTGTCTGGGATTTCTGCTAGGATTGTAATCCACAATGAAGTGCATAATCCATGTGTAATCCCAGACTGATCCATTATTTTGACATGGATTACGCAGCTGCCTAAGAGAAATCGTGTTTGATCCATGATGTAGGGCTTCTTTCTGTGCAAAAATCCTTGATTATATTTGGGATTGTAGGTCATGACATTGTTTTCAGGTGCTTACTCCATGATGGATCGTGATCCAGGGTTTTGTTTAGGATTTCTCCTAGGGTTGTAGGTTTAGCAGCAAAGGTCACACGAGCAGAAGAAACGACGATCACAGGACGTTGATCCCTTAGGGATTTCCTCAATCAGTTTTGATATTTCCTCTCATGTTCTCCGTATCTTGCTTGGAGAATTTGGGAATAAGCCTGGTGCTCGTCAAGGATTAGCCTCTAACTTTCCTAAATTAAGCCTGACTTTGTCCTGCAAAGGAGTCTCACCCTCCTCCATGAAAAGATATGGGTAATATTCGCAGACAAGGAAACCAAGGATTCAACCGGTTTTGTAATCCATGAATTTGCGGTTGATCACCAAAAACAGGGTTTAGTGCTTGATTGTTGGAGATCGTTGAACCCCTCGAGCCAAACGTTCCACGCCTGCCGTGGGCGTGGCTCAGCCGTACCCCGGGTACTCACCACCAAGGTACTCCGTGAATCATCCCCGACTGCAGCGGTCTCTGTAGATCACAGTGCTTGCGCCGTTTCCAGAACAAACGTACAACACCTTGGAGGACTTACGATGACCGGCATCACAGCGACATGGAGGAAGGTTGCTTCTTCGGAGATCCTTAAACGCTCTTCTCAGATTGTTTCCGTTATTGGCGACAAAGCCTTGATCTTTGGGGGTGAATTGAAGCCCCGAGAGCCGCGAGACAATGACGTTCACGTTGTAAGCTTGGGAAAGTGTATGTCCTCAAGCAAACACTCCTTATGTCGGCACATTGACGTATGGCATAGACATCAATGACAGCTCCCTGTTGTCAAGAACGACGTCTGCACAAGCTCCCTCTCCTCGCGTAGGCTCTGCTTCGGCGGTCATTCAAGAAAAGATTTACCTGTTTTCCGGTCGCGGAGGCCTCGCCATGGCGCCCATTGAAGAGACTGGATCAGTATGGGAGTTTGATTCAACTTCATCCGCGTGGTCTCAAATTAAACCAGACGAGGACAGCGCATACCCAGCCGCCCGCAGTTACCACTGCATGGCAAGCGATGGCGTTGACACGCTCTTCGTCCATGCTGGCTGTCCTGAAACAGGTCGCTTATCCGATCTCTGGGCGTTTGAAGTGTCCTCGAGGAAGTGGATTCAGCTTGCGTCTGCGCCCGAGCCACCGAGAGGTGGAACTTCGATTGCCTTTGCCAACGGATTACTCTATCGTATGAATGGATTCGATGGCAAGACCGAGTTGGGAGGAAACCTCGATGTGTACGACTGCAAGTCGAACACTTGGAGCTCGGTGACGTTCCCTGCGGACGATATTTCCGGGCCTTCTCCACGAAGTGTCAGCGCACTTGTAGCTTTGAACATTCGCAGCAGGTCGTCAATTATCACCCTATTTGGTGAACGCGACCCCAGCTCCTTGGGTCACCAGGGGGCCGGCAAGATGGCAGGAGATGTGTGGGCGTACGACATCGAATCTCGGAAATGGCGTGAGGTCAATTTTACGGAAGGGCACGAGCCTGCTGCAAGAGGATGGTTTGCCGCCGACGTCTTGAAATCACTAAAAGGAGATGGTCTGGTTGTGCACGGTGGTCTTGGTGAGAACAATGAGAGACTTGATGATATTTGGGTGTTGGAGTTCTGAGGTAGGTCCATAGTCTTGGAAAACTGGGTGTGATGGTGAATACGTTGCGCGAGCGTTATTATCTTCAATGTTATCTGGCTACTCCTCATTCCAGACTCGATGCCCATAAGTGGCGAGTATCATGCTAGTCTTACATCAACGTTTCCATAGGTTCTTCTCTAGCCTCCTTCGACGACGCGGCAGACTTGACCGCTCTGAAAACAGGACTCGTCGCAGCATCAAAGATTGTTGTGGATAGCGATCCTTCTCCCTCACTTCTCTCCCTCTCAGGGCTATGTGGTGGACTGCCTGCATTGCTCTGACTTCCAACACTGTTTGTCCTCTTGTTCATCCAATGTTTCACACCACCAAACAGCCCCGCAGCGAACCCATTCGCAAATTCTGTACGGGGAGTACCAGGTATGCTTTCTCCACGTTCTCCGACTTGTGGTGTCGAGAACAGTGCCCTCACGTCCTGAGAGGTTGATTGCCAATTGTTGCGGATTACTTCGCGAAGTTCGCTAATGTTCTTCTTGAGTTCAAGCTCGTTCTTCTTAAACAAACTCACGTTGAGCTCGCGGCGGTCGATACCGCGACTGAGGTTGCGGAGAACGTATTGATCGTAGTCTCGCACAATTCGGGTAATGAGGTCGCTTGTACTGATGCCCTCCGTTCGCTGGGTGGTAAGGAACTTGCCCAGTTTCTTGATCGGTAGATATACGTCTTCTTGTCCAGCAGAGACGTACGGAATATCATCATGAGCAACGTAGTCAATCTGATGCTTTTCCATGTATTCAGGTGTGATGATCCAGGGAGCATCATCGACAACTTCATCGACCCATTTGCAGTGACGAATTGTCTCGAGACGCTCGGCGTATGACATGACAGTGCGTCCTTTATAGAGGTGTACGTCTTCATCATTACAAACTCCGACAATGAGGGTGACGTTAGGAAGAGCCTTCTTTGCTTGCTCCAGTTGTCGCATGTGGCCCATATGGAACATATCGAACACACCATCGGCGTAGACTCTGACCGGGCGGCCCTCGGGAGGTGGGTTCATGGGATATTGCGGCGCTTTTGGAGGAAGTTCCTTGACATCACCGGTGTTGATCTTTAACCCCTTATCCTTGTGCTTAAGACTGGCACCCTCGCCCTCGCCCTCGCCTGCAGCTTCTGATGCATCAGCATCATAGCCGGTATCTGCGAGACGAATCTTCTTGTGCGGTGCCCTCTCGTCGCCTGTTGCCGACACCTCTGAATCCGTGGGCGCATCAGTGCTTTCGCTGGAAGGGTCGCGAGATGAAGGCTGCTCCACGACGGGACCAAGAGGGTCAAGTCGCTTACGCTTATTATCTGACGTCGAGCTTGAAGGAGGACTAGACATGGCGTTTATTGCTGTAGCGAACGGGTTTCTCACTTTGTTTGTGGTGGACACTGTAAGCTCAACTTTACGGAATTCACGCAGCCTGGGACTGCGGGGGTGGTCGTCATAGGCGGCCGTGCCCTTTGAACACCGGTAGAGGCAGATTCGTCTGCCTAGAAGTCTTTTTATTTCTGTATGAAAACTTTCGTCGTCTGTCCAATCATTACCCGTATTCTATCAGTCATGTGGTGATTAACGATAAGGTCCAAAAATGTATATGGAAGCTCGTCTACGATACCGATACGCAACGAAACGACGACACGATGGCAGGCCCTCGAGGAAAGTTCTCAGGAGGAAGGGCAACGAAGAGGAGGCGTACGGGCGATGCAGGGAAGCAATCAGAGCGGTATGTGATCCAATCCTCTCTCGTTAAATAACTTGACTGACTGTGCGATATAGAGTTGTCCGCTTCGATCCTGTGCCTGAAGAGGAAGGGCCCGAAGAAGACTACAATGGCGGAGACGACGAAGATGATGACGAAGAGGAGGGGTTTGATCCTTCGGCTGCTGCTCCTGAAGCTTACGACGCTCTCGTCACTCTTCTTGCCACTGACGAGCCAGCTAAGCCAAAGAAAAAGAAGAGGAGCGCACCCGTGACGGAGATCGATGATCTGGCACCTGTGCTCGAAGACGGCGACAACGAGGAAACCTTGGAAGAGCCGATGGAAGGCGACGAAGAAGATGCGTCCGATCCGTTCGAGCAACATTTTGCCAACCCGCGCTCTGATGTCCTTGATCAGCTTCATAAGGCTGTTACGGGCAACAAATGGACAACAACGCAAGCCGCAAATGCTGTTTTAGGTAAGATCACCGTCCTCAGGCCAGAGAACGTAGAGCAACTATCGGTCACTCCGCCCACTTCCGTTGCAAGCCTCAATGCGTTGAGACTGAAGCAGCGCGTGCTGAAAGTATTCACATCGACGAATTCAAGTCTAACACTACTTCAGTCTGCACTTGCTGCTCCCATATTCAGCAACCTCGATTTGCTGCATACCGGTCGGACGCACAAGAACGCCGAAGAGATTAGAACTCTATACACTCTTCACGCACTCAATCATCTGTACAAGACCAGGGATCGGGTGTTGAAGAACAATGCTCGACTTGCACATGCGGCCGATGACGACGATCTTGAGCTTCGTGATCAAGGTTTCACCAGACCGAAGGTTCTATTCGTCCTTCCCACGCGTAACGCGTGTCTGGACATCGTCAACACTCTGATACGATTATCTGGGACCGAACAACAGGAGAACAAGAAACGCTTTATGGACAACTTTACCGTCGAAAAGGAGACGATCTCCGAGACGAAACCGGAAGACTTTCGAGCACTCTTTGCCGGAAACGATGACGATATGTTCCGCGTAGGAATCAAATTTACAAGAAAGACAATGAAGTTCTTTGCGGACTTCTACAACTCGGACATTATTCTCGCAAGTCCGCTCGGTTTGAGGATGGCTATTGGAGCGGAGGGCGATAAGAAGCGCGACTTTGATTTCCTGTCATCAATCGAGTTGGTCATCCTCGATCAGGCTGATGCAATGCTCATGCAGAACTGGGAGCATGTCGAACACCTGTTTGCCCATATGAACCTTATCCCCAAGGATCCACATGGCTGTGATTTCAGTCGCGTACGAAGCTGGTATCTGGATGACCGTGCCAGGTTCATGCGCCAGACACTCGTATTCACGCAGTACAACACCCCCGAACTTAATGCTTTATTCAACAAGGACATGCGGAACTTGTCCGGCAAAGTCAAAACTCGGCACCCTTGCGAGGGAAGCATCAATGACGTTGGTGCACATATTCGTCAAAACTTCCTTCGCATGGATCTCGCAAACCCAGCTGATGATCCCGATGTACGGTTTAAGCATTTCACCACAGGCGTACTCCCAGGTCTGTTGCGGTCCTCAGGTAATGGAGGGCTTATGATCTTCATTCCTTCATATTTTGATTTTGTTCGCTTGCGAAATCATCTCGAGAGCATCGACGCATCGGTAGCTGCGCTTAGTGAATACACCAAAGGACCCGATGTTGCTCGAGGACGAACCCTTTTTGCTCAAGGACGTAAGAAGATTATGGTCTATACTGAGCGTGCTCACCATTTCCGTCGTTACGACATCAAAGGTGTTACAAGTCTCTACATGTACGGCTTGCCTGAGCATCCTCAATTTTACCCTGAGCTCGTTCGCTTCTTGGCAAGAAGCGTTGCGGAGGGCGTTGCTGACCAGGGAGCTGTTAAGTGCAGAGCGCTGTTTACCAAGTTTGATGCGTTGAAGCTGGAGAGAATTGTGGGAACCAAACGTGCAGGAGCTATGTGTAGCCCTCAATCTTCGGGTAGTTTCGAATTTTATTAGATAGACATTGATGAATGAAAGGTTCTCTGTTCTAACAGCCGTATTCGTACACTACCTATAGATCATTCCTGTAGTGATGAAATACACGTCAATATGCTTAAATAACAAACTCCCATGAACCCTAAAATGCAGCCCCAAATGCGTTGTGTAAATGACTAATTTTGACATGGGTCATATTGTCGTGGGAACCACAATAAACCGCGGTCCAGCTGTTGCTCCCGACTTTTTACCTCTTCCCATGCTCTCCGGACCTCCATTGCGGGAAACTCATCCACACCCTTTTCCAGAGGCTCTCGTGGCGCCTCATCTAACCATCGCTGATGCATTTCTCGCCACGCAGCCACCAACGTTTCTTCTGTTCCTACGGCGCCGAATGCTCTGATCGCCATCAGCACCAGTTTCCGTTGCATCGGTATCCTGGGTTCCGTTTGCGACATCATGACCCTGTAAACACCCATGAGTTTTTCGTGATTCCACTTGGTGTGCTTCCAATGCCCATAATTCGCAAACGCAGTAAATAAGTGCGTATAGATTTGAGGAGTCGCGGAAATTTTGAAATCCGCAAGCTGGATAAGGTATTCATATACCTTGTTGAAATTCCCGCTGCAACAATGATGGGATATGAATATGGCGAACGTAGTAAGATCTGGGGCAATGGGAACATCCCGGTCGTCGGTCTTTTCTTGCGTGCTTTCCTGACCTGCCTTGCGCTTCAAATTTCTCGCCAATACTCGTTGGCCATATTTTGTTTGGGGGGGCTTGCAGTCTCGCAGTAGACCACGGCGCTTCATACCCTCAAATATCCCGTCAGCAGCATGTAAATCGCCAACACGAAGAAGCGACGTAATCACAGCATTCAGTGTGACAGTGTCGACAACCTCACCCGCTTTTTGCATGTCCGCAAATATTTGATGGACGCCGGATGCATCACCCATAATTCCCCGATGAATAATGAGCATCACGTAAGTGAAACGGTCGAATGGCAGCTCCCGTTTTCCCATCTCTTCGACCAGTTCCGTAAGGGTATTCCACAATCGAGCACGAAACGCGATATCAATAAGGGTATTGAACGTGACGGTGTCGGCTTTGATTTTATAGTTCAGTTCCATATCCTGCCAAACACTCACTGCACCCCGCATTTCGTTTGCCGTTACAATCCTCCTGTGACGACCGACGAATGCTATTGCAGAATTCCAATCCTCTACGGTAATGTCGGTGCCGTTCTCCTTCATGTCTTCCAGGACTGAGAGGTAGGCAACCATGGCCCGCCTGGTCTTAAGCAGCCCTCTGCTGAAAAGAGAAAGAAATTTGTTCAACTGCGGCTCGCTTAACCAACATACCCTGCTATCCGGAAGCTTTAGATAATGGTCGTACGCGGTTTCAAATGTATATCCTTGGTCGCCTTTCGTGTTCCATGCGACGTCAAGCGCTTCAAGAAATTGCCTCTGTGTGTTCCGGACAGACGCTTCTATTGGTAATTGCCGATGCCGTTTTCGACGTGGTTTGACCTTATAGGATGGCGGTGAGGGAACATCCACGACAAAGTCAGCATGGAAACGCGGTGATTCATCTGTCTCCAACCTCGCCACGATGTTGTCAATTTCGCCGCTGAAGTCGCTTTCGCCCAATTCGCGCGGTGTCATTAACGAGAATTGTTGTATTGGCCCTCCTGTCACCCGCCGAGTCCCTGTTAACCGTCGCTGTTGACTCGGCCATCCTTTTACAGGCCGAGGCTCCGACGTGGAAAAAGGTGCTCGGTGCTGGAGAGGTCGACAACGACAAGCGCCAACGGCTGCAAGAGCTGATATGAATAAATATTCGAAGGCTGGTTCTGTTCGTACAGAAGGACGCTTTGCGCTTCTGTATTTGAACGCAATTTGGGTAAATGCGGTCGTAAAAGACCTTCCTGCTCCGCCCATGGATCATTGCTTGCACTTTAGAACAGCACAGTCATTGCCTTTTCTCCTTGACTGAAATATGGTATTGATCTCGACCTCTTTGAACCCGCTGGCTGAATATGGTGCTGTCACAGCAGGAGCTTCGTGCTTTTGGTTTACCTCAAGTCAACTCCCGAGGTCGTGATCCACGTATGAGCGTCCCAGAAATTACGGGGCGGTGGGTGGTGCACGTGAGGAGGAGCAAACCTCGAGGAGCGAGCTCAATAGCGATCTCGAGATTACTATAATACTAGAAAAAGAGTATAGATACTGACCACACCACACAGCTACACCCTTGATACACCTGGACCCTGAGCTTCTGTACGGCGTCGTATACGGGGGACGTCGAGCATACACACACACACGGAGACGAGGGGGACCATTGCTGGCTTCAACACCGACGTCGATACCAGACGGGCACACGGACGGCACAGCCTGCAAAAGAGCCGCTGTATATATCGGCCTGTATCATTAGGTTAGCCACCAAAGTCGTCCAAGTCGAAGAGTGGTCGCTATTGTCATCATGGGTCATCGTCGCGAGCCCTCCCATCCGGTCACCACAAACGGCCTCCTATCGATTGCCTACGAATCGAAAGGAGCTTCAGAAGCTGTTGGCAAGGAATGGGACACACTTGATTTGTCGACTCGGCATATGACACAAATGCCGGATGAAGTTGTGGAGGTGATCAAGGATCAAATTGCGAGGTGTGTGAACAGTAATCGCCCTTTGACAATCATCCTGACGCATGTTGCAGGCTGGCCCTCGGTCACAACTCACTTTCCACCTTCAGTTTGGCAATCGCATCCATGACGAGGTTGAGGTATCTCAATATCCGCTCGAATCAATTCAGGGAGTTTCCCCTTGTCTTGTGTCAATGCCCGTCTCTCGAAATCCTCGATGTGTCTAGGAACAGGCTGAAATCCCTACCAAGAGATTTCGGGAACCTTATGTCCCTGAAGGTGCTGTCAATATCGAAGAACAAGATACAGATGCTACCCACATACATCGGCAACATGACAAGCCTGAAGATATTGAAGATAGACCACAACCCTATCGTGTTCCCCGGCAAAGACATCACTTCATTTGAAGGTGGAGAGGCGGGTATGGATCAGTGGTTGGAAAATCTGAAAGCATACCTGCGTACACATGTTCACCAGGAGGATGGAGATGACCATATCACCACCGACGATGATGGCGCAGAGACAGACTATATGTCATACGGGAGAAGCGTGCGGCGTGCACCATCATTTTCGGGTGGCTCGTCGAAGAAGCTGGTCTCGAAATCCATGGACGTTCCACCCGAAGTACCACCTATAGCACATGTATTTACGAAACCCGCACCACCCCTGCCTTCCAAAGCTTCGAACCGTGCTCAGTTCCTGAACGCTCCAAAACTCGGACCACCTCAGAATGGAGCAGCACCGATGGAAAGGTCACGGAGCAACAGCGAGACAGGTACTCCTGAACACCAGCGTCTTGCCAAACGAATGGGAATGCCGCCCAGGGCACGAACAGGTTTGGGTACCGTCTTAGAAGGCAGCGCTTCGAAACATCACTCACGAGGATTTTCGCACGACTCCATGATTGACTCTGGAAACTTTGAAGGCCATCCCAATGCTATCAGCGAGCAGAACTCTGGAGCATACTTCAGGAGGTTATCGCACTTACCGCAAAGCGCTCGTGCGTCGATGGGTTCCGTACACGTCATTGAGGCTGTTCGGGGATTCATGTTCTCGTTCTCCCAAATTCATCAAGCTGTACGTCAGTATATCACATTCTGCAGCGAACCCGCTCTGGCGAGCGCCGTCAGTAGAGTGCTCTACAGCGCAAACGTGCATATCGGAACGTTGGTAGCTGCCTTGGAAGCTCACGAAAACGAAGGTGACGATGCCAATCCGGGCAATGTTATCAATGCCGTCAGAGTTTGCGTGGGTGCTTTCCGGCATGTGGTGGGCACTTTGCTGAAACACCTTCACCCGCTGATGGAAAGGGCTGATGCGCGATACTCTCGGACCCTTCTCTTGCTCCTTACAGGAGCCGCTGCGGAAATACAAAATTCTTGGTCTATTCTAAGACCAGCCATGCCTGCATTTTCGGGCACGATCACGCAGCCAATCCCGCATACGCCAGTCACGGCAACCCCCATGTCTAGAACGGCTTCGCCAGCCCTGAACCGGCTCAAGTCGCCGTCCACAGCCAGTCTTACTGCATCAATTGCTGCAAATATTGCTGGTTCGGTTATGCCAGGCAAAGGTCATGATCCCTTCCAACCTGCACCCACAGCAACCGGACAGACAATCCCCGAAACGAGTGTGACGGAGACGGATGAGCAATTATTTGAGAAGATTTCGACGGCAACTGCTGCTGCTCAGTCTGTTCTTGCACTCATCGGTCAGGCTGTCGCGGAAGATTCTATATCGACGGCACAAAACCCACAGACCCCGGGAGCGACAGCACCTGCAACTTCGAGCAAGCTGAGAGAGCTGTCGATGATGTCTGTTGGAGCAGGCGAAGTTACGCGTCGTTTATCGCACCGTTTGGCGTTTGTTAGGGAAGGTGGCGATGCGTTCGAACGTCATAAGTTCTGGGAAGACACCAATGCATTCGTCAAGGCCGTCATTTCCATTGCCGCGCTTGCGAAAACGGTATCTATCGAATTCCCCTTCCCTAAGAGCGTCCTCTCCGGTCTGGCGGCCGTAACTCGGTCAACAAAGGAGCTTACCATTCTCCTGTCTGTTTCGTCTTTCCGCTCAGTGGAAGGCTCAGCCCAGTTGAACCAGGCTCCACCCACCACAACGACGGTACCCATGATAACCACTACTCAACCATCACCTCTTTCAGCTGCTCTCGGTCCCGCTGCGCAGGCCGTTCTTCCGTCACCGGCAGCTTTTTCGAACACATCTTCAGTTTTGACAGGTGGCCCGCCGCCCGGTATGGTCAATAGATTTGACGTTGCACTCGGACAGGCTCTACGCAACGGAAGTGTTACCTCGCAGAGCACCTTGGATCTGAGGGAAGTTGCACTCAAGGCTGCATCAGATTCCGGCACATTGCCTTCACCGTCACGAGAGTAAGATAGCCCATTGAAAGAGGGAACGTTGTAAATTACGAGGATATCTCGTCTTTCATTATACGATAATCCTAGGATAGAAAAGGCAATGTGCGTGACAAGCGAACCCGTTGCGACCACCACATAAACCCGAAGGCTCACGAGATCGTCAAGATTATAAATCACTATGAAGAATCAGTCTGGGAGAGTTCCATTTGAACGCTGGCTATGGCGTACGAGCCAGAGCTTGGTATAACAATCCGTGTAATATGTGAAGAAACAGAAGCTCCCTGGGCTCGCCGGGAATTTTGTAGCCTCGAACGACGCTAACCACGTTAGGAAAGTCACGGGAGCGTGAGAGGGTTAGACTGTATGTACAATATTCTCTTCAAGAACGAGGGTATCACAACGCCCATGCATCGTAGATAAATGGAATCATTGAATGCAAATAGATAACATTTGTCAACGCCGCCTAAAACCACTCCCGTAACGTACTGATGTACCACCGCTCCCATCGTTGTCCGGCAAAGATGGGATGTGTCGGGCGGATCTGTCAAGTCCCACATTACCAATGACTTCTTTGGCGTCAAAGTATCTCGTACTGTCGTGCTTGAGTGGGCTACTGCACCGACTTGCGACTTCTGGGCTCATCCATCGCTGGTTCAATATCTCCTTGGCGAGCTCTCGAACGAGGACGGCACTGTCATGCTCAGCTAGTCTGTCAATGACCTCACGCAGTCCATAGAACAATACAAGACGGCGCGGGTCAGGGCTAGCGTCGCACAGGCTTCTTAAAATGCGTAATAAACTCAAACGCACAATGGCTTTGCTGTGTTGTAGTCTTTCCAGCAGCTTCCTTATGAAAAGCGGCCGAGAAAGTGCTTGCGCAAGCGTGGCACTCAGGCGCAATAACCGTTGCAGAGGCTCCAGTATGTTTTCGAAAGCAGTGGCTTTTGATGTTGCAAACGCCGTAACGACGAACTCGATAGTTTCATCTGCTGTCAGGATCTCCTCCACGCGACTTGGTTCATCCTGAAACCAGATCAGAATGCTGTCCAACCCATTCACCATCCAATAGGGATCACTCAGTAAAGACAGATAGAACTGTAGCCCATCATGCTGCCAGAGAATGCGCCGACAAGTCTTGCCAGCGTGTGCCAAGTCGCACAAGATGGGTAAAGCGAATTGCTTGAGAGGCCTTTCTGCTTGAACAATTCTCATGAGCACGGGTACAAGACCAGCCAGTGCCGCTTCCTCTTGGCGTGTCTTGCTCAAGCGACAGAGGTTGTACATGGTATTCAAGATTTGGTTTGAGATCTCTTTGTATTGAGGGATGTCCTTGCTTGCGATGAGCGTTTCAGTCAGGATCTCAATGGCATTCGCGTTCTGCAGCATGTCAAGAGTATGCTCATCCATCGATATGTTTTTGACGACTTTGAGTATGACGACTAGCTGCGTTGACGTGAGGTCGGGTAGCAACCTCATAACACGTCGCAAGACAGTTCTCGTAGCTAGCAAAGACTTCACGAAAGCGTCTGCTTGACTGAAGAGTAACAGTAGGTGCACAATCCTGTCGGCGCAGATCTGCGCATATTCATCTTCCTCCTGCAAGATGTGCTGCAATGTCAACGAAAGAGGATCCAAAACACCGCTCTTTGCGAAGATCCTGCAAAAGTCATTCTTCGGAGTAGCGCCCTGCAGCTCAAAGACGCTCCAAATCCCGTTAACGCCAATCCATACGAGCTCCTTAAGTGTCTCGTAGTCCTCTTCGAGAAAGCCCACCAGGACATCCAAACCGCGACAACTCACAAACATCTGAAGAGAAAGCGTCGAGGTTTGCATAATGCATTGCACGATCAACGCCGCTTCAAGTCGGATATCATTTGCGTATTTCTTCGAGCAGAACTTATTGATCACCGAGATACCACCCACGAAGCATAAGTTCTCCTGTGCTTCTGGGGCATCGGCAATGACCATGTTCAGAATATTTAGTAATCGATGTATCAAATCACGTCGCTTGCAGACCTCGAGGATCTCCAATACAGGTAGAAGGCCATGCGCGAGCATGAAGTTTGCCGTCAATGCCGGATTATCCTCGAAAATGCCTAACAGCTCCTCGCAGATTCCGACAAGGACGAGTTCGGCTTCATTTGTTCGAAGAGAAACCGTCAACTGCTCAATGCGCGAACACAGCTTGGCATACTTGTCCCTTGCGATATTGGCGTCGAGGCTCATCTCGTCGAACTCTTCGTCAATTTCAGCAAAAGGATCATCCTCATCGGTATTATCGCCTAGCCATGATTTGTCCGAGAGCTTCGTGTTCAGCTTCGGGTCTTCGTTGTCAGACCTAATGACCTTTCTGAAGCTGTCTCTTCCAAATACCTCGGAATAGTCATTCTCCTCTTCTTCGTTTTCAGCGAAACGTGCAATTTCAGCTAAAGACTGCGAATGCCTTAGTGGGATAAAATCGGGATCAGCCTGGCTTGACCCTCGGCGGTGCATACTTGGGCTTGGAACAGGCCGTTCGACTCCTTGCAAGTCTGAAGGATGAAACAGCCGCGGCGACATCGAATTGTCCTTGTTCATGTTATCCACCTTCTGGGCAAAAGAATCATCTGTCTCTGAAGCAAACCAATGGGAGTAGTCCTCCATACTGCTTCCCGAAGCAATGCCTCGAGGCGAACCCAAGTTCATCCACGGCGATGTAGCCCGTTTCTTTTGATTCGGAGAATGAATGGTGGAAGATCGTGCTTTTGGAGAAAACCGGATCGTCTCATCGCCGTTCCCCGTGAATGGATGAATGGTGTTTGAATCATTCTTTAGCTGCGGCTGAGGATAGGACTTTGCATGCGGCAGCGGCGGTAACGCTTTCCTATTGGCCGAAGAAGGACGAATTGTCTTCATCTGGTCGTCATCAAACGTGGCTCCAGAAATGCCCAGGCCCTTGAATTTGCTTAGGGATAGCCCTCCCTCAAAATCGTCGCTCCAGTCATCCGCACTCGGCTCGGGACTTCTAATTTTTGTTCCGCCTAGCGATGGAATCGGGGTTAGGCTTCTTTGTATACCTAAACCAACCGCCTTGCCTTCGGACCGATGAAACGGTCTCCTTAGCTTTATAGAAGCATCAGAGTCAAAATCATCGTCCCAGTTATCCGCAAAGGTGTGTTCTGGTGACTGAAAGGTCTTCGCTGCGTTCTTCGGTGCAGCGGTGACATGCATGACTGGCGGTGGTCTCACAACCGTCGCAAAGTCGATACCGCTACGCCGATTTCCGTTGGGGCTTGGTACTTGTAGGTTGTTCGATCTGGGCATCCGACGTAGGATCGCTCCGCCGTTTGCGGATAGTTGTGGCGTCCTCAAAGCTTCATTCCATTGTTGAACACTCTTGACCGCATCATCGTACTTGGTGGTTGGCTGATCCATTACGGAGTTAAAGGCCTCTCCTTTCTTTGCCGCCATGATAAGTGGATGTTTCAACAATTTCTTTGCGGACACTCTCAAGTTCGGGTCTTTCTGGAAGCACTGCATCAAAAAATCTCGAACAGCGGGTGATGCGCCTTCAGGTATTGGAGGGTGATCATCGTTGACGATGCGGAACAGGGCCGGCATGGGATCGAGGTTGTAGTATGGTGGACGGCCGTCCAGCAACTCAATCACAGTGCATCCAACGCTCCAGATATCACTTGCGGTGGTTGCACCATTCAGCTCGATCACCTCCGGTGCCATCCAGTAGGGACTTCCTACCACGGTTGCGTCGCTGATCGCAGAGCTCCTTGTAGCAACACCAAAATCTGCTAGCTTGACCAACCCATCTTTTGTTGTGAGAATGTTGGCGCCTTTGATGTCTCGGTGAATGACACCCTGATCGTGAAGATATTGTAAACCAGCAAGCACTTGGGCAATGTACAATGCAACGAGGTTTTCGGGGAACTTGCCAAAGTTCTTGCAGATGCTATGCAATGAGCCGTTCTCGCAGTATCTGTTACGCGGGTCAGCATACATCCAATGAACTTTGGACAGGAACCCACTCTAATATGATGTACAGATAGTCGGGTGTCTTAACAAAGCCGTGATACTGTACGATATTCGGATGCTGTATGCCACTTAGCTTACGTCGATAATACACATACAAAATCGGCATACATCCAGATTCTTCAGTAAGTCAATCTCCACCATGAGGCTATTTACCTCACTCTTCGGTATATCTCCCAGTTTGACTTGCTTGACGGCGACAGTCTGGCCATTCTGCCAATTCAATGCTCTGTACACCGCGCCGAAAGCCCCCTTTCCCAGACAGTCGCCTAGAGTGTAATTGACCAGGGGACCTTGCGAGCCATGATGCGACGACGATGACATTCCGCGTCCGTCGTATCGCACAGCAGCTGACAATCACAGTCACGGTCCCTTCCGCAGCAATTTCAGGTCATCGCTGAGCACCAGCTTGATGTTTGCAGCAGTCGTATCACGTCCCTTAATGAGGTATTGACAGCTGCCATATTGGGTTTAGCGCCAATAAGCTCTAAAAATAGAACTTCGAGGACGATAATACTGCTGGCTGTGTGAACCGCCATGGAGCAGCTGGATCAAGTTCAGGACATTGAAGCCGGGAGCTTCTTTGGATATGACAGCGAGGAAGTCCTGAGACTGACAGTCGCCACTATACGATAAGCTTACGGCAGCTGGGCACGAGAGGGGTACAGACGCAGCTGGACTGCTTGACCTTCCTCGATCCAGCGATGGGAAATACGATCTGATCTTCTTGTCGGATATCCTCTGGTACGATTAAGCGCATGAGGCTATTCTCGCACCAGCTGCTAGCACCAGCAGGACGGGCGTAGGTTGCGTCCGGACGATACACTGGTATGGACGTCCTGGAAGGCACGAGCAAAGGATGTGCGGATGGGATATGATTTTGGGCATCATCTCAGTCAAGCTTTAACATACACACCGTCCGTCTCTTTCGTATCTAAAACACTCCCCCTCCTTAGGCAGACGAGGCAACCGGCGCCTCGACACCTGCATCCTTCAAGACATCATCCCACTCTCCGTTATCGATCATCTCTCTCACGATGTCCAATCCACCCACGAGCTCACCCTTGACGTACACTTGCGGGAATGTTGGCCAATCCGAGTATTCCTTCAATCCCTGCCTGACCTCATCATCCGCCAAAATGTTGAAGAATCCATATCGCACACCGCGCTCTCTCAGCAACCCAACCAAAGTCCTCGAGAAACCGCACTGTGGTGCAGCGGGTGTACCCTTCATGAACAACATCACGGGAGCAGCCTTGACGAGGTTGCCCAATCGGGTCTCCAGATCCTCCTCCACTTGAGGAGCGGATGCTGGTACTGGTGGCGCAACAGGTTGAGCTGGAGGGAGGGAGGTGGCTGAGGAATATTGGTTGAGGGCGGCAGTGAGCTCGGGTGCGTTGCCACCAGAGATACGTGCGAGCACTTTGTTTGACTTTAAGATGACGAAGAACGGAACGGCGCTTACGTCGAAGGATTCGGAAATGTCGGCAAGCTCCTCGGCCTCGATCTGCTCAAGTCGTTAGCGAGACGCACCCAAATCAACGTACAAGAAGCGCACCTTTGCAAACTTCACACTTGGGTATCTAGTCGACAACTCCTCGAAGACAACGTTCATCTGCGCACACGGAGCGGCCCACGGCGCCCAGAAGTTCAATGCGATAACGGAGCCATTTGATGTGGTGATGAACTGCTCAAAGTCCTCGACGGAAGTGATTTCGCGGACCATATTTGATGCTGCTGCCATGGATCAGGGAGTTTCCTTGTCTATTTGTGAGTTGACCTTTGATCGATATCGTGAATTGCGGGTGAGTGGCGCCTGGCAGTAGCCGGATCACGTGCAAAACGACGATTTTATCAGATCAAATAGATAACATGCATGGGATTGCTATGAAGAGGGGTTGAAGTATTGTGATAGCGAATACAAGAGTAACAGGAATGATAGCCTCCGTCGAGGTCTGTAACCACCCGAACTCTGTCAGAACTCCCACGGTAAACTCGCACTGGATGATGAGCCCACGGCACCCAAGATACCGGGTTGTATATCTTGGATAGTGTACCTGCACCAGCCAGGCACCGGCCCACAGGTCGACACAGTCCCGCACAGCAGATCGGTGCAATGAAGCGATTCACACGAGTCCCGCGGATGGCCCCCCTCTTCGACATCGGCTTCAACGCAACCGACGCCGTGTTCAGGGGTGTTTACCACGGCCACAACGGCAACCCTTCTCACGCGGACGACTTTGCCCACGTCCTGGAGCGGGCTCGGCGGTATGCCTGTGCGAAGATGATGGTGACCGGTGGCGATCTGGCCGATGCGCGGCGTGCCATGGAGCTGGCTGCAAAGTACCGTGAGTGGTGATCTTCATGGTGGAGATGGATGATTGACTGATGGAAACAAGCCGGTGTGTTGTATTCGACCGTGGGTACGCACCCTACGCACGCGCAAGCATTCGACAAACACCCCGAAGGACCCGAGCACTACCTCGAGGGATTAGAGCTGCTCGCCAAAGAAGGAAAAGAAAGTGGTGTAGTCATCGCCTTTGGAGAGTTCGGACTCGACTACGACCGCCTCGACTGGTGTCCAAAAGACGTCCAACTGAAATACTTTAAACAACAGCTCGAACTCGCAACAAATCTCGACCTCCCACTATTCCTCCACTCCAGAGCCTGCGCAGAAGATTTCGAATCAATGCTTTTCCCTATGCTACCCCGTCTTCCACGAGGCGGCGTCGTTCACTCCTTCACAGGCTCCATCGAGGAGATGCACCGCCTCGTTGCGAAGGGCCTATACATCTCCGTCAACGGGTGTAGTATGAAGACCGAGGAGCAGCTCGATATGGTCAAGGAGATTCCCCTCGACTATCTAATGTTGGAGACAGATGCTCCGTGGTGTGGGTTGAAGACGTCTACCGTCGGAAAGTATTTGAAAGATGCACCGCAGATGCCAACAATTCGCAAGAAGGAAAAGTTTGTCTTGGGTGATATGACAAAGTCAAGGAATGAGCCTTGTACCATGATTCATGTCGCTACCGTTGTTGCGGCATTGAAGGGGTGCTCCGTCCAAGAGTTGACCAAAATTGTATGGGAGAACACCATGAAACTGTTTTTGCCGAATGAGCCGCTGGAACTGCCGAACTAACTAGCATACGATACATCATACACAGGCAGCAGGAATGAGAACGAGATAAACAAACGTAGCGATAGAATTGCAAACCATATGGACCCTTGGAAAAAAAAAAAAATGTAGTGTCCATCACAAACACACACAGACACACACACACACGCACACCCGTCCTCACCTCGTGACAACAACAACCGCGATGTGATCACTCCCCGGCCCATCTATCTCCTTCCTTCCTATACATTACAATATCGTACACGGAAAACGGATCCCTTCAATCATCACTCTTGCGCATCAGGCATCGGCGACTCATGTCGGTCCGCGGTTTTTTGGGCAGCTGGGTCAGACTGATCGGTAAGAAGCTCGGTTCCATCGTTGAGGATGATCACTCTACCTTGAGGTTTGTCGCTCTGGACGTGGTCGCCTTCGCTACCGTCACTCTCAAACTCGTTTGCGTTCGTGTCGTGGTGGTGGTATCCTGGTCCCTTGTGCTCGGCAAATCGCGGGGGAGCGCAAGGTCCGTCGCCAGCCTCGACACGCTTCGCAATCATCTCATACCACTCCTCCTTGGTCTTGCCCTGCAAGAAACCAACAATAACGACAGTCATGTTGTCGCATCCGACACCGCCAGTCTCGGACGACGTAGCCAGACAGTTGTCCATGAGGTTCTCGCAAATGAGGTGAAGCTCCTGCTTCGCCGCAATACCCCTGCGAACAAACTCGATGACGGCCTGCGAGGAAAGGACATCCCAGATACCGTCACATGCAATAACCATAAACTCATCGTCCTTGGTGATAGTGTGCTCCGTGACGTCAGGGAAGACGGTAACGATCTGCTGCTCAGGAGGAAGGTCCTTGCTCTTCTTGAACTCAAAGTCACCAACAGCACGACTCAATGCAAGGTTACCGTTCACTCGTCCAAAGTCAACGAATCCACCAGCGGCGCAGATTCGTGCCTTCTCCTTCTCGTTTTGGGGCTTGTGGTCGAATGAAAGGGGCTTGGCGGTACCCTTCATACCTAGGACTGTTCGTGAATCACCAGCGTTTGCGCAAAACAGACGACCATCACCGGTGACAAGAGCAACAGTTGCAGTGCAACCTGATGGGTCGTCGCTGAAGCGAGGGTCTGCGCAACAACATTAGCATGCATAGCGCATTCATGCCACGAAAGACACTCACCTGCGAGAATTGCCTGATCCGTTTCCAAGAAACCATCTTTCAGAGCCTTGTCGTAGTCGCCCGCCTTGAATGCGTCCTGCTTTGCAACGATCTTGTGCAAGTTTTCTCCTGCAAACTGAGCGACCCTGTCACCACCGTGACCGTCATACACACCAAAGAATGAGATCTTATCCTTCACATCACTGACTTCAGTGAGAGACAGGAGGGCGGCGTGTGCGTCCTCCATGGAGATACGCCAACCCTGCATGTCGGACATACCGAAGATGTGCTTCTCATCCTCGCCATAGTGGGATCGCTTGTCGATAACGGGTTCCGATAATGTCTGACCTGTATGAAGAGTGTAAGAGCGCGTTCACAGGGGGTGTATGCGTGCCATTGACGAACCCATTGCTTGTGGCGGCTGGTAGTAACGTCAAGGAAACAAAGAAAAAGAGAGATGTCGGAGCTGTGAAGGCAGGCAGATGTCTATGAGATATCGATCTTGAAGCGATTCAGATTCAGATAACCGAGGGATGGGATTGGGTCCGGCGGTTTGTGTTTGTCCTTTTGTTCAAGTTCTTCGTCAGGGAGCTTTTGGCGTTTGCAGAGTCAAAGTGCGTCCGGCTGGTGTAGTGTGTGCCAGCTGGGTGAGTAGCGCGCGGCTGGCGTCCCAAACCACAACCCCGATGACGACGTTGGTCGTGCAGCGTAGATGTGAGGTGATATCAGGGGAAAGACTGTGGAAGTTGCTCTGTTGAATTGAAAACATTTAAATCGGTACGATTGTGTGTTTGATGTATCTACCGATCAAGAGATGACGGCATTTGAACGGGGCTTTACACCAGCCACATACGACGGACCTCAGGTGGATGCGATAATTCTCAATTGCTCGTAGATAGCCTAGGAAAACAATCTACCACGGTCTGCCCAACTGCTGCTTTACCGAGCTCCGTACCAAATTCGTAGCCCGCCTGCTCTCATCCATCGAGAGATTCGCCATCATAGCCTTTGCCTCGTCATCCGGATCCATTCTTCTTGACTCATGACCGCTCCCATCACTGGTGTGCGGTCGCGGCAGTGACCATGCCGCAGAGGCATAGGTAGACGCAGCCAGAGGTGCCCATACGTTCTCTCCACTTGATGGAGGCGGCAATAGCGGGGAAAACGCTTGCGGCGAACCGCTCGAGCCACCTCGTGGTCGAGGGCTTGTTTGAATAGGCGGTAGTACTGGCTGCTCCCTGCCGACTGGCCGCCTCATCTCTTCTCGTTGCTGTGACTGCGGAGGTCCATATTGTGGGAAACCCGGCTGCTGCTGTCGTGGAGGCTGCGGCCCGCCAGGCATGTTGGAAATGTACTGATTTCTGTCATTTCCATACATGGCATAGGGATCAAAGCCCATTGGTACGAATGGCTGCGCAGATGGGTTGGGGTTGAAACCGGCGGGTCCGCCCTGAGCATACATCTGCTGATAGTACGCATCGTACTGAGGATAGTAGCCTTGACCTGGCATACCAGGGAAGGACCCGCGACCTTGATGATTCTCGGGCTGGAACTGTGCTCGTCGCGGCTTGCCCTTATTCTTCTTAGGCTTTTCCTCCTCGGGTTCCGGGGCAGGTGACTCCACAATCCCCTTGAAAATCCTCGCTCTTGCTTCTTGATATGCTGCTTCCCTTTCTTCTCTTGACACCTTGCCATCGCTTTGTGATGGGGTACTCGACCTTGAGGATGCCGATGCCGTCCCAGAACGTCCGTCACCCGTCTGCCGTTTCATAATCTTCAAGCCCTTTGGTGCATTCTGTTCCGCGTCCGCTTGTTTGGGCTTTGGAGCCATATCCGCAAGACGTACTGCGGGAATCCTCGTCTTTTGCGATCGGAATAACACCACCGACGGACCCTGAACGTCCTTCACATGCAGCAACCTGTAGTAATCCGCCGTCCTGTGAGCCAAAAGGCGGTGATAAGAGTTCGATGATGACAGCTCCATTGTCAAATCCGACGTGTTCTGCTTGATGAACATCCTGATATCTTGCTCCAACTTCAAGATGAACAGACGATCCTTAGGGTTCTCCATGGCACCGATCAGGAGAGGATCGGCGGTATCCTCCGATACAGTAGACGAAGGCGTTTCGCTTCCTCCAGCAGCAGGTTCTGCAAGTGTGGGCGGCCTCGCGATTTCCGGCGGTTGAAATTGGACTTGCTGTACATTGACCGAAGATGCGGTACTGGTAGCTGAGGTAGATTGCGATGCCGACGGCCTTCTAAGCAGCATCATCTTCGGTAGTTGAGCATTGGGAAGGGAATTGCTTTGTACGTCATGACCAGCATTGTCGTTAACAGATGGTGTCGAGACCGAGGAAGCGTCTTCGGAAGTTGATGATTGATCCATACAATTGAACAGCGCAACAGCTGGTGAATACTAGGACAGAGGCCTCGTAGAATGTTTGTCCTTCTTAGTAAACACAGACTCCATACGAATCACCAGACACGGGCAGGTAGAGGGTGCGTGTCGGGGGTTCCAGTATTTGTTTTATGGTTTTGCCTATCGATTGTACGCGGTGTAGCCTCGACCACTTTTTCGAAAGACGCAGCCAAAACGGCATGTTGCAGAGATCAGTAACAGACCTTACGAGGGAGTGAAGCTAGTTCAAAAAGACGGGAATATATGCCTTAAGAAGTTCGTAAACCTTTAACCTTCCACTGATCATTTGCGAGCACTGACCTTCGGGTGCCTGTCGGATACCCGCTCTGCAGCTGCTGAACCAAGAAGAAAAAAACAACACACTTCAATCGACCCTTACAAAGAACGGAGAACGATGAGTTATCGTCCACCATACCAGTCAAAGCCGAATGCAGCGACAGCTACAACAAGGGTTTGTTATGTCCGTTGACTGTCCCGGAGAGCGTGATCGTTGACAATGACGTACAGTGCCAGAAATGTCTAGGATTCGGCCATTGGACCTACGAATGTAAAGGCGGAGAACAAGTTTACAACGCCCGTCCTAGTAGGACTCAGCAGCTGCGCAATCCCAAGTTGATGCCGGAGTTGACGGAGGTGGTGCCGGAGGAGATCAAGAACGGGAAGGGTGTGGCGGATAAGGTTCTTTCCGAAAGGGAGGCTGAGAGAAGACGACGGAGGAGGTAAGAAAAACTGTGCGTCCTTGACATGGCCTCTTACGATTTTCTTCCAGTCCTTCAAGATCCCGTTCGCGCTCGAGACACCGAAGCGACAGACGATCCCGTGATCACGACAGAAGGCACAGAGACAAACCTCGCGAGGAAAGGCACCGTGGAGACAGCTACCGTCCCAGCAGACAGAATCGTACCAAATCAAGGTCTCGCGACCGCTCGTACCGCTCGAAACGGCGGGACGATTCGCCTCGTCGTTCTTCCCGACGTGAGGCGTCTCTCGACTACAACGATGGTCGAAGGCGCGACGGAAGCCGAGACCGTCGTGGCTCTGACGCTGCTTCCATGCGCTCACGAATCCGCTCGCCCCCTGTACGCGGCGAAAGTCCGCCCTATGTTCCAGGTGGTCGTAGCAGCAGATCTGTCGCACAACCAGATATTCCCGCAGAACCAGCGAGAAGGCAGTCACCACCTCCGAGCAAGGAGGCACAGAGAGAAAGGAGTCTCAGTCCGTATAGTGCGAGAGTACGCATGACGCAGATGATGCAGCAACAGCAGAGCGGTCCATTTTCGCAGCAGCAGCGGGCGAATTCGCCTCCTCAAGACCGATTCAAGGGAGCCGAGAATGAGCGGACCCTTTCGCCTATTCTGAACAAAAACGAAAAGGCGGGATTGAGCAGTTCGCCACCAAGTGAGAAGCCAGGACGAGATGAGCCAGGACGAGACAACGGGAACCAATCTTTACAGAGCAATGAAAATGGTCAGCAGAGAGAGAGGAGCTTGAGTCCGCATAGCAGGAGGGTCCAGTTGACCAAGGCGCTACAGGACGGTCAAGGTCGGGTGTAGGTGATGAAGCACATTAGGTGCCGAAAGCGTATCATTACGTTGGTTGACGCATAATATCGCCATGAGCGCAATACATGGTAGGAGAACAGTAGCATATCTCAGCCTGTTGCAACACGCCTATGCCTCCTCCATCGCAGCCTCCGCTCGCGCCTCTTGCTCCCTCATCTCCATCCCTACCGCCAAATCAGGCTCCCCTCCATTCTTCTTCTCCTGCTGCTCCATCAACCGTTGTCTCAACAAAGTTGCAATGGCCGCATCCGTTCTCGGCTTCAGTCGCGTCAATTTTTGTTCCAGATTTCGTTTCAGATCATAGTCTCTTGTCTTTGTCCCGGCAAGACTGAATAGATCGATTGGAGCGTCGGTCTTCATTTTCTCGGCATCTGCTTTGGCCTTTGCGGCGATTCTTGCTGCTGCTTCCTCTACTGTCTCTTCTCCCAAGATGCTGTGCGCAATTGTCAGCACAGCACATGTCATCAGAATACTGCGCACGAACCTTTCGCCATTCTCATCTACGGGAGGTTCTGTAGGTATAGACTCTTCTTCACGTGGTAATGAAGGCTGCACAATAGGTACAGATGGCAACTCTGCCTCCTCTCCGGTCTCATTTTGTGGTCGCTTTCGCTTCTTCAGCAGAGCGAGACGCTCTTTTCTCTGTACACGATGGTCAGCGAACTGCGGAGAAGATGTTGTGACCGATCGCATACCTTCTGCGCCTCCTCATCGAGTGACAGCTTCTGCGATTCTTCCCTTGACATTGCTATTGATCTGGGTTGTTTTGGAGGTTAACTGCGTTATCGACAACGACGGATGGTCCTCGGCGCGGCCGGCGATTCAGGGGTGCACGGTTGCATGCCCCCGTGGGAATCGCGAAGGAGGGCAGTCCAGTCTCGTTGCTTCATGATTGACGCCGAAATCGCTAGACAAGTAGCAGGCAGAGATTGTAAAGGGGAGGCAAAATTGCAATCGACTGGTATTAGGCAGGTATAAAAGGTTCAAAATCGTCTTGCTTCAGGAATCAAACACCGCTCATTAGCTTAACAAATATGACTGCATCGACGAAACCAGCGTCGATGTCTTTCTATAACAAAATATGACCTTCTTACAGCCTCGTCCACCTCCTATAGACGGCGGCCGTTGCGTTCCCGCTAGTAGTGGAATTCGAGATGACGCCCGTGACAGAGGCAACGGCAACGGCAGCGGCAGCGGAGGACGTGCTGATAACCTCTTCTTCTTCGTCGCAGTCATACTCAACCTCAGAGTCGTCAAGTGTGGAGTCATCCGATGACAGCTCAGAGCCGCTCTCAGAAGCGGTAGCGGAGCTGGAAGTTGACGTGCTGCCGGAGCTCACAACGCCAGTCTCAGTCACACTCACCTCGCCGTTCGCGGTGGTAGACTCAACGGAACCAGATGCAGTAGTTGCCTCAGAGTCCGATGACTCGGTTCCGCTCACAGCCAAAGCAGCAGCCACACCGGTTGCCTGAACAGATTCCTCAGCAGCAGTCGCCGTCGAACCAGAGCCAGCCGTGACCGTAATAGTAGCGGTCGCCTGAGAGTCACTACAGACAGCGGTCTCGATGATAGTGATGTATGAAACGGTTGGAACATAGACGGTAGTAACTCCGTCAGCAACTCCAGTCGAAGCAGCTGCGACCGCAGCCTCAGCAGTCGCAATGCTAGCTGCCTCGGTAAAGTCCGTGAGGGTGATCGTGCGGGTCATCACCTTGGTCGTGTGACCGCCGTAAACAGTGGAGGTCAATGTCTCCATGGTAGAACTGGCATCGGCGGAGGCGGCGGCTGCGGCAGCGAGGACGGCGGTGTTGGACCCAGCGGTAGAAGCGGCAGCAGCGGACTCTCTGGCGAGGGGTGCAGTCATGTACTGAGTGAAGACAGTCTCGGTCGGTTTCCCAGAGATGGTGAAAGTGACGGTCTTCACAAGAGTCTTGGTGACCTTGATGGAGCTCATAATCTCAGCAGATGCGGCCGTCGCGTTGGAATAAGCAGCAGCCGAGGAAGTGATGACCGAAGCAGACGAAGTCGCGTCAACAACTGCCGTCGTAAACGCCGAAGAGAGCTCGGTCGCTTGAGCAAGAGTAGAGGCGGCAAGAGCGCCATTGGAGCCGGACACGAGAGTGATAGCGGTGAAGCCGTCACCAGTAAGCATGCAAACGTCGTCGATGCAGGTAGTAGTAACCTGCGCAGCGGTCGAGGTCAACGTCGAAGACGCGAAGGACGTCATGGAAGCTGCCGCAACAGTCGCAGCATTGGATGAGGCCGACACGGTGCTATTGGTGTACACCTGACGCCTGAAATGAGCCCTCGGCATGGCCTCTCCAGTGCCAAAAAGACTGACAAAGCCAACGGCCAGCGTAAGGAATGTCGAGTGATGCATGGTTATGGTTGCCTTTGGAATATATAAGAGAGAGTGTGATGTTGTAAGAAAGACGTTCAACGTCGAGAGGCTGGATGAATGAATGGATGCTGTGAAGCACGGTTGCGGGGTACCGGCGAGTTTTATGGTGTTTTGGTCATTCCAGGAGTCAATGCTGCCAAATTGAGCGTTTCATATTGTTGCTTGTTGTCGTGGGAGATTTGGCCTCTCTCTTTGTTTCCAGTTTCATGTTGACTGGACAAGTCAAATCGGAGTGATATCGACTGCAAAAACAAGATTATATCTGTTAAACTCTAAATGAGAAAACTGAGCGTTTTGTGTTGTACTGCCTTTTATTGACGTCAGGGTACGTTTTGTGCCCGTGCTTGTAACGTTGAACCCAACTGTCCGTTCTCGAGCCCCTCGGTCCCGTAAAGCAATGCCCACCATCGGATGGAATGATTCAACCTTCGTGAATGCATGGAACAGCCATGTCGATACCTACAAGGTTGTTACTCTCATCTTCGGCTCGTACGCTTGTCTGACCAAGGTTCCATAGGCCCATCATCCCGGACAGTTCAGTGACAAGGAGTACAGAAGGTTGGAGACGCCTCCGCCGCGACCCGTCGAGGAGATTGAACAGGTCAAGCCTGAGAAAATGATTGATGATACCATGAATGCGTCAGAGCCTCAGACGACTGGCTACTTTCCAGAGGAATTAAGAAGCGGTTCGTCCGAATGTTATTCGATAGTTAAAACGCAGCTAACAAATCGTGCACAGTTGATCCAGAGTTACGTGAAAAGCTGATGGCATGGTACACCGCAGGCTACCAAGCTGGGTACTACGCCGGCCAACAAGCAGCATTTGCAGAAGAGCCTGCAGCATCCAATGCAGACTGCAATGCAACGGAGGCAGCGCGATGAATCGCATATGGCTTTGACACCCTATTATACCCAACTATACAGCATATAACGGCGGCGAAATCTCCATGATCCTCTTCTCTTTCTGCCGCTGACTCCTCAACGCTACTGCTCCCTGATCTCTTTCCAATCTCAGCGTGCCCCTCATCTTCGACCGATAGGACAGGCTCGCCACGAGATTGAACAGACTGACAGTCAACAGGAGGGTTCCTGTTGCTAGTAGCAGTTTCCAGAAATGAGGATTGCCTGCACAGTCTGGGTCGATGAGCTCATGGTGAAGATCGCCGAGAACGCAGAAGCCGGATATCAGCTGGAGTAGCCCAAGTGTTGCTAGTGAAGATTTGGGACCAAGCAGCGGTAAAAACTCGGCAAAGAGTTTGTAGGGAATCCCAAACTCCGACGCTATAAGGATGACTGCTTCGAGACTCAGGAAGAGATGGTTGAAGGCGGTGAAGAAATAAAATCCGAACTAGCCTCGATTGTTAGCCTCGACATTCATGAGAAAGATGAGGAATGACATACATCTTCAAAAGATAATGCGATCACTACCCATGATGATACGATGCACAATATCATCGAGGTCACGCTGAGGAAGCGGAGGGCATTCAGGAGGACGAAGGATACGCAGAACATGAGATACTGTATAGTGATGCTATCGGCGAGTAGTGGTTGTGTTTAATCAGTGAATACGGAGTAGAAAAGGAGAAGATGGGGATATATAGCCAGCGCAGATGATGGTCAGAGCAAGATGCGTCGAAGCGGATATGGCTGCGACGGACAATGGGAAGTCTCATATTCTGAATGATCAGCATGTTGGAAGCCGAATATCTGTCCAAACCTGTGGAAATTTATCTAGATGGACAATGCAAAGCTACAGTTCTGCCCACATTTCCGTGGTGGTCTACTTACATGTCGTACAGTTGGCTGGGGATGGATTCTCCCATGATCACGTGCACGTCTCTCGGACACTCGACGCCACGTGCTCACGCGTAAACTCAAAGTTACGTACGAACGAACAAGATGACCCGTGCGTGAGATGAGAAGTGCTATATCTTACGAGGATTGTGCGCTGACTGTATGGCTTTGCAGGCGGTAACCAGCGTGACAGAGACAGGGAGAAGAACTTGAAGAAGTTGGCTGCTGTACGTTGAGATATCCCGGAGTTGACACGGAGATAATGCTGACATATTGTGCCTCTAGCAAAAGAAGGGTCCGAAGCAGAGTGCGAGCAACTTGAAGCAGGTGCAGGAGGGGTGAGTTCGACGGGCTACACTTGCTGGCACACATATCTAACGTTTCGACCTTCAGTAATGCGGAGATCATGCGCAAGAAGCAGGCGGCGGCCGAGGCAAAGAGGGCAGAAGAAGCGGCTGGGAAAAAGTGATCGAGAGAAGGACCCTAATAAATGCCGATGACAGCCGGAACGGACAGTAAAGGATCAATCTTAAATCAGCGGGCGTTTGTCGTTTGGAACATGCATGCAGGAAAGTTTTATATCAAGCCGGGGAGTTTAAAAATAAAAGTGCTTGGAATACGCTCCCCATTCAAACGAGCAACCTGGCAATCGTTCACTATATCTCATGTACTCGTTCAGAATTTGTGGCTCAAGCGTTCTCACGACTCCCTCGCGGTCTATATAAGGCGCGCTCCCCCGTCCCCAGCGACTGCTCCTCCAACCGCTGCGCAAGTGTCTTTCATGAACCTCGCTCTTGCCTTTTACCAGAACGAGCAGGAAATGCGCTTGATAACACGCAGTTTACCCACTCTTTGGAACATCTCACCCATACCGGTGTCTTTTGCTGGCGTTGTCGTACCGTGTTGCGACAGTGTTGACTAAAGGTGTTCGTATGGCTCATTCCTTTTCGTAGATCCGTAGCAAGTCAATCCCAGCTAAAACCACAATTAATCATCCTGCCTACCCTGAATATGTCGTTAAAATCGACCCCTTGCCGACACCCTGTGTGTAGGTAAACGCGTCCGTAGGTTTTTCGTATCGTCGTTACATACTCGGAACACGTCTCAACGATCTCGGACAACGACCTACGACGTAGGCCTTTTATGGCTTTCACATCCATGGCATGAATCAAAATGCTCTTTTGCTGGAACGTTTACCAAAGCTTACTGCTAAAACACTTCACTCCATAGCTACAAAATGCGCCGTGAATACCACTGGTGTGAAGTCGGTACTCATATCGCGATTGGCAGATGAACTTCCTCGGCCTCGTTTGCCGCCTTCGACCAATGCGTCGAAAACATGTCGGATCCTGAGTATCGATATGGGTGTCAAGAACCTTGCTTTTTGCGTGCTATCCGTGCCTGCCGCATCGTTGTCCTCGGAGAAGCCTATTGCACCCACCGTTGAAGCATGGCAGAAGCTGGATATGACCTCCTTTGCCGGATATACCGATACGACCGACTTTTCGCCAATGCTGTATGCCCGCAAGGCGTACCTGCTCTCCCGCACCTGTCTCGATTCATATTCGCCATCGACAGTGGTTATCGAAAGTCAACGGTACCGGTCAGGTGGGTTAGCGACTGTCCAAGAATGGACTATACGGGTAAACATGTTCGAGAGCATGCTGCATGCCGTATGGCGGACATTGGCAGCAGAAAAGGCCTTTGAGGGAGAGGTGTGGAGTAGTAACTCGGGTCGGATGACGGATCTTTGGCTCCAGGGGAGAGAGATACCTTTACCTAAAAGAAAGAAAAAGAAAGTAATGATGGTGGAGGAGCAAGAAGGAACAACTCAAGCTACAGCTGAAGGAGGAGAAGGCGCATCCCTGACACCGGCAGCAAAGAAAAAGACAGGGCGTAGGAAAAAACAAGTGAAGGCGGCGGCAAGTAAAGAAGGGACTATTCAAGCTACGACTGAAGAGGAAGAAGTGACCAAAATCACTGCGTCAATGTCGAAGCGGATACGGATCAGTCTCGTGAAAGAGTGGCTTCTCACGAGGGAGGTGATAAAGGTCGGAGAAGGAGCAGCCGAAGTAGCTGAGCATTTTATGACCGCGACAGCTAGTGCGAAACAGGACGATCTGGCTGACTCAATGCTGCACGGGATGGCATGGATCAAGTGGGAGCGCAACAGATTGCGGTTATTTGAACGCTTAGTGCATGACGAGTTCGACCCTAAAGAGTTTCAAGTCTAAAGCACCTTGTCAAATACGATGTCCACGTACTCCCTTGCCTCATTCCTGAGATCTGTGATGCCGAGTCTTTCGCCAGCTTCCTCTTTCACCGCTCTCACTTCTTCGTCTTCCTGTAGCCTTTCACGGATCTCTACTTGCGACCTCCATGCGTTGGTGCTCACATCTCTCAGGTTCGTGTTCAACCCAACTGCAACCCTTACCAATGCTGCCGCCCTCGTCTTGTGCAATGTACTTTCCGCCCTCGCCGCGGCGGTCTCCAATCGCTCTGCTAAATCGTCGGCACCGATGTTCCAGCAGCCAGTGGCTGCCATGTAGATGGACACTGCCAACACGACATCCAATGCGGCCATACCCAGCCCTCTCCAACGCATGACTGACCAGTACTTCCAGGTGATGTCTGCTCCGGTGTTTGCGGCTACAGCGTTCGCGCGAAAGTTGAACGTTGCAAACGTGTAAATCTCAAAGAGCGCGAGGCCGACAGCACCGACAGTCGCGTTCGCCCGGAAAGCCTTTGCTGGTTTGACGCTAGTTGCCAAAGCAATGACCGCAATGTGGATGAGATGTGCCAGTGCCAGGGCCGGCAAGATGTAGAAGAAGTAGGTCATAGATTCGTCAAGGCGGCAGAAGGTGCAATTGGCAAAAGCATCGGGTCCATATGCCACGTATAGTAAACGACCGTCGAACGAGTTGAACTTCGATAGGATAGCCTCGTTAAAAGGCGTTAGTAGGTCAAGCGAGCGAAGCCTGGTGGTGATGACGTCGATCGGAGTCTGCAATCGTGATCCAGTCGTAAGGAAGATATTCTCCACCTGCAACACAGGAAGCGCCTTGAGTATCGCAACCAGTGCCGAAGCGACAAGGATAGCTATCCTGGGCATGACATTGGCTGGCAACGGCTTCCGTATCGACGCCGGTGCGGATTGTATCGACCTGTAGAATGCAACCACCCTGGGAAGGATCGTAGGACCCAAGATGATGGCCAGCGTCTGTATAGCATCCCACGAAACGGCCATCGTCGTCGTCCTCTGAGTGTATTACTTGGTTGTTCTCGAGGCCTTGTTATGGGGCTCACGTGAGGATACGACTAGCGAGGGCGAACCCTGCAAGATTTCAGATACGCCAAAAAATGTAGGAGAGCAACGAAACCCATACAAAACGAATTCTCGAAAAATGCCCAAGCCGGCTCCCAAGAACGTTGACTCGAAGAAGAGGAAGGGTATGTTGTCCAGTAATTCGATTCTTCGATGATCGGTGTGCTAATTCCCCCGTTTAGCCTCCATGAGCGCTTCTGCGCCGGCCAAGAAGGTTGCTGTTGCGGACAAGAAGAGCCCTAAGCCCAAGGCTGCCCCTGTTAAGGCTTCTGAGAAGGCCACGGCTCCGGCAGAGGCCAAGAAAAACGTTACCAAGAAGAGGCCTGCACCGACGGACGAGGAGGAGGTCGAGGAGGAGAAGGCTGTTCCCGCGGGCGCTGCTGATGTTATCCCATTACCTGAGGAGGCAAACGTCGAGGAGGAGTCTTCTGATGATGAGGAGGAGGATGATCAGACCGAGGCTTTGATTAAGGGTTTTGAGTCGAGCGACGATGAGGAGGTGGATTCATCCGACGATGAGGCAGAGTCAAAGAAGCCCGTAACAATCGCCTTGAAGCCCGCGGACGAGAAGGAGCTGAAGCAGAAGCTTGCCAAGGCCAAGCCATCAAATACCCCCGGAGTTGTCTACCTCGGTCGTATCCCTCACGGTTTCTATGAGGACGAGATGAAGGCGTACTTCGCTCAGTTCGGAGAGGTCACCCGTCTTCGTCTCTCGCGTAACCGCAAGACCGGAAAGTCTAAGCACTACGCTTTCGTCGAGTTTGCATCGGAGGAGGTTGCCCAGATCGTCGCTGACACAATGAACAACTACCTTTTGTTCAACCACATTCTCAAGTGCAAGCTTGTCCCGAAGGACGAGGTTCACGAGAATTTGTTCGTTGGTGCCAACCGCAAGTTCAAGGCAGTGCCATGGAACAAGATCGCCAAGCAGCAGAATGAGAAGCCCAGAACGAAGGAGCAGTGGGAGAAGCTTGAGGTTAAGGAGAAGAAGAGAAGAGAGGAGCAACAGAAGAAGTTGGAGGCTGCTGGTATTGACTACAAGTACGAGAGTGCGAGCGAGAAGAAGGTCGCTGAGCCTGCAGCAGCTCCGGAAGCTGAGAAGAAGGCAGCACCTCAGGCGGCGAAGAAGAATATCAAGAAGAGGAAGTCTACCGGAAAGTGATTGATTAAATGAACACGTCTGGTGTTATTATGCATCTCAAAATATATCGTGTGTCATCGCAAGCTTTATCGTACTTTCAATTACAAGTCTCACAACTCACGTCCTGCTGAAACAGGAACCTTCTTTTCTGGTTCCTCAACATTCTCCTTCGTCACCTTTGGTGCAGTGTACTGCTTAACCTGTCCCGCAACCACTTCCAACACCTCCCCAATCACCCTCTCCGCCGCTATGAACCAGATCGTAGAGCTCACAGCTCCCATTGGCGCCTTGGGAAACGACAAGACGTACTCAACCCAGTAAGGAAACCATCCCTTCGGCAAGTAAAAGACGGCCTGCTTTCCGTACCACCACGAAGAAAAGTACCTGACACCCTTCGTACCAGCCCAAATTCCAGTCTTGAACTTTGCCTGAAACCCAGCCTTGAACACACTGAGATCCTGGGTAATCTTCTCCATCTCCGCGACCTCCTTGTCGAACCTTCTCCTCAGTTTGGCCCATTTGGCAAACTCATCTTGACTGCTTGTGCCCTGCATCTCGGTCTTTGTCTTCAGGGCTTGGATCTGAAGCTTCTTGTATTGAGCGACCTTGCCAGAGTGAGGGCCCGGAATGAAGCGGGAGTACGCGCTCCACGCGTAAGATGCGATTGTGTCGGTACCGATGAGAGTGATCAGGGAGTTGATCAGGACGATGATGAAGGCGAGGAGGAGAACCGACATCGCGAAAGGAACGCTGCAAAATAATCAGCAACAGGGATCTAGTTCTCCCGGAGCAAAAATGTACCTCTATCTTCCGAGGAGACTGTCGTTCACGTATGTATCGCGTCGAACCCTGCAGTTGGATCCGGATTTCGGACCCACGATGACGCTCGCTCGCACCATGCCAGGTTCTTGCACGCAAGCGTTGCATCCAGAAAAACAAGGTGCGAGACTTAAGTTACTTGACACTCTTGTCATGTATCTCGGCTACATATAGCTAACATCTCGGATCGTTGGCCGCATGAGATGAGTATCGGTTATCTCGGCTATTTAAGCTTGCTCTCCGAAACTTTAACTTGACCCACTCCACTTTCAATTAGGAAACAGAGGCCGGTTCCATTGAGAATCCAGCTGCAATAATGGAATCAATTGAGTTGAGACCGGACAGCGGATCAAACGTTGTTCACCGTCCTCAATCCCAAGAGAACGCAGAGCGTCCACCTTCTCCCATTGACGAGTCACCTTCTCCTCCAACCAAGAAGCATTTCGACTTTGCTACCCATGATCCTCTCCCTCGCGCGAAACTCCGTCTAGCGATGGCCAACTACTCCAACTTTGTTCTCGGTATCGTCGATGCGAGTCAAGGTTCCGTACTTCTCTCCATGCAGGTATACTACGGCGTCGAATACCAGACTTTATCCTACATCTTCTTGACAATTGATGCTGGGTACTTCTTGGCTACGTTTGCACTGCCATACCTGATCAGCCGCTCTCATATGCGGCTCGTCACGCTTTTGGGATCGTTTGTCGTGTCGGTAGCAATGGCAGTTATCTCTGTCGCACCTCCATTCGGCCTCTTGGTCGCCATCTTCGTCGCACTGGGATTCGGTGAAGGTATCCTAGAATCCGCAATGGGCTCCCACGTTGCACATTTCGAGGACACTGTAATGATGAACGTACACTACTCACTATACGGTCTCGGAGCGTTCGTTGCGCCCTTGGTCGTTTCCGCCTTCATTGCGCACGACATCCCATGGCAACGGTACTACCTCTTCCCACTCGCGATCAGCATTGTGGAGATGGGCATCCAATTGTACGCTTTCTGGAACTACGAAGCACCACCTCAAATTCACACAGGTGTCACGCCCCAACAGCGCTCCAAGTTCCGTCTTATGCTCAAGAAGCGCGTTATGTGGGTCGGCTCCTTCGTCGCTTTCCTTGCTTTCGGATTGAATTCGACAATCGGTGCGTGGCTCGTGACTTACCTCTCGGTGAAACGCAGAGGGTCGGATACGGAGACTCGCTACATCACGGCTGGGTTCTACGCCGGAGTCACCCTCGGACGCTCACTCCTTGCCTATCCCGTCTCAAGAAACCCGAAGGTCGTCTGCGCCGTCTTCCTCGCCCTGATCGTCGCATGCCAACTCATCGCATGGCTTTGCACCTCCATCAAGGTCGACGCAGTCTTCGAGGCCTTCATCGGGTTCTTTCTCGGACCAATGTTCCCCACGGTCCTCAGCCTGGTTACGGAAGGTCTGGACCGTGCTTCCGTTCCTTTTGGAGTCAGTTTCATGGTGTGTGTCGGGTTGACTGGGAATGCTTTGTTGCCTTTCTTGGTTGGACAACTTGCTTCGCATCTGCAGATGGGAATCGGTGTGTTGCAGCCCGTTACTCTTGCCTGTATGCTGGTCATGACCGGTGCTTGGCTGTTGATGCCTTCAAGGAAGAAGACGCAGTGATCGTCATTGACGGAGAAGAAAAAACAAATCTGCCTTAGCTAACTAGTCCTCTTATACCTATCCTGATAATCAAATCTTCTCAAACACCTATCAAGCGATACGCTATGAAAGCTGCCCCAACGAAGAAAGCACCGGAAAGCACTGGCCTAACGGTCTGCCACAAACTCTTCTTCAAAATCAACTGGATCCTCTCATCAAACGAAGCAGTCTCGTTCACCCGGGGGTATGGCGTAGACGGTGCCTCCACCCCCAGGAACTCGCACAACGGCTCCCATCCCTGACCGGCAGTATACTCCAACAAGTTGTCCTTCGGAACAATCTCGCGAACCTTTTCATAGTGCTCCTGAAAAATCCTCTTACCGTTTTTCTCGAAGCTCCCCTCAAAAAACCCATCCATCATGCGTGAAACCATCCCATACCAGCGACGAAGGAAGATGTAGTCGATTTGAGCAAGTACTTTCATACCCGGATGATTCATGCCTTTGATAATAGAGTTGATGGTGGAGGTGTACCAGGAGTCCACATTACGAAGCGTGAGAATTACCTTGGCGTCAGGGTATGCAGCGATCAACTCGGGTGCAAAAGCCGCACATGGGAAGTCAGTGACTGCCTACCATCTGCCTTAGTATTTGAGTAAGCTTGGTGAGAGGTAGTTCATACGGAGCAGTGACCCAACAACTGATCCCACTCCTTCCTCTCAAACGGCTTCCCATTGCCAAAGTATTTGGCCTCAACGGCATCCCTCCACATATCTGCATCGAGAGCGTTTTCGAAGAGGGAAGTCATATGGTACGTTTCGTAACCAAGTTGGCGAAGGGCTTCGCAAATAGCTATACGAGCAACAATTAGAGGGGAGTAGAGCTGGGGAAACAGGTCTACGTACAGGCAGTCCCGGTACGACAAAGGCCTAAGACCAACACTTTCATGGGAACGATGCGCTTGCAAGTGCGTCTGTCTATTTGACGGTCATCGGCAAAAAGTTCGGGATACTTGTCTTTGGCGATTCTGCTCATCGTTGAATAGGATGACTATTTGGCGAATGGCTGTGAGGGCCTCGTTAGGGTAGGGGACGACTAAGATACAGCCTGCGAGGGCGAGACAGTGTACTGGTTTCATGCTTAACCGAGGCTGAGCCTTGAGAATGCTGTGAGACTTGACCCATATGCATATGGGCTTCCCCACAATTTGACCCCGACACCTGTCCAGCAGTAGCCGGAGGTCAATTAGGTGCACTTGGCCTCTGCACATAGCCGAAGCTTCCGCTGGCGAGACACCGACATAAACGTCGTGAATATGCCGTGTTGAGCTTCCTGTTTCGTCACACGGCTCAAACCAAGGGCCGCGAGCGCTTCCCGCGCGCCCCAGTTTCACCTAGCGCCGTAGTGCCCGCGGGGCGTTCCAGTGTGAACGGGTTCATCGCTCCTGCCGTTGCTGCAACCAGCCGCTCACTTACAAGGGCAAAGCAGCTGTCAATCTATTTGCATTCTGTTTGGATATGTGCCTCGGTCGAGGTGTGTGCACGCGTGGTTACGTCGGCCGGTCGCAATACACGCCCAATGTTGTATATTACGAGAGAAGCCTCAACTTCAATGATCGTCCTTCGTATTACAAGTGACAAAGATATGATGAAGCTGCCTCCAATTGTGAGGCCAAACTTCGTCTGAGATATAATCGTAGATACCTAAGTAAAGCTCCTCCGGATAACTGTCTTCCCCTTATTCCTCTCCGCTTGCGCCTGCGCTTCGACCACCTTGCTCCTCTCTTCGAATACTCTCTTCAGCTCGCCTACCACACCCTTGCCCCCAGCTCTGTTGACACTCTGATATGGTTGTGGTAATTTGTGCTCCGTGGACGCTCTTGTACCGGACCCAGATTTAGGGACAAACAGATCTTCAGCACGTGTACGCGGGTTAATCGCTGATACAGATCGCGAACGCGGCGACGAGATGGTGGAATATTTGCTTGGTGACGGTGCAATCCCTGCTCGGCGCGCAGTGGAAGTACTCGACGACGTGGCTGCCGTATTCGTTGATGTGGGATAAGTAGATGCTGTTGGAGGTGGGGATGTCGGTGATGGCTGGGACGTACTTGATATCGAGAAGGCCGAGTCGGTCTTCTGCTGTGCCATTTGTGAACCTTCAAGGTCAAAAATCTCGTGCGTGCGCTCGATACATGCGACAATGAGCTTGCCCACACCGCCACTCTGAGGATTCGACATTGTAGCGTCAACCATCGGGTTTGTTGGATGCCGCAGAAGACACGGTGATATGCAGATCGCAAGATTCGATGCGTGCATGAGGTTGACTGACGAATGAAGTGAGACGTCGTGCAGTAGCGAACAAATCTCGGACAATAGGACCACCGCCGGTGTTCCCAGGTTCGGCAGAAGAGTGTGCCTGATAAAGTAGACCAGCTCCGAATCATCTGTAATCGGTTCAACCTTCTTCAACGCCGGATACAAATCCGCCGGAATGATAGGTTCTGGCAGTGATCTCAAGTACAACTTGAGCAATGACGCAGCCAAAAACGGATCATAGTCTGACAAGGAGATGTTCTGATCTCTGTCGTACGCAGACTTGACCTGCTTCAACACCGCCGAACTCGGACTCCTCCTGAAAATGCCCTCGACGTTCAACCCCTCTGCCCGCAGATAGTTGATAACGTCTCTGACCACCCTCGGTAATCCATTCTCACCCTCGTGCCCCATCACATCCTCCAATTTCAACCCAAACATCGCACCCTGGTCCTGTGCTGGTACCTCCACATGTGCCTCGTACTTGCTGTTGTGCTTGTACACTTCTGGTGGGATGTCAATCTGGTTCAGCGGGACGAGCGTCGCCAGTTCCGACAGCGTAGCCACATGTTTTACCTTCTTGGCGAACTTGGGCGATGTGATTGTGTTTGTCAGGTCGAACAAAACCCGTACCCACCACGTTGAATGCAGGATATATAGCGATTTGATGTTCTTTCTGTACTTCCTACCCAGAGATCCGTACGACTTGAGCATCCACGGCCATGACATCCGGTGTTGTCCTCCGCCCGCGAGTAGGACGACCGAGTAATCAGACTCGTCGATATAAAGGTCGAGTGCTGCCAGAACTCGTTGTAATAGGAAGTCGTAGTCCGAATCCTTGGGACTGTCCAGGCCTCGTCAGCTGAGAAAGACCAAACCCTCACGACCAACTTACTTCGGAAAGTTACATGCGGCCATAACCACAAGCGGCTTCCCCTCATAGTCCACTCCAGCAGGATACACGATCCTACGTGCAAGCTCATCGTACACACCTACGTCAGGTGCTCCGCTATGGCCGTCAAAGGCGTCATAGTGCTCATCCACATCGCCCGGCGCCTGAGACGAACGAGGAAAGGTAAAGAAGCTCTTGCTCATCACTGTAGACGCCGTCCCACAGCCGTCCTCGGGATGTATGCTGCTTGTTGCTTCGCGGGGGTCCGAGCTGTGAAGGTTAACGGCGGGCCAAGCACGCTCCCGAATGCGGTTCGGCCCAAACACACCAGGAACAGGAAGTTCATTGAACGGCACGCAAATTATTAAACACGAAATAAACCACACACTTTAAATGCCACATCTTCCCACCACGGATCCTCCTAACCCTCCCGTGCAACCTCCTCCACGGATTCCGTGATGATTTCACAGGCCTCGGACATCTCCTCCTCGCTAATCAATAGGTTTGGAATGAACCTGAGAGTGTCGTAAATGGAGGTCGTCAAAACGAGCATACCCTTCTCCACACACTTGTTCTGAACTCTGCTACCAATCTTACCACCGATGTTGTCGCCCTTGCTTCCTCCTCCAAACTCAAGGGCGACCATGAGGCCAAGACCGCGAACGTCACCGATGAGGTGTCCGGTCTTCTCCGACTTTTGCAATCCGTGAAGACAGTCAAAAAGCTGCTTTGATCTGTGAAGAAAGAGTCAGTCTGCGTCCAATCCAAACAATTCTGTCTCCACATACCGTGCGGCAACATTATCCAACACCTTCTCCTCCTTGAACGCATCCAACACCGCAAGTCCCGCAGCGCAAGCGACCGCGTTTCCAGCATACGTACCACCCATGCTACCCGGTGGCTGCAGATCCATCAACTCCTTTCTCGAGACGATACCACTGATAGGGAATCCATTGGCGATACCCTTAGCCATGACCATGACATCAGGTCTGACGCCGTAGTGCTCAACAGCGAACATCTTCCCCGTGCGCCCGAAGCCGGATTGAACCTGTACTCGCTGTTAGTCTGCAATATGCAACCGGTTGCTGCTGAGCAAGTACCTCATCCAGAATAAGTAAAATACCGTGCTTGTCACAGATCTCCCTGACTCTCTTCAAGAAGTCGGGTGGTGGAGGCACATATCCTCCCTCGCCCAAAACTGTCTCGATAATGATGGCAGCCGTATCCTTGGGAGCAGTCTGGGTCAAGAGCATAATTTCCAACTCCTTAATTGCGTTATCGGAGCAATCCTGGGCATTGCCATTGTGGAATTGGTGGGTGTAAGGGAAGGGAGAAGCGTATACGCCGGGTATAAGGGGATGGAAGCCGGCTGAGTAGACAGTCTTGGAGCGGGTCATGGCCATGGTACCCATTGTTCTGCCGTGATAAGATCCTATGAGACGACATGAGCATATCCTACAGCATGAACCTACGGATCAGTCACGTACCCTGCATAACAATGATGTTCTGCCTTCCCGTAGCTTGGCGTGCGAGCTTTACCGAAGCCTCAACAGCCTCTGATCCAGAGTTCCAGAAGAAGAACGTATCCAAGCTCTTGTCAGGCATGATAGGAAGCAGTTTCTCGATCAACCTCAGCTGTGGCTCCTGGAAAGCAATGTTGACCTGTCCATGGACGAGCTTGCCGACCTGATCCTGAGCGGCCTTGGTAACCTTCGGGTGGCAATGACCTGTACAGTCGTTCAGTTCCAGAAAGATATCGTTTTACCGAAACAATATACCTAAGTTGGTCACACCGATCCCCATGGTGAAGTCCAGCAACTTCTTGCCTTCGGTCGTATACACATAACTCCCCGATCCCCGCTCAAGGACATGGGTCGTCAACCTCCCAATGCCCTTTGCGATATGGTTTGTACCAAACTGAGCCAGACTCGACATTTTCACTTCTTCTGGTCCCTTTGAATTGGTACAAGTGGTATCGGATTGATGGTGAGTCGTTTGAGCGGCGATGTTTGTTCCCCGGGGGCAGTTGGCCGGGACAGCGTACCCGAGCATGAATGTGGGGAATCTCGCGCGGAACGTCATGGCCCCAGATTGAAACAGCATACATCCGCACGAGAAGAACAGAACCAAACAAAACAACATGCCCGACTACAAGTTCAATGTTGTCATGACCTGCTCAGGTTGCTCCAACGCAATCGACAGAGTCTTGACTCGCTTGGATGGTTACACCCATGGATGCGTTCTTGCCTTAGCAAAACTGACCAGTATAACAGGTGTCCAGTCACAAGAAATCAGCCTTCAGACTCAGGAAGTCCTCGTTCACGCCGACGGCGCATCCTACGAAAAAGTTCTCGAAACTATCAAGAAGACCGGCAAGGAAGTCAAGTCTGGTGAAGTCGTTTCTCAGTAAGACGGACACGTCAGCAGCGGGAACGAAGCGAAAGGACGAGCACGCCATCGAAATGAAACAACAACGTGGGACAGACACTTGATACAAAGCTGCCGGCAGCGTAAAGTATCTAATGCAAGCAATGGAGGAGGACAAAATCCATGATATCAGATCAATTTTTGCGCTATAGACACGGAATACAGGATATCGGTCCCAACCCAAATTTCTCACCAGGAGCAATCGTAATCATACAAAGACAAAACCACACTACAAAAAGGCATACTAATCGTCCCTTTCACACTCCACAATCATGCATACACTCACTTCACTTCACTTCGCTCTCCCTATTTTGTGCAACGACCCATTTATGGGTACTCCTCGTTCTGCCTGTCATCACCTCCACCCCTAACCTGCTTTCCACCCTTGGGCTCCTGGTTGTCGAGACCCTCGGGTCCGGAAGACCTAGAGTACAAAGCGTAATCCTTCTTCGAGTCAAACTTGCTAGCCTCGCCAGACTCAACTTGAGCACGGGTCATCTTGCCCTTAGCAGCAGGCAAGCCCATAGACAAGAGGTACTTGACAGAGTCGTGCCACTCGTTGTCCTTGCGCTTCTGATCCCAGTTCTTCTCCGCGGCCATGATGTCAATGACCTTGGGCAAAGCCTCGAGCGAAGCCTGAGCGTTCAAGAAAGCGAGACGAGTACGGCGGGCGAGGACGTCGACAGCGGTCTCGGCGTACTCGCTCTTGCAAGCGTACGTGACTTCACCCTCGAGGAAGGGGTAGAGAGGGGACAAGCGAGTACCACGGACGGGCCATCTCTTACCAGTCTCCTCACAACACTGAGCAACAGCCCAAGCACGGTCACCGTAAGACTCGACAAGGTGCTGAGCGACCTCAGTCTCGAAACCGAACTGCTGAATAAGCTGAATGAAAAGCGTGGGTCCGTAGCCCTCGGCACCGATCAACTTCAACCTCCTGGTGTTAGACTCCTTAGAGACAGTCGGACGAAGGTTGTACTCCTGGATGGCACGGTCGACGGTGTCCTCAGCCATCTGGCGGTAAGTGGTCCACTTTCCACCAGCGATGGTCAACAAACCGGAAGGAGCGACGTTGATCATGTGGTTGCGGACCAAAGACTCGGTGTTCTTGGCAGCGGGGTCCTTGACAAGGGGACGGATTCCAGTCCACGCAGCCAAGACATCACCACGGCGGACGTTGACGTCGGGAGAGAGGTAGTTCTTGATCTCGTTCAAGATCCAGTCAATCTCCTCCTCCTTAGGGAGAGGGTGAGCCGTGACCTCACAAGGAGCGTCAGTGGTACCGGCGATGGTATTACCCAACCAAGGCAGGAAGAAGACGACACGGCCATCAGATGTGTTTGGATCGATCAAACCCATGTTGCGGGGAGAGTAGTATCCGGGAAGAATGATGTGAGTACCGGAGGAGGGAGCGACGATCTCCATGGTCTCCTGGTCATCCATCTTCCTCAAGGTGTCGGAAAAGGGACCAGTGGCGTTGATGATACCCTTAGCCTTGACCTGGAACTCTTCACCGGTCAACATGTCCTTTACAGTGGCACCGGTGATCTTGCCATTAGCAGCCTGACCATCCTTCTGCAGGCCAGTAACCTCGACGTGGTTAGCGACGACAGCACCCTTGAGAACAGCAGAAAGCGCAAGAGTAACGTTCATACGCGCATCGTTGTGCTGACCATCGTAGTAGACTAAAGCACCAACCAAGTCCTTGTCCTTCAACATGGGGAAAGCCTCCATAGCACGCTTCTTGGTCAAGAAGTAAGAAGAGGGCATGCTTTCACCGGAAGCAGCGGCGAGCAAGTCATAAGCCTTAGTACCAGCCCAGAAGTAAGGTGCCTGCCACCACTTGTAGAGGGGGATCATGATAGGCAAAGCATCTGAAAGATGGGGCGCAATGTGCAAGAAAGTACCACGCTCAGCAAGGGCTTCCTTGACGAGACAGTACTGTCCGTAATCAAGAGACCAGACGGCCTTCTCGAGGTATCTCACACCACCGTGAACCAACTTGGTCGATCTACTCGATGTTCCCGAGGCAAAATCATCACGCTCAACCACGGCAACACGGAGACCTCGTGCGGCCGCATCAACTGCAACACCAGTTCCTGTCGCACCAGCACCGACAATCAAGAGATCAAACTCCTGACCCTTCAATTGTTGCAGGTTCTGTGCGCGGGTAGGAATATTGGGGAAAGACTTGACGTCTACTGTTGGGACGTCGTGCGTTGGGACACCTGTGGGTGTTTCGGCGTGCAAGGGCTGTGAGAAGGCATTGAGAGCGAGACCACCGGCCGTTAAACCACCAAGAGCAAGAAGGGTACGTCTGCTCTGGAAGCGGGCAGCGCCGCGAGCGCTCTGAAGTAGTCTTTGGCGGAACATTGTTGATTATGTGTAGGTTGTGTAATGATCGATTGAACAGTCGTTGCAATTGATCCGTGGTAAGCAGGATCCCTTTTCGTGCAAGGCAGCAGTCCGGGAAGCGTATCGGGGGTATATATGGGGGAGGGTCGGTTGTGGGGGCAAAGCCGGAGCGGAGGCCAGAGTGGTTTTGTCAGGGAAGGCAGGTGCAGATGGTGCTACGTCAACGATCGCGCTTGAGAAATCATCCCGAAAACCCACTGCAGGGAACGAGCAGCATTCATCCCATCCATCAATCCTATCCATATGGACAATCCCTGTTCATCAATCCTGAATGTCCGTCTCCTCAGAACCGTCCCACCCAACAACTGCTCACCCACTCTGCCAGCACATGTCCACACCGCGGAGCCCGTTTCTCCGGCCGGAGCGGGGGTGGCTTGCCATTCCGGGGCTCCACACCGCTGATTGGTCAACGACCTCCTGATAGTCAACACTCGGATAAACGTAAATGCGTGGATAGGCTATACGTTGTTCCAAGACGGCCTAGATGTATCCTAGATTGCCTCCTCCGAACCCCCGACTTTGCTGCCATAGGGGCCCACGATCAACCCCTGGAATCCTCACCTTCATCTCCGGCATCACTTTCTCCCTTTTCGCTTCCCTCATCACTCACTTCCTCAACATCCCCTTCCCTTCCCCCAAAGTTCACCAAGCTCCCACCCCGGCTTCTCGGTGCCAGAGCGCGCACACTCGCATCCTCGTCCACACTCACCACACTGACTCCATCGCCTCCTCCTCCACCCCGTTGTGAAGCGTACCTTTTCCACATAGCTAGACTCCCCACACTGCCCCTCGCACTCCTGTCATCAGGCGTGTCAGTCGTTTTTTTCAGAGATGCATCGTCATTGAGAAGGATAGAGCCAGGAGCGATAGCGCGGACAGAAGATGAGATAGAAGCACGGTCAGATTCCGCATTGAATGGGTTGTAGGAGATATTGACGTTGATGATACTTCTGGGCGGCAGAGCGCGCATGCTCGCATCGTCCCTGAAACTCACTGCATGCACTGACTCACTATCCGTTGCGACCGGCGACAACGGCGGGATACTCTGCGTGCTCCCTCGACGGTCGTAGTTCGTATCAACCGTGAGCCGGGAGGTAGTCTGTACGCTCTCCCTCCTCGCTGGTCCCGCATAACTCGTTCCAAGACTTCCTCGTCTGTCTGTGTCGTATTCTGAATCATCTCCATGACGTGGGTAGATTGAGCTGGGAGCAATTGCGCGAACACTTGCATCCTCCATTCCAGTTGCTCGTGAAAGTCGACGAGACGACGACGCCAGCGTCATGATGCTCAATCCATCCGTAGGTGCCGTAGTATTCGTCGTCGCCAGCGACAATGGTGGTGAGATGTACGACGACAAGTACGTTTCCGCATCACCAATCTCCTCAGTCGGCAACAGCGAAGACACGGATGAATTTTGGTACGGGTCCAACTCGTAAGCACTCTGGCCTGCACTTTCGCTTTCAGGGTGTGGCGAGGTCGATGTCGCGGGTGTATGCGCATCTTCTACGGTTGTCTTGGCGCTGGGTGGAGCGGTGTTTGGTTGGACGGTGGGAAGCCTTGACCGTGATGCTGAGGAACGGAGACGCTTGGAGAGCCATGAGAAGGGAGTACGGCGGCGATGAGGAGATGCACTTGTTTGTTCAGACGACATTTGAGACGAGGCCTTAGTTGACATGTTTACTTGGAGTGGACTTTGGTGGAGCATTCAACCCCACACAAATGTAGGCAGGCAGCGGCAGGCGTACAGTGCACGTTGCGGCGCGCGCCTTCTTCCGAAATGAGTGAGCTGTTTTCTGCGGGAAGCATGAACGGAGGACCTTAGGTAAGATACAGTACATCTACAGCTGTCGTTTTGAACGAGAGAACGACAACAACAACGTATCATCCCATGTGCCATTCTTAATTCCCCACGCCGGCCTCCTCCGCTGTCTTGGCAGCTGCGATCGATATCCGTGGTGGCTGAGTCGCAATCGCGTAAGGCATATCGCGACTTGAAATTGCTTCCTCGAGAGCTAGGGAGGTCGGTGCATTCCGGTGCCGAAGCTCGAGGACCACCCTGCGAGCCCTGAAGATGTCTCGGGCGGGTTATGGAGCTCGGGAGTTGCCTCTGTAGACCTGGCACAAGACATGAATGTTGCTTCCCCAGATCATCGATATATACCTCCCTCCTCGGCGTTTGATGCTCGGAGTTCAACTCACCGATCCTCAGTACTTGCACGTTAAGCCCCTTTCAGTTTAGCATGTTGGTAAAAATTGTCGAAGACTTAGAAAAAGGTTGCGTGCGCAGGCGAGGGCCGCGGAAGCACTTGAGGGCGCCATAACCGATAGAGCAGCTCTGCAGCGCGAGACCGTTACTGTACACTCCCCCACCATCGACACATCACCACATCATCGACCAGCGACGACAACTTGTCAACAGGGTCCGTCTTCGATAAACGACCGTCAGCTATTCGAAACCTTATTTCTGCGGCGCCCGCTTTCGCCTCCAAGTTTTCGTGCGCCGTTGCAGGGGTTTATCCATCTGATATAACCTTCTGAACCTCCCAACCCCACACTCCGCCGGAAGAACCGACACGCCGAGTCACCCCGATCTTCTACCAGTTTTTGATCGCCCGAGCTGGAGAATTATCACGATTATACGTCGTATGCGGATCCGCGCGACCTCGTCGCCGCCGCTGCGACAGCTGCGACAGCTGCCGCAAATGCTCGGCAGCAACAACAGGTCCAACAACAACCACAGCTTCGTCAGCCTCTGCTTCAGCGACAGCTACACCATTTAAGCCCGTACGCGTCGCTCGAGGAGCCATGGATAAAGAGTCATCCGCATCATGATGACGATCTCATTCAGAGTCAACTGCAGGCTGCAAGTTTGGGTATTCTCACTCCTCACCATGCTGACCTTTACCCGCCGGTACATGCTACGCCGATGCATACATCCATGGGCCATGCGCAGACGCTGGACCAGATGGCCAAGATGCTGGGTGTACCCGTCCCGGCCAAAGCGTCGGCGATGCGTGTACCGAGGGCACCGAATGCGCCGGTACAGCCGAACCTGAATGCATTCATGCCAACGCCGCATTTGCGGGTTCAGCAGTCTCAGGGTGGTGCAGCGCAAGTCAGCCGACCATCGACAGCTACTCCGTCTTTTGCACCATCATCCGCGGCTCCTTCATATTCTACGGCACCGACTCCTGCCTCATATGGCAGCGCATTCAGCCCTATTAATGCTGCTGTTCCGCAACCTACTATCAGCTCTCCCCTTAACCTCCAATCTCCTCCTTCTGCTATTCCACCTGCTTACCATCAACAGTTGACTGCGCAATCTGCCTTGGACTGGCAAGACCAATCCATGTCGCCTCAAGTTGCTCGTCGGGGGAGCGAGGGCAGCATGACCGGGGATTACTCTGGTGCTACAAGCCCATACTTGACGGCATCTGCCGGTAACTCGCCATATATCTGGCCGCAAGGGAATGGAGTGCCGGGATATGAACCCAGCCCCTTGGGGCACTCACAGCAAAACGGCGTGCAACCGTCTCACCAAAGTTCTCAGTTGTTTGTCGGCTCTCCTCCCCAAACCCAGCATCAAATGGACTTTACCAACCTTACTGCTCTGGATCTAACCCTCAACAATCTAAACGCAGACCATTCTTCCCTCCACGAAAGCATAATGGGTGACCACGCCTCCATCCACGAATCTCTCATGGGCGACCGTGCCTCCATCCACGGCAGTATCCACGAATCCATTCACGACCAACAAAAGATGATGGATATGGACGTGATCATGTCACAGTCTATGCCGACAAATCGGGCTGGGAGTGTGCATGAGAGTATTCATGAGCAGTTTACGCAGATGCAGCAGCAACAACAGGTGCAGCAGGCGATGCAGCAACAGGCTATTCAGCAGCAAGCGTTACAACAGCAAGTGCGTGCTCAAGCACAGGCCCAAGCACAGGCCCAAGCTCAGGCTCACGCCCAGGTGCAAGCTCAGCAGCAGCAGCAACAACAACAACAACAACAGCAGCAGCAGCAGCACCAACAGCATATGTTCCACGCTCCTATTGACTTTACCACGCTCATGGCTGAGTTGAATGCCGGTCCTTCGAACATCAGGTTGAATCCCGCTGTACAGACTGCTGTTGCCCAAATGCAACCAGCAATCAGCATCCTGCCGCCCACCGGAATGAACATACAACAAGGGAATACCTTGAACATGTCTCACCAACCTCAGCAAGTGAACAACATGTTTGGTGCACACGACATGTCTATGAACTTCGCCCAGCAAAATGCTGGCGTACCGACTCTGTCTACTAACATGATCACGCTGAATGCTACGATGCCGCAAGTACCCCAAGTTACGTTGACGCCAGCAACCCACCTCGATCCGCAAGTGCTGCAGAACGTGGGTGCGGCGAACATGAAACCCGGACGCATACGTGCCAACAGCGATACCCTGGTGGTTTCGAGGAGCGGGTCACCATCACCATCCCGGGGCCACTCTCGGCATATGTCCGTTTCGTCTGGCACTTCGGATGATGGCAGCGCAATCGAGGACGAGGAAGAATCGCCCACTGAAGGCGGTCTCCGACCTCCACGACGAAGAACGTCTCGTGCTCGACGACGGAGTTTCTCGACCGTCCGGGAGTTGGCCGAGGCGACAGCGCAGTCCCATGCCTTGCTTGCTACCAACGGTAGCTCGGTACCTCCTGGCTCGCAGCCTCAGCCGGTGGCCCAATCTTCAAACGGGCAAACGCCAAAGAACCCTGCGAACTACATCTGCGATTATCCGAACTGCAACAAGCGCTTCACTCGCGCATACAATCTGCGTTCTCATCAGCGTACGCATACCAACGAACGCCCCTTCCTCTGCTCTCATTGCAACAAATCGTTCGCTCGCCAGCATGACAGACGGCGACACGAGCAGTTGCACTCTGGTGTCAAAGCGTACGCCTGCGGGCCCCGGCCTGAGGATTTCGCCGAGAATGGTATCGCTTGGGGTTGTGGAAAGAAGTTTGCTAGGATGGATGCATTGGCGAGACATTTGAGGAGTGAGACTGGACGGGAGTGTACGGCACCCTTGCAAATGATGGGACAGCCGGTGCCAATGTTGGAGGGTTACGGTGATGAAGGTGTAGCGGGTTTGCACGATCAAATGATGATCATGTAAACCTTGGGGATGGATTTTGATATTTATCATGGATTGGGACCGTTATACGATAAAGGGCTTGCATGTACGTTATCTTGGGCATTTTCTGGGTTATCTCTTCTATCTTTTATATTTGGACTAGTTTGGTTCACCGGGCTTTATGGTTTTCGGTTTTTCAGGCTTCGGTTTTTGGCTTTTGGCTGTATGGTTTGGGATTTTCGGTTCTGATCTACTTTGACCTTGGTATCTCTTGTGATACGGACATATATAAGCTGGATAACATATTGTTCTCATTGCCTTCCCCGCATTTACCAGTAGGACAAACATATCGTTACCCGCGGTCGTCGTACGGCCCTTCCGGAACATCAGGCCTTGCACATGTCGGGTGAGACGTTGCGCATCTCAGGTGGGATATGATCCAAATCCAGGAAATTGAGGATCTCCTCCTCTGTGTACATCACAACACGCTCATCGGTCGGGTTCCCGTCCGCGCCTAGCCGCTTCATTGCGTATTCTGACAACCTATACCCACGCTGAATCGCTCGCCATCGACAATGTTTATTGAAAACATCATTGCCCGTGAAATGAAGTTGACCAAACGCAAAGCAATCCTTTGGAAAGAGCCTGAATAACCCGTGTCAGCTTCTTCGCATCGCAGCGGTTGATTGTGCGGAACCACGAACCGGATATCGATTCGTCTGTGTAATCTCGGCCAGTTCGCGTCTCCTTTCCCTTCGGGTAAGCGGCAAACACCCATATATTTCGTGTCTCCAACGCCAAGATCATCCGTGAGGATGCCAGCTTCTCTCAGTGCGTCCAATGCTCTCGTCATCAGTATGTGTTCCATCGTAGGGGTTTTTTTCGGTTTGCGCCGCCTGCCTTTAGGTTTTTCAGTCTCGGGATCTGGTACTGGTTCGGGTTCGGGTTCTGGGGGTTGGATGGGGTTCCCCAGGTTGAAGTCTGGGTGGGTCAACATGATGTCGACATCTCCCGAGTCCTTTAATCCACGGCGACCGTATGGTGCGTCAGTATAAGAGCACGCGGTCACAGCAGGGAAGCACGTACTAACTGCCGACAATGGCTATCTCGAATTTCTCATCTGCTTGCTTTAACACATCGTTATAGATAGCCTGCATGAAGCAGATTAGTTCCGTCCTTCCAAAGACGTACTGTTTCATACCGCCCAAACATCCATCTCGGCACGTGGTATACGCTGTTCGAACTCATCCAAGTGTTTCAATCCAATCTTTTGGTGTTTGGTGAGACCTTCGCGTTCATGCAGTTGTTCCAGCGTCATAATGCCTTCGTCGATCAATTTTTTCGCCGCAACCGGTCTGTACGCTGTCAATATACTGGAATCAAATCGTTTGAACGATGGCAACTCACCCAAATCCACTGATGCGAGAAAAGAGCCTCAATGCCTTGAACAGGGGATCAGTCGCATCATAATTCGATCTCGCGAGTGTTCCCTAGAACGTACATCAATCCATGCACAGCGCACGGGGACGAAGGCTCAGCTTACCGTTTGAATGATCTCCTCGATCTTGTCAGCGATGCTCGTGCCCACACCAGGTATCTTGAGAGCTTCTTCTCTGCTGAACAATGGGGTGGGATATCGGGCGATGGTTTGTGCTGCTTTGGTATAGGCAGTCGCCTTGAAAGCGTGTCCACGGACCTTTTCTGTCACGGCAAGCTCTAGAGGATAGTGTTGAGAAACGCTCTTGCAATCATACCCAGCTGATCATGCTGGCAAAACGTACCTTCAAGAAAATCCGTGATCTTCTTGTTTTGGTTGCGTGAGTCTGGATCCAGTTGATCGAAGGAGTTCATTCCGGCCGCGGGTCGATTACTGGCCCATCGAGCACGATCTCCGCCAACAGACGCAAACCCTATAGCGACATTGCGCCGCTTTCGGGCAACAGCAATCCAAGTCTCTGTGAAGCGTCTCATTAAATTACGGTTTTTTTTGTGTGTTCTGTGTGTGAATGTCGAGTGACGTCGATTGCATGCAGAGCCGTTCGAGGATCGTCGAAAGATTTGCTGGCAACAACGACCGAAGCATCTGCGCCAACTGTCGAAGTGCTCCCCTCTCGCCCGAGGAGTCCCTCCCGCCCCACAGATCACTGCTGGACCGTCCTCCGTCGATCATTGAGTTCCCCGCTGTTACGCACGCCGCGTATCTCATCGCGCAGCCGAACCCCGATAACCCCATCGATCATCCTGAAATGGACTCATCTTCCTCGGAGAATGACCGTCCGCAACTCTTAAAGTACCCATACCTGCAGTACCCTACACTGATCCGCGGATCATATTGCTTGATGGGGTACGGCAGATGCATGACCGCATAACCGTTCGCCAGCCATGTGTTCTGTTGTCTGCTACCGTTGGACGCGTCGCGGATCCATTCGGTAAACCAGTGCGGGGGGACGCGTCTCTGAGTCTCCAACAGTCTGGACCATGAGGTGGGGTATCCGTACTGTTCCGTGGTTGGCCATGACGGAGGTGCCGCGGGGCTCAGCGAAGCGGTGCTATAAAGCTGGAGTCGCGTCCGACATGGGACGGTATCAACTCCTTTCCAGAAGGCCGCTATGAAGTTCTCTACCTTCCTCGGATCAGCAGCAGCCTTGGCCGGTGCCCTCACGGCTGCCAGTGCCGCACCTACTCTTCTTGCTCGCGACGCGACTTCGAACTCCACGGCTACCAATGCCACCTCCTCTCAGCAGGTCCCGGTTGTCGACCTGGTTTACGCGCAGTACCAGGGTTTCTACAACGAGACCTTGAACTACAACACCTACCTCGGTATCCGCTTTGCCGCACCACCCGTTGGATCATTGCGCTTCCAACTCCCTCAAGAGCCAGAGAAGAACTCTTCCGTCGGTGTGGTCAACGCGACCCAGTTCCCTCCCATGTGCGCCCAGACCATCAACCACAACCCTAACCAGACTTACGCTCAGCAGTCGTCCTCGATCATGGGGGTTGAGGATTGTCTCTTCCTCAACGTTTACACCCCTGCGAACGCTACCTCCTCCGACGAGCTTCCCGTCCTTGTCTGGATCCACGGTGGAGGGTATGGTCAGGGTAGCGCACCCCACGACCTCTCCGTCTTGACTCGTCAGTTCGGCGGGAACGCTATCATCGTTACCATCCAGTACCGTCTCGGTGTCTTTGGTTTCGTCTCGAGTGCTGAGATCATGAAGAAGGGTACCCCCAACGCTGGTATCTACGACCAGACTGCTGCTTTGAAATGGGTTCAAGAGCACATCGGTGATTTTGGAGGTGACCGTGATGCCGTTTCTATCTGGGGAGAGTCTGCTGGAGGAGGTTCGGTTATGCTTCAGGTCATGGCTTACGACGGTACACTCGGCAATTCCCTCTTCAGGGGTGCTATCTCAGATTCTCCTTACCTCCCTCAGCAGTTCGACTACGATGACTACGTGCCCTCTGTGAACTACTACAAGATCGCGGAGCAGGTTGACTGTCTGTATTCCTCTGACATCTTCGACTGTCTCGTCAACGCCGACTTTGATGCTCTACTCAACGCTTCCAACGTCGTCAGCTACCAATCCGCTCCCGGACAGTGGGGATGGCTCCCAGTAACCGACGGTAACCTCGTCGCCAAGCGCCCCACTCAGCAACTTCTCGAAGGTCGCGTCAACGGCGAATACCTCTTCGTCGGTAACAACGCTCATGAAGGAAATCTCTTCGTTCCCCAGAACCTCTCCTCCACCCAGGAAGTCTTCGACTTCGTTCACACTGCCTTCCCCAACCTCGACAACGCCACCATTACGCGTCTCTTGGAGTACTACCCCGAGCCAGAGGATAGCGACGAGCTCTACATCAGCCAGGCTGACCGTGCGAACACGATCTACGCCGACTCCACCTTTGTCTGTCCCGCATACTGGATGGCTCAGGCTTACCCCGAGGGTAACGCCTACAAGTACACCTTCAACGTCCTCCCCGGTCTTCACTCCACCGAACTCGCATACGTTCTTCCCGGCCAGGGTGTCAGCCAGCCTATCGGGCCCTTGAACTCTGCCAATGTCACCGTCGACGAGGCATTCGGCGGATCCGTCACTAGCTTCGTCAGGAGCTTCGATCCTAACACTCACTCCCTCATCCGGGATGCGCCGACCTGGGAGCCTTACACCGCCGAGAACGACTGGAGTGAGCGTGTCTTTAACTCTACTGCGTCTGGTACCTCGATCATTTTAAATAACCAGACTCCTAGGAGTCTTGATGTTAGGTGCACTTTCTGGAGGAGCATTGCTACGATTGTTCCTGAGTAAAGGATGTGTTGGACATTGCAAAGATCAACGGGACGATGGATATGATACCCCGTGTGTACGATATGCTATCAGGTGCACATGTGGGATAAGTTTGTGGGATGTGTTCGATAATTTGGTACGGCTTCGTGTAGGATATTTAAATATGTTTTAAAGGATTAGCACACGGAAAATTGATCTTTCTACCCTTCATTTCGTCTTCGTGGTAACATCATTCCTTGGTCGTACGTTCCCTTCACACGGGGTCAGGCCGATCCTGAATCTGGTCAAACGGGTCCTAACTGTATCACGCAGACTTTAAACCGGCCCGAAAGTGCTAAGGGATTGAAGATAAGGTCGATTTTGTACCCGATACCTGTTATAAGTACGCGACCACTTGCAAACCTATCGTTTGGTGCTGTAGGTTGTGCTACGCTCCTTACCGATGTCTGCAGTACCAGTCAGGTCTGCCATATTGGGCGCACCGGCTCAGCGCAGTTTCTATTGCGCCGATTGCCAGTTAACTCACCTGAGGGCGATGAAGAAAGTTTGTGAGGCAATTGCGACCCGCGATACACTCGTTGTCTTCGTCGACGGATCCTGCAAGAACAACCGTCACCCCCGCCTTCCCCCTCAAGCTGGCGTTGGAGTCTACTTTGGTCCGTGCTCGCAGTATAACTTCTCAAGAAGAGTGCCTGTCAGTGAACCACAGAGCAGTACCTGTGCTGAGGTATACGCGGCATTCGCAGCCACTGTGTTCATTCGCGGTAAGTATCAATTAGGCAACCAATCTTCGATCAAGAAGGTTCTACTGGTTACAGCCTCGGATCACCTGGTCCAGGTCATGAGTAACCGAAGCTTTGGTGAGAGGCCAGAGAGTGGTTTGTTGCGAGGGCTGGAGGCACGAATTACTGCGATGGCAAAGGACGGATTGGAGGTCGAATTTTGTCTCATCTCGAGAAATGAGAACAAAGAGGCTGATAAGCTCGCTAGGGCTTCTGTTAAGGATGCATAAGGTCGTCCTCGAGAATTAACAGAAGCCGAAGCCAGCCTGTCAGCCTCCGAGTTGCGGCCATTGTGTTTGTCAATGCATTAATGACTACCGTATCGATCTCATATCATTCTATGGTCTGAATCAAGATTAACAACTTTTCCTTTTTGATGGCAGTTCTTCGTATTCCTCTGCGTGAGTTTCGCACCGCTAGACCTTAAGCTAGTACTGTAAGTGACAGAACAAAAAAGCAGACAGGCTCGCTTCGGCGTGTGCCTCCAGGTAGTTTGCAGATACGAATCCATCGTAGAGAAGGTCCAGTAGGCAATTATCGGCGAATACAATTTGGAATCGCCTTCCTACGGTCGTTGTATCGATTAGGCATTCGTATGCGGCTGTATGCACCCTTGGAGCGTACACCCATTCCAAAGGATCCTTCGAACAACAGCAGCTCGAAGAGCTCCAACCATCCCATTGAACCCGTTCATATCGTCCAATGGCTATGAACCGTCTCATGAGCCGTCAAACAGCTCAATCTCTATCTTCAACCACTAAGCGAGCGCTTACGAACAAGACTGTACACCCTCCGGAGCGTCGCATCTTCTCCAAAACTCGCATTTTCACTACAGCAGCCGTCATTGCTAGCTGTGCGGCCGCATATACGACCTACAGTCGTCCAGAAGCTACCGTGCCCAGCTTCCCAAGCCCTGGCACTCCCTCCTCGGCAACACAACACTTTCCTTTTACCACTTCTGCACCGCAGTTACGGGACAAGGAGCATCACATGCTGGAGGTAGACGAAGTCAAGGAAAAACTTAACGCGAACGCCAATGTTTACAAAGTAGGGCGTGGAAAGGGTGTATGGAGGTATGATGTGGCCCAGATTGGTGCCAATGACCCTATTGAGGATGATCTCGCGTTGGTGGTCGTGGATGCTCCGGTCGGAAATGGTGACTGGATGTTCTTCGGTACATTTGATGGACACAGCGGGTGGTACACGAGTGACCTGTTGAGGAAGGCGTTGGTGCCCTATGTCAGCAAGGAGTTGGGTGACCTTTACAAGAAGACCCCTCAGCCTGTCTCCTCTGCAATCGACCGAGCTATCAGCAGAGGTTTCACGAAGCTAGACGACGACATCGTCATGAATTCCGTCGCCAGAGTCTTCAAGAACCCGAAATGGGATGCTCGCGACGCTCAGGCCATGCTCCTCCCAGCTTTGTCGGGCGCATGCGGTATGCTCTCATTCTACAACACAGAAACACGTACGCTGAAGGTTGCTTTGGCTGGTGACTGCCGTGCAGTACTCGGTTATCGTGACGCGACTACAGGACAATGGAAGACTCGCGCATTGACGGTTGATCAACAAGGATCGAATCCCGACGAAGAGAAGCGCGTCCGTGCCGAACACCCTGGAGAACCCGACGTCATCCGCCGCGGCCGTATGCTCGGTAACCTCGAGCCTTCCCGTGCTTTTGGTGATGCCAAGTACAAGTGGTCTTTAGAGACCCAGGTTAAGCTGTACAGGGGTGGCTTGGGAAAACCACCTCACCCTCTACTGAAGACCCCGCCATACGTTACTGCACGGCCGGAGATCACCACCGTTGAGCTTTCCGAAAACGAGAAGGATGCCTTCTTGATCATGGTTACCGATGGCCTGACTTGGACACTCAGCAACAACGACATGGTGGAGTTGGTTGGTACGTGGCTAGACAAACAGAAGCCCAAGTCATCTCCCGCAACTGAATCATCATGGGTTGCATCCTTCAGAAATCCCTTCAGTCGCGCCAAACCAGTCGAGGCTCCCAAGATTCTCAATGACCCCAATGACGAGCGCGGCCGACCTGGGATCGAGAAGTTGCCTTTCACTTATGTTGATGACAATGCTGCTGTGCACCTCTGCAGAAATGCGCTCGGAGGCGCCAAAGCGGAAGGACGTTGGGTAGAACAGCTGCTGAGCATGCCGGCGCCTTTAGCCCGACAATGGCGTGATGATATGACTGCTACAGTTGTGTTTTTCGGCGAGGGCGATGGCAAGGTCACGGGAGGGACAGAAAGGGAAGGAGCTGGAAGGGGACACGGCGAGGTTATTCCGAAAGCCAAATTGTAAGATACGAAGATGACAGGACGAACAGCACCAAGCAAACTTAATATACCTTCGATAGCAGAGTTGACAGCGTTCAGGTCTTTGCAAAGCTTATGATAGTGCAGAAAGGAAGAGATTGACAAGATCAACTTATTAAATTCGCATTTATCAGAAATAGTGGTAGCACATACGACCCAAACCCGGCCGTCCGTTCCCCGACAAACCCATTTACGCCAGGCCCAGAAACATAAAAAGCAAAAAGATATACCAGATTCAGCAGCGCATCTAACGGCGCATGCTCGCAAGAATCTCATCAACCCATGACCTATCTTCCTCCTCGTTCGCACCAGTGTGGGCACCAGAACTGTTTAGCACGGCCAACTCGACCGGGGTATGTCCCTTCTCCTCGACAGACACAGAGACGGATTGCGAGACCATGATACCACTGAATGGATTAGCGGCAGCGGCCTTGATCGTTTCACTGTCAGAAGAGGCATCACTCTCATCATCAACCCTCTTCGCATACGGATCCTTCTCGTCCTTGGGCATTGGCATGGACTGGACAAGGTCGATAATGGTAGAGAATTCTCTGTGGGCCTCACGGGCGAAAGCACTGGCAGCAGCATCACCCATGAACACGCGCTGCTGAGTTGCGAACAAACCCAACGGGTTGAGCGTAAGCCCAGCGTGGACGAATCCAGCCGTACGAGTGTGCACGGGGATGATAACCTTAAAGACAATCAAAGACGCCGTACGACCAGGATGAATAAAGTGGCAAGGCACGTGAAGGACCTCGGAGATGAGAGTGGCTTCCTGGATCGACGCATCGTTGATTTCTTGACACAAAGCAGCGAGTGCTCCATGGAACTGAGAACGAAGTTGCTGAGTAACCATATCCAACTTGATCTTGCTCGGCTGACGGAGCTGTTTCAGTACACTGCTCACAGTTTCACCACCGTAGCTCTGCAGAATCTGCTTGAACTCCGGCGTGATGCTCATTACACCAAGCTGGAACGAGGGGATCATGTGACGAGCGTCCTCCTTGACCAAAACCTTGAAACCACGGTGCAAGTTGGCACGGACAGCAAAGATACCAACATGAACACCCGGAGCGAAAGACTTGTCGGCACTCAAGTAGTCACGCATACTCTCAATCTGCCTGATGACCTCTTGCTGGTCAATCTGCATGGCACGAGACAAGAGATCGGCGACGTTATGCACTTCAGCAAAACGGTAACCGCTGGCCTGCAACTTGGTAACCTGGGCACGAGACGCATGCTTCACGACGAACAAGAATTGCCCCTTTCCATACACAGGGGCAGCAAGTCCAGACTCCAAATCAGCATTTTTGTCCGATTTTCCGGAACGCTTGACACCAGTCTGAACAATGCAATCGTACAAAGCACCCAGCTCCTCAAGCGGTTCGTGCAAACTGTCTGCGAGACTCTGAGCAGCGGAACAGAACATCTCACGGAACAGAATCGAGTAATCCAAAGTGTCATCCTTCTGAACAAGGCGAATGTGCTTCTTCATGCCGGGAAGAAGATCACGGATACTCTTCCAGTTGAACGATGTACGGTAGATCCAGTGGAACACGGGGTGAGAAGTATCGAAGTTGTCATCCAAAGACTTCTCGTGGAACTGATCCGTAATTTCACGGTTAGGGAACATACCATCGGTAGTAACCATGACACGACCTTCGTGATCAAAGATAGCGGAAGCCAACACCACCTGCTGAGCACGATCCTTACGGGCCTGAGCACGACGGTTCGCTTCCCAAGCAAGACCGAGCAAAACAACACAAGAGACACAGGAGATGACTCCGACGAAAATGACAGTAGCCGAGCGAGAAAGCTGGTCAGGCTTCTGTCCTTCAATCAAGCGATAGTGAGTACCTACGGTAGCAGTCCAGTGCATACCAGAAACGGCACCAGCCAAAACAAAAGCAACACCCAACAACTTCCACCAAGAATCGGTCCACTTGCTCCTCAAGACGAAGAAAGTGAACAAGGCGACATTAGTAGCGGCGACGGCGATAATAACCGAACCGATGATGTTGCCGATGTCGTACGAGATGTGATAGTTGGAGATACCAGCTTGACCCATGTAGTGCATACCACAAATAGCCGAACCAGCAAAAGTACCACCAACCACCAATCGGATCTTACTTACGTACTCTCCCGTACCCGTAATGATGTATGCTAGCAACAACACCAACACCGGCAAGAAGAAAGAGAAGACGGTGTACCCGACGGAGTAGGCAATCTGGTAGCTCGTAGAACCATCATAAAGCTTAATCGCACGGTTACCGACGAAGTGCATGGACCAGATGGCGATTCCACCCATGGAAATAGCGGATCCGACCAGCAGATACCAGTTGAACAGTCCACGGCCCGAAGTACGACGGCGAAGAAGTTCTAGTGTCGTATATGCGCCGAGAACAGAGATGACATAGGAAAGGGCAATGAAACCACCGATGTAGTGCTGTTGAATGCATAGTTAGCATACACTCCCAGCAAATCACCGCAATGAATGCACAACAACGTACCACCGGGGCGTTATCATCGTAAACGGACATCGTTCAGTTATCGAGTTTGTCGAAGGCGATGGAGCAGTCGAAAGCGAGGAAACAGTAAGACAAAGGCGACGAGCAGCAGCGAACGTTTGTCGATCGGTTGAACAACAGAACAGCTGCGCTCGGATGAAAGTCGAAGTCGGGTCTTATAGATGGTGGATTGCTGAGAGACGACTACCACGGGGAATCACTGTCCAGGGTCACACGTGGAATACTCCTGATGGTGATTTGACAGCAGGGACGTCGACTTTGAAATTGCGGTCGTTTGAATAGAAAGGAGACATTCAGAGCGGACAAGGGTCTATCTACCGGCCGACTTCATCATTAAAGCTGGGACCATTTGGCTTTTGCGCGCGCGACGGCTTGCTGGGGTGCGAGACCGTCTCTGCCTGCAGTTCCCGCCACCTTAACCCCCGGGTGCTTCCCTACCACGTAGAATACCATCGTACAGTCCTCCATAACAGTCACGGTTCACCTCGCCCAGCTTCCTCACCTTCTCGCCCAGACGCTTCAGCTCGCCTGCCAATTCTTCCATGCCCGATGCCGCCGCGGCCAGCTGCTGACTCGGTCTCGATCTCGAACCAGGCTCGTCGCCACGCGCGAGACCAGCTGTCAGCCACGCCTCCATATATGCCCGAAGGCGCCGGCGCAAAAGCTTGAACACTGTATCGCTGCCATCAAGCACTCTCGAGACCAGATTGTCTGCCGCACTCGAGCTCGTGGATGCAGATCCAATATAATGTTGCACCTCAGAGGTTAAATGCTCGGCCGTCGTTTGGCCATCCTTCAATATAACCCACAATCTCTCTTTCAATTGCGACCAATCCTGTTGGGGTGAACCAGCCCGTGCCAGGTTCTTGCTGTGCAGGATCAGTGTCGCAACTACCGTGATTTTGTGCGCCGTCTGCCTGTACTCCACGATCCGGTCCACATCTAGGTGGAACGTCTCAGGTAAATCCGGGAGAGTACCGGTAGAATCAGGCACCACAACGTCGACCATAGCAGCTGCAAATACTGGGGATAGAGTTGGTTTAGACTTGGGATGCTGTACTCCCTCTGGATCACGGCTTTCGGCCGTTTGCGTCGCTTCCTGAGCATGCGCCTGTAGCCACTTCTTCGTGCTTTCCAATGACGCCCGTCCAGCCTTGACATCCTCGTCGAACCTCTTCCGTTCATAAGCCACAGCCTCGGGAAGCAACATCGGTGCCGCAATCGTCAAATGAAAATTCGCATGATCCAACAACAGCACATCCAACACCTCCAAAATTGCCTTCGCACACTCCACAAAGCCCTCCACACGATCCTCGGCCGCCGCAGGAACTAAACATCCCTGTACCATCTCATCGCGGAAGGGCGCACAGAGCCTCCTCATCATGTGCACGACCTGCTCGCAGAACCGCTGATAATCAAACGTCCGAGTCCGGCATTGCTGCTCGATAACCGTAAGGTCCAAAGCCCCGCTAATCATTTGCGCCGTTGGCGAATCTGGAACAACAAGCCGAAGCAAACGGCTGCGGACATCCTTAGCGAGGCCCGGAATCCAGTCCTCTTCCTCCCCGTTCCGTAAGCCCTCTCTGACACTATCAAAGAACGCGCGCTTGACCTGCGTCTCCACGGCCTTCTCCAGTGGACTCTTCTCAGGTGGCTCGAGCTTGAAGTTCGGATCGAGCAATAACTCATGCATCAATTGACGATTTGACAAGTTCACCCCATAATTCGCCACAATAGACGTAGCAGGCACCGTAAACTCTTGTCTCGCACTACCTGAGTTCCTAGCCGAACCAGCAGATTCAGGTCTCGTCCGACTCGGACTCGGCTTCGGCAACGCCTCGACAGCTTTCTTGAGCTCCTTCCTCCTCTTCTTCGCTTCCGCGATAGCTTTGCCGACGACCTTTCTCGTGTCTTCGCCCGCCAGCTTGCGAATCTTCTGCAAGAGCATCAACTGGTTGTTCCTAATACTCCTCTTGTATTCGTCGGCGACACTGGCTTCACTATCCTTGACCGTCTCCCAGATCTGGGAAAGCTCGGCATACTGAGCCGCCATACCCTCGACGAGGATAGCACTATCGTGAGCTTTCCAGCTGCGGAATGCGACGAGGTACGACGGCCATGCAGCTAGTAGATCCACCGAAGAAGCAGGAGAGCGGACTGAGTTCTCGAAGGCGCGGAGCAGGATGTTGGTTGTGCGGACAAGCTCTTGCTCCCTTTCGCCTTGGCCAGACAAGATCTCCTCCGGATGTCCCAAGATCATGTATGAACTTAAAAAGATCCTACATGCCTCCATTTGCTTCATGGGCGGCTCTTCGTCGCCGACTAACCCAGTAGCTTTCAGCGCCCTGATCGTAGCCTTCAACACCTTCTGGTCCTGAAAGCGATACACCAATTCCTCAAAAGGCAGCTCATGCACAGCACTGACATCAACCCCAAGCCCAAAAAACGCCTGCGCAGCCCTCCTCTTCTCACTCCTCCTCCACGTCCTCTGAATAACCCTCGCCGCATCCCGCCTCTCAACCTCACTCACCTCCCTCCTCAACACCTTCCTCTCCGGACTCTTCTCCTCCACACTCCCAACACTTGGCCTCGAAGTCCTTTTGGTCTTTCTCATCTCCTCACGTCTTTTGGCCGCATTCGCCAACCGTTCCTCGAGGGCAAGTTTCATCATTCGCACTTCCTCGAGACGCTTCTCGCGCATTTCGGCGGCTTTAGCTTTAGCCTTTGCGACTTGGTCGCCGCAGGCGGAAGTGACTGTTGCTAGCATTTTTTCGCGGGCGACGTTTGCGGCCGCGATAGACTTCTGTAACTCGGCAAGCTTGCTTGAGGCGCCTTCGATGCCGGTGCGGGCTCTGGCCAAGACTTCTTCTCTTTCTACAGCACGAGCAGCTAGGCGGTTCTTCCTGCCTTCGATGAATGCTGCACGGCGGACGGCGGTGATATCCTCATCACAGCTTGACATACGGGTGACGTGCCTCGCACTCCCGCCTGATTTGTGAGAGGTGGCGGAAGAGATGGAGTGCCTCCTGTGACGAGGCTGGAGCCTAGCTGGACGAGGGCTAATCGTCTTAGCCGGAGAGAGGTCAAAAAAGAAGTTGCTGGAGTCAGACATATCGCGGATCGGTGAAGAAGCTGGTTCTTGGATGTTATCCAAATCCATGATGTTATGTCGTAATATATCGCCGACGTAAAGGGCTGCTTATCAAAGCATGCTCATGCGCCTCAACACTCGCCACAACTGCACGTACGCTGAATCTCCGTTTGCGGTGTTCGGCAGCGGCTTCATAGCCGTGTACATTTGACAAGGGCAACACTTGAAGTGGAAGGTTTTCCCAGGCCTCGACGACTTAGCAGACATGCTGAATTGATGCTATGGATGGTATCTCTGGTATCTTGTAATTGTGGTCCTTCCATATCTCCTCGTCATCGCACTCTCACGTCCAGCCAATCCCTTGCAACAACCTCTAGGTCACACACGCCTCGTAAATCCGCTCTCAGCTGCTTCAGCATCTCTGTAGCTTCTCGCATGCCATTTGCACTGTCCTCCACCCGGATCAACGCTGCCATCAGACAATCATTGCTCAATGGCTCCTCCTCGCCGTGCTTATAGAACCGTTGAAGAGATATCTGGATATATCGATAAGTGTACCTCTCGGACTTCATGACATAATCGTAGGAATATGTATAGCCTTGCGCTTCAAGATGCTTTTGTGCTTGTTCTTGATCCATGCCGGGGAGTGGAGTCGTGAATGAGGTGCGCTGCGTTACTTGGCGGTCGTCGCCAGGTTCTGGGGTGTCGATGAGGTATGTGGACCTGGGCAGACGTGAGAAACTGCACGATTGATGTGAAGATATCGTGAACATACCATCTCTGAGCAGCCTTTGCCTCATGTGCCGGCCGACTTGGATCAGGGCCATGGTCAACCTCGGCCACCAGACGCATGAGCACATTTGCCTTCATGACATCTCCTTGTCTCTGCCGCTTCAAGGTCCCAGGAGCCGGTGCTGGCGCCGTAGCTTCACCATCTGATCAGCCATGTTCCAATTCCTTATACTTCAACCCTGGAAAAATCAACGTACGTTTCTGAAACACAAGTACGTGCTCGGCATACTCCACCCCAACCATCCCCGTTATCGCCATAAGCGTCTGCTTGACCCTCCCATACCTCCTCTCCGGCACGCCAGCATGTAACAACAATTCATACATGTTCCCGTCGTTGATCGCAGTTGACAACGTAACGTCGCGTTTACAGTTCAATTTCGTCTACGTTGTGTCGTCGGTTGGGCCGTTGGCGCGCGCATTACTTGCGACTACAGCAGGCTATTGACAGTACGGCCTCTAAGCTTGGAAGTCAGTGCGCAGGGTGGAGCTCGAGAAGGAGAGCGGCCTTCTAGGCGACCGTATTTCATGAAGAACCGTAAGTGACTTTCGTGCACGGACCATCACACAGAGCCTGCGACAGCTGGACTGAAGTCGACACTCGAGTCTTGCGTGCTGTTCTTTTGCGTATAGCAGCACACACGCTCAACGTTAACGCTCAGGCCGCCTCCCCGATTCACCACACACCAGACATACGCGCCGTCCGTAAAATAAAATACCACATCGGGGATACGAGCCTACCAAAGACATCTCGCTTAAGCGGATATAACTTTTCGATTTACCCATTGCATTTCCGCCGAGAAAGCCCTCGATCTAGCCGGCCTTCCGTCAAGTCTATACCTACCTTCACCCACCAGGACCACCATTCTCGCCCTTTGCAAAAATCAACAAACACCTCTCACAACCGATTACTGACGGCGTCAGCTCGTGATGGACAGGCAGCGTCGGCCATCGGCGCTGCAATTGAGTGATAACAACAATGAACCACATCTCGAACACTACCAACGCGCCATGGAGGGCGTATCCGAGGAAACACATATCGTGACAGACGATACCAGACACGCTGAGTCGCGGTCGATGTTGTTTGGGGGTCCGCTTGATCTGAATCCGTTTGGGCCGTTCATGCACCTTCCAGCGCTGGAACCTTCGCGGGATGTAGATGAGTACGAGGACAACGCGATTGGGACGATGCCGGATCATCCACATCTACCGACTTTGACTGAGGTTTTGCGCAATACGGCTGAACCGCCATATACGCTCGCCGCTTTCATGGCTTTCCTCGCCAAGAATCACTGTCTCGAGAACTTGGAGTTCTGTATGGATGCTTCTCGGTATGGACAAGAGTTCTACTCGTGCGCAGCGGCTGTGTTACGCGTTGGGTGCCAGGAATCAGCACAGTGTAAGTCGATTCGGGCGATGTGGGAAAGAATCCTGGAGATCTACATAACGCAAAACTCTGCTCGCGAAGTCAACCTTCCAGCAAATGTCAGGGATGCCTTGCTCGAATGTCCGAAGGAGCCTGCGCCGCCAGCACCAGAGAACCTCGACATGGCAGTGAGATTGACGGTCGATATGATGCGAGATAGTGTCCTTGGGCCGTTCTTGGTGAGTGCGTCGAAGGGAGCAGAGCCACCTACGGACTCTTGGGCGTACTATTCGGCTGAAGATAGACGGCGATCTTCACAAACACGACACCTATCGATGCAGTTTGAGGGACCACGATGTACACCGCCAGCATCCATACGACCAGCATTCTCCCGGACGTCATCATCTACATCGCGATTCTCTTCCTCAGCACCAAGCCGGAATGCGGCATTGTGGAGGTTCAACGATGAGAAGATGCCAAAATCGGCACCGCTGACGGGTGAGTTTGCATTGAGAGATGTCGGTGGATGTCTTCTGGACGGCGAAACGGCTACCATCAAGGAGTACCGAGACATCTGGTCATCACATACCGAGCACAACCATTCGACATGGCCGCTGGAATCACCTTCACCCCCGAGAGACGAAGAACATGAATCCGATGAACCTACGAAGAAGGGTAAAACCGATAAATGGAAGACGTTGCTGAAGAAGTTAGGAAAGAAGTAATTTTGAAGGATACGACGAGCATAGACGCATGGATGGAGAAAAGGCAGTGTACGATATCAACGAGATAATAACCACGAGAACAGATGTCGGATGAAGTACCAGGATAGAGAGCTTGGGAGGATAATTGGAGAGAAGTATTATTTAGCTGCACAGGTTTGAGGATCTGACGAATGAAACAACCCCTATCATATTTCCCGTATCTCCCGAGGTTGAGTTAGTCGTGCTGACGTCGGCGGAGTTCTCCGCAGAATTACGGTAGCGGGCGATCGGTAGACGGGGAAGATAACGGCTAAAGTCTCCGCCAACGACAATTCCTTCGTGAACAGCATCCATCCCTCAGTAGATTCTGTCAACAATGTCTACACTTCCAGAATCCATCGCTGCCTCCGGATCGAGCTCGCTCTCAATCGTCATCCCCGACGGAGGACCGGAACTGGGGTTCCGTGACCTCGAGAGACTTGTTGCTCAGTTCCAAGCTGATCTGGCCGAGGCTGGGTTGAAGCCTCAGAGCTATGTTTCTCTGGCGTTCCCGAACAACCTGGAGTTTGTTGTTTCGTTTTTGGCTGTCACTGCGCAGCGCTGCGTCGCTGCTCCCTTGAACCCGGCGTACAAGCAGAGGTAATGATTGATCTCGCCTATATTCTCGATCTTTCGTGTGTTGACTTATGCTTGTAGCGAGTTCGAATTCAACATTGAGGACATCAAGACTTCCCTGATCATCGTTCCCCGCGGCTTCTACGAGAAGCAAGAAGCTGCCGTCAAGGCCGCCAAGAAGTTCAAGGGTGTCGCCATTGCCGAATGCTGGTGGTGCCCAAGGCAGAACAAGGTCCGCCTCGAAGTTAAGGAGAAGGGTAACCTCGGCGGCAAGCAGGCTGTTGCCAAGGCTCAGCCTGACGATGTTGCTCTTGTCTTGCACACCTCTGGAACTACCGGTCGTCCCAAGGCTGTTCCTCTCACTCACCGCAACCTGACGAGGACCATGAAGAACATCATTGCTACCTACAAACTCACTGACAAGGATTGCACCATGCTTGTCATGCCCTTGTTCCACGTACACGGTCTCCTGTGCGGTCTCCTCGCCACAATACTCTCTGGAGGTACTGCTGTTATCCCCGTCAAGTTTTCTGCGGGTACTTTCTGGCAGCAATTTGCCAAGCACAAGTGCAACTGGTACACCGCTGTGCCTACCATCCACCAGATCCTCTTGAGAAACCCTACTCCCAAGCCTCTCCCCAACATCCGCTTCATCCGCAGTTGCTCCAGCCCTCTCGCCCCTACCACTTTCCACGCCCTTGAGAAGACCTACAATGCTCCTGTTTTGGAGGCTTACGCCATGACTGAAGCTGCTCACCAAATGACCTCTAACCCTCTTCCTCCTGGCAAGAGAAAGCCCGGAACCGTCGGTGTTGGTCAGGGTGTCGAGGTCGTTATCTTGGATGACTCTGGCAACAAGCTCCCCCAGGGCAAGGAGGGTGAGATCTCTATCAAGGGAGAGAATGTTACTAAGGGATACTTGAACAACCCTTCCGCCAACGCCAGCTCTTTCACCAACGGCTATTTCCGCACCGGGGACCAGGGTAAACTCGATGAGGATGGCTACGTGGTCATTACCGGACGTATCAAGGAGTTGATCAACCGTGGTGGTGAGAAGATCTCCCCTATTGAGGTTGATAACGCTCTCGCCAGCCACCCCGCTCTTAGTGAGGCTGTCAGCTTCGCTGTCCCGGACGAGATGTACGGCCAGGAGGTCCACGCAGCTGTTGTCTTCAAGGACGGTCAAAAAGCCAGCGAGAAGGAGTTGAAGGATTTCGTCAGCGAGAAGCTTTCCAAGTTTAAGATTCCGAAGAAGATCTACTTCACCAAGGTTATGCCCAAGACAGCTACTGGGAAAATCCAGAGGCGTATTGTTGCGGATGCTTTCTTCAAGCCGGATGACAAGAAGCCCAAGGCTAAGTTGTAAACATTTGAAAAGGGATGTGTAGGACTATTGATACCGCGCTGTATGTTGGAACATTGAATATACTCCTTTGGCTCATTCTAAAAGTGTGACAGCTGTGGCAGACTGCGAGACATCAGACCGCGTGATTAACGATTCGTATTCCCATGCTATGTTTTGTAGCACTTTTGCTGTTTCCCTGTACCTATAGCTAGGCCTAAGTAGTTATAGATTATTGCTGAGTGGCATCCTCATCGGCCAATTCAGCCTCTTCATCCTCCTCGAAGTCGGAAAACTCCTCATCATCGATCTCATCGTCCAGCGCCGCGAAACCCAAACCCTCGCCTTCCGCTGCACCCCGATCATCACCCAAGAACATACCTCTTAACCGCTCCAAAGTCCTTCCAAACAACTCCGCACCTGCAGCACCCTCCTCCACACCCTCATTAAGCGCATCCTCGACCTCCTGCCTTTGCTGATCGGTCGCACCACCTGGGAGGAGGGACATGAGCAGGCTCATCAGACCCTGTGGAGAGCTCTCGGTGGATTGAGAGGGTGCGACGCGCATGTCGGCTTCGTATGGTGAAGGGAGTGAGTTAGCAGGTGGTAGAGGGTCCGAAGAAAGACCGGGATTCTGAGTGATGGAGGAGGGGAGGTGGGTGGTGAGTTGTGGAATATCGAGCAGAAGAACATGACGTGAGACGTTCTCTGGAATTTCGTCATCATGTTCTCCGATAGCTTCAGTCACGACCGAAGGTGCGGTACTGAAGCTCGAAACAGCATTGGACAAGAAGGCCTTCGCTTCGTCACTCGCCCACAAATCCTTCGACCGGTGTACATACAGATCACTCAACAATGTGTGCAACCTCGTCGGCGGGGCGACATCCCACGGAACTCGTGCGCTGACAGCATGCAACAACTGCGGTACAACCCAAGGGTAATCCTTAATCGCTTGTTTCAACTCCTTCTCACTCGCTTCGTGGCTCTTCTTCTGAGCATTCGCCAAACTCCACCTCGCCAACGCCCCAGTATACGCCAAGTTCGGCCGCCCCTTCGCTCGGCCAGCTGCCATCTCATACTCGACATACTGAAAGAACCATTGCCATTGCTTCGTTCGTCCGGCGGCGAAGTCGATGGCAAGACCCATTCCGTATGGATCGTTGTCTGGTGACAATGACAGCACGAGCTTCTGGAACTCGAAGGCTGCGCGGTAGGTTCCACGACGCATGAGGATCGCGATATGTCTGTGCGCAGCAAGGTAAAAAGCGCGATTCTCGACGAATTTGAAGGGAAGGCGAGCCGTGCCGTTGGCAATGTTGAAGAGGGAGTGCAGAGCACGATCGAAAGTCCACAACGCACGTTCTGTACGTAGAATGTTAGCCAAAACATTGCTTCTGAAATCTTGCCAAACTGTATACCAATCATCTCTCCGGCCTGCGCATGATCTCCCTGATGCTTCAAAATCTCTGAAACCTGCAACAGCGTATCCACATGGAACGGATTCAGATGCAACAGGTTCACTAGGTTGTTCGGATCATAACTGTTCACGCACATATAGAACTGCCTCTGAACATCCTGGTATGTCCTCGAATGCGAGAACTTGAACTCCATGACGCCGTCATCGTGTCGCTCTACGATCTCCATGCCTAACCCACCTTTGATGACGCCCGGCCAGTTCTCCTTCGGTTGTATGAGTATACCTTTCTTTCCTGCAGATGCGGAGAGAGCCTTGGCAAGACCGCGGGGAAGCTGCCCACGGATTCGAGGACGGGCAGGACCAGCTTCTGGACGGTCAGAGTTGACAACCTTTGAGCCGAACATACGCTTCATCTCAGCTTCCGCGTCGAGACTCTTACTGTCGACGGACCAGAGATCATGACTGGATGAGCCAAGTATCGGCGTAGACGTCTGTGTTCGCTGGGGTGTCGAAGCATCTGAACCGTACTTCTGGTTGATTGCACGGAGGGCAGCATCGATATCGTCCTCATCATCTGCCGGCGGCGAGGAAGGCACTGCTGCCGCTTTACCCTTTGACTTCTTCTTCTTCTTGTTCTTCTTTTTGGAGGGCTTTGGTGACGGTTCTGCGATGAGGTTCTCTTTGACCATGGTCGTAGCTGGCAGTACCTCCGTTGCGTCTTCATCGTCATCGTCATCATCGTCGTCACCTTCGTTGAGCTGTACACTGAGTTAGCAGTCGCGTTTGGTCAACGCATTTATACTCGACATACCATTGCGAAGAGATTCTGCGCCTTCGGTGCAGGAGTGTCTTCCTCTTCCTCCTCCTCCGATCCCGAACCAACAGGTTCATCCTCCACAAGGAGAGCAAAGTCCTTTGCCTTTTGCGCTTTTCTGATCGCTCTCAGACTCATGCTTGCAGTCGCTTTTGTCTGCCGTTTAGAGTCGAAAAGTTCGTGTACGAGCTCTTTGATGACGTCGGCAGCTGTTGCAGAACGTCCAATTTGGGACGCGCGTTTTCACCGGCATCACCCAAGTTGATTTTGCATGCAGTTTCCAATGGACAGTCCACACTAAGAACCTCGACCCCTGTAACTAGAAAAACGGTGCGACAGAACCGCAACTTTTACTTAGAACAACAACTTTTGCAACGAAAGCCATCTATAATCATGGCTGACCGTCTTAGAGTCGAGGCTGCTTGTGAGTGACCTTTGCCAGATATCTTGTGCGCTTTCTTTACGAGATTCGGCGTAGCTCCTCGCTGTTTGTACGTGGATCATGTACTGACTTTTGTGCGACAGCCCTCACGATGTACGCGTCTTACTACGAGGACTTGGCCACCTTGGTGGAGAGCACCCCCGTGGAGGCCTTTGCTGCCTCCAACTTCATCTCTCAGTTCCGCAGGACTCAGGACAAGTTGGCCGACGCCATGAAGCCCAGGAAGAGGAAGGCCGACGGCGAGCCTCACGCCCCCTCCGCGAAGTGGACTCCTGAGAGCACCGAGGCGCTGAAGAAGGCCATTGGGAAGCACGGTAACGAGAGCTGGAAGGAGGTCGTCACTGAGTTGAAGGGAGAGTACACCAAGACTCAGGTCTACGAGAAGGCCAGGAGGTTGGGCTTGACCAAGCCCGTTGCGAAGAAGGAGAACGACACTGCTGAGGATAACGGCGACAATGAGGAGGGAAGTACTACTGGAAGCGACAGTGACTCCGAGAGCGACCCTGACGCGTAAAAGACGCGTTGAATGACGTCGAGATGGTGTTATGATAATGGCGTAAGATCGAGTGTTTGGGTATTTTAAGGCATGGAAAACGGACAAGGCTTAATCAAGATACTTTACGGAACAAAATGAGACATAATCCTATACCTCCTGCTTCCATTATCCTCGAGGACTGGTTCGATCCAAAAGTCGTGTTGTGAATAATATTACTTTGCTCTTTTGGGTTTGGCGGCGAACGCGCTTTCGTTACTAATTAGCTTCCCTCTTCGATTCAAAACCAGAAAGGGCCCCCGGACGGAAACAGAACACCAGACCACGACCCTCGAAGGACGAAATCATACCCAAGCACTCCTATCGTCCATCAGAGTATCGTTAGCATCTTGCCTTATCATTCATACATAACTACAGATCACAATGTTCGTATACAAGCGAGGTATGTACTGCTCTTTTTTGACGCGTCGACGCGTATCTGACCCAATCACATAGATGGTCGTAAGGAGCGCGTTGCTTTCGACAAGATTACTGCTCGTGTGAGCAGACTATGCTATGGTCTCGACGCGGAACACGTCGATGCTGTCTCTATCACTCAGAAGGTCATCTCTGGTGTTTACCAGGGTGTCACCACCGTCGAGCTCGACAACCTTGCTGCCGAGACTGCAGCATACATGACCACCAAGCACCCGGACTACGCTATCTTGGCTGCTCGTATCGCGGTTTCCAACTTGCACAAGCAGACCAAGAAGGTCTTCTCTCACGTCATTGCTGACCTCTACAACTATGTCAACCCCAAGAACGGACGCAGAAGTCCTATGATCTCTGACGAGACCTACCAGATTGTCATGAAGCACGCTGAGGAGTTGGACTCTGCTGTCATTTACGACCGTGACTTCAACTACAACTTCTTCGGTTTCAAGACCCTCGAGAGGTCCTACCTCCTCCGTATTAACGGCCAGATTGCTGAGAGACCCCAGCATATGATCATGCGTGTTGCTGTCGGTATTCACGGCTCCGAGATCGCCAAGGTCATCGAGACCTACAACCTCATGTCCCAGAAGTACATGACTCACGCTTCTCCTACTCTCTTCAACGCGGGTACTCCTAACCCCCAGTTGTCTTCCTGTTTCTTGGTTACCATGAAGGATGACTCCATTGAGGGTATCTACGACACTCTTAAGACCTGTGCTATGATCTCCAAGACTGCTGGCGGTATTGGATTGAACGTGCACTGCATTCGCTCCACCGGATCTTACATTGCTGGTACCAACGGATCCTCGAACGGTATCGTCCCCATGTTGCGTGTCTTCAACAACACTGCTCGCTACGTCGACCAGGGTGGTAACAAGCGTCCTGGTGCTTTCGCCATCTACATGGAGCCTTGGCATCCTGATGTCTTCGAGTTCCTCGACCTTCGCAAGAACCACGGTAAGGAGGAGGTCCGTGCCCGTGACTTGTTCTACGCTCTCTGGATTCCCGACTTGTTCATGGAGCGTGTCGAGGCCAACGGGGAGTGGACTTTCATGGACCCTAACGAGGCCCCTGGCTTGCACGAGTGCTACGGTGAGGAGTTCAAGGCTCTCTACCAGAAGTACGAGCAGGAGGGTCGTGGACGTCGCACCATCAAGGCCCAGAAGCTCTGGTACGCCATCTTGGAGGCCCAGACTGAGACTGGTAACCCCTTCATGCTCTACAAGGATGCCTGTAACGAGAAGTCCAACCAGAAGAACTTGGGTGTCATCAAGTGCTCCAACCTCTGTACCGAAATTGTCGAGTACTCCGCTCCCGATGAGGTTGCTGTCTGCAACTTGGCTTCCATCGCTCTTCCCACCTTCGTCGAGAACGGTGTATACAACTTCCAGAAGTTGCATGATGTCACCAAGGCTGTTACCCGCAACTTGAACAAGATCATCGACGTCAACTACTACCCCGTTGAGGAGGCGCGTCGTTCCAACATGCGCCACCGTCCCATCGGTGTCGGAGTGCAGGGTTTAGCCGATGCTTTCTTGGCTCTCCGCATGCCTTTCGAGTCTCCTGAGGCCAAGAAGCTCAACATCCAGATCTTCGAGACTATCTACCACGCTGCCCTGGAGGCCTCCCATGAGCTTGCTTTGGAGGAGGGTCACTACGAGACTTTCCCTGGATCTCCCACTTCTCAGGGTGTCTTGCAGTTCGACATGTGGAACGTTCAGCCTACCTCCCTCTGGGAGTGGGAGACTTTGAGGGAGAAGATCAAGAAGGATGGTGTCCGCAACTCCTTGTTGGTTGCTCCTATGCCCACTGCCTCCACCTCGCAGATTCTCGGTTTCAACGAGTGTTTCGAGCCCTACACCTCCAACATGTACTCTCGTCGTGTCTTGTCTGGAGAGTTCCAGATCGTCAACCCTTGGTTGTTGAAGGACTTGGTCGAGATGGGTCTCTGGTCCGACGCCATGAAGAACCGTATCATCGCCGAAAACGGTTCCGTCCAGAACATCCCGTCCATCCCTGCCGATATCAAGGCTCTCTACAAGACGGTCTGGGAAATCTCCCAGAAGACCATCATTGACATGGCTGCCGACCGTGGTGCCTTCATCGACCAATCTCAGTCTTTGAACATCCACTTGAGGAACCCCACTATGGGTAAGCTCACCTCCATGCACTTCTACGGCTGGAAAAAGGGATTGAAGACCGGCATGTACTACCTCCGTACTCAGGCCGCTGCTGCTGCAATTCAGTTCACTGTCGACAAGAGCTCCATCACTGATGAGACTCTTCGTGCGGAGGCTAAGTACGCAACTCCTTCCAAGCCCAAGACCATCGCCAACAACGGTCTCCCTAACGGCGATGCCCTGACTGAGAAGGTTGGTCAGTTGAACCTTGGTAACGGCAACGGTGCTGCCGCTCCTCAAGCCAATGGTGACTCCAACGGTGAGGCTTCCTCTTCCAAGAAGACTGAGAAGCCTGGAGAGGACGCGTCTGAGCAGGATGTTGATATCTACAACTCCAAGGTCATCGCTTGCTCCATTGATAACCCTGAGGCGTGTGAAATGTGCTCTGCATAGAGGGTGAATTAAAAGAGAGTTTGTGCTTGTAGTTCTTATTGTTATCTAGGGTCATCGGGTCACGGTTCTTGGTTTCTTATGGGGTTATCGTTTGCTTCGTTTGTTATAGTTTAGCTTGACATTTTTGCTCTAATAGAGGTTCATGAACTTAATTTTGCTTTCCGTGTTCTCACGTTATCACCGTACGCACGGCGCCGGCCAGTCAGAGCCGCAACGTTGCGAGGAGGCATCTGTGTCGTGTCGGAGAGGTCAAATCACTTCTCGGCAACGAAGAGAATCTTCTGATCGACCGCTATGTCTGTGTCGGGTACTTCCCTTTTTGGGATTAATATGTCCCTACAACGTCGACAGACCTCGATCGCGAACCCAGGTTTTCGGGCTCCTCGAATTAGCCGCTGGAAAACACACAGTGATACCTTCACGATGATTCTCGGCAGATGCTCTCTAGTAGAACACTGCCTGATCAGGCTGCACAGTGAGCTCCTGCCGATCGGCAGCTTTTCATTCCACTCCACCAAGAAAGCTGAGTTCAATCCTGGGAGCAACACATACCCTCATCACTACAGTCCGCGACATCTCACACACACCGTGGCACCTGGCAATCCCATTCACCACCATTCTCCTCCGAACAGCCACAACCCTCCCAATAGCCATCCGTGTCCGGTCGAAGCCTGCACAAATGTAAGATCTAGCCAATATAGAGAAAACAAAGGACTTACCTGTTGGCTGTTCATCAAGTGGTACGACAATAATGATGGCACACGTGACACACTACATTTCTTGTTTGCCGATCTCATGTTCATCCAAAGTGGCCTATCGATCACGGACCCAACTCATGCCTCCTCTACGGCGCCACATTCACCTTCAGTATCGTCCTTGCAACTCCCTGAGTGGAAACCTCATCAACAGGCTCCCACGTCATCACATTCCTCCCCTCCACTGCCCGCTTAAACTCATCAATACCCCCTCCAACCCCAAAATAAACCTTCTTTGCAGCAACCAAAGCTTGTGACCCCAAAAGACAGCATCCATTCAAAACATCTGTAAAGGCTGGTAGAGAGTTGGGAGAGTAGATTGTCTCTGACGCCAGAAGGACACTGGGAGCAGGGTTCATGTACCCAAGCATTTCTTCGCCCCAGCCACCGCTTAGGAGGGTGATGTGGACGTTCTTCATCTCGAGGTCATTCAGGAATGCGGCCTTGTCCTCGTCCGTGACGTCGATTTCACCTTCATCTTCCCACCCCCCTTCCTCCGCGCGAGAAAGTGCCCATGCCAAATACATATTCGGCACTGTAACATGCTGCAAGACCGAAGCATTATAGTCCTGCAATGTCAGAGACAACGAGTGTCCCTTGACAAGTGCTTGATGCAACAAATGCATACTCGGCAACGCAGACCCACATCCAAGCTCTGCGACCCTTGCCGGGAACGTCAGTGTGCCCGCACTGATCTCCGTCGATAGATACCGTGATAGGTCGATCGAACACTCCCAGGTCTTGAAACCGCCTTCGTATACCCCAGGAATGACATCGTCAACACCATTGAGTGCTTCTTTCGTTCGCTCATCCTCTTCTTTTACATCATCCATGTCCTCCTCATGCATGAGTTGTAACTTGATATCCCATAGCTCGCGTTTTGGGATTTGTGCATCTGTGTCGGGGATGTTGAGGGTAGAGTAGTTGAGCTTGTGTGGTAATCTCGCCACAAACCCCGTTAAGTCATGGACCTGGGGTGTAAGTGAGGGGACGGTTGAGGCCGGGCATGCAATGGAGAGTGAGGAGGTGACTGAGGCCAGTTGTTCATTCTCATCAATGTCGATGTCCTCGTCAGCGAAGTTAAAGTTGAAGGTGGAGGACATTTGAAATTTGGGTTGTGTTCTGCGCAGTCGCATAAAGTTCCGACTTTCGCTGTTTGTGTGGGGTAACCCGGACACTGCGCCTGACGAGACCGCATTCATCCCCGGCGACCCTCCCCATCCATTCCTGGGTTCCGATCATCCTATTTCTTCTGCGAGATCATCAATTGATCACTTCCTACTTCAGCAATGGGTCTCCCGATGTATCGCTCCCCTTCGCCAGAGGGCTCTCCTGAACCCAAGCGGACTCGTCTGGATGAACGGGTTAACGAGGAGATCAATGGCACTTCCGGCGTGCGTCGAAGCCCTTACGGTTCGTACTCCGACGCTCTCCGCCACGGACAAACCATGATCAGATCACGCTCCAGCTCAAGGGATGCTCGTCGCCGTACTCCTTCGACCTCCGCCATCCACGACCGCGAAGGCCGCGTCGTCTACACCCGCGAACAATCTCGCATGTACGAACGCTGGATGAGCGACGAGCACCGCCGTCTTGTATCCAGAGACAGTCCTGATGCCGAAGTCCTCGAAGGTGCATTGAGCATCGTGAACGACAACAACCGTCTCCGCGGATGGGATCATAGACTTACGGAGGAGGACGCAGCGAGGGTCGCTAATATGCGGCCCTCTGAAAGGTTCGACACAATGATCCGTGCGGCGAGGATTGTGTCGGAGAGGAGGGCGCTGAGGGGGTTGACGAGTTCGGGCCTCTTGCCGATTAGTCCTGCCGATCGTGCGGAACAGCACGATGCGATTGCGGATATGCTCTCCGAGATGGAGCCATCTCCTCGTGAAACTGCCGACATTGAGGAGCTCAGAGCTGGTATCCGTCGGCAGCGTGAGAGTTTGCAGAATATCGAGACGCGTCTGCGTGAGGAGAGGGCCGCGCGCAGAGTTCTTCTCGCTCCCGCTCGACGTCCGACTCCGCCGTTCGTTACCGCTGCCAGTTACGACTCGGGAGCGCAGGCTGAGCACAGAACCACTTTCTCTTTCAGCTTCTCCCAAAGCGAACGTGGTGTCAATGCGGAATTTGAAGCAGATGACGGCACCAGTCCTACTCCAAACATCCCCGACCCGGGGCCTGAGCATGAACCCATCCCAGCTGCAGCTAACGTCTACAACCCCCCTCGTATCTTGCTCTCTCCAGTCCCCTTCTTCCGCCTCTTCTCCTCCATCCACCACCTCCGTCGTCAACACCGCGACCCCACCATCGGTACGCGTGCATTTACCCTCTTCTGGCGTTTAATCCAGGACGTCAATGTTATGAGTGGGAGAACACCGATTCAGAGAGCGTTGGCGGAAGAACTCTGTGATAGCTTGAATGAGATTGAGGGGTTGGAGGGGGAAGTGCGTGCAGAGGTGCTGGCGCTTATTGCGGATCGGGTTGAGGTGGGGTGTCTGGACGGTCCGGAGACGGAAAGGTTGGAGTCTGAGGAGGTTCTTCCTGGAATTGCTCTAGTTGGCCTTTAGGAGAAGGTACAGGGTGTCTGAAGACGATGTAGGACGGAATAGTGTCAGGTTATGATGGCTACTGATTCATTGAGGGATGTGTTTCGGGGTGTTTCTTAAGTTTTATCGATATCCAATATACCACTTATCCCATTGTGACCGCCAACTCCAACAGTTCTCAGATTTCGTCGTCTTTTTCCCCGGGTTCAGATGTCCCTCCAAGATGACCGTGCACTGCAGCCGCTGCGAAAGTCGGGAAGTAAAGCCGTACCCCACATTCGCATGACGACGAGCTGGCAGTCATGGAGACTATCGAGGAATTGACAGGGCACTTGCTCCGTGTCGCAAAGGATCTTGATCAATCCAAGCGCTACCTCGTGGTATGTACGGCGTACCCCGTCAGTATAATCTCCCTAACCATACCCACTGGCAGGCCGTCGCAGGCTCCCCCGGCTCCGGCAAGACCACAATCGCAACCCAAGTTATCCGCAAAATCAATGAATACTCTCAAGCAACCTACGACGTGGACATGGCCGGCTTCGTCCCCATGGACGGGTTCCACCTCACAAGAGCACAACTCGACGCCATGCCTGATCCCATTGCGGCACATGCCCGGCGGGGTGCGCCGTTCACTTTTGATCCGCATAAGCTGAAGAAGCTGGTGGAGAGGCTGCGTAAGCCGATTGGGTCTACCGCTATCACTGCACCGTCATTTGACCACGCAGTCAAGGATCCACTGGAGGATGATATCCAGGTCTTGCCGACCCAGAGAATCATCATTCTCGAAGGCAACTACCTCCATCTCAAAGACGAACCATGGTGTGAAATCGCAGCTATGATGGATGAGCTGTGGTATGTTGACGTGGACAGGGACCTCGCCAGAGAACGCCTGATCGCAAGACATTTGAAGGCGGGATTGGCGGATACCCCAGAAGCAGCCGGAGCGAGAGCAGACAACAACGATCTACCAAACGGGTACATCCCCTCAGGTTAAACCTTCCTTGGTCAAAGCTAACCAGCTGTACAGTGACTACATCAAAGCTAACGCCGTCAAACCGACAAGAACAATCAAAAGCGCACAAGACCCTCGTCTGAAAGAACAGTAGATCCAAAGAACTGATATAATCGTACACTCTACAACCTCTAAAAATACAAAGATGCTATGAGCATGCGACGTAGCCAAAAAAACGCCGACTATCCAAAAGCCATGTCCACAAGTGTCAAAAATCGTCTCATGTATCGTATCCTCACATCCTCCTCAATTCAACCGCCGCTTTCCCGATATCTCCATCCCCATCGTCATCCTTCTCATTCGGATCCTCATCTAACGGATCAAGTGTCAACCCTGTCCCAGCCCTCAGCCTCCCAAGTCCATGCGGCCCATGCTCATTCCCAATACTCCTACTCCTCCCACGACTTCCCTCCTCACCCGGACTATGCACCCGAATCTCCGCCAACTCATGCATCCCCGCCGTCGCCGCCGCATCAGACTCCGGCCGTCCCCTCATACTCGGCGTCTGACTCGTCTCACTTCCCTTCCTCCCCCTCGCACGACTCCATCGTCTCCCTAACCTCGAATGTGTCGAACTCCCATGCGAATCAGTCGGTCTCAGACTCAGACTACTCACACTCGCCGAATCATGGCTGCGGAGGCCAAGACGTTCCTGTGCACGATCGATAGGTTGCGAATCAAACACCAAACTGGCATTATCCTCATACACATCCGCAAGCTCATTCGCCGCGACAGCATCCGACGCGCCAAACGTGTAATCCATCCGCTTTCCACGATTACTTTCATGACTATGGATACTCTCGATATCGCTCGCTCTCGCAGGCAATGGCGCACCACGCGGACTGGTGGGGAAAGCCTCCGTAAACTCCGAGTTATGGAGATCCTGTAACTCCCTCTCAACAGACCCAATCGGTGCCAACGCACGCTCCGAAGTCGGACTCTGCACAGGACTCGACGGATGACGCGTGGGACTTCCAGTCGGCGTACCAGGACTAATCCTGATATCCGGCACCGGTGGCGGCAAGCTCGAACTATCCTTCGGCGTAGGCGGCAACTCAACCTCCTTCCCCTTATCCTCCTTCTTCTCCTCTAACATCTGCGGCCCATGCATATTCACAATATAAAACGGATTCAACTTATCACCCGCCCCCGGATCCCCCCCAGCAATCCCCAAATCCAGGATATTATTCCTCAACGCACACATGAACTTATTCCTCCTCTGCGCTCTCAACGCATCATTCTGCCAATTCGATTTATGATTGATATTGATCGTGAGTGTCAAATTCCCCAATGCCGGCATATCCTGAACCTCAATCACGATCGTAGGCGCATAATCCCTCTTCTCTGCCCGCACAAAGTCCAACATCCGCAACCTCAACGCCTCGATCTCCTCCAACGTCGTACCAAACTTGACTTGTAACTTGACTGTCTCGGACATTTCTCCCGAGCGTTTGATATTGTGGATATACTTCGTGTTGAGCAGGTTGTTGGGCGCTTGGATGGTGCGTCCATCGAGGCGTTTGAACACGGTTGCCATGAGTTGCATTTCTTTCACGATGAACTGATCACCGTCGATATCGACGCGGTCGCCGACGTCGAAGGGGTGTTTGACGAACAAAAAGACGATGGATCCAAGGACTTCTTGGGCTGTTACGGAGAATAGCCAGGACAGCGCGAGAAGGGTGGTACTCGCACTCGAAATGGTACTCCGGAATTGCGCATTCAACAATCCCAAAAAGACCAGGAGCGTGATAATCGCCACCACAAACGTAAGCACATTATCCAGCTTACTCACAGCCGAATCCACATCCTTCAAACTGCTCGTGATACTCTTCCTCTCCCTTCCAATCTCAACACAAACCTGCTCCATCTCCTCCCTCGTTAAGTCTCCATTCATGTCCTTATCAAACATCGCAAACGCACGTTCGGCTTCTTCCGCATCCTCAAAGACATCCGCAAAGTCCTCGAAGTGGAGAGCGTCGTTTTCTGGCTGCTTGAACGAGTTGAAGAAACGCCTCGCTAAGCCTTGGGATCCGGCCGTCGTGATGAGCGCTTGCTGAACCATCGCTTGAGGCGAAGTCAACCGTGCAATTTTCCCACCCGTAATCTCCGACAACGGGTTTAACGCAACGTCCGTAACCTCCCTCAACCCCCTCCTCGCCTGCCGTCCCACGTTATAGAAGAACTGACGATTCGGCGTCATGGCCCCAGTCGGGAAATAATCCTCGTCCTCCTCGAACGAGGGCAAGACGGTGCGAGACCTGACCCACAACTTCGTCAAGATATTCACCTCGAACTTGTTCAGCACGATACGATCCTGATAAGTCCGTTGATGAAACGAAATCGCAAGGAGCTGAATAAATATCTTCTCGATCAAATTGAGGATCATACCAATAAAGATCGCGAGGAGGATGTTGTTGATGATGGACTGGTAATGCTGTGTTCCCCGCCCTTCCCGTCTCGCTCGTGGATTCTGCGTCATGATGGGCAAGAAACTCACGTAACAACTCAGACTCCAACAAAACATGGTCAAAGCCAACTCGATCGCTCGTACAGCCTCGATATACCTCGCTGCGGAATTTGTCCACAGACCAACAACCTCACCCAATACCGTCGGCAAGCATTTAGCCACGATTTTCGAGCCCCATAGCGAGAGCCAGATGATTTCCCACCATACACCCCACCACAAAAGTCGCACACCGCCAATCGTCGCTCCGGTCTGCGCAACACCACCGGCCAATGTCGGAACCAACAATAATATGGCGAGTGGCAATATATAAATCGCATAACGCGTCACAATACTAAAATGCAACACCCACGCATACCACCTCCCCAACCTCGTCAACGGCCTCCGTGGCGGCTGATACGCATTCGGATGAGGCACATGCGCAGGATTATTCGCATACCGATCAAACGTTTCGTCGGCCTTATTGAACGCCACACCCGGCTCATTCGCCTCGTCTGCGTCCCGAGCTGTGGATGAGGAGCGTCGAGGTGAATTGTCGTGATCTGACGGTACCATGTTCGGTAGCTATAGAGAAACGACAGTGATGGCGATGGAGATCAGTGAGATGGAGATCAGTGAGATGGAGATCAGTGAGATGGAGATCAGTGCGATGGAGATGGACGCTCGTACTTCAATCAGTGCACGTGCGCTAATGCAGTCAACCGTCCCCCTCCGCTGAGACGTCTCGCTCATCCTGCACTTCTAGAACTGCCGTCGGTAAATCAAGGCGAGATCTTGGCGAGTAGCGTTCGTTACCTTCGATTTAAGCCGGAAGAGGGACCCTGGGTTGACACCTCCGAGAGTCTTTCCGGTGTTGTTCCGGGTGCGTTGACCTCGGGACTGAACTTGAGAGGACGTTGATGTACGGACGATATGCGTTACCTAGGCCTTTCCCTAACAACCGTTCACTGAAATCATCCCAGTGAACCATCTCGAAGTAAATGTCAACAATTTCTCCACCGGCACACGGACGCGGCACTTGCGCTCGGTAGATCTCAAGGCTCCAATCCGCTCCCCGCGGGGCAGCTCTAACCACCAGAGCCACTTATAATTCGTCCAACTGTCACCGAAAGACTTTGTAGCAACTGACAAACAAACCATCATGGCCGAACCCGTTAAAGTCAAGGAAGAGCAGAAGAACGCTACCCTCCTCCCCAAGGAAGATGCTCCAGGTCCTCCGGTATGTACTGCTTGTTTGTGTGATCCGCGATCCACAGCTGATCCGCGCCTCTATGCGTAGCCCAACCTCCCCAAGCTGTTGGACATGACTATGGAAAACATCACCGGAAACACCAAATTGATCAACTCCCTTAACCCTAACCCCCGCCTCAAGTTCCTCCTCGAAAGCCTCGTCCAGCACCTCCACGACTTCGCGCGCGAAACAGCCCTCACAACCGAGGAATGGATGACAGCAATCCAATTCCTCACAGAAGTCGGCCAAATCTGTTCCCCTACCCGTCAAGAGTTCATTCTTCTCTCCGACACCCTGGGTCTCTCAACTCTCGTCGACGCAATCAACCACCCGAAGCCTCCAGGCGCAACCGAGAATACTGTATTGGGTCCCTTCTTCACCGAAGACGCCCACCACTTCTCCCACGGAGAATCCATCGCTTCCCCCGGAAAGGGCGAAATGACCCTCGTAACCGGCCGCCTAACCTCCCTCGACGGCACCCCAATCGCAGACGCAACCGTCGACGTCTGGGAAACCGATGAATCAGGACACTACGATACCCAATACCCTGGTCGCGACCACCCCGATTGTCGTGGTATCATCCACACTGACACCGATGGGATTTTCCACTTCAAATGTGTCAAACCTGTGTCGTATCCAATCCCCCACGATGGGCCCGTCGGAAAGATGCTCAAGGTCCTTCAAAGACACCCATACCGCCCCGCCCACCTCCACTACAAAATCCAAAAAGACGGGTTCGACACACTCGTTACAGCACTCTACATGCGCGGCGACCCCTACGAGGAATCCGATGCAGTCTTCGGCGTGAAATCGAGTTTGATCGTCGACGTGAACAAAATCGAGGATGAGGAGCGGGCGAAGAAGTACGGGATGGACGTCAACGATTGGTGGATTGATAGGGATTTCGTGTTGGTTCCTATTGAGACTGCGGAGAAGATTAGGAAAGAGAATGTGGAGAAGGCTATGGCGAATTTGAAGATCTGAGGGACTGGGGATGGCTATGGGGGTTAGGATGACCTCTATGATATGTATACCGTACGTATGAAACAAACTCTCATATCTCATTCATCCGTCTAACTTGATGTCCAATTTTTATCCACAATGCTGTCCGTAAGCACATGCTCCGTGAAACCCTCCCATTCAAATGTCGATTCTATTTGCAGGATAATCAGAAAACTCCAGGATCCAAACACCCCGTGGCAATGAGCGTAGCAGACGCGCGAGGTATCTCACGTCACCGAATATCTTATCCTGCTGGCCGGCCGTAACTGCTGTTGTCCAGCATTCGCGAGCTTGAGGCTAAGCTGGATGCCAAGGGTAAGGCCGGGTTGAGCCCCGGAAATCGTACTTTACGCCATCATTGTCAATCATGTGTTCACCTCGAGTACACACTTCTCGAACCTCTCAATAGGGTCTGCTCCTCCTGAGAAGTTGGGACCCTAATGAGGATCCCTTCGGATCCGATTTGACATCCTTTGGATCCGACGTCATTCCATTCTTGTCCCTCTCTTCCAGCACTCTTTCGATCAAGTCCCAATCGTCCAGCTCGCTCTCTTCCCGTCTGTTTTGTAACTCCCGATCTCCCGGCTTTCTCTCTTCCAGCTCCTCCTCTTCAAAGTCCCAATCGTCTAGCTCGTCGCGGTGCCTTATAAAGGGCACCTTTGGAACCGATTTTACGTCCGCAGTGCAACGGCGAGGCTCGGGCAAGACTGGCGCGGCATTCCGACCCTCGTCCGTTGCCTTCCATCGCGACCAAGGACGCTCAAGGGGGTCGGAGGGAGGTACAACAGGGTTGAGAGGTTCGGGCTTCACATGCTGAGGCGATGCATGTGCGTGGTTGTCGGTGGCCTGGGCACCGCCGGGCGAAGAGTCTTGCCAGGGATCGGTCCGCCCATACCGAGCTCGACGAGGTTGAAATCGGTTCAAGTCAGGCCGGCAACTGCGCATGTCCAGCTCCCCGCGTAGGTTCTTCTCAATCACCCACTCTGAATAGGTAATTTGTTGCCCAACATGAGCAATAATATGATGCAAGGCCGCCTGGACCTTTCGCAGGTGGTGTCCCGCCGGCGTGCGATTGCGGTGTCCGTCAGGCCGTGACCACAAGTCAAGAACCCGCCAGATTTGGGCAAAAGCTACTTCGACTGGGTGCCCCTTGGCGAGAGTCTCATCGGATGTCCACGCTTTGGTGGTTGCATCGTCCTTGACGACTGGCAGAGGCGCCAAGGCAATGGTTGTAGGCGCTAGCTGACGTTCTTCGCCAAGAGGTTTTCCCTCCTCGGAAGCAACGGCAAATGCTTCCTTATAATCCTCCTCAAACACGATCTGGTTCCCTACCATTTTCGTGATAAACTTCATCTTATCCTTTTGGTGCCTTTGCCGAATGACCGGTTTGACCACTAGAGAGACAATATTCTTCCATAAGCCCTGGAGAACTCGCGCGTTGCGTTCCCAGTGAAACCCCTTCCTTTTCAATTCCTGGTAAATCATCGCCGACACGGAATGTCGCAATAACCCATGCGTCTTGATATCGAATCGGACACCGGTTTCGATAATGTCGTTCTGCAGCTTTATTATAGGAGCAATAGAACTCAGACCTGTAGAGTCTTTATTCCTGTCATACGCTTGGATCACCGCTGCATATGTCAAAATATTTGGCGTGATTCCTGCCTTTATCATTAAGACCCACGTCCTTTCAATGTTACGGATATCACCCCTGAGGCCTTGAAAGAAGGTGTTGAAAGTCACCACGTCAGGTCTCATCTCGGGAATGTCTGAGCGAAGCATCGAAAGTAGGATCCGGACTGCAAGTTTCTGGTACCAGTCGACACCGGCAAACCTCTTCAGAATGATGTTTGGAATGTGGTTGTTCATAAAAACCGAGCCGAAGTTTTCTTTGAGTGCAGCATTACTAGACGCTGCAAACGCCAACTTAGCATATCTGCACCATACCCTCCACAAATCTCGGGCGGGAGCCTTAGCCTCAACCATCGCATTGATGGTTAAGCTCATGATCTTGATGTCCATTTCCAGTACTTTGTCAGGCGTGAAGCCCAGACCTGTTAGGTCCACCTTGAAAGCCTCCAAGGGTTCAGTGTTGAAAATTTGCGCTATGCTGCGGAGTACTTCCCTGGATCCCTCACGTCCATTCTCTTTGATGTGCTTGTGTAGTAGGTCCAATATGACGCTCCTGCATCTTTTCGTAATTTTTCTGCCGGGATATCCCATGTCAAGCATTTCTCTCAACATTCGAAGGGCATCGCCAATGCGGGTTTCACGGAGGTACGCATTGATGAATAGAAGGTATGTATAGCGATTCGGAGACACGTCTGATGCACGCATTGTCGTGAGAAGTGCTTCCGCAGGACGGAGATCTGAGATCCGAACGGCGGACTCCAACATCATATTGTAAAGATACGTCGGATTATCCTTTATGCCGCGTTGCTCATTGGTGTCATCTTCTTGGCTGTGTTTCAAATCCCGCTGAAAGAAAAGTTTAAATCTCCTTGTCGCATTGGCTATGTCTCCCATATAGAGATACATACTGGCCAATTTTGCATGCTTCCAATCCATAGAACTGGCCATATCCTTAGTCATAGCCCCCATCCTGTCCAGGCTATTCAATGCCATTTCCGCAGCTAACAGTCGACCAGGTGTAAGACAGCTGTGGAAGAGGGAGTCATAATATGGAATGCTTCCCATGGAACCATGCCAGTAGGAGAAGACATCTGCAGCTTCTTCGTGAAGTCCGGCATCATGAAGGCATTCGAGAAGACCTGGCAAGTGCAAATCAGGTGGTGGCTCTTTGTGATGTTCCTTGAATTTGACGAATGCTTCGTATACCTTGGAAAGAAGATCAAGACTTGATTCTTTCCCCAGTTCTGAACACATGACATCGAGCTGATATATCCACGGATCACGGCTGTAATTCTCCTGCCGTGGTCGCTCAAAGTTCTTCAAGGCCTTTCTGGCCAGGTTATCGGCCTTACCGCTCAGTCCTAACGTCCGCCTTTGCAGCAAAGGAGCACCTGAAACTATCACTGTTCTCGTCGCATTCTGAGCACATCGCGCAGCGAGCCGGGCTGAACATCTTATGCAGATGAATGTCCTGAACATGTACGGCTATTGCTGATCGGAAGCGTAAATATGAAGCTCCAAAAGCGCTTTGGAAAAGAACGTACCCGCAAGCCCATCAATGATTAAGCGACAAATGCCTGTATACTTTCGCCCAGCTGCAGGGAAAACGAGAAGTCCCGACGGAATACTTTGGTTGCTACCGGTATGTATTTGGTAGGTTTCTACCTGGCTGTGTGCAGGGGCTATCAGCACGTGCAGATAGCAGGCAATATGGCCAGTTGCTCGAGGTCCCCGCTTATACTTTCTAGCCAAGTCCCTAGGATAGCGATATACAGTGTGTGTAATTCGTGATATTTTGCTGCCCACTCTATGGGCGTACCCAAGATCTAACCAAAAAGACAGATAACTCCGATATATAGCAGAAGATGCCCAAGAAGAAGCATGCGGTATCTCAGATACCATGAAAAAATAGAGAAATTCGTACCACCAAACATCATCCTGAAAGCACCTACAAGAAGACGGGTGCCCCATCAGAATCAAGCCTATCGACCTCAGGCTTCTGCGGACTGCCGACGAACGTGCTCTGCCTTGAGCTCACCGGCCGCTTCTTGGTGAACTCAACTAGCTTTGCCCGCTCGGTCATACGAGCCGCGGCATCACTCGATCTCTTGCTGTCGTCAGTGACTGCAGAGTACCTCGAGCTTGCAGGGACCGAGAACGCAGGGCTCAATGGGGTTTCCGCATTCGCAGTCCACACAGAGGTGGGACGAAGCGCCGAGATACGGGTAGCGACACCAAACTCGGCCTCATCCAGAACAGAGGATTCCCGCTGGATGTTCGAACCCGTCGCATCACTTCCCCGTCTTCTCCAAATCCTCTCCTCGCCATCCTTAACAACCTCAAACTCGTCACCTTCCACACTCAAATCATCCTCGTCGGCGCCAACCGGCCAAGGCAAGGAATCATTGCTAGGATCTGAATCTCCGCGCTGATGGACAGGCCGGACTGGGCTCTGTGCATAAGCCGCTGAATCATACTCGAACGAATCGTTGTCATTCGTGTACTGTAACTCCTTCCATGACCTCTCCACATCCTCCTCAGACGCATGATCCGAGACAGATACTCTTGTAGGTTCGCCGTAGTACTGTTCCTCCTCATCGTCATCCCCGGAATACTGTTCAATGAACTCGCCACTGCTCTCAGAGTATGTACCAATGGTGTTATCACTACCGGACTGCGCAACGGTCAGGCCACTCTGCTGCGTCTCCCAAGTTGGCAAGACAGCCTCGTTCGCCGGGGGAGTGATTAAAACACTGGGCGTGATCTGCCTCATCACGGTCGGCGCGGCAGTGATGTTCGTAATCGGCGGTGCCAAAGCCGAGATATGCGAGTCGCTCGAGCCCTGAACCAATTTCAACGTCGGGCTTTGAGGGCGGAAGATCTCATCCGTGGCAACCGTCATCACACTACCCGCAGAAGACCTGTAATCCGCCAAAGCACCCCAGTTCCTTCCAGCAGGTGTACCGGGCATCCATGACTTCCTAGCCTGTCCAAAGCCTGGCGGACCAGACATTCTTTCTGCTGACGGCACGACCGGGCTACCGTGTCCGACACCGTTAGCGATCGCAGTGTTGATGGTCAATGCAGTTGGAGGAGGCTTCGTGATCGGACTCGAACTCTTCGGACTTGACAACAAGATCGGCAATGGAGAAACTTCATCACCCGCACTGCTATCCGACACACCCGCGATAGAGCCTTCCCTCTCTCCATCATGCCTACTCTCACTGCTGACTTCAGCCACAATGCCAGAAAGTCCACTGGTCGACTTGAACATGCCCAACGCGGAGAGTCTTCTGGGCTCATCCCACATCTTCTCCTCTGCAATGGGCCACGGAGCTGCGTCATCACTTCCCATTGGCTTCGAGATGTTGGACTTTGAGGCGCGAGGTGACACCGTCTTCTCGGACTGTGTCCTTCTGCGCTTGAAGCAGCATAACCAGAGCAACAATGCGCCGATGATGAAAGCCAAAGGCAATGCAACACCCAACCCAATAGCAAGCTTCTTGTTGCTGTGTCCACTGCTAGTGGCAGCGACGGTGGCGGAGGCAGAGGGTTCGGCGCTAGTGGTCGTTGTTGTCGTGGTAGAAGCGCTGACTGCATGGACCTCGAAAGTCTGAGTGGAAGAGAGATCTCCCTCAGTGGCAGTCAACTCGATGCTCAAGTTCGACGCATCATTCGAAGGAGTACCAGAGAGCGTGTTGGTACTGCCATCGAACGACAACCATACGTCACTCCTCTTACGCTTACTGGACGCGCTCAAAGTAGAGATATCCGCAGTCAACGTAACCTCGGCGCTGCTGAGGTAAGTCGAGTTGATAGTGAAGTTGAATGGCTCTCCAATTGTCGCGTTCATCGCTGGGATGGTGGTCTTAAAAAGCGCGTCCTTGACAGAGATGTTGACCGCGATTTGTACTACGTCTGCGAAAACGTCCGTCACTTGAATCTGAACCAACTCGCTCGTCGAGTTCTGAAGCGCAGTACCAGAAAGCGTAATTGTGGCATCATCGAACTCGATCCAATCAATCCCGGTCGTATTCGCCGTAATCGTGGAAATATTCGACTGTGAGATCTCAATGCCATCCAACTCAATTGTGCTGAACGGAATGGTAAGGTTGAAAGCCTTTCCGACGCTCACATTCTGCTCATAGGTCGTTTGCGTCAACTCGAGCTGATGAGGACCGACCACAATCTCGAATTGTGCCAAACCACCCGTGAACCCAATATAATCCGACGCGATGAGGTTGATGCCGAAGTACTGCGGTGGTGAAATGCCGGAGTTGACAACGGGTGCAGTGCCGTAAAAGGTAAGGGAAGAGGAGTCGAAGGAAAGCCATGAAGGTAAGGGCGTGCCATCTGATGAGGTAGCGTAGTAAGTAAGAATTGAGTCGTCGGATGTGAAGGTGTTGTTCGCGAATTGGAATGAGAATCCGGTGTTGGGGACTAAGACGATGCCTCCTTCGCCGTTGACGGAGCCCGCGCCGTTAAGCTGATGTGATAGAGGCGCGTAGAGGACGGGTCCAGTGTTGTTGGAAACGATGAACACGATGGTGTTTGTTGCTGATCCTTCTGACGTCGACGCGGTGAGGTTGAACGTGTAGTCTGCGACATCCGATGCTGATGGTGTTCCGGAGAATGTACGCGTCGAGCTGTCCAATCCCAACCATGATGGTGCGTCTTCCAATGTGTAGTTGGCACCATCCGCTGACGAGAACGTCTGTGCCGAAAATGTGAATGAGAAAGGCTGATCAATGCGTCCTACTGGAGGAACTTGTGAATTGACAGGGTAATCGAGTGATGGTGCTGCCGATGCTGCAAGAGCGAACAGTGCAACGAAGATGTATGCAAACATCCTGCTGGTGTATATGTTGTCGATAGCAATTGCTGCGAAAAGAACCCGGCAATGATCTCAGATCAATGCACTCCCAACCTGTGAGAGACCGAAGCGTCCGGATATAAAGCAAGCGAAACGGGATTCACGTCAAGGAATCCTCCAGTTGTATAGTAACGACCGGCGTCGAAAGGTAAAAGCGCGTAGCCAGACGGGCAGAGAGGAAGTTGAAGAGGGTTCAGCCGACGGAAGCGGACAGGCTCCTGGTCCAAATCGATTTCCATAACGTCCATGGCTTGCTGGGCTTGGGGTCTGAGGGTTGCTCTAGCTGGACCCCTCCTCACATATCGCATGAGCGCGCGTTGGACGTGCCGGGACGTGCTGGGATTTCACAGCGAACAAGGCAAGGGAGACGAGATAAACTTGGCCCCAACGCATGCCTGAGCACAACTCTGCAAGGATTCTACCCGAAATACAGTGCAGCCTGTACCGTTCTGCCTGCTCACCGAAGCTTCCTCGCTCGGCCTCATCTCGATCCGATCTGCCTTCGCAGCTGTTGCTGTCACCCCTTCATCAACAGCGTGCAGATATTACTGACATGGGTCCGTGTTGACACCCGACCCGTCACCCAGCCACCACACCCATCCATCCCGGTCCTTTGACTTCAAATTGCATATCTGATCTATGTGAGAACATCCACCATAACCCGTGTCCACAAACTCTGCGTGGACCCCGCCTTTCGCGGACGAGGTGTTGGGAAATGGTTAATGAAGCAAGCTCTCAACAAATTATCAGCGGGCACCGAAATAGATCACTGCGTCGACGAGGCTCGTACTCCCGCCAGAAAGTGCTACACGGGCCTCGCGTTCACCGAAACTCGCTCCGTGCCAAATTACTACGGCCCAGGACGAACTGGGATCCACATGCGCTTCATCAATAGTATATAAAAACTCCATGCTACTGCGCCGCTCTATGAAACTCAAGATAAGAATATAACGCCGAAAACGACCGATCATGATGCTGTATGCTAATGCCTCTTCGTCAAATTCATGCTCCCAAACCCAAGGCCACTACCCCCGACCGAACTCGTTTGTCCAAACCTGGGCCCCGCACCACCAACACCAACAGCAACACCAACATCACTCGCTTTCTTAGGCGTCCCCTGGCCCGCCAACTGGAACACCGTACTCCCAAACATACTCTCCAACCCACATCTCCCCTGCGCCTTCCCCAAACTCTCCCTCCTCGCACTTGCACTTGGATCCATGCCCTTAGGCAACCCCAAACTCATATTCAAAGAACCCATCCCCCTCCTATGCCGCCTCATCTCCTCCTCCCTCTTCTTCCTCCTCACCTTCTGCTCCACCAACCACGCCGTATGCCCAACAATAACATGGTGAACCATAATCCCCACACATATCGCACAACTCGTGATATTGAAGCCCATGCTCTCCGCAAACACCGTCTTCCCGACTAGTGCGTCATAAGCGTACCCAAACGCCGCACCAAGGAGCGTGATAACCTCCATCAACCACACCCTCTGACCAACCACTTTGGTATCACTGATTTTGACCGTCGCAGCCGCCAAAAGACCCATCACACCAGCTACACTCACAGCCCCCCACATCCGCGTACAAACCCCAACCCACACGAACCCCGTACACCCCACCGCCACCCCGGCCCTCAAAATACACACCCACCATGGCGTCCGCCTGCGTACACTCTTCACAGCCCGGACAATAACGGGTTCGTCCTCTAACTGCAGCGTACTGCCAAACAACCCCTCCAACCCCGTCGGTTTCTCGGGTGCGAAGAACTTTTGGGGGGCAAGTGTGGTGTCGGCGTCTTTGGTTGTCTTTGGGGTGGGAAGGAAGGGGTTCGAGGGTGAACCGAACTGGTGCTGTGTTTGTGCCCCGAAACCTGGGGCCCGGATAGGCACCTTCCCGTACGGACTAACTATATCAACCGGCAGCGGATTATTACTCCCAGGCCGATAATGCTGGAACGGGCTCCCATTGCTGACTGGTTGCTCAAACACCTTGGCCGTGGGTGGTGGTGAGGGATTCCAATCCATCGGCTCAACGTCCGTTCTGATTTTTGGCCGACTCTTGAAGGGGGTGGGAATGTCGTTATCGGCTTCAGCTGCTGCGTCTGTTGAGGGAAGGATGGGGTCCATGGATCGGGGGACGGTGAAGTTCGGGTTACGATCTGAGAACCCTGGGGTGTTGAAGGGCGCCGATCTCGCCAGTGGCTCGGCAGGCAACTGAGCGAGCTTTGTCGGACTCGCTTCCGGTTCTCGTTTGGCCGACTCCGCAAGCGCCTCCGCAATAGGCGACGAAGGAACCTGAATATCAACACTATCCTTCAACGTAATCTTTGCCGGTAACTGAACCTTCAACACGTTCCTCGACACAACCAAAATCTATCCATGTCGTCAGCAAACGTCCTCTTGACCATCCCCACTTCCCGTTCGTATACGTACCATAATCGACACAACCAAAAACCCCAGCGAAACCTTCGCATACACCTCCTCATCCTCAATCCTTACCCACTTCCCTCCCAACACATGACTCGACACCAACCTCAACGCATGCAAAACCGCCATACACTTGATATTCTCCCGTGTTCCCACAATTTTCGCGCCTGGGATTCGTTCTGCCGCGAGCCATTTATAGTTCCAGAAGACGACAAAGGTGGAGTAAGGGGTGAGGGTGTTGATGTAGCGACGGAAGAGGGCGAGGGCGGTCGGGGAGGTGAGGGGGATGGAGGAGGACCAGAAGGTGGGGAAGTCGAGGACTTGGGGTGGGATGTGGAGGGAGGCGAGGTGTTCGCGGGGGTAGTGAATGCCTGTAGAGCGTCGTTAGTCGGGATCCAAAAAATCACCATTGGAAGTCGCTGTACCCGAAAGATACCACGCCAACATCACAACCGTAACAACCCACCACCCAACCCCTCTCACAACCCAAACCACCGTCCAAAGTGCCCTCACAGCCCCACCCCTCCCTCTTCCCTCCACCTCCCCCTCCCCCTTCTTACTCCTCTCCAACCACCCACCCACAACACTCGCCTTCGCAACATAGTTATTCCGCGCTAATCTCTCCCTCACCTTCGGTGCGCACATTTCACATATCTGCGGATACCTCTCCTCCAAGTTCTCCTTGTACGCTGGGTATGCGGACAAATAGGTCTCGTAGTCTGGGTCGTCTTCGGAGGGGAGGTAGGAGGCTAGGGTGTGTGAGACGAGGGCTTGGTTTGTTGTGCAGGTTGTGCAGAAGGGGGATGAGAGCGGTGGTGGGGCTGTGGCCATGGATGTGGAGGCGAGGGGAGGGAGTGGTTTGGGTTCGGGGACGAAGTCTGCGATGTTGCCGTTCTGTATAGCGCAAGGATACGTTAGCATACGTGCCAAAGGATGTTCATCCGCTGAACGATATACCTCATCATAATGATTCACAGCATCACACTCCGGACACAACCACTCCTTCATCCTTCCCGGGCCTCGATCCTCAACTCTCGACGTCACATTACAATAGAAACAGGTAATAGATCTCGTCTTTCTGAAAAACACCATCCTCCCTCTTTCAAGAAACTTGGAAATTGTTGGTGTTTTGAGCTTAATTGGGTGGGTGCAGGTATGATGCGGTGTACGGCGGCTGGCTGCTCCCGATGAAACACCAAAAGAGTTGATGCTGAGATCGACTGTTGTTGCAATTGGAAGGTCAAGGAGGTTCTTCACGATGGACACGACCATTTTATCCGCTATGATTGACCGCTTTCAGGTGAGTGGTTATGTTGCTATGGTCCGAAGGGTGATGTAGCTGATCACACAGGTGACAGGAGGATGCAAAAACCGGTAAAGAGACATTCCAGCTCATATCCTCATCCTGCGAAACATTCCCGCACACATCTCCTTCCTCACCCACAAAAACTCTCTACAGTACGTCCCATCTCTCCCTTCCGTAACAGTAGGGCTGATCACTCATTCGTAGTCCTCGACTCCTCCTTCAACCCACCCCACCGCGCCCACCTCGCCCTCGCCCGAATCAGAAAAGATGGAGACACTCTCGCGAATAGCCCAACCCTCCTGTTACTCGCAACAAACAACGCCGACAAAGGTGCACATCCCACCGCGCAACTCACCCGCCGCCTCGAAATGATGGAAGCCCTCCGTACCTCAAACCTGTCCGACACAACAAGTGCGATAGCCGTAACCTCTTATCCCTATTTCGTCGACAAAGCGCGTGTGATTCGGGAGAGATGGCCAGATGTGAATCAGGTCTGGCCAATAGGCTTCGACACTTTCCTGAGATTACTGGACCCAAAGTACTACCCAAACCACGACCTACAAGCCGGTTTTGGTGATTTCTTTACCTATAGCCGTGTCATTGCCATCACCCGCCCCGGCGAGAAATGGGGCGAGCGTGAAGAACAGGAATCATTCCTCCGTGCTATCCGTCGGGGGGAACGAAGCGGCGTACCGAAAGAGTGGGCGGAACGGATTGAGTTTGAGGTGCTTGATAGGATTCGGGGGATTAGCTCGACGAGGATTAGGGAGGCGGCGAATGCGGGGGATGAGGAGGAGTTGGGGAGGTTGTTGCCAAGGGGGGTTTTAGAGTATGTTGTTGAGAATGGGTTGTATAGGGATGAGGATACTACGCCGAGTTTATAGTCGACATCACAGCCTGTAGAATATATTCACCACTGGCATACGAGCAGTTGCGTTTGACGATGACTCTGTCGACGATGAAGGCAGGCATGGCAACTTCGGATGGAGGTTCGCCGATAAAGGCAGCGCGTAGGGTGTTTAGAAGTTCATAATGTTCTCAAAGGGTTTGTGGATGGCTACGATGGGTCACTTGGTGCTGATGGTGATGCCATGAATATATTAATCCCGATACCATATGCTATGAAAGCTCCAAAACTCCCTGCTACTAAGAACAGCCCATAGTCGTCACACACCTCGTGCTATCAGATCCCCCATCCCTTTCCAAACACTTCAACGTCCTCTTTTAGTAGTACTGATTAGAGATCCTATACCCCATCTCCTGCAGCCTCTCACAAGCCGGCATAGGCTTCGACTTCGCCGCCTCATACTTCTCTGTATCAGGCCTAATCCCCCAAAACCCATACGCATCATTCATCTCCCTCGTCTTAACCTCATGCTCCCTCGAACACGCATCCTGAAGTCCCCTCACATACGTAACCTCAACCTCATTCCCCAACTTCGAAAACTTCGAACGTGACCAGCCGTCGACTTTTTTAGGGTCGACAAAGTAATTGATGTTGTATTTGGGGGTCGTGCGCATTTCGGTCATTGGAGGTTGTTTTTGGAAGCCCCAGGTTGGTGTGGAAGCTGCGGTACTATCTCCGAAGAGCGATGAGAGGAGGGGGATGATGAAGAGGACGATGAGAGGCAACAGCTGAATCAACTGCTGCACCAAACTCTTCTGCTCCTGCTGCTCCCTCCCCGCCCGTCTCGCACCCTGGGTCCGCACCCTGGGGCCACCAAATCCGCCGCCAAACCCGTTTCCGCCAAACTGATGCATCCTGATTCCCGGCCCTCCCCCAAACGCGACACCAGGCCCGAATCCACCGCCGAACCCGCCACCACCGAATCCGCCTTGTCCGAAGAACATGTTGAAGATATCGTTCGGGTCGATTTCTTCACCAAACATATTTGCTGCGCCGGGTCGGCCTCCGAAGCCGTTGAAGCCGCCTCCGCCTCCGCCAGCAGGCATACGCGATTCTGGATCGCCGCCGACGCGGTCATACATGGTTCGTTTATCCGAGTCAGAAAGGACTTGGAAGGCTTTCGAGATCACTGTAAGCTTGCGGATTAGCATTTGATATCAACTACGAATCGGTCGAACTGACTTTTGAATGCTTCGTCTGCACCTGGTGCTCCGTTCTTATCCGGATGCATTTGCAACGCCAGCTTCCTGTATGCTTTCTTGACTTCTCCATCTGTAGCTTCTTTTTTGATATCCAAGATTTCGTAGTATGCGGTTGCTTTACACCGTCGTACTCTTCGTACCGCAGCTTCCTGCTCAGAGGTGAACTCTCTCTGTTCCGGACCATGTGAATGATTCGCCGAGGGTCGTGGCCGACTCGATGTCGTTCCTGCTGATGGCTGTGCCGAGGATGTCGAACTCGATGATGTCCCTTCTGATGGGCTTGGTGGGGAGCCTGTTTGTACTGTCTTGAGGAAGGCTTGACCTTCTGGGGTGCTGCACATGGCTAATGACTTGTTTACGAACTGTACAAAGAGGTGTCAGCGTACCATTTAGACGACGGCTTACATCTTTTATACCTTCAGGGCACCAGCTGCGTCGCCAGCTTCCCACTTCCTCCTTGCAACCGCCAGAGCCTTGAGCGCATCTTCCTTGTTGGCTTCCATGTTAACGGGCAGTTCCGGACACGTGGAGCTTGGTGTATATGCCGAGAGAAACTCGTATATCAGTCGTTGACGAGTAAACGCAGGCTGATCTGTCGAAGAGATGCCCTATATGCTGTTCGTTGTCGTCGATGTTTCCGGCGCGGTTCTGCTACGTTCGATTCGTGTACCTCTCGGAGCTCGCCCAACGTTTCGGTGCAGCTCAACTACGCGCATGCGGTAAACCACGACGCCAGCTCCCGATCTGATTGTGACACGGGGAAAGCAAGAAAGCAAGGCGTGGAAGAGGCAATTGCGACAATCCGCCGTCAAGACAAACAGCCGGATTATGTTTTGAACGGCCATCACGGAAGCCAGTCACCTGCTCAGCCTCGACTGCCTGCCCCGCCTCTGCTATGCACAGTGCCTGTACCGCTCGAAGGTTAAACCTCGCGATGATTTAAATGACATCGATACCCCATTCAATTCAGATGCCCTACTTGGACCGATGACGACCTCAACAGCTGACTCTATCAATGGCTTTTCCATTGTGACCATTGTGATCTTTATCCTCGTGCAGATCATCGTGATCCGCGGGGTGAAGGTGCCAGTGTTCCTTCCTGCTTTCGGTGATCCCTCGAGGAAGTGGATTCGGACGCATTTTCCTCTGAATCTTGTAACTGCGCCGGTGTTGGGTGTTATCATCCTCCTCATCGCGCAGTGTATAGGATGGAGCGTGGTGGGAAATGGAATCGCGGGTACGGATGGCATTGTGCCGTACAACATCCTGATTCTGTTCTTTTCGTTGGCATACATGGCTATTTCTCTCGACCTGACAGGAATTTTGCAGAGCGCAGGTGAGCTGACGCCGGCCCAGTAACCAGTGTTTCAATACTGACGCGTCTCACAGCTTTCTGGGTATGCAACAAAGGTGGCTCGAAAGGCCGTGTTCTGTACTTCTATTTCTACCTCCTCACGACAGGGCTGAGTGTCGTTCTCGGTAATGACCCCGTCATCCTGAGCGGAACAGGTGTGTTTGAGAATGGCAATCTGAATTTGGGCTCGGCTAACAAAAGCGCACAGCTTTCCTGGTCTACTACACCCGCGTCGCGGAAGTCTCCCCAATCTCCTGGCTGTTTTCAGAATTTGCATCCTGTAATACATCTTCCATGGTCCTCTTCGTCGGAAACCCGACAAACCTCGTCGTGTGTGAAGGGTTCGGGATTAATTACCTCGCCTTCACAGCCTGGACCATTCTCCCCTTCCTGGCATGTTCTGTCGCATGTTACATTGCGTTGTACATCCAGTTCAGGAAAGAGGAGTACATCCCGAAACGAATCTACACCCCCGAGCTCGATCCGAAAAGTGTCTTGCTAGATCCCGTCGGCGCAATCGTGGGAAGTGCGATGCTCCTCGCGTGCCTCTTCGTCCTCATCGGCGCTTCTTTCGCGGGTGTGGAAGCATGGGAGATTTCCATGCCCTTCGCGGTCGGAAAATTGATCTTTGACGTTGTTTGGGATCAGATCAAGTTCATGAAGAAAAGGAACGAGCGAGCGGAAGCTGACTCTGGTAGGGAGCTTGAGCATGTTGATACGCCGAGACCTGGAGAGACTGTGCAGATGGCTTCGTCTACTAAGATGGCGGAGGAGTCAGATACGGAGGGTTTGACAAAGAGGGCGAAGTCGCAGGATCCTGTGGCTGCAGTTGCGGATGGTGATGTCCCTGAGGCTGACAGACCTACTGCTGTTCAGGAAGACGAGGTCCACCCGGATCCCACGGCCACTCCCGCCTCTAAACCCGTGGCGAACGAGCAACGCACCGTCGTCCCCTCTACGTTCGCTCGCAAATGGGAAGTCTTCAAACATCGCTTTCCAACCCTCGCAACCACCCTCCCCCGCCTCCCCTTCGGCCTCCTCCCCTTCGCCTTCGCCCAGTTTATCCTTGTGGAAGCCCTTGCTCACACAGGCTGGATCGCGGTCTTTGCCCGTTGGGCGGCGGTAGTGTGTGGTACCTCTCTCCCGGCAACCGTCTGGTTCTTCGGATTCATGACGGTGGTACTCTGTAACATCAGCGGCACAAATATCGGCGCAACAGTCCTCCTTGCCAAAATCGTGCAACACGCGAACTTTACAGCCAGGACAGGCGTTGATCAAGCGATCATCCGCGGTGCCGTATGGGCAATCGCCGTAGGCAGCAACATCGGTGCCGTAAGTTTCACATTCTCGGCTTCCTTGGCGGGATTACTCTGGCGGACGATTCTGTTGCAGAAGGGAATAAGAATTACGGCTTGGCAGTTCATGAGGTGGAATGTGTTGCCGATCGTTACGATGGCTGTGGTTGGGTTTGCGGTGGTGTATGGGGAGGTTAAGGTGTATTATGGATCTGCTTAATGTGGTGGGCGGGATGGCGTCGCCGAAGCAACTGGTAGTCCGACCGCTTCGTGGCCGCATTATGCAAGCATCTACACGACGTTTCTTCTTGATGGTGCAATAGCCTATCGTAGTGCGAATGTTCTAAGGTTCTCGGTTGCTGACATTTGGCGAGCGGGCCGTGACCGTGCAGCAGCCCGGCAAGCTCTGGACAAGCAGAAACAGAGGACCAGATGACCAAAGCGAGATCATGACTGAACAATCCAATCGTAGAGAATATCAGAATTTGGTAGAAATATACCGGGAACATCATTCTGGCTCCTCAGGGGTGATTGCCGCCGTGTTTCTCGCAACGGCGCTAACTGGACCCAGACTCGACCACACCGCAACAAACGACATCCAGCCCGACAACGACCTCCAACCAACCCCTTCAACGACCCAGAGACTCATCCGTTCTAAGGGCGACATCTCCTAATACATACACCTCATTTCATATGGCCGATATTCGCAGGAAGCTCGTTATTGTCGGAGATGGTGCTTGCGGAAAGACATGTTTGCTCATGTATGCTCAGTTCCGCTACCACACTGCGATTCGCCGTGCTGTACATACATATTTGCCGGATAAATGCTGACTTTCTTGCCTATAGTGTCTTCTCCAAGGGTACCTTCCCTGAGGTATGTTGCGGCTGATCATTCCCTTAGCACATGTTTCGCACACCAGAACATAAAGTCGCTAACGCATATCACCAGGTCTACGTCCCTACTGTCTTCGAGAACTACGTTGCGGATGTTGAGGTCGACGGTAAACGCGTAGAGTTGGCGCTGTGGGATACTGCTGGTCAGGAAGACTACGATCGCCTTCGTCCCCTTTCCTACCCCGACTCGCACGTCATCCTTATCTGCTTCGCTGTCGATTCGCCTGATTCGCTTGACAACGTGCAGGAGAAGGTAGTTCCAAATATGAAAGTACTTCAGAAACTGAGCTGACAGTCGTGTACAGTGGATTTCTGAGGTCTTGCACTTCTGCCCACGCTTGCCCATCATCCTCGTCGCCTGTAAGAAGGATCTCCGATTCGACCCCAAAACTATCGACGAGCTTCGCAAGACTTCTCAGAGCCCGGTGACGCCAGAGGAGGTACGCTTTGTTTCGTTAGAGTCCGTGGAAGTCGTGCTAACACAATGACGTACAGGGTGAGGCTGTTGCGCAGAAGATTGGTGCCGACAAGTACCTCGAGTGTTCCGCCAAGTTGAACGACGGTGTCCGTGAAGTCTTTGAGCACGCCACGAGGGCTGCTCTCTCCCAGAGGCAAAAGAAGAACAAGAAGTGCACCGTCTTGTAAGGTGTGGGCGGGCGATGGTCGAATGGAGTCATCAGTCGGCGCGGCATGCGTCGTGTGCAATTCAGCGTGATGTTGTTTGAAGGATCTTGAGATATTAATTAGGTACTGGAACGGTGGATGGCGGCCTTGTGGATTGGTTGTTTCCTTTTTTGTTTTGAGTATACATCGTGTACCTGAGTGTCTCTTTGATTTACGTTTTCTTTTTGCTTTCCTTCGGGGAATCTCTGTCTAATCTTCTAGCTTTACTGCTGAAATGAAGGATTTTAATGATATGTGTGTCATTGCAAATTGGCATAATAGGGATGTTCTCGGGCATTTGCCTGGCTATCTAGGGTATACGTGAGAGCGTAATTTAAGCACCGCCGCGGAGACTTGACAGGACCTCGTGGATCATCTCCTTAAGCCGACGTATCCATGGGCTCTCCCGCCCCAGCCAGACGAGCAGCCCTACGTTCCGCCTTGAAAGCCTGGATTTTCGCCTTCAGCTCCGTAGCAGGGATAACGTCCTCGATCTTGAGCGGGCTACGGTTAAACGGATCCTTCGGGTCGTTCAGCAAATGAGCCTTGATCGATGACCGGTCAATAGTAGCTTGCGACACAGGAAGGATGACAGGATCCTCCATGAGCTCATAAGTGAGCGGATCAAGGAACTCATCAGGAATCTCTCCCAACTCTTCTTCCTCAGCCAGGTCCTCTAACTTCGCCTTCTCAATGCGCTCAACCAACTTCATCAACGCCTCGATGTCCTTGGGACTCTTCATCGTGTATTTGGTCAGGATGCTAGCAGCACGCTCGAATAACTCCTTCTTGTAAGAACGGCCATCACGAGCGACAGCCAAGATGAACTCCGATTTGTCCTGGAGATTCAAGTAGATATCAATAATCGCTGATAACAAATCCCTCGGAGTAAAGCGGTACTTTTGCGGCTCCTTAACCTTGAGAGTCGTGCACCGCGGGCCCACCAGTGCGTCGACGTTGTAGTCCAACATCGCCGCAAAGCGGTCGACAATCTCATTCGTGCAGAAAGCATCTGGGATAGTGCCGGTAAACAAGCGAAGCATGGCGACAGTCTCGTTCGCGAGCGAAACATAAGACCCTGCGGAACGCTCGGCCGAACGTAAGTTACCTTCAAGCTCCTGGCGCTCACGGGTAGGCGGCGCAGCCGGGTCGACCTGTTCTGCATCTAGCTCATTCTGCAGCTTGTTGATTTCCGTCAACTTAGACAATCCCTCATCAAGGAGGTATGTCGCGTCGTTGATAAGGAGAGCGACGAAACGGATGAAGAAGTCCAAGTTGTTCGTCCGCTCTCTGCTCAACCTGTCGCGGTACGCGGGGTTCTCCCAAACAGCCTTGAAGACTTGGGAAATGTGATACCGGATGTTGAACTTGTCGTAAAACTGCGACGACGCTCCGGTTTGCTCACATTCGATGTAGAACGTCATCATTGCCGGCAAGAGATGCTCCAAGGCGAATGGATCACCATTCAGCATATCACCCAAGCAACCATTCGGCATCCCAGGCTGCTTATAAGTACCGAAGTATAAGATCTCAATGAGCTTTGCCTTCAAGTGCGGATTCTGGATATATGCGGAGGTGCGCACAAAGGTAATAGCAAAGATCACAATCTCGGCACTTGGATTGCTCGCAATGATCCTGGGATCGTTCCGCGAGAGGTGCAGGAAAAATTCTGCGACATCTTCCACCGTGTACTGAGGCAGGTTCCTGAAGGCATCAGGTGCGGAGGGCGGGAGAGGCAAGCGTAGTGGCTGTTGAGGGTGCTGGCCCTTGGGATCGACTAAGCGCAACAACCAAGTCGCAACCACGTTCATGAACAAGAGCGACTGGGTCATCGATACTTTTTCGAGCAACAGCGAATCATAGGCGTACTTCAAGCATAAACTCTCATCAATACGCTTGGCCAGTTTGTCGAGGGTTGCGCGGTAAAGAGGGGCTTGAGGTGTGTTTGCAAACCTTGGCTCCTCCATCCTACCTCTCTCGAGCTTCTTCTTCCAATCTTCGATCTCCTTAATCAAGCTTTCATGCTCCTGCAATGCCAATCCCAACCCGTAGTGATGTGCTGCAACATTCAAGAAGAATACTTCGGATATGAAGTTTGTCGCACCATCCGCCTTGTTTCCGTAAAACGTAGCAGCCTCCTTCTCATCAGCGCTTAGTTTTGTCTCCTCAGCGATCTGCAACCTCGGCTCCCTCCTGAAGTATGCGACATCAATCTTGTCGATCTTCGAGTGCGTGAGATCCATGAAGGGCTCGCAGAACTTGTTCAAGACGGCCGTGACGTTGAGCATAAACCCGTCCGTAGCAATCGTTGCCGGGTCAACTTGCATGGCACGACGCTTGTGATTAAGGTTGATAACCCGCGCAAACCAGTTAAGAACAGCCTCGCGTGCCGTCGGAGACGCACGGACAACTGCGTTGGTAATATTGAACAGTTGCGTCTGCAGCGTATTCGAAGTCATTCTCACGACGCTCATCATATTATCCGGTGCCATATTGTATTTGTTCTGTGGCACATTAGGGAAGTACGATGCAGCAATCTTGAGATGCAACGGAGAGAGCCTAAATAGAGGTCCGAAAATCGACAGACTTTCGATGTTTGCTGCTGTTAGGTTCTCCGGATTCCATGTAGGCAACGTCGGAATCAAAGCCGCCACGGGTTTGAGGCTGACCAGTGTTGTAAACGCATTCAAGTATGGTTGATACCCGTCGGCGATGGTCATGCCGCTCAGTCGTCCACATATCCCTTCCACAACTGGCCCCATAACGTCTTCAAGGCCATCTGGGTTCGCAGCCATCTCTGTCAAGAACTCATACGGCACCGCATTATCACTGGACGGATCCGAAATCAGTAATCTGTCCAACAAGCTTGCGGGTGGTGCCGATGACGACTCAAACATGTCCGGCATGTAGAGTGCAAATCCGGCGAAAGAAACGAGAAGGCGCTTGGTCTCTACAAGCAATTGAGCCTTAGGCTCGCCGCCCGTCTGTGTTGCAGCCGACATGAAACGCGACGTGCGGACAATTGTTTGAGCGCGGCGCCATGACGAAAGGAAATATGTGAAGGGAGAAACGGTCGGGTTTTGTGATGGGTATGCATACAGGACGCGGTCAATGCAGTTGACGTCCAACCGGGGAACTGCGCCCTCCTCCTCCAACTCTTGACGCAGTCCGCTCAGGTATGTTAGAGTGCTGTCCTTCTGTACGGCATCGGGCTATATATAAAGATCAGTTATAACTTCTTCTGGCAGGTTTGAGGCAGACATACGTTCAGAGTAACCTTCAGAATGCTACTTAATGTCGCCTCCGCCCAGTCCTCATAGCTCTGCTGTACCACAGGTTTCGGTTCGGCTGGAGCCGGTTTTGGTGCTTCCTTCACAGGAGTAGTCGTGCGTTGTACAGTAATCGTCTTCGGCTTCGGTGCGGGTACAGACTCGGCAGGAGCTGTGGAAGGTTGAGGCGACTGTGAGGGAGTACCACCGAGCTTCGCCAGACGCTTGGCACGAATCTTGACGAGAATTAGCAATTATTCGTGAGCTCGAACCGGTTCGCATACCTTTTCGGCATCAGACATTGCAGACATCGTGAATTCCTTCCTTCGTACACTCAAGGTTTCTGGAGCCGGTCAAGTCCTGGCGGTGTATGAGGCTACTGCGTCTGATGCGTGATGCCGCCGCCAACGCATCACAACCAGGGCCGGCAAGTGGTAATGTGTATGAATTATTCGCATTTGCTATGGGCTTTGCGGTGCATTACATCTATCAATCTGCCTGCCCTCTTCCCTGGCCCTCTCTTCGTCGACGTTGTCGCGGAGTCGCCCGTGTTGAAAACCCCGGGCCTAGTCACACGTCCAATACCAGTAACATTACAGGTAGCATCATTCTCCTTAAGCCCCAATGGAAATAACATGTTCTTTTTTGTTCACGCCTTCAAAAATATTGGGTGCGCAGACCGGGAAGGTCTTTGCTTCTTGTCGTTCTTCACTCCTCGCAACAAACCATTTGCCTGTATCAGAATCCTTCTCCAGGATATATGCTTCATTTAGAAGCCTTCGGTACATCCGTGACAAGAATCTGGTGTTAGGGTACGAGTGTCCCTGGTCGCTTCTGGATCAGGATCTCTGAACATCTTCGCAAGCCTTCGCTTCTGCAACTCCGTTAATGGAGGTATAATTGTCTCTGGCTCTTGCAGCCGCTGTTCAATGCTCTCAACCAAGTAACGAGGTATTGGAGCAATGATTCTCTTCTTTAGTTCCTTGAATTGCTTTTTCCGAAAATTGACCTCTTGTTTAGGAGTCAGATTTTTGGTAAGGTCAATTGCTATAGGCAATTCCACCTCAAACTGTTTCTTCGGAAACTGACTCTTCGCAAGTGCTGTGAATGGCTCCGGGATCACCGGCGGGTCGCCTTCCAGTCTCCCGGTATGAGCGGCTCAGCTCGAGGAGTTGGAGGAAGGGCAGCCTTCAGAAACACATCACATCGCTCCTCGCGACGTCCTTACGTGCACTCCAATACCTCCTTCAAAGCTTTGAGGTTACCCATGTTTGCCTTCTCAAGTTTCTTCACGTCTTCTTGAGCACTTATCAAACCTGTGGTTCTGTGTGACCGGAACATAGAACGGATAACAGTTGTGAAATGCTCGCGGGCATGTAGATCTAGCAGCATTGCAGCACTGACGAGAAGGTGTCTACGTTACACGGGGGCGGAATACAGCTATGTATGTCGAATACGCGAAAGTGGCAGTTGGCGATGGGCGCGCGGGGAGGAGAAGCAGCTGAAGCGTTCTCACGGTGATCGTAACAACTGTGGCGAGTGAGTTTAGGGAAGACATAATTGAGAAAAACGGAAAGGAGGGGAACACAATTCTATTTTCGCGTAGCATGTCAAATATTACTATTGATGCATCCCAAATGAGTGCCTGTGCACATACGGCTGCGGTACCGGTGACGTCGGGGCGTGGGAACACGTCTGTGTCGTCCTTCAAAAAGATTCCAATCATTCACCATCCCATAACTACTATTGGTTTTGGTCGTCTATTTAGACCGCAAGAAGCAATTTACCCCACCAGTGGCACAACATCGATGCGGACTTCACATTGCCAGGCTTCGAGCGCGGGGCGGAGAGCGACGAGGAGACCGGAGAGAGCAAGACAATGGTCACGTATGGTAAAGGAGACCCGTGGAAAAGTCGTGAAGGATTGACATGCGTTATGGACATGTTCACCAGAACCCTGGCCATTCCCACACATAGTTCCGAGCGTCGTCGAGCGGTACTCACCGGTGGTCTGGAGCTCTGCAAGAAGAGAAAGATATGATTCGGCCCCCACAGCTCAGCGGGTTATGAGCGACATTGAACGGAGAAACACGTTCTCTGCCCTCGTAGCTCAGCCGGTTTAGAGCATCGTGCTTATAGTAATCCGAAAGGGTAACTATGCTTTAGTCACGCGAAGGTCGCGAGTTCGATCCTCGCCTAGGGCATTTATTTTCTTCAGATATATCTTCTGGCTGCAACGGCGGATCCCGTACCGCCACTGTAGAAGGGGTGACGGATGGTGTTTGTGCTGTCTTTTTTGCCGGAGTTGCGCAATGCCACTGAATTTGTAGGTCGTCGTGGGTGGACGGGGCTATAGCGGCAGATGGCGCCGGCTCGCACGGTCGCGGGCGTGTCACCTCGTTTGAGCGGACAGGCTGTGGTTGGGCGTAGGACTTCAAACGAATCTGCGACTCATATTCCATAACAAAACTCGAACCTCTTGAGATCAATTTTAGCTAGGCTGCAAATCACGCTAGCCGGCTCTGCCATCGACGACATGTGAAGTTTCACGCGCGCGGTTGCATGCTTCGAGCCGTCCATCGTCAGCTGTCGGATTACCTTATATTTCTATTATTATTGTCTTCAGCGATAGTTGGAACTGTCGGAACAGCTTCGCTAGCTTCCCTGGACACATTGAAATCGCAGTTGAGGGGTGAGGAAGCGGTGTCACACGGGCGCTTGCGGTCGTCAGCACAAACTACCTGCCTGATACTACTGTCTGACGCAGCTCCATAACCGCCTAAAAACCTCTCCTTAAACCAAACTCCTCCCGATCACATGCCCATACTGCACGTACGATTATCCTATGCGCTTACCTGTTCCCGATGTCCCGTGCTTCCACACCTAGGCCCTGTTTCGGATATGCAACCTTAACCGGTTCATCGATATCCCCATCGAGCATCCGGTTTCAGACGGTATGACCCTTCGCTTTTGTATAGAACGTCCATGCTTATGACTGTATCGGGTCTCCTGATCGTTAAGCTTGTTGGGTAACGTTTACCGTCGGGGCATCGGGGGCGGAGTCGGTGGGGTAAGGAGGGGATGAGGGAGGTGGTGCACGTGTACCTTTGATCGGGAATTCGGATTGTCATTCATGGAAGGCATGTGAAAGATCAGGGAGCCTGTATGAACAGGCATCGTTTGAAGCCTGGTCTCTGTTCCCATCGTTACCGTTAACAATTCATTGCAACCTTGGGATAATGTAACGGCAAATCCATTGGGGGAAGACATATCCGTGACATCCGTGGATGTAGGGGAACAACATGCTTCACAATATGCTTTGCGCTACAGTAATCTCATACGTAAAGGAGGGGCGAACAATATACTCCACATACCTCGGCCCCGGCTCATCGTCAGATAAAGTGTACCACATGCATCGGGAGATCCCTTCCCCAGCCATTTTACTAGTTTTACGTAAGCATAAAGCTTTCCCAATACCCAGAAACGGTTCGGATGTTCGCTTTGGCCGCGGCCGGATATGCCCGCGACATGTCGATATCGATATTCGGGGCGATGGTGTGGAAATAACCAGGCATATGGCCATGGCAAACGGTGTACCACGCACCCTTTCACATGGAGAATACGACCAAAGGAGGAGCAACTACCCCGGAAACCTCGATCACGTTTGCAAAATAGACTTCGATTCTTTCACCCCACTGTTCGTTGGGCGGTGCTGGTTGACTTTTGGCACATGCATCGGCGGAAAAGCACGCTTCCCTGAGCTTGGTAGGGGGATTATAAATACCTCTCTCTTCCCTCCATTACCTTCAACCGCGAGCACTCAGCTGCTATATTACGAGCATCCGTCATTCCTATTTATCAACCATGGACCTTCGCAACATCATGTACGCTGCTCCGGGTGCGACTCCTCAGACCACACGTCCTGACAATGCGGTTTTCTCTCACAGGTGTAACGAGCCCGCTTCTCACATTGTCCCAACGAAATACAACGCGAATACAAACAAACCGCGTTATACTCAGATTTCCCGTCTTCCGCCTCTCAAATGTGACTCTATCCAGCGTCCAGTCGTGGTACCGGTGGACCAGGGCAAGAACCTCTTCTCGCCACAAAGTCCACAATACCACGGTCAATTGATGTCACCCGCACCCTCTCACGGATCCTCAATTTCGACGTCAGTGGTAGACACCACCGAGACCCAAATCATCCAACACCGCAGGAGTTCCACCTCCTCCGAAGCTTCCTCCTCCACCGCCTCCTCTTCTGGCCGCTACACCCCCTACCCAACACAAACTTCCCGTCCCTCGAGTCCCTCAATGACGGTGGCGATGCAGAGATCCATCTCAGAGGCAAGTGTAATGCCGGGTGGGAAGGTTAAGAGGCCGGTGAGTCTCAAGAGGCAGATGCAGCATTTGAGGAGTGAGCAGAAGCGTCGTGAGAATTTGAAGAATGGGTTTGACCAGTTAAAACAAGGTATGCTGAATACTCCGTGTTGACAACGATTTCGGGCTAATCAGTGTACAGCCGTTCCATGTACACGTGAAAGTCAAGACCCCAAGGCGACTATCCTCATGAAAGCAGTTGATTATATCAGTGCCTTGGAAGCGGAGTTGTTGAAGGCGCAAGGAAGAGTATCGCAACTCGAGCATCAAACAGGGGGCAGTTGGTACACTTGAGTGCAATGGAGATTATTTATCAACGAGATTGATTATGTAAGGTGTTGGGTTGCTTGGGTTTAAGTGTACGACGTTCAGCATGCTTGTCTTGCAATTGCTTGTTTTTGAGAATTAGTTTGGGTTGGCTGGCGTTACGTTTCTGTCTTTACATGATACCCTCGATATTAACTGAGCGTCATTGCTTCCGTTTCGTATCATTCAAATTCTCGCGCTCTTGGCTAACATGCTAATAATGGTGATAGCTGGGTATACGGTAGCATCCTCCCAATCTCTATCAAAATATGCTCCGAGCTCCAAAATGACCAGGATCTACTGTTCATCGATATCACGCCCTTACTCCTCGTCTTCATCAAAAGACTTACTCCACGTTTCCAATTTCTTGGCAATCAGCTCATACGTCCAAATCGTCAACGCACTACTCGGCACGGTCCGAAACATATTCACCCCCATCCCAGTATAAAACGACCTCCACCCCTCTTCCAAATACACCTTCCGCACGGCCTGTATCACACCTCGATACTTCGCTGATTTGTCGCCTTTCGTTTGAGTTTGTAGTCGTGTTCGGATTATTTCATGGGGGTATGTCACGGCGCTTGCGATAATTTTCGAGATACTGCTTGCGGCGAGGATCGCTCCACTTCCGGGTTCCACGCCGTCGGCGTTTCCTTGCCATTGGGAGATCCATACTTTGAATTGTTCGTAGAGGGGGAACTGTACGGCGACGTGCGTCACGCCCAATAAACTGGGTCCGAGTCCTCTGTAGAATGTTCGTATGCCTTCGTCTTGGTACATTCTTCGGATGGCGTCGGGTGTTGAATTGTAGTGCCACGGCGTGTGTTTCGATTGTGTCATCAAGCGGGTTTTGACGACCCAGATTGGGTTCGTGAGGGCTGTCGAGGAAGCGCCCGCCGTGAGTGCCGACGCAATATGTGACATCCATGGAGATTCTGTACCGTCGTTAGCTTCCCATCAAGGCTAGTCGGACATTGGCATACCCAGACGATCACCATACCACACCTTACACTTCTCATATATCGTAAAATACGCCGCCCACGTCGGCAGATACCCTAACACCGTCGGCCCCAACCCACGATACATCCCCCTAACCCCCTCCTCATGCCATATTCGCTTCAAACTCGGAATCATACCCTGATATCGTATCGCAGTCATCCCATCCACAGGATGCCGTCGCGAGATCTCAGCTTGGAGGCCGCCTTGGGCTTGTAATCGAGTTTTGACAACATCGAGGGGACAAACGATTACCGCGGAGGTGAGACCGGCTGAGGCGCCGGCAATGGTGTTGTTAACATCTTTGGAGAAGCGCAGGTAGGCTAGTTTGTCTCGGAGTGTGTGCGATGGGTAAGAGAGGTGGGTGGGGGTATTTCGATGTTCGGTTGTGTGTTGTGCGGCGTCGCTGGAGGGAGACATTGGTGTGTGCAAGCGGTACTTAAACAATGACACTGAAGCTGATGTTAGCAATCGTGCTTCGGATGAGGGTGTGGAGACGTACCAGCTCATGATCTATCTCAATATTTTCGTGGATGCGCAGAAGAGATAAGGTATGAACAGGGACCGCAAACGCGATCCGACGCTGAACGAAGAAGAAGTAAACCGGACGCCTTCCGCTGATGTATAAGCTCTGCTCCTCGGTTGCTCAGATGCGATCGGGTGAAGTTACTGCCTGTTGACTCTTGCGCAGATCAGACTCGAAATACAGCTTCAGCTTCAGTGCACTCCGCACCGGACTCACGGCTACCTAAACTTAGGTTCTGCCACAATGTCATAAAAGTCACATGAGATCAGATCTGGGTATAATTATGGCTAAGAGCTATGGGATATCGTACAATTTCCAAACATACAACAATGCATTTTCGGTCATGACTAAGGCTTCGGCTTGACGTCCAGACCGGCTGGTACTTGACCCACTGCGGCAGTCTCCCTGTCAAGCTGCGCTGCTGCATCAGGCTTCTTACCCCAATCCGTCTTCCATGCTGTAAATCATTAGCAAACGTCTCGAATGTGAGTTTCTGTAAGGAAAACGAACCTGGCTCAGTCTTCTGGGCGTTGGCCCTGATGTGTGCCATGAGTTGCGCTCCATTATCAATATCCTCGGCGGCACGCCGTTGCCGCTGTTCAAGGAACTCCTTCTTCAGTGCTGGTGATAATCTCTGTTCCAGTGGTTAGTATTGGAGAAAAGGATCGACAAAAGACAAGGGAACAAACCTTTACGAGTTCATCCTCCGAAGGCATAATGTAATACTGAAGTTGATGCCCTCCGACCGCGATAACAGTACCCCAGAACAGCGCTACACTGCGTGTTAACCGAGGCTTGTCCTATCAAGAAGAGTATCACAAACCCTTGACCCATCTGCCAGCATTAGACATGTTCGTTTATAAACTTCGCACACTCGCCTTCGAAATATACGGGCACGCAGGTTCACGTACTAAACCCCTCTGGGCCAGCCAACCAAAAAGCTGCATTACAGCACCTCCAACATCGACCCCATCAGAACCATCGAATATACATCAGCAAAAATGGCCACTCCCGTTTCCGGTATCTCTCTTGCCAACCTGATCAAGGCTTCGCCTTTCCTGACCAAGGCCTTGACGCCCATCGCGAACACCTACTACAAGTTCACCGCTTACCAGCAGATTGGTTTCCGGTACGTGCCACCAACTCCCCGATCCCGCCTCTCTCCCTCTTTCCGTCGCTCTCAGCGTGACGAGGCAGCTTGGAGATGGCAGTGGACAAACTTTGAGAACCGCGGAGCTGATTCCGATCGCACAGCTACGACGACCTCATCCCCGAGGAGAACCTCGCCATGATCAAGGCCCTCAAGCGTCTTTCGCCAAAGGAGCACGCTGACCGTGTTTACCGTATGCGTGTTGCTTCTCAGTGCTCTATGTCTCACACTCTTTTGCCTAAGGAGCAGTGGACTACGCTCGACCAGGTATGTATATCGATGTGGATGGGTGGGCGGGCAAGGCGAGGCGAGGGTGTGCGTAAGGGTTGTTTGGATCACGTTCAACTGAAGAAGGAAGACGGCTAAGGACCGAGGGGAGTATGGAGGATGGGGCGATGTATGATATCTTGTCGCCATTGTGGGGTACAGACTGCCCAATGACTGGATGACGGGGTATCCCCATAGCTGGCCCGAGCTCCTCTCAAACAAAAACCCTGGACAAAAGAGCAATGACTGAACGTGATGATCCGGCATCCACCCTCGCCCATAACCCATCCTTTACCCCGCCTGGCCATTTTGTTATATATATTTGTGATAAGATGCTGACATTCTCGCACAGGACCACCGTTACATCTCAAACATCCTCAAGGAGGTCGAGGCCGAGGAGCAGGAGCGCGCTGATTTGGATGCTATGATCATCCGCAAGAAGCCCGCGAGTGCCCACTAAACGTACAGGATGGTGATGGTACTGGGGATGCTTTGAGATCGAGATGATCTCAGCGAGGAGGCAGAGCACTGAAGATGGAGGAGAAAACAAATGTACTCTATTTGAGGATGAAGGAGGAAGATGGGGAGGAAAGGTAGCGATATTCATGATGATACCGAGGGGATGACAGAGGAGTGAACATAATACAAATACCTTAAACATATGGATGTGTGCAGCGTGCAGCGTGATGAGGAAGTGCATCGTAGGGATGCAGTGGGGTTGTCGACCCGGGTGATCGTCATTTGCTACGGATCCTCATGCCTTGTGCTTTGAAGCGGTGATTAAGGGTCCTTTGCCACCTGCGCGGGCCTGGTCATGGCATCCTACCCGTCAGTTCCGGTGTACCGGTACCACGAGCTTTCGTTTGATGGGTTTGACGCCGTCTACGCCTTCCCTTATCCAGTCCTTTTGCCACGATGATTGTAAGAAGTGTCGTAGGTGACACGGATTCGAGTTCCAATTCGAAGGCGATATCGATTGTAATAAAGGTACGGTGCGACAAGGTTCGGCTCCGCCCCGGGTAACATGATTTATCGTCGGAGAGTAATTACATGTATATATATGACCAGCTGGTTAACCCGCACTTCCCGCTCATAGCTTACATTTGATAACAATTAACCGCAAGTGACGGTACTCTGATATCCGACCGGGTACAGCTTTCATTTGATGGAGGCTGAATGACCCGCACAGCTGTATGGATGGCCATGGACGTATCTACGTTACGTTCTCATGGCTGTGTTGATCGCGCAATGGGCCAGATCGCTCACCCAGGCACCCCACCAAGCAACGAAGCGCTCAATTGAGACGGATATGACCGCGCGGTGGGAATACCAGGACCCCTCTTGAATTGGTGATATACGGGGTGGCAAATTACCATCTCAACCGAGCGATACGTCGCACGTGTAGATACTCCGAAGTGAGCTTGTGAAACGTTAGAAGTCACGCCGGATGAGACACCGGATCTACGGTGGTCGCAAAAAGAGGAGGAAGAGGATAGGAGAATAACGGGATCACGGCCTTTCGAATTTGCCAGTGAAATGGAGAGTCAACTGCCAGCTTCGGGGGTGGCTCACAGCGGGCTGCCTGGAAATCATGCAGGCGCCGGGTCATGGCAACGGCGGTCGTTGGGGGGCCTCGATATCGATGAGCCGCGCTGCTATTTATGGAACCGTGATTGTTTCGAGGAGCGTGCTGTCAATTGACCAGAAAGGAGAACGAAGTCGTCGTAATCATCGTAAGGGAATCGGCCATCCATCGTACAGACAGAGCTTGGACCGTCTGTTTACTTGCTGCCAAGAACGCGCGTCGGACTGCACCGGTTTCTCGCCCTGCTACTAGGCCCCCCTGAAATCTCCCTCGCCGCTCCACAACAAAAGGCGCCTCGGCTGCCCCACTCCAAAGTTCCTTCCCTACCCAACCCACCGAGCAAGACTCTTCTACAAGGAGTACCCATTCGCTTCCCCAATCTTTCGATATATACGAACCGTACAGACGTCCGGTCCTACCTAATCCCTAATTCTCTTCATTACTATCAACAAAATGTTCAAGAAGGTCCTTGTTGCGTCTTTGATGGCTTTCGCCATGGCTCAGGGTGAGTGAATGCTTCAATTGGCAGCATACATCCCGAGTAAATACTAACCAATTGGTTCTACAGCTGCCGATGACTCGTGCTCCAACAGCACTTTCACCATCAACTCCCAGTCCGACCTCGATGCCCTTGCTTCCTGTGACACCGTCACCGGTAACATTGTCATCACCTCCCAGTTGGCTACTGCTACCTTGAACGGTGTTCAGGAGATCAACGGTGACCTTCAGGTTCTCCAGGACATCGCATTGACCGTCTTGTCCGCTCCTTCCCTCCAGTCCATCTCTGGTACTCTCAAGTTGGTCAACTTGACCCTCTTGAACACTCTCGCTATGCCTGCCTTGACCTCCTTGGGTGGTATCGACTTCGAGACTCTCCCTGCTCTCCAGCAGGTTCAGTTCAACACTGGTGTCACCTCCGCTGACGATGTCCTCATCACCGACACTCAGCTCAACTCCTTGGACGGTATCACCTTGACCACCGCCAACACCATCGACATCAACAACAACATCTACCTCAGGAACATCTCCATGCCCCAGTTGGCTTCCGTCTCCGACACCATCAACATTGCCTACAACTTCGCTTCCCTCTACGTCAACTTCCCCGCCCTCCTCACTGCTGGTAACGCTACCTTCTTCTCCACTGGTGATGTCAACACCCCCAAGTTGAACAACGTTACTGGTGGTTTGGGTTACATCAACGGTTCCATGACCTCCGTCACTGCCAGGAACCTTACCTCTGTTGGTTCCCTTACCTTCAACGACAACACCAAGTTGTCCAACATCTCCATGCCCAACTTGGCCACCATCAACGGTGCTTTCTTGATTGCCAACAACACTGACTTGTTGGTCATCGACGGATTCCCCAAGGTCTCTGAGGTTGCTGGTGCCATTGACTTCACTGGTGACTTCACCAACGTCTCCCTTCCTGCCCTTTCTGACGTCAAGGGTGGAATGAACGTTCAGTCTACCTCTGACGAGTTCGAGTGCCCCTTCGAGGATGACTCCACCAACGGTGTTATCAAGGGTGACACCTTCGTCTGCAAGGGTGCTTTGAAGACCGTTACCACCGGTTTGAATGGTACCAACCAGACCGCTGACGGTTCCGGCACTGGTACCTCCACCTCCTCTGGTTCCTCCTCTTCCTCCACCTCTACCTCTGGTGCCTCCAAGGTTGCCTCCGCCATGGGTGTTGCTGCCTTGATCGCTGGTGCCGTCGCCCAGTTCGCTCTCTAAGCGACTTGAGTCTTGGTTATCTCAGTGAAACGGGCTGTACAAAATTGGAGGGGGGGCGAACGCGTTACAAGTTGGATGCGTATTAATGGATAGAAGATACTATATTAGCATGGTTTTCTTCGAGGAGGTCGGGTCTTTTACACTACGGGCGTAATGGGTTTTCATTCATTGTTTTTTTATTCTCTTCTATTATCCTGAGCGTTATTTGTGGTTCTCACTTCTCTGGATGGTCGCTGATCCTCTGGCTGCTTAACAAACTTTCTCATTGCTCACGTCTGTCGTCCTCATTGTCTTCGTCGTCCGTCGTAGCTTTTCCCAGAATGCGCTGGTGTTGCAGTATATAGCCGCGATGGCCGTATCGAACATGGTAACGTCATTAACGACACGAAATCGACATTCTCGAAATTCGCACTTGAAAAGCAAGAGACTCCCATCCGAACGGCCAAGGCAGTACGGTAATGTACCGCAGACCATCTCAGATGGCTTTCCGCCTTCCACGACAGCAGCATGGTATCTTTAGAATAGGTGGTGCACGACTTGTTAGCATGCTTCCGCCGCGAACAGTTCCAGCTTGGACGATCGCTCCACCATCGCCCGAATCCCTTGGAGCGCCGAAGAAGGCATCGAAGATTTCCCGGAAACGCACGACGCTCATCATTCTTGGATTAGCTGGTGTTGGATCGTATTTCGCAGACGGTTACTTCAACGGTCGTGCGATTCGCCGGACGCTCCGGACGGCGTGGACTGGAGTCGTCATCGCTGTTGACTACAAGATTAATTTCCATGAGGGGAACGCTGCGGAAGGTGGTATCGATAGGTTGCACGAGAGGGTTGCGAAGAGGATGTATGACACGATTCGATCGAATGGGTATAAAAGAACTGTGCCAGATACCTCATGAGTGATGCTGACGAAGTCTGTGTACAGAGGTCTATACATCAAGATTGGACAAGCACTTGCGATGCAGGCGGATATCCTCCCACCGGCGTACTCGAGGATGTTCTCGACCCTTTTCGATTCCGCACCGGCAATACCGTGGCGCGAGGTTCATAAGATCTTGACAAGGGAACTCGGAAGACCACCAGAGGAGGTGTTTGCGTATATTGACCCAAGGGTCGCTGCGTCGGCTTCCATCGCACAAGTCCATAGGGCACGACTACATACCGGCGAATGGGTCGCTGTCAAGGTTCAGAAACCTGAGATCGCGAAGCAGGTGGAGTGGGATCTGTGGTCGTACAAGATGCTGTTGTATGTGTACGAGAACTACATCTTCGACATTCCCATTTACTTCACCGCGGATTTCACTGCGGCGCAGTTACGTTCTGAAACGGACTTTGTCAACGAAGCGAAGAACGCGGAGAAGACCGCTGCCTTCATCGTGACTGAACCATCCCTCCATGGTCGTGTACGCGTACCAGAGGTATTCTGGGATTATACTACTAGCAAAATCATGACTGCAACTTGGGAGGAAGGTGTCCGTATCAACGAAAACGAGAAGATTAGGCGCATGGGGATTAGCCACAAAGAGGTGATGCAGACAATGTGTGACCTCTTCGCAGCACAGATGTTCAAGTTTGGGTTCTTGCACGCCGACCCGCATCCAGGGAATATCCTCGTGAGACGGAAGGCGAAGGGGAGAGGTTCAGAACTTGTGTTGTTGGATCATGGACTGTATATTTCTGAGCCGGAGATGTTGAGGGAGGATTACTGTGAGCTTTGGAAGAGCTTGGTGACGTTTGATAACGCGACCATCAGGAAAATTGCCGTGGGTTGGGGTATCACGAACCCGGACCTCTTGGCTTCCGCAACACTTCTGAGACCTTACTCTGGTGGTAAACGTGGATCACTCGGCGGCGGCAAGGACGGAAAGCAAGGAAAGATTCTGGATCCATATGAAGCTCAGCTTGCTTTGAAGGAGAAGTTGAAGTCGTTCTTGAGCGATACCTCAAAGATCCCACAAGAACTCCTCTTCATCGGTCGCAACATGCGTATCGTCCAAGCCAACAACCGTCAACTCGGCTCACCCGTCAACCGCATCGCAATCCTTGCTAATTGGGCGTCCCGATCCCTCGCTGACCTTCCACGCGGAGCATCCTTCTCTGCTCGGATAGGCGCTTGGTGGAAACATATCAAGTTCCGGTTTGCCATCACGGTGATCAATGGAACCTTTTACTGGACGAGGTTGAAGCAGATCGTGACGGGGAGTACGGATAGTTATGAGGATTTGATTTTGAAGGAGATGAGGAGTGTTGCGAGAGGTGTGGGGTTGGATGTTAGTGATAGAGCATTTGAGGGATGATGGGTTTTGGATGTATAGGTTAGGTATGTAAGAATATTGAAGTTATGGCTAGGTCACTAGGTGGATAGCTATTGCTGAAGCAAAGACATTAGAGATACAGACGCTGACCGTATCGAATGACGGAGATCAGACTGTCCACAATTTAGCCAGGATGCCTCGCAGAATAGCACAATCATACCTCAGAACCATCATCAATCCCGCAGGCATCACCTTCCTGCTACCAGCATAACGCTTGGCAAAGAATCCCAATAACAAGAGCGAAACCCAGAAGATCATCTTGGCGTTTTCATACTCGCGGGATGTGAGGGATGCTCCGTAAGCGATCAAAAGGGCGGAAATACTCGCGCTGATGATCCTGTATGTCGTCCGTCAGCAGTGCTCCGGGTGCAACTATAAGCACAACGTCGACATACGAAGCGATTGATTTCGCCTTGATGAAGCCAATTGCTCCGCCGAGAAAGGTCAGCAAAGCGAATGAGTAGCCAAAGAAGTCAATTTGAGCAGAAGTAGGAGCCATTTTGTGGTGTTTGGTGTTACGTTTAGGCAGGATCTTTAGTTATGTGATACCCCGATCAGAATGCGTTCATTAGAGATGTCCCGGAATTGGTGATGTTACGCGTATCTTCGTTACAGTGCAGCTGCAGATGCAGGGATCGAGAGACGTACGAGCTCGAACTTTGAAAGGCCGAGCGCAATTACGAGAGAAGACAAGATGTCGGCAACACATTCGCAGCCATTGTTGACGAGGCTTTTGACGTTCAAGCAGGCAAATGCTTCGCCTCTTATCTCGTTCTTGCCAACGTTGTCGCAGTCTTTGGTGCCGGTGACTCGATCCTTCGTAAAAAAGGCACTGTTGCAGTGAGTACATCGATCTGCTTGACGTATCAACAGTCACTGACATATCTTAGAGATTTGAGAGTTCTATACGTTACATCTGAGTCTAACACTAAGCATGTACGAAACATTTATGGTGCTGAGACCGAGGTCATCGAGACTCTTCGACCATCACCAGATGGGTCCTCCTACAACCGACTTTCAGTCACGCAAACCCTCGCTGAAATCAAATCACGGATAACATCTGCAAACTGGACGCCCGGAAAGTACATACTGGTGATCGATTCTCTGCGATACATTGATGCTGAGAACGTTGCTGCGTTCGTGGGTGCATTGGCGAGTCTGCGGCCATTGAGTGTGTTAGTGACGTGTTCAACGTCGGTGCCGGAGGTTGGTGGGACGTATTCGCCTGGGAAGGAGACTTTGTTGAGGTATCTGTCAACGACGATTATCTCGCCGTTTGAGGAGAAGACGTTTGGGGCCGTCTCTTTAGATGACGAGAAACCGGTGTGGCCACTACAACTATCAGCACAAAGACAAAGAGATCTCTTACTCACCGTCGAGCATCGAAGAAAATCCGGACGTGCGGTAGTGGAAGAATGCGTCTTCGACATCGTTTCCTCGACAGTGAGGCTATACAAACCACCAGCACCATCTCTACCACCACCGAAGGAGGAGCCAAGTGTCGACGATGTTATGGCAGGCCTGACGACATTTAATTTGGGCATGACGGAGAGAGAGAGGAAGCAGAAGGAGGGTGTTGTGTTGCCGCATTTTAGTGCGCAGGATCTGGGCGGGGAGAAGGACGAGAAGGGGGATGAGGGGAGCATATGGTATGAGCCGGGGAGCGAAGATGATTATGATCCGGAGGATCCGGATGATGACCTGTTCCTGTAAGGTGGGAAGGATAAGAGTGGGAAGAGATCCAAATGGGAAGCATTCGGACGGAAGATCAGAATAGGTAGTGCCATGACAACCACCGCCGAGGCTGCTACAAACGGCTTCTGAGGTTCTGAAAAGGTGGCCTCGTATGTACATCGTGTTGCCCAACTAGGAAAGTGGCAGATGGACCACGAAAATTCCGCCAAAAAGTTTAATTTGAAGCAAATGACTAAAGATAATTCCAATATAGCTAAAACGCCGTTCCCTTCCATAGCCCACACCTATATCCTAACCCTCGCACCTATACCAGTTGCGTTGTACCCCACCCAAATCGGCTTCATAGTCCCCACGCTCACCAAACACTTTGCCACAGCATCGATCTTCAAATTGCCTCCAAGAGCCTTCTTCACGATGTCCTTACCCACGCCACTTGGATCCCAGTAGACAGGGAACTTGGGCGTTTCCGTATCGCCGGGGTAGAGTGTGAACGGCTGATCATACGCAAGTCGCCCGAGGAATGTACCGTCGTGTGTTGCGTTCCCTTCGATATCGTAGATGATCAACCGTGTCTCCGGGAACGGGTCGTGCAATATGAAGTTCGCGGACGAGGAAAGGACATGGAAAGTCGCATCTCTCATGAACTCGCGATCATGCCCCTCTTCGCCATCAGCAGGCGGGAACATCTCCGGGACCGGCATCGAAAACTCCAACCCAGCCATCGCCTCTGACAAATTTGGTGACGACGGAATTGATTCTCGATGCGTCCTCAACGTCATCGTCAGATTCTCCTTCGAGACATACGCAGAGATAAACTTCGCCCCAGCCTCCTTCGCAGTCTTCCCCCCATAATGCCCCGGATCAAAGACCGCTTGCCCATGTGCCACGAACGGCTCCCCCGCTCGGACTTTCAAATCCCTCACCGTCGCATCCCCAATAACAGACCCATTATATATCAGGTGCACGTTCATATATGGTATTACCCCTCCATACGGCGTCGTGTTATTCATCCTCGCATCCGCACCAAACGTAATCGACGAATGCGTGGTGCCCATCAGCTTCATCCCCTCGAACTTGGGCTCGAACTCGGACATCGGAAGGCCTAAGCTCAACCTCACCACGTCAGTGTTTGTCACAACCACAACCCGCCGCACGCTCGCTCTGCTCTACCAGGGACGTGGAAGCGTACCGTTCATCCCAATCTCACCCACCGCTGGCAAATTCCTAACCACAAAGTCGCCCATCCCGGACTCGATGCCTGCGTCGACGGAACCTTGCATCCCAATAACCACATCCTTCCCACCAAAAATAACACTCCTCATAATCCCCCTAAACACCACCCCATCCGTAACCTCAAACGGAACATTCGAAATATCCGTCTTAACCACTACATCACCCTCATCATCCCTCCTCGAAATAGCAGGCGCGAAGTCCTTCATCTCCAACCTCCCGAATTTGTCCGGTCCATCGTAGAGATCGACCATAGATGCTCGGACCTTCGTGACGTTCACGCCGAGTTGCATCTCAGAAGGTAAGCCGACGGTTACCTCGATTACGGCACTGACAAGTGGGATGCCGGCTGCGATGGAGAGTTTGACGTTGGACATCTGGAAGTTCTTGATCATGTTTTCAGCTTTGTGGCCGGGAAACGGAACAGGTAGGGTCAGAGATTCGAGGACGCGTGACATCCAGGCGGGCGTATTTGAAGAGGGGACGCCGCGGATGTAGACAGTGGTTGCGTTTCCAGCCAGGTAGGTTAAGAGGAAATCGTCCATTGAGCTCGTATTTCTCCCGTCGCATACCGCGGTCAACGCTGGGTCAAGGCGAGGGACATGGGCACTGAGGTGCAACTCAACGTCCTTCTCGGGTACAATCGGGATCGACGGCGTAGTGGTTTTTGACAGCTCCACCAACTCCTCCGGCGAACACCGCGGCAACAGAATCTGCCAGTCAAGAGACGGCACTGTCAGCCCTACAGGACTCGGGTTACGCATGTGCGCATCAGCAGAGACTTCGATTCCGTTAGTATCGTCTGCCGGATCGCTGAGCAGGATGTTGCTAATGTCTGGGTTTGAGAAGGTTGGGAGATTGTCGAAAGTCATGCGTTCTGATACTTTGCGGGTGCCGATCGGAAACCAGCCCGCTTTTGCCTTGGCTGAGGAGTCTGCCTTCACGGTGATCCGGGAGAGCTTCCCGTCCATGTAGTCGTGGAGGAGAGGCATGAGCTTATCGAGGTTATCCGCTGGTTTGACCAATGTAATAACATCGATGTCATTCTCATGCCCATCACGGATGTCCACGGTCATGGCCGGAACATCGGCAATCCCCAGAGAGAAGCCATCGTAATCCGGCAGAGTGACTTCCATGGAAAACTCCGATAAGTGCACCTTTCTCACAATACCCGTCCCCCACCTCCCGACTCTCCGGATAAACTTGTCATCAACGCGGGACGCATCCAACCCCACGGAACCTCGAGCTTGCATCCAAATACCCTCATCAGTGAAGTTCAACACGCTCGCGTTGTAGAACGAATATGTCATCGCCTCATGTGCATATCGATCTGCGACCGGCGGCAGCTTAATGAGAAGGGTGATGATCGCCGCAATGATCCCAAGCAAAAACAGAACAGCAGCGATGATAGCCACCCAAGAACTTGTAGGACGACGCTCATAAGCACCGATTTCCTCATCCGTCAACCGCTGTCGTCCCTCATATCCATCATGACTCCCATGCGCATCCTCCGACGCACTGGACAAGAGCGGAGTCCTCTCGGTGTTCTGCACAAGGGACGAAGGCTGCCGTGAAGGACCAGCTCCAGACTGTTCTGGCAGTACCATTATGTAAACAGAGCGTTCAAACGTATCGATATGGCGGTAATTTGGCGGTAGTTGTCTAATCAGTGGCTTGGCTGGGCGGCTGAGCGGGGAGTGCTTCACCTGTCCATGAGCGCGTGTCGACGTCAAAGTCCTCGGGGACCGAGCGAGGAAAAATTAACCCCTCGAATAATAACGATCCCATTCCGTAGAGTCGTGAAGTAGGCGTCCTGTATACACATGTGCAGCTCGCATAAGATATCCAGATATGACGACCTCCCAACCTCCAGCCATCCATTCGTACACTACGGAGCACTACAACGGCAGCCAACGCACCATCCAACAGATCAGTCCAACACTTAAAGGAAGGTAGGCTAGGACCTCTCAAGCCCTGAGTAACACTTAGGGGTAATTCCTGTATTGGGTCTAACACTTAGAGGAAGGTGAGCATACTAGGGCTTGGGTTAGTGAGCCCGCGGACTGGCCAATGACGGTCGCCCTTTCACCTGACTCGAGGCATCCACCTGGGCCGCAGCATCAGGCTAAATCTCGCACCAGCACCAAACCCGTTTCGTTTTCCGAATCATCGCTGAGATCTCTACCAATCTATTTATGGCCTCCAAACTCACGTCTTCGCTTTTTCGCTCCTCCCATTTCACCGCTCGCGCTTTCGCACCCTCTGCCTCCGTCTCCCGAGCGCAGATCAAGTACACTTCTTCTATCAGTCCCATCTCCATCTCTCGTCGCAACATGGTTTCCGCCGTCTCTACCTCCGATGTCCGTCACTTGATGACCATCGCCGACCTCACTCCCAAGGAGCTCACCTTCCTCATCGACAGATCAGCAGCGATCAAGGCCGCTACCAAGGCCGGCGAGATCCCCGAGGCCACCGCCCTCAAGGGCAAGACCGTCGCTGTCATGTTCTCCAAGCGTTCCACCCGAACCCGTATCTCTACCGAGGGTGCCGTAACTCACTTCGGCGGACACGCCATGTTCTTGGGTAAGGACGACATCCAGCTCGGCGTTAACGAGTCCCTCTACGACACCTCCCGTGTCATCTCCTCGATGGTCTCCTGTATCGTCGCCCGTGTCAACGGTCACTCCGATGTCGCCAACTTGGCCAAGGACTCCTCCGTCCCCGTCATCAACGCTCTCTCTGATGCCTTCCACCCTCTCCAGGCCCTCGCAGATATCCTTACCATCAAGGAGTCTTTCCCTGATAGACCCCTCAACACCTTGAAGCTCGCTTGGGTTGGTGACGCTAACAACGTCTTGCACGACCTCATGTTCGCATGCGCCAAGGTCGGAATCAAGGTTTCTATCGCCACCCCCAAGGAGTTCCCAGTAAGCGAGGACATGCTCGAGATCGCCCGTGCCGCCGCCGACGAGCACGAGGGCTGCGTCATCGAAACCACCCACGTCCCAGAAGAGGCCGTCAAGGGCGCAGATATCATCGTCACCGACACGTGGATCTCCATGGGTCAGGAATCAGAGAAGCTCACCAAGTTGAAGCAGTTCGCTGGTTACCAGGTCACTAATGAGCTCGCCGAGCGTGGTGGCGCCAACGCCGACTGGAAGTTCATGCACTGTCTTCCCAGGCATCAGGAGGAGGTCTCTGATGAGGTCTTCTACTCCCCCAGATCCGTGGTGTTCGAGGAGGCCGAGAACAGACTGTGGACCATGATCGCCGCCATGGAGACCTTTGTCATCAAGAAGGGCAAATTTGAGTAAGGTGCTTTCTGGGTTCGCAAGAAGTTGATGTGTCTGATTATTTGTACGGCGTTTTTTTCTGATGCGTGATATCCGCATATGCATTTTCAATCGAATCTGAGGCAGCTGGTCATGGCCGACGATGCTCAAGTGCACACGGACCCGAAGTGCCCTGATGTTGTTTGGGGATAGACATAAGCCGCAAGCATATACTACCTGCTGGCTTCAGGGAAAAGGGATTAGGATAGTATAGATTACAAGGTAATAAATTATGATTAACCTCCAGTCAATAAGTTATGGCCAAATCTCCAATGATATATCACCTGGACAAGACAGTGCTGCTACGTCCAGCATCATACATAATCATTACGAAACCTGAATAATCTTCTTCTGTTTCTTCTCCCTCACGCTCTGCTGATGTTAACTCCAACGGTGTAGGATGAGGTATTCTCAACCTAGGTGTTCGAGGTGATCGCGGGGAGAGAGGTGAACCTGATGGTCGTGGGAAAGAAAGGGACCCTAAATTCGAGAATCTTGGCAATGTGGGCGTCCTCGATGGAGACCGTAAGGGTGGAGACAACATGATAGTCGGCGGTGATAAAGGCGAGTTTGTAAGTTGAGGCGATGGTGGTGACGCTGGTGATGGCGGAAGGAGAGGATACTCAGGTGACGAGTAGGCTGAGTCGACCGAGAAGCGAGAGGACCCAGCGTAACTCGGTGGTGGCGGAATGATGTTGATTTTCGGAGGCATTCGTCTGCGAATACTCGGTGGGCTAGATGTGGTGGTTAAGGGGAGGGTTGAGGATAACGGCGTACGGGGTCTTCCTGGCAAGGACGACAGTGTCTGTAACCGAGCACCAATACCAAGATCTTGTCGGTACAAATAATAGTAGTAACCTGCTGAACATACTCCACCCAGGTTGACTACGGTAAATCCGAGCACGGAGAGCACGATATTCTGGATTTCGAGGGCTCCCAAGACAACGCACGGTAGAACAAAACACTGTGAGAATGCCATGTCAGCTCGAAATTCAAAAGATCTGACAGCGTACCAACACATTGCGCCAACAGCGTCAAAGACCACGACACAACTCTTCTCGCAGCCAACCTCTCCAAGTACCGAATCTGGTGGTTTCTCCTGTTCTCAAATGCTCTTCGTTCCTTTTCTGCAGCGAACCCAGATCCAGACAGTCTCGGAAGCTTCATGTCAGTCTGTGAGGGTCGGACGTCTTGTCGACTGCAATGATAACTGACACCTATCATTGCGATAATCATGCTCATCGACAATACTGCAAAGTATGCCAACGAGACCAAGGCCACTCTCCTCGACACACCAGGCCATGTCTTAACAATTTCACTATCGGTACGTCCATGGATGAGCCAAAATTTCGAGGGTGCCCAAGAAGCTATCGAGAGAGCAGCGCAAAAAAAGACAAGTACGAGATTGTGGCGGTCAAGGTCGAAGGATTGTTGGACGACGGTGATGATGAGAGCGTGCATGGCGAAGACGGTAACGATGATGGGCGTAAGCCAAATTGCTGTACGAAAATGTTAGCCTTCTCAAGTGTCAAGAATGGGGATCGTTATTCGTACTCCACCAAAACAGGCCTCGAATAGTTGAAGTCATGGACTCACTGTGTATCGAAGCCAAAACGAGTCGGACAACTCCCCCAATTGCAACTCCAGTGCAGACTGCCAAAGGCATCCTTCTGGCAACTGTAACAGCTGCACCTACTTCTCTGATGGTGACGGTGACGTCGGCACTAGGGTTGAGAAAAAGCTCACGGGTCTGAAGACTGAGTCGTCGAGTTCTCCGACTCCGATAACCGGTCTCCAATATGTGAAGAATGACCAGGAGAGCAAGCAATACGTCTAAGGCGTTGAGAACGAGGTATGTCCACCCAATTGCGGAGGTGAAAACACTAGGTGCTGCTGAGGAGCTTGGAGAAGTCGAAGAAGAAGAGACTGTGGTCATCGTTGATATTCGTGTATTGTAAAGGATGCCAGTGAGCGTGGAAAGGAAGGAGAAGAGCGAGTGACGCGAAAAACGACTGCCAGTAGTGTACCAAGTATCTGTAGCTCAACCCCACTCAATTGCCCTTCACAACTTGGCTGCAGATGAGCGCCACGATGACACTGAACATCCTGGCAGGAGGGCTGTAACCGGCGTCTTCGAGAGTGCTTCAATCTCCATGAGCCTTGCCGCTTGGACTTTCACCGGTTGCAGTCAATATAAGGTTGGGTTGATTTACGAGAAGGTACCCCGGTGTTTCATGACATGCATGGGGCTCAAGCTGGGCTCAGGATTCACGGCAAAGTACTCCGCTATTTCATACAGACGTTCGGCAAAAGAGGGGAAGGTCATTAGGTGATCGCCAATAACATACGTTGTTGTATATAGCATCGCATATTGTCGGATGCCCATCGGTAGGATAGCGGTGTGGGAGTTCTTAAAGAAGCCTGCGAAAAAGAGACGAGAGATTGCGGTACGACGGATGTTTCCGCTCGTTTTATTGTAGCTAAAAACTTTACTCAGCTCAACCGAAAATAGAGTAATCGAAACCAACACTCTGCAAGAAAGAGCAGTCAGTGGGACGAAGGGTCTGGTTAACCTTCGCATCACCCAACAGGTAAGCGTTAAGCTTGTTCGCGCTCTTCACCGGGGACCAAGTCTTATAACCAACAGCGTTAGGGCTACCGGTCTTGGCGAAAGCAACCCAACGGTCCATAACCTCAGCAGAAAGCTTCTTCTGGGAGGAGGTAACAGAAGTATAGGTTCCGAAGGTGAGGTAGAGGTCATCCTCGTGACAGACCTCAGAGCTGGTGCAAAGAGAGAGACCACCGTTGTCAGGAGTGTAAGTGATACCCTTCTCGAACTCGTAGAGGTACACGTTCCTGCCAGAGGAAAGAGTGACGGCGTTGGCCTGAGTGGGACACGTCCAGATGAACTCAGTACCGAGCTTAGCCAAGGCCTCACGAACACCATCGGAGGAGTCATCAGGGGTGTAAAGACCAGAATAGAGAACCTGGATAGCACGGTCCTGACCCATGACAGCAACAGCGACCTGAGCGAAATAGTCAGAGGAGACACCGGGGTAAGGAAGCTGGGCCTCGATGGTAGGGTTGGCCTCGTCGTGAACGGTACCCATGATCATGTCGACATTGACGGGGAGGTTGCCGGCAGCAGCCAAAGCAGAGAAGTCACCGATGATGACAGACCCGTCAATTGCAGGGGAGATGGGCTCAGCGAGAGCGACACCAGTAGACGCAGCAACAAGGTAAGGAGCCTGCTGCTGAATAGCAGCCTGTGCGTTCAAGATGTCGTCGATGCTGGCATTGCGCATGCAGGCAATGTCAGAGCAATCAATGTACGAAGAAGCAATGGCACCAATGATGTCAGCAGAGACATTGCGCGACTGGAGACCGTAATTCTGGGGGTCAGACTGGATGATCGCACGGTCAAACAAACCCTCGGAGGCTGGAGAGGACATGAGCGCACGGATCATGTGACCACCAGAGGACTGTCCAAAGACAGTGACCTTGTCGGCGTTACCACCGAAAGCAGCGATGTTGTTCTGAACCCACTTGAGAGCCATCTGGGCGTCGAGGGTACCCATGTTACCGTTGGTGCCGAGACCGTCGAAGTAACCGAGGAGACCGAGACGGTAGTTGAGGGTGACGACGATGACGCCTTCGGAGGCAAGGTTGGAACCGTCGAACGCAGCGTCGGAAGAACCGCCGACGAGGAAGGAACCACCGTGGATCCAGACCATGACGGGAAGCTTCGAGTTCGAGGAGGTGCTGGAAGGCGTAAAGACATTCAACGTCAAACAATCCTCAGAAGTCTCACGGCCGGAGTACTGAGGACACGAAGCCCCGTACGCTGAAGCATTAAAAACAGCCGTAAACTTCGGAAAGGCAACCGGATCCGCAAACCTCAAGTCATCGACTGGAGGTTGCGCATAGGGGATGCCGAGATACTCCTTTCCAGAAGAAGTGGTGATACCATAAATCGGTCCAGCCGAGGAGGTGTTGATGACGCCCTTGCTACTACTCTTCAGCGACTTGATATAGCTGACAAATTTGGTGATGATTGACCTTTTGCATGCGGTGCTAGAGCTCTTGGCGGCTTCGGCACCAGTACTTGCGAGGAGGATGAGTGCGAGAGCGCAGAGAGTGAGGTTCAAGATTCCACGCATCGTGCACACGCGTGGTTGACAGGTCGATAAAGGCGGCCAGCGTCGAGATGAGTAAGTGTTCTGGAAAAGAAGCTGAGTTGTCAACGAGGGAGCGGCATAACTTATACTCCAGCCGTGGCCGCCCCTCCTTTGACACCACACTGGTCCGTGCGTGGGATCGTACAAGTCATCAATCCTAGACACCCAGGAGAAAGGAAACAAAACGCCCTCATCGCTTCATAGTCCCCACGTAGGCAGTCCAGCAACTGATCGGTTCATTCTTCGTTGCTTTCTTTGCATGGACGGAGTTCATATACCGAATTACCCTTTTGAGACACCAATGATCCCTCACACCACCAAGAGCACAAACGAGCCCCTTGAACGCTGCTCAAGAACGAGAATAGTGTTTCGCTTCTGGTTCGGTGTAAGCGAGTGACAATGGAGACCGACATCCGCGTCCGGGAGGTTGCCGGTTGCCGGGGTATCTGGATGCGGTCATCGTTGGGGTCGTATGAGAGGAGATGAGGCCGTTTCCGGAGGTATCAAGCTTTGATGTGAGGGCCTGAGTGACGGCTAGAGGAGAGAAGCTTCATTATATGAACGACGATCGAGCCATATCACGGCCTTTCTGTCTAGGTCTACCCTTTCTCACAACAGTTTCCGGTGGTGTCTCCTCCATCTGGCGCATGCTCCCCGGGCACGTCACGGCCACAACCCCGCATCACGTACTATCACATCCTCGGCGGCAACATAACCTGACCCCTCCTAGGAACCTCATCAACCCTTCCCCTCTGCACCGCCAACCCCGGTGTAATCCACTCCCCACAACTACACGTCATCCCCTGCCACGCATAATTCCCAATCTTACTCCCACACTTAGGACACCCAAACTTCCCCTCGATCTCGCCCTTGTCGAGTTCAGGCTTCATCCAGATAATTGGGTCGAGGAAGTAGAGACCGCATTGGGTTGGGAGGACGGATTGTGGCGTGAAGGATTGGGGGGAGTAGCGGCGGGTGGAGAAGTGCTTTTCGGGGGTGTGAAGGATGATGTGTTTTCGCTGGGCAATGGAGTGGGAGCATTTTTTGCAGCGAAGTTCGACATCTTTGGTTTGACGTGTTGTTGCAGAAGCCGAAGGTGATGACATTGTTGGGCGAGCGAAGGGATGTGATGTTGCAACCATGTTGACACCCTCACTGTTCTGAGCCACAGTCTTCGCAGCATGTTCCATTGCAAGTCCTCCAGCCTGGCCTGGTAACGAAACACCCACGGGCCCAATAGACATTCCTGCTGTCCTCTCCACACTCTCATACTGCGCAACAACCGGTGCCCTCCCATTTGCCCCTGCCGTAAACGACTCCATCTCCCTCTTCCACCTCCTGTAGCCCGTAGTATCCTCGATCCCATGCGGACACCCCTCACTTTCATAAATCCCCAACTGTCGCATAAACCCTGGGTTTGGCTCAACCTGTGGTCTCTTCTCCCTCATCATCCGCAATGCATCATCCAGGCCGATCTTGAGAGTGCTCATGAGGTATGCAGCAAGGAGGGTTGCGGAGCGGCTTACGCCTGCAACACAGTGGATCATGACCTTATTTGTTGGCGAGGCCTCAAGGGCGGCAGTGATGAAGGTGTTTGAGGTGGGGATGTGGCGAAGGAGGTCTTCGTCGTCAGTATCGTCTACGTCAAGTTGGAGGGTGGTGATGTTGGGTCTGAGAGGGTTTCCAATCTTCAGAACGTTTGCGGCGTCTGTAAGAGCAGAGACGACATGGGTGATGCCGTTCGCCTTCAGGAGGGTGCCGGCACGGACTGTGTACAGGCTGTAGGCTTCAACGTCAGCTCAGACAGCTCCCAGAGCGTATGCTCGTAAGAATTCATACCTTCCAATGTAAACGCGGTCAACGATCTCTTCCATGATGGTTGAGTGTTCGGGGGAAGTCTAATTATTGTACGAGCTCGAGCCTTCTCAGCAGTCGCTGCCGCCGTCCTGCGCATTCAGGGCCCATACGGTACTTCCGCTCACAGGCTCGAAGGAAGCAGCAGCCCAACCACCAACCCCCATAATGGCTGCAGTCAAGATCACAATCCCTTCAGCTCCAAAAGAGTCGCCGCTCTTTACCCAGGCCATCAAAGTCTGCGTCGCCGCCGAAGCATACAAGTCCAAGAACGTCGCCCTCGCCGGCGGAGCCGCACAGAAGACCGTCACCCTCGAGCTCGCGAAGGAGTTCAAGACTTTGATCGAGGCAAATGCGATTGTGCGGTATTTGTTTACGCATGCGTTCCCGGAGAGCCAGATCAGTATCCTTGAGGCTGCGTTGATTGAGTGGGAGGAGAGTTTCCTTACTCCCGCCGTCCAGGACAAGGCTGCCGATTTGGACAGGATCTGTGCCTCTGTTAGCAGCGTCATCGAGAAGGCTGGCTTCACGGAGGCTCAGCCTATCCCTGCTGAGATCATCATCTTCGCGACACTTTACAACAAGCTCTCTACCGCCGATCTTTCCAAGTTCCCAGTACTGGAAAAATGGTTCAAGGACTTCACTGGAAAGGAATACGTCAAAAAGGGTGTCGAACTCGCCGCTCAGCACACTTCCGCCGGCAAGGTCTCCGTACCACAAGACACCACCCCCGCCGGCCCTGCCGCCCGCAAAGTCAAAGCCGGCATCGAGATGAAGACCCTCTACGAGAAGGAAATCCTCCCCAGGAAGGGCGAGAAGAACATCCTCATCACCTCCGCTCTCCCCTACGTCAACAACGTTCCTCACCTCGGAAACATCGTCGGCTCAGTCCTCTCTGCCGATGTCTTTGCCCGCTACAACAAAGCCCGTAACTTCAACACCCTCTTTATCTGCGGTACCGATGAGTACGGAACTGCAACTGAGACGAAAGCGTTGGAAGATGGTGTTACCCCCAAGGAGTTGTGCGATAAATACCACGCTATCCACGCTGATGTCTATAGGTGGTTCGAGATTGGGTTCGATCATTTCGGACGTACGACTACGCCCAAACAGACCGAAATCGCCCAGGACATTTTCATGAGATTGTACGAGAAGGGATACCTCCAAGAAGACACCATGACCCAACTCTGGTGCGAGAAACACCAGGGATTCTTGGCTGACAGATACGTCGAGGGAACATGCCCTAAATGTCTCTACGAAGACGCGAGAGGAGATCAATGCGACAAATGTGGACAACTTCTCAACGCATCCGAACTCATCGAACCTAGATGTAAGTTGGACGGTAACAAGCCCGTGTTGAGGGATTCCAAACACATCTTCCTTGCCCTTGACAAACTCCAAGAGAAGGTCGAGGCATGGTCCAAGGAATCCGCCGAGAAGGGGAAGTGGTCAGCCAATGGCCGTGCGATCACTGAGTCTTGGTTGAAGGAGGGTCTCAACCCCCGCTGTATCACCCGTGATTTGAAGTGGGGAACGCCAGTCCCGCTCGAGGGTTTCACCGATAAGGTGCTTTACGTCTGGTTCGATGCGACGATTGGGTATGTCTCCATCACGGCGAATTACACGGACAAGTGGCAGGAGTGGTGGCAGAATCCGGAAGATGTGAAGTTGTATCAGTTTATGGGCAAAGACAACGTTCCGTTCCATACTGTTGTCTTTCCCGCCACCCTTCTTGGTACGGGACAGAATTGGACGATGTTGCATCACATCAACACGACTGACTACCTCAACTACGAGGGTGGTAAGTTCTCCAAGTCTCGTAACGTCGGTGTTTTTGGAAACAATGCCCAACAAACTGGGTTGTCGCCGAGTGTGTGGAGGTACTATTTGATTATGGCACGTCCGGAGACGAGTGATACGCAGTTTACGTGGAAGGAGTTCGTGTCGAGGAATAACACCGAGCTCTTGGCGAACTTGGGTAACTTCGTGAACCGAGTGATCAAGTTCGTCAACGCCAAGTACGGTGGTGTCATCGCCGAGTACTCCTCCGATCTTGCCGAGGACGATGAGTCCAAGATCGCGCAGTTGAAAGAGAACGTCAACGAGCTCCTCGCGCAATACAACAAGGATCTCGAAGCATCCCGACTCCGTGCCGGTTTGCAGACCGTCATGGCCATCTCCGCCCGCGGAAACGTCTTCTTGCAAGATAACAAACTCGACAACACCCTCTTCGCCGAACACCCCGCCCGCTGTGCAAACGTCCTCGCAGCGGCCCTGAACCTAATCTACCTCATCTCCGCTCTCGCATACCCATACATGCCCTCCACCTCTTCCTCGATCGCTGAACAGCTCAATGCGCCGCTCCGTGCGATTCCGGATGTGTGGAGTAATGATGATTTGCAGACTGGTCACAAGTTGGGGAAGGCGAAGTATCTGTTTGGCAGGGTGGATGAAAAGATGGAGGAGGAGTGGAGGGCGAAGTTTGGTGGGGGATCTGGGACGCCGGTGGTGGATGAGAAGAAGGAGGCGAAGAAAGCCCAGAAGGAGGCGAAGAAAGCGAAGAAGGCTGCGGAGAAGGCCGCTTCTGCCGAAGGAGAGAAGAAGGAGGAGGAGGTTAAAGCGTAAAGGATGGGACAAGATAGCATAGTTGAGGGGTAGACGAGCGTGTGAGCTTTTTGGGAAGTACGATAGTGCCAGTGCACGTGTACATTTTACATTCAACATCGACAAAAAGATGAGGGGGAGTCATGGCGTTTATTATGTGGACGATAGCACGTAACGAATGAATAGTAGAAGGAATTCAACATTCTTTCTGGTTCGAAGCTTAATCCACGGATGAGGTCTTTTTGCCTTATCTGTCTTCGCAGCCACTCACTTTCGCACCCGCGCATTGTTGCTCGTGAACGGAGCGGCGGTCCGTCCGACGACGCAACATTCGGTAGAGAACCTTGGAAGAGAAGACAAAACGACACAAAACATTTAGACGGCCATGAAGCTTCGATCATAGACAGCACCTTCTCAAGGCAAGCAGGCAGGCAGTTACTTGCAAGCAATCAGAGCTATAGACGCTTCCGACATGGCCATGGTCGAGGATTCAACACCAACGACAGCGCAATCCGTCACATCCGACCCCGAAACTGTCGACGCGTCGAAACATCCCATCGACCCAAATGACGCCTCTCAAGATGACCTCCAACCCGGCGAAACCTACCGCATCCCCGAAAACTTCGCCATGATCTCCCCCGGCCTTTACCGCTCCTCTCTCCCTAAACCCCCGTCCTTCCCCTACCTCAAGAAACTGGGATTGAAAACGATCATCCGGTTGAATCAGGAAGAGTACCCGGAGGAGAATGTTGCGTTTTGTGCGCGGAATGGGATCAGGACGTATCATTTCGGTGTACCAGGGAACAAGGAGCCGTTTGTGAAGGTGCCGGAGGAGGAAATCACGCGTGCGTTGGCGGTGATACTGGATCTTGCGAACCACCCGATACTCATACACTGCCGAAGCGGGAGACATCGAACAGGGTGTTTGGTGGGGTGCGTGAGGCGGATACAAAATTGGGCCTTGACGGTCATATTTGACGAATACCGCTCGTTCGCGAACCCGAAGAGTAGGAGTTTGGATCAGCAGTTTATTGAGTTGTATGATTTGGGACGCGTGTGGAGGCGGATAGGTACGAAAGGGATTGAGAGACTACCTTGGCGGTTGGAGGTTGGGGAGGAGGCCAGGGCGCAGGCGATGATTGGGGAGGAGAAGGAGTGTGATGGGGAAGGCGGGGAGATTGATGATGAAGGTTATGGGAAGAGTTTGCCAAATGGGAGTATTGATACGGCGGAAGATGAGTGCTCCTGATGGAGACAGAGAACAGTAATAATGTGGAAATTGGAAGGTTGGAGTATGGAAATAGGGTATGGCAATTGAAGCCTGAACGAGGAAACAGAATTACGGAACAGGGAACACGGAGTCGAAGACAGGAAAGTCCGACAGGAGGAGTATTGCATGCGTGGATTCGTCTGCTGGGGACATATAACTTGCAGGACTACAACGACGGTATTTATAATCAGTATTACATATACGCTTAGGGAACAATTTATTCGAGATGCAGGGTATCTATGCTAATTGACGAGATCTTGAATCATCGCTTCACTCGTTTCTCGTCTCGCAAATGTTCAGTGGAATCCCGCGTAATATGACCCATACGCCGCCATATTCCCCAGCGCCAGCATCGTCAGTCCAAGTGGCCACGGTCTAAACGAGAACAACCCTTTCCGCCCATTGATAAGGAGGTAGCCCATCGACCACGCCGTCGTAACTCCTATTTGCATCGTCAGCTATAGACCTCATAAGTCTGATATTTACGGATTCAAACCTGCTCCATTATGATGCTCTCCTGTCATCGTAAAATACCCCGATAGCGCCGTCACACCACCAATAAACGCCGTCGATATTGGCCCTGGGTATCCGTGGAGATGTTGTCGAGTTTTAGGCAGTGTCGCGAGTAAGGCGCCCGAGAAGGTCCATGCTGGTATTGGTCTGTAAGGCGGATGTCAGCACCTTCCATCGCAGAAACAACGACCTCCACCCTACGATGTAGCCCATTGTCTTTGAAGCTTTCGTAATGCCTGATAATCCATCTTGATATTTTGTTGGAGGTTAAGATGTTGTACGTGCATGGCGTTTTAAGCTCGAGGACTTGCAGGGCTGGTGGTTCGCTTGGTGGTGAGGCCGTGTGACCTAAACACCAGAGCACCCCCTTTTTCAGCATTCAACCCACGATGAACACCAGGGATGAATGCTATCCAATTGAGTTCTCTACACCTCTTCTGAGCTTGAAAGACACTTCACAAGCATTACGGTTAGATTTCGGAGTGAGGTGGAGGGTGAAGTATCCTGATGAGGAGACGAGGAAGGGATGGAAGGAGGCCGAGGTATTGGCAGCTCAATGCATTGAAGTGCTCTTGTGTTTGCGGCATATTCGACACACTAGCTAATAGCTGGAGCACAGTTGCGAATTCAATTGGGATGGAGGGGGGTGAATATCACGGAGAGCTTGGTGGACAAGTTTGGGCTGGTAATAGCAAAAGCGAAGGTTCCATTCCGTTCTTGCATGGCCATGTATGCTGGTTCTAATGCGGTCGATTGGAACAGATCTGGCACCAAATCAACCTTCACGCCGAGTATGACCTTCATGGGAAGGACCACGCTCACCCGTGTTCTGTGTTAAGTATTGCGACTTGCATTTGTCGCTTTCATGCACATATTGAAGGTGGAGTACAGTCCGTTTGCGTCGAGCTCCCTCTGCACCACAGCCTACCATCCCAGAAGACCTTCCCATGGCTCAGTTCACAGCTTTGAATCTAGAGTTAGACTTTACCATTTACTACTCACGCATCGTGCCTCAAGCAACAACACCATCGATAGCGGCAATGGTACCACTCGTTGACGCTGCGCTGAGGTCATTGATTGCTGATAAGCTGGCCAAGAGGGCTCCGATGGTCTTCGCAAGGGGCTGCTTGAAGGTCACTACTTCTCGTCAAGACCGGGAAGAAACGTGGCTAACGAGCACTGGTGACATTAGAGGGTTGCTAATCATTCTCAACATTTCGAAGAACTTGGTCGAACGCTTTGTAAATTTGCGGCAAGGACTGATGACATGGATATGAAGAAAGCATTCGAAACACTCGTAAGCATCACCCAGAATGAACTTTCTGAACACTACGTCCTGACATGAAATTTCCTTCAGGCTATCGACACAGATCTGGACGAACCGTGGAAACGCCTTCAACTACCCCTGTGGAAGTATACTACCCACCGACTATATATAACACCTGTAAAGCGTGATTTACATGAAGTAGGGGTTCTGGGACTGAAGTGAGGCTATCTCAAGCTGACGTGAAGAAAACCTTACAGATTACCCTCGAAACACATGATGAAGAGGTTTCGTCTGATGAGATGGAGGCTGATGATGTCTTCATGGATGATTCGAATTCGGAGTATCCAGATTCTGAGGATGACGATGAGTTTCCCTTCAGCGAACTCGATACACCGCAGACGGCATATGTTCCCACGCCATCACAATCTGTCAGTGCACCCGCAACCCAATTTCCCCTGCCAGACAGTCAACCTATCGTCAACTTAGACGACGACGAGTTTTTCGTCTTCTCCGACGATGAAGACGCGTTACATGGCCCTTTCTCCCAGCCGCTTAAGAAACGACCAAAGCTCTCACCCTCTTCTAAAGTATACGAGGGTACGCAAGCGTTGATACAACGGCAACCTCTGAACGAGCTGAAGAATACCACCTTCGATGAAGCAATAGACGAGGCGGAGTTTCCATTTTCCGACGCGGAGATGGACGAGATACAGGATGAAGATGATATCATGTCAGAGCTGAATGAATAGAGATACATAAACCCACACTACGTCCTGGTATACCTGATATCTAAACATTCGCACCCTTACAACTTCGACGTCCACCTCTTGATCCCCTCCATATTCGGCAATACAACATCATCCACAATCGCTTGATCCAACATCTTCGTATTAACCAGATGTGGCCCCAACTCACTCAACTTCGTAACCCCAATCAACCTCATCGCGATATTCATCTCTTCCGTCAGGATCTCGATAGCTCTAAGTACACCGTCCGTTCCCCACGCCGAGAGGGCATACAGGAACGGCCGTCCGAGCGCGACTCCACGAGCGCCAAGACACAGAGCTTTGATAATATCCGTACCGCGACGAACACCACCATCGAGGTAAACTTCAATCTTCTCCAGCACCCACGGCGCATGCTTCCGGATCTCAAGTAACGTGTGTAAACCCGTCGGCGCATAATCCAGCTGTCTCCCCCCATGATTCGACAAAATAATCCCCCGGATACCATACTCCACAGCCAACACAGCATCCTCGACAGTCTGCACGCCCTTCAGCATAATCGGTAAATTGGCCGTCGACTCTCGGATCCATTCCAGATCCGCCCAAGACACGTTCGGAGACTGATATGTCGATATGGCCGCCGCGACACTCAGCTGTGGTTTCGGCTTGGCGGAGGTGTTGGATGGAGCGCCTTGTGGGAGATCAGCGGCGCCTTGTCCTTGAGGTTGATCAGGACCTTGTTGGAATCCGGTGGTGAGTTGGACGTCATCGTCCATCTCGACAGCCACCTTGGCGCGTTCGTCCGCTTCGCGTTTTCCCGGGATAGCGGTATCGACGGTGAGTAAGATCGCCTTATACCCCGCCGCCGCAACGCTCTTAAGCAAGGTTTTCGATTTGGAGACATCGCGGTTGACGTAGAGTTGGTACCACAATGTCTGGTCGGGTGTGATTTTCGAGTTCGCGATCGTGTCGAAGGCAACAGACGCGTTCGCTGATACTCCCTGAATGAGACCAGTTCGGCCACAGCCGCGGGTGATGCAGAGTTCGCCGTCTGGATGGCCGAGACGTGCCATAGCTGCCGGTGCGACAAAGAATGGCAGCGCAGTCTCGCTACCGAGGAACCTGGTACTAAGCGAGACATGTTCGACATTCCGCATAACACGAGGCCGGAACAGGATCTTGGAAAATGACTGTTGGTTGAGGGTATGCGTGAACGTATCCTCCGCCGACGACGAATAGTACGCCCACGCCTTCGTACTCAAGAACTGACTGGCGATCTCCTCAAAATCATGAAGATTAATACATTGACTCAACGGTTTTCTCTGCCTCTCAGCTTTCTCCTTCGCTGTCTGTTCCGCCCTACTCGGGGGCTTCACAACCGCCACGATCGTCTCCGGATCAACAGGCCCAAGGTGCTTCTCCTTCGGTAACGACTCCTCAATCGTCCCAGGGGGGTGAATCGGGTCGTATTCCTCCGTCGCGTCTCGTCCGGCGTAGCGTAGGATTATGTTTGCACCACCCGGGTGATCCGGAAGGAAGTCGGTGACATCATAGGCGTTTCCGGAGATGATCACCCAGCAGCTTTCTTTGTTGTTGTGTTTCGCGACTTCTTTTGCGTCGAGCATATTCGTTTGAGGGGGGGTGGGAGTGCTGATCTGTGTTGCTGAGTGTTTGAATTTGATAGGGTCTTATATACCCAGATAGGTGTTGAGGTTGCGGGGTTGGCGAATTCGAAGGTTGGCGCGGGGAACTGCATGAACCTTAATTTCGGCTCGATGCACTCCGGAACTCGAAAACTCCCAGAAAGACTCAATGTTCGAAAGATTAGCAGGTCGCAGTCGAATATCGCAAGATGTGTTGCTATTGCCATTGCCGAAAAACATTAGAGCACCTAGCCGCAGCTTGCCTGCCTCAAATAAACTGGTTGCTATTCACACATCCATAGGTACCTATGCTTCTACACGCGAAAGCGTAGGGCAGCCCCGGAGCGAAACCTTTATCAGTGGCCCAGCGGCCCGTAGCATAAAAAACGACGGGTAGGCACCAACCTTGGATATGTAGCTTCATCTCGAGCGAGGAAGTTGCCGTACGCGTGCTGATCGGTTGATGATGTCTTCGCTTCTTTCCAGCCATACTTTGTTGGCAAGGGTGGGCGGATTTCCTGATCATACCGCTCTTCTCCTCGTGCATTCATAGCCTATCCCATGGCTTCTCAATTATCCACCCAACGTTCACACGCCCTTGTCACCCGGTTTACTCCTCGGCACAGACGGAAACGCCGTACCCCCACCCGCTAGCATCTGCTGCGTCTTCTTCTGTCTCTGGAGTTCTCTCCATCTGCTTGCGCGCATAGCATATATCTGGCGATGGAGTGTGAATACGCGCGGGTCGGGTGCGGGGGTTGGAGTTGCGGTTGGTGAGGAGGGTTTGTCTTCCTTCTTGTCGTTGTTGGTGTCGTCTTTTTTCTTGTCTGAGTCGGCGTCTTTGTCGGTGTCTTTATCTTTCTTTAATTGTTTCTCGGCATGCTTCTTCTTTAGTCTCTCCACCTCCTTCTCGATCTCCGCTTCCCGTGCTTTCTTCGCCTCGGCTTCCTTGTCGACCACAGGCGTAGCAAAACCCGTATCACTCAAATGACTGTTACACGCGTAAAAGAAATCGGATTGATCTGGCGTGATTAAAACCGTCGTCGTGAACTTCTTGCACTGTTGGTTAAAACAGGTGGTTAACGATTAAGATCACCAGCGAGTCTTGCGAACCTACAATGAAGCAAGGTTTGTCATTCGCCGCCGTTCGCTTGTGATAAAGGTTTGTGAATGGAGGAGTCGACATCGTGATGATTGGGGCTGTATGCTGAAGTGCCGTTTGGCGGGAAGTTGGCGGGTTTGTGCAGCGATGTACGGGCCCTCGCTTGCGCCGGTGCAGCGGAGCATACGGAGAGACCAAAACACAACACCAAAGGAATTGAACGATCAACACAAAGTTATCAGTCATTTGACGCGTCATTGCTGTTGTTGAAGCTGTGCTCATCCAGATGGCACCCTCAATATCCATCCCAAACTCACACCTCATCCCTCACTCAGCCGCAACCCGACGTCTTCTCGGCCGCGTAAGTAAAGATGCACTAATTGATCTTATAACCTCCTGGCTCTCCGCCCCAAACCTCCATCCCCGACACGTCGACCCAGAAGACGACCAAGAAACCCTCCTCAGTCCCGAAGACGCCAAAGACTGGTACGAATGCTGCCGAACCGGGAACGGCGGTAAACGCGCAGCGATCAATAGAGTGATCGAGGTCGATTGGAGTGAAGGGTTGAGTTGCCTGCAGATTGCGGAGGTGGATATGAGGTACACGATCGATACCCCAACCTCACAGACCTACACCGCTGCACGCCTACACTATCCACCAAACACACCCCTCCCACCCCTCCACTCACCATCCCTCGCATACGGGCTCTCACAATCCCTGTCGCCATTCTTCAAACACCATATTTATTCAGTGCAGCATCCAACTCTACCCCTCCACCTCCTCCGCCTCCAAATCCACGACCCACCAACACCGCAGACCCTTGCCCTTCTCCCACCACCCAAGAAGATCCTATACATCGCGCACTGTGAGGGGTCGAACCATGTCTTCCATACCGGAATCGGTGGTGCATACTACGACATCCTACGACAATGTGTAGGGGAAGTCTTCGGTAACTTTGGGAACGGGAGGAAGGGGATGAGGGTAGAGGTCAGGGGTACGGAGCTCGTCACGAGGAGCTTGGAGACGATGGCGGAGTTGAGGGGTGGTGGACGGGGTGCGGGAACGGCGGGCGGTGCGTGGGGAGTATATGCGAAGGACGAAGTTGACGATAGTCCGCTACAAGCCATTCCTACACCGGCGAAGGAGGACGTGGCAGATGGGGAGGAGGACAGGGAGATAAGGAAGAGACGGAAGATTGCGGAAGCGAGGTTTGGGGTTGACAGACCGCCCGTACTGGAACGTGTTGATTTTAGGCTCGAGGAGACGTTTTTGACGGGGGATGCTTGTGAGGATATCGCTTTCGTGCCGAAGCTCCAGGTCCGGTTCGAGGGTTCGAATGTCTTCGAAGGATTGAAGGAGCTTGTGATTAAGGGTGTGATTGACGGGGTCAAGATGCCGGGATGGATGACGGGTGAAGAGGGGGTCACGACGGGTGTAGTAAAGAACGGGAGAGTAGTGAAACGAAGCTTAGATTGATTGAATAGTGGTAAGGGGATAAGTGATATGGTGGGTATACCTAATATACAACCCGCCTCATGATCAGACGGACAGATTGAGCGCAGTTCTCATCCAGTTCAAGATCTCCTTGGCGGATCGCTCGGGGTCTTCTTCGAACACGAAATGTCCTGGTCCTTCCAACCCCTTGATCCGAAGTAAACCCTCATCCTTGACCCAGTCTTTCCAGCACACCCGAATGAGATCAGAGGGCCCAAGGTTACCGATAGAATGTAACGCAAACGTCGGAACCTCAAGTTTATCCCCCCTCTCCTGATCCTCCCTCTGCTCCTCCACATCAACCGTCGCACCCGCACGATAATCATTACAGCTCCCATTAACGACATCACCCCTCCTGAAACTCTTGACATACACATCCATCGCACCCCCTTCCTTCAACTTTTCGAGATATTTGTCTTGACCAGCCCATGAGGCGATTTTGTCGGGGATGAACCACTCTACGCCTGCGCCTTGGATCATCTTTTCGGGGCGAGGGTAGGGCTGGGCGAGGAACATCCAGTGGTACATCTTGAGTGCGATTTTGTTGTCTCCGCCTTGGCTTGAGCAGCATCTTTTCCAATTCTCGAGTGTTGGGACGATATCGGCGACTACGACTCCGATCACCTTAAACTTCTCGCTTTGTTTCATGTCGATTGCCATGCGGTGAGCGACCCTCGCTCCGCGGTCGTGACCGATGAGGATGATCTTCCGCGGGGTTGAGGTGGAAGATTGGAGGCAACGGGACATTACGTCCAGGATTTCCTTACCCATCGAGCGCTTCGAGTAAGCGTTCGTGTCCTTGGTTGATTTATTCGCAGAAGAGTCGCCGTAACCTGTTCCACGATAGTCAGCGTCTCGTACTCACGAGACTGTGAAGCTAACTACGGGACCTGGAAGATCGGGAAGAATGATAGCATAATCCTTCGGCAGCAACGGGATCAAGTGTCGGAACATGTAGTGGTTCTGTGGATACCCGTGCAAGAGGACGAGAGCCGGTTTCTCCGGATCACCGTCGCCGGGACGGTAGAGGGTGTTGATGGAGGCCATGGAGGAGGTGGCGATTTGGGAGCCGGAGAAGCCGTCGAAGGCCTTTGAGACTGACATCTCGAAATCAATTCTTTCTCGAAATCAATTCTTTGAGGTGATGGAGTCTCCTACGCCATGGATTCGCGCGCTGCGGACCGGATGCGACACACCGCAGGGTCCGAGGACTCGGAACGTCCTTGGCGACAGAAACGGCAACCTTAAACAAAACATTCCCCTCATACACCATGGAATCAGACAGTCGAAAATCCATACCCATGCCCCGCCGTCCATCCCACAACGACGACTCTCCTATGTCTCGACCATCGATAGGCAGTCAACCGCGCTCCTCTCAATCATCCTTTCTCTCCGAATTTGATTTCGCGGAGGGTTTACCAGATCTTGATGAAGACGATCATGGAGGGCATGGGAGATCAGGGAACGGGATGCAGAAACCGCTGTTGGGGAATATTGCTGCGCCAGCGGTGACGATGGCGGGCGGGGAGGAAAGTGGGGATGAGGAGGATCAGATTAAGATGCCGCAGGAGGGTGGGGGTTTGGTGAATTCGTTCTTTAACATGTCGAACTCAATCATCGGGGCAGGTATGATTTAGGATCCCCTTATGCATCCTTTGCGATGAAGCTGACTTTAGTCGTACAGGAATTATCGGCCTTCCCTTCGCCTTCAAAGAAGCCGGCGTAGTAATGGGCATCGTCCTCCTCATCGTCCTCGCCATAATGACCGACTGGACAATCCGTCTCATCATCCTTAACGCCAAAATGTCCGGAAAAGACAACTACCAAGACATCGTCTCCCACTGCTTCGGACCCAAGGGCTTCTTTTTCTGTTGTTTGGCGCAGATTAGTTTTGCGTATGGTGGCATTGCGGCGTTCTGTGTGATCATTGGGGATACGATTCCGCATGTGCTGAGTGCCCTCATCCCTGGATTGAAGGATATTCCTGTGATTGGGCTGTTAGCAAACAGGGAAGCGGCGATTGTGTTTTGCACAGTATTCATTTCGTACCCGCTCAGTTTGTATCGGGATATTAGTAAACTCGCGAAAGCATCCGCGTTGGCGTTGGTCAGTATGGTGGTGATCATACTCACAGTTATCATCCAAGGCCCACGGGTCCCGGATACAGACGACTGGCGTGGCCGCAAAGTTGAGTGGGCAGTCTTCGACATGGGCTTCTTCAAAGCCATCGGTGTCATCTCTTTCGGTGCGTAGCTGCACAGCAGTACTTTAACTCTCATTGCTAACGTCTGCGTACAGCTTTTGTCTGCCACCACAACTCTCTCCTCATCTACGGCTCCCTCAAGAAACCAACACTAAACAGATTCACGACCGTTACGCATTGGAGTATGGGTATCTCGCTCGGAGCGTGTCTGATCATGGCGCTGGCGGGGTATTTGAATTTCAAGGATAAGACTGTCGGAAATATCTTGGTGAATTTCCCACCTGAGGGGGAACCCGGAAGCAACCTGATGGTTACCTTCGCCCGATTCTGCTTCGGATTCAATTGCGTATGTACTTTGCAAATGATTTCTGGAAAGGGATGCTTATCGTCGTACATACAGTTCACAACCCTTCCCCTCGAAGCCTTCGTCTGCCGCGAAGTCGTAACCTCCTATTACTGGCGCCATACCCCCTTCTCCCTCCGCCGCCACGTCCTCCTCACCTCCGCCTTCGTTTTCAGTGGGATGTGTATCTCGCTCCTAACAACTGACCTCGGTATCGTTCTACAACTCGCTGGATCCACCTCCGCTGTTGCGCTGGCGTATTTGTTTCCGACGCTGTGTTGGTTGAAGGAGGCGGAGGGGCCGTGGTGGGGGTGGAAGAAGTTGCCGGCGGTTGGGTGTGCGGCGTTTGGGATGATTGTCATGGTTGTTACGAGCATTGAGGCGATTTGGAGTCGGTTGTAGGCCTGGTGCCCCGGCTGCGGCATAGGTTTTTGGGCACGGGAATGGGCATTGCATTGCTATAGACGATCATACCTGTTAAGAAGAACTACAAAACTTCCACACATGTCCTCAAATGCATCCTCGTTTACCATCATGAGAGTTAATGCCCTTTCATATTTATATCCGTTTGATTTACTCTGCAACGGCCCTCGCAACTGTTCCTGGTACTTCCTGATAACCAACTTTTTTGGCGCACGTGAATTCGTTGCGCTCGAAATAGCAGCGAGGCGGCAAAAGGTTTTGAAGAGCAACCAGTTGACGAATTCGACTCGTACAAGGTCGTTCCAGCATCAACATGGCCGATCAAATAGCTACCCCGACAGATCAGCATCAGACGTCGTTGTCCTCTCTCGTTAACACCCTCGAGACCGCACCCGAGACTTTCTTGACGCCTACGCCCGCTCTTCATGCTTCGACCCTTGTAGTGGCTAAGCGCCTTCTCGACCCCGTCGCAAAACAGTTTTCGAACGTGTTCAATGAGATTTACTTGCAGGGGATGGACGTTGAGCAGATCTGGGAGCAGGTTAGGATGGTGACGGATGAGGTGGTGGATGATGTTATGGAGGTTGAGGTTGAAGATGAGGAGGATGATGTAGATGAGGACGGGCTTGAGGGCTTGGAGGATGAGGATGTGAGTGATGTGGATGATGAGGAGGATGAGGAGGAGTATGGGAGTGAGATGGAGGAGAATGAGTTTGAGGGGTTCCATAGTGAGGACGAGGAGGGTGTGGAGGGGGAGAGTTTCCTTGATACTGAAGCCGAGGAGGACTTTGAGGAGGAGGAAGAGGATGAGGAGATGGAGGGTGACGCATCCATTGACCGTGATGTCGACGAGCAGATGTTTGAGAGCGACGACGAAGAGAACGATGAAGAGGGCGACGCCGCCGATGAAGAAGCTGGCGAGGAGTACACAAAAGACGTCTTCGGCCTCAACGACAAATTCTTCTCCATCGACGATTTCAACCGCCAAACTGAGGAAATGGAGAACCGCAACATGATGGACGAAGACGACGAGATCGACTACTTTGCCGACCCAGATCAGCAAAACGTCGAGGGCGAGGAAGACCAGCCTGAGGAGATCAAGTACGAGGATTTCTTTGGTCCTAAGAAGGGTGCGAAGAAGGTTGCTGGTGGTAAGAGAAAACGGACGGCTGGTGATGATGGATCAGAGGCTGAGAAGCAAGAGGAGGAGGAGGACAACGATGACCAGATCTTTAACCGCATGCAGAAAGACTTGTTTGCGGATGAGGAAGAGGATGAGCGTGACGCTGTCGGTAAGCCCGCGTCTGCCGCAGCGAAGCGCCAAGCTGCCATCGCCGACGAGATCCGAAGATACGAGATGGAGAACATCGGGAAGAAGGATTGGACGATGATGGGTGAGGCGAAGGCGAGGGACAGACCAACGAACGCTCTCCTCGAGGAGGATGTCGAGTTTGACCGTGCGGCAAAGCCCGTACCGGTCATCACCGAGGAGACCACGCAGACGTTGGAGGAAATCATCAAGCAACGAATTCTTGACCAGAACTTTGATGATATTGTTCGGAGACATCCGGACTCAATACCGGAGTTCAAGGCGAGCAGGTTGTTGCCCGATATCGACAACGAGAGATCTTCGAAGTCTCTGGCGGAGCAGTATGAGGATGACTACCAGAAGAAGATGAATCCGACAAAGACGGATGCACGGGATGAGAAGTTGTACAAAGAACACGAGGAGATCTCGAAGTTGTTCGCGGATATCGTACACAAACTCGATGCGCTGACTTCCTACCACTACACGCCCAAACCACCAACAGAATCCATTACAGTCGTCACCAACGCACCCACAATCGCGTTGGAAGAAGCCCAACCAACTTCCCTCGCCGCAAAAGACCAACTCGCCCCTCAAGAAGTCTACTCCGCCGACCGCCGCGCCATGCGCGCCGAAGGTCTCCTTGTCGGTCCCTCCGGACTCCCACAAGCCCGCAGCGAAATGTCCCGCGAAGAAAAAGCCACGAATCGCCGTCGCGACAAACAGAGACTCAGGAAGAAGCTCCGTGCGGAGAACGAGAAGAAGGCGGTGGACGAGAAGGCGGGGAAGAAGCAGAGTCAGAAGGACATGGATGGAGATGTTGTGAAGACTTTGAAGAGTGCTGGGGTTACGGTTATTGGGAAGGGTGGAGAGAAGAGGGATTTGCAAGGAAAGTTGCAGCAGGGTGGGAAACAGACTGCTGCGGCTGGTGCGGCTGGGTTGAAGCTCTGAGGGGATTGAATTGGTTGTGTAGGAAGGTTACTTTTGCATTTACGTTTAGCATCAACATTCGGTGATCCTCAATGGAGTTTTTTGGTGATTCATGTCTACGTTACTTAATTTGCCTGATTCGGGATTCTGTCAACAAACCGTTACTTCCAACGACAAAAGTCAATCCATAACCTCACAAAGCTATGTCAATAAAGCGTCCAGCACAAGAAGATCTTGAAAAGTCTTCTTCCTCCAAGAAAATGGTTATCTCGACAACAACGAGTAGGTCCATGTTGGTTTGATCCACTAAGTGAATGGCACGCTGATAACTGTACAGAGGCTGCTGTCGCTTCCTTCTTTGCTCCAGCCTCCAAACGCTTGCTGGATCCTGATGGTATCAAGTGGGCAACCCGGCATGGCACTTTACTCGTCGCAAAATACAAAGGCAGCGCACTCAAAGAACTAGAAGAAGGCAAAACATACAAAGTCGGTGCCTTCGACTTGGTGCGTAATTTGGACGACGGACTCAACTGCGAGAACCAGAACTAATACGTCCCGCACAGGACGGTACCCTAATTAAAACCACCTCCGGCTCCCGCTTCGCAAAAGACGCCAACGACTGGACCTGGTGGCATCCCTCGGTCCCCACCCTCATCCGCTCTCTCCACGCCTCTGGATACCTCATCGCGATCTTTTCCAACCAAGGCGGTATCTCCCTGAAGACCGCTAACTCAAAGTCCGAGACGAAGTGGAAAACGAAACTGGAGGCGGTTTGTAGGGGGTTGGATGTGCCTGTTGCGGTGTATGGCGCTACGGGACGGGATCGGTGGAGGAAACCGAGGGTTGGGATGTGGGAGGAGTTTGTGGGGGAGTATGGGTTGGGTGAAGCTGAAAGGAAGGGGAGCTTGGATATAGAGGGGAGCTTTTATGTTGGGGATGCGGCGGGGAGGGGGGATGAGCGCAGTAAGGATTTCTCGTGTTCGGATCGGTACGTTGACTGTTGGAGGGGATGCCGGGATTCGGTGCTAACTGGTGTATAGACGATTGGCGATGAATATTGGGATTAAGTTTCATACGCCGGAGCAGTACTTTCTTGGAAAGGATCCAGAGCCGTATAGCTTGAAGAACTCGTTCGATCCGTTGACTGTGCTCAGCAAAGAAGCACCGACAACGACTTTCACGAAGAGATTCGAGCAGGAGCTTATTGTTATGGTTGGCTCTCCCGCAAGTGGGAAGAGTACGTATACCGAACTCTTCTTGGAGCCTCTAGGATATGTACGGGTGAACCAAGATACCCTCAAGACGAGGGAGAAGTGTGTGAAAGTCGCGGAGGCAGCATTACTGGAAGGACAAAGTGTGGTAGTCGACAACACGAACGCTGATGCCGGGACCCGAAAAGTCTGGATTGAGCTCGCTTCACGCCTGAAGTCTCAATGTCCGGAACTTCGGGTGCGGTGTGTCTGGCTCACTACACCACAAACAATTGCACTACACAACAACGCAGTACGAGCATGGGGAGGACTTCCATCGAAAGAAAAGCGAGACTTTTTGCCAGGCGTCGCTTTTACAAGTTACGCTGCACGATTTCAAGAACCTAAGGTCGAAGACGGGTTTGAGGACTTGGAAAAGGTGGACTTTGCATGGAGAGGAGGAGAAGAGGCAAAGAAAGTCTGGGGAAGGTGGTGGTTAGATTGAGACTCAGGGCTTAGCCAAGACCCTCTCGTACGTTAATTCACGAACCCATGGCCATTGCGGCCATGATTCCCGGATTCACATTTGTATGCCTATCATGCGACCTCGCAGGACATATGACCGCTTTAGCTAATCATTCCAGACGTCTCGGAGGACAGGAGAGACCGTCAGCTGATCTAGTTAACCCTGTACTACTCGTAACGAAACACTTAAAGCTTCATCATGGATCCAACTTTTTCGAAGTAATTTTGTGTTGGTCCTCACGTCATGACGCTTTCGCATATGCGATCAGCGTGCGGCAAGGTGGAGGACGCCACGTAACGGCCCGACCTCCTACGACCAAGCGACCTCCAACCACTGACGGGGTTTTCTCTGTTTACCTTCATCGACGAGCACGACCATTTCGTTTCTCCTCGACAATCTCTCCTTCAGCTTCGTTACTGTTACAGGTATGTCCGTCACCGTCGTTTTATTGCGCTCTCTTCTCCACCGTCCTGTCACGACGATCACGCACTCCAAGCTGCGCGCTAGCCAAGCCCTTCATTGACTGACCCTTACGTGCGATATAGAGGCAGTCCATCCCTATCCTACACCATTTACCATTTACCATTTACCAATTCCTCCTGTTCTTGCTCCATTGAACCCGGAGTACGAAGCCTTCAGCAAGATCCATCCGTGAGAAACATAAGAGAAGACAAGATCGAGCAATGTTACCACACCAAAAGAACAAGGTCGATATCTCGAGCCTGACCGAGGAGGAAAAGAAGCTCTTCAAACTCTACGGCAAACTCCCTGCCCGCAAAGGTACCTCCTCTTCCACCCTTCCAACCCACATATTAACTTATATACACAACAGACATCCTCGCCTCAAAACTGAACGAAAGAAAGTACTTCGACTCCGGCGACTATGCCCTCTCCAAAGCCGGAAAAGCTTCCGACGCGGGCGTAACGAACGTCGGGTACGAACATCCCTCCCCCGAATCTATCCCACATCATGTCGGCACGCCGCAGAGTCCGGTTATGAGTCCGGCGGCGTTGATGCCGAGGGATTCGTTTAGCTTGGGAGCGAGTGCGGTTTCGGGGAGTAGTGCGGGTGCTGTTAGTAGTGGGTTGAGTGCGTCGCCGCCCAAGGAGAGGCGGGTTGGGCAGGGGATGCACTGAGGACGAGTCTTGGCTGCATAAAGTTGAGACTTGTGTGAAGGTGACATGGTATGGATGGAGCGAATGGACTTCCAGCGTGCCACGCCGACGTTGCGGCGCGGCTTCTCAAGCTCTTTGTACACTATGATTTTCGGGATTTACTTCGAAGCTTCCGTGGTTGGGTGTGGTTTATGGAGCATGGTAATACTTAATGGGGGCGATTTGTGCTTTGTACTTGGTGTACTGCAATTCTATGTTCCATGAGCGTTCTATGTCCTGGGTGTTTTCTTCTACATTCATTGCGAGAAATGCAATTATATCTCTTGACATGGACTTCACTTGCCAAATGCAATACCCGCACTCGGGTTCCAGACTCCTGCTTTTGGCTTCGTAACCTTGATCTCCGGTACCGGCGCTGCTTGGGCAGGCCTGCTTGGGGCCGGTGACCCCCCAAACCTGATTCCTTGCTCCGGATGCCATTGTCCCGGCGTAACATCAGGTACAGGCTCCGGCGACGGTGTCCGTACAACATCATTCAGCGGCACCTGATACGTCTGTCCAGCAACCATAGGCTCCTCCTCGAACGACTCTTCCCCGTAATCTTCGTCCTCGTCGTCCTCTGGAGGAAGGCTTGATGGGTCAATCTCTTCTGCGTAAGCCTCCTCAGGGACCTCGAAATCCCGGAATGCTGAAGGGGCGGAAGATGACGAAAGGTCACTGTATGATCTCTTAGTATCCTTTTATAAGACATTTTCAAGAGGTCATACCTCTCAAGTTCTCGTGCTTGACTTCTCCGCTCATACACGAACGCTTTACACTCATCTCTAAACTTACTCAACGCCTTCGCAAGGTCATTGTAGAACTTTCTCCCCTCTTCCACATTGATGCCAATTTCCCTCCACTTCAGATATGCCGTCTCGAATTGCTGCAAGACATGCTCCCTTTCCTGTGTCGTAGCGTCCGATTGCTTGCTCTGCAAGAACTCCGTGTTGGCAGTACGGACGTGCTTAAGGACATTCTCTAGCTCCAACTCATCTTCCTGAATCTGAGCACGGGCATCGTCATACCGGCGAAGACGACGCTCGAAGAAGTCCTCGAACTGCGCTGGCTCGAGACGAGCGTTGGGGTCCTCACTCTCCAGTCTCGTTGCCTCAGCCAGGATAGCACGGCTAACGTCCTCGATCCTAGCACGATGTTTAAGGTCCTCAATACGTTCGCGACGCCTACGCTCGAGCCGCGCCAGCTCATTGAGGTTATCCCGAACCTTCTTCGCCGCAAGCTCAGACTTAGCACTCGTGCGCTGAGTGAGAACGTTAGGGATGAACTCCTGGAGTTCCGTGCTGTCACCGCCCAGGATGCCGATGAGTTCCTCCCAGTCAGCGAACTTCTTGCGGATGACCTCGTCACTCTTAGCCGCGGTTTCTAGGATGGCATAATACTGTCCTCCTTGCTCGAAGAGATGACCAGCAATAGACGCGCTCGCAGGCCTTGTCCAGTGAGCCGTACCATACTTGGCCCGAAGCTGTTCATCCTCGGACGCCTCCGCAGCGATAGTTTTATGCGCCTCTTCGAACACGGCAGTATTGTTCTTGGCCAGCTTTTGCACATCGGCGATCATCTCCTTGATCCTGGCTACACCTCCACCAGCCTTGATCTCCTCAGCCCTTGCAAGCAAGGAAGGCGGCAATCCCATGGGTGTCTCCTGTGCCTCCAACGAACCGGGAAGTCCAAGTTCTTGAAGGGCTGCGCTGCCCTTGACAGTGATCTTCTCGAGCTCAGAGACGATTTCCTTGTAGATGACATGATCCCTGCGTTCGGCGTAGATGTCTGCAGCTTGGTGAACTGCGAAGGGAACAAGCTTCTTGAGCAATGGATGCCCTAGCACTGGATCATCACCTCTCATAAGGAGGGCCACGGCTTGATCAACTTCTTTGCTAACAACAGACTTGACCATACACGTTTTCGCGATCGGTGCCAAGCTTGCAGTATTAGGTACAACCTGAAGGTAAATCATATCATTATCTTTCTCTGCACGTTCAGCATTCTTCCGAAGAATGCCCTGAAGACTGCGTAGGTCATCTACGACGCTTGGTCGGACGAGTCGAATACGGGAGTTCTCAAGGGCAGTTTTGGTGGTTGCCAACGCTAACTTCAGACGAGCTACTTCCTCGCCATAAGCCGACTGTGACAATGCTTCGCAGGCCCTACGGTACTGTGACGCGGCGGCAAAATGGAGCTTCTTCGTTGCAATATGGGCGGTCCATTCCTAACCCGAAGTCAGTAACCTGTCCAGGAGATTACGAAAACTTCAGGATACCTGTGGTATAGAGCTGTATGTATCAATGCTCTCTTCGGCCTTCTCGTAGAAGTAAGACACCTGTGCCGCCAACTTGGCAATCAACCCGTCCTTCAACCTGTCCATAGCTGCTTTCTGCCAGAAGCACTCTTGTGCTTGAGCTAACATCAGTTGCTCCAACGCCGTCAGAGTAGTAGCATCGAGGTCTCCTAATGAGCCGTTAATCCTGATATGTGGAACCACCTCATCCCTAAGGTGCTTGAAGGTTCCAGCAGCGGACTGGAAGTAGGAACATGCACGCTTGAGGCCATCACCAGATGTTCGGTTCTCAGACGAGCCAAGCAGTGAATAGAGGGCGGCAAGGTTGAAAAGAGTACATGCGCGCTCGTATTGGAGGTTATCGTGCGTCACAGGTGCTGCGTCCTGGTCGAAGGATGAATGATAGGCAAGCTCGATGCCAGTATCGATAGGGAATTTGCGTGTGAGCCAGCATAGTTGAGCGTAGTATCTGCGTCCACGGGTCAGTGAATCCCCAAGGAATATCGAAAAAAGCTAGGACGTACCTCTGAAAGTCCTGTATACACTCCACCCGTACGCTGACGCCAACACATCGAGATCTCAGTGCATCGAGCTCCTTGAAGTCGTCACGGAACTGCTCTGGATGCTGGTCGTACTTGTTATAGACGAAGGACTGAAGCGAAGATGCCAACGACACCGGCAAGGTCCGCTTCAAAGGCACTGATAAAATATTTGAATTCATGAGGGTATTTCGTCTTTGTTTACAGTGTATGCAGCGCCCGCTGCCAAGAGCAACCATGACCAGCCAATCCACACGTGATCTCTCCCACGGCGCGCACTGCTTAAATATCCTGCGCGTGCCGCTCCTCCAACATTTCCGTCACACCCGTGCTCGAAGAATCGCAAACGAAGCTTACACACGGATCCGTATGGATCATTCCAAGCTTTGGGGAAAGTCCCCGGACACACACGGCGTAAACGCACCGGCATAGAAGCATCTCCGGTTTAGCTTGCGTTCAGCAAATCCGCGTCGTCCTCGGTCATGAGCTTCCTCGTCCCCTCGGGGAGAAGGCGAAGATATGAGTCTTTGGAGTTTGTGGTCATCATGGGGGCGGTGTCGGTGAACGTGGGTACATCTCGTCACAGACGATAGTTATGCGATTGCTCTTCTGTCGCAAGACGGGAGGGTAACTCGATGGGGCTTATTCTCGGCGCACGGGTGTCACATTTTCTCTCTATTTCATGAGCCTGTCGCTTAAGGTAAAAGCGCCGTTCCCTTTTTGGGTACGGAGATGTTCGTTCACATCGAGCCGAGCTCTCAGAGAGAAGGTGGTATGCTTGGTGAAGATGAGAGCAGAGGCAGTTGACATTGCCATACTCCGCAAGGATTGCACGATGATGATCTCAACATAAAATATACTAGAAGTCAAGCACTGAAGACGCGTGCGTCGCTGTTGCTAAACTATGAGTTTCTGAGCAATCCTCGTCGAGTTATGGAGTGTTCGCTGGCTTTGGAGAATCAGAATGGAATAGCATGGTAGTTAGCATATATACCTGATTGAACTGTTCCTCAAATGATCTTTCCGAGCATCAAACCGTACTATACCCTCTGTGTTTGTATCATGCGGCCCCATGCAAGTCTTCGAGGTTACGTAAACGTAACACTTCAACCATCTCACCATAGCGATGTCGCTCTTTGACGACCTCCCGCCAGTAGGCAACGATCCGGCAGACACTCCAACTGCCCCGGCAGTTCCAGCAGCAGCTGCGGCACCTCCAGCGGTGCCCAAGCCTTCGTTATACGGTGATTTGTTGACGGGCGGCGTGACCGGACCAATTGAGAGAGCACCGGTGCGATATGATGCAAAGCTCGCCGAGAGGGAGGAGGCAAACAAGATCAATGAAGCAGGTGCGCTTCCTTATAGCATGGGTTGTGACCAAAGGCTAACACAGAGCCATAGCTCTTCGCTTCCAACCAATCCTTACCCGCCGACCCGCTCCACTCAAGAAACCTGTCTTGAGACCTCTGGTTGCCCGGTCTACTACTGTCGCTCGTCCTATAGTAGCGGCACCAGTCGTCACTACATCCCTGGATGATTGGACCGAGTCCATCGACATCGATCCAGAACCCAAGCGTCGTGCTCCGAAACGCAAGAAGTCTCGGCCACAGGCCCCACAATGGGATGATGAATACGACCCAGCGAAGCCATGCGAGTACGAGGACTATCTACGCTCCGCGGAAAGGGTTGAGGAGAGGAGAGAGTGGAGGAATAGGAATGTCGTGGATGACAAAAGTGAGGAAGAGGAAGCACCGAGGAATATGATGTTTGCACCGCCGGGAATAGGTGGAGGGATGAACTTTGCGCCGCCGCCGACGTTGACCGGTATGGCTGGCAGGAAAGACGAGGAAGAGGAGGAAGATGACTACAGACCCAGCTTTGGCGGCGGCAATGGACGGATGGGATTGGGCATGGCTGCTCCAGTTCCACCATCAGCACTGCCGTCGGCCCTGGCACCTATCCCGGAGGAGACAGCAGAAGAGGCATACGCGCGAAGGATGTACTTGTCAGCTGGTGTGCCACCCCCGCCTCCGCCTGTACAACCACAAGCACCAACATTCGTCCGTCCTGCGGGGCCCACGCCATCAATGCCCACATTCATCCCAGCCTCTGCCCCACCAGAACCCCCATCCCATCCCATCTCCCCGCCAACCGAAGAACAACGCTCCCTCCGCCCAGGCCAACGCGACTTCGCCTCCCGCCTCATGTCAAAATACGGCTGGCAATCCGGCACCGGCCTCGGCGCCGATCCCTCCCGCCGCGGAATCCTCCACGCCCTCACCGTCGAAGCATCAAAAGAACGCAAAGGCACAGGCCGAATCCTGGATGCAAATCCTGTCCAGAAGAATGAGGGCAGGTTTGGGAAGACGAGTAAGGTTGTTGTGCTGATGAATATGGTTGGTGGAAGGGGTGAGGTTGATGATGAACTTGGGCAGGAGATTGGGGAGGAGTGTGAAAAGAGTTATGGGAAGGTCGAGAGGTGTTTTGTCTATTCCAATTCGTCGAATGCAGTGCCTGATGGAGAAGCGGTGCGTGTGTTTGTGAAGTTCACGGCGGAGCTGAGTGGATTGAGAGCGGTGAACGCCTTGGATGGACGACTATTCGCAGGCAGAGAAGTACGGGCACGGTTTTACGACCAAATGGCCTTCGATCAGGGACGGCATAACTTGCACCTTGGTTGATTAGATATCCTTTCCAGCTAATACTAAGCACTACAAAATGCCAAAACCTATCTAGCCATGTGTGTGTGTATCGAGAGTGTAGCTCCGACATCTTCGATAAAGACTTGCAAAAATATTAAACCCCACAGTATACCATTATTTTCATGCATCTAGTTCTTTGGCAGCTCTTCGGTGTCGATGTGCCATACGACGTAGTTTGGCAGACCGATCACCTCATATCCGGCCCTGTTGGCCATCTTTCCAAATCCTTCAGTCTCAGCCTGGTTCTCAAACGCGTACGCAGGGAAGTTAATCCCACTCCTGTGTACGTCGCCCTTGACCATAATACTCACGCCACCAATTCCATCCAACTTGATCTCCTCCTTTTGGTCCTTTCTCCAGTCACCCATCTTCGCCATATACTTCCTTCCAGTGTCGAATTCTGGGTATCCTTCCACGACGACGGTGTCCGGAGAAAGAGATTTCAGGAGCTTCTTGGACTTCCTGGTGTCCTGCCATGAGTTGTAGTCGAAACGACCCTCGATCTCGCCGCGGTGGAACCAGATGTTGGGGACGATAACATCGCGGTCGTGAGAGATTAGGTCCTCGACGATGGTCCCGGGACACTCGACGATATCGGCGTCTCTCCAGTAAACCCAGGCGTGCTCAGGCTTCAATGCGGTAGCAAGCAGGTAGTTTCTAGCCCTAGCCATGGCCTTTCTTCTCGGCGCTTGGTACTTGAAGGCGTGGCGGTCCTCAACGTCCTGGGAGGTAGTAACTCCCCAATCCTTCTCAACAATAGTCACACTCCTGAACGGCAGTCCCTTGACATCAGAAGACTGGATACGGTCGAGCTGCGTTGCAAGGATGCCCATGGTATCGTCGGTCGAGTCCGAAACAAGGAAGGCGAGATCGATGAGTTCGTGAGGGTAGGTGAGGTTGGTGAGAAGGCTGAAGTAAGTATCCAAGTGGTATGCAGCATCGCGCAATGGTGTCAACAGCAATACCTTCTCCTGCTTCTTCGCAGCATCCTTGGACGACACGATCGGGTTCAAGTCAATCTTCTGAATGGAGGTAGCGTTGATCTCGATCGGCTTGTGGTGGAAAACGACAGGCGTAACTTCTCTGTACCCAACATCCTGATGCCCAAAGATTTCCAGAGGCGAATAACGCTGTGATGAATGGAAAACGTCTTTGTGCGATGTAAACAGCGGCGACGCGAGGAATAAAAAGCCGAGTAAGAGAATGACGAGCAGAAAGCGCGGACGGCGGAGAATTTCAAGTGGACCGGCCATGATGAATTGCCCAGCTCAGAGAGACTGACTGTCCTTGAGACTGGTGCTTGGTCGACGGAAAGAGGGAGTGTTTTCCGGGCACTGGAATTGTTCGCGACCTCTCGGCAGCCGGTAGACACTAAGTCCACAGATTCCACGGCACGGACCCTAAAAATTGTGCTTTACTTGGAAGAGTAAAGGGAATGCACGACGATGCAGTTGGATAAAGTAGGTCTTTAGCCGTTGATAACGGTGTCGTTCAGCTGAGTGATTGACGGTGGATGAGGTTACGGATGTGTTGAGAATGAGTGTCAATTGAAAATCTATCTGTGGGGGGCCCAACGGTTCCAGCGCGGATGGGTCCTCTCGGGTCACCTCGTATCGGAAATTAAGGTTTTATGACACACGGACGGCCGCGGTTCTGGGCCGTAACAACGGTCTCTATTGTCCGTAAAGCTGCCTGCATAGACAGGTCAGTGTGAACAGAGTCAGCTGCGTGAAGTGTCGTCCGGCCAAGACATAAAGTAACACGCATCCTGCAGTCCTAGACTCGGACGAATCTGTACAGTTGATTCTGCTAAAAGTGCAGAAGGCCTTTGCAAATAGTTTAACTTGCAGCTGTCATTCGTCTCGTCAACTGCAGCTGCGGCAAGATTGGAGGGGGCATAGCTCCTATTAGCTGCCTTTTCTGGACCCTTGTAGTCCTCGTACGCAAGGACTTCTTCATGCAATTTACGTCAGTTCCTATCCCTTCGTGTCCCTCATCTCTTGATCACTCGATACAAGAAGATCGACTCTCTCGAGAAGGTCTCCCACTCCGGAAAGTCCTTAATCTCCTCCAACACAAAGTGCTTCTTGAACATCTTGAAGAAGTGCTTGTCCGCATTTCTCCTCTTCTTGTAGCAAAAGTATATCGGTGTATCAGGTGTCGTCAGGTCACGCATGGTCTGTACGAGCAAAGGGAACGCTGGCTCAAAATAGACACAATCGGCTGCGATAACTATGTCCGGTTCTTGGAGTTCGGGGGAGACTGTGGTTCCCCAGTCGAGTTCGGCTGGGATGACGGTATCTTGACAGTTGTTCAGACGGATATTCTCAGTCATGATTGGTATCATATTCCTGCACAGCGTTAGTCAGCCATCGTAACGAACAACATGGAGAGGAGGACGTACTCTTGATCCGTCACGTAAATCTTGCTTCCCTCCAAGTCCAACCCTTTCGCCAAAGCCAATCCCGTCAACGCCGTCCCACTCCCCACCTCCACAATCCTCTTTCCACCACATATCCGCGCCCTAAACTCCGGGTCCTCTTTACATCTCCACAACAGATATCTTCCAAGGACTTCTCCGGCTGGCCAGGTCATTCCACCACACCCTGATCTGGCATCTTGGGATAGTAGAAGAGGTTCAGAGAGAAAGGAGGAGAAGGCGTTGAAGGAGGCGGTGCCCGGGGCGTAGTGGTTAAAGTTTTGTTCGGGAGCGGAACCGCTGGTGAAGTCGGAGGCTGAAGGGGAGGCGCATCCGCCTGCTTGCGTAGACATGATGTCGGAATTCTATCTGCTATTAGTTGTCCTGGTATGGTGAAGGGAGAGCAGTGGGGGATCGGTTGTATCGACCGAGGACCCTGAGGGTTCGGATTGAAGTCACGGATCTGGGGTGGACCCTGCACTTTGCAGCTGGCGCAGATAAATTGAAGTTTATTTCACTTGATCACCACTTTCTTGGAAAGGTTCGGATGGGACTTGATACCATTGACAAAATATAGTTCTACTCTGTCCAGCAGAGAATGCCTTTTTACTCCATGTCCAACGCCTTAATAGCCATCTCCAAAGCTCCCTCCCTCGTCGCATTTCCGCCAATGAACCCAGCAGCATGAACGAACACACATCCAGGGATACCAGTCAAATCACTCAAAGCCTGATCACGGACACCCCTCCAGTTCTCGGGCAACGGCTTGCGGGACTTGAATGACTCCGGGCTCTCAGGGACGGCTTGGACGCGGTATCCCTTACCGTCAGAGTAGACGACGTAGAGTATCTGTCCAGGAACCTGGAGCTCGGCCTCGATTTGGAAGAGGTGGTCCTTCCAGGGCAAGAACTCGTCGAAGACAACGATACGGCCTTCGGGGTCGTAGGCTCTACGGGAGTCGATGGCGCGGAAGACCAGGTCGCGGGCGGGGAGCCATGCGCGGCCGTAGTAGTTGAGACGGTCAATGAATGCGGCACCGACGAGCTCGGAGGCTTTCTGGAACTGTGCGTCGAGGATCTCGTCGGTGAAGGGCTGGTTCCACCAAGGGTTGAGGTGGGCGACCATTCCGGGAATGGAAAGTCTGTCCTTGAACGTAGGCTTAACATCTGCTGGGTAAGGAGAGACACCGTTGTCGTTGGCGTCGACAGCCTCGACGAACTCGGCGTAGACCTTGTTGTGGATGAGCTTCACCCGGGAGTCGGACTCTTCGAGACCGAGCTGCTCGCGGATGATCTCCTCACCGAAGTGCTTGTAGACAAGACCGGCGGAGGAGAGCTTGGTGTTTTGGAATTGAGGGGAGAAGAACTCGTTGAATTCGCGCTGGTGGTGGTCGAAGTGCTTGACGCCGTCATATTGACCGGTCACGTCAACGATGATGTCGCACTCCTCGAGGACGGCAGGGTCGCGAGAACGGGTGACAGCTGGGTTGATTTGTCAACAAAAAGAACGAAAGAAAAAGGAGAAGCGCAACGTACTGGCATCCTTATACTTGGGCAAGAGCCGCAACATGTAGACTGCGAGAGCCTCATCGCAGTGAAAAGTACCACTGTGAACCGTCAGCCTTGATCACTTTCAATGATCCCCGTTACGACTCACCTATGCGTTCCAATCCTTGCCATATTTCCAACAGTCGTCGTATAAAAGCGTCTCAGCATCCAACCGATAACCTTCTTTACGACTACAACCACCCACCGCCCAAAAATCGCGTTGGACTCACGCTACTGCTGCTCAGGTGCAACGACCTGCAAATGCGCATCACCGCGAAACATCGATCGCCGTACGACATTTCCCAATTCCGAGTGTGAAAGGCCATGTTCGCTCTACCGCTCGTCTTGCGGTTTTTGTCGAGTAGCTCGTTCTTGGTACAGTTGATTCTGGCTATTCCGTTGGCGTTTGAGGTGGGTGGAAGGAATTGTGGGCTGGTACGTATACGTGTTCGGCGGTGCGCGCTGTGTAGGTGTGCAATGGCTGACTGAAATGTAGGCATTCACGCTCGCGTTGTCGAACTTTTATTTGGTGTTGTCAACGTTGCGATTGGTGACGAAGAGGACGCCGTTATCGATTATCCCGACGCTGTTGGCTGGGTGTCAGCATGTGATTATTCCGAGTCTTCTGATTTACTATCTGAATGAGTACTACGCCGATGGTATTGTGGCATCGTGGTGGCAGAGCATCTTCTTGCGGCCATGGGGAATGTTGATGATGCATTCCACGCCGTTGTTTACGTTGATGGAGGGATTGGCCAGCTTGCTCTTGATCCAGGCTTTTGGAAGGGTGAGCCGTTGGTTGGTCAACAATCGCTCAGATACGTGGTTGGTGAGTTAAAATGTTCTTCGCAATAGAGCAATGCTAACTTTCAGACTCTCAGATCATCATGCTCGTCGGGTGCGGTGGTGTCATCTCCGGTGCCCTGTACTCTTTATACCGCATCTACAACTTCCCCGTCATTGGCACCGTAAACTCAACCTTGATCGGAGTCGCCTTGACCGCATCGATCTTCCTCTGCATCTACGGAACAGCCTCTGGACGCGGTAACATCGCGGAGAGCTCGCTGATGTTCGCATACACGGTTTACTCCATCTACATGGTCTGCACCGACTTCCAACCTGCCGGTGCCCCCCACCGCGCCGCAAACCCCGACGGCAAATCCGAGTTCCCGCCGTTCCCACCTCTCATCATGGAATCCTATGCCAGCGTCGCCGCTTCCCTCGCTTCCGCGCTCCCCGATGCATTTTTCCGCTCCTTCGACTTTGTCTCCGCCGCAGCAAACACTATCACCCCTTCGGTTGTTACTTCGTTGATATACCGCATCATCGTCCTCGCCGCAGCCACCAGAATCATCCCCGCCCTCCGCGAAGCCTCCCGCTCTCTCTCCGCATCACCCTCCTCTTCCGACCTCGAGCCCTCCTCCCGCCTCATGAATGTCTTCATCACGTACTCACCCTCAATCCTCATCGCAGTCTACACGCACCTTGTGATGCAGCACTTTGGTATGATCGAACATGGGCCGAAGGTCTTGGGGATTGCGGTGGGGAGTGGGCAGGCGTGGAGGTGGATTAATTGTTTTGCTACTCTGGCGTTGTATGCGGGGGAGTTGGTGCTTGGGGATGAGGAGATGGGGGTTGATTTGGTGGAGCATTGGAAAGTTGAGTGAGGATGGGGTTGGAGGAGTCAAGGAAAAGAATACACGAAATATGGAGGCACTGCTGATGGGGTAAAACGGTCCACTGCAAGTAGGCGTCGAAGAACGCCGCCCGACTGCACGATATCGGTTAGTGAGAGAGCGATACCTCGGGCGTACCACACCGGTTGAGAGCGGAAGAGACGACTACCGACAAGAGACGGAAACGATACAGGTTTGTCGCGGAGGAAGCGAAGGGTAGGAGCGTTGGGAGAACGGTGGGGTCAAGCAGAATGAACGTGGACAGCGCCGCAAAGCTTTGAAGATGAGATTGAACCTGCGATAGTAATCGCGGAGCAGAACAGTTATACCCGACCTTAATCGTAATCGGATTTTCTTCGCATGTTCCCATGACCATGCCCCGCTGCAAGTTGCAGACTTCGCCCGTGCATTGATGTGGATTGCCCAGTTCCTTATCGCACGCCGCAAAACACTCCACCAAACAACTTTTGATCCCGTCCAAACACAACCAACAATGTTCAGATCGATCCGCGTAGCCAAATCCGCATCCTCACTGCGTGCTCAATTCCTTCACAGCACGTCTTCCAATCCGGCGCCCTCCGTCACCCTCCTGTCCGCTGCGCAGCAAAATGTGAATAAGAGCAACCAGTGGGCGAGTAAGACTGTTGCGGAGCTGAGACTGGAGTTGAAGAAGAGGGGTTTGAAGAATAGTGGAAAGAAGTCTGAGCTTGTGGAGAGACTTTTCTCATCAGACGCTGCGACTGCGTCTGCTACGCCGATCGCGAAGCCTGCTCCGGCTGTTGCGGAGAAGTTCCCAAATGTTACAAAGAGGCATGCGTCAAGTAAGGCTAGTGATACGAAGCAGCCTATGGATGCGAACAAGGTTACGATACCCGCTGCAGACATCCCAGCGCCAACAGAGGACGTAATCGCCGAACAGCAATTCGACGCCCAAGCCAACATCCCGATCACCCCCACCACAATCCGTGAAGCCCCCAAAGCCCCCAAAGCCCCCGAGCTAACGGTTGCGAAACCCGAGGTGCATGTCGTTGATGACTCGGCCGGTGCGGATGTTGCGCAGCTAGCGGGCGAGGTTGAGCAGCCTGTTAATAAGCAGGAGGGAGTAGGTAGTGTGAGGGAGGCTGTTGAGGCTGCGAAGGATAAGGCGCATGCTGGGGTTAACAAGTTGACGGAGGAGGTGCCTGAGAAGGTGAAGGAGAATGTTGGGTCTGTTGCTGAGCAGGTGAAGGAGAAGGCGCAGCAGGCTCCGAAGAAGGTGCAGGAGAGTGCTGGCTCCGTCGTCGATAAGGTCAAGGAGCAAGCAGAGCAAGTCAAGGAGAAGGCACAGGAGGCACCCAGCAAGGTGCAAGAAACCGCTGGCTCCGTCGTCGACAAGGTGAAGGGGCAAGCAGAGCAAGTCAAGGAGAAGGCGCAGCAGGCTCCGAAGAAGGTGCAGGAGGCTGCTGGCTCCGTCGTGGACAAGGTCAAGGAGCAAGCAGAGCAAGTCAAGGAGAAGGCACAGGAGGCTCCGAAGAGAGTGCAGGAGGCTGCTGGCACCGTCGTGGACAAGGTCAAGAAGCAAGCACAGCAAGTCAAGGAAAAGGTATCAGAGAAGGTCGCCGATGCTAGTTCCAGCGAGGCTCCTGAGGGCGAGATCTCCGGCCGTGATAAGACCATTCTCTGGACTTTATTTGGTGGTATTCTTGGTTGGACGCTCTACGGTGATAAGCTCACCAAGAAGTCGAAGAAAGAGGAGGAGGGGAAGCACTGAGTTGACGACACACGGATCCCGGATCGGATGGATAGTTGAAATAATATGGTCGGAGGAGCATCTGTCACACTCTTTTGGAAGACACACTCGTTAGGAACATCTTCGCTCGTTATACCCTAATCACATACCCATAGCTTTAGCTCTTAGTATCTCTACTCCCAACTGTTCTACTTTTTTTTCAGTTTCGCATCAATCCGATTTACATCTTTTAATCGTGTTTATGTTAAATCAGGACGAGGTGCAAGTGAGGTACCGCGATTTCGTAGTTGGACGTGTGTGTACGCGAACCCGAAAGTGAGTTGAGAGCAATCAACCTCAATCAAACACAATGTCCGTCAATAACAACGCTGATCTCAAAAATGACTTTGAGGTATGTCTCATTCGCGTCCTCCCTCTTTGCGCTGTGCTAATGGGGTGTACGTAGCTCTCTAACCCGCCAGAGGACTCCATTTCCGATATGGCATGGTCATCACAACAAGATTTCCTAGCCGTCGCATCATGGGATAAGAAGATGAGGATTTATGAGGTGCTCTCGAATGGACAGACGATTGGGAAAGCCATGTGGGAGCATGAAGCCCCGGTTCTGTCCTGTCACTGGTCAAAGGTGAGCGCCCTTCGTGTCGCAATTGATCCGCACCTCACGTACTTACAAATACAATCAGGACGGAACGAAGGTTGCAAGTGGAGGAGCCGATAAAGCTGGTCGCATCTTCGATATCGCGAGTGGACAGTCACAACAAGTAGCTGCTCACGACGCCCCCATTAAATCCGTCCGCTGGATCGACGCCGGTCAGGGAGGTAGCCTCCTCGCTACCGGATCCTGGGACAAAACCGTCAAATACTGGGATCTCCGACAACAATCCCCCGTCGCGACACTCAACCTCCCCGAACGTGTTTACGCCATGGATGTGGTGAATCAGTTGATGGTGGTGGGAACTGCGGAACGACATATCTGTATCGTGAACTTGAGTAATCCGACGAATATCTACAAGACACTTCAGAGTCCGTTGAAGTGGCAGACGAGGACTGTGGCGTGTTTCCCGAATGGAAGTGGGTATGCGGTGGGAAGTATTGAGGGGAGGTGTGCGATTCAGTATATTGAGGATAAGGATCAGAGGTATATCTCATGACATTGCGACTGAGACGCATACTGACGTGGCATATAGTTTGAACTTCTCCTTCAAGTGTCATCGTGAGACGCCCTCGGGAGTCAACCAGCCAGCTCAGGTGTATGCTGTGAATGCTCTGTCATTCCACCCTCTACACGGTACATTCTCGACTGCTGGTTCCGATGGTTCTTTCCACTTCTGGTTTGTTGAACTCATCGAATAACGGTGGCTCGCTCCTTTACTGATGGCTTCAACAGGGACAAGGATTCGAAGCATCGTTTGAAGGGATACAACCCTCTTGGGGCTACCATCCCATGCACTGCCTTTAACCATAACGGAACTATCTTTGCCTACGCTTTGTCATATGATTGGAGCAAGGTGAGCTCTTTGACTTGGACGTTATGCAATCGATGCTGACGAGAAGCTTACAGGGCTACCAAACCAACACCCAGCAATACCCCAACAAGATCATGCTTCACGCTACGAAGGATGAAGAAGTCAAGCCTCGGCCCAAGGGAAAGCGTTAGTCGTCTGAACAAAATATCACTTACCCCATATCCTCCGGTGTCCTCGGGTGTCCTCGAGGAAGCACAAGCAGGATCAGAAGAAACTCGCAGTGTCATGATCAAGGAACGTCCATGAAATAACCAGTTATAGACCCATACCGATTAGCGGTGTAATGAGAAACCAACATTCTTATCCTGTATTCTCTGCTGGGTGATTTCTTTTATCGCCAAAATAGGCTCATACACCTGCGTCGTATCACCGGTCGGTCCCAGCCACGTTAGACGTTGCGACGTGGGAGGGTCCAAGCTCGGCGCAGCAGCAACGACAACGGACATTCCTACCAACGACTGGGTTTGTGAGAAGGAATGAAAGTCAGTCTATGGGTGACCGTGGCGATTGGAGCCTTTGTTGGGCTTGTCGCTGCTGAGGGATCAGGTGCGGGTGCTTTGTCGAGTTGGCCGTGGTAGTTGCTGACAGGTGTATCAAGCTTCGGATTATTATGTACGGTCGTTACCCGGTTTGCCGGAGGGCAGCGATGTGAAAATGCATGCAGGGTACGCAATGATGGAACATTCCCTATCCAGAAATATCGACTGACATAATTGCTCACAGTAACATTATCGTCGACGAAGCCCACAACGGTGCCCTCTTCTTCTGGCATTTCGCGAATAAGCATATCGCCGACAAACAACGCACAGTCATCTGGCTCAATGGTGGGCCGGGGTGCTCCTCCATGGACGGCGCACTCATGGAAGTTGGTCCGTTTAGGTTGAAGGATGAGAACACGTTGGTGGAGAATGAGGGTAGTTGGCATGAGTATGCGAATTTGTTGTTCGTGGATCAGCCTGTTGGGGTTGGATTTAGTTATGTTGATACGGACAGTTTCTTGCATGAGTTGCCTGAGGTGAGAATGCCGGATTGAGTGGTTTGCTCGACGGGAGTTGCTGACGGGGTTCACAGATGTCGGCGCAGTTTCTTACGTTCATGGATAAGTTCTTTGCTATGTTTCCGGAGTACGAGGATGATGATGTACGACGATTTCCCCTATTTCTGAGTCCAGGTTGCTGATCATTGTTGTGCAGATTTATATTGCTGGTGAATCGTATGCCGGGCAATACATCCCTTACATCGCCAAAGCAGTGCAGGACAGGAACACGAACAACAAAGACGCGAAGCACTACAACATCGCGGGCCTCCTCATCGGCAATGGCTGGATGGACCCAGCGACGCAATACGACGCTTATCTCCCCTTCGCATACCAGAACGGCATCCTGGATCAGCTTTCAGACGATGCCAAAGATGTGGAGAACCAGTTGGCGGCCTGTAAGGCGGACCTTGCGAAGGAGATGCACATCGGAAACACGAAGTGTGAGGCAGTTCTTGATGCAGTACTGAAAGCCAACCGAAGAATGCTGGATAAGACGGATTGTTTGAACATGTACGACGTCCGACTCCGTGATTCCTGGCCCGCCTGCGGGATGAATTGGCCGCAGTCGTTAGTGTATACGCAGCCATACCTCAGGAAACCTGAGGTGATCAAGGCGTTGAACATCAATGCGGATAAGAGAACTGGGTGGGTTGAGTGTACGGGTGCTGTCACTTCGACATTCAAGGCGCAAAACTCTAGGCCGTCTAGGGAGTTCTTGCCGGAGTTGCTGAAGGATATGCCGGTTCTTCTCTTCGCTGGAGATCAGGATTTGATCTGCAATTATGTTGGGATTGAGTCGATGATCAACTCGATGGAGTGGAATGGGTTTACCGGGTTTGCTGGAGAGGACGGAAATTGGGCTACGAGGGAGCCATGGGAGTTTGCGGGTGAATCTGCTGGGTTGTACCAGTCAGCACGAAACCTGACGTATGTTCGCTTTTACAACTCGAGTCATATGGTGCCGTATGATTACCCGGAGAGGACGAGGGACATGCTCGACAGGTTCATGAAGATCGACATCTCTACTATCGGAGGTAAGGCGAGTGACAGCAAGATTGGCGGAGAAACTGGACCGGCTAAGTCTGTAGAAGCGATCAGCCAGGATGAAGCAACCAAAGTGGCCGATGAGGCAGAGAGGCTGAAGCAGGCGACTTGGAAGGCTTATTACAGAGCCGGATTCGTCGCACTTTTGGCTGTCTCCGTCGGTGCGATTGGGCTTGGAATCTTTGTTTGGAAACAGAGGATGAAGGAGGCGCAGAGAGGACATATGAGGAGACCTAGCAGGAGTCATATTTTGGAAGAAGGATATGATGAGAATGAGTTGGATGAGCTTGTTGTGCAGACTCCTGTTTTCGACACGCGGGAAGAAGGGATGAGGGGAAGCTTGGAGGACCAAAGCGAAGAGAGACGGAATGATGATGGAGAGAATCACGATCCATTCGGTGATTCTGATGACGAGGAGGACGATGATCGGAAGAGATTGGTGAAGGACTCGAGTACGGAGCGAAAGTAGAATACTGAAATATATCACATTCCAGTGAACTTCGCGCGGTTACAGTACAGTACAGTATCTGCGGTACATGCACGCGCCAATCTTGGCATGGCGTTCCACAGTTCCGTGCATACATCCAAGAGAACAACTGAACCATCGAGCAACCGATTCAGCAATCAGCCAGTCTTTCTTTCGCCAGTCGTTCTTTCAACATCTACACTCTTTACCGATCAACAATGAAGGCTTCTGTCTTCGCCGTCCTCTCTATCGCCGCTCTGGCATTCGTCCGTGCCGAGACGCCCGCCTGTGTATTGTCCTGTGTCAACACAAGCCAAGGCTCTTGCAGCTCCCTCGGAGACTTGTCTTGTCTCTGCTCGGACCAGGCTAGTGATGTCTTGAGCTGCTTGTCGACCTCCTGCTCTGGCAGCACCGGAACCGACTTCTACAAGTCTCAGTGCTCCTCTGCTGGATACACCGTCACCGCCAGTGCTTCCTCCTCTGGCATGTATTCATTTCGTTTTTTCTAGCATACATACGCTGACAATTGGCATATAGTCGCTTCTTCGGCTTCCCGCACATCGTCAGTTTCCCCCTCCTCTAGCACTAGCTCTTCGTCCTCCACCGAGACTTCTACGAGATCCTCATCATCCTCGGCTGGAGCTGCGGTTGTAGCAGCAGCGTCTACATCCTCTACCTCTGTAACGAGTACTGAACAGTCATCTTCCAGCTCCGGCGCCTCTTCTGCCTCTGCCTCTGCCTCTGCAACCGGCATTTCCGCCGCTGCCTCTTCCACCGCCTCCTCTGCCGCTGGAGCCGCCCTCGTCGACGCCGTCTCCGCTTCCGGATCTGGTGTTGCGGCCTCCGGATCCGCCGCCAGCGGTACCAGCAGCAGCGCTCGCAGCACCCGTACTGGCTCGGCCTCGTCTTCCGCTAGCGGTGCCTCTGCCTCTGGCACGACTCTCGCGGAGAACAGTGGTGCGGAGAAGGTCATGGTTGGTGGGATCCTTGGACTGGTGGGTGTGGTTGGTGCATTGATTGTTGCCTAAACGTACTGAGAAGGATGGATTTGGGGGGTGGACAATGCATTCTGAGGACTCATCACATTTCGTCTCTTTTACTGGTATTGAGGACATTTGAGAAGTAGATTAGACAGTGCCTCTGGCATGCAATATACTACTTCATCACAATTGCGGTGAGCTCAAGAATCTAAGTGCCCTTTGAGTGTACTGTACGAGGCCTGGCGACGAATGCGTGCCTTGCCCTTGCTAAAGTATATTGTAGCTGTAACTACCCCGGATTTATACGAATAAAAAGTATCGACATCTCCATAGAAGGAGGAAGAGCTCGCTATGCCAAAGAATATCCCAGTTCCAAAGCACCGTCTCGTGTCTCTCCTTCCTCAACCTCTCCTGCGATTCTTCTCCCGCTATCCACCATTACAGCCTCTCCCGGCAGATAAACCCCACCCTTTCGAATTCCACATCAACCCCTTATCTGGCAACCGCAATGACCCAGTCTACTCCCGGAGACGGCAAGCCGATTTGGTCAATAAGGCGAGGCCATTTGGCTTGGATGGTATCCTGAAGGAGATGGGTGCGCTCCGTGACATGGGAAGCAGCAAGCCCATGAAGGGTCTGATCAAGTGGAAGCGTCACAAGTCTGAGAGAACATATAAGTCTAAAATGAAGAAGCGGGCGGATGCTCTTGAGGGTATGGCTGAGAAGATCAAGGCCTGGAACCCAGCGAAGGTCAGTTTTCTCCTTGTCCCTTTGATTTGTGCACTGTACTTACCATTATGCAGGCGGAAGGAAAAGCACAACGTTTGGCAGAGAAGGAAGCAAACATCAAGGCGGCAACCAGGGAATAGGGTGTTTTGTCCTTATATATCACACTGTTCCAAAACTCAGGCTCATGGACAAGCTCAAGCGAGACCAATCGATTCGTAATAAGTTGTTGATAGTAAAAAGACGCAGCAAACATCTAGCGACTATATGGTATATCGATATCATGCAAAAGACCAGTGACAAAAGAACATCCCACTCATCGACCCAGGTTCGTGTCCATGTCCAATGTCTGTAAAGAAGAAAAGCATATGCAATGCGTGTGAAAACTTCAGATATGTGTGTGCAAGACCCATGCAACGTTGCAAGAGCACCCAAGCTCAAGAGAACCAGCGATCCCAAATCTCAGACGTAACGTAACATACCCCAGCCCAACCGCTCATTGTCCAACCAACAATCCCAAACAAAACTCCCCATCCCACATCCAATCGTACAATAAATACCCCAAACATAACCTACATCCACCCATCATCCACCCCTAACCTTCACCTCACCCCCACACTGCAAGCACCTCATCCCCCCCTTTCCCCCAGCACTCCCCAACTTCATCTCCCTCCACTCCGTCCTAACGGGTAAATAACAGCAGTCCTCATTCACGCAACGCACTCCGGTTTTCTTGTAGCGGAGACCGCAGGAGTTGCAGAGCCAGGTGCCGGGGGTGAAGCCGGGGCGCCAGCAGGGTGTTTGAGAAGCGCGGCAGGCGGCGCAGGTGCGGTTGCTGGTGAAGGTAGAGGCGGTAGTGGTTGTGATGGAGGAGCGGTGGTGAGGGGTGGTTGGGGATGTGGTGGAAGAGGATGAGGACGTGCGGCGCATACGGCTCGAAGAAACGACAGGCTCGGCCTCGTGGGAAGGAGCAGGAGTCATCGGGTACGACATCGGCCCTTGCTTCTTCGTCACAACTGGCGTCGTAAGAGCAATTGCTCTCTCTCTCTCGACACGCGCATTCATCCCCGAAACAATCTTGATCGGGACTGGACGAGGCACAGTGACAGACTTGACAGAGGGTTGTTGACGGCGTAAACGATCGCGCCAGGAGGCAATGTCGGGGGCTGTGTCCGGGTATGCGTGTGCGTAGGAGATACGGCGTTTCGGGACGTTGTATGCTTCGTCTTCGTCTTCGTCGTCGGAGGGGGCAGTGGAGGAGCCGTAGAGTCGTTTGCGCAAGGTAGCGGAGAGACGACGTTCAACGATTTGAGGGTCTTCGCGGTCGTCTTCGTCTTCTTCGATGTCGTACTCAGATTCGGAGGAACCGGAATGAGACTCGCAGTCGGAGTGATCGCCATCGGTAGGGAAGAACTGCGAATCGGTTTTCTCCTTCGGCGGGGTACGCAACAACATCATCATCTGCAACGCCGAGACAGCATCCGCTTCGGCTTCGGAGTGTTCGCTATCACCAGCGGACGTCGGCTTGCGGGTGGCGGCGACAGGCGATTGACAGCGAGGAGAGGTAGGCGGGGTGTAGTTCATGATGGCAGAGATAGGCGAAGCCTGCTCGCGATCGCACTGGAACGAGAAATCACGACGAATGGGAGAAGTAGTGTCGCCATCCATACTGCTGGAATTGGTGAAGAGTGCGGTGAAGTCGGATCTGATCGCGTGGGTAATTGATGACATGACTGTAACTGGATCAAGTTGAAAGAACGAAGAAGTACTACTGATCAGAGTCGTAACCGAAACGCAAAGTCCAAGTCGCACGTCAATTGACTCCGATGAAGGTGCGAATCAAAGGGGGAGGAGGCACGGGTCTTTAAACACCTCCTGAACGTAGGTTCAGCTTTGGCGATCAAATGACCCCGTTTTGAGCACAAGGTGATCAACAAGATACACGGCAGAGTTTACCCCGCCCTTATCGAGATAGCAGCAGGGGTCCAGGAAAGGAGGTTCGGAGTTCGATTGAACCCTGGTACCGTGGTTACTGAGCTCAGTCTCTTGGCCGAAACGTGTACGGAAACCGAGGATCAGCAGTCTCCTTTATGCCAATAGAATTCCGTCAAAGTCGGAGTATGTCCGTTTTTCTTCGTTGCAATGTTCGAGGACTTGCTGAGAGCGTGGCGATTTGCCTTTCACATGTCGCTAGATGAACCGCGCGGACTTCGATAAAGTTGAACACCCACAGATCGATGCTGATCCGGTTTCACGACTCAATATCGAAGGAGAAATTGGAACGGTCCGGTGTCACTTCTCCATCTTGTGCGAAACAGACGGCTGTGTTTAAGAGTCGATGGAAGGTGCCGTAACATCCGGTGTCAAACTCGGCATTTCCCGCGGGGCCGTGTTGCCGTCCCGTACATTTCGCCTCCTCGATACGAGACTCACCGCATCCTCTACCAATCGTGAATCGGGAATCGTCAGATTTCGATATTACCCAGAAACCCCTCATCATCACCGCCGTCATTCTCAGCGGCAAGGGCGTCAGTATCGACAAACCACAGCTTACTCCCATACGAGATACACAGTTCCTCGCCGATCTCAATCTCCCTCAATGTCTGATACCTAACGCACATCTGCTCCACATCACGGGTCCAGCCTACGTTTGGGTTCCGGTGGTGGTTGAACATACTCCCCAACCCCAACACCACAGCCTGCGAAGGCCTCCCCTCATATTGCCACGTGTACGTATAATGATCCAACAACGTGTGTCGTACATGTTCCTCGACATCAGACGGCGGGAGGATCAAGACGTTTGAGATGTCGATGAGGGTGTAAGCGGGTATCGGACGAGTTGCGAAGACGCCGCGGCCTTTGGGGGTGTTTAGGCGGATTTCCAGGCCGTGGGGGTGGTGGAGTGAGACGGCGGAGGTGTCGGGTGGTGTGTGTTGTGTGTTGGACATCTCTGGGACGGGACTGAGCGAGGGAGGGGGCCGAGGGAGGTTTGCGATGGGGAGGCGTGCCAAGGGGGTGGTTCCAAAAGTCACGGGCTTGTAACGTAGACATAGGCAGGCGATATACAACGTGAGAACCTCAGACATTTTCGTTAGCCAAGAAGATAATATCCATCTTCAACTGGTGTACGCCCCACCCAATGCACGGGCACGGTCGGAGCTCAGGTGTGTACGACATGTTCCTGTAGCGTCGACAAAAACACCCCGACTACCTCCCAATCCGGTAAACCACCATGGACCACCCTCTCACCCTCAAAGTGATGCGAATTTCGCGTCCTTCGCTTCAATTGCAATCTCCAACCTACGTAGATCCTGTTTTCTCTGCCTCTACTCCCTCGGAGGCGAGCTTGGCGTTGAAAGCCCTTGAGGAAGCAACGACGACAACTATTCCGACTTTTCCAATTACGAATCATGCGATTCTTCCACCTTCTTTTGGAGTTATATATGTTGGTCAGACTTTTTCGAGTTTGGTTTGTGTGAACAATGATGGGGAAGAGACGGTGCGGGGACTGAAGGTGCGAGCGGAGATCCAGACGCATTCCGGAGTTGTTGTTGAGTTGGTGCCCAAAACCGCGACTAATGACAACGAAGAGGGAGAAGGATCAGAGGAGGAGCAGGCAGAGCTGGAGGAGGAGCAGGGAGAGCTGGAGGTGGAGGGCGGCAAGTCGATAAGGCGGGTTATCTCGCATGATATCCGGGAAGTCGGACCACATGGTATGTTGATTCGACGGTAGATGTGACAACAGCTAAGCGTTGAATCGGTGTACAGTCCTCACCATAACCGTCTCCTACATCACCCCTTCACCACCCTCAAACGCCGACACCGACACCGACCCAAACTCCAACCCCGAACCAACAACCCACTCCTTCCGCAAGATCTTCAAGTTTTCCGGCCGTCAATCCCTCTCCGTCAAAACCAAAGTCAATGATTTCCAGCCGAGTGTGGGGGCGAAAGTGGGCGAAAACGTTATTCTGGAGGTGCAGATACAGAGTTTGGAGGAGGGGATGGTTATGGAGTCGTTGAGGTTTTTGCCGGTGAGGGAGTGGGGGGTTGAGGATTTGAACACATTTACAGCGCCGTCGTCCTCGGATGCCAGTTCAGAAGGAACTGGAAAGGAGGAGAAAGGCATCTTTGAGTCACTGGCGGTGCTAAACCCGGGTTCGGTATGGCAGTACATGTTCCTACTGTCGAAACGCTCGCTGGAAGGTGGACCGGGGAGTAGGCGGGTGAGTGCGGAGGCCGAGGCGATTATGGTTGGAAGAGGAGAGCAACTTGGACGGCTGGAGATCAATTGGAGAACGAGTATGGGAGAGGTTGGAAAGTTGGTAACGAGTGCTTTGGTGAGGAGGGTCGCGCCGAGGTGATCCCGTCAACCCACTCAAATCTGATTAGATACCCAGATATACCTTGTCATATTAGGAGAGACAGATACAATTTCGTCATACGTATCAGCATGATTTTCCCCAACGATTTGTTTGGTCCTGTCCAAAATAGGCTATCTGCTATATGTGCGCCTTGTGCATCCTGCAGCTGCGTTTTAAGTAGCTTGAACTTCGGCCCGACCTTATCATAGAACGTTGAACTTTTTGGCGAACGACCAGAGCAGCATCAAGGGCCGGTTCTCTTCGCATTTTTTCAGGGGTCTTTTTCTACGTGTAAGATTGAAGCGGGAGCGGTCTTTACCGGCCTTGTTACGAGACCTCTTGTCTGTCGCTTCGTTTCGTCAACAACCTCCAATCTTGGGAGATCGACGACCCAGCATTCGGAGATGGAAAACGGACAGCAGCAGCCATTGTCTGATTTCTTGTTTATTTGTGGGTTATATGAGACGGATATCATCAGTGCGCCTGTTCCGCAGTCACAGAGGGAGAGTGCGAAGAGTGATTTGAGGAGGGAGGTGTCGATACCGGAACATGCTGCGTTGGAAACGCCGAGTGAGTTAAGGCCTGTGTCTGTACCGCCAATAGAGGTACATCGGGCTAGTACGGTCGCGACTGAGGCAGACTCGTCGTTGCCTACGCCGCCAGCTTCGGTGAGCTCTGCTGAGAAGAATGCTAGGGATACGGGTGCGGAGCGGGAGAGCAATGGGCAGGTTGAGGATGAGCTGCGGGAGAGTATGCCAAAGTCTTCATCGGGGTTGGGGTTTGATGAGATGTTGACGAAGTTCACGTCGGCACGGGATAACTTCATCTTGAAGCTCGAGACGCCGGGGACTCAGCAACCTGTGGTCTCTGTTCCGGCCGTCTCGGAGACGTTGAGCGTACCGCAAGCTACGCCGAAAGCATCGAAGCATATATCGCGGGCGAGGATTGAGGATGAGGATGAAGATGACCCGATAGCTGCGCTGTCATCAGCGCCTCTAACAAGAAATTCGACTAGGTCGCATAGCCGGAGTCCGTTTTCGCCAGGAAGTTTCTCCGGGAGTTTTTCGGATCTGGTGAGAGGGCCGTCATTCTCAAGAAGACGGACAATGAAACGGCAAGGGTCACAGCGGACGTTACAGAGGTCATCGACAGTAATCTACAACGACTTCATTCTCGAACCAGATCCGCTAGTCCTTCCGCCTGGTACGCACCCGATGAAACAAAAGTTTCCGCCAAGACTGCTATCGAGGTGGCCATTACCAGAAATGCAGGCTGAGACGGCCGCGCGAGGTGGGTTTCCGGATTATGTCCCTATGTTCGCATTCCCCAACGATTGTCGCATTCAACTCGCGGACGAGAGACCGCAATCCACTTGGCATGGATTCGTGATGACGAAGGGTACGGGAGAGAACATTCATGGAATGTGTGTCGTGATCTGGGTTCCCTTGAGTCCGGAGACTGCCGCAGTTGTCGATGAGCAATGTGAGAAATGGAGCGAACGTCACATGACCTTGGAAGAACGAGAGTTGGCTGCGAGTTTGAGTTCGAGGTTGGCGGCTGAGAGGACGAAGTTGAGTCATCTTCTCACCGGGTTGGCAAAATCAGTTCCGGGTCCGGATCGTGAGGCTTTCGAGGAGAGAATCACGCAGTGCGAGGAGAAGATTGGATTGTTAACGGAGACCCTGAAACCTATTCGACATGGAACTGCGGCGAAAGTTGAAGGACTTACGGAGATGGGAACTGGGATGTGGGTACCGCGTGCGTATGGACTCCTATCACGTGATGGCAGCTTCCAGACACTGAGGAGGGATTGGCTAAAGGCGATCTGTACGCCTATGCTGACGGGTGAGATCATCGGTGTCCCGCCTTCGAGTCCGAGGGTAGGGGTGTTCCTTCCTCTTGAGAGGTATGCTGTGAATATGTGCGGTGATATCCCTTTGCCGACAAGGAGGGATATACAACTGGAGCTTGCAGTGAGAGAGTTGCGGTTGTATGCAATGCGGGAAGCACCGAATGAGCTGCCAGGGTGGAGAGATGTGGATCTGTATCCCCTGTTCAGGGCATTGGGTTTGAGTAATGTTATCGTGTTGGTTGAGGCCGCGTTAAGTGAAGCCAGGATCATCTTTCGTTCGGCGCATGTCTCGATGTTGCATCTGGCTGCAAAGGCATTGACGCACCTCATTTGGCCTTTGAAATGGACGGGGGTGTATATCCCAATCTTGCCGGCTCGTCTGGCGTCGTGCCTCGAGGCTCCGGTGAGCTACATCATCGGTATCGAGAAGAGGTTTGAAAACCTTACGTTGCCTGAGGAGGACTTTGTCCTCTGTGATCTTGACAATGATCTCATCATCGCCCCGGTACAACCTCCGACGCTGCCGGCACCGCAGAGGCGGAAGTTGGCGCATTTGTTGAGTTTGGCGGCGCCGTTGCACTTGAGGTATGGTGTGCAGAAGGGTCCACCGCCGTATGCGGTATCGACGTTTCCCAACAAGAGCTTCGTTGCGAGCGCGGAGGTTGCGACGAATGTTAGGAGGCCCAGTACGCTGAGCAAACTCCTGCTACGGAATTCCACGGCGTTTGGAGAGCGAAATGTGGAGTATAAGTCCCAGGAGCCGGTGTTCAATGCATTTTTACAGAGCTGCGATGAGAAGGTCGTCAACTACAATCAGAGACCGACAACACCGTTCTCGAGAAGATTACCGAGTTTCGCATCCAGTACTACTAACAGTCCGACGAGGCATGGAAGTCAGGCCAGCATCACTCCGACGATCTCCCGTGAGAATTCACAGGCTAGAAGAGCGAGCACATTGGGACTCGAGGGACGTATCGAACGGAACCGGAGTACTTCTATCGATACGCGGTTCTCGATGGTGCTCAGACCAGGTGCTATCTCCGTTTCGAGTAACTACAACGACAATGCTTCAACGTACGGGTACAGTCCATCACTCTCAGGACAAAGCACCTTCGCCGGCTCGAGTGTCTTCAACTTGGACGTTCTTAGCCAGCCTATCCGACCACCTACGGCAGGTGAAGATATGTGGTGGTGCGAAGGCCACTGCATGCTGTGGAAGGAAGACATGAACACTGTACCTACGGATTGCACGGTATGTGGGGAGAGGAGTGAGGTGTATATGTACGTTTGCCGTGAATGTGGGATGATGGTTCATCATCGTTGTAGGGATGCGGTGACTTTGCCGTGTTTACCGGTGTGTTTTGATGCGGATAAGGTCCGTGCGGCGTTTTTGAGGCTGTTTGCGAGCTTGCTGTATACACATCGGAGGTTCTTGGTGTCTGTCAGCAGAGGCAAGAGGATCAGCTCTGATGGAGCACTGTTTACGTTTGATCAGGAAGGGTTCGTGAGAAGTGTCCCCAAAGATCACGGAAGCTATCTCAACATGCTACTCGAGACACAGGCTTTCAGTGAGTTCATCCACGAGCGGTGTCATAAGATGCCGGATGATCCGGAGGTGATGTTGTTTGAGCAGGTTGTCATGACGAAGAAGAATAGGGGGCGGACGGGGCTTAAGTTGGGATTGTTTAGGGGGAAGAGGGGGGATACAGCATTTCTGAATGGGAGGGGTGGGAGTGCACAGGTTCAGACGAGGCGGGCACCGGTACCGCAAGGAGATGGATGGGATCGGACCGAGGCTCAGGCGGGACGGACGCCGGACAAGTTGGAGAAGGGGTTGATGGTGCCCGGATTACTGGATCAGACGCGGCCGAAGAGGCGGCCCGTGAACGGCACGTCACCGTGAAGAATAGATGAGAGGCGGCTGGTCAATTGAGTATTCGGTATTTGTGTTTCCCTGGGACTATAGTATCATCAAGGCGGAAACGGCGTTATTGCTTTCTTGTGGGACACTGAGGTTGATTGCATCGCGAAGGCCACGCATGGCTACAGTATAGACTAAGAAATTGACAACGCGCAAAGTACACAAAAACCGTTCGATTCCGTTCGCTTGTCAGCATTGAATTGAGTAGGGATAGATTACGCGGTCGGTCGGTTGGTTGCCTCGTCGGCCATGCGTTACGATCCGGGCGGCGAGCGCGGGGTACTTACGTGCGTACCGGTACGAGCGCACGGGCGCACGGGCCCGGCAGTCTCGGCCAAAATGAAGGGGAACAGTTAACAGCTGCATGTAAGGAAACAAAACACCCATGACGCAAGTCGATTTGCTCAGCAACTGAACCACAAATCGGCTCGATCTTCGGGTAAGGAGTGAGCCGGTGGTGGGTCCAGTCTCATGGTCAGGGTAGGTTGCCTCTTCTGAGGGGGTGCTTGTCTTACACTGTCTCGGTGAACAGGCTGCCGAAGCATTTTGTTTGTTCTTAGTGTTCTTGGTGTGAGCTCTAGAGTGCATTCGCTGCACGTTTGCCGGGTCGTTGTGAATTTCCGCACTCGGGATATCGATGGTGGAGACCGGCGCGGTCACTGCAGAGGTGGACGTGAATGCTGTTGTCGAAGCTGCTACGGACTGTTTATAGGCTGGATGGAGAGTAAACCGGCCGTCGTAGCTGCTTAATAATACCCCCCGTTCAGCCGGTCACTCTCTCCCTCTCCACGGAACTCCTTCTTGATTTCCGATGCGGCTGAGTTTTCTTGCGGCTGCAGCATCTGACACAGTGCCCACAGAGCCACACTCTCAAACGCCGCCCCTTGGCACAAGTGCTTTAAGATGTGATTCTTCTGCTGCTCTGCTGTTTTGACTCCCTAACTGACCCATACCAGACAATACACTCCTCGTCGCTAACCTTGTCTTGCTTGTTATACCTCGCCCCGCTCACCCATCGTCGTTCTCGTTCAGTCAGTCTCTCGACAGCATAGCATATACCTCCCCGTTCGACCTCCTTTTTACCTTTCTTTATAACTGGTGAGCGACCGCCGTCCGCATATATCCCGGAAAGATGGACACCTCGCAGCCGCATATACCTTCCTCCTCTTCCCGGCCGTCACAGTCGAGACGATCGTCAAAGGGGAGCCATCGACCACCAACCATGACTCTGGAGATTGAGGAGTCTACCGCTGCACTGCAGTTGAACTCGCCATCGACACAGGCTGTCGATATGCAGCGTTCGCCGAAGCAGGACAATATCGCCTACGAGACTACCTCCACCTCTTCAGGCAAGAGATCGAGTGATTACTTGAGGGAGCCACCGGTTGGTGTTACCCAGCAGGAAATCGCTTCAAAGAGACCGAGAAGAGATAGCAGGCCTCAAATCGCTTCGGTACAACCTTTTACTGCCGTCGAGCCGTCTCCCGCCTCCCCAACATTTTCTACCACGTCACAGTTTTCATCTGAGGTGGTACCTTTCCGTACCCGCCTGGGCCGAAGACGTGCACACTCTATGCCAGATTTGCCTACAGGCGGCCGACAGTTCAAGAAGACCCAGCATTCATCCCAGTTTCTTACTTGGCAGCAGCAGTCGACACTCACGGAGACCACGCTCGCCTACGGCCGTGAGATTGCCACTCCGATTCTTACCCGTCGCCGTAACGCCATTGCTGGACCTTCGACGACTCGTCTGACTCACGTATACCCACCTGCGCCTTTGCCACCCATCACGCAGACCACTCTTCACGAACTAGAGTTGAGCGAGATCTTGAAGAATGTTCAGTTGAGGCACGATATCGTGCATGACCCCAATTTGCAGTTCAGGCCGAACTACGATGGTGAGCGTGGAATGCAGAAGAGGCTCGCTGCGGATAAGTACTGGAGGAGTCTTGGGCGGGAGATCGAGAGGATCATCATCCGTGCCTCCAACCACGGAAAGCCCAGCAAGTTGCCTGGAATGTTCACCGGGATGCGCAACATCTTGGCTGGCTTGCTCCCGGCCGAGGACCGCGCCTCCGTCAGTCAAGTCCTGGACCCCGCCCTTCTCGAGCAGCAGCTGAGGCATCACTGTGTCGACTTTACCGCCTTGGCCGACTACCTCGGAAATGTGATGCGTAAGCACTGTGCGCCTATGCGCGATACCCCCATCGACAACATGGTCAAGCACTTTTCCCAAGCTAAGACGAGCGTACAATACGTTCAAGGCCTCCAAATGGTCTTTGAGTTATTGGAGGCGATGAAGCTCGATGTTGCGAATCATCAGTTGAGGCTGTTGAGGGGACATCTGTTGGAGAGTGTTGTTGATGTCGAGAGGAGGTATTGGGCGGATCGGGTTGAGAGGGGAAGATGTGATGTTGTTAAGGTTGTGGAGTGGGTTCGGGAAGGTGCGGAGAAGATCCCTAAGACGACCAAGGGCAACTTGGACTGGATTACGGGCTTCGTGAGGAGTTTTGCGGATTTGTTGCCCATTGGTGCGGCTACGGCGAAGACTGCTCCCAACGGTGGCAATGCCTGGACTTTGGAGAAGTTCCCGCAGACTTTGGCTTTTGACTATGAGCGTGTGTGGAAGTTGAGGGAGGATTTGAGGGATGTTGTCAGCGTCACTCTTTGTCTTCTCTTGTTCCGCCAGCTCGTTGGTGCGCAGAACGCAAGCAAAATCACTGAGGAGGTCGTGGCTTCTTTGAAGCATGAACTCTGGGTCATTCTTGCGGTTGGGCCTAGTGAGGGTAGATGGGCCAGGACTGCCAGTGCTGTTGCATTGCAGATCGCGAAGAGGGCCGTTGAGTTCCGCGAGGGCAAGACGGAAGCTCATCCTTCTACTTCTGAGGTCACGGTTGCTGAGAACTGGATCAAGAAGAACGTTCTCTATGAGTCCAACAAGCCTTCGGACATCTATAAGATGGTTGAGAGGCGTATCTTGGACAGTACTTTCGTTACCGTTGCTGCGCAGATCAAGTCTGCCTATACTACGGGCACGAAGACGAAGGATGCTGTTGTTGCTGAGGCAAAGGTTACGGATGCGGTCTTGTCAAGCAACGTCAAGACCGAGCTCGTCTGCTTTGCGGAGAGGATTACGAAGATTGCTGGGTTTCATTGGGGTGTGCATGGTGCTTGGTACGTCGAGTGGGCGAAGCAGTGTTAAGGTGTTGAATTCACATACTGGGCATTTTCGGTTGGTTTGTGTTTGATTTATTGGTTCGGAAGGGTTGAAAGGGTTCAAGGAACGATTCAGAGTGACAAGGACATTACAGGAGTTATTTATTTTTATCACGCGAAACGATAGGGGGTCGGAAGGGATGGGTCGTGTTTTTCTGCTTTTCTTCTCGTTAGGTCGTTTACTGCATACCAACAGCGCTCACACAAGAGACTTGTTTACCACCATATACTCTTTCGAGGTCTTTGCGAAATTTTCATGGTGGCTATTTGCATAGTACGTAAACGAGTGTCATTGTTCCTTAGGTAAGCTTCATCTCGCTACAGTGCTCGCCTCTTCCGCGGAATCCGAGAACGCTCCGAAACAAGTCGGACAGCCTTTTCCGTGTTATGTCAGGGTAAGAGTTGGATACATGTATGCGAAACCTGTCGTCAGACACAGCCCCTTGTCTCCGTGGTTGAGTAATGAGAAGGAGGTACGCAATCTGCTATTTGTTACAAAGCGGTGTTTCGAACCAGCACACGGCACCCTCGAGATTGGCCTGCTGTATGGTCAAGCTCACGCCGCCAAGACGGCCGACGTCGATTTCCCGCTCCCACGGTCACGCTCCGGGCCGGCCCTCGAAAAATAAATGGCGCCTTCGACAAGATGAAAGATCATACGTTCCACATTCGGCAAAGGGTAATTAGTGAGCGTCTGACAGGTTTCACAGGCTTCTGTTCAGCCGTCAATCAATGTGGTGCCGTAAACCCTACCTTGCATGCTTCGTCGCTGCGGTGGACAAGCTGCTTCTGCACCCTGATTGGCGGAAGTGGGCTACCGTTCAGCTTCTGCAGATCAGGCAGCTTTTGGGCACCACGGAACGGAGGCCTCCAATTAATAAGGGCCTGAAGCCCGCAAGCAAAAGAATTTTGAAGATGTGGGGCAAACTCGCGGTAAGGAACCGATCAATTGAACGATCGCTAGCGAGGAATGCTGGGGATGCATTCGAAGAACGCACCGGTTTTCGACCTACTGCAAGTTTATCGTGGAATGTATGCGTAGGCGTAGGATCAACTGCGCAAGGAGAACCTGCTGAGTTATGACGGCTCGGAAGGCCTTGATCTACGTCAGTGGAGAGGCTCGTCAACGCGGTTATCTTGGCCGAACCGCCCTGCGAATTGGGTAAATGTCGGCTGGCAGCATTTTGTGCAGTCGGGTGAGGGTTGGACGGAAACGAAGACAAGGGTCAGTTCACAGGGTCGGTAGGCCATAGACATGTTAGACAGAGTCGGAACGTGTATTCAATTTATGTATCAGTCAGCTGTCAGAGTCGTTTTCGTTGGTCTTAAAGAGATATTAACTTCCCCTCTCCTGAGCTTCGGTCAGGGTCGCTGCACCCTGCGCACCCAACATTGAAAGGGAAAGCTTATTGCCAGCGGCGGGAAACTGACCGCACCCACCGCACCCCCACTCGATAGATAAGACACAGCGAGAAGCCGGTTCGACGTTCATTCATTTGAACGAGGGCTCTTTAAGAGCAGCAGGCGTTTAGAATTCGGCAGATCAGTGCTCAACAGCGACCAACAGCGACCAACGTGCAGCGAATCGCAATCAGCATACAGCATGGCGACAACTAGAATCTTTGCTCGGAGGGGTTTACCGTCACTACCGGAGCTCGGAACGGTTTTGGAGGATGATGCGATCTCACAATCGTCGATTACGTCGTCACAGTCCAGCGTTTCTTCGTCGTATCAACAAGCACTGACGTCGGTATCCTCCTTTACCAGTCCGATCGCAAAAGTCTACGTCGCCGAAGAACAGCAGTCGCAGCAAGCACAGGAGGATCAAGAGTCAATTATTTATAAAGAGCCGGAAGAGGAGGCGTGGAGAGATCATGATGAGGCTCCGGCTAGGCTTGGGTTGACCTGTGAATGCGGGTGCCCCGAGGAGGAACTGTGTAGATCGAGCTTGGATCTCGGGTATACTGGGCTTGATCTGGATCAAACTGGCGCAGGATGGGAATACATCAACTACTTTGCGCATTCAGACCTGTCTCCGAGTGGTATGTTGGCCGTGGAAGCATGGATCAGGGATGTATGCTAACGTTATTATGCAACAGAGGACCCCCTATACGAGATCATGGCGCATTCAACCCCCAAAGTCACTGAGTCCCACGGGTCTGAGATCGCTCTAGACGCTGAGGCTTTCGCATCGGTTACTTCACTCCCGCTGTCTGTCGCTTCAGCATCCTCAGACGCCACTACTGCATCTGGCAAGAAGGTAAAGAAAGGTGCTGAGATCTTTCGCAAGGTCTTCTCTGCAAGGACATTGCGTCTGCGCAAGAAGTCGTCCGTTCCGGCTCTGAAGGAGGTGCTGGATCAGCCTATTTCTCCTCTCCACCCACCGCCGAATCTCCCTCACATCATGGCCCTTACTCTCGACGAAGACGACAGTCTGTCCTCGACGCCCTTGGAGAGGGTGGACTCGGAGTATTGGGATTCTCCTGCCATGATTGCACACCCCACGACGCCTCCTCTGCCTGATCTGATCATCGAGCAGGTGTCGGTGCCTATGGCAACGGTGTCCGTTCCCTCGTCTTCCGTTCCAGCGACGCCCACCATGATCACGTCTGCAGAGATGGAGGCTCTCCTGTTCGACTCGCCAACATCTTCCTCGTCACTGGCACCTCCAATCTCCTCGCCAGCTCCTTCGCCCTCGCCAGCATCGTCGATGATCTTCAGTGAAGCCTCTTCCTCGATACTGTTGAGTGGACCGGTCAAAGCGGCACCCCTCTCGCTGGACGAGATGGTGGCGAACATGAGGTTGGAGGATGCTGCATTTGCGGCTACTGAACGCAAGCTCGTCGAGTCTGGGTGGAGTACCGCTCAGGAGATCAGTGATGTTAGGAGGAGGCGAGAATCTGCTCGCAGAAGCTGGGATGCCAAGATCAGGGTGGCACAGGATGATGCCGCACATTTCGAAAGCGGATAAGCATCCACATCATGCGCTTGCTTGCTTTCTTGCATTCCTTGCCCCGCTTCAGAGTGGAAGCTTGGCATTCAGCCTACGCACGCGCATGTGGGAAGAGAGAAGAGAGAGACAAAACGCATTTTGAATTCCGGAGCCGGCTATTGCATCACACTCTCTACAACCATACACGCTCTCTACGCCGCAGCGACACTGCTTCCGGCCTCGTCGCCGTTCATTCATTACGCATGTCCACCGAATGGCTTGCCTGCGTACGCAAATTCAAGCATCTTTCCCGCGTTTGGGAATCGGTCATGCACTTAACACGCCCACCCGGCATATGTCTTAGCCAGGCGTGTTATCATTGTTGTTATTTATTCATACAGGGACGGTCATCATAGCATTATTATCTGGACCGTCAAGGGCATTACTCAAGGGAAGGCGAAAATGAGTTATCATAGAAGGTCGAGGCATACATATTGATAGTGGGTATACTACTGTTGATCAATTGACACGCGATATTATCGTCCAATGAGTTCTTGCTTGTAGACATTCCATTAATTTTGCATTGGGGGGTCTATGTAACCTTCTTGTTCGTGTTGACGAAACCAGTTCCCATACACGATACGAGGAACTCCGGTTCTGGGGTTTCCTTCTCCTCATCATCGTCCTCCTCTTCTTCGTCATCCTCATCCATAGGGTTTCCTTGTGGCTTTTCTCTCAACAAGAACTCGGCTCCCCAGAAAGTCTTGATATCCCGCAACATCTCGACCAGGTTCTCATCCACTCTGGCTCCGATGTCGCACCGCCCAACATCCTCCGATCCAAGAACCATGAAAGGCAGAACGATACCAGTACCTGCCGAGTCAACCGCACCATTCTTCCTGATCTCCCGTAACAGCATCTTCGCACACGCCTTTCCCACGTCCTCCGCCGGCTGTCCGGGTCCACCCGTCAAATCCGCCGTATAAATCGTCTGCGTATTCGCACATTCCGCAACCAAACTCAACGAAAACCCAGGCGAGTTACCACTCTCCGCACCCTTATACACATCCGTATAGATATACACATCCGGGATATATCTGTTCAACACACCTCTTGCTGCCTCCACCATTCTGTTTGCGATTGCAGGTGAGACACGGGTCGAGGCGGCGATACCTCTGATTCGGGAGATACGGCCGGGGTCGAGCCAGTGGATTGTTTTGACGTTTCGGACGTTGGGGCAGAGGAAGTGGACTTCTCCTCCGCCGAGGGGTGGTGCTCCTCTTTTCAGGATTCGTAGTTCAACACCATCTGGGACACCGAAGCGAGTGAGAAGGGGAAGAATTCCTGTTCTGATAGTGTCGATGGTCAAGTCAAGAGAATCGGCTGTGATTCCCTTGAGGTGTAGTGAGAGCGGCTGCTTGGTGAATGGCGCAAGTAACAGAAGAGGGTAGAGGAAGTAGGATATTGATCGTGATGGCGGGCATTCGTGGGTATGTGTTCCTCCGTGAATCAATCCAGGTTTGTAGAGCACCGTGGTACCGGTGTACGAGATCTCGATATGTGCTCCGTTCGTCACAGCCTCCAGCAATCGTAGCAAAGACACCTCGTAGTCTCTCAAACCAGGTTCCAAATCATTAGAACGGATTCCGTCGAACCTTACGGGGCGGCCAGTCAATGTGGCATAGATCAGGCGGCGAGCAAAGTGCTTGTGTCCGGTGAAACGGACGAGCTTTGCCGCTGAGGTCGCGGAGGCAGCGTGGGCCGCTGAAGAGGGTGCTACTGAAGGCATGGGAAGTCTGATGTACGTAGCAGGATGTCCAAGTTCCTCATCAACGATGCCAAAAATAACGTTTATCCGCCGAAATTTCGAACGTGGCGAAACATGGCTCAGCAGGCACGTCGCAGGAGCTGCCAACTTTTTTGGAGTGCGCGGTGCTCGAGGAGGAGGAATAACCAACCTTCTCGAACCAACGTCAACTTGCTTTTTGCAATCTATTCTCCTCGAGCTGCCTTTATAATCCGATAGAACGGATCAACAATGTCTCACGCACGAGCAACAAAATCTCTTACAGTGCTGTTGGAGCGAAGACATGGCATCTCCACTTCAGCGACACCAGAAGCTGGCAAGCCATCCAGAGCAGCTAAGCGAAGAAAAGCAAAGAAGGCCGAAAAAGTGTTTGACGTTGATGGTGGGTCTTCTTCCTTTCTGTGAGAGCGTTACAGCGCGATACGAACACGACGACGGCGACTTCGCAATTGAACGGTAATGATGATAAATTTGCTATTATTTCTAAACCCAGCTCTCCGATGCCTGTGTGCAATATGAGTTCGATGACCTATTATATCTGACCCCTTACAATTCTCGACAATGTCGTCTGTTCTATCGTCGCTGCTGCCGCTCTCGCTGATCTCGCGATTTTGAGTGAGCATAGCTAACAAGTATGTTATAGCCGTTCTTGCATCAGAGTCGAATACCAAGTCTTCGCACCTCTCCGATAACCTCCAGTTCCTGAACCGTTACTCTGCTCTCCCAACAGAGAAGGAGCAAGAGCTGAAAGCCAAGCTCCTTGCTGCAAGAGAAGCAAAACTTTCGGCAAACAAACCGAAGACGAAGTTGAAGAGCGGCAAGAAGAAGAAGCCGGCTGACAAGGGATACACTCTTCCTGGTTTGACTGCAGGGTTGGCTGCTGTTGGTGACGAGGACAGTAGTGACAGCGATGACGAGTAAGGCTGCTGGGTTTTAGGATATCAGAACTTGTTTTGCTTAGGTTTTATGGGTTGCATGGCGTTCTTCTTTTATACTTGATTCATTACGAATGCCTTTCATGTTGGAGGGCAAAGGCTTCAAAGAAGCTGTCAGCAGTAGTTGCTGCGACTTACCTAGGACAATGGAAATCACACATTATTCTTTATACTAGCGCACCTTGAGTTTGACTTTTTGCAATTGGTTCGAGCTCTTGGGCTTATTGGGCGGCGTGAAGTTACCATCCTGCAAAGACACCCATGCGTGAGAATTTGCTGCGAGAGGCGAATAGAAATCAGTCAGCGACCAGAGAACAAGGCCTTCTGCTACAACGTGTGTCTGTCTATGACGTTGCTCAAGATCATGGATGATAAGTCCAGCAGCTTGTCGGTGGAATTCATTTCTGCGACGTTGCCACGAATTCCGACTTTGCTTGCCTCATCTTCGAATTCAACGTCGAAACACACGGTCACAGAAACAGCGACTCCATGACCATGTAAACTTTACCCAGTCCTCCTGAACTTTACCCATCAGCTTACCTCTTCGGCGAAACTTTGGTACCGAACGGAATACGAAGTTTCGCAGCGAGGCAGGATGCTTCATTTTACTCGCCAGTCAACACGCGGTCAACCTCCAACATTACGAATCGGGTTTACCCACTATGTCATTTTACCTTCCTCACAATGGGCAATGTTTACCGCATCGGAATACTACCTCGCTCGCGCCATAGCTAAAACCGAGATAACACAACCCGACCCCCAACACTTTTCCTTGGTCAACTTGGAAATCTGCATTCTGCTTTCCCCACTATTTCATTTGCCTACACCCTCCCAACGTGAAACATGCCGATCACGCCCAGGACGGCAATACGGCCGGCCCAACCTGGCCAGCTGGGCTGCGTATCATCCTCCGAGTCCTATTATTTTGTGGTGAGGAGTCGTGGGGTGACCTCAGTCCACCTCAGTCCACGCAACGTCAGCTGGCCTGATTATGAGGCCGCGGCCGAGTTACTTGACTGAACAGCGTGAGAAGTCTAGTCTGGCGCAGCTGTCACAATTTCAAAGCTGAATGAACAACACCGTCAACTTCAAGAAACAAAGCACTCGCAGTTCAGTTTTGATAATCATGCTCAGTTCCCAACCTACTCCTAATGTCACTCTCCGCACCCACTGCGATGTTCATATTCTCCTCCTCCTCCGCCATCCTCATCGAGCTCAACTCTCCATCCTCCATAACCAAATCAGAAAACGCCCGCCGATGTTCGTGTATGCATCCGAGCCTTGTACTCCCCATGAATCGATACCTTAACCAGAACTCAAAAGCAAAAAGAACGCCCGTACCACGCCGTGTTTGCCCCAAGAAAAAAAACCGTCACAAATCACAAACTCGTACAAAACAGCCAAACCTGAACCATTCATATCATACCCATACCCAATCCATCACTCGCAAGTAACCATCACCCCATCTGCGCAATCGAAAGGAAGGTGGAGTTAAGCAAGGACGGACACAGCGGCAGCCCTCGCCAACTCCCTCAACCCCTCCTCACCCTCACCCTCATCCCCACTCTCCCCCCTCTTCCCAGCTTTCTTCCCCTCCTTCCCACCAACCAAACTCCTCCTCCTCCCCCCTTTCTCCCCTCCATGCGTCCTCCAATGCTGCATACAATTATCCTGCCTCGAGAACTTCGCACCACACCCCTCCTGCGGACACACGAAATTCTTCTCACCGGTATGAATACGGTTGTGACGGGCGAGATGGCCGGATGTCGTGAAGGATTTGTGGCAGGAGAGACATGTGTAGCGGCGGGGTTTGGGTTGTTGTTGTTGTTGTTGGGAGGCTGAGGCGGAGGCAGAAGAGGAGGTGGTGGATGCGGTCGGCATGGAAGGCGAAGGTACCATCGTCGTGGCCATCTGCGGTGAGGGAGCAGATGTGGGCACAGAGGCACTCGTCATCATCGCCTGACCACCCCCCGGAAACGTCGCAGTGGTCGCACTCACGGGCGTAACTGGCGCCGTCAACGGATACGGCGCAGCCTGGTTCCTCATGTTCGGAGACGGACTCATGCCCACACCCACACTCTCCGACGAAGACATCCTCCTCACACCCATGCCCTCGTAAGAAGTAGTGGAGGCGAGGGACATGGTCGAGCCGCGACGGATGGGACCACCGGGTGAGGGACGACGGTGAAGGTCGAGTTCCTGGAGGGAGGGAAGGCGGTCGACACTTGGGCGACGATGTCCGTGTGCTTGGTGTGCATTTCCGTAGGAAGGGTGGTTGAAGGGTGTGAGTGTCGGCAACGGCGACCTCTCCCCATCACTAGACCCACCAGCCGATCCCGCACTCGACCCCGACGAAACCAAAGACGGCGTAGACAGCGACCGCTCATGTTCGTAATAGCTGTGCGAAGCGACCTCAGACGCCGACAGAAGAGCATCGAAAGATGTCATAGACGTGTGTGTATGCGGCATCAACGGCGAGGGACCAGGACGTCTGTGGGGTGAATGCTCCCCCATGAACGAAGTAAGGGGCGGTAGAGTGACTGTTCCCTCCCTGGGCTTCACCCCACGGTCGAAAGAAATAGGCAAATCCAAGGCAGACATCCTCGGCAATATCGTAGGCATCTCACTAGCATACATCCCGACAAAGTTTGTGCAGGGTTCAAATCACGATATGGCATACATTCGGGGAAGGAGTCGTCGAGGTTTTAAGGGTTGGTGTGGATTCCGGCTTAGAGTGGTTAGGGAAAGGGTCGGGGAAGGGTAGCGGAAGGGGAGCCGCCCATTACTTCATCGTGTGGTAACGCGGCCGGTGCACGCGCTAAGGAACGTTAACTTGGACCTCCTCTGACAGCTGGAGCGGGGGGGGGGGGGGGGGGAGATTAACGTGAGGGGGAAGTCAACCTTATTGCCAGGAAAAGACGGGCCGCTCGACATCGACTTCCCTTTTCTCCATTCGAGCTTCACCCCCAGCAACTGGCCTCGTAGGAGGAAGGCCTCAGATCGTCTCCGGATCCCTGGCGGCGCGACCGACAACCTCCATCTCCTCTAGAGCTTTCTCTCCCTCCACAGCCAAGCAAGATCGCCATTTTGTTAGCAATCGACATTCCCATCCCGGATCCGCCACTCGTACTTGCAGCGCTGCATGCGGCCACCGCCCAAAACAAATCACGATCCCTGAACGCGCCACTAACGTCATCGAACCCTGGAAAACGCGGATGGCGGCTCAGAAGGGAACTTGAGAAGGATGGTATTTCCGTGTTGTCCTGGACGCGCTGTAGATTAAGAGATGTTTAAGAGGAAGGAAAAAGACGTTAGGGGAGGAGTCTCAGGAAGTGCGAAACAAGCTCGATCTCGGCATGACACCGACGACGAAACCCTTCCCCTCTAGCTCCCTCTCCCGGCAATCTTCCCCTTCCGGTCATTGCACCCTGCATAACACCCCTCCCTTGCTCTCCCTCGGCTACTCCCAAATCCCATGGCTCATGCCCATCCACAAACCCCGATCGGGCCTCAACATCGTAAACAATGGTCCGATCAGATCACATACGATCAGACCGCGTTCAGATACCGGCTTGGTGCAAGATCGCCCCTTCTTATAAGGCGCGGGCGTGGTACATGTCAACCGCCTCGCGCGTCACGGGGCGTGCAGGGCTAGCGCTGGCGGCAGACAACGGCTGCATGTGATGGGCCCTGCGTGAGAGAGAGAGAGAGAGAGAGAGAGAGGGAGAGAGGGCGAGGGGCGGTTCGAGGTGCTTTGCTTGGACGAGATCACGGAACTTGCCGCGTGTAACACCTTTGGATAACGCGGCAAAAGACACGAGGGGTGCTGGATGAGGGTTACCGTAATCCATCGAACGATCGACATCAGGTATCAAGTGCGAGACAGCGTTTGACAAATGACTTCGTGACCGCGTAAAGCGCCAACTCGAAGCGGAGCAGGGAGCGGATGCGGATGCGGATGCGAGGGCGAGGGATAATGTAAAAACAACAGCTGGTAAACTTGAAACCCTCCCGTAAGCCAGAAAGCCAAAAGGCCTTACCCGCGCCGTGCCGCCTTACGATGTCGAGGTGTCATTATTGCGAGCTTTTGTCTTCGCTAATGCTATACGAGACGGCTGTCAAGGTCATCATCACGACTCGCCTTGTCGAGAGCTCTCAACTTACGCGATACATCCAAGGGCAATTACTTCTGCGAAGCCATAGTCTACACGGGTATACGCGGGAATAAATCTCCGTAGCCAAGCGAGCGCCCAAATCCAAGCCAATCATACAATCAACTTTCTGTCCGCTTACAAGTTGTACCTGTCGAGTGAGCACTCACGTAACCAGCCCCTTCCCCAACCCTCCAACACCCCTAACTTCCTCCCCCGCTCTTTGCACCTGCCTCACCCTCTCCCTTCCCCTCTCCACAATACCCTCCACCGCCCTCGCTCTCTCCGACACTTCCCCAAGTACCTCCCTCCTCCTACTCTCAGCCGCATCTTCCCACGCCTTCGCCAATTCATCCGCTTCGGCATCCTGGATGTGTGGGATAGGCGTCTCGTATCGATGTAGAAGTGCGGACTCCAGGGCGCGGTGGTGCAGGGTTGAAGTTAGGGTTTGGGGGGAGGTGGTGAGGCGGGTGGAGGTGTGGGCGCGGAGGGAGAGGGAGTGGTGGGTTTGCCAAGATGGATCTGGGTCGGAGATGGGTGGTGGTGAAGTCTGGACTGGAAGGTAGGAGGGTGGGACGTGGATTGTTGTCGCTGGGATGGTGAAGGGATCGCGAGACGTTGAGAGGCTGGAGGAGGCGGAGGTAAGGTTGCGGCGGAGGTGCATGTAGGCGTTCACCATTTTTTGGGCGTATACGATTCTTCCTTCGATCAGCTGTCGTGCTTCGTGATTATTAAGTTCATCAACAGCGCTGGCGTCCTCCATGTCAACATCCACACCATCTTCCGGTGGCAGAAGAGCACTGATCAATGACAACAGCTCTTCTCGTGCGACCCTGAGCGCATACACTTTCCGTTTCGCTTGCTCGTCCTCGGATAGAGTCGTTTGCAACGCCCTTACTTTCTCTATCATCTCCGTAGCTTTCGCTCGATCACCATGTACCTGTCGTCGAAGTCGGATGACTTCCTTCCTTGCTTCCGTAACCATATTCCTCAGCTTTGTCTCCAACTCCACTTCGCTTTCCTCATTATTCTGCCTTCCTTGGAGCTTTTGTGTAGCTGCCTTGGAGACGTAATTCAAAGCCTTCAAAACATTCTTCGTCTCCCTTGGTAATATGGCAGCCAACTCTTGTGCGTCTCCCTGCCTGACCACCTCCAGGGTTTTCTCGGCTCCAACGTGTACCTGTGCTCTCTCCACCAAAGCTCTCAGATGTTGTTGGAATACTTTGGCGCGCTCTAGCAAGCCCTCGACCTGGGCATGTATGCTATGTGCTTGTGCCAGAGATGCATGGGGACTGACGCCAACCTGTTGGGGTGCTGATGGAAGGGTAGAAAGCGAGATAGAGAGGTGCGAAGATGCCGTATTCAGCGTTTTTGTAGCTTTCTCGTGTGCACGCCGGGCATTAAGATACCGGCTGTAAACACCGTCCCTGGCACCGATAGTAGTCGGAGCATGTTCGATAGCGCTGTGCGATTGTTCAGCATTGCTAGTACAGCAGTCGACAGAAAAACCGCACCTGTTCACTGCTTCCCTAACCGCTTCGACCTCACCCCTTGGCCGGACGTAACGCCGGACAACCTCCCATATATCCCGAAACTGTGGTGTACTCTCGAGTAACGCGATTGTCTCGCGGTTGAGTTTCAGCTGAGCATCGCCGGCTATATGCTCGGGAAGTTCCAGCTGGAGCGTAGAGGAGAGATACTGCGCCAGGTCTTCCTCCATGGTCTTCGTATTTTTGTTCGAGGATGGGGGATGTATGCGCGAACGCGTGGTGCGGCTTGATACAGGGCAAGCTCTCCCCGCAAAATGAAGTCAGGGTTCACCCCCGCCGGTTGCTATCGGGTGAGCCCTTCCGCAGCCTACTGATACCAAGAACCCCCAACAACACACCAACACCAAGAACCATTGGCATTCTTCTACATTCCGAACGGCCGCAGATAGATATAACAATGCCTCTCTATACCCTCTACTATCCACCTGGCGCCTTCACTCAGTGGGAAAAGCCCGCAATCGCAAAACGTATCACGGACGTCCACTCTTCCGTCACTGGAGCCGGCGCATTCTTCGTTAAGGTCATCTTTGTCCCGGTTCCAGCGGGAGATATCTTTAGCGGTGGAAAACTGGACGACCAATTGGTCAGGATCACGGGCGTAATTCGCGCGGGAAGGGACACGGAAGCGAGACAGAAGATTCTTAGGGGAGTGTGGGAAGGGATGCAGGAGTTCTTGGGTGAGAGGAAGTGTGAGATGCATCTGGAGGAGATGTTGGGCGAGGTGAGTCGACATTGCTTCTGTTCCGCAAATTAAGCTGACATTGTGTGTTTTCAGAATGTCATTGCGGAAAATGGCAAGTTCATGCCAGAATCCGGGACCGACGAGGAGAAGAGGTGGAATGGCAACGGTGGCCCTATGTAGGCTGACGGGAGGATTTTTGGAACTTTTTGTACTGGGTCAGGTCGGGAGAGACAGATGTTGAGATACCATCTATCATCATATACCCTGGTTTACCCTGGTTTACCCTGGTTTACCCTGGTTTACCCTGGTTTACCTTTTGTGCGCCTTCCCAAGACCTTCATTCTTCACCCACATCCTGTTTCAGAATCTGGACTCTGGCAGCTCGATACCGTTCGCACTTGTCTATTACAACAACGATCGTACATTGGAGATAACGGCGATACAGGCCGGATCAGCTGTCTATCTCTCTTCAGCAGGAGCGGGCCGATCCCACGACTAGTACCGGACATGGGTCTTATGGGTGGGCATCACGCAAGTGACGCAAAAACCACGCTTTTGATGTCATGGAAGACTATATAAACCAATGACAATCGTGTTCAGGAAACTCCGACGTGCCAATGATAAGTCTGGTGGGCGACGTTCTTGTTGTAGCTACTGTTCCTGCAGAGTTAAGGTTCAAGTCTCTGGCGAGCGGTGATAGGAATCAGTGGATCGGCACTTTGCCGATTACCCATTGCTGTGAGGCATGGGTGTGCTCGTCGCATTGCGTGAAGACAATGTTAGCTTCAACGTTACAGAGAATTGTCGTGAAGCCTAGGCCGGCGCTCGTACCGGGCCATCGACCAAGCAGAAGCTGCCGCCAATTAATCCGAACGCATGAATCTCAATGCAATATATGATAGATTGAGCTGCTCATCTTGAACCCAGGCAAAGCCATCCCGATTTGATAGACAAGCTTGCCGCATAGCCAACAGCAGATCCTCACGGCACAGGCGTAGCGTGAGAGAACCTTAAATCAAGCGCACTTGCAGTTGCTGCGCGGACCGCCGAAAGAATTCGGCGCAAAGCAGCCTCGTAGATTCATGATTGTATGAAAGCTCTCAAGAGCTTTACAGTATAGCGGACTCCGCAATCTCGGGAACGGTCCGGCATAGTACACCAGGGTATACCACGTGCAACACCATGAGCTAAGAAGACCAGTGATGAAGTCATGACCTCCAACGTCGAGATTCTCGCAACGAGCACCCAAAAGTTGCAGAATCCCCTTAGGACTTCGTATCTGTCGATCACCCGACTATCAAACAACTACAGGATGGCAGGCTCAATGTCAGAATATGCAATCGCCGCACACCTCTCAGCAGCTCGCACGCTCATGCCGCTTGTTGTTTCCGTAGGTGAGCCTCGGGAACGAGATAATACCCTCACCAGGGAGTACAGGACGCTCATTCCGAACTCACAGATGTCAACAAACAAGTTCCAGCTCTCGAGAAGTACTACGCACCCGATGTCATCTTCACTGATCCACTGGTGTACTGCACAAGCCGTGCGCAAATGCAAGCTATCATTGCAACGATGAAGTTCTTCTTCCGGTCTATTGAGGTGGATTCTCGCTCTAAGAACTCTTAGGAAATGAACTCTGATGTGGTTCCACAGACAAATGTCGTGAACGTCTATCACGCTGAGAACGACCCAGAAGTCATGCTCGATGCCATTGTCACCGCAAACTTCCACTACTTCATTGGACTAGGTCTCCATATCCGTATGCGCGTGCTTGCTAAAATCGTATTCAACCATCCGGATGGGTTGATCACGTTACACCAAGATATGTGGAGTTTCAGGACGTGGTGCAAGGCGTTTTCCTCTCAGGACTGAACCTGCCGGGCGGGAGGACGGTTGCAGAGGTTTGCTGGAATGGATTCAAGACGGTGTTTACATGGGTTACATTGGGACTTTTGTGGATTTTAAGGGTGTATAAGGCGGAGAAGATGAAAGAGGAGCATCAGAACAGAGAGGGGAAGGATGATCACAAGGCACAGGGGAAAGTCGCTTGAGGCGAAAGTCGTCAAACTCTGACGACTTTCATCCATTTCAACCGAGGATCACTGAACCGTAACTCAATTAAAGCCGTGACCTGCTTCCGCGAACCGTCCCACGCATCCGCCCTCGTCAACGCGCTGGCCCTGCGCCAGTCACGAGCGCCCAGTGAAATTTCGAGTTTCGAGGCCCACCCAAGGTATACCAGCCTTACAAACCCCAATCGCATCAATTTCAAGACTCCCTTTGCCCGGGAGACGTTGTATGTCGATTGCGTTCATCTTCCCTACCAAATCTCTTTTCGCCAGTTCATCGAACAGCGGCTTCACTCTCTGCATCAGCGCAGCCCGTCGCACTTTTTCTAGTACCTCTACCTTATACGCCAAAAAGAAGATGCCTCCCAAGAAGATGCAAACGGCCCCCAAGGTCCTCTGGGGTCGCCCTGGTAACAACTTGAAGACTGGTATCGTCGGTCTTCCCAACGTTGGAAAGTCCACTTTCTTCAACGCTATTACCAAGTCTGAGCTCGGTCAGGCTGCTAACTTCCCTTACGCTACCATTGACCCTGAGGAGGCCCGTGTCGCTGTCTCTGATGCGCGATTCGACTGGTTGTGCCAGTTCTACAAGCCCAAGTCCCAAGTCCCCGCGTCCTTGACAGTCTTCGATATCGCCGGTTTGACCCGTGGTGCCTCCACCGGTGTCGGTCTCGGTAACGCTTTCTTGTCTCACGTCCGTGCTGTCGACGCTATCTACCAGGTCGTCCGTGCTTTCGACGATGCTGAGATCACTCACGTCGAGGGTGATGTCGACCCCATTCGTGACTTGGACATTATTCACGAGGAGTTGCGTATCAAGGATGCCGAGTTCGTCAACAAGCATCTCGAGGTCGTCAAGGCTTTCACCAAGCGTGGTGGACAGTCTCTTGAGATGAAGGCGAAGAAGGAGGAGGAGGCTACCTTGGAGAGACTCTTGAAGTTGTTGACTGAGGAGAAGAAGGACACCCGCAAGGGTGAGTGGACTAACAAGGAGGTGAGTTCCATCATGTTTTGTCTATGTCTGTTTGTCCTGCAACGCTTCCTCCACCGACCCTGGTGTGGTAAGGATGATAAATTTGCTATTATTTCTAAACCCAGCTCTCCGATGCCTGTGTGCAATGTGAGATTGATAAACTTTTTATATCTGATTCCGCCTTTTCAAGCAACACTGTGTTGCAGGACACGGACAGACAGACAGACAGACAGACAGTGTCGCAGTCGATCAATTGCTAATATATTCTTTCAGATCGAGTTTATCAACACTCTTCTCCTCCTTACCGCCAAGCCTGTCATCTACCTCGTGAACTTGTCCGAGAAGGACTACCTCCGTCAGAAGAACAAGCACCTTGCCCGCATTAAGGCCTGGGTTGATGAGAACGCCCCTGGAGACCTTATCATCCCCTTCTCCGTTGCTTTCGAGGACCGTCTTACCCGTATGACCCACGAAGAGGTCGTCGCTGAGTGCAAGGAGCTCAACACTAAGTCCATGCTGCCCAAGATCGTTGACGCCGGTCGTGCTGCTTTGAACTTGATCAACTACTTCACCTGTGGTCCTGATGAGGTTCGCTCATGGACCATCCGTGCCAACACCAAGGCTCCCCAGGCCGCTGGTGTCATTCACACTGATTTCGAGAAGAACTTTGTTGTTGGTGAGATCTTCAAGTACGATGACTTGAAGGAATTGGGATCTGAGGCTGAGGTTAAGGCGAAGGGCAAGTACATGACTAAGGGTAAGGAGTACATTGTGGAGAACGGTGACATCTGTTTCTGGAAGGCCGGAAGGAAGTAAGGTGGAGAGTATACGATAGTTGTAGGGTCATAGGATACACTAAAAATGAGAACGAACGAGCCTTGATGGCCAGTATACCACGAATCTGCTTTCCACGCCGTCTACGGAATAACACGTAGCCGTACCCAACTGCCGTTTAACGTTCCCAGCTGGCCATGGTCTAAAGTTCCATATAGCCGCTCATGATCCTTGGCTATCTTGTTCAGCACGGACCATTACGGCCCGTACATACATCCATAACTACCGTTCTCAGGGTTACATACATCCTTGGCAATTCATCACGGATGCATGTCCGGTGCACGTCGGCTGGTGTTGCCCATCCTTCTCCTTCCCCAGGGCCCCTCAGCTGCAGCACATCCGAGTTAACCGTCCGAAATGAGGCTCGATCCCCGACGCTATAAAGATAATCCTCACGTACGATGACACCGCCAATCGTCGTTGCTGTGATCAATTGCAAAAGGTGAATGTCTGGAGCGGGATCAGTACGATTACAGGATTCTCCACCTAGTACTTTGGAGTTTGACGGACAAACGGGGGTTGTTACGCCGGCGTCGCAGTTTGGTTACGGGCGACATACTTCGACCGCGTTGTCGAGTACACTCACACTTCCTGACGAGGCTCGTCATTCAGGCTTGTCGCCACTGGATAAGGAAAGGTCGATGAACGGAGTACACACACCCACGGCAGAAAGCATCCCCTCATCGCCGCCACCAACCACGATCGATAAAGAAACGTCGAGATCGCCAATACCACCATCAGATCCAAAGCCGGACAATGACCCGAACTTGGTGGAGTTCGATGGTCCAAACGATCCATATCATCCGCAGAATTGGGGGCTGGGTGTACGATTGAGGACGACGGCGTTGTATGGGTGTACGACTATGGCTGCCGCGTTTGGATCGTCTGTTTTCTCGGCTGCAGAACCTGAGGTTGAGGAGTACTTTGGTATCTCATCGGAACTTGGTACGTTGGGGTTGTCGTTATATATTCTTGGGTGGGCGTTGGGTCCGCTGTGTTTCGCGCCGTTAAGTGAGTTGTACGGACGGCGAATAGCGATTCTGCCTCCGTACTTTGTTTACGCTATCTTTACGGCTGGTACGGGAGCAAGTCAGACATATGCAGCGGTATTGGTAACACGATTCCTGGGCGGTATATGTGCCTCAGCGCCAGTCGCCATTGTCGGTGGAGCCATGGCGGATATCTGGACTCCAGCAAAACGCGGTGTAGCAATCGTCTTTTACTCTTGGGCAGTCGTCGGGGGTCCATTTCTGGGTCCATTGATTGGTGGAGCGTTGATCGTGTCTGGACATAGCTGGCGATGGACGATGTGGTTTACATGCATGCTCGCTGGCGGAATTGCCGTTCTGGTCTTTTTCTTCGTGCCGGAGTCGTATCCGCCTGTGTTGTTGGTTCGGAAGGCAAAGGCGTTGAGGAAAAGTGGGGAAAACCCACACGCTTACGCGAAACACGAGTCGGCGGGGTTGTCATTCCATGATATTGTCGTTACGCATCTCGGTCGTCCACTACGGATGTTATTCCTCGAGCCGACGGTTACGTCGATGGCGGTCTATGCATCGTTTTGCTATGGGTTGCTTTATATGCTGTTTGGTGCTTTTCCCATTGCGTATCAGGAGATTCGCGGGTGGAATCCGGTTGTTGGGGCGCTTCCGTTCTTGGCGGTGTTCGTGGGTGTGATTATTGCGGGTATTGGGACTATCACATTGGGTGCTAGTTATTATCGTAGCGTGACACGCAAGAGAGGAGGTGCTGTCCCCGAAGGACGTCTGCTGATGATGATGATTGGCGCTGTGTTACTACCGGCCGGCATGTTCTTCTGGGGTTGGACCTCAAACCCATCAATTAGCTGGGTGCCCAACATCATCGCAGCAGGCCTCATCGGCTGCGGCTTCATCTCCATCTTCCAACAAGCAATCAACTACCTCATCGATGCCTACACAATCTACGCTGCCTCCGCCGTCGCCGCAAACACCGTTCTCCGCTCCCTCCTCGGCGCTGCATTCCCTCTCTTCGCGGACCAGATGTTTCATAACCTGGGTGTTCCGTGGGCGGCGAGTTTGATTGCGTTTATTTCAGTTGGAATGATTCCGATTCCGTTCTTGTTTTTGATTTATGGGGAGAGGATTAGGGGGATGTCGAAGTTGTGTAGGCAGATCAAGGAGGAGGAGGAGAGGCGTGGGAGGAAGGATGAGAGGGGGCCGGGTGGGGATCATCTAGAGTTGCACCAGCATCACTCAGCGGTGTAGGGGTTGCATGGACCTCGCTTTGATCCGTTTCATCTTCTTCTGGATATCGACCATTATTTGGCATTTAGAGCTTTGGAGCATAGGTGCTCGACGAGGTAAATTGATCTCTTGTTGCCCGTTCAAGTCGTTTACAACGGGACAAAGTACACGCCGAACCGTCCAGCTACTCGTACAAGTAGCATCTCCATCGGTCAGGAGGTCATAATTGAGAACGACAACTTCACCTATCATCTTCCATTAGATTTCCTGTTTGTCTCATCTGATGCAGACCCTGCTGCGCCCATGCGACTTTTTGTGTAGCCGCGATCGCGAGTCATGATCATACACCAAAAGGACCCCGGAGCATCTCGATCTACAACAAATACCAGACCTCAAGATGTCTACCTTCGGAGAACTTTTCCGCGTTACCACCTACGGAGAGTCCCATTGCAAGAGTGTCGGCTGCATCATCGATGGTTGCCCGCCGGGAATGGCCTTGACCGAGCAGGATGTCCAGGTTCAGCTCACCAGGCGCAGGCCTGGACAGTCTGCCTTGACTACTCCTGTATGATTGATCCGACATTCCTCCTCGAAGATCTCGTGCTTACGATGTTGTATCTAGCGAGATGAAAAGGATCGCGTCGAGATTCAGTCTGGAACTGAGTTCGGTGTCACCCTCGGTACGCCCATCGGAATGCTCGTCAAGAACGAAGACCAGAGGCCTCACGACTACGGAGGCAAGACTACGGACATATACCCCCGACCCAGTCACGCTGACTGGACTTACCTCTGCAAATACGGTGTCAAGGCTTCCTCCGGTGGAGGTCGTTCTTCCGCTCGTGAGACCATCGGCCGTGTCGCCGCTGGTGCCGTTGCTGAGAAGTATTTGAAGGAGGCGCATGGTGTCGAGATAGTCGCTTTCTCCTCATCCGTCGGAAAGGTTCACATGCCCACCAGCAACACCGCCACTTCCTCCGACGACGACTTGTCTGCCGATGATGCCGATGAGAACGTCCCCGAGATTTCTGAGGAGTACTTGAAGCTGTTGCAGACTGTGAACAGAGAACAAGTCGATGCCTCTATCGTCAGGTGTCCGGATGCTGAGACTACGGAGAGGATGAAGGCACGTATCGAGCGCGCAAAGGCAAAGAACGACTCTATCGGTGGTACCGTCACATGTGTCATCCGCAACTGCCCCGTCGGCCTCGGTGAACCCGCCTTCGACAAACTCGAGGCTAAGCTTGCTCACGCCATGCTCTCCATCCCCGCCACTAAGGGTTTCGAGATCGGATCCGGATTCTTGGGTGCCGAGATGCCTGGCCACAAGCACAACGACCCTTACGTCGCTGGCCCCAACGGTACTCTCCGCACGAAGACCAACAACTCTGGTGGTATCCAGGGTGGTATCTCTAACGGTGAGAACATCTACTTCAAGGTTGCGTTCAAGTCCGTTGCTACCATTGGTCGCGAGCAGACTACTGCTACCTACGACGGTGCGGAGGGTGTCTTGGCCGCCAAGGGGCGTCACGACCCATGTGTCGTTCCCCGTGCCATTGCTATCGTTGAGTCTATGGCTGCTCTGGTCGTCATGGACGCGCTCATGATTCAGCACTCCCGTCAGGCTGCACGATCGCTCCTTCCCCCATTGAAGACCAACTTGCCATCATCTGCTACCATCGTCGGTGGAGCCAAGGCTGAGGAGAGCGTTCGCAAGCAGGAGGAGGGCACCAACACCGATGGTACTCCTCTTTAAATTGATAGAGAAGCAAGGATATCTTGGAGTTTTTGGGTGATTTAATATTTAGGTAGACGCACAGAAATTAAGAATTAGGCATGCCATGCATCATGCACTGTAATGAAGACATCAGTATCCACTCATACTTGCAGTTGACGAAAGCTACCTCCTGTACACTCAATGGCTACGGAAGAAGCTGCCGTACAGAAGCTTCAGTCATGGCTCAACAAGAAAACCCGCGTACATGCCTCTGACGGGCGTATTTTCGACGGAAAGTTTGTCTGCGTCGATCGGGATCAGAACGTCATCCTTGCGGATACAGATGAGTACCGGATCGAAAAGCCGGAAGAGAAGCGATTTATGGGGTGCGGAAGATCTCGCAACGCCTCAGTATCTAAGGTAGCTGACGTTTCTCACAGTCTTGTCGTTGTTCCTGGGAAGCATATCACCAAGTTCGAGATTCAGCAGCTGGATCCCGATGCGAAAGCTTGAGGTTGCGTTATCGGATATAGGGCAAGGCACGACATGAGTAACACCTGTTATTGGTGAAATTGCAATGCGCCTGGAGGCGCTGAGGACTTATCAAGTGCTTGTGACGAAAGTCACAGAGCTACCTTAACGCAGGTCTTTACTACGAGTCGGGAAGGAGGAAATGAGCGCCTCTGCAGGCAGAGCCAATGATACCCATGATGAACCAGCCGCTGTAGAGGAAGGCATATGCATAAGGTGAACGAACGTTTTTCGTATCCTATACACAAGGTACCTAGATCTAATGCAATTGACATATAACACCGTCGCCGTTATCCCAAAAAGAAAACCAAACCAAAATCAACTTTTGTACCATATTTTCACAGCTTCACCCCATTTTTTCGCCTTAGTTTAAGCAGAAGCCTGGACACTCTTGCGAATCAAGTTCAAGGCAGATCCAGCGACGAAGAAGTTGATCTGGTCCTTGGACATGGTGTGTGCCGTAGGAATCTCGATGACCTTACCGTCCTTCTTGGTGACCTTGAGGGTAACGATACCACGACCCTCGGCACCACCAGCCTCAACCATCTTAACGATGCCCTCAGTGTCGACACGGTCACATGGGTCAATGAGGTCATAGTCAGCCTCGTTGACGAAAGTAAGAGGAAGAACACCCTGCTTCTTCAAGTTGGTCTCGTGGATACGTGCGAAAGACTTGGTAAGAATGATGCGTCCGCCCAAGTAGCGAGGCTGCAAAGCAGCGTGCTCACGAGCAGATCCCTCACCGTAGTTGTGCTCAGCAACAACCAACCAAGGCTGGTTCTGCTGCTTCCACTTCTTCATGAGCTCAGGGATGGTGTAGCCGGTACCATCCTCGTCGTAGGCCTTGTTGGTCTCGCCGGTAACCGCGTTGACAGCACCGATGAGGGTGTTCTCGGCGATGTTCTCGAGATGACCCTTGTATTTCAACCACGCACCAGCAGCGGAAATGTGGTCAGTAGTACACTTACCCTGGACCTTCAAGACAACCTTCAATCCGTTAATCTCCTTGCCATCCCAAGCGTCGAAAGGCTCCAAAAGCTGGAGACGGTCAGAGGTGGGAGAAACGGAGACAGGGACTTCAGGCCGAGGTTGAGGCTCGGCCTCGGGGAGGTAGGAGGTGTCACCCTTGTCGAAACCGTTCTGAGGAAGCTCCTCACCCTTAGGAGCGTTGAAACGGAACTCCTTGCCGTCAGGGCCGGTAATTGCGTCAGTCATGGGGTTAAAGGTCATGGAACCAGCGTAGGTCATAGCGGTAACCAATTCGGGAGAAGCCAAGAAGTTCATGGTGGCAGCGTGACCATCGTTCCGAGCCTTGAAGTTACGGTTGAAGGAGGTCATGATAGCGTTAGGACCAACGGGCTTGCCAGCCTCGGGTGCGACGTCGGTACGGTTCCACTGTCCGATACAAGGTCCACAAGCGTTAGCCAAGACGGTAGCACCAGCCGACTCCATAATCTCGGTCAAACCATCACGCTCGATGGTAGCACGGACCTGCTCGGATCCAGGAGTGACGAGGAAGGGGGTCTTGGGCTTCAAGCCAGCCTCAGAAGCCTGGCGGATGATATCAGCAGACTTGGTCATATCCTCGTAAGACGAGTTGGTGCAAGATCCAATGAGACCCACGGAGAGGTCCTTGGGCCAGTTGTTCTCTTCAACAGCAGCCTTGAACTTGGAAAGAGGGGTAGAAAGATCAGGAGTAAAAGGACCGTTGATGTGAGGCTCAAGTGTGGAGAGGTCAATCTCGATGAACTGATCGTAGTTGACTCCCTCGTCGGCCTGCAAGAACCCGGTCTTCTGCGCATTCTTAGCAGCATCAGCAACGGGCCAACGGCCGGTGTGCTGAAGGTAAGCAGACATTTTCGCGGTGAAAGGGAACAAGGAGGTAGTAGCTCCGACCTCGGCACCCATGTTACAGATAGTAGCCATACCAGTAGCAGACAAGTGCTCAAGACCATCGCCAGTGTATTCGATGATGTGTCCAGTACCACCACGGACAGTCAACTTTCCGGCCAAGGACAAAATCAAATCCTTAGGCGAAGCCCACTTGTTCATCTGGCCAGTCAACTTGACACCAATGACCTTAGGAGCCTTCAACTCCCATGGTGTAGCAGTCATGGCGTCAACAGCATCAGCACCTCCGACACCGATAGCGATAGCACCCAATCCACCAGCGTTAGGGGTGTGCGAATCAGTTCCAAGCATCATCAATCCAGGCGCAGAGTAGTTCTCCAACACAATCTGGTGAATAATACCAGATCCGGGACCCCAGAACTGAATACCGTACTTCTTAGCCGCGGACTCGAGGAAGTCGAAGATCTCCTGGTTGTTCTTGATAGACTGCTCGAGATCGCCCTTGGCGCCCTTGTGACCGACAATCAAGTGGTCGCAGTGAATGGAAGCGGGAACGGCGGACGAGGGCATACCCGCAGTCATGAACTGGAGCAAAGCCATCTGAGCGGAAGCATCCTGCATAGCAACACGATCAGGCTTGAGCTTGAGGTAAACCTCACCCCTGATCTTTCCATTGCGACCAGCCAAAGATTCCTCAGGGTTGACCAAATGGGAATAAAGAATCTTCTCGGCAAGAGTAAGCTTGGTGTCCTTACCGAGGATGTTGCGGACCTCCCCGAGACGATCAATGAGCTGGTTGTATGGAGGAGTAACGCGCTGGAAGTTGGCGTGCTGGGCAGTCGCCAGTCCGCGAAGCTTGGCGAACCGAGAAGCTGCTGCCATTGCAAAGAACGTAAGGGAAGGGAGGGAGTGGTGGTGTAGAGCTTCTTCAAGGGACCTGTCGACTTTCGGGTATATGCGCGGCAACTTTTTAGGTTTGTGCGGAGATCGCCACAAGATTGACCAACCGATAGCGAGAGAATAACAATCTGGACATGGACCCTGTAATTCTATTTCGAATGGCTACCCGACTGGTCTAAGACAGTTTCCGATGCTTGATTTCCTCGGATACAGTTCCAATTGTTCGTTGCTTGCCTTCCCGGCACGCTCAGAAAACGCAGGGAATCACGGCCTTCCGTCCCTCCGGATAGTCCTTCCCAAACTTCTCCGTATACCACCGATGCGTTTTCCAAGCTCTCGGTAGCATCGCTCCTACCTCCGCTGCTACGAACGCCAATGGAGCGCTCGCCAATGCTCCTGCCCAAGTCAACGGAGTCGACGCCAGCGCGAACCCCGTCCACTCAATCCACTCACAGAAATATGAGGGGACACTGATGAGGGAGTAAAGACCTCCATGCGGAATTGAATAATCGCCCCTGTCCTGTGTGCTCTTGTCACTCTGGCTCTTCTGTTTGTCTCGACGGAGGGAGTATAGGATCTCGTCGTGGTAGAAGTTCCCAATGAATCCGACTGTCCAAAGAAAACGCCCAATGGCTACTTGTGTGTTTGGTAGATGTGCGCTGGGCGATGAGGCAAAGTAGGCACCAAGAAGAAGCTACAATGACGTTCATGTCAGCTAGTTGTCCCGTGGGAGTATTTGCCCTCTTCTTCATCATAGCCCGGTAACGACATCGACAAGAAGGACTCGGCAGGAGTATAGGATTTACATACCCCATTGATATAATTAAACAGCACCGCAGACCCAAAAACACTCACATGCATCGGTTTCATGCTCGGTGCCCTAAACATCGGCCCAATGACAGCTCGATTGGCATAATGCAACAGATACGACGCAACCAGGACGTAATTCACCAAACCTCCTGCTCTTTTTGGTGCAGAGAGGTATGTCGAGAGGAATGCCAGAGGCGAGACGAGTTCCATAAGCATCCAGCCCCATCGGCCGGGGATGTTGAGTTTGGAGTTTTGGAGGGAGAAGCGACCTATTCATGCTTGTCAGTCATGTCTCTTGGACATGGAACCACAGGTATGAACCATGAGGGGCATCGATCACGAAGACCACCGGTGCGACCAATGGGAAAAGTTGGAAGAAACGGAGGTAGGCTGTGTATACCGCCGGATCACGGGCAGAGGTGTAGATTGAGTGAGGTGGGAGGTAGTCGTGATACTGAGCCAGGAATTTCTTGAGCACGTCCATCGCGTGCGTCGAAGATCAAAGTAAAACCCGAGGATATGGTAGAGACTGCAGCTAGGCTCGCGTTCAGTACGGAGTTTCACGTCGTGGTCGCACGCTGCAACGAAATTGCGGGGTGCGCAACCGACGTCACCAAGAACAACCCAATCGCTCGAACCATACTTCATCAAGATGGCACCTCTATCAGCATCATTCACCAAGATTGGCGCCCTTTATGGTAGTGTTTGTTTATCGGAGCAGTCCTGCTCTTTGCTAATCCAGATGCTACAGGAGCTGCGGGCGTGATGTTAGGAGCTTTTGGTACGGCTGAAGCTGCTTTGGGTTTGATCTGTGGTTGATGGTGGTGCTTATAGGCGCACATGGATTGCAGACGAGAACAACTGAGGCTAAGTTGATCAAGGTATTCCTTACTTTGTCACTCGCGTAACTCACCGCTAACCATCCCCTCCACAGAACTGGGAAACGTAACCCTACCCCTCCGCCTCCTTTCCACTCCCCATTCCCGCCCGCCACTTACTTACAATCCTCGCAGCGCCTCGCACTACCTCCTCGCCCACGGCATCGCCCTCGTCGCCATCTCCACTCACCCCCGCTTCACCCGCTCCTACGCCCCGCCTCTCATCGCCCTCGGCACCGCAATGTTCTCTGGTTCAATTTACGGACTCGTCATGGCGAGACTCAGGGGAGTCGAGGGTGCAGGGCAGGTGTTGGGGCCTATTACGCCGCTTGGGGGGACGTTGATTATCGCGGGGTGGGTTAGTTTGTTGTTGGCGCCGTAGATGGGGATCGTATAGAAGGTGTATGTATGTATGTGGAGAGGGAAGGATATGGTACTAAAATTTCGACTCGGAACGCACTTACGCGTTAGCAAGGGAAAGGACAGAGGGTGCAAAAGATACAGCACCCGAGTATTCCCAGCTGGTCTCCCACGCTAGTACTGACTGGGCCCTATGATGCTTAACTTAGGAGATCGGACGGGATCCTGTGCTTTCATCATGGTATGGCCGTATCTGTCAAACATTGATTCGGTGCTCTGGCATTCTGCATTATCACAAGAAAAGCAAACATTCTTGTCCGCGTCGCCGCTGGGATCACTTCCCTGGTTTTAGGGTCGTCATGGATCCCAAAAGGGCGGGTCATTTGAGACAATAGGGAAAATGAGCAGCTAAGGAAGTTTGAACACCCGATGCCGCTAACTGTATATTAATGAAGGACCTGCCGAACGCTTTACAGAGGAGGTCCGAGCGCACTTCCCACGATCTCAATGATGGGTCTGCAGTCCAGGTTAAAATCACTACACTTTGATCTCTCGTTGATGCCTCACACTGTTTATGCTTGTACCTGAAGATGGCACAGCTTGCAGGGCTGACGATCTGGGTACTGTCTCTGCCAGTGCCGTGTATACTTTCATTCACGTTTGTGCTTCCAGGAAACGCGATGTGATCGAGAGCGGGCAAAGTACCGCGCGCGGACGTTTGGCGAGTGTGGTTGTGCATCGTCGTCGTTTTCCTAAAAGGTTCGTTTAATTCGTAGTGGAGCGAAATGGCGAAAATTGTGTTTCCGATCTCCGGTTTTCGGCGGGGACAACGAACACCGGAGATGTCGTTCGCATTTGTGGTATCAGACAGGTGAGGTGGTGAAGCGAAGTTTGTTGTGAGTGTGAGAGGCAAGTTTACTGTGGAAAGGCCGATGTGAGAGTGGATCAGTCGGCAGTGAAAAGGGTTGCCAGTGTGAATGGTAGCGTAGATAGTAACGGTTGTGGGCAGCGATGCTCTTAGCATTGATCGTTGCCGGTTCGTTGCTGACTGCGGTAGGTAGGGTGCGAAATCTTGTTGAACTTGCTGACGGTCGGCATCATATCGACGTCGGGCGGCAACAACAGCGTAAACCTGTAATCGCCTGGACGAGGTGCTATACGTCGTTCAGCATTGCAAGATCATGTCGTAACACCGTGGGAACGCCGGGAAAGAGCCGTACGAAGAACCCACATTCAGAACCCGCAAGAAGTCACCGAAGTTTCTCAGGGTCTGTCACACGCCCGATCTCGTACTTCAGGGTCCTCATTACTTTTTAACCTTAAGTCACCGGAGATGATTTGCGTGCCCTTTCGGATAAACTGTTCGTATACGCCCGGCTCGTCAGCAGTGGTCAATGCCGACCATTTCCCTTTCGGGCGAGTCGAGCTTCGGGCATCGGGAAGTGACTCCCGCGCGCGGAAAAACAGGTTGCCTCCAGAAAGGTGAGAGACAACCAAAGAGGTCCCCGATGGAGATGAAGGCGGGCCCACTGAATGCCGTGAAACAGTCTGAAGGGATGTGGGATTCAATTGTGAGGAATGGATGTTTTCTCGTTTGGCAGCATACACTGCCGGTTTGCAATCGTTGACTGCCGACACGTATCCAGCGCGGATAAACTGGGCATCTACGTCAAGCCACTGACTCTCATACATGCTGCACCATTTTCGCAGGATCTTCGAGCTCGTCCCGCTCGTCTACAAAAGGAGGCCATTCCCTCGCCCTCGACACGGTTCCCCATCTACTACACATACAAACCAGACACAATGGTTACATCAACAGTCCTCGGATTCCCCCGTATGGGACCCAACCGCGAGCTCAAGAAGGCGCTCGAGGCTCACTGGGCCGGCAAGATCTCAGAGGCTGACCTTTTGGCCACCGCCAAGGACTTGCGATTGAAGCACTGGAAGTTGCAGAAGGAGCAGGGCGTTGACGTCGTTGCTTCTAACGACTTTTCCCTCTACGACCACGTCTTGGACCACTCCGTTATGTTCAATGTCATTCCTGAGCGTTACACCAAGTTCAACCTCTCCACCACTGAGACTTTCTTCGCTATGGGCCGTGGATTGCAGCGTGCTGCGACTGAGTCTGCTTCTGCTGTCGATGTCACTTCCCAGGAGATGGTCAAGTGGTTCGACTCTAACTACCACTTCATGCGTCCCGAGTTCTCCAACAAGACCGAGTTCAAGTTGAACACCACTAAGCCCGTTGACGAGTACCTTGAGGCCAAGGCCGCTGGTATCGCTACCCGCCCTGTCCTCCTCGGTCCCGTTTCCTTCCTTTACCTCGGTAAGGCTACCAAGGACTCTACCGGTCTCGAGACCATCTCCCTCCTGGAGAAGCTCCTCCCCGTCTACCAGGAGTTGCTCGGTAAGCTCGCTGAGGCCGGTGCTGAGTGGGTCCAGATTGACGAGCCCATCCTCGTCTTCGACCTCCCCGAGAACGTCCGTGCCGCCTACAAGAAGGCCTACGAGGCCCTCGCCTCCGCTACCAAGCCCAAGATTATGTTCGCTACCTACTTCGGTGAGCTCGGCTCCAACCTCGACGTCGTCAAGGGTCTCCCTGTCGAGGGTATCCACGTCGACCTCGTCCGTGCTCCTCAGCAGCTTGACTCCGTCCTCGACATCTTGAACGACACCCAGGTTTTCTCTGCCGGTGTCGTCAACGGACGTAACATCTGGAAGACCAACCTCGAGGAGGCCGTCGCTACTGTTCAGAAGATCGCCCAGAAGATCGGTGCTGAGCGTGTTAACGTTGCTGGTTCCTCTTCTTTCTTGCACACCCCTCACACGCTTGAGTCCGAGACCAAGTTGCCTGAGGATGTCAAGCAATGGTTCGCTTTCGCTAAGGAGAAGGTTCGTGAGTTGGCCGTTATCGCTAAGGCTGTCGCTCAGGGCCCCGCTGAGGTTCGTGAGGAGCTCGAGGCCAACAAGAAGGCCATGGCCGCCCGCAAGGCTTCCAACTTCGCTACCGTCCAGGCTGTCCGTGAGCGTCAGTCAAAGGTCACCGGCGACGACTACAAGCGCAAGTCTCCCTTTGCTACCCGTAAGGAGGTTCAGAAGGAGAAGTTGAACTTGCCCGAGTTCCCTACCACCACCATCGGTTCCTTCCCCCAGACCAAGGAGATCCGTGTCGCCCGTCAGAAGCACACCAAGGGTGAGCTTTCTCCCGAGGAGTACGAGAAGTTCATCGAGCGCGAGATCCAGGAGGTTGTCAAGTTCCAGGAGGAGTGCGGTCTCGATGTCCTCGTCCACGGTGAGCCTGAGCGCTCTGACATGTCTGAGTACTTCGGTCAGCGTTTGGATGGTATTCTCTTCACCGTCAGCGGATGGGTCCAGTCTTACGGTTCCCGTTGCGTTCGTCCCCCCATCATTGCTGGTGACATCTCTCGTCCTCACCCCATGACTGTCAAGGAGTCCAAGTACGCTCAGTCCTTGACCGACAAGCCCATGAAGGGTATGCTTACTGGTCCCGTCACTCTCTTGAGGTGGTCTTTCCCCCGTGACGATGCTCCTGATGCTCTCCAGGCCGAGCAGCTCGCCTTGGCTCTCCGTGATGAGGTCTTGGATCTTGAGGCTGCTGGTATTTACGTCATCCAGGTCGATGAGCCCGCTCTCCGTGAGGGTCTTCCCCTCCGTAAGGCCGACTGGGCTCCTTACCTCGACTGGGCCGTCAAGGCTTTCCAGCTCTCCACCGCTGGTGTCGAGGACCGCACTCAGATCCACTCTCACTTCTGTTACTCTGACTTCAACGACATCTTCGACTCCATCAAGGCTTTGGACGCCGATGTTACCACCATCGAGAACTCCAAGTCTGACATGAAGTTGTTGAAGGCTTTCAAGACTGGCAACTACGAGGCTTGGGTTGGTCCTGGTGTCTACGACATCCACTCTCCTCGTGTTCCCTCTGTTGAGGAGATCGTTGAGCGTGCTAAGGAGATGCTCGAGGTTATCCCCCGCGACCTTTTGTGGATTAACCCCGACTGTGGTCTCAAGACCCGTGGATGGGCTGAGACTAAGGCTGCTTTGATTAACTTGGTCGAGGCTGCCAAGGAGTGCCGCAAGCTCTAAGCTTGTTCGTCCTTCCTTTGGAAAAAAAACTTGTTTGATATATTGCGAAAGAAAAAAGTGCGAGTGTAAGTTGGGATTCTGGTTTCTTTTGGATTTTTGACGGCGTTTTATTCCTTGATTCAACACATGGGCATTACGGCGTTAACATAACATGGAGTAACGAAGTGTTATTACCCTACCCTTCAACCGGGTTTTGGGAAAAGAGATTTGTGGGCGGAGCCCCGGTCTCGAATTGTCTTTTTCTTTGTCTTACTAGCTGTTGCATTGATACCTCATAATCAAGATGTTCTTTCATCTATCTTCTGTTCAAACTCCTAATTTCCAAGATCGCAAGAAACCCACCATGGCAGCGCGCACTCGCGGTGATTCCGGCCAGTGGACCACTCAGCCCAGGCGATCACCCGGCCCACGCACGGACCTTGAATCGCGGCGGTACGAATTCGAATCATCTTGGCAATAATTCAAGATTATCCCGAAAATCGCCGCTCGTCGCTCGATTTGTCGGTACGTGACGTCACGGCCCTCCGCGAGCTCGTTTCCCGGCCCGACCGCCAAGCGAGCACATGCACCCGCCTTTGCGGCTCAGCCTCAACGTGACGCATTCGTATAAAGACGCTCATACCCACATCTTCTTGGACCCTGAACAAAATCTGATCATATACAAAACGAACAAATATGGGTCTCGCAAATAAACTCAACGCCGCTGTACGTCCTCATCTGTGCGGACCGATAGGATCGAGCTGATCCAGACTTGATAGAAAACCGGTGCTCCGGCCGCTGGTGGTATGCCTCCCGCCGCAGCTGGCGCTCCTCAGCAGTCATATGGAGCTGCGCCTACGACGGGTTATAACCCTTACGCTGCGCAACAGCAGCCTCCCGCTCCCGCCCAAGGCGGTTACGGACAACCGCAGCCTCCTCAATACGGCCAACCTGGCTCCCAAAACCCTCAGCAATACGGCACCACCACTTCCGTCCAGCAACCCGGTTACAACGCTGGTTCCAAGCCCCCGCAGTATGGCGCTCCTCAGGGACAAGGCCAGTATGGTGCTCCGCAGGGTGCTCCGCAGGGACAGGGATATGGTGCTCCACCTGGTCAGTATGGATCCGGATACGCTCCCCAACCCCAAGGAGAATATAACCAATATCGTCCGCCTGTAGGTCCTCCTCCTGGCCAACAACAGCAGCCGCCGTATGGTGCACCGCCGCAGGGACAGTACGGTGCTCCTCCCGGTCCTCCTCCTTCTCAGCAGTATGGTGGTGGTGGCGGAGGTGCTAACAAAGTCGTTGCGGATAATTTGAGGCGTCTTGTTCGTGAGAATAAGTTGGAGATGTTTTACCCTCCTCAGCGTTTGGAGCAAGTCATTGCCCGCGCGTCCTCGATTCCCTACCAGCAGCTTTCCGCGAACTGGGGTATCCCCGCTGAGATTGCTTACGACCTCGCTGGGTTGGCGTTGTACGACGTCGTCATCTACTGTGACGATTCTGGCTCGATGAGAGCTGAGGAGGGCGGTGAGCGTGTTGATGACTTGAAGTTGATTTTGGGAAGGGTCGCGGATGTTACGCAGATGTTTGATGACGATGGCATCACGATCAGGTTCATGAACTCGAGGGATGTGCAGGGCGACAATGTCAAATCGAGCGCACAAGCACAGTCTCTCGTTGACCGTGTTCGATTCAGCGGAATCACACCTCTCGCAACCCAACTCGACGCAAAGGTCCTCCAGCCTCTCGTTCTCGGTCCCCTCCGTTCCCGCGGCCTTCCCAAGCCCGTCCTCATCATCACCATCACCGACGGTGAACCTGTTGGCGAACCCAAAGACCGCCTCAAGCAAGTCATCCTCTCCGCTCATCAACAAATCGTACAATCCGGCTTCTCCCCCGGTGCAATCGCCTTCCAATTCGCACAGGTCGGAAAGGATATGCGTGCGCAGGCTTTCTTGAGTGAGCTTGATCGCGACCAGAGGGTTGGTTCGTTGGTTGATGCCATTTCGTACTATGAGCTCGAGGCGGAGGAGATGTCGAAGAAGGGCGTGGAGTTGACGCCGGAATTGTGGTTGGTTAAGTTGTGCGTCGGAGGAATTGATTCGTCGTATGATGAGCAGGATGAGTAGGTTTCAGATTGCTGTGTTAGAGGAGTAATCTCTTGATCTTTTTTATTGCCTCACTATTCAAGATTGTGAAATGCACCCAGTTAGCCGGTACGCCGCCGCCCTTCCCGCGAACCCGCATCAGCCAAACGCGGTTTAGCTCAGACGCCGTACACCGAATTTCACGGTAACGTCGAACATTGAACTCAACAACAATTGCAGGTCTCGACAAAGGCAATGGTAAACGTACCCGCAATCGCCAACAAGGCACGTCGGGTGGTGGACGGCGTTATTCGTCAGTCCATCCGCCTGAACCACAGTAAAAAAGAGCCTGTCTATACGTTCATCTCGTCAGCAATCGAAGAATTCGAGTCAGATTTCAAGATACAGCATGCCACACCCATTGTGGACCCCGCTGCGGAGATGAAATTTTCTGCGAAACTTTCTGCGATTGATGCAGCGATTGATGCAGCGGCGAACACTGTTGCGGATAATAATGCGAACAAAACGGCAAATACCGTCGCAACCGCCGCTGCGGCCCCAGCTGCACCTCCCGCCGGGAACCCCGCTGCGAGTCAGAGCGTTGACCGCAACGCCGCTGTAGGTTCAGCGTCTCAAAGTCTGGAGCTCAAGAACCCTAATTCCAAGAGTCCGGAGCCTGAGAGCCCGTCACTTAAGATCACAGCGACCACCGTTTCGGCCCCTGCTGCAGATATCGCTGCGACCCCCGCTGCGAATACAGCTGCGACAGAGAGCATTGATCGAAATGCCGTCGGTTCATCTAAGAAGCCAGCGGTTAAGAACTCTGGGAAGCTTAAGAAGTCAGATCTCCGGCGGGCTGAGACTACGCCTCCGAAGAGACCGGAGTCTAAGATTGCAGATCCTACTCCTCCCAAAACTTCTACGCCTGAGACTACGCCGCCTAAGAGACTGGAGTCTAAGATTGCAGATCCTGCTCCTCCCAAAACTTCTACGCCTGAGACGACGCCGCCTAAGAGACCGGAGTCTGAGATTGCAGATCCTGCTCCTCTCAAAACTTCCAAGACCTCTACATCTAGTCAGACTGACTTACTCTACGACAATATGCGCGGAACGACTCCTTACACTCGCGCCCTCGAAAAACTCCGCACCGGCAAGCCTCGGCCAACGACGCACCCTACAGACCGTTCACTTCTGCCGTCACGTCGTATGGAGGACTCATATCACGAGTTGTACTTGCCATTTGCTGAGGATGATGCTTTGCTGGATCAGTATGTCAATGCGTATGGGTTATTGCGTATGGGTCAATTATTGGAGGATTTGGACAGTTTGGCTGGTGTCATTGCGTATAAGCACGTCACGCCTCCGGCAAGTCAACGACAAGCGGATTATGTACCTCCCGCTATCGTGACGGCGAGTGTTGATCGCATCTCGATTGTGGAGCCGATGCAGAGGGTTGAAGATGTGAGGTTGAGTGGTATGGTTACATGGGTTGGAAACTCGAGTATGGAAATTAAGTTGCAGATGGAGACAGTTGCCAAGACTGGCGAGGTGAGAAATATCCTCGAGGCGGGCTTCTCTATGGTTTGCCGTGATCCGATCATGATGACAGCTTTACCCGTGAACCCTCTCATCCTCGACACCCCTGTGAAACAAGAAATTTATGCTCAAAGCGAAGAATACAACGCCAAGAAAAAGCTTGCGTCGAAATCCTCACTCAACTTCCAAGCACCTACAGCCGAGGAATCACAAGAAGTTCACAAAACCTGGCTCGCACTGGGTTCGGAGTCGATGAAACCGCAGGATGCGGAGTGGATGGAGAATACGAAGCAGTATGGTACGCAGCTCATGACGCCTGCTGCAAGGAATATTCATACGACTATGATTTTCGGTGGGTATTTGCTTAGGTTGACGTTTGAGCTTGGACATTGTTGCGCTGCGGCATGGGGCAAGTCTCGACCAGTGTTTGTGTCACTTGACTCGACGTCGTTCAAGTCGCCCGTACCGGTTGGTTCTATTCTTGACTTGGAAGCAATGGTTGTACATACCTCACCTTGCACTTCTCCCCAGGTCCCTGAGGGATCTGGACTGGTGCAAGTGAGAGTGCAAGCTATGGTGAGAGACATCGAGACAGGACAGAGAAGGGTGGCAGGAGAGTTCGCATACACGTACCGTGTGAAGGAGCACAAGAAGGTCGTACCGAAAACTTACGGGGAATTCGTAGAATGGATTGCTGGCAAGAGACGAATGGAGCAGAGTAAGCTGTGGGGAGCTGGAAGTGAAGTCGGTATGGAGTAGACATGCAATTTAGAGACCGACGGAGACAGGAGGCACATGGTTAACGGCTATTTATACTGTCGATTGATATATATAGAATGGGGTAAGTCAAACCTCTGTAAAACTTACAACGAATTAGATTATAATCGCGTAAATATACGCTAAGGTCTGACCAACCCTCAGAAAACATAGAAAGATTATTTTTTCAGCAGGCAGTTAGCTCCCGCTCACGTGAATATGCAATGCACGGTCCATCCCATCTTCATAGACAAGGCTTGGGAGGGCGATTTCCGGGGAGAAATCGATAGACCAGACTCTTAGGAATCGATCGTGTAGTACCATTTCTCATAGAGCTGTGACATTGTGAAGGGCTTTGGCGTAGGTGTATGATGTTGCATGAACATGCATAAAATCATCGAAGACACTCATTGGGCCCACAAACCACAAAAATTGTTAAAATCAAAGAATCCACATGCAGAACATGTTCATCTAAGCTCCCTCTATCTCATGGGACCCAGAGCTGCATCCCTAGTGGCTTCCAGGGTGCGTTTCTTTCTTATAACTGAAAACACCTTTTCAGCATGGAGCAACTGAAGGAGGCCTTGTGGCCCAAAACCGGTGGCACGACGTGATTGCTAAGGCTAGGTATGATCAGTTTGAACCCTTACTTGACCTCCAAGGCCTTTATCTATGTTGTTTTAGGGGTATTTGTCATATGGAGTTTGCGATTTGCGCGCACATGGGAAAGTTACGTCAAGGATTTTGCACACAGCAGTACAGCGCATTCGATGGTGCGCTCGAGTGCCGTTTTGATTGAAATACGCGCATATATCATCGGGGTGGTGTCTCTCGAGGTCAATGGTTACCAACCATGATTCGCCAATATCTGCGGATCCGCGAAGATTTAGTATGATAGCCAGGACAATGCAAGACGCTATCCATCGAAACAGATGTGCATCGCATCCTTCAGAATCAGTCATGGGAAGACCCTGTAACAATCGAGTCTGCAGTACTCCAATGGTATGCTCGACTGTGACCCTTGTATGGGAAACTTCACGGTTGAATCCAGATTTCTGGGTTGTGTATCCTTGATCCTGCTTGAAGGGAGTGACAACCGACATAGTATTGCAGTATGCTGAATCCGCAAGCAGGTATTGGGTGGGACTGAAGTATGCGTCCGGGTTTAGGTGCAGCGGTAAATCCTTGTAGGCAGTTGAATCATGCTGGGAACCAGGTAGAAAGCAATTAAAGTGCCTTATAAGACGTTGATCATTACAAACAATGGTTGCCTGAAGGCCGTACTGACCACCATGGATAAGCCGTTACATCCTCGATAAGGTTCTATGGAGTAACTTACCTGCTTTTTGCGCTGGCAGAGGCAGTCCAGACGCCAACTACTCCCTCAAACCACCCTGCGCTGGATTCCTTGACCCTTTTTGCAATAGTCTCCCTCTTCTTGGGGTTCGGCCATTTGACGTTATCTTCCTATAACGATGATAAAGCAAGTCAAACACGTCCAGTGAACATGGTTAGGGCACCCTTACCGATTCCAATGAAGTCAGCCGTTTTTGACAATGATGAACTAGTAGAACTTTGGGCGCCAAATCGAAAGAGGATACAAGCCAGCGGATATCTTACTGATGCTTGTTCACAAGCACTGTTGTTGTAGAACACCGGGTTGGTCTCGATCAGACCGAGGACAAAATGAGAATCTTCTCGATTCATTCAGTAGTAGGCCTTGAACCTTTCGTCATCATACCCGTTGAGAACCTCTTCAATGAAGTGTCAGGACTTTGCCAATGGTTTGCGTGCAGAGATATATCGAGTGTTTTTAATGATTCCAAGCATCTGGTAATCTTCATCTTTGGAATCGTCGGTCTCCATGGATTGCAAAAAAGGTCCCAATCGGTGATTCGTCTGTATGCTCCCGAGCTCAAGGATGACGCCATTGATGATGTCGAGGCCTTAGAAATCGATGAAGCTGAAGAGGGCGAGCATTCGTCGAAGTCAAGTTGATCCGTACCAGCATTTTCTAAACTATTGAAATGGTCCGAGATCGACGGTTGGCTAGACGGCAATTCAGCCTCTCTGGACTGTCGATAACGAATGATCGCGGCAACTACGCAATTCAAAAATAAGCAATTATTTTTCACAGAGGTTTGACTACCCCCAGTCCTCGTTACAGACAGGCGCATGCCCGTGCAGGAGACCAAGCACGGCTACGTACGGGAAGAGAAGCCGCGCTCAGACCCGTGTGTAACAAAATATACGGGAATTATCTCTACACCACTATACCTCAATCACCATCATGGCCGGTCGACGTCTTGCGGACCTCGTTGGCCTTGCTACAGCCATCACAGGGATCGCCCAGAAACACATCGCGCTGAGATCACAGCAAGCAGCACTCCTCACACGGACATCCTCTCTGATCAAACCTATCAAGAATGCAGCGTACAGCGAGAGATCAGCAACCGCACGACCAGCAGCAGCTACGGCGACAGCTGTGAACGAGGAATTGAGACCAGCATCGAGGCAGCCTGCACCACCACATGCCGGATCAGATACTACGACTCAAGGAACATCCATCGCTGCGGATAAAGCAGACGCCGCTCTACACCAAGGCATCGACGACGAAGTATTCTATGCCGCGAGTAAAGCACACTCAGCGGACGGACCGGCGCCGAAACATGCACTGAATGTCACGCAGCGGGAACAAGGTGTTTTGGGAGATGAGTTCTACGGACTCAAAGCGCCGGAAGAGGATCGAGGCTCGGAAGCAAAAGTGGACAGGGAGACGTTTGCGAGCCCAAGGGATCCCAAGCATGTGTGTGAGTCCCAGAAGGATATCCTGGAAAGTTCAAAGGGTGGGTTGTGGGTTAATCAGAGTACAAGCGCGGCGGGAGAAGCACAGTTTACAGCACCGACATCCACGGCGGAGTCCAAGGAGCAGTCGACAAAGACATCGCCCGAAGAGGCATTGGAATCATTGGAGCAGGAACGTGGAGAGGCATCAGAACTGGACATCAAAGCCGCGGACTCTGATCTCTCGGCGCATGACCCAGCTGGCGCAGCAGCGACTTCTTCCACCGCAACTTCAATCCCATCACACGCGGCGGGTCCCTCCGCAGAAGGCGGCTCATTAGCTGATGGAATTGACCAGGATGTGTACTATACTTCCAAGGCTGAGCAACAGCAACAGGAGGATGTACGAGAGGTTGAGGCCAAGATGCCAGTGCGTCCAGGACAGCCAGGAGATGGAAACTCGGATTTGATGAAAGATATCGATTCAGATGTGTACTACACTGCAAAGACCACCGGCACTCCCCCCACGGCTTCAGTAGCAGAAGAACAAGGTCAAGCAGCGGAAGACAAAGACACCAAAGAGCTCGCTGCATCGATTCAAGCGGACCTCGCCGCCGGTGCAGAACGAATCATCAAGGAAGTCGCTCCGGAACCAGTCAAGCGTCAACTCAATGCATCACGGATCCCGTCCTCCCGTATCGGGCGATTATTCCACTACGGCACCCTCGCAGCCTCAATGTCCCTCGGCGCGCTCTCCGAAGGCACGAAACGGATCTTGACGGGTGGTGGTGAGGACGCTGGAACAAGCGTCATGCTCAGCCAAGCAAACATGGATCGGTTGGTAAACAAGTTGACTCGGATGCGTGGTGCGGCATTGAAGTTAGGCCAAGTTATCTCGTTCCAAGATGCGAAGGTGTTGCCCGGGCCGGTGAGAGAGGTGTTGAGACGTGTTCAAGATGCGGCTGATTACATGCCGGCAGAACAGTTGGAGGAGGTCATGGCGACCAATCTCGGACGTGAGTGGAGGGACATGTTTGAGAGTTTCGAGGAGGTGCCGATTGCTGCGGCGAGTATCGGGCAGGTTCATAGTGCGGTGTTGAAGAATGGTATGAAGGTCGCTGTTAAAGTGCAATACCCTGGTGTTGCGGATAGTATCAGTAGTGATTTGAACAATTTGGGCATGTTGTTGACAGCCTCGAGACTATTGCCAAAGGGTCTGTTTTTGGACAAAACGATTGCCAGTGCGAGGACGGAGTTGGGGTGGGAGTGTGACTATGTCCGTGAAGCGGTGTGTGCTAAGAAGTTTGGAGAGTTATTGAAGGACGATCCTGTTTTCCGCGTACCGAAGATCGTGGATGAGGCGAGTGGGAAGGGTGTGTTGACGATGGAGATGATGCCCGGAACGGCATTGGGGAGGAAGGAGAGGTATGATCAGGAGACCCGGAATTGGATCGCAACACAGGTGCTCAAGCTGTGCTTGAGGGAGATTGTCGAGTGGAGGTATATGCAGACTGACCCCAATTGGTCGAACTTCTTGTACGATGAGAAGACGAAGACCATCTCACTGTTGGATTTTGGAGCCAGTAGGGCGTTCCCTGACAAGTTCATTGATCTGTACACGCAGACCTTGTTGGCCGCTTCTCGGGGTGATAGGGAAGCATGCCGAACTCTGTCAATCGAATTGGGCTACCTAACAGGTATGGAAACAAACGCAATGACAACCGCTCACGTCGACTCCATACTCACCCTTGGCGAGCCCTTCGCGAACTCCGCCCCCGATACCTATGACTTCTCACAACAAACCATCACGGACCGTGTCAAGGGTTTGATCAGTGTCATGATTCATCAGCGGTTGAGTCCGCCGCCGGTTGAGACGTATAGTTTGCATCGGAAGTTGAGTGGAGCGTTCCTGTTGTGTGCGGAGTTGGATGCAAAGATCGAGTGTACGAAGATCTTCCAGGAGGTTATGAGGGCAGTTGGGAAGTAGTTTGGAGGAGATATATTGGAGACATTATTGAAATCATTGAGCATTTGTAGGATATCTCATCAGAGCAGGGCTGGGGAATGGTCCCACACTCCTCCTCCGCGGGCACGGTGGACGTATACGGACTACTACCAATTATCACAAATAGCATATCACTACCTCGCCTCCTGGACGACAACGGTCATGGAATGACCTCATACGCTGTCCCAATACTCACACCAAGACACAATGCCGCAGTCAGCGCAAACCCAGCCCACCCAATCCACCTTCCCTTCCTTTCCTCCTTCGGCAGCATAGCGTAAAAGCTCACCGTAGCCCACGACATAAAGATCATGACACCGGCTGAGATAACGATCTGATATGCTGATCCCATTCGAAGACCTGCGCCGAGGCCGGTGAGGGAGCTGAAGACGATAAGGGAGAGGAGGAGGCAGAGGAAGTAGCCGCGGATAACGCGGATACGGACGGGTGCTTTCATAATTGAGACTTCGTGGTCGGAGTGTTCTGGGTCGCGTCCATGTTCGATTTCACTTGGGTGGAAGACACTCTCGTGCTCCCCAAACAATGTCCGCAGGCTCATATACGACCTCTGCACGCCGAGCTTAACTCTCCGACCTGCCACTCTCAGGGTATCACCGAATCCATGCTCATCCTCGCTATCATCATCCGTCCCAGTGGCACTGCTAACACGACTCCGCCTCCGTCCCCACGCACCCAACAACCCAGTCCGCTCATCATCCGCAGGAACCTCCACCGTCCACGCCTCCTCGTGCTCTTCATCATCAAACTCGTTCCAGTACCGCTGTCCAACGACTTCCACGCTGGGTTGTTGACGGATACTCGGTGTTCGGCTCGAAGCACCACTGACCAAGCCAGGACTGACGATAGATTCATTCGTAGCCTCCGTAGGCGTGAGGAACTGTGTCTTCTTCCTCCTCATCTCACGCGAACTCGGTGGTAACTTCCTGATATCGCGATCGATACTGCTCATCCAGCTCGGTGCTTGAACGTTGATTGGCGACAACAATCTGTAAGCCGCATGCACATATAGCGAAAACCCATCCACAAGCTCTACAAGATGACTTGCCGTCAACTCTTGGAGCCAAGGAGGCAGTCCACCATGCCACTGAACCTCGAGTACAGCAAATGGGAACGTCTCACCGCCCTTGTCTGACTCCTCAGACACCCACCTCCGCTTCCCCTTTTCAATCCGGAGGAGACGAATATCCCTGTCGAGGAAAGCCGACACGTTCCCCGTCTCATGCGAGAACTGGGCAAACTGCGTCCTTCTCGTCGCAGCCTTCAGTACAGGCTGAAGATCAGCAGACTTAATAGCTGTATGCGCCTCTTGCAACTTCGCTGGAGGATCAAGACCGCCTTCATTTGCAATAGCGTAGAAATCAAGATCATCTGCCGCTTTTCTGATATACTGCTCCACGTGCTTCCGAGGGACACGCACTACCTTCTTCTGCCCGTCCTCTTCGGGTAACGTGATCGTAGCCTCCAATAACTCGGAGCCTTCGCCCCAAGTCACCGTCGGAACTTGTACCTTGCCCGCATTTCCAGAGGCCTCTGTTAGCTTGTCGAGATTGTCAGTATCGAGATAGACGGTCCGCATTCTCTGCATCGCGGTCTTCCGTGACGAAGACGGGACGTGCAGAGCCATGTACTTCAACAACACAAAGTCCAACTCCGTAGCATTGTCCGGGTGCACCCAATACGTGATCCTATTGACTGGAGCAAGTGAGGCATCAGACGCGACACTGACCTCCGAGCCAGGCTTGTGTACACTCGGGTCCCGATCATTGTGCAACGACGCCAACTGCACCAACCACTGTCCAAAGTCAACCCGTTTATGGAACGCATCTGGGCTCTGCAGCGACGGCGCAAACCGCCCGTGGAGACTGTCGGCTCCGGGCGCGTGCCGTGTACACCATTTTGCATGCTTCTTCACCAACTTCCTGAATCCCTCTCTCTGTGCTGCGATATACCGTGCCAACGACCGTACATCCTGCGTCAACCGGTTCAACTCATCGTCAAATTTGAAGAAGTTCTTTAGTTGTGGTTGCTTAGGTTTTGCACGGTTGTTGGCGCCGGATTTGAGGCTGTGGGCGATTCTGCGGTCGATTTCTCCTGATTTGGATTTAACGAAGTCATCAACCTACGGATTCATTAGCTTTCCCGTGCTGGTCAATTGGGGTTGATGGGACATACTCGTCTCAACTCCTCCTGCAACAACTGCAACAACCGATCCTCCCGCTCCCTAGAACAACCGTTTTCTGACGTAACAGCCTTAATCTCCTTCTTGATCACATCATAGTCGAGATTGTAGGGCTTCAGCTCCGGCGCACTATGTCTCGAAAGCGATTCACCGAACTTCATTATTCCGATTGTATGCTGTCCTTAACCCCTTTCCACTGAATGCCGTCGTTCTTTGTGATTCTGTTAACGGGCGTGTCACTCCTTAAACCGTATCGCTTCTCTTCTCCCAGCTGGTGGCGAGACTTCAAGGTGAAACCTTATTGATTGGACAATCGATTGCTGAGCGACGGCGTTGACCGGGTTTTTGTTGATGGGTGGACTCGGGTAAAACCTTAAATTCAGAACAGGCGCCGTACGTCCACCGAAGCCAAGCGGGCGCGCGCTCAAGGCTGCTATGCTGCCCGGCGACGTAGGCGTACGTCTGGGTGCAGGCAGCTGCTATTACGAGAGCCAGGAGTCTAGAAAGTTCCGAGAGTCGGACGTATGGGAGTCAGACTTACAGAGGCCTATCGTTGAAGAACTTGAAAGTACGGACAATTGCACAGCACAGTGCCGAAAAGTTCCCACGACAACGGGACTGCATCGGTTGAGCTATCAACTCTCACGAAATGAGTGAAGGGATGGGCGATGAGACCCCTTAAAGGGGGTAAAGTTCGCCAGTTCATTTCTTGCATATGTACAATACTTCACCCTCCGGACCTAAAGTTTGCCTATCGATTGATTGTAATGGGTGCACGGAACGCCTGTCAACCTGAGCCTCTGATCGACATGCCAAATGCTAAGGTATTTTGGTCATTACCTATCGTGCACTTCTCATATTATCTGGACGACGTCGTGACTCTATGGGTTCGTCAACAAGAATCCACCATCCACGACAATGGCCTGCCCATTAATGTACTCCCCAGCTCTCCCCACCAAATACAACAACGCGCCTGCCATATCCCTCTCATCCGCCAACCTCCCCGCCGGCAACTTCATCTCCTCAACCTCATCCTCCGTGGCCTCACTCATCTCAGTCGGCACGACACCAGGCGCGATGGTGTTAATCCTGATTCCCAATCCACTGAATTCCTGTGCCATCATCTTTGTGAGGTGGAGTGTTGCGGCTTTGGAGGCGTTATAAGCGAAGTGGTCTTGCGCTTTCTTGGTGATGGCAGACATGGAGGAGATGTTGATCACGGAGCCTTTGCGGCCGGTGCCAGTGTGGTCGTTGGAGTTTGAGGAGTTTTTCTTGCCTTTTGCGAGGAGGCGGAGGAATGCGACGGTGGTGAAGTAAACACCGATGGTGTTGATCTGGAACGTCATGTGCCAGCCTTTGGGTTCCTCCTTCTCCCAGAGATGCTTCTGCATTTCTTCGACGTTATTCGCGTCGGCTTTGTGGGGTGCGTGGTCCTTTGACGTTTCGAGGTTCGCTTCAGGACCAGTTATGCCGGCGTTGTTGACCAACAAGTCAATGTATGGGGACGTCTTCTCGACCTCCTTCACCGCCTCCTCGAGAGACTTCTTGTCCGAGACATCACACACAATAGGAATGATCTCTCCCTTTACCTTCGGGTTCCACTCATCTGCGGCTTTCTTCACGTCATCTTCCTTGTGGGACATAATGAAGACGCGAGCACCGTTGTGGGCGAGAGCGAGGGTACACATGAGGCCAACTGTACATGTCCTCGTCAGCTTTTATTCTTGTACAAAGTGGATGCGACACATACTTCCTGTACCACCGCCGGTGATGACTGCGGTAAGGTCATGAACGCCGAAGAGAGCGTCAAGGTCGTAGGTCTCCTTAGAGTGATTCTTGTCCTGCTCGGAAGACATGCTGTATCTTGCAAATGTATTCGAAAACTGACGCTGAAAGTTCAAGTTGTGATTGTAACTGTATCTGTAAACAGGCGTGAAAGTACGAGTGGCAAGCCCTGTTCTATAGCTGGTCGAATTGATGAGTGTACGCACAAATCTTTGTCCAGTTCTTGATGCCATCGAAATTTCGAGGAGTTCCAGCACTTAAGACTGGATCGATCTACTGATAAATCCTACGCGTCGAGGGGTCTTGCGTAGCTTTTGCGTAGCTTTTGCGTCATTGGCAGAATTAAGGTCGGGGCTAGGGTATGTACGAAGCCGCGCGCGTGAAGGTAACCGGACATCTGTCACCGCGGAGGTAGGGAAACACGGTGAAGCTTATGTGTCGTCATGAAGAGGCTGTGCGAAGGACCAGACAATGACGGAAGCCCTTGTGGGTTGAGCACTGTATGCTTGCAATTACACTGGCCAAGAGCTCTCGACGTGTCTTGGAGACCAGGACGACCATGACGGATCTTCACGGCATGCCGTGATCAAGGGCTGAACATCATGTCGACTATATCTATACTGGCAGCTCGAAACGTGGTCGAAGCTGTAGATATATCTCCCATCTTGTGCATTGAGTCATCGACAACGTAAAAGGAAGATTTGTCCCACGGGGCACCGGTACCGGGCCTTCTCGCGTGCGTAACAACAACACCTTGACATAACCTATTAGCCCCCAGTCCATGCCCGCTCGCCATTCAGGACATTCCACGACTGTTTGCCAGCCAACTATGGACTCGAGGGTGGGCAAAACAACGCAGAAAAAGGTGTGGAGAAGCTGGGAGTCGAACCCAGTACCTCTCGCATGCTAAGCGAGCGCTCTACCAGATGAGCTACATCCCCAAATTGATGCAGATCAAATCGTTTTCAAAACCACGATCACCGTTTTCTGTGTTTACCCCTGATGTACTTCGAATTTACGAACCGCCGAAACCTTAAATGCGACTTTTCTCCACCACACCGCTCAGCTGCAGAAGCCGTCTTATCCCCTCTTTACTCCAGACGTCTATCTCTACCAGAATGTCCTCTACCGCTTCTCGTCCCATCGTCATTTCCGGTCCTTCTGGTACGTTTCAGATCCCAAATTGCCTCTTGGCACACCCACCCTCGGCCATTGACTAACCATTGTCCACAGGAACCGGCAAATCCACCATCCTCAAACGTCTCATGGCCGCCCACCCCACCAAATTTGGCTTCTCAATTTCCCACACAACCCGTGCCCCTCGCGCCGGCGAAACTCGGGATGTAGACTACCATTACGTTTCCCGCACTGAGTTCCAAACCCTCATCGATGAGAACGGGTTTATCGAGCACGCTGAGTTCTCTGGAAACTGCTATGGGACAAGTGTTGCTTCCGTCGCCGCCGTGGCGGAGAAGAGTGGGAAGACGTGTATTTTGGATATCGATATGCAGGGTGTGAAGAGTGTCAAGGCAACTGATTTGAATGCAAGGTTTTTGTTTATTGCGCCACCAAGCTTGGAGGAGTTGGAGAGAAGGTTGAGGGGGAGGGGAACGGAGAGTGAGGAGAGTGTGCAGAAGAGATTGGAGGCTGCGAAAGGGGAGATGGAGTATGCGAAGGAGCCTGGAGCACATGACAAGGTTGTTATTAATGATGATTTGGAGAAGGCATACAAGGAGGTCGAGGAGTTCTGTTTGGCTGCCTAAGCGGTACTATACCCATTGAAGATTGGGAGCATAGAAAAGAGAGATACAATTGCGAAGAACCAGCTTGACATTTGGTAATGCTTTCATATTCGTGTCTACCTAAGGATCGTGATACCCATAACCATAAGAGGTTCAACCCCTAGTAATCATCACCCCTCGAGATAACCTCCTTCACCGTCGGCCTCAAAAAGATCGTATGCTCATACTGCGCAGTCTGACACCCCTTCACATCCACAAGCGGGGGATAATCCTGCACAACACCCTCCCTAACCAAACTATTCAACGCAACCAAATACTTGCTCTCACCCGCACGATCCAAATACCTTCTACAAAATGGAAGCGTTCCGAATTGCTGGTTGATTGTGGCCAACAAAGTCTTGGCACGTGGGAGACGGAGTCCAACGCGGGGAGCGTCGACTTTGCGCATGTAGTGGGAGCATTCACCTTCTTCGCGGACGAAGCCGCGACCTGTGGAGCCGAAGGTTTCGATTGCGAAGGATTCGCCTTCTTCCATTCTTGTCATGTCACCGTTCGCCACGATCGGTACGCTCTTTCCGCCATGAATCTCGTACGGATTAATGTTGTGTCCGTTGAGGTTTCTGATACATTTGACTTGTTCGGTCTTTCCGTTGGGGAGAGTGACTTCGTAGGATTCCATGACTTCTTGGATTGCGGCGCCGATATCGTTCAAGCGAACATCGATACCCGCTTCCCTGATTCCGGTGTTGGTTGCTTCCTTTACGGCTTTGAGGAGGGGGTCGTAAGTTCCAGACTCATCGAATGACATAGTAAACGCGGAATCGATGATACGACCGTTCACGTGGACGCCGAAATCGACTTTCATGATATCGTTCTGCTGAAGCAGCGTGGGATCTCCGGCGTTCGGGGTATAGTGTGCTGCGACGTTGTTCAACGAAACACCTGTCGGGAATCCGACACCAGACTTGAGACCGTTTTCTTCGGAGAGGGCACGAGTTCCGTTTTCGATGAGTTCGGTGATTTCGATCATGGACATGCCGGGTTTGATTGATTTTTGGGCGTAGTGGCGGACTTGTCTGTGGACCTCCGCTGCACGACGCAAGTCATTATACGTGTCGGATTCCAGACGTTCCAGGTGTCTCTTCTCCTCGGAGGTGGTACGGTATGTGTTTTCCTCATGAGTGTATTCGCAGATCTCGCCCTCTGGGTAAGTACCGGATGGGAAGAGCTTGGAGAGTCCGGTGCGCGGGGGTTCGGTTTGCTTGGTGCCGGCCTTCTTCTTCTTGGGCTTCTTCTTCTTCTTCTTTTTCTTGGCGCCTTCTGAGGAGCCGTTGGCGGCGCCTTCGTCTTCGTCGTCGTCGGAGTTGTCGTCTTCGTTGTCGGCGCTCTCTTTGGGGGCTTCGCCTTCAGGAGCTTTCTCACCATCTTTAAAGGAATTAGTATCCAGTTAAATACTAGTCTGCCGGAGAACGTACTCTGAACGGCCTCCTTCACGGCGGGATCAGCCAATTCCTTGCCATCCTGAACTGTGAGGCCGAGTCAGCGCAGAGCCCCATGATCCAAAGCCGAAACGAACACACCCGTAGCCCCGTTGAGCTTCTCCTGAACCTCGTCAATGTCCGGAGTCATTTTCAGTGCTCTTCAAGAAGCTCGTATCGTATCGTACAATCCTAAAATTCCAGCAATCGGATGCAGCCAACATTCAGGTCCCCAGTAGGGGGGCCCGCTTTACTGCGTCACCACGTACGTTTTCCAAGGTTCATCATCATCCATGACCAGAGGACTCCAAACTCGCCTTCAACATTCGCCATGAGACTGCAGGCTGTGAGAACCATCAGATCAGCTCCGGCCATCAGCGGTCTCTCTCGAAGACGCTTTCATCAATCCCTTCCATCACATAATCACTACGAGACGTTGAATGTCCGCCGAGACTCGACCCCTCGTGAGATCAAACGCCGTTTCTATGAACTCTCCAAAAAGTACCATCCGGATCGAAACCCCGACGATGCAGCGGCGAAATCGAAATTCGTCGAAGTAACTGAAGCATACTCCGTCCTCCGTTCCGACCAGAAACGGCGAGACTATGACCGATCACTACTAGGACAAAGTTCGGATGGTCCTACAGGATATGGGCATCCGACGGGGCATAGACAACCGAGTGGCCTGAGTCGCCGACGAACAAGACCACAAGGCCCACCACCATCCTACACCGGCCACAACCCCTACAGCTCCAACAACTCCCACCCACACCCCCAATCCAGCTACTACAACTCCACACACCCCGGCCACAACTTTACCGGCTACAACACCCACAACCCGCACTGGTCCCCAGTAGCCCAAGCAGCCTACGTAGCCCGATACAAAGCTGAAGACGCGCGACGCTACGCACGGCAAAAAGAGAGGGATCTGGCGCATAGTCGGCGGGTTAATCATTCGCTAAGGAGGCCTCTAGTTTTTTTTTGGGGGTTTACGGGGATCATAATGTTTGGGCAGTTTTTGGGGGCTACGGCCCAGGACAGGTGAGCGGGTACGGACTTGGGGTGGGACAAGGACGGTTGGGCACATTGACGGGATATGGCGTATTGAACAAGATATGATGGTCGTTATGGCTGGGCCATTTAACGTCGAAGAGGATACTATAGGGTATCAGGAATCGGGGTTAAGGGATCAAAATATCCTTTTAACATTTTTATTCGTACACGACACCGTCCATACTGATACTGTTACAACTAGAAAACGGAAAAAGGAAAGGAAAGCATTAACCACAGCCACGCCCCAAAGCCCATCCCCAAGTCTAATCGTACTCAACAACGTCACCCAAAACTTATCCGGAGAAGGTAACGGAGAGACCGAGCTTGTGGGCCTGACCAGCCTCAGTGAGACGCTGGGTGTCAATGGAGGCACCAAGACCGACGGTAACACCGGGGCGGATGATCTGAGTGTAGGAAAGACCAGCAATACCAGAGTTGTTGATCTTGGCCTTAACGGAGGTGAAAGGGTCCAAAACGTACTTTCCACCAACTTCGAGGGAAACAGCAGAAGAAGGCTCCTTGGCAGCCCAGGTAGCGCGACCACCAGCCTCGACGAAGGCGTTGACCTTGTGGTAGTAAGAAGCCTGGAAGATGGAGAGGTTGTTCAAAGCCTGGACACCGACGGTGTAGTCGACGGCGGAGTAACCGGCACCGGCAGCGTAGCGGGTGATACGGCCAGACTGGACGTCGTAACCGACCTGAGCACCAGCCAAGAAACCATCGTGGCCAACAACGGCATCAGCCTCGAAGGTAGGACCCTTGAAGACGTCAACGTTGGTGCGACCGTGGAAAGCGGGCTGCTTGTAGGCAGCGAAAAGCTTAGCGGAGCGGGCACCAGTCTCAGGCTGGAAGGAAGTAAGGGCATCGATCTTGAGGCCCTTGGTGATGTGGTTGTCGAGCTCGACCTTGGTGGTCAAGAGGTTGGCGGTGGACCAGCCCTGGGTAAGGGTGAGGCCGTTAACGCGGTCGGCGTACTTGCCCTCGAAGTTACCAGCGATGGCACCTTTGGTGTCCTGGGTACCCTTGACGGTGAAGAGGACACCGTTGGAGGCAGCAGTCTTGACCTCGAGGGTGGTACCTACAAATCCAATGTTAGTAAACCCAATTGAACCGCATTGACGCGAAAATCGCGAAATCCCCCCGGAGATCTCGCGATCACAACAGGGGGACTACATGGGGAAAAGGGCGCATTCACGTACCAGGGAGAGGGAAGTCCTTGGTCAAGAGGTCGTTAGACAACTTGGTGAGGTCGGAGAAGGGAACGGGAACGGGCTGGAAGGCCATTGCGAATTTGGATTGCTTGAGTGGGTATTTGGTTTTGCGTGATCTCCTCGCTGAGCAGTCGTTGGGTCAAAAGTTTGGCTCTGCGCCATTCTGGTCTCTAGTGCCGCGCTTGGATCCTCCGGAACTCTCCAGACGGCAGCAGTGACGTCGCGGATGGAGAGGGCTGGGATCGGAGGCTGCTGTTCATCTCGAGTTTTGGATCACATTTGCATTCTCTGTCTCTTTCCAGCTCTCCTGGCTCGCTGGTTCGTCGTCTATGACCCTCCTCGGATAATCCCGGAGCGCATGGAAGGGAGGCAGAATTGCTCAAAACAGATCCAATCCAGCATGTCAACATCATATTACCATCATCTGTTTCTCTACTCCCTAAACTCTATAGCTATAGTACCATAGATCCCATATCAACCTATCGTTTTACCATCTTACTCCTGCTTAGCTCCACCCTGGTAAGCCTGGTCATGGACCTTCTGCGCACGACCAGACGGGTCAGAAGGAACACCCCACTCGCTCTTCGGAATCCACCTCATGACACTCTCCGCACATTGTTGTGGGAAGACGTTGTCGAACATGCATCTGTACCAATAAGCCTCCTTGGTCTGGGGAACATCGTCCTTCCACTCGGGCTTAGGGTTGGCCAACTGCTCGTCCGTAACCATCTTCTCCGCGGTGTCCTTGAGGGCATCGATCCAGGAGTATCCAACACCATCGGAGAACTGCTCCTTCTGGCGCCACAAGATGTTGTGGGGAAGGTATGGCTTGGCTGATGGGTCATCCGAGGTGTCGAAGGCCTTACGGATGATGTACTTCTCCATACGCTCCTTGGTGAACAGCTTCTCCTTAGGATCAACGTTCATGGCGACCTCCAAGAACTGCTTGTCCAAGAAAGGCACACGAGCCTCAAGACCCCAAGCCATGGTAGATTTGTTAGCACGCAAGCAATCAGCCAAGTGCAAGTTCTTGACACGAGCGACACACTCCTTGTGGAACTCATCAGAGTTGGGGGCAGCGTGAAAGTAAAGGTATCCACCGAAAATCTCATCAGATCCCTCACCGGACAAGACCATCTTGACACCCTGAGCCTTGATCTTTCTTGACAGAAGGTACATGGGGGTAGAAGCACGGATGGTAGTGACATCGTAGGTCTCGAGGTGGTAGATAACATCCTGCAACGCGTCAATACCCTCCTCGACGGTGAAAGTGTGCTCGTGGTGAGCGGTACCAAGGTACTCCGCAACACCCCTTGCCGCAATCAAATCAGGAGCCCCAGGCAACCCAACAGAGAAAGAGTGAAGACGAGGCCAAGCAGCAAGCGTAGCCTCCTCATCCAAAGACGCCAAATCGGCAGTTCCATCCTTCTGCGCACCACCAACCAAACCATCCTCGGTGAACTTGTTCTTCTGCAACTGAGCGTTCTGGACACGCTCGGTTTCCCGTGCGGCGATAGCAGCGATGAGGGAGGAGTCGAGACCACCGGACAACAACACACCGTAGGGAACCTCGGACATCAACCTCTTCCTGACCGCAGCCTCCAAGGTCTCGCGCAACAACTGGTAGTCGACGGGGGTGGAAGGGATCTTCTCCGCATCCCACCACGAAGGCTCGAAGTAACGGCGAGTCTCCTTGGTCTCAGAGTCGTAAACATGACCAGGAGGGAACGCAATAATCTTGTCGCAAACGGGGTGCAACGCCTTCAACTCAGACGCAAAGTACGAAGTCTCCTCCGCCTTCGAGTTAAATCCCTGATACAAAGTCGTGATACCAATCGGATCCCTCGCAGCGATAACCTTGTTCTTCTTCACATCATGCAACACAAACGAAAACATCCCATCCAAGAACTTGGGCGCATCGACGCCGTGCTCGAGGTACAAGGGAATGATCACCTCGCAGTCTGAGTGGGTCTTGAAGTCGTAGTCGGCGTATTTGGCGCGGAGGGCGCGGTGGTTGTAGATTTCGCCGTTGACGGCGAGGATGATGGAGCCGTCGGTGTTTTGGAGGGGTTGGGCGCCGGTGTCGACACCGCAGATTGCGAGACGTTCGTGGCACATGATTGTGTCGAGCTTGGTGATGTTGCCGGACCAGTCGGGACCGCGGTGACGGAGACTGTGAAACGAATGTTAGTACACAATTCGAATCAAAGGTCCTCGGTGACAAGCGACGCCTGGGTATACGTACGACTTCGACAACTGCAAAGCCTCAGGCTTGAAAGCCTGGATATCGCCCTGATAGCGGTGCACACAGAAAATACCCTGAACAACATCATCAATCAACCATTCCCCGACCTTCGCAGCGACAGATCACTTACACACATGCTGTTGACGGCTTTTTTGCTACTGTTTGCCAGCCGTGTGTTGCTTCGGTGTTCCCCGAGGAAAATCCCAAAAGTTTAGCGCGAAGGCGAGTGCAGCTGCTGCAGGCGGCTCCAGATGACTCCGCAGCACCGGCAGATAACCGACTTCTTTAAGGAGATAAGGAGGATGGTTCAGGCTTCTATTGGATGGGTTACACGTCGTAACATCTGTCTGTCATTTTCCGGGAAGCACGGGTGCATGGGTGTGGGTGGTGGACGTTTGATGTACCATATGTATTCCTCGTATTCCTTCTTCAAGCTCGACGGCTTTCCAGCCGGAGCAATGACTTCCCAATCATAAATCAAAATCAAAACAGAAAAGCATGCTTCAAACCTCTCCATGTCTCGTGATCCTTGCTCATGCTTGACGTTTGTATGTCTTTCCTTCACCAAAGTCTCCCTTCATGGCCATATCGTCGCCCAAAAGTTTTTCAGTCCACCTAAACTTTGCCTTCTCTGTCACCAACAACACATCCCTTACGCAGAAGGGTCGTTGAACTCCGGAACCTTCCCCTTCCACACCTTCTTAATATCTCCATAACAAGGCGTACACAAAGTATGCGCCCTCTTCACCATCCCACACGACGGGCACCGATTAAGACCCAAGTTATCTCTCAAGTACTTTGTCGCCTGCCTCATCCTCTTCCTCGAGTGGGAAGTCTTCTTCTTGGGAGCGGCACGGAAGATGGAGTCCCAGATGCCGAGGAGGGGTGCTGGCACGGCGATGCGGATGGATATCCGGGGAAGGAGGGAGGCGAGGCCGAGGCCAAGGCCCGTTCGGAGGGAGAGTGGTGCGGACGGTCTGAGGAGAGGCAGGGAGAGGGAGGCCATTGTGCGTCGTTTCTCGGGTGGATGCTGCTGAGCGGCGCGCTGTGGACTTTTTGGCTCGGAGGCACTAATGCGGCGTGTGCTGGGTGAGCGACTGCCAGGGAGACGGAACACGACACCAGACCCCGGAACAATTCAACACGATGGCATCTGTCGCTCCTCTTTCTCCAAGGCCCGCTGGCTCCTTCTCTATTGAGAACGAGGTAAATGCTGTTTCCTGGGAGTGTATGCGCGGTATTAACCATGTTGAACAGCAAGCACCGTCGGTTCCCTTGGGCGGCTATGTCGGTTTCCAGACCATCACAGACCAAATCCAAAAGCGCATGCTCCAACGCGGCTTCGAATTCAACATCATGGTAGTCGGTACGCATATTCCCCCTTTTCCTACTTGCCAAGAAAGAACCTCAAAACTCACACGCTCCCTTACAGGCCAATCCGGCCTCGGCAAATCCACCTTCATCAACACCCTCTTTAACGCCTCCCTCCTTTCCTCTACCGGCCGCACCCTCCCTACAACCCCAATCCCGCAAACAACCTCCATATCCACCACAACCCACACCCTAACCGAAGGCCCCGTGCGTCTTCATCTCTCGATTACGGATACGCCTGGGTTCGCGGACACGATCAACAATGACCGGTGTTGGGATCCGATTGTGAAGTACATCAAGGACCAGCATTCGGCGTTTTTGAGGAAGGAGTTGACGGCGCAGAGGGAGAGTCGGATCAGGGATACGAGGTCCGTACTCATAGATACAAACACATCGTGTAAATGCTAATAAGTGCGAACAGGATTCATTGTTGTTTGTATTTCGTGAAGCCGAGGGGTGGAAGAGGCTTGAGCGAGCTCGACGTGATGGTCCTCAAAAAGTTAGCGGACGTGGTCAACGTCGTCCCCGTCATCGCCAAATCCGACTCCCTCACCCTCGAAGAACGCGCAGAAGTCAAAGAACTGGTGTGGAAATTGCAATCGCATCCTCTTCTGAGTCTGCTAACGAAAATTCTGCCATACAGATCCGCTCAGACTTCCAGAAATACGGTATCAACCTCTACCCATACTCAGCACCCTTCATGACCGACGACGACTCGGCCATCAACCACCAAATCCACTCCCTAATCCCATTCTGCGTAATCGGCGCCTCATCCTCCTTCCCGCACCCCTCCCACCCACAAAAACTCATCCGTGGTCGCCGTACGCGGTGGGGCGTCATCGATGTCGAGGATGAGAGGCATTGCGAGTTTGTGTATTTGAGGAATTTCTTGATGGTTACGCATTTGTATGATTTGATTGATACTACGAGGGAGGTGCACTATGAGGGGTTCAGGGCGAAGCAGTTGTTGGCGTTGAAGGAGAGTAGTGCTGGGGGTAATGCTGGGCAGGGCCAGCAGCAGCAGCCGGGGAGGCCGTCGAGTAGGCAGGCTTTGGGTGGGTACTAAATTGAGATCTAGAGAGCAGACGTACGCGTGTTTGGGATGGGAGTCAATCTTTTTTCCGTTCAAGGTTGTTATAGCTATATAGCTTTCACTTTTGTTTTTACCGTTGTTATACCAAATGCCAAGCTGGTTCTTCGCAAGTACATCTACCTCGTCCACTTACAACCCCGGCGGAGGCGGCACAGCACCGTAGCTGCCCGTACCAGGTGCCGCACCCGGAGGCGGTGGAGGAGGCTGCGAATCCGTACCGGGAGCAGGGGGAGCACCAGGAGCACCACCTGGAGCAGGAGGCTGAGGACTGGCAGCAGCGGCCTGCTGTTGGTAGTAAGCAGCATAAGCAGCGGCATAATCCTGACCTGCCCCAGCACCCGTCGCAGCACCAGCAGTGGCACCTTCAGCACCAGGAGCACCGCCTGCCGCGGCTTGTTGCTGAGCAGCAGCGTAGTATTGGTAATAGTACGCCATATACGCCTGGTAGCCTCCATACGCAGCATACGGGTCCTGCCCATTAGCATACGCTGCATACGGATCCGCAGCACCACTTGCACCCCCAGCGGCCGCACTCGGCGCCGGCGAAGCCGAGCTCGCACCGGGTGTTCCATACCCCTGGCTCTGGCTCTGGCCCTGGCTGTGTTGACGGTTATAATCCCGTCCACCTCCATGACCACGGTCATTATACTGCTGACGAGGCTGGAGTTTGTGCTGTTCGTACGCATCCTTCACAGTTTTGAGGAGGTCCTCGCACATCTCTTTTGCGCGTTGGACGCCTTGTGCGTCCGGGCCGGTGATGTGGAGGAACATGGGTTCGTCGGCTTCGCGGCCGATGGCTTGTTCGATGAAGCCGGAGCCTTGACCTTTGATTTGAACGCGCATGCGGGTTTCGCCTTGGATGTGTTTGACGTAGGCACCCTGTGACAATGTTAGCAAAGAATCAATGAAGCTTTTCCGACGATGTCACCTGTGGACCCACGACCTGTGCGCGGACATTGAATCCGGGCATAGACTCCATACCGATGTACACCTTCTCCTCCGGCCATTTGCGCTAAATCGTGTCAGCCAAACTCATGACAGGGAACAGAGATGATCACTCACCCTTCCAAACTCGTCCCGCTCAACTCCGGGCTCATCCGGTCTCGGCCCAAAGCGTCTCAAACGTCTCTCGTCGATAAGACTCGGGAGCTCCGTGTTCATCAACTGGTTCACCTCCTCAATCGCCTGCTCAAGTCCTTCACGGGTTCGGCTGGTAATATGGAGGTAAAGCGGCGGGTCGCGTTCGGTCGCCATCGATTTATCGGGATAGTACTTTCCACGGGTGGTGACATCTGTAACACGAGAAAAAATCATGCGTAAGCTGCCATTCTCGTCAATAAAAAGCGTCGGGTGATTCTCGTACCGGCTCCGGTCTTTTGTTTAATCTGTAAGAAGAAGAGAAAAGGTCAGCGAGTCACGACACCAACAGGGTGATCAAGTGCTAAATTGAGCATCAGCATCAATATTCTGAGCCTAGTTCAAGATAGCAAGTCTTGTCAGTAGTCCAAGTATTACCTCTGATTGTGTGGATCCTTTGGTAAGGAGGTAGCGGTTCCTCAAGTCATTGATTTCGATGTCCTTGATATAGTCGTCGTCTTGCACATAGATGTCCTTGGGTCTCTCCGCGGCGGGCTTCTTCTCTTCACCCGCAGCAGCGTCAGCAGATTTGGAAGCCTCGGGAGCCTTAGCAGCAAGCATGGCGTTGATTCTGGCAGCTGTGGAAACAACGTCAGCAGAGCACGATGAAGATCACGTAGAATATCCCCACCTGCAGCGGCAGCCTTCGCAGCAGCATCCTCCTTGTTGCCATTGGGTGTTTCGCTCCGGCGGCCCTCAGGAGTGTCTGGCTTTCTGATCTTGGTAAATGTAGACTGAACGTCGACTGGATCGTCGAGCTTCCTCTTGCGATCGTCAGACATGGTCGTCGTTTTGAAATTGTCGAGAAAGTGCTACCGGTACGTCGACGTTACTGGGATGAGCATTGCATGCTGAAGACGGCATAAGCCAGGGTCCACCCAGACGTTGTCATACACAGAGGGGATGATCCGTCGGTCTCTTTGCTTCTTTGATTTAAAAAATACTATCTGCGACGTCAGATCATACTCTCCGGGACCTCTTCACTACTCCGTGCGACTCGTCCGAATTTCGGCAAGGGTCGGCAGCTCCACACAGTAAATACGCCCAGCACCTCCAAAAACTCCGGAACACCGTCGCTCCTTACCCAGCGAACCCGGACGACAATGAACTCCAGATCAGCACTCCTGTTCGGCCAGGCTATGCGTGCCTCGGTTCGTCTCCCCTTCTCCCCTCCGCCGTGGGGATTCCTTCTCTCCAGATCACACAGCTAACCTCCATGACTTTGTCCAGGCCAAGTGTACCACCCCGATTGTCCAGCAGGTTCGTCACAACTCCCGTGACGCAACCTCCGCAATCGCCTACAAAGCCCTCCACCGCCGTTCCCGCCCCCCACCCCTCCCCAAGATCGATCCCCCCTCATGGTCCCCCTCCGAGGCCGTAACCAACATCGTCCACCTCTACGGCCAAGTCCCCATCGACGTAACCCGTCCCCAACGCCACATCCTCAACTGTCTCGTCCAGAACGAGCCAGGAGTATTGAGCCGTGTGTCGGGTATTTTGGCTGCTAGAGGTTTCAATATCGACTCCCTCGTGGTTTGTAACACCGAGGTTGCGGATTTATCTCGTATGACCATCGTTCTTCGCGGAAAAGACGCCGTTGTCGAGCAAGCCCGTCGTCAACTCGAGGACTTGGTCCCCGTGTGGGCAGTGTTGGACTACACCCGCGCCGCAATCGTCGAGCGCGAGCTCCTCCTTGCAAAGGTCTCGATCTTGGGTCCTGAGCACTTCCACGAACTCTTGGCCCACCACCAGGAGATGTACGAAGAAGCCCTCTCTGCAGGCGAATTCGAAGCAACCGAAGACGGTAGCGAGAGTGGAAAGTACAACGAGTACCACCCCGCCTCCCTCGCTCCCTCCCAGGCTCTTCGACAAAAGCACGAGCATCTCCAAGCTATCACCACCCTCGCCAACCAATTCGGCGGAAAGGTCGTCGATATCTCAAACGACTCCTGTATCGTCGAGCTCTGTGCCAAACCCACCCGTCTTGACGCCTTCATGAAGCTCATGTCCCCCTTCGGTATCTTGGAGTCTGCGCGTAGTGGAATGATGGCCTTGCCGAGGACGAGTATGGTTAGCGTTGATGAGGCGAACAAAGAGAAGGCGGAGCAGGTCAATGATGTTGTTGATGCGTCCATGTTGCCGCCTGGATAAGCATTAGGTGAAGGACGAAAAGTTGGGTTTGGGCGTTATCTGGATTATCTTGTACACTTTCGTAGCTTGAAAAAACGATATCTATTCTATGTCTCTTTGTTCAAATTCCTCCCCTAGTGCATGCCGGTATATATCCTGGGTATATGTATCTCCATCTCGCCACCCTTTCCACGACATTGCAATGTTCAACCCGGGTTGTCCTCCATGAACTCGCCCCGACCCGAACGCGGTCATCGCATCAATTCCTCACGGTATAAGGCTCAACCGCCGACCTAACCCTCGGCACAACCCCCTGCAACGCACCCCTCGACACCTCAACCCCAACCCTCAACCGATTCGACGTCAAAAACAACCCTTCAAGCGTCTACTCCCATACAATTAGCCCTTTACTCCTCTAACCATTATGAGTGCTCACCTTCTGAGTCTGCACCATCTTTTGCTCGTTCGCGGCAAGTGCTGAATGCAGTTTCCGCAGATCGAGTTTCGTGGAGGGGGTGGAGTCGAAGCTTATGGGGTTGGGGTGGGCGTGGGCGTGGGAGGATGCCTATACGTGAGCGTAGTTAGCAACGATGCAACCTGGTCGCAACACCTTCGGTCCACGTACTGTGAGGATGGAGGATAAGGAAGACAAGGGTGGTGACAGCTTGGTGTTCGCAGCCGTTGCGGGGGCCATTTGTGGTGTCTATGCGTCAGTTGTACTGCGACTGAACCTGGTGAAAGCTTTCTGGTGAGAGACGATGTGGATTGTTGATGCTGATGTTCGGATGGGCTTGGGTGAGTGTTTGTTGCGGGTGTATGCGTACTGCATACAGTCGACGTACGTGGGATGTTATCGATAAGGCGAACTCTCTGGCTGCACATTCACACGAACATAATCAAGACTGACTGGGTCTGTATGTTTGATTTCGATGTTGCTTTCAAGGGTCATAGTGCGTCTACGTTACCCATTGATCTTGACCAGCTTTGACCGTGGGGTGTATGCGTGGAGACTTACACCTCGAGCACTTCAGTGTAACGGCAAACCAGAGTATCAGGGGAAGGGAGAACTGAGACGATGTGATATCGTAACGAATATTAGAGTTACTGCTACTGAGCAACTGCAAGGCGGATCGCCCATCGGCATTCATGCGAATGTACGCCCGCACCCTCGGGCCATGATACTCGATCAACATCACCATCACGGCATATATGCACACAGCACAATCTCCCCCCCCATCTAAGCCCTTGTGCATTGGAAATTACAGAAACATCTTAACCGTCCCTTAACCGTCCCTCTTCGCTCTTCCACACTCCCGGTTCGCCCTATGCATGTCTCGCCTGCAAGGCTCTGCAGCTGCATGCACACCCAGCGAAATGAAATGTGGCCCGAGCGCAAAAGTCGGCATCCATCGGAAATTAGCAGTGGGATGGGGCGTGAACGGTTGGTCGAGAAAGATTGGAACCGGCTTTGAGGTGCAGTAGGTGAGCTCGAGCGTGCTAGATCCGATGTTGGCTTGGCCGGACGAGGGAGATGGGAGGCCATGAGAGGTATAAGAGCTGGAGGGATCCCGCCGCATGGAGAGTGCCGTTGAGAAATCCAACACAAACTTCAGTCAGTCCTTACCTTTTGGTTCACACACTCTCTTTCCGATACCTCGAGGTCGCAACGACAACTACACGCTCTCTTAACGGACAATATCCCTATACACGACACATATACAAACGATGCTCGGATACCTTTCTGTCGCTCTATTGGCCGCTGCCTCCACAGCCACCGCCTCCCTCTCCGGTTCCCAAACCGTAACCGAACACGACTACCCCTCCTACTCGGACCGTCAACAACCCCCCCTACTGCGGCCTCACCTACACCTACACCTCTTTCAACCTCAACTACGTCACCGCCGTTCAATCCATCGACGCCTCCACCTGTGGCTCTTGCCTCAAAGTCTGTGGTTCGACCGGTTGTCGATACTTTTTGGCTATCGATAAGGGTGGACGTGGGTTGGATGTCAGCACGGGTGGGGCGACCGAGGTGTTTGGGCAGAATATGGATCCGGCGCCGGCGAGGTGGGAGGTTGTTGATGGGGGTTTCTGTGAGTTTGTGTGGAGTGGGGTTACGGGGTATGATGTGAGGGCGAATGCGGATGGGATGAGTTCTGCGGCTACTTCGACGGTGGAGCCGGTGACGGCTGAAGCTGCTGCCACTGCTGAGGCTGCCACCATCACTGCTGCTGCTGTCGCTGCCGACACGACCTCTTCGTCTACATCTACCTCTTCCTCCGAGACCATCACCTCCACCACCTCCTCTTCCTCCGAGACCACCGCCTCCACCGCCTCCTCTTCCTCCAACACCACCCTCTCCCCCGTGATCCTGTACTCCAACACCACCCTCTCCTCCTCCGCTTCCTCCATCGTCGCCCCCTGGTCCAACACAACCCTCACCACCGCTGTTCCCACGGTCGCTGCCGCCGTCGCAGCTGGTAACACCAAGTACGTCGCCTCCACCTCAACCTCGACCGTGACTGTTACACTCTGGGATCTTCCCTCCACCACCTCCTCCGACTCTTATGTCGAGGGTGCTGAGGCGGTGACGAGGACTGTGTATACCACTGTTTGGCACACCGCCGAGGCTACGACTGAGACGCAGACCGTGGAGGTGACGGAGACCGAGTCGAGGACGCATGCGAGGCAGTTTGCTACTGCTGCGGCGTACTGGAACGGTACATTGACTGCTGCCAGCAATGGGACTGTTGTGAATGGTATTCAGTACTAAGGTCTTTTGATATACGACTTCTTTCATCAACAACACAAGTCACAAAAAACAAGAAAAACATGGAAGGATTGGGGTGTGATAAACTTGGATTATGGGGACACGGACAATGAACGGCGGCGCTACGATACAACTCTGGACTTTTCTTCTTTCAAAGGACCTTCTTACGGGGTTTTCTACATGGATACACGAGCCTCTCGGATCCGTACACGACTATAGATATGATCTGACCATGGTGACAGATCTAGATATTCGCTTCTTTCTGTACCAAATTTGAGACTTTTTTGCTTATATGCCTCGGACATTGATATTTTATGCTCATGAATATTAAGACCAGTGATTTGTTTTGTAGGCCTTCCTTGAGCCATAGTCTTGTGAGCTGTAGCTATATAATGCCAGTAAACGAAAGGAAAAGGAAAAGAAAAAAACGAAGTTAAACCCGGATACCCCCAAACTCCCAAAGAAACAAAAAAGGTCACACCTGTATACGTCCCTTCACTGCTCCATCGGCGACATCACATCTCTACTCCCAGGCCGTCCCTCCAACGGCTCCGCCAACCTCCTCCTCTGCGCCTCACTTTGCCCATCCTGCCACCTCTGCAACTTGCCCACCTCATTAACCCCAAACCCAAAAATCCTCGGCACATACCTCTGCGCATCCACAGCCCCAGCCCCAGCCCCAGCCCCAGCCCCAGCCCCAGCCCCCTTCCCACTCGGCACCAACTGTGGGTATTGTGCGAGTAACATGTGGGGGAACGAAGTCCCGAAGTAGGCGCCGTCGATTGAGCCATGTCGTGGGGATTTTGGGGTGTAGATGTCTTCGCAGCGGGGGCAGTAGAGTTTTACGCTGTCTTGTCCTGGGAGGTCAGAGGTTCCGATTGGGAGGAGGGGGTGGGAGGAACATAGGACGCGGGGACAGCGGCCAAAGTCGTGTTTCTTGTACTTCTCGAGCTGTGGTCATGCAGTTAGCTATTCGTCCGTACACTGAAGTGAGAGAGGGGACATACCATCTTTTGCAATCCCTTGATGGTGATGATATACCGCGCATGTACCAAGCCATAAAAGTGTCTCGCGCAACTCTCGACATCTTCCCGAATATTTTCATCTCCCTCCCAACAATCCGTGACCATGTCCAACGCGTCCGCATAATGGGGTCCGATCTCCGCGTTTAAACCTGTGAGGTTGAAGCGGTCCGTGATATAGTCTTCGTCGATTTCGCAAAAGTACTCGTTTCCTTTTGAGCCGAGGAACCATTCGATCCAGTAGCCGGAGGAGATGGAGGAGGAGGAGTCGTGGTCCATGGTGGTGTGTAGAAGGTCGTGTAATGGGCGGTTGGTGTGAAGGGAGAGTGAGATGTGGAGACGAATGCTGACGGATTGAGATGGTGCGCTGCTTGATCCCTTGTAGAATGACCCGGTCAATCGACAATTCCAATTCTTCTTCTTTTGGAGTTCGAGGAGTGCTGCAGCTTCCTGTCGGTGGATTTCACGTGCTCGCCAATTCAGGGGTCTCACCGCTGAGCTCACACGACGTCCAGTCAACCAGCATATACCCCATTTGCAAGATGTTCAGAAAGTGTGTTGCTCCGAGGTCGGTATTGATGGCATGCTGATGAGCGGTGCAACAGATTCGATCCATCCACAGACATTGCCGGACGAACCCAGGTCAAGTCCTCCGTCGTCCGCAACATCCGCACAAAGCTTGTCCAGGACTATCCCGGCCTTGAGCCTGTCCTCGACGAGATCCTGCCTAAAAAGGGTGCTTTAACCCTCATCAAATGGTGCTTCGAGTTTTGACAATCGAATCGCATTGAATTTGGGCTAACATATTGGGCACAGCCGAGAACACATCTCCATCCTTACAAATCAAGATAAAGAAATCCTCTTTTTCCAACACTACGACGACGCCTTCCACCCCCACCTCCGTCTCGTCCACAAATACCCCAATGCATTCCCAACGCTCCGCGTCGACCGTGGTGCGATCAAGTTCGTGTTGAATGGAGCAGATATCATGTGTCCTGGACTTACTTCACCAGGAGCATTGGGTGGCGAGGAGATTCCTGATATTCCGGCGGAGAGAGTGGTGGTGATTACGGCGCAGGGGAAGGAGCATGCGCTTGCGGTTGGATTTACGAAGATGAGTGCAAGGGATATGGTGTCGATCAACAAGGGCATCGGAGTGGAGAACGTGCACTCTTTGGGTGACCCGCTGTGGAACTTTATCCCTTAAGCGAGTAATGGGACATCTTGGAAAGAGTAAAAGGAGAGGAAAGAGACAAACATTTCGGCATGAACCAGAGATGAGATTTGTTCGACCACAAAACCACGGATCAAGTCTACGATAGACACCCCACAATAAAATCTTACATGTATCCCACCCCACCGTACGTCTACTGATACGTCTTCTCCAACTCCAAGAACATCTGATACACCTCCTCTACAGTCTTCTCTCCCAACTGTTTCCCATCCCTTGATCTTACAGCAACAGAGCCATTTTCCATCTCCTTCTGTCCCACAACCAATGTAAAGTTCACCCTCCTCTTCTGTGCTTCCCGCACCCGCTTACCCAACGTCTTGCCTTCTGATGCATCCACATCCACGAAGAACGTCCGTGTAGCCATCTCCAAAATTGGGATTGGCGGTTCAGTCGCAGTCGTGAGTGTATTCGTAACACCCGACAAACGTCTCTGAACAGCTTCAGCATACGCAATGACCTCCGGCGCAGTCGTAGCTGGCACCACCGTCGCCTGTCTCGGGCTCAACCAGAACGGCCACTTCCCCGCTGTATGCTCCATCAATATTGCCATCGTCCTCTCCACACTTCCCAAGATTGCTCGATGTACAATGACGGGTGCCTGGATCTCTCCACCAGCATCTCTGTATTTCAAGTTGAAGCGATGAGGAAGCTGGAAGTCGAGTTGGATGGTTGCAGTTTGATGTCGTCTCCCGGCTGCGTCTTTGAGCACAATATCAATCTTTGGCCCATAGAATGCTCCATCACCCTCCTTAACTGCCCATTCCCTCCCAGTGGTGTTGAGTGCCTCCTTCAGCGCCCCCTCAGCCTGTTCCCATTCTGCCAGTTCTCCAATGTACTTCTCTGGCCTTGTTGACAAGAACAACTCGTAACTTGGCAGTTGAAACACCGTAAACACCGCATGAACAAACCTCAACGTATCCGCAATCTCAGATGTGATTTGCGCAGGTGTACAGAAGATGTGTGCATCATCCTGATGGAAACGGCGAACACGGGTCAAGCCTTGTAGAGCACCTGATGCCTCATTCCGGTGCAGCGGTGAGAAATCTGCGTAGCGGATTGGGAGGTCGCGGTAGGAGCGGTCGTCAGATGCATATATCAGACAATGACCTGGGCAGTTCATCGGTTTGAGTCCATACTCCTCATCCTCGAGATACCTTCCCTCCTGCTTTGCCTTTGCTGCTTCACCCTCTGCCCCACGTCCAGTGACGGAGAACATATCCTCAGCATAATTCTCCCAATGCCCACTCTGCTCCCACAAGGTCTTCTTGTAGATAATTGGACTGATTACCTCTTCATACCCATACAGTGAATACTGCTTCCGCATGAAAGCCAGCAGTTTGTTGAATATCCGTGTGCCATGGGGGAGGAAGAAGACTGAGCCGGGGGTAAGGGGTGAGATTGTATAGAGGCCTTGAGCGACAGCGATGGATTGGTGGTCGAGGTCGGTGGCTGTAGATGGTGACGGAGGAGTAGATTTCTTTGCAGATGGAGGAGCTGGCGCCGGTGGGGCTTGCGGTGCTTGTGGTGGTGTTGGTTCACATGCGACACAGTCTATAGCACAGACGTTCAGCATTGAAGCCCCGGATCATGAGGGATGGAGACACGTACATGGCCGGCGCGTATTCGCAAGGACTACCCGAGGCAGCAATTGCACTCGAAGGCTCAATGGATTCGCAATGAATCGTCTCATCGTGTACGAGGGCCTGGTTATGGGGGCTCGCGTGTCGAGAAATGTGCCGTAGGGTTCGTAACGTTGATCATGACATGCATGTCCGAATCGAGCGACAAAGTCTACGGCACGTTAAATATATTATCAAAAGTGACGCTGGTTGAAACCCGACACTTGGGGGTTTACACTACGTAGACGGGCTTTACGATGCGCTGATAAAGTTGCAATGGGACGGAACGACATCGAAGGTGAATACAAGCCCCAATCCACTGATGAAGCCGAACACAATTTTACCAATCCAAATCCCTGATTTTCGCAGCACCCATTCGTTCTTCAAGTGATTTCACATGGCGAGAGTAGGAAAGTCGTGGGCCGAACCGGGTGTAGTGTACATCCTGCTCCATTCTGTAGACCAAGACAATAGGTGATATTTTGTCAATTCAAAACCCCATGTCCTTCCAGTGCATCATATTGCATAGCCTCAGACAACCAGAAAAGCACGCCCAAAAATAGAACCGTTCCAAGCCTGGGAGCGATCCGTTTATGAGCGGGGCTTCTCCTTCTTCTCCTTCCACAAAGCAATCAAAGCGACACCGGAGACCTAGAGTAACTTCGTTAGATGGTGGCAAAGTGGTGGAGGAAGGGTTAGACGAACCTTGACGACCTTGAAACGAACACCGGGAATATCACCCTTGGCCTTACCCTTACGACCGAAACCAGCAAGGAGGACCTCGTCGTTCTCGTCGACAAAGTTCAAACAACCGTCATTGGGAACGAAAGCGGTGACCTTCTTTCCGTTCTTGATGAGCTGAACACGGACACACTTACGAATAGCGGAGTTGGGCTGCTTGGCCTCAACACCGATCTTCTCAAGGACGATACCCCTAGCGAATACATGTAAGGAAACGATTGATTGAGGGTTGGTAATGGAGGAAAACTCACTTGGCGTGGGAGGATCCACCGAAGGGGGAGGACTTGAAGACGGTACCGAGCAACCTCTTGCGGAAGGCCTCGTCGGCCCAACGCTGCTCACGGCGGTGGTTGCGGAGCTTGCGTGCGGAGTTGAGACCTCTAGGCTTTCCCTTACCCATGTTGACTGCAGAAAGGATCCAAGTCAGCAATTGTTTGAAGTTGAAGAAACACCCGACGCGACATAGCACAGCCGTACGGAACGCTGGGACACTGGTTCTTTTTCGAGGCGAACAAGAGGAACAGCATGAGAGCGTTCCGATCGGCGAGGAGCAGCATCGTTTTCCTTGACGTACCTGTTGATGAGACGGCTGCTGCTGGTGACGGGGCAAACGACTAACGATCCTCAGACCTCCAAATTTCGTGTGTAGTGCTTCTCGCGGGCAATTGGCGCTAACCCTCGGCGCAGGAGGCTCGGAGAGGGTTCGGGTGCCCTAACCTGCCAGAATTTGAGTGTGCCTGGCTGGGAAGGTACCCTGAGGGTTTATTGCAATTCAATCAACGCCATGACTCCGTGATAAATATCATCATAAATAACCCGTGCTACTCTTACTTGATCTTCGTGTACTCTTTCGTAGCCCATGCAAACAATCCCTCCATCTTATCCTTCTCCGCCGGTGACTTGAACGGCTGCGTCTCCTCTTCCTCCTGCACGCGCGGCAACTGTGAGCTCTCCCGTTCCATCCTGGTAGAAGTGGCGCTGACCCTCTTCTCCTCCTTGGGCTCAATCGTCAAAGAGCGGCGCCAGAGAGACATCTGATCGCCAGACTTGCCCATACGAACAGACTGAATGTGCTTATCAATCCATGACTGAAGCTCTGTGACCTCCGCCAACTTGTACGGAATTTGGAACCGCTGAACCTCGTTGATGATCTTCGTCGTCTTGACATACTTGTCAAAGTTGATCAAGTCAAGGTTACCAGACGGTGACAACCTCGTCGACGGGTTACCCTCGTGAATGAACGTCAAGTCCGTCAAGTAAAGACCCAAGAAGGGCAAACAAGGCGGAACATGCGCCCTCAACCGCGCACGGTAAACGGCGTAATTCCTCGAGTGATCCGTGATGGCCTTGAGTTGATCCAATGTACCCTTCGTCTTCGAGGACACCAACTGCCAGGTATTCTTCAACCTCGCAATGGTAGAAGAGCTGAGCGCACACAAGATCGCCATACAAGTACTGTAGTTGCTCAACCCAACACTACGATCGGCGACCTTGACCCAAGCCTTGATAATAGCAGCACGCTTCTTCGCATCACCCTCCGCCAAGATAGATTCAGCAACCCATCCCGCAAGATCAGTGGACAACGCCGTCGTCTGCTTCACATTCGGACAATGTCCATTCTTCTTGCTAAACTCCTGCCCAACCAACTCCTCTGGCGTAATCGCACAGAATAACTTGGACTCCTTGAGCGTCAATTGCCTCGCGAGCTCCGTAGGGTCGAAATCCAGCACAGAAGGCCCAGACCCATACCCAGACGAGGAAGTCCACGTCCTCAACCTCGCCAACTCACTCTTCGAGATCATGGGTGGAGGAACAGGAGCATCAACCAACGCCAAACCACCAGGCACAGCATTGATCTTACCAACCGTATTCGAGATCCTAGGAGTAGGAGGCGCACCATACTCGGTGCTAACCCGTCTACACAACTCCTCCAACCTCTTTCCAGCCTGAGGCAACTTTGCCGCCAACTCCTCAACAGCAAAAGGCATAATCACATCCAAGGCCTCATAGTCCAGATCCTGGCGCCAGTGTCCTTCCATCCATCCCTTGAAGACGTTGTACACCCTCAAACGAATAGGAACAGCAACACGCTGCTCCCAATCCGCGGTAGCAAGAATTTGCGGCTGAATCCTGAACCTCTGGATCAAAGCCTCGGCAAGAGCCAAAGGCGAAGTCCACAACCTGAACGTGAGGTAGAAGGTAGCAGCGAACAACGCATCAGGCGTCGACTCTGCCATTGTCATCCGCTCGACCAAGGCATGGAGGGTACCCCCAGTGACCTGTCCATCGGCATTGAACGCAATCTGGGCAGGCCTCTTCTCAGCAGCCGGGCTCTCGGGCTCAGGCGTCGTCGCACTCGTAGAGGTGCTCGCCCGGTGACTCGGCAGACTATCCCTAAAGCTAGCAGCCGTATACGCACTGCTATCCGTCGAGAACGTATTCGGCTTCTTGCCTTGTTGCTGCTGCACGGGCTGTTGTTGAGGCTGGGATTGGTTGGCGCTGCTCACGAAGAACGGAGCAGAGATAACAACTGGCCCCTCATCCTCCGCAACCTCCTCCTCCTCCTCCTCCTCCTCCTCCTCAAGCAAATCTTCCTTTTGTCGAATCGAGGCCTCAAACTTGGCCTTCGCCTCTGCATCACGACGACGGATATACTCCAAAGAACTCGCGACATCGCTTCCATACGAAAACGTACTAGACGCAATCGAGCTCTTGCTCTGGTGCTTCCTGACCGTGTTCGACGAAATGCTGGCAAGACGCTGTTCGAACCGTCCGTTCCTCGCCTCCTCGACAGTAGGGATTCCGAGAGCGCGAACAGCACTCCCAACACTCCCCCTCCTAACATCCTGCGCAGGCATGATCGTCGAATCACTCCGATCCCTCGCGATACTCCGGATTGCGGGAGGCGTATTCTCGTCCCTCTCACTCCACTCCTCAATGCTCTCAATCACGAATCGCGCACGCGCAACGACTTCACCCGCACTCCTCACGCAATCCGTCGCAACAATAACCAACTCCTTCCCTTGCTCCTCACTCACCATCCCAGGTCCCTCCTCCTCGTCCTCAGCCTGCGCAGTCACAACTTCTCTCGCGGCACTAACGAGCATCATCGTCTTCTTGAACATCGTGTTTTTCGCATCCTCCAGTTGCGCGTTCGGGGCACGAGCACACACCGCATCAAGTACATGCAACAAATTCCTCGCACTCGCGACACAAGTCTTGGTCGTCGCCAACAACTCAGCCGGAGACCCACTTTGTAAATGCAGACGCCCGATGTATGCGGCGAGATGCGACAACAACGAATCATGCGCGATCGTGAGTTTCTGCAATACAGACTCGGAAGTATCTTCTGACATGATGGTGCTCGTAACACTAACCGACGAATCCGCTCTCTTCCGTCCCGTCATCTTTGAGCCAGAACTACTGGGTCGATTAATGCTATTCGCCGTCATCGGCCTCGAGCTCAAACTCGACGTGGGTCGGCTGAAATTGGAGTGTGCAGTCGCTGGCCTGCTGAGAGGCTGCGTCATGCTATACCTCGCAGGCACCGCCGAAGCAGCCGCAAACTCCGCCTCGTAATCGCCGTTGTCGTCTTCATCCTCTTCTTCCTCGTACTTCCATAACTCAGCCGGGCCAGCAACGACCTCGATGAACTTGGAAGCACGCGAGGAAATGCGTTCCACGCGTTGTTGAATATCCTCTACATACTCGTACAACACCTCTGCGTCCGCAGCGGTAGCGTCACGAGCAGTAGCGATGAGCGTACTCAAATCACTCAGAAGGATCTTGCGTTCACGCCTGACAACATCCGAAGACCTCACAAGCGGGCTTTCGCGCGTCATGCAGTTCGTAGTAATCTAAACCACATTTTCATTAGCATACATCCCGTCAACTCCTACTCATTTCCCGCCACTTACCAGAATACCACGAACAGCACTCACAACACACGCAACCGCACTCCCCCATCCCTCAACCCCATGTCCCTGCCTCAACACCCCCTTCACCAACTCAACCGCACTAACAAGCGGCCTCAAAATCCTCAACCCATACGGCTCGCAATAATTACTCGGAAACCAGCCGCGTTCGCCCGTAGACAACAAACTCCCGTCAGCCCATCCCGAAGGATGTAACGCGTGCACCATGACAATCTGCCCAGCCTCGAGCGGCAAACAGACTGTATCTAGCTGCGCAGCGTCCTGCGGTTGAAACTGGTGCAAAACGCGGAGGTAGGTTGGTGCGGGACCACCATGGCTGTGTAAAGATGAGTCCGACGTCCGGGGACGCGAGAGGGTGTCGTTCTCGGAGTGGCCTTGGGAGGAGGATGTCGAGGGGCGTGTCGCGGCGGTCAAGGTAGCATTTGACTTCTGGATGCGTAGCGGACGGGGTGCTAGTGCTGCCATTGCTGTATACGTATGTGATGATGGGATGTATGCTGATAGAGAAACGCGTTTTCGGTTGTCCTGTCGAACACCACCGTCAGTTCTTCGTCGCCCAAAAATCCACAACACCACGCCCAAACGCACCAGCAACTCCGTACCGATATCACACAAGTCAAAATATCGTATCCTAAAGCTTCCTTCACACAAAAGAAACCCAGAGCCGTCGATGAACGCGTAACAACCAGCTCTTTCCCTTCAATGACGAGCCCTTAAGCTTGACGGGTTGACGGCGGACAGGACCGTTCAAAAGTTAAGTTTGGTGCTAATCCCGTACGCGCGCATGGATAGCGCGAACTTCCGCCAGCCAAAACAATTGCGTGCGGGAAATGAACCCCTTGATGGGAGGCGCGCGTGAAGATCGTCTGAAGATGTCAGTTGTTGCAATTGCCGTCGTTTACGGGAGGGTGTAGGAAGGGCTACGATGGGTTGGCTGGGGGCAGTCTGTAAGCATATTCCCTTCAGCTCATCGCTCCGACTCAAACCGCCCAAAAATGGACTTCGGAAATCATCTTCCGCCTAAGACCTCACGCATAACTCCCACCACGGCAGACAACGGTACTGCAGCGCTTGAGCCTGCGCAACGGCCTCCGCTGCGCAGCTGCAGTGTTCGCCTTCTACGTCTACGCACAGCACGCACCTCCAACCCCGCTTTCGAACCCGGACGTCAGCCAGGCGAGTAATGCCGGGTTAATTTGGGGAGCTCGAGTGAGGTCCGGGTGGCGAATATGTCAAGTTTCCGATGGCGAAGCGTTGACGTTCGTGCGTCGTAATTGCGAAACGCGAAACTCCGACAACGTGAGATGTACACCCATCCGTAGACCGTCCCATAGATTGACTTCGAAACTCAAGACACCCAAGGCCCTAGCACGTCGACATCGAACTCGATATTTACATAATCGCGGACTCGGGACCCGGAACACGGGAGGTCACTTGGGCTCAATCCCAAACTCAACCAAGCTTATTCCCTATGGATGAAACGCGACGGTGTGTGCCGCCTCGTTCCCAGCTGGACGGACGAACAAGAAAAGGGCTCAAGAGCAAATCAACTGCAATTGCGAATTGTGAATAAAGATCGTACTCCGACACGCTCCAACCGGATAAAGGGTATTAAAGATACTGAAGCCCAACCCATCCTCCATCATCTCATGACCAACCATTCCTTCTGGCCTCCAGCTCCTAGGACCTCATTCATGACCATTCACCAACCGCATCAACCTCCCTCCGCCTCAGCCGTAGGTACCGTCTTCCACTGCGGCCTCGTATCAGGCCTTCCCCTCTGCGCATCAGCCCTCGTAACCCGAATCGTCCGCTTCACATACAACCCCAACAATATCGCCATCGTGAATGCACAAATGGGGGCAGTTAGAGTCCTACAACATCGCCGTCATTAGTCCTTGTTCCGCATACTTCCTTGCAACTGGTAGGAAAGACGTACCGGATGTTAATGGTCGTCATGGAGGAACACTCGTACGCGTGAGCATGTGAAAGTCAGGGTTCGTTGTGAGGCGCGCGGTCTGGCAGCGGAGGAGACGTCATGCAGTGATCGGCGCGCGCACTCTGAACCCTTAACCGGTCGTTTCAGCTCGACAATGCAGAAAGTTCCAGGGCTCGACGGGATGACCATCCAGGCTGTCCTCGTGAAGGAGTAGAAGAAGCAGAAAAGATGAAGGTCATTGTTGGCTAAGCTATGGAAAAGGGTATCCTCTAAACTACTGCTATAATAAAATGAGAAAGACGAAACAAAAAGACTCCCGGAACAATAAGAAAGGCTCACCCTCGAGTAGACAGAGGTGGCTCGAAACAAAACCCAATGATGACAAGACAGTCCATAGCTTAGCATTCATCCTTCGCTGCTCCGCGTGCTTCCCTCTCCCTGGACGTATTGCATGCATCCATGACAAATGGTCCATATGCATACACGCACTCGTATCGTACCCCGTAGGTACCCAGGTTTACCTCCTCGCAAACCCGAATCCAAACCCGGCTTGACTCCCAAACCCAGTCCCAATAACACTCGCAGCAGGCGCCGTATACCCACTCCCAAACAATCCGCTCTGCGCCTGTTGTTGTCCACCCTGCTGCTCCTGCTGCTGCTCCACCGCCCTCAACCACCCAACCTCCCCCCTCAGATACTCAACAACACTCCCCAACCGTCCTCCCGCAACCTCATTATGCTGCTCGACCTTCTCAACCCATCCACCCCTCACCAAGCCCACGCCACTGCTCTTGCCGATAGCGTCCCTGAACACGCTTATCCACGCTCCGCACATTTCCTCGTATGCTTGTCGTTTCGAGATGTTGTGGAGTGGATTTGACCAATTTGGGAGACGGTGGATGATGTGGGTCGCTTCGTCGAGGAAGGAGAGGGAGGTGTCGAAGTGAGGTTCGTGGGGTGGGAGGAAGTGGGGTGTGTAATCCATCAATGCCGAGAGTAATTCGTTCAGGCAGGGACGGACGCGGTTGTATGCGTAGTCACCAGCCGGGTCTCCGCCGTATGGGAACGCTTCCCGAACTGCGGCTTCGAGGCGGTGGAGGACTGAGATAGAGGAGGTTATGGTGGGACGTGGGGCAAGAGATTGGACCTCGCCCAGGAGCTGTGGATGGCGTTCTGTTAGGCCGAGAATGATAGATTGAAGCTGAGCGTTGTCAAGAGACGACAGCAGTCGCGGCAAAGGCAAAGGACGGCCTTGAGGAATGTTTCGTTGACGTTTGCTCAGAGGTGTAGGTGAGTCACCCACATCCCTCTCCGACCCTGGTCCAGGTGACAGGGAATCATCATCACGTCCTCTCTTGCGACCTACCACACAGCATTCATTAGCATACATCCCTGTCGAACTTCATAAACATAACTCACTCTTCCTAACCGACGATCCCATTCCACCGCCAGCAGTGGAAGCGGCACCAAATGGCGTAACAGGCCTCAACGGGCTCTGCATCTGATGAAACGAATCAAATGGCGATGACCTCTGGATTGCAGCAAGAGGTGATCTTGAGTCCATGTCGTAAGTATGGTTATTGGTTATGGTTTGTGTATGGATGGATTATTGCGTCTTGCCTGGCCAGAGCATGGAGGCGGGAGACTAGCCGCCACAGGGAGCGAGACAAGGCGCAGTCGGCTCAGGCGATAGGGAGTTGGTCGTGGGAAGGAAATCCTCTCGATTGAGTTTCTGCTCGAAGTGATTTGCTGGCAGCTGGCATATTGGAAAAGTATAAAGAGTGTGTAGTTAAATAAATCATCAAGCATCCTGATCAGGGACACAGACATCGCCAAGGCGTCCCTCAGCGTGCCGAAAGCATCGAAAAAGAAAGAAAGAAAGAGAAAGAAAGAAAGAAGGCTAAAGAACGAACGTGTAGCCCCCAGGGCCAAAGTTAGTCAATCACACAATCACACCACCATCCCCAGTCATCCTCGAACTCTCCGTACTATCAGTACTATCCGTCCCCTCCGTCCCCCTCGTATCACTCCTCCTCATACTCCTTCCCCTGCCCGGTCCCAACAGACTCCTACCTCTCTGCAACGTACTCCGCATCCGTCCCAACACTGGACTATTCTGCGGACTTAGATCCCCCTCATTTGCGTTAACGACCCTCAACTTGCCCATCGGTGCGGTAAAGGAAACGAATTGGGTTACGCGACCGCGCATACCTGCTTCGAGATCGTCGTCGTCGCTGTCGATGCCTGCATCCGCTTCCCTTCCCGCCGCACCCGAAGGAGGACCGCGAACGGGGGAGGTAGGCAGGTTGACATCTTCTTCTTCGTCATCATCACCGAGACGGGAAGGCGCGCTACGTCGACAATCTGTCGTAGAGCGAGGAAGGTTCGCTGCTGTTAGTGTCGCCGTACTCGACATTGCCGCACTACGCGTCGTCATGCCACTCTTGTGACTCTGTCCACTCTGCCTCGTCCCCGCACTGGCATAGAACTGTGCCCACGCCGGCAGAGACAACCCTCCCGCCGCCGTAGTCCCAACGGTTCCAGTCTGCTCCATGATCATGTTCAACGAAGGCGGTTTCGGACTCCACGTATTCGGCAAATGATCCATACTCCCATTTCTCGCCAAGAAATTCCGGAGAATACGAGCCGTACGGGATCTTTTGGGAGGCGCAGGCGGCTGACCAAAGAAGTATGGCTTGTTCTGCGCCAACACACTCTTCCTGTACAACTCCCTCCTCCTCCGTCTCCTAATGACCATAATCACCCCCGCGCCCGCCGCAGCCAAAACCGCCAATACCGAAACCGACGCAGCAGCAGCCTTTGTGGTACTCGACGTTCCTGACGATTTCGTCACCGAGTCGAGAGAGGTGATGGTTTCTTGTTTGAGGCGGGAGGAGGAGGGTTTGTATGTATCGATCCAGGACATGGTTTTCGCGTCGAACATGTAGATTTGGGAGTTGAGGGTGCCGTCGGGGAAGGTGCCGAAGAGGATCAGCATTACGTCGTCGTGGGTGATGATGGCTGAGTGGTACGCCAGACCCTCAGGTGGGGCACTTCCAGCCGCGCTCACGTTCTGGTAAACGAACGTGTCTTGGGTGGTGTTGAGAACAACGAGTTGTGGTGAAGCCGCTGCAGTTTCGTTACCGACCACTCCACCGTAGAAAAACACCGTACCATCCGAAGCCGTAACCGCACTCGCCCCACTCCTGGGATCAGGCTTCGTCCCACTCTCACTCACAACAGTGATAAAACTCCACACCTCACCCTGAAAATCATAAATCGCGACCTGTCCCAAATCAACCCACGAATTCTCATTCGCCGTTTTCCCACCCATGATAATGACTTCCCTGGACGAGATATTGGTGAGTGCGAAATCGATTTCGGCGACGGGTGCGTTCTTGTTGGCGCGTTTGGTCCAGGAGGTATTGGTTGTTGAGAGGGCGGAGAGTGCGTTGTGGTAGAGTGTCGCGCCTTTTGTCGAGCAGCTCTCTCCACCGAATTGGAAGATGGTATCATTCGATGCGAATGCCTTTCCAGCCCTGATCCGACTCGGTGCGCTGACATTCGTGTCATCAACACTCACCACCTCCCACGTCCCAGCTGCCGCATCATAAGCCTGCACCAACCCCGTACTCGACTTCGCCTCCGTCTTCGCCGCACTAATCGAACAATTCCCCGTCGTCCCCGTTCCACCAACGACCCAAATTCTACCATCCCCGCCCAGTGCCGCACTCGCTCCCGTCAACCCCTCATCCATCGCCGATAATTTCGTCCATGAAGCGTTGGAGGAGGTAAATGAGGATGAGAAATCCAGTGACCATAATTCGGAGGAGAGCGTAGTTGAAGATGTGGTACCGCCGAGGATGTAGGCTGTTGTAGAGTTTTGGACGAGGGATTGGGAGTACCGTGCTGAGGGGGAGTCGGCGGTGACGCTTGGCGCGAGGGAGCCGAGGAGGAGGGGGATGAGCGCAAGCGACTTGCGCAGGATCATTGTTGGTTGTGGACTCTGATCTGAGTGCTTCGAGTCGTTGAACCAGGTGTGCGATCAAGAATTGCGACGCGGTCGTCGAAAGAGTGTCGTGGGCCGTGCGATTGTGTGTGTAAAGAAAGGAAGAAAGAAAGGTTGCGTATCGACCAGCGACACTTGATAAATCGTAGTTCGTAAATCGAAGAAAGGAATGGATCCCAGTGATACCAGATCACGTCAAGAATACTCGTTCGTCAAAGCGACAAAGCGGATCAACAGGTTGACGTCCTTCAGCGCACCGAAGCCGCTTTTCCGCTTGGGTTTCCTCTTTAGGGTTGCGACATATCACGGTGTAAACAGTGGGCGCGGGGGCGGCGCATGACTTGGCAACGTACGGCCGGACACGTTGCACGGAAGGGTTGAGCATAGCAGGTAGCACGGCTGAGGAAGTAAATAGAATTCTCGCCGTCTCTCGAAATGTCCTTGATCTCTTCGTGGTTCTGTAGATTTGTCGTGTTTGCTGTAACTCAACTGCACCCGAGCACTGCGCCAACTCTGGAACCCGTCACAGTCAGTCAGTCATCCACCACCAGCGAAATCACAGATCAACCATAAGAGCAGGACTGGTTCCTCCCATTCTACCAACGAGTACGAGTAGAAACTCAAAAACAGCAGCATACAGCCCTACACCATCTCTACTGCATGATCTCCCTGTAACCGAACAACCGAAACCGCATACACACACAATGACATCAAAACCATTACATGCACCGCCAGCACCTCCCTTACTGAGCCGGCATATATCCCTCAACCTCCAAGGCACCGGCACCTCCTTCGCCCATCTTTCAACCTCCTCCTCCTCCTCTTCCCCGTCTCCACCCGATGCCCCGACTCCACCGCCCTCAACACCTTTATCTCCTCTGAGCCCAGAACTGCTGAGTCCAGTGAAGGAAACACATCATATCCTAAAGAACTATGATCCGGTATCAGGGCGGAAAGTGATTAATCGGTACGAGATTATCAAAGAGTTAGGAAGGGGTGTACACGGGAAAGTCAAGCTCGCTCGTGTGCTACCCGAAGACTCAACCTCAGCCACCGGGTATGCCTCACCATCCTCATTATCAACCCCACCCGACGAAAACGACCCAGACACCGAATACGTCGCTATCAAAATCGTCGACCGCGCCCCCAAACGCCGTCAACTGGGTAAATCCCCCTCCCTTGACAACGGTCAATCCCCACGAGAACTCGGTATCCGTCGCGAGATTGCGATTATGAAGAAATGCGTGCACCCGAATGTGGTGAGGCTGAGGGAGGTTATCGATGATTCGATGAGTAAAAAGATTTATTTGGTGTTGGAGTATATGGATGCTGGGGAGATTGTGTGGAGGACGGTGGATGAGGAGCCGGCGTTGACGCAGGAGCAGGCGAGGAGGGTTTTTAGGGATGTTGTACTCGGGTTGGAGTATCGTACGTCTCGCCATCGTTTTTGTATATTGAGAATGGTTGCTAACCTTTGTTGTAGTGCACTACCAAGGCATCGTCCATCGCGACATCAAACCCGCAAACCTCCTCCGCTCAACAGCAAACATCATCAAAATCTCCGATTTCGGCGTCTCCCACCTCTCCCAACAACAAGGCAGCTCCTCTCAAGACGACGCCGAACTCGCCAAAACCGCGGGAACCCCCGCCTTCTTTGCCCCCGAACTCTGTTTCACGGATTTAGGTGATGGAAGGAAACGGCCGCCGGTGACGAAGGCGATCGATATTTGGAGCTTGGGGGTTACGTTGTTTTGTTTGTTGTTTGGGAAGTGTCCGTTTACGGGGGAGAGTGAGTTTGATTTGTTTCGGAACATTGCGGAGGAGGAGCTCGTGATTCCTGAACGCCCGCCCATCGATGACGAGGCGCGGGATCTTCTGGTAAGGTTGTTGGAAAAGGACCCTCAGCAAAGGATTACGTTGGAAGAGGTCAAGAGGCATCCGTGGGTCCTACGCGGAATCCCCGACCCAAACCGCTGGCTCGAAGAAACAGACCCCACCCGCGCCGGTGCCGTCCTCGAAGTCTCACAAGAAGAAGTCGACTCAGCCGTCGGCATCGTCGATAAACTCAAGAAAAAACTATTCAAGCTCGGTACGAGTTTTGGTTGGTTTGGGAGTGGGTTGAGAAGGAGGGCTACGACGGCGGGACCGGGACAGGTGGGGTTGTCGAAGGTTGCGGGGGTTAAGACGACGAGTTTGGGGACGCCGATGGAGGAGAAGAGGAGTTTGAGTCCGCTTGAGCTGGCGCCGGGCAGTACCAGTGCGACGAATTTGATGGCTACGGCTGGGAGTATGGGATCGAGACGCTCCAGTAACCCACCCACCGCATCAGCGCGTCCACCGCCCATCCTGGCACGCCATCATTCTGCAATGACGAGTACGGAGACGATTCACCGTATTGTTCCGAAAAGTGCGGAAGAGAAACCTACGGATCATTTCCCGCGTTCGCCGATAAGGCAGAGGAGTTCGACGGTTAGTCATGGAACTGTTACGCCCAAGCATACATCTAGAACACCGAGTCCGTTGGCGAGTCCTTTGGGGGATGAGTTTGCGGGAATGAACATCCCGAGGAGTCAGCCGGTTGTGGAGGGTGGTGATGGGACTGGTGAGGCTTCGAGCGAGTCCTTTGCCCGGGCGTTGTTGAATGTGCATGGTGGTGCTCCTGGTAATAGGCGTGACTCTCGCGGCTCTGGCATTCCGAGGAGTCGTGCACTGAGTAATCTCAGCACTGACCCCCCACCTGACCTCTGGACTCTAAACTCAGACCAATACTCCAACTACGAGTACTCCGATTTCTCACCCCAGATCACGGACGACGACTACGAAGGTCCCGGCGCTGATCAAATCGAGGAAGACGAGGGTATGTTCCTGGACTTTACGAGGGGGAGAAGGAGTCGTGTGGGTAGTATGTCGAGTAACGTTGGTGGAGCGACGGGACCGAGGAGTAGAGTTTCTAGTGCTGTGAGGGGTGGGGGACATGGACATCATGGACATGCGAGTGGTAGTGGGTTTGGGACTGGGACTGGGAGTGGGAGTGGGAGTGGACGTGGGCAGAGTCCGGCGCATCCTAAGAACCCGAGTAAGTTGCATGAGGTTAGGGATTTAGAGGAGAAGCTCGCGGAGGCGATCGGGGCTTGATGGTCATGGCCATGGTTGCCTATCTGTGTACCGGTTGTTGGTGGTCCGTATTCTTTACTGCGGCGTGGCTGTGGATCCGGAGGTGGAGCGTGGATGGTGGGCGATCGACGTATTCATTTTCCTTGAGGTATATTGCTTGGGGTGTCCGGTGTTGCCTTCCTTTTTTTTGTTATCATCTTACTCCCCTTTTTCGGATACTTCGCTGGACGGGTTTCTTTGTGGCCAGATGACTCTTTTGTTCTTGCATTGTTAGAGGGTCGATGGTTGGCCTATAAGCTTATGGCTTTGGCAAGTTGCAAATGGCTACGAATGAAAAGTATCACTATGGACAAGGATTGAGGACGCACTACCGTAGGTAGAGTGGAACTCTTTACTTCAATACTATGCTGCGTTTTCTTGGGTCACTGGAATGTTCATAATCAGGTATCCATATTTCAATAAGCCAAATTATTGTGAAGCTGTTTGTAACGCCTACTGTATACCGCCGCACCCCAGGAAGTTTGTAACACCAAGAAGAAAACCAAAAAACTGACTGTACCCGGCTTCACATCCACAACGACTCACTTTCATCCAAGCTCACAAAGGAAAGCATCCAACAAGCGATCTCGACCACCCAATCATTTCCATCACCTTTCTTCTCCTTCAGCTCCCCTTCCCTATCGTCCAAAGCAGCGGGTGCGCTCTTCACTTTCAATAGCTGAGGCTGCGGTTGTGCCGTGGAATTCCCACTATATCCCGTCAACCTATCAACCCAACTCGTCCCCGTCCACGTAGGCTTCACAACATGAACGTCATGAACCCCAGTGCTGTTCTGCGCTGATACATACTCGTTAACCCACCCACTCCCCTCCTCATCCTCATCATCAACCTTCGTCTCCTCCGTCTCATGCGGCGATAACTCGGCCGCGGCAGCCTGTTCCCCCATCTCCACAAGATTATGCGAAGACGCACGGGTAACGAGCCAAGACTCTCCGCGATCTTCCATATTCGTACTCGTTACTTTCGCGCCAGCCTGATATATCCACGCTTCCTCGCCCTCTAGATCTCGTAGATCGTCGTCGGGGGTGAAATACCCCGAGGCTGTAGAGTCGAGGTATGACATGGGTGTATGCGGCGCGGAGAAGAATTCATCGTAGGTTGCGGTTGTACGGCGTGAGTTTGCTGTACCCCTTCTTTGGTGCTTACGTGAAGTATCAGGCGAGTGCGGAGGAGCGTCTTTCGTTAGAGGTGTAAAGCTGAGCTTCGCGAGGGATGGAGAAGAGCGGACACGGCGGCGGCTCGACTGTAGGGAGGCAGTGAGTCTCTGATGGAAAGAACCACTTTGAGAAGTCTTCGTACCTCGCTCATCTGCGAATGCCGGTACAACTTGTGTGTACGAGAGATCTCGAGATCACTTCGTCGCTGGGGTCCGTCCGATTGGCCTCAGTGCGGGGTGCAGGAGCGGCCCCTGCCAAAACGATAAGAACACCTGCCCGTCATTCCCCAAACACTTTCGTAAACCTGGATGTATGCTCGTCTACCATATCCTACGATTCACATCTCTTTATAGATTACTTGCTGTCCCTCCATCTTCCTCTATATGTTCTGGTTGGGATCATGCGAAAGCGAGTGTGAGCAGCCTGAGAAAATCACGTCAGCTCATCCCCACGACCCTCCTCAATACATCAGAGACTTACGAAAACAACATGTTCTGCAACACATGCACCGCAACCGCCTGCAAACTCGGCACCAAATCCGGGTGTTCCTTAAAATCCTATGCAGAATCAGTGAGCCATCTCATTTTAAAAGCTTCATGGATTCAGCATACCTTTACGGCCTCCTTCGTGATGGAGAAGCCGAATTGTCTGTGGATAATTCTTCGAGCGATATATGCTGACACGATCTCGCTAATCCACACAACCGAAGACGCGATGGTGGTGAGTCGGTACGTATACGGATCCGACTTATCCTCGAAACCAAAATACGGATACGCATCTATCCAAAGTCAGCGCGCGCTCTCCAATCCACACACATACTGTACTGTGCATGGATGACATACCTCGATTCGGACCAAAATGCAGCACAGCAACCCACCCCAAAAACGCCATCATCGTAACATCCTTCGCAAGCGTCTGAATATAAACCCCCCGCCCAACCTTCTTCTTCCATTCCTCATACCCCTCCCGCTCCCCACCCCCAACGAGCCCACTCATCCACCCTACGACCCTCCACGCATACGTCGTCATCGTCAACGGCGCCACCACGATAATACTCGTACTCGACGCGGCCTGGAGAAGTGCGAATTGCTGTGGTGAGCGGAGTCGTGCGTAGAGGTTTCGGAGGTATGTGTTGAGAGTCATGGCATAGTAGAACTTGAAGGCGGTTGTGAGGGAGTAGGAGTTTACTCTGCCTTCGCCGAGAATCCAGCAGGTTGTTAGGTCGAGGAGGTGGACGGTTGCGACCCAGCTGTACGAATGTTAGCCCAGGCCTTGTGAGTCTAAGCATCAACGTACGTATAGACATAAACCAAGGCATCCGCGGCCGAGTGGGGCAGCGTACTCATATAGATATACGTATACGCCTCACCCGCAACGAGCGCAACCAACCCCAACCCCAGCGCCCCCGAAAACCACAAAAACCGTCTCCAACTCTCCGGAACATACCTCACTCGCTCAAAGAAAACATTCGACGCATTATCCAATGACGACCGCCACGAATGCCATGAATGCCGTCGATTGGAGCGGAGGATGGAGAAGGAGAAGATCATAGGTGTTGACATCGTGGCGAAGGTTAGGAGGATCCAGGTTAGGAGGAATCGCTCGAGGCCGGAGAGGAGGTAGATTACGGCGCCTGTCTGAAGTGTTAGCACTCTGACTCTGACGAGGCGCCTACTTGCTTGCGGACCTCCTGCAATTGAGATACACCAAAGAAGGGTATAGGATGTCGCACCACCAAGTCTGGATGGCCACCTGTACGAAGTTGTTAACATAAACAAACAGGATTATCTCTTGAGGGAGAACTTCGTACCAGTTTAAAGCATAAAGGTGATAGAGTTTGGTGACCCATAGCAGACCTATGGCATTGTAGAAGCCGTAATACACAAAGAGGAAGAACCAGAAGTTTATCAGTACCTTCGGCTCTCCTTCTTTCGGTATCAGTAAGAAATTTGACTCGCTGCTTCCTGTCCGGTTCGTGATAGGGTCAGGGATGTCTGGGTCCAGTGCTGGGTTCGGGTACGTCGGTAGTGGGATGGCACACCACGCAATGACCTGTTGGACCTTTGTTAACATGGATACATCCAGGATTTTTCAAAGAGGAACAACAATTGCAACAGGGACGATTTTCAACATCGCCATCCGCCTCCAATACCCCCCAATAACCTTCTCCACAGTTCCCCTTCTCGGCTGCAACACCATCCCCTCCAACAACCATCCACCTTCATCTTCACCATCATCGCTCGTATCATCATCGACCCCGAATGCAACACTCAGCTGCCGATTAACCGTATTCCAGAATATCTGACTCTTCCGCTTTGCGAGATGCAAGGAGCCAAACGCATTCGTTGCAGCTTCGGCTGTTGCAAGGGATTCGTGTCCTTCATCGAAGGTGTGGTAAGTGCTTCCTATTGTCATCGAAGCATCTGTTCGTCGTTGGATGGGGGTGTATGCATTGTTTTGGTGGTGAGGATTGACAGGTGAGTGTAATCTAATCGGCGTGCACGGGGAGCCGCGCTTCTGCACGGTTGTTTGGGAATGTGCATCACGGAGAGGGCGACGAAAAGGCGGCAGTCGTCGTAAAGTCAACGTGTTCACTTCGGGGACAATTCGGGCCTTACAATCGATATTCGTACACTCTCCCAAAACTCCAAATGCAAAAGAGCTAACTCATGTCTTCAAGATCAACGCCGCACTCGGAACGAGCCCTGTAAGAAACGGTTAGCGATCCCATATATGAACTCGATTAAGCAAATTCGTACCAAGCTCCTTCAACGTAGCCCCCAAATCAGCCCCAGTATAGGTCTTCCTGGGAAACGTAGTCATGAACACCGCAGAATTTGGCTCCACCCCCGTCTTCTCCTGGATCTTGGACGCCACTTCGAAGAGTGTAGTGTCCGCCGGGAAGGTATCGGTAATGGGTGGGATCTTGCGAGAGCCTTCGGTACGGATTTGGAGACGGGCGGAGTTGGCTGTTGAGGCTTTTGGTGCGGCCGGAGCCGCTGCCGGTGCAGGAGAGGCAGATGGTGGGGTAGTCCCTTCGCGAAGCGCTTTGGCTGCTGCTGCCTGTACGTCTGTGATTAGATACTGTACCGCGAATCAACCATGGCAACGTACCCTGTCGGCTCTCGCCTTCCTATCCGCTTCAATTTCCGCCTTGACCCGCGCCTTCGCCGCCGCGTCCGCGGCTTTCTCCTGTTTCTTCTTCTCTATATCCTTTAACTGCTCCTTCCTCTGTAAATCTTCAATCAATGATGCAGAGTCTTGGTCTTTCTTCCGACGGATGGCCTCGTTCTTTTTGAACTCTTCCTTGTCCTTCTCGGCTTCGAGTGCACGTTTCTGGGCGAGCTTAGCGCGAAGTTCGTCGAGTTTGGCAGCCTTTTCTCCTTCGGTTAAGGGTGCGATTGTCTCGGTTGACTCGGAAAAGTCATCGTGGCCGGTCTTCTCGGCTGTAAGCGTGTCAATTGATGCTTGTAGTGTGCGATATACGGACAAAGCTTACCGTGGAACTGTGCTTGCGGCATTCCCCTGAAGGTCTTTCCACAATCATTGCATTTCAAGCTATTCGCGGTTTGGCCTTCGCCATTGTCGTCGTTATCTCCAGTCAGCGAATCCAACGATTGACCCTCAGCCTCTTCCCCGAGTACTTCATTCTCGTTATCAGGGTTCGTCAACCACTCCAGCGCAGGCTGCAACCCAGAGTGCTTCGTCCTGATGAGAGCAAGCTTAACCCTATCCTCGGGAAAGCCCATTTCTATCAAAGACTCCCTATCCGATTGCCCCATTGTTACTTCGTTATGGTGTACTTGGGCTGGGCCTTCTTGCTGCTTGTTCGGGTGACGTCTACGCGCGTTCTGGAGTTTCCGAATTTACGGATCCTCACCAAAGCCCCGGACCACCACACTCCACGCAGACCAAACACTTACTCACAATAATCCAGCATACATCCCCAAAATACCAATCATGTCTGTCGAATTGGAACCCTCGAACGGCATTCTTGCTTTCCGCAGTACGTATCCTTGCTCAGTAGCATTCGGGAGTGGGCCGTGAGCTGACAATGACGTGGTTTAGGACCCTTTACCCAGATGGTGAAGGAGGCTCTTGTGGTTCGCAATCCTAACAATCAACCTGTTGCGTTCAAAGTTAAGACAACTGCGCCTAAACAATACTGTGTACGTATATGTGATCTGTACGGGTTCGGTCACGACTGACGTTGACCGTTTAGGTACGACCCAACTCTGGCAGGATTGAAGCTGGTGGTGTCGTCGAAGTTCAAGGTGGGTCAGCTGAGGCAGGTGGCATTCTCAGTTGCTAACCGATGGCCTACAGTCCTCCTCCAAGCAATGAAAGAAGACCCCCCTCTCGACCACAAATCTAAGGACAAGTTCCTTATCCAATCCACCCCCATCACCGCCGACCTCGAAACCACCTCCCTCCCCGACCTCTGGGCACATATCGAAACCCATGCGCGCGCCTCTATTGAAGAAAAGAAGATCCGCGTCCAATACCTCCCTGCCGCCGGTGTGGACGGCGGCCACCACGTCGAGCCCTCCGAAAGCGCGACAATCGCTCACGACCGTTTCGCGAGCAGCGTCTCACAGCCCGAGAGTCCTATCTCTCCCATCGGAGATTTGAATAAGTACGCCAATGCGTCGAACGCATCCTCCGCTCCTCGCTCTATCCCCGGCACCGCCGCTCCCGCAAGCTATAACCTTGGCGAACCCATCACTGTGGGCGCCACCAGCGCTACTACCACTACTGGCTACAGCGCCTCTGCCCGTAGCGGTAACTCGGAGTTGGAGGAGGCTCGTGACAAGATTTCGAGGTTGGAGAGAGAGTTGCAGGAGCAGCAGACACTCCGTCAGCGGAATGTCGCGGGTACGGAGAAGAGCTCTAAGGTGGCTGGTGCTGTTCAGAGTGCGGTTGTGCAGGGTGCGCAGGGCGTCCCTGTCCAGTATGTGGTTGCGTTGTGTTTGGCCGCTTTCTTCCTTGGTATGTCAATATTTCTTCATGTACATGTGGAGGTATATGTTAACTCTGGTACGCAGCTTATTTTGCTTTCTGATCGAGGGAAGAGAGATGATGAAGGGAGGGAGAGTCGCTAAAAAGCGTGGGGTTATGGTTTGTATGTTATCTTCTTTGCGTGCTGATACTTTAATGGTTTAAGGAGCACTTTGTGGGCACTCTATAGCTATATGGATGATTTTCTTATCACTGCGCAGCATCTTTCTTCGCACTCCAAATGATGCCCAGACTTTGGTACGCTCGAATATTTGACCAATGTGAAGACTTCTGTATTGTGATGTTGTATACTAACGTGACAATTGCTAACGTACACCTAAGCACGCACACGAACCTGCGTGTGCGAATGTTTATGATCATGCTTGTGACCCTGGTGGATACTCTTACTTCTCGGCCTCTTTCCGAGGTTCTTCTCCAAAGTGGATACGGTCTCCGGAGGCGTAGCAGGCTCAGCAGGACTGTCCTCATCAGACATATTCTCATCGACCCACTCTTCATCATCCTTCTCCTCATCTTCTGCGGCCTCAGCACCGATAGCGGGCCACTCCTCCCAGCCATCCTCGAAAAGGGCGTCCATTTGAACCGCCTTCTCCTCGATGGAATCCTCAGAGGTCATAATAGCAGCCCACTGGTTCCACTCCTCATCATCAAGCAAACAAGCATCAAGCTCCCTCTTAATCAAATCTTCGTTCATCTCCTCCGTCCCAATCATAACCAACTCCTGCCTACGATCACCCCAGGTACCCTCGAAATCCTTCTCGATAGACTTGATGACATCTCTGTCTTCCGGCCATTCTTCGCGAGGGAGTTCGCAGAACCAGGGGCCGCCGCCGGAGATGGTGAGCATGCCGCCGGCGTGGGACCATTCGCCGTGTTGGATTGGGCGGGTAGCGAGCCAGATGAAGCCCTTTGAGCGGATGAGGGGGGCGAAAGCTGGGGAGGCACGCTTGTTGTCGAGGCGGGATTGAGGGTCTAACATGAGCTTCTCCTCATCCTCGTCCATGTCAACCTCATCCTCTTCTTCCTCTTCTTCCGCGTCTTCCATGTCTTCATTCTCGTCATCGGTAGCTTCCTCGTCGCCGTCTTCGGCGACACCCTCCATGAGGACGAAGTACTCGCTGGCAATATCATACAAACGCATAGGGTGGAAGGGCCTCCTGGCACGGTAAATAAAAGACTTGACACCATACTCGTCAATCTCACTCTTTAGATTCGATCCCTCGTTCAAGGACCTCAACCACCCCGCGCTCGTCGCAGCCTTCTCAAAAGAGAACATACCCGTTCCCACAATCTCATTAACATCAACACGACTGTACTCCGTCGTGATGACCTTAGCAGCAGGGTTCAGCGCCGCAACGAGGGCTCTGGCTTTCTTGACGATAGCGGGCGCAACGACATCGCATTTGTTAAGTAGAATGACGTCTGCGAACTCAATTTGGTCGACGAGGAGGTCGGAGATGCAACGTTCGTCGGAGGATTCTACGTTTTTGTAGCGGTCAGAGAGGAAGTCTGCGGTGTCGAAGTTGTTGAAGATGTTGAAGACGTCGATGACGGTGACACAAGTGTCGAGGCGAGCGAGCTTGGAGAGACCACCCTGCTCGAGGAGTTTGACGAGGTAGTCATCTTTCTCGTCCTTCTCCTTCTTGGTCTTCTCTTCTTCCTCGTCAACGATCGTATTGCCCTCCTCATCCTCAAGCTGCACAGCGAGCTCGTTGAACTCGAAAGTGAAGGTCTCCGCAACCTGCTGCGGCTCGCTAACTCCCGTACTCTCAATGATCAAATAATCAAACTCCCCGCCCTCGGCCAACCTCGCAACCTCCTCCAACAAATCGCCACGGAGCGTACAGCAGATACACCCGTTTTGCATCCGCACGATCTTCTCCTCGCGCTGAACGACGTTCTTGCCGTATTTGTTAACGATGTCGGCGTCAATGTTGAGGGCGCCCATGTCGTTGACGATGACTGCGCAGCGGAGGTGGTGGGATTTGGAGCGGAGGATGTGTTGGAGGAGGGTGGTTTTGCCGGAGCCGAGGAAACCAGAGAGAAGGGTTACTGGGAGACGGGTGTCTTTCTCTGTTGATGGGATGGGGCAGGCTGGAGCAGACATTGTGATGGTATGTGGTCGCTTCGGCGATGTAGAGCTGCGAAGGGGGACAATTGAAATTGGTCGTGCTGGGCAGTTCCATCTTATATAGGGGAACCTTGCTGACCCGGCTGAAAGTAGAAGTCCATGCCGTATCACTTTTCCGCAGAATTATCTCCTCGAAGCCATGAAGGGGTCTCCCAGGCTTCTTTTTCGAGGTTCTGATTGGCCTGTACCCGTGGTAATCTCCGGCTTTTCGTCGCCAGTCGATACCTTGCTGGTCCGCGGCCGGCGTATGCTTACATGTCTGCCGCGTCTCCAGCATAAAACATCCACGTATGGCCAAGATCAGCAGGTTCTATCTGAATCCCTGTGGTATCCTGCTCTCCATGGCTTGAGCTTTGTCCAATTGAGGCCCTCAGAGATGGTATGACCCCAAGGGTATCGGCAGCGTGCAGGTTAACCACAAGGGTCCCCGGCTGTGTGGGGCCATGCTCGCGGCGGGGTTAGGAGGACCTGTGCCTGCCATTCACGGCCGTGGTACATTCGCCCTTCAGTGGAGAATCGGTAGCATCACTTTTTGCATTAACGAGGATCATCTAGCTATAGCTTGGGCATCTTGTGTTTTCTTTCTTGTAGTTGGTTTTAGTCCCCTCCTAGCGTCGATGCAAGGTTAAACCCGTGGGAAGCACAAAAGCATGGACATCCATGAATAGACAGACTTCTATAACTTCCCTTGGGGATGTGGCAATAATGTAAACCGAAGATTGCCCGAGGCACTCCAGTACGGCAAGTAAGAGTATGAATGACGCCTATGCACGTGCACCAAAAACACTGGGTAAATAAAACGAGGGTAACTAACTCTATCTTGTAGTCACGGGTTTGCTCATCGGCAGAAGTGAACCGGAAAACAAGGTTGCCCTCCCCGCATTTCGGCTGATGAGTGCGGGCGCGCCGGTGTCTAGGAACCGACCCCCACACTTCCCTGACCTCGACGTCAATGCTTTAAAGCCTGTACACGGCTGCTCCTATGTAGAACTGTGGAAAGTAGTAATCATGTCGAACAAAGCAGATATAGAGCTGCGCGAATTCGCCTCACCCGAGCCCGAAATCCTGAAAGCCGGCCCCAACATCGACCTCGAAGAAAAGGGCGAGGCCGGCGAAGGCTACCTTCTCCAAATCGACACCAGCACCGGCTACGGCAACCTCAAACTCGCTTCAGACGGTCACACGGTTCTCATCCCACAACCCAGCGACGATCCTAACGATCCGCTCAACTGGTCATGGACTAAAAAGCATTTGATTTTGATGGTCATCTCAGCCGCCGCGATCCTCCCCGACTTCGGCTCGGCAACAGGTGCGCCCCTCCTCACCGTCCAAGGCGAGTACTGGGGTATGTCCCCTGACACCGTCAACCACTCTCAAGACGGAAACGTCATGATGCTCGGCGTGGGCGGACTCTTCGCCGTTGCGTTCTCCGCCTATTTCGGGAGGCTGCCGGTGTTGTTTTATTTTATCTTGTTGGCGACTGCAACGGCGTATTGGTGTGCCGGGGCTGTGACCTTTGACAGTTTTATGGCTGCGAGGATTTTGAATGGGTTTTTCTCGACGGTTGCGCAAGCGGGTGGTTTGATGTTTATCAAGGATATCTTTTTCTTTCATGAGCATGCGAGGAAGATTGGGGTCTGGGCCGCGTCGGTCATCTTGTCGCCCTACCTCGGTCCATTCTTCGCCAGTTTCATCATTACAACTCAGACATGGAGAGTTCCGTTCTACGTGTACTCGGGAATGGTCAGTGGACAGCTTTGCGATAGTTGACTAACCGTGAAAAACGCTGACGTTCGATTGACAGACAACCCTCGTGCTCATCCTCATATGTCTTTTCGCAGACGAGACGTTCTACAACCGTCATATCTCCGCCTCAGAACAACCTCCTCGTGGCAACCGCACTGCGCGTCTCCTCGGCATCGCTCAATGGCGCTCCCGCTCCCACCGTGTGAGTTTTCTTGGGGCAATGATGCGTCCAGTCCGAGTGATTATCAAAGTAACACATCCATTCCTTCTTCCTCATATTTCCCCCGCTGACCAGTATGATGGCAGCCTGTCGTCCTCATATCCTTCATCTACTACCTTCTCACCTTCGCCTGGGTCGTCGGTATCAACACTACCCTCGCCGTCTTCCTTACCCCGCCCAAACCTGCCGGCTACGGTTTCGGCCCTGTACAGATCGGGTTGTTCTATATCACTCCCCTGATTGCTGCTTCCATTGGTGAGATTTTTGGGCATAACTTCAATGATTGGGTTGCGAATCGATAGTGAGTCCTCTATTAATCTGAGGCCCTAGAGGATAAGAGGCTGACAAAGAGTAAAGCATCAAGCGCAACAAAGGCATCTTCGAGCCCGAAGCACGTCTTGTGACGAACTGGGTAGCGACCCCATTCATGGTGGTTGGCCTGGTTCTCCTCGGGTTCGGGTTGGAGAAACAGTGGCATTGGGTTGGGTTGGCGTTTGGGTGGGGGTTGTACGTGTTTGGCATTATGTTGGCTACGGTATGTACCATGTTTGCAAGTCTCAGAGGCACAAAGAGCTGACTGAGAGTGTTGTAGGTTGCGATTACGGCGTATGTGCTTGATTGCTACCCAGATGGGTCTGGGGAGGTTGCAGCTTGGGTCAATGTATGTCAAGCCATCTCCTGCCCTTGAAGATTAATTAACAGGAAGTATAGATGGGACGCACGACGGGTGGCTTCGTCATCTCGTACTTTCAAATCAAGTGGGCTGCTGAACAAGGTTTGACTCCTCCCCTGCACCTGTCGAAGATGTAAAGCTAAACGCGTGCACACAGGTACTGACCGTTCCTTCGGTACGCAGGCAGGCATTCTCTTTGCGGCCTTCTTGCTGATTCCCTTGTTGCAGTGGAAGGGAAAATATTTGCGGATCAAAGGGGGGCTGCTGCATTTCCCACAGTGAGCGTCATTTGTAGGGAGTATGTGCGCATACCAGGCTGGCAGAGTGCGTTTCGTAGCTGCTGCAAGATCATCAAATATACATGTTATACGTAGCCAAGAAATCATTCCATGACACGGATCGTTACGAACCGGTTCGTCATGGCAGAGACATGTGCAGAGCACAAAAAAGCGTAAGCGTGGAGAAGCTGGGAGTCGAACCCAGTACCTCTCGCATGCTAAGCGAGCGCTCTACCAGATGAGCTACATCCCCGAATGAATGTGTTTCCAATTTTATCTACTAACCTCATCGCTATTGTGATCACCGTGAGAACCGGTTTCGTCATGTGTTCGAGTACGTTTTGCGAGCCTGCTTATCGCTTTAGTTTCCTACGCACAAGACAAAACAGTAGAATTATAGATTTTCCCATAACGAACCCGTCTCTGGTGCTATAGCAAGGTGAGTGAGAAGCGGCAATCGATTCGGTAGGTAGGATCGCTGTTGCACCAATTACTTTCACGATCGCGTATCCATGACCAGTTTTCAATCTGTCCGTCCAAACCCAAGAATACCTAACACAGTTGTGCGCGCTAGGTTCTGAAATTGAAAGCATACCATATCACTTCCAGAATGCCATAATACCGTTCGAGTACATCACTCCACAACCGTACTCACGTCAAGCCCGCGATGAATCCCACGATACCAACTTCGTGAATATGCTTCCGTAGGAAGTGTCACGAGACTTTGTGTAAGTCCGTAAAACGATAAGTTAAAAAGGCCACATCCAGTAATTTCCGAAGTCAGCGTGACTTTCCTGGACCCTTCGAAGCTCCTTTACAAGGAGAATTGATTGGGCACATTCCCGACGATTTTGATAGTCACTCGAGGACGATCGTGCCACGTGCCGTCGGATCACAAGCCTTCCGGAAAGGATGGCACTTCGTGGAAAGGCGTAGATAGTGACGAAGAATAGGATCTGAGCAAAGTCCTCTGGTTTTAAAGCAGCCTTTTCACCTACGGAATCAAACGATCCCACGGTGCCAAAAATGCGACATGGACCGGAAACGACTAAAAGTTTGTTTGGGGACACCTCATAGCTCTGCAATGATGGGAAGGAACTTTGATATTTGCTGGATGCTTGTACGTTTGTTTACGGTTACCGCCGAGCTGGGACCGGTACGCGCGGCCAGCTGCACGGAGCTGCAAATCCATGCACGACGATGCTCCCCAGGGTTCCAGCTGCCGTACGAACATTCCAAGGCATCGAGCAGTCCAACAGCAACAGCAACAGCAACGGCAACGTCGACTCGCCACTGGCATCTGTTCAACTGCTTGTCATAACTAGGAGAAAAGCGATTGAGACATAGCCCTTACATCGATACCATGTCCGCTCTCCAGCGTCGTACCCAACCCGCCCTCCTCTCCAGCAGCCGCCGTGCCGTCCCCTTCTACCTACCGGCGGTAAGGGCCTCCAACACCCTCCTCGCCTATCGTCACATCTCCACCGCTACCACATATTTTGAAGAACGTCCCCTTCCAGCAAACACCATCATCAAATTCGTTCCACAGCAAGAATCATGGATTGTCGAGCGCATGGGGAAGTTCCACCGTATTCTGGACCCAGGATTGGCGATTCTGATTCCGGTGTTGGATTCGATCAAGTATGTCCAGAATCTCCGTGAACGTGCGATGGAGATTCCGAGTCAGACGGCGATCACGGCGGACAATGTCAGTTTAAACATCGATGGAGTGCTCTATGTCAAAGTCTTCGACGCATACAAAGCAAGCTACGGAGTCGAAGACGCAGATTACGCAATCGCCCAACTCGCACAAACAACCATGCGTTCCGAAATCGGACAATTATCACTCGACCACGTCCTCCGCGAACGTCAAGCCCTGAACGCAAACATCACCGAATCGATCAACGAAGCCGCAAAGGACTGGGGTGTTAAATGCCTCCGGTACGAGATTAGAGATATTCACCCACCGAAGAATGTCTTGACCGAGATGCACCGCCAAGTCGCCGCCGAACGCTCGAAACGCGCGGAAATCCTCGAGTCAGAGGGTGCCAAGACCTCCGCAATCAACCGTGCCTCTGGAGAAGCCGAGGCCATCCTCCTCCGTGCACAAGCTACCGCTGATGCACTTCGTTCTATTTCCCAGGCTATCGGGGAGAGCGACAAGGGCATGGATGCCGTCGGGTTGAGAATCGCGGAGAAGTATGTTGAGGCGTGGAAGGAGTTGGCGAAGGAGGGGACTGCTGTGGTGGTGCCAGGGAATATGGCGGATATGGCTGGGATGGTCACCAGTGCTATGGGTATTTTCAAGAATGTGAAGGAGGGGATGCAGAAAAGTGAGGTGAAGGGGGGAGAGGGGAAGCAGATTGAGGATGTTACAAAGGATTTGTTGGGAAAGAATTAGGAGGCATTGATGCGGTGAATTGTATGTCTGGCGATGGAACTGTAGCAGTTTACGAATCCCTCTCCTCAATACATCCCATATTTGTCTCCTGTCAGCTTTTGAGTCAGGTTCATGTCACAGAATTGCCAAAAGCAGAGCATCGACAGGCGGCACAAGCGACAATAACAGCTCTAAATATACAGAAAAGAATCCCTATATCTTCCGTACACCCTGTGTATCCAACAAGCAGCCCCTGATGGTCGAGGCCGGTTGATGTGGGGTTCTGCACGTGCCTCTCAGAAATCTCGAATCGGAGTTGTACGAACCGCAAAACAGGAAGGGCAGTAAAGAAACAATGGCCGCAAGACTACAGTGCAGAAACCTGTTACGGCAATGTAGGCATCTCCATTCTTGTGTCCCGAGGGCCGTACTGATCACTCTGCAACAGTCGCCCGTTCAGCCTTCGTGCAACCATCAAGAACATATGCCACCATTCCAGCACCACCACCAGCAGGCCTGCACAACCCCTCCATCAAAATCGACACCCCCGCACACACAAATACCACGGGCCTCGTCCCTCTGAAGGGCTGGGAGAGTCGCAAGACCTACCTTCTCCACAACTACGCCAAGCTCCTCCTCGAGCAACCACTAATCCTCATCGCCCAGCACAACGCCGTTAACGCCGAGGAATGGGGTGCCTTCAGAAATCAGGTCGCAAAGGTCGGTGGTAAGTTGCAGGTTATCCGGACACATATCTTTAAGGCGGGGTTGAGGAACGTGAACTACATGAAGAAGGAATTGCCGCAGGAGCAATGGGCTACGACCGATGCGACGGCTCAGTGGCTTTCTGAGGCTGCGAAGGATGTCGATGATCCGTTGATGGAGCTTTTCGTTGGTCCTCTTGCTACGATCACCCTCGCCGAACCCGCCCAGGGGTTCCAGCCCGAGGTCTTGAAGAAGGTCATGGACATCTGCAACAAATCGCAGAACAAGCTCGTCCTTCTTGGTGGACGTATGGAGAGCAGCCCCATGGATCTCACAGACTTGGAGCGCGCCAAAGCGCTACCAAACTTGGAGGGTATGCGCGCGCAGTTGTTGGGATTGTTGAGCAGCCCTGCCAGTGGGTTGGGTCGTGTTTTGTCGGCGTCTGGATCGAGGATTTACTTTACACTTGAAAGCAGGAGGATTGGTATGGAGAAGGAGGCGAACCCTGAGGGTGCTACTGCTGAGGAGAAGGCCTAGAGAGGGAAAAAGGGTATGTATAGGAAGGACAAGACAAGGCATAATACAAAACTTTGACCTCATACGTATCGTGCATTCTCAAACTGCTTGTATCGTACACTCTTCTTTCGAGGTATGATCTACGCACCAGGCGTACCGAACCTCCCATTTCGCTTCTTCTCGCCGTCGTCAGGCCTGTCTTGTAGGTTGTAGGTGTTTTCCTCCATTTGCTTCTCCACTCGCGCACGCACTTCATCTAACATGTCTCGGTCGATCATGACGTGGTCGTCATCGAGGTCATGAACGATGAGTTTGTTGCCTCTTTCCTCGTCCATTTGTAGAATGATGGTTTTGACGGTGGGATCACTGGAAGCAAGACGTCAGCTCGACTCACACAAATATACAGAGACATCATACCATGATATTAACAGTCCCTTGGTGGCCCTGACCATCTCGAAGCTTCTGTATGTAACGTTGACTCCATTCCCGCCCATATCCGGCGGCCCCCGGCCTGTGGCGGAGCGCACCGCCACTACGGTCAGCCGAACAAAAGTCCCGGAGGCGCCGCAACTGATCAGAACATACGGCAAACCCAGCTGGTTAAAAAACCCAGATCGCACCGGTATCCACCCGTCGCCGATACACAATGAGACGAGCAGTTTCCTCCCTGCCTCTGCGGCGACAAATCATCGCCTCCCGAACCTTCCATGCCTCGTCAACGTTGAGAGAAGGAAACCCTAGATCTCCCTTGAAGGTCTTCATGGAGACGTTCAAGAGCGAGCTGCAGAAGTCGAATGAGTTGCAGGAGAAAGTGAAGGCTTTGTCAGATGAGACTGGGAAGGTTGCTGATAGTGAGTCGTTCTCGCGGGCGAAGGATGCGTTCACCAAAGCGAAGGAGAGGGCGGATGCCGTTTCTGCATTCGGTGGAAAGCATGTTCAGAAGGCCGCTGAGGTTGTCGGTACTGGAGCCAAAGCTGCTTGGGAGGCGCCGTTAGTGAAGGGTACCAGGAAGGTCGTAACGACTTCTGCCAGCGCTGTCGCAAGTGGTCTCGACACCGCCACTAAGCCTATTCGTGAGTCGGAGGCCTACAAGAAGGTTTCGTCGAGTGTTGCGGAGACTATCGATGATGGTCGGTCGTCTGCTTACGGAGGTTACATCGAGAAGGAGGAGAGAAGAAAGAGGCGTGAGGCACGAGAAGCGGGTAAGCACTACGTTACCCCGAACGCCGATGCGGGAGAGGCTTTGGTTCTCCACAAGGACAGCCAGTTGAAGGAGGCATGGAAGAAGTGGAAGGAGGATTCTGCGGCTGCGCAAGCTCTTAACCGTGTCCGTCATGCCGTGAACGAGTCTGAGAACCCTATGGTTGAGAGATTCCGTGATATGGCCGAGCGTGTGTCGGATACCTGGTCTGGATGGTTCGCCGAGACTGAGAGTGCTCAGGTTGTTCGTATGTTCAAGGAGATTGATCCTACTTTCTCTATGGAGCCTTTCCTTCAGGAACTCCGTGAGTTCATTCTCCCTGAGGTTGTGGAGGCTTACGTCAAGGGCGATGGTCAGGTTTTGAAGCAGTGGCTCGGCGAGGCGCCGTTCTCCGTCTGGTCATCCATCAACAAGCAGTACGTCGAGCAAGGTGTTATCTCGGACGGTAAGGTCCTCGACATCCGTGGTGTCGACATCGCTCAGTCCAAGATTCTGCCACCAAATGACATCCCCGTTTTCGTTGTCAGCTTCAGGTGTCAGGAGGTGCATCTGTACAGAAACATGAAGACCGGAGAGTTGGTTGCTGGATCTGAGGACGCTATCCAGTTGGTGCCCTACGTTGCTGTGATCACCAGGATCCCTGACGAGGTCACCAACCCTGAGACGAGAGGATGGAGAATCGCCGATTTCGCTCGTGGTGCTGCTCGTGACTACACATAAGCGGCGAAGACGCGAGGCATTGGGAGGCGAGGCTGAGTTGTTTGTGCTTTCGGAGTTACTCTTGGGATGTTTACGTATCTGGCATGGTCGTGCCAACACTCTCCACTTTTCGGTTTAAGCTTCACATTTGGTGCTGGCGTAATACCCTTGGTTTTTGGATGGGCTACAAAAATGCGAAAAGTTTGTACATACTTAGCATATGGGGTCTGATGGATGGATGGCTGCTTCAGTAGAGCATGTTTGCGGGACGGATGGATGGGATGAAAAAAGCTTAAGGAAGTGCACGTTTGCAATTGCACTTGATGGCAAAAACCATAGCTATGAAGTGTACGCTGAGAATAAGAGGTTATTGAATTCTTCACCCTATTCACATGTGTGCGCCTAATCTACAGCGGTTCACTTCTTCGCACAGTTCCCGAGGTTGCGATTTACGGCTTCGTTACTTCCGAAAAAGACTTCATCGGTACCGTATCGCGACGCGTAACGTGGACCCGTAACAGACGAGACGATCCTTCTCCACAATCTAGCATTTGCGAGTCATAGTCAAGGAGCAGAGGTTGCTGCCCGAACCGGAAGAACCACGACAATCGCTAGAGGCAGACGATCAACGTTAAGATACGTGAGAGACCTCCGTACCACCCACACCTCTCCAACGACACAGAGAAACTCTCAAACCAATTTCATCCATCTCTCACTGCGCCAAATCCCTCTCCATCTTCTTCACCTCTCCTATCAGATATAGACTCCCACACACCACCACTGTCCCCTCTTCATTGCCTTCCACCGCCCATCTCAAACTACCACTCACATCTCTCCCAAAGCCTTGCGTCTGACCCTCCACCGCATTCCCTAGCACCTCCCGTGCAACCTCTGTAATCTGTCCCGCCGGAACGGGCTTAACCCACGGCATTCCATCAACATCCCCAAACTCAACCGCGGCAATGCGATCAGTGCTCCGGACCAATATTTTCAACATCTCATCCAAATCCTTTCCTTGTGAGAATGCCATTACCCATGTGATTGGTCCCTTCCGTCGTAAGGTGTTGACATACTCAGCCAAGGAATGTGCTGCATTTGCGTTGTGTGCACCATCGAGGAGGAGTGGGTTTGATGACACTGTTGGGATAGTGGTCCATTCTAGGCGTCCGGGCCATTGTGTTGCGGTTATGCCTTGTCGGATGATTTGGGGTGTGATGCCTGGCAGTGATCCCTGGAGATGTGAAAGAGCCACGACAGCAACAGACACATTTGCCTTCTGATGTGCCCCGGGAAGTGGTGTCTGAACCGATATTGGTCCCCAAGTCTTCGTCTGCACGGAATATGTCTGCAATCCCTCCTCTGTACCCTGGACAACCTCAACCTCAGCCCCCACTGATTCAGCGGTCTCATGAAAAGCATCTAATGCTTCCCCGTCATTCTCCCCATCAACAACGCACCTAACACCCCTCTTCATAATCCCCGCCTTCTCCTTTGCTATCGCCCCAAGAGTATCCCCCAATAGACTCTGATGATCCATCGCAATCCCGGTAATAATCGTAACCAACGGCTTCTCCAACACATTTGTCGCATCAAGCCTGCCGCCAAGCCCAACTTCGATGACAGCGACATCGACATGCAGGCAAGCAAAGATGTCAAATGCAGTTGCGGTTAAGAGTTCAAATTCTGAGGCATTGATGGAGTGGGTTTGGTTCACTTCTCGTACTCTCCGCTCACTAGCCAAGAAGACATCCTCTTGTACTGCCTTGTTTCTGATCGATATACAATCCCATCGATCAATGAGATGCGGACTGGTGAAGCGACCAGTGAGGATCCCGGCATGAGTTAAGACAGAGTCAAGGTATGCACAGACAGATCCTTTGCCATTTGTGCCGGCGACATGAATTGCTTTGAATGCATGGTGAGGGTGGTTGAGTGGTACTAGAAGTTTGAGGATACGAGCGAGCCCGAGTTCGATTGGCATGCCAGGTTGCGGGGAGGTGATGTATTTGCGCAGTCAGATGTAACGTAGACAGATCCCACTTCGGGGCGGTCGGTTTCCGAGGTCGAGATTCGCGAATTCGATGCGCGTCCAACGGCACCCGATTTGGAGATCCATTACGACATCGCAAGTTATAATAACCAGCAGGACCCTTCCCACCATGTACCCAAGTAACCAACACCGACGAAGATGTCCTCAAAAGAGCCCTTCATCGGGCAAAAGAAGCGCGTTCTCATCGTCGGTGCCGGTGCAGCTGGTATGAGTTGCGCCGACCAACTCTCAAAGTCGCCCGAGAAATTCGATGTTACGATTATTGATGCACAAGATTACTGTGGTGGACAAGCCTTCTCGATCGGGATTGATAAGGAGAAGTTTGGGGCTGAGTGGTTGAATCAGGGTGTTCAGGGCGGGAGCTATATCTTCCGCCATACGTTCCGGATGTTCGAGCAGCAGGGATTCAAAGCGGATCCAGTGAAATTGCAGGTTTCGTTCGGGAAGGGGGATCGGTTCTGGACAAATGTGTTTCCGACAAAGATGGTGCAGAAACATGCTTCAGAGATCAAGCGATTCACGCTGTTGCTCAAATTCATCCGCTGGTTCGAGGTGTTCTTCGTATTTATGCCGATCAAGGTTCTCATGAAGCTTTTCATGTTCTCAACTGAGTTCACGGAGTATATGATCTTACCGACCATCGCACTCTTCCTCGGCACAGGAAATGCAACACCAGAAGTCTCGTCCGTGATCCTCGAGCGTTTGTTCACGTCCCCGACATACGGAATGTGGTACCCCGCAGACGAAGACAGTCTCGCATCGAACCACCCCCCGATGTGCGTATTCCCCAAGTTTTCAGATTTCTACGAAACGTGGAGACAGAGCCTCGTCAAAGCTGGTGTCAACGTCCGCCTAAGCACGGAACTCACACGGGTCATCAAGCGCACATCCTCAGGCGTGAAGGTCGGAACCAAACCCCGTAAGCCTCAGCCGGACCACCACAACCCAGTTGGTGGTGACCCAGACGCTCCTGAGACCATTGAGGACTACGACGAAATCGTACTCTGCGTCCTCGCTGACACCGCCAAACGGCTGCTCGGCAAAAACGCCACGACAAAGGAAAAATTTGTGTTGGGCTCTACGAAGTGGTCTGATGACGTTACCGTCACTCACTGGGACGACACTTACATGCAAAACCACTACACGAACACTTACGACCCAGATCAAGCTATCCGTACTTTAAATGGAAAGGATCAGTCGTTGAGGAATGAGCGGGGTGGATCGTTCGCGCCGATGTACTATATCAAGCCATACCCCGAAGACCCCAGCAAACTCGAAATGTGCTTCGATTGTACGAACTACCAATCACAGTTCCCACGAGTCTCAAACCCAGCTGACCCACCCTCTGGTTTGGAAGTCAGCCGACTTCCACTCAACCGCCATGTGTTCCAGACAATTTTCCTGAACAAGGATCGTGATTCACCATTGTGGACCATGGACCAGATCAATAAAGATAAGATTATCCGCATCGATTGGTGGCACCAACTCTGCCACTCCTGGACCCACTATCTCTTCGTTGTCCCCTGGATGTGGGCCCTCAACGGCCGGCACCACACCCGGTACGCCGCAGCCTGGACATTGGTCAACGCACACGAACTCGCCGTCATCTCCGGACTCGCAGCAGCGTGGAGTTTGGGCGGAGGGTATCCGGAGGAGATGTGGCATGATGGGAAGGAAGCGGGGAGGGTTGAGCCGGGGGTCGAGGAGAGGAAGGGGAGGTGGGAGGGGTTTGCGGTATTGTGTTTTAGGTTGTATTGTTTGTTGGCTTATGGGAGGTGGTATTCTAAGGGGAGCTAGATCGGGATATCTGATACCGGTAGGGCTTGGTGAATGGGAACGTATTGCTTCAGTCACTGTCTGAGTCTGAACCGTAAGCTATTAGGCCGGATAACCCAGCTGGTTTTGCTGTTGGTGGCTCTTCTGTGAGTTTTGATGGTTCGGGTATTATCGGCGCAGGTTTTGCAGTCTCTTTCGGTGTTTCCTCCTTCTGTAGCGGCTTCTCCTTGTTTTCGGTGTCTTTCATAACACTTGGCGGACCAGCCGCACCCTTTGCCTTCTTCACAACCAGCCCAACCAACACATTCTCCTTCTTCCGTTTCTTTGTCTCCTCCTTCGACACCTCCTTCTTCAGCGCTATTGGCGGCTCCGTGGCCGTGGCCGTAGCCGTAGCCGTAACCGTCGCCTGCTCCGCCTCATACCTCGCTCGCCTAAATGCATCCATCTCCCTCTCCATCTCCTCCCTCTTCTCTCGATCCTCCCGACGCTTCTGTTCTTGTACGTCCGCCAAGAAGTCAACTTCGTCATCGTCGAGCCGACGGATGAGATTAGAGAATTTTGCGGCTTCCATACGCGCTTCCTCCTTCTTGAGCTTGTTTTCTTGGAGGCGGTCGAAGAGGGATCGGTCATCCACGGACTCCTTTGGTTCTTTATTCCTTTCCTGCAGGCCTGCTACACGGGCTTTGGCTGCTGCCCAATCCTCGTTTTCTTCTGCATTCTGAGTTGCTTCATTCTCTCGTAGGGTACGCTCCGAAACAAATCCGGAGGACATGGTGTTTTCGACACGGCCGGCTTCACGACGTTCCCCGATGTACTGTAAGGCACGCCCGGTCGCGGTATATATACGACATCATCAGTGTTGCGCGAAGGCAACCTCCAACCTTCAACAGCAGCAGCAAGTACGACCATGTCTTTTTGGAAACGCAGCTATGACGAACTCCGCAAATACACCGCGAAGGCCATCAGATCAAACCCCAGCGCAAGGGACCCAGAACTTACCTTCATCAACTTCAAAACCCCCGAGGCCCTTAACTCTGTCATCACCGGCTGCGACGAAGACATCGGTGGTTTCTCCTCCGTAAACCTCGATTTCGAACCCTCAGAAAACGCCGCAGTCTTCCACGGAAACCTGTCACTTCAAGTCCCCGTTAACCCCAGTGTAACGCGTTCGGGGTATGCGGCATTCCGTACGAAGGTTCCTGCGAAGACTATTTTTGGTACACCAAGGTTTGAGACAGATGGGTATCAACATATCGCATTAAGAGTAAAGGGTGATCGTCGCAAGTATTTTGTGAACGTTCAGGGAGACACTTTCTCCCAAACGGATTTGTGGCAGCATAGGCTATTCTTGTCGACGCCCGGTCAGTGGGAGACAGTAATGGTATGTACCTCGGGTTGCGTGTGGCGTGGGCTTGTTAACATCAGGCTTTAGATCCCTTTTGGTGACTTTGTTTTGACAAGCGAAGGCAAAGTCGAAAGAAGACAGGACGGCATGCCCCGGGATAAAGTCCGTACTGTGGGTATCTCCATACTAGACAGGCAGGAAGGCCCATATAAGCTGCACATTCAGTGGATTAAAGTATGTACACACCACTTGTCGTCTGGTTTAGCTACTAACTGGGTTATGTGCAGGCGATGGGCGATGAGGCATCCGGGAAGAAGCCCGAGCATGCGAACCCGTTGGAGGGAGTCAAGATGGAGAAACCGGAGGCAGAGGTGAAGGGCGGGAAGCGTGGGAAGGATCAGCTCTGAGTAAACATGTGTTTGCCACCATACTCGCAACAATTCATAGGGGGAAGGACAGTGGTCAAGCGGATGGTATAACAGGATGCTGTGCCCTTTCTTCCCTTATTCGTGGAAAGATAGTATTGCTATTTGACTAGTTCCAAGGCTTAAGGAAAGGCGATTGATTCGTTTAGTCTACGGATTACGAGTTTACCATGGCGGGAATATTTCGTTGATCCGACTTTCCCTAGGCTTGGCGTCAAGCATGATCTCTATTTCAATGCATTATCCTCCCCCATACCCATCCCGATGCCGATAGCTAGCTGTCGGCAGGGAGCTTGTAAGCTTAAGTATCGGTACTGAGGCGTGAAAAACCAGGGCGAGTGAATGCCGAAAGGTGGTTAGAGAGCCTTTGACCCATCCTCATAGATACCAGGTACCTAGCTGCCGTGCAATACAAAATGTCTCAGGACAGTCAACACCGGCCGCGGGGTGTCTTCTTTTCATGGTATATCTGATATATTATCATTCCCTATATCCTACCTTACTGTCCAGAAAGATGCACGCTCACAATACCGCGCTTACTGTAATGTCAACCCTTGTATGCCCAATGCGTCCGTGCCCGAACTCGGGTACGACTCCTGTGCCTGTTCTTGCTCCAACATGAACTCCTCATCCTCACGCACCGAGTACTCGATCGGCTCACCAGCCAGTGCCAGTGCCTGTTTGAGCGTTTTTCCCGTCTCTGTAGGTACATTTCTTAGCAACTTCACGAATTGTGCTTAGGGGTGACCTACTGTCCAAGGACATCAAGAACCTCGCCAGTTCCTTTGCTAGGTCCCAATCGGCGACTTCGATTGCTTTTGCGAGGAGGCGTACGGTGTCTTGACTACTGTCCTTGAGCTTCTCGAGGGTATGTAGGACGACAAGATATGCTCCGGCAGTCTTGTATTTGCCTTGTTCCATGCAGCGCTGTAATCCACGTTAGCAAAAATAAGCGCACTTGATGCGATACGGGACAAACCTCGAATAACTCCTTTGGGCTCCCAACTATCTTGAATAACTTATCCCAACACATAACCTCAGTTTTGCGCGCACACCCAACGACAACATCCAAATACTCCTCAAAATTCGACAAAAACCCGATCGCCCTCGGCAAAACTTCTTCACTGGGATCCAAATCCCGCTTATCCGCCTCATCTTCCAAGATCTCATGAAGAAGGAGTTCGAGGATATGCTCAAAGTACGGCAAATGCTGATACCTCGACGCCAACATCAAGGCGTCACGCGTAAACGAACTCCACATCTTCTGCCGTGTTGGCTTGGAGGAAAGTTGTCGTCGCAGGACGTGATGTAGGAAAAGGTGTGCGCCGGTTGTATACCGGAACGTCGTGAAATCCAGATTTCGCCGCTGTACAGTTTCAGATTCAATACCCACCAGCAGAGCCTTATCCATCAACGTCACAATCGGGTAAAAGTCGGACGGGGTAACATCCACGCAGTTGTCCAAGGCGTCCAAATCCGTCCAGACCTGTGAATCCTGTTAGCTTAACCCCTGTGGGGACAATGTGACATTCGATTCACCTTCACGTGCTTCCCATCATAGGCCCACAATGATCCCCTCATCTCGCTTATACCGTGCGACACCTGTGGCATCAACGCAAACCACTCTACATGCCTCGACGCCTTTCGCATGTCGTACCGCACTTCCTGATCACTGCTGTTTCCGGCGCCATCTTCTCTGCTCGCCGGACGTGGTGATAGCAGAACCAACTCTCCATCCACCAAGAGGGTCAACGTAGCTACCAGCGCATCATTCCCCGGATCGCCCGCACGACTCTGCTCCTCTGGCACTACCCAGCTCAGAGCACGTACCCGTGCCGGTGCATGAACGATACCACTCAACCCAACCTGTCCAACAAGCTGTAGTCTCCACTTATTGCTGCTGCTCCCAAGCCGTGACGAAGCCACGATAACGTAGTGATATAACGTGTTGTCATGCGCGTAAACCAACACGCCAGCATCACCCAAAACCGTAACAGTCTGAATCGCCGCTGGAAGTTTCTCAGTGTGCAGGATTGACGCATCTTCAATGGTAAGCTCTCTGGAATAAAGCCGAACCTGTTACACCTCAAGATTAGAAAAAGCACATAAACGCCTCAATCCCTCGCGGACATACCATATGCTGCCCACCAGGCCCTTCCACTCCCACGACCAAAACATGCCCGATCCACCCACCACCACCCCTAACAGTCCAGTCCACCTCCCCACCACTCGTATTCGGCATCGCAACCTTCCACCTTCCACTACGCACTGAGAAATGCGCTAAGCCACGGCGTCCGGCAACGGCGACATACCTCCCATCCTCACTGACACACGCCCACCTCACAGGTCCAGCATCGCGAAGGTAAGGCGCCGGGATAGCTGATGACTGCCACAATGTCGATGCTGCGTCAGGATTTAGCGGTGCGAGGGAGGTATGAGGGAGAGATGCGGCGCGGTAGACGTGGACGTGTGTAGAGGTGAGGAGAAGTGGGTGCGGTGACGAAAGCTGCGGCAGTGAAGCAAGGTAGGCGAAAGGCAGCGTCCACAGCCGTCTCCTTTCACCACTGACCTCGGCGTCAGCGTCAATTTCAGCGGAGAGCATAACAAGCTCAGCTCCAGCCCAAACCGCATCCCTCACCCCACGCATGAAATCTTCTTTATCTCGTGAGACGTCCGAGTCAGTAAACGAGCTCACAACCGCATGCCCATACACACTCCAAACCCCCCATCCCCTCTCATACCCCACAAAAATCGCACACCCGTCTTCCGTCCACGCCATCGTTTTCACAGCTCCCGTCTGCGCACCAACATTCGACGCCGCGGCACGGAGGGTGAGGGAGTGCGATCTCTCCACCTCGCCGTCATAGTTCTTGATGTGGTAGACTTGTAGGGAACCGTCTTCGCTTCCGATCGCAACCAGCGAGAACCGGGCGTTGATGACGGCGTGGGTGGGTTTGGCACCCGCTGCGGGATCCGCGTCGTGGAATAAATGCCCCCGCCACGCCTTTCCTCCGATTTTGGCGAGTCGTTGAACGAGATACACCTCTCCCGTCCCTGTCAAGAAACAATAAATATCCATCGCACGATCGTAAACCATCCCCGTAACCACAACCCTCTCACCCGCCACAACCGGCTGCTTCACCCACTCCATCCGCCTCACCGCCTCGGTCACCGGTTTGATATTGACAGCACCAGGGCTGGAAGAAGGCCACGGTATGCACTGAACAGCACTTGGCGACCTCGTACTAACCACCAACTCATCATCACCCACACAACACCCAGCGATCCCCGCATCGATCTTAACCGACATCTTGAATCTTAAATCAACCATCCCCACACCCCTCGCATCACTGAACGTACTCCTCGAGTGCAAATGCGAGGAAGGGGTATGCAGTTGTAGAGAGGGGATCGCGGGGTCGTGGAGGAGGGTGTAGAGGAGGAGGTAGTCGCGTGAGGTACGGAGTGCGAGGGAGGTGCCGTCGGGGCGGATGTGGAGGGAGGTGTTGGGACCGTATTGCGATAAGGATTTCTGCGAGCGGACGAGGCGGGAGCATATTGCTGTTGGCTATGAACCTCAGTCAACATCTTGTTACAATTGAGTGGATTGGTGGTTGCATGCATACCTTGATCTGCCATATTGAAACTTCCGTAGCTGTTAGTGTTGCGAACAATTGAGCTGATCTGAAGCGTTCGAGGGCGATAATGCCATCACCATGCTCGTCGTTCTTCTCCTCATCTAATTGTGCTGATACAGGCTGTGAGTCGTCGTCAGGCCTCGGCGACGACGGCGTCGATCCTGCCACAGGAGGTGAAGCCGGCGCAGGTGTCGGAGTTTCCGTACAGTGCAAGAGCCTTGGAACGCCAAATGGCCAGTACATCCCAATCTAATGACCTTCCGTGCAGCTGGGTGTATGCTACCTGGTATGATCGCGGTGACGGGTGTGTTTGTTTGTAGGGTTGCTCAAATGAATAAGGTTCTCGGTACGGCAGCGGCTCGCGTGCGGTATTCTTGGCCTGTTGTGGGGTTCAGGCACGATGTGAACGAGGGAAATGTTGACAGATCTCGATCATGTTTATTGTATGCAAAACGCGATAAATCTATGCTGAGATAGGGTACGGAGCAAGGCTCATCCAGACCCAGAAGCCGGAACGATCCCCCTAGGCTTATACTTCGGCATCTTCTCATACGCATTCGGACTCGACTCCCGCTTCTTCCGTCTCCTCTCCTTGCCCTTTCCATTTGTCCCCTCGTGCTCATGTAAGCAACCCTCATCATGATCATCCTCACCGTCGTCTCCATGATTATGTTCGTGCTCATGTCGATGTGGACGCGGTGTCCGCCGTGGTGGCCGTGCAGCGCCGTCGTCATTATCTGAGTCGGAGTTTTCTGATGACGAAGAATCTGATGATGAGGATTCCGAGGAGGATTCACCGAACGCACGCTGCTTATGGAAGATACAACACACTACCCCCCGTCAGCACCCACCGTCCTCACCCACTTGTTCCCTCGAAAAAAAACGTACCTTTACTCGACTTCCGCCCTAATCCCTCATTATCAACAACATCCTCATCCCACTGTACCCGCCGTCCCATGGTTACATTCGCTCCCCTCAACACCAGCGTCCCTGCTGGAGGGAGTTGAGGATCGGGTTGTGTGGATCCTTCTCGTGAAGCGGGAGCTGTGGTGACTGTGCTTGAGCCACCTGTTGCTGCTGATGGTCGTACGCGTTGCATGTTTGCTGATAGAGTTGAGGCTTTGTTTCTTGGGAAAAGCACAGAGATTGTATGACGGTTGCGTCGGCGTGCATGAGACCGCGTCGCAGCCAAACCCCGGAATTCAGACCGTCCAGCATACAGCCCGGGGCCATTGCCGCAATTGTAGAGAATCAGCACATCAGCATGCTGTGAACAACACCTCAGAAGCCAAATACGACAGCATACATCCCACCAAAATGACCACAATGATCATCCCCCCCTTCCCCCTCAACCCCCCCGACCTCTTTTCCCCCGTCGTTGCACCCCACATCTACCGGTCCGGTCCCCTCCAACCCCTCAACCGTCCCTTCCTCACACCTCTCAACCTCCGCACCATAATTCTTCTGCACGCTGATCCAACGCGGACATTACAAGCTTATGCGGCGGAACAGGGGATTAGGTTGGTGCAGCTGGGCGAGGCGGGATGGAAACCGGGGGATGACGGAGAGGGGGATGAGGGGGGTTGGAGGGTTATGGGGGAGGATGTTGTGCGGGAGGGGATTCGGCAGGTGTTGGACAGACGAAACCACCCGGTTCTGGTAATTGACAGGTATGGTCCCCTACACCTCTCCGGTGAGACAAGCTGACGAGAGGTGTGTGTTTAGTTCAGGAATCCAGGAAACTGGAACCCTCTTCGGCATCCTCCGAAAACTCCAACACTGGTCCTTCGCCTCCATCGTTATCGAATACAGACTTTTCGCGGGTCCGAACGCAAGATATGTTAATGAGCAGTATATTGAGATATTTGATTTGGGTACGTTGGAAATCGATGAGGAGCATTTGCCGGAGTGGTGGGTTGAGCAGGAGAAGATGTGGGAGGAGGAGTGTAGGGGGGTTGAGAGTAAGCGGAAAGCACTGGAAGAAACGCCGAGTAATACATGAAGTGTACGGGAATGGAAATGTGCAGTACGAGTCACAGGCACAGTCAGCAACGCAAGAGCGACAAGCGACAAGCACCAACAACAATCTATATTTTTAAATATCAAAGATCCCAACCCAAGAAGCAATCAAACGCCTGTCCATTCCATTACCAAGTATGTCTGCCTTCCATGCATTTTCAGCGTCCATCTCACGCATCCCCTCCTCATCACATCACTTTACCCTCAAGCTTACATCAACCTTTCAAGCACAATAATCTTACCCTGCGTGAACCAATACCCAAAGTACACTCTGATATACTCATTCATCGCCCACATCCATCCCCTCCCACTACTCCACTCCCCCCAAATCCGATCCAAGTTCTCCCCAAACACCGCCGTCGCACAATACCTCGTCATATTCAAAAACAATCTCTCTGGACTCAACGTCGTCTTCAAACTCTCATCCAACGCCCTTACCAAATCCTGCGTCTTGAAAAGATACAACATCCGTCTCGGGACACGATGAAGCATATCAATAATTTGCATAACGAGGCCTTGTCCGACGGCGGTATTGATGCGCTTGAATTCATCTGCAGAACGGGGGGTTTCGACACCAGCCATGACGGTATCCCAATCCCTCGCGGTAATAGCCGAGACGAAAACCCTGTAATCATCAATTCCAGCCACAATCTTCGCATACTTCGCAATGTCCGGTTCGGAGCGTTCGAGGATTGCGAGCCAGAGGTGAGCGTAGTCTCGGCGGGCTTGGAGGGGGATGTCGCGGTAGAGACCGTGGTCGAGGAGTACTATTTCAAAGTTTTGACGGGACTTGGAGCCGGTGGGTTTACGGCGGATGAGGAGGTTTCCGGCGTGTGGGTCGGCGTGGAGACGGGCACCACCGAAAATCATCTCGTTGAAGATATTCGCGAGTTCGAGGGAGACCTTGTTTCGGTCGATACCGTTCGAGTCGATGAACGCGAGATCATCCAGACGTCCACCGCGGATGAATTCCATTACGAGGATTCGTGGCTGTGACCAGACCACGTCGGGGACTTTCAGCGGCGAGCCCTTGATCTTGGCGAAGTATTTCTGGGTGTTGATCGCGTTCTCGGCCTCGAGTGTGAAATCTAATTCACGGGGAAGATGCTCTCTCATCTCCTCTCCCAACCAACCCAACGTGAACTCGGGGAATGCACGCTGTATCAAATCCAGCACGAAGGACGTCACGGAGACGTCGATGCGAGAGTATGCCGCAATCTCGGGATGCTGTAACTTGACCGCGACTTCTTGTCCGTCCTTCCTCAATACGGCCCTGTGCACTTGCGCTAAACTTGCGACACCAAGGGGTACCTCATCGAACTCCTGAAAGATATCTTCAAATCTTTCACCTGTGTCGCCTTCGATCATGGCTCGCACACTCTCATAAGACGAAGCTGGTGCACGATCTTGGAGTGGAATCATGACCTCGACCCATTCGATTGGGATGAGATATGCCATAGCGGAGACATGTTGTCCGAGCTTAATGTAGACACCTCCGTTCTTCTCCATGACCTTCCTTGTCCGCAACGCACACTTCTTGTGACACGCGCTCATCGCCTCTTCCCGGAGCTCTAGTGTCAAGTACTCCGTATTCAGAACTCTTCTGTAGTCGTTGAAGCACAGCACACACGCGACAGCGACTCGTGCCGAACGCTGAACGGCAATGGCTCCCTGCTTCAATGCATTATCCGTAGGATTAGACGCAATAGTCAACCCAGCTGCTCCCACCAACGTAGCACCAGCCGCCATGAACCCCCTTCGTCTCAACGGCAATCTCCCACCCTTTGCCCTCGCAACCCTCGCCGCCTGCGGAGTAACCCTCTCCCCCAACCTCACCGTGGTCGAAAAGAACGAGCCAGTCGCGAAGCCGGACACAGCACTGCGCCGACTGATCTGCCGTAACGATTGCATTGTAGGATACCTGTGTATGTAAGTGGTATAAATAGACGTCGTGGGTATAAATACGGCTCTTTGGCCGGGCTGATCAGGCCTTTTTGTTTGGTGTTTGTCGCCTCCCTTGGGAAATGTTTACGGAGAAGTACGGGACCGCCTCAGCGCCGCCGCCGTGGAAGCAGGAGACAAGGTCGCCTGCAGATATCAAGCACCCGATAGAGGGTGAAGCCAGCGTAGATCCGTTTTACTATTCATAGAAATGTAGGAAATAGTTATGGGAGCTCCGTTGGCATCCTTTGGGAGAAGCGGGTAACCGCCAATTACCCTCGCTGCAGTTCCCGAGCTCAAGGCAGTGCAGTACTCCACATATCGACGTCGAACACCACAAAATCCCATACACCACATCATGTCCGCTGCCGGCCTTCCTTCACAAGATCTCCCGCCTCAGGGTGGGTACGAGCCCGTCCAGTACAAGGTATGCCGGCGAAAACTGTCGGAAAATCATTGACTGACCTTGCCGGTGTACAGCGTAACCTGCCAATGCGCGGTTTCCGTCCATCTTACTACCGTATGTTGACACATTCAATCTATCTAACGTGTTCTTGATGTTGATTTTCGATGGCAGTCTTGGGAATGGGTCTCATTTGCGGTTACGGATTCTACGCGTTCGGTAAGGGTGTTCATGAGAGAAGGTACGATCCCCCCACATCTGGAATGCTTTCACTCGAACAATCAGTAACACATCATCAACAGAGAGTTGAAGCGCGAGAAGACCTGGTCCCGTATCTACCTCACCGCCGTCCTCCAGGCCGAAGTCGACAGAGACAACTACCGCAGACACCTTGCCGCAGTTAAGAGAGAAGAGGCGATCATGAGCCAAGTTCAGGGATGGGAGGCCGGAAAGAGTGTATACAACGGTGATAGGTTCGTGCAGTCGCAGTACCTTGTCATCCCCAAGGAGATGAAGTAGGGGTCGGGTGCTGGGATGGAGAAGAGGAAAAGTAGGGGAGAGAACATGGGGTAGACTGAGAGGAAACGGGAGGGAGGGAATGTGTGTACGCATACAAGTATCGAAAAATAATGGATCGGTTTGCCACCTGTCTGCCGTGGTCAGCATTGCCGATGTGCGCTCTGGAAGTAAATGTAACGTTTTCGTTATTTTTGCGTATAGTACAGGGGACATGCAATCCCAGCTTCACGCTCAGGTGAAAGCCTCTAGTAAATCATTCCGTAGCAAATTCCGTATATCCCTTCACCCTTAGTTCTTGACAACCATATCATCACGTCCAGCACCAACACCGATGAACTCAACCTTAACACCAGTGAACTTCTCAATGAACTCAATGTACTTCTGCGCATTCTCCGGCAAATCCTCGTACTTTCTGCACTCGCTAGTCTTCGCCTGCCATCCAGGAAGAGTAACATACTCAACCTCAACCTTCTCCAACAAGTTCAAGTCCGCAGGGAAGGACTCGAGCTTCTTGCCCTGGTAGTGGTATGCAACACCGACCTTGATCTCCTTCAAATCGTCCAAAACATCGAGCTTGGTGATGTTGAAGCCGGTGTAGCCGTTGACCATGGTAGAGTAGTTGACGACAACCAAGTCGAGCCATCCACATCTTCTGCGGCGGCCGGTGGTGACACCCCACTCGAAACCGGTCTCCTGGAGGTAAGAACCGATCTCGCCCAAATCCTCCGTAGGGAAAGGTCCGGCACCGACACGGGTGGTGTAAGCCTTGACGACACCCCAAACCTTGTTGACGCGTTGAGGAGGGAGACCGAGACCAGTGCAGACACCACCGATACCAGTGTTGGAAGAGGTAACGAAGGGGTAAGTACCGAAGTCCAAATCGAGCATGAGCGCGTTAGCACCCTCGACAAGGATACGCTTGTTCTGCTTGATACGCTCGTGCATCCAAGGAACGGCATCAACGACGTATGGCTTCAACTTTTCCGCAAGACCCTTGTATCTCTCCAACTCCGCCTCGACATCGTACTCGAAATCTCCGTAACGCTTCTTACGTCCCTCGACCAAACGACGGAATCGTGTCTCGAACTCGGGCCAGTCGTAGAGGTGGTGGACGCGGATACCGGAGCGGGAAGCCTTGGTGGCGTAGGCGGGTCCAATACCCTTGTGGGTAGTACCGATGGACTTGCCGCCGAGCTCGGCCTCACGGAGGGCGTCGACCTTCTGGTGGAAGTCGAAGACAACGTGACAGCGGTCGGACACGAAGATACGGTTGGTGGAGTCGAGACCCTTCTTCTCAATAGCCTCGAGCTCGGCGAAGAAAGCGGGGATGTGGATGACGACACCAGTACCGATCAAGTTGACGCAGTTGGGGTTGACGAGACCGGAGGGGAGGATGTGGAAGTCGTACTTGACACCGTTGACGACGATAGTGTGACCGGCGTTGTTACCACCCTGCGCAACCGTCAGCGATCTGGCCTGCCCCCACCAAAACATAATCACTCCGCACCTGGCAACGCGCGCAGACCTCAATCTCATCACAGAGGACGTCGACAAGCTTTCCCTTTCCCTCATCACCCCACTGCGCACCCAAAACGACGTTGACACTGGTCCCGCGATCAGCAAACCGCGCCCAAAGCAACGCGGATCAAGACGTACCCTCCCGTAGGAACGGCGATCTCAGCCGTACCGTCAGCGACAGACATTTTTGTGTTATATAACTCGAGGTCTACTTCGAGATGCGGTGTTCCGAGGTCCGTCTCAGCCTAAATTCCCTGGGGCTGGTGAGGGGCAGGCTGTGCGGGGCACGTGCAGATCGCTGGCAACCTTAATGTGAGCCGACTTATGGATAGAGAGGGCACTCGTTGAGCCGATCCATGCCCTTCCTACTCGTATATCTGGCATATCTACGGTGCTGTTCTGGTGTTTCCTACGCTCGTCGAGGTCGTCGTACCCTGCTGCCCTGGCCATGCCCGATCGAGAGGTAGCCGCGCACAGACTGCCCAGCAAAATTCGCTGGCGAGCCCGCGGAATTGCGACTTCGACAACCTCCAACACCCAACACAGCAAAGATGGTTAACGTCCCGAAGACCCGCAAGGTGTGTACTTCCGTCTATCAGGAGGATTGAAATATCCTGTACCACTGTCTTCGTCGGACTCCGTCAAAGATGCTGATTGCGTGTCTTTGAATTAGACCTACTGCAAGGGAAAGGCCTGCCGCAAGCACACCCTTCACAAGGTTACCCAGTACAAGGTTCGTTCTTCATCCATCCCCTGCTGATCTTTTGTTTTGCGCCGATTGGTGCAATTCTGAGTGATTTGGTACTGACCACGATTCGCCTATCTAGACTGGTAAGGCTTCCCTCTTCGCCCAGGGTAAGCGTCGTTACGACCGTAAGCAGTCCGGTTACGGTGGTCAGACCAAGCCTGTCTTCCACAAGAAGGCCAAGACCACCAAGAAGGTCGTCCTCCGTCTTGAGTGCACTTCCTGCAAGTACAAGGCCCAGATGACCTTGAAGCGTTGCAAGCACTTCGAGTTGGGTGGTGACAAGAAGACCAAGGGTGCTGCTCTTGTTTTCTAAGCGTATCGCTGCTGTTTTTGTCGATTGGCTTGGTTGTTCGCATGGAGTTTTTTGGGTCATCTTTCAGGTTTTATGAATACCGGATCTTCTGTGGCGACGCGGGTCAATATACGGGCTGTGAACGTTAACCATTACATCTGTCCATTTCCCCTTCATCATTGTAAACTTTATTCTGTATGTCCTCCGTATATAAACCCGTATCGCTATCGTTATCACGTGCGTGTCCACGTTACACCCCGGCCCGTAATTAACGTTAACGTTCACTACATCACCACCAACAACCACAGCACAAGGTGATGTTTGCTCATCAACCTCCGCCAGGTAGGTCCTTCTGTTTGATCTTGATCAGCAGCCAACAATGGTCCACAGCATCTATTACGAGCAACATTGTATCTGCCGACGCAGAAGCACCTCTACCAGGATCCGCACTCAACGAGCTCGCACGGTTTTCGCTACAACGGCAGCGGGAGTTATTACCTATCTTCAGACATAGTACGCCTCACGGTGTTCTTTTTCTGCATTAGTGGTGGTTAACTTTTGGATGCACAGGAAAGTCGTTGCTCTACCTGGTTGAGACGAAGCCCGTGACCATCGTCGTTGGACATACGGGATCTGGAAAGACTACACGTATGTTGATGTTTCGCCCAAAGACACGAGTTCGGGCTGACATCTGGTATACAGAGCTACCTCAATATCTCCACGAAGCTGGATGGACGCAAGATGGGAAGATCATTGCATGTACACAGGTATGGCTGGGTGTAAACTTTGGGTATTTACGCACATGCTGACGAAGGACTTGTCATAGCCACGGCGCGTAGCAGCGACTACAGTCGCAACCCGTGTAGCGGAAGAAGTGGGCTGTACTCTCGGTCAAGAGGTATACCTGCGGGCTTACAGGGTATCTACTTTTGGATCCTAACCATGCGAACGTACAGGTCGGATACTCTATCCGCTTCGAAGACGTTACGAGCGACAAAACACGGATTAAATATATGACGGACGGAATGCTGCTGCGTGAGGCTCTGGTTGATCCGCTGTTGACGCGGTACAGGGTGATTATGCTGGATGAAGCGCATGAGCGGACGGTGTATACCGATATCCTGCTTGGTGTTTTGAAGAAGTACTGAGGCTCCGCATAGTGTTATGAACTAATAGCTGATGATCAGTACAGGATTCGCAAACGCCGGAAAGACCTGCGACTGGTGATCTCGAGTGCGACACTTGATGCAGAAGAATTCAAGGCATACTTTGAGAAGGACAAGAATGCTGCGGAGGAGGAAGTATCGGGTATCATCTCACTAGAGGGAAAGATGTTCCCGGTGGACGTCATGTATCTGGAAGAGCCTACCGAGAATTACGTGGAGAAGGCGATTGAGACTGTGTTTGAGATCACTGCGAGGGTATGTCTAACCTTGTCGCATCCAGGCTCCACGGTGGCTAATGGGAACTGAATAGGAACGAAGCGGTGATATCCTACTCTTCCTTACTGGTCGCGACGAGATCGAAAGGACTGCAGAACTCATCGCTGAACGCGCAACAAACCTACCTCCGAACAGGGAACAGCTTCTCGTCCTTCCACTTTATGCAGGCCTCCCCACGGATCGACAGCTAGCTGTATTTGAGCCTACACCGGAGGGCGTCAGGAAAGTCATTGTTAGTACTAACATTGCAGAAGCGAGTGTTACCATTGATGGGATCGCATTTGTGATTGACTGTGGATTCGTCAAGGTTTGTTGTTGGCTGTTTGTGCTTCTTGCTTATGATTTACTAAGAACTCCAAACAGTTGCGAGCGTATAACCCACTCACGGGAATGGAATCCCTCACCGTGGCTTCCATCAGCAAAGCATCCGCTGCGCAGCGTGCTGGTCGGGCTGGTCGAACCAAGCCCGGCAAGTGTTTCAGACTGTATACACAAGCAGCTTATGACACCCTCGCTCCCACCAGTGTTCCGGAGATTCAGCGGAGTGATCTCGCGCCCGTTATACTGCAGCTCAAAGCACTGGGTATCGATAATGTAGCACGTTTCGATTTCATGACACCTCCGCCGGCTGAGATGATGGTGCGAGCGCTGGAATTGCTGTATTCACTCGGTACATTGGATGATTATGGCAAGTTGACACAGCCGTTGGGTTTGCAGATGGCGGAGTTCCCAGTTGAGCCCATGATGGCAAGAATTGTACGTACCAAGGATCTGGATAACGCGCAGGTGTGTTCTAACGTCTGTAAATAGTTGTTGAGTTCGAACGATTTCGGATGTGGTGAGCAGATTTTGACCATTGCAGCCATGACGAGCGTGCAGAATGTGTTTGTCACCCCGGAGGGCGAGAAGAAGGTTGCGGAGAGTGCGAAGAGAAAGTTTACGGTAGAAGAAGGAGACCACATGACCCTACTTAATGGTACTCAGGTGATATTAACGCTCTTAAGAAAGAGTGTGCTAATCACGGTATACAGTGTATCACTCTTATACCTCACAACCCCGTGAGCGGGCCGTCAAATGGTGCCATCAGCACTTCCTCAACCACAAAGCACTGATAAAAGCCGTCAGCATCCGCGCACAACTACGACGCTACATGGAGCGCTTCAACATTCCCATCCGTTCTGCGAGCCCAGAAACAGCAGTTCACGATATCCGTCGCTGCCTCGTGAGCGGGTATTTTGCCCACGCTGCTCGCATGCAACCTGACGGGACGTACAAGATGATTAAAGGAGGAGAAACATTATGGGCTCATCCTACCTCGGTGATGTTTAACCGGAAGGCTGATTGGATTGTGTTTTATGAGATTGTGGAGACGGATAAAAAGATCTTTATTAGGGATATTACGAAGATTGAGAAGGAGTGGTTGGCGGAGTTGGCACCGCATTATTATGAGGTGAAGGGGAAGAAGACATTAGAATATATGTAGTCGGCCTCACTGTCGTGATTGAAAGCAATCACTTTGGCTGTGTGTAATCAATCATGTCGCCGTCCATCTACAGAAGCCCCATGAAGCGTGGGGAAACCAACAGACCACCTTGAGATGGTACAAGAAGATTCGCGAGCCTAACACCTGGAGCTGACTGTTGACAAATCGTCTTCTAGTCACATGCTCGAGGTAATATGTTTGGCATTACGTTCAAAAGTTGTCAAGAGCAGACCGTATGTGGGTGATGGACCCGAATATGACTCCAGGGCGGCAAGTTCACACACACAACACGCACAAACATCTCACAGCACTAGCACAAGCACAGGACAAGAACACACGAGAGACGGCCAAAATTCAATGATCACCACACCATGCGCCACGAAGCAACAGCCCATCACACTGAGAGCCGCCATGCCCCACAAACGTATGCCATGCGAATTTCAAATTTTATTTCGAGACAGAGAACGCAAGATCCAAGTTCATGATTGACGAAGATAAAGAGAACTCCAAGAGATTGACACCCAAAAGACGAGAAAGCGAAGAAGCGAGACGCTTAGTCGAAGAGACCGAAGCCCATGTCGTCGTCGGACTCCTCCTTCTCCTCCTTCTTCTCCTCAACGGGGGCCTCCTCGGCGGTACCGGCAGCGGCACCAGAGGCGGCAACACCTATCATGTTGTTAGTCATATGAAGTGTATCGAGTTCAGCTGGTGTTCACGGAATGTATGCGCAGTCGTTCATATGCACACACAGAATTGCGTGCGCACGTCACTCCACACGCGTACACCACCGTTCACTCCCAACCATCCTCTCATCAGGCAAAACATACCGGCAGCGGGGGCACCACCACCACCAACGTTCAACAAAAGCTCCTTAACGTCCTTACCCTCGAGGGCCTTGGCGAAGAGGGAAGCCCAGATAGGCTCAACGGTGACGTTGGCAGCCTTGGTGAGGGAGAGGAGGGCGTCGGAGGTGATCTCGGCCTGCTCGTCGGCGAGGATGAGAGCGGCGTAGGAGATGGCGAGCTCGTTGGTGGACATCTAGGCAATGTTTAGTTATTGGGTTCTTGAGGGTGTGGGTGTATGCATGTGCGGTGGATGAAGAGTGCGTTGAAGGAAGGATATGAAGAGAGCCGAAAGACGTCGAAATGAAGCTCGGGAAGCTCGTTGGCCAGTGTTGAATGCTGCTGATCTTGCCGTGGTATCGAGAACTCGTTGCCAATCCACGCAGTTGACCTTCCAGTTCCCCCAATGCCGTCCGCGAACACTTGTCGACCCCACCTTCATCAACCCATCCATCCCCGATCTCCCCATGAAACACGGCCAATTGTCGCACACACACATTCCTCAAGGCACTCTGATCACGCAGCACCGCACAAATTGACGGATCTTACCTTGATGGACTGTTTGGACGGCGGTGTGCGAGACGAGCTTCTCCCTCTTTCTCGACATAGTGCGCAGATTTTGGTGTGTGACTGTAGCGCAGCTAGCCAGGGCCAGACACGTGACGCTCCCGGACCCCCCGCCTGTCGCCGTGTGCGGAACTGTCTGTATCCAAAGTACTACACCATCAATATTATACGATGCAGGACATTCCGGAAAACGAGTTGGAGATCTATGAGGGGGTGGATCAGATCAGGGCCGAGTTGCGCGAGCTGAAGAAGGATCGCTCGCAGTATATCAAGACGGCGGATGTGTTGGCGCAGTACGAGAGGTTGATCGAGCAGGTGGACAAGCTTGTTGCAGTAAGGGAGGGTGATGGTGGTGCAAGATACGAGGAGGATGACAAGATGAATATTTTGTTGGACGACACTTTCCAGCTTCTGTCCGTGTTTTTTCTCAGCATTGGACGCACGCACTCTACACCCGCCACCTACATGCAAGCAGCAACCATCAAGCGTCTTCTCGACCATTTGAAGGAAGCTGGATCGTACACTGAGAATGACCTGAAACCAATTTCGGAGCGTTTGGAGCAGATGGAGTCAATCATCGCTGCGGACGAGAACGCACCCGCAGGACTGACCCGATTCTTGCACAGAAGGTTGGAGGCGTGCAAGATCATCCTCGCCGAACTGTACCACGACATCTGCCACCTCTCTCCCGAACTCGTTCCCATACAACAAAAACTAGTCAGCATCAGGCGTCAAATGACCGGTATCGCCTCGAAGAAGTCCTACAGCCCGACAGAACTCAAGCCCCTTCAAGAAGAACTCAGAAAACTCGATGCTCTCCGCGTGGATGGAAACTGGCTGTCCCCCAACGGCGGAATCCCCGAAGGTCAACAGCTCTGCCAAGGTCTCCTCTCCGAAGCCTATGAACTCGCGCAAGACCTCATCGCATCCCAAGGTGACGTCGCCGGACCCTTGCGTCCAATCTTCGAACAACTATCCGAACTGAAGACCCAGTTGGAGAGACTATCCCTCCTCCACCGCTGGACCCTCCGCGAAACCGACCTCTACACCTTCCAACAGCGCCTAAAATCCCTCGAATCCCAACGCACCGGCGGCAAATTCCACGCCCCAGACGGCACAATCCCCTCCCGCGGTCAATCCGTCCTCCTCTACGTCCTCCGCCGTTCCTACGCTCTCCTCTACTCCCTCCTCTCCGCATCCGAACCAGTCTCCGAAGCACTGATGCCGATTCATAATCAGTTGACTACGGTCCGGAGATGTTTGCTTGATGTGCAGAAAGGTGGGGGACCGTGGAGTGCGAGGGAGTTGTATCCGTATGCGATGAAGTTGGCTAGTATTGATAATTTGAGGGTGGATGGGAAGTTTGAGGGGGTTGGGGGGACGGTGCCGGAGGGGCAGGGGGCTGTGCATGCGTTGTTGAGTGAGTGCTATGATATTTTGTATGAGTTGAGGAGTGAGGCGGAATAGGCACGGGCACGGGCACGGGCACGATATTGCGGCAGCTGCTGAGGTGGAGGAGAAAGTGTACGTTTGCATGATATCCTTGATTTTCTTGGTTTGTTTGGTCTTGAAGTTTGTCGGCGTATGTCCTTTCTCGTTTTTTTTTTGGGTTTGTCAAGCTAGCTATCATATCAGTTATTCATGTCCATTGTCCCCAGTCTCCGTACTCCAGTACAGCTGTCGCGGCCCCTGACGTACACCCATATCGATCCGCAGCACATACAAACTCCATCTCAGCCTCCCCCAGCAGGGCTCGAGCGTCAATTGTCATGGGAAAGAAGAATAACAAGAAGGATAAGAAGCACGCTGCGGCGGCGAATGGCAGTTCGGCGCATCAGGTTGCGGTGAGCGTGGAAGGGAGCGGGGCGCAGTCTCCCGTCGAAGAGGTGGAGCAGGACCAGGTGCGGGTCAATGAGGTACTGCTGGTATTGAAGTCTCGAATACGTTTGAAGCTAATGGCTGGGATTTATAGGAAGCGGTTGTGCAGTCCGTTGCAGAATCAGTACCGGGAGAAATAGCCAACTCTGATCTACCAACATCAGACTCACCAGTCCTCGTCGAACCACCAAAATCCGAAACAGACACTGTGGTATCTATACCATCATTCAACTCCGAAAAGACAGAAACGGTCCCCAAAACTACCTATGATACCCTCCTCGCCGAGAACGCGGCTCTGAAACAAACCCTCGAAACCCTCGGCGAAACTACAATAAGTCTCTCCTCCTATTCGGCCCTCCAAGACGAAATCGAGAAACTTTCCGCGGAAAAGTACCGGGCGGAGACGGACGCAACGATTGCGCGGGTTGAGAAGATGGGTGCTGTGGAGGATTATGAGGGGATGGAGGAGGAGAGAGATAGCTTACGAGAAGAGCTAGAGAAGGTTAGGGCAGAGGTTGAAAGTGTGAGGAGGGAAATGGTGGAGAAGGCGAAAGAGAGATTGAGGCTTGATGAGACGGTCAGGATTGCGCATGAGAGGGAGAACGATGAACTACGGGCTCAGATAGAGATATTGCGATCCGCAGCCGCAGCCGCAGCAGCAGCAGCAGCAGCACAAAAGTCGAGTGAGGCATCAGAAGGATCAGAAGGAGCAGGAGTTGAGGAACTCCGCCGCGAACTTGCCGAAGCAAAGGAAAACGTCCAGCTCGCCGAAGAAGAACGCGACAAAGCCGAACAAAAACACCGCGAACTCCTCCAAAAAGTCAAAACCATGCGCTCAACTCTCGGCGAACGTCTCAAATCTGACGCCGAAGAGCTCGAAACACTACGATCACAGCTGACGCGCCTCGAAACTGAGAACAAGGAATTGAAACAAGCGTTGGAGACGGTACAGGAGGAGTTTGGGAGGGTTAGTGATGAAAGCGATGAATTGAGCCGAGAGGTAGCGAAGATGCGAAGCGAATCGGATAAGGGCTTCGCAAAATGGACAGCGGAACGACAATCCCTCGTCACCAAATCGCGAAACCTCGACGCGGAACTCGCATCCGCTAACAAAACGCTTTCTTCACTTGAATCGCTCCTCCAAGAAGAACGTTCCCTCCGTGAAGGTTTTGAAGCCCGTGTTGGGGAGTTAGAGGAGGAAGTTCATGCGAGACGGGAGGCGTTCGAGGAGCTGATGGGTAGAAGGGAGCAGGATGGGATGGAGATGGAGAGACTGAGGGGGCAAGTTAAGGAAGCCAAGGAAGCGCGGGAACGGGAGGTTAGGGAGATTGAGGAGAGGCTGCAGGGTGACATCGACAGACTTGTGACGGAGAGGAAGGAGTTTGAAGAGAGGGCAACCGATGCTGAAGCCAAGTTGACAACCGCCAAAGCCGATCTCGAAAAGCTTCCGAAGCTACAAGCCGACCTCAAAGAAAAAACCCTGGCCCTAGCAAAGGCTCGCCACGAATCCATCATTCTAAACGAACACCTCACCAAAGCCCTCCGTCTTCTAAAACGCTCCTCGTCCAGCTCCAACTCGACAGTCGATCGACAACTCGTCACGAACTTGGTGTTGAAATTCCTGTCATTGCCTAGAGGTGACGCAAGAAAATTTGAGGCATTGGGTGTACTGGGAGGATTTTTGGGGTGGACGGAGGAGGAGAGGGGGGTTGCTGGGCTCGCACGACCAAGCGGCAATGCCTCGGGCGCAGCAGCTGGAGGTTTGATGAGCCCAGGGTTGCAGAGCCCGTTAGGGTTTAGGAGGGTTAGTTCGACGTCAGCGCTGTCTGCTGCTGATTATTTCCCACCGGCGGGGAGGGATGAGAGTATGAGTGATCTATGGATACATTTTTTGGAGAAGGAGGCGGAGGCGGGACGGACGCCCAGTGTCAGTGAGGGTCCGGATTCGAGTGCGATTGCGAGTGCGGATGCAAAGTAGGAAGCAGGAGAGCGGTCGGTAGAGCGAAAGGGAAAGAGACAATGTCAATTTAGCATGAGGCAACATTCATCCAAAAGCTTCGCTAATTTAGCGCATTCAATCGGTTCATTCAGCTCCGTTCCGTCTTTAGTCATGCAGTCCACGGGTATAGTATATACAATCGTCCTCAAGAAGCACTTAGAGCTCCTTCTTGGTAGCAACACGCTCGGTGTGCTCCTTGTTCTCAAACGGAAAACCACTGGTTCCTTTAGTCGTATCCGCTCCAGTCTTCCTCGAAATACGTCCACTAAAAACAACCATTAGCCTTGAGATTCTCTTATTAGAAGCTTTGCGGGTGACATACTTGTCAGTAGCAAAAAGCATACACCATAACCCAACAGCAGCCAAGACACCCTCAACAATTGCCGCGATATAGTACGTGAACGAATGTCCCTTCGCTCCGAACGCATACGTCAACATCATCGCCGCAACGTGATAAGCCATCGTGATGCCCAATGTAGGAACCGTATACGGTGCTCTGGGGTCCTCCTCTGCCGTTGTCGCTCTCAGACTCGATGTCAACGGAATGGCTCCGGTAAGGAGGAGAGAGAGAATGGAGAAGGAGAGGAGGGTTAGGCCGAGACCGCGGGTGAGGTAGATCTCGAGGGGTGAGGGTTCACGAATCTCGGGGGAGAGGAGGGTGACGATCATTGTTGGGGAGGCGAGGAGGGGAAGGGATTGAAGGGCGCCCCAGAGGGCGGTGCCGTAAGAGTAGCCGTGGTAGACGTCCATATTGGTTGTTTGTGAAGAATGTTAGTTGGAGGGTGGTGAGGTTTTTGTACTTTATGGCGGGGCCTCCTCATGACGTCACGGGGATCCGCATGACGGTGTGCGCGTGCCCAGCACACCTCCTCCATGCTGTATGTTGTATGTCGATTGCGCACAATACATAGGACGAATATACCTCTTGCCTAGTATCCCCCGACTGCCATCCCACCACCAACCACCTGCTACCGTGCCCCAAGCACCGCCAACCCCCTCCTCAACTCCGCAACCGCCGTCTCCACATCCTCATACTCCAACGCACTTATCGCGAATCGCGCATGTTTTCGCGCTTGTTGCATCTCGTCTTCCGTCACCTCCTTCGCCCTCACTTCTTCACGTACCGGGGCGGGTGGTGTGGGATGTGAGGGCGCATGGAGTTCTGTGTCGGGGGGTGAGTCGTACCGCTCCGGCGCGCTCGGTGATACATGCGGGAAGTATGATGACGCTACTGGTGCTGGTGCTGGTGCGGGTGCGGGTGGATTGTCATAATACCCTCCGCCTTGGATGGGTGGGGAGATTGTCCGGTCCGAGAAAGGGTCGAGAGAGGAGTCTTCGGGTTCGATTCCGGGTGGAGGAGGGGCTGATGCCATTTCCTCCACTTCCGCTTCCACTTGTTTCTGTTCTTCCTCCAATTCCGTCCTCCGTTCCACATTGGGGTCCATTTTGGTTTTGACGCAGCGGAGGATTCGAGCAGCTTGGTATTTCGCGTACTTGATCTTCTCCGCACAATCCCTCCCCGCAGCCAACGTCCGTGCCCTTTCTACCTCGTCTTCGCCTTCCGCTTCTGCTTGTTCATCTGTGTCGAGGAAACACCCGCGCCAAACTTCGAGAAAGCGGGAAGCGGCGAGGAAGGTGGTCGCTGTTTTGAGGGAGGCGCGGGCGACGCGTTCTTCGTTGTCGGCTGTGGCGAAGATGCGGAGGGCAAAGGTTAGGAGGTGGGTGCGAGATGTGGGTTTGGATGACATGGTGGGGTTGTCAGCTAATTGTGCGCGAAACTATATCAACACCCGTATGTCAGCACTGTAGTGATCGCAGAAGGGAGGGAGTAGTACGCACGCTTTCGACGTCGTCCATGAGGGAGAAGACGTATGATCTTACTTCGGGGTCTGTCGTTGCGCGAACGATGGGGATGGAGAGTTGGACGGCGTATTCGAGGCAGTAGTAGGAGACGACTGGGTCTGCTGTCCGTAGTTCGGTTGAGTGCTTGATGAACTGTGTCACCGTCTTCATCGCTGGTGCCGCTGCCATGCTGGATCACGATCAGAATCAGAATCAATAGATGTTGATGTTGAGGAGGACCCGCGAACGGATCAGTTGCCCGACGTACGTGGATCGGAGTGCGGCAGACGTGCAGTGAACGACAGGTGCGCGTCTTACAGCCAAACCTCGATAAACTCGCGTCGTCCAGCACAAAACACCAAAGGGAGGCGAACAGACAACAACCAGCTGCAGCTCTGATCAGCATACACCTCCTCAAAATCAACAGTCAGAGGTAGAGAGTCAAGATGCCCGCCCCAGGCGACCAACACAACGACGGCCCCAGTGGAATCTTCCGCAACCCCTACCTTCCCGCCACCGCCGACCCCCCACGAAACCCCTACACCGCAGCTCAAATCTTAACTTTGCAGCACCAACTCAACAAATGCCTCGGACCAGAATTCGTGACGCAGCGTCCCGGCGCAGGCGGACAGAAGGTCAGTTATGTGGAGAGTTTCAAGGCGATTCAGCTCGCGAATGAGATTTTTGGGTTTAATGGGTGGAGTTCGTCGATTAGGGCTATTCATCAGGATTTTGTACGTTGTCTCACTACTCCCTTGGATGTAGAAGACTGACACGGGCACAGGCTCACGAGATCAACGGCCGCTGGTCCATGGGCATCTCCGTAACCATGCGCGTTACCCTCCAAGACGGCACATACCACGAAGACATTGGCTACGGCTCCATCGAAAACACAAAAGGCCTGGCCGGCGCTTACGAAAAATGCAAGAAAGAGGGCACGACGGATGGGCTGAAAAGGTGTCTTCGGAACTTTGGGAATGTGTTGGGGAACTGCGTGTACGACAAGGAATATTTGGCGAGGTTGAAGAGGGTTAAGGAGAACCCGGTGAGTTTCCTCCTGATGGGGATGGTGATAGTGTATGGGATTTCATGCTGATTCGTGATGTGTGTTCGTAGGTAAGGTGGAACCCCGCGACATTGCACCGCCGACCAGAGAATCTACCACAAGGCCAACCCCGCCCAACCCACTTCTCCCAAATAACCTCCGCCCCACCTCCCGAAGTCGTCGAATATTTCACCGTTCCCCCCAACCATGGCCCCACCTCCGTCCCCACTCACCCCCCCACCAACCCCACCACCATGCCCCCCCACATCCAAAGAACCGAAACCCACGAAAGCAAGGAAAGCGACATGTACAACGACGACGAACTCGACGACATGGATTTCGATGGGATTGAGGCGGAGTTGATGATTACGGAGGAGGAGGAGAGGTTTGGGGTGGAGATGGGGGGGTATGATGCTGTTGTGTTGGATGAGGGGGATGAGGGGAGTGGGGGGTATGATGGTGGGAATGGGAATGGGAGTGGGGTGAAGGTGGAGAAGTCAATATATGCGGGTTCTGGTGGTGGAGGATACAACAGTGGCAATAGCGTGGGACAGAACCACGCACAAGGCGCCGGCGCACCGACGTTTGGACGAGTTCCCGTGTTCAATGTCGGGAACTCGAGGTCTGGGGCTGGAGCACCAGCACCAGCACCAGCACCACAGCCTCAGGCGCAGGCGCCGGTGCAAGCACCCCATTGGAATAACAATCGACCGGAGACGGTGAAAGGGCCGTCGGCACCACCGGCGCCGGCACCGGCACCTGCGGGGAATGGGAACTGGAGTAATAACGGCAACAACGGCAACAACGGCAACAACGGCAACAACGGCAATGGTGGAAATAATGGCGGCGGTAACGGAGGTGGTAATAGAGGTCGTAATGGGGGCGGGAGTATGATGCAGAGGTCGAACAGTATGGGTATGGGACCACCAGCGCTACCCGCATCCGTACCCGCACCAGCCGCTGCTCCCTCAGTACTCGCTGCTGCCCCCGCGAGTCCAGACTCCGCTATCGCACCGCCTACAGACTATGATCAAGAAGCCCCACCAGACGCCATCATTGCCTTCATGAACGCCCGCGCCGCAACAGGCCAAACAACCGCCCTCTTCGACCCAACGAAAGACTCGCCAATCCTCAAGCGTACAGCAGGGATCGAGCACGCAAAGTCGAGTCCGATCAGGAGAGATGGGAAGCCGGTTCAGGCCAAAACCGGTACTTCGGTGCCGCAACAGCCGCAGTTTGGTGGGGCTCCGGGAGGAATTGGGAGGAGGATTGGGGTGCCGCCGAGTCCGCTTGGTGGAGGGGGTGGAGCGGGTGGAGCGGGTGGAGCGGGTGGAGGGATGGGTGGGTTTGGGAGGGTGAAGCCGTTTAAGTTGCCGACAATGAATTTGGGACAAGCGCAAGGAGGGGGGTCATTAGGAGGAGCAGGTGGGGCAGGGGAGAAGAGGGTGTTTGGGGATGCGACGGGGGTGAATGTTAATGCTGGCGGGGGTAATATGGGAGGTGGAGGACCACCAGGAGGTGGGTCCGGAGGGACGGGACCGGGGATGGAGGGAGGTGATGCGAAGAGGACAAAGATGTGAAGTATGTAATTAATTGGATTTGAGCAGAAAAGGGAGTACAAGGGAGTTGGATTTCGGTGTTTGTTCTTTTCTGCATTTCTTCATAGCCATAGTGAACAAGCGACAATTATGCTCGTTCTCAGCATGTAAAGGTTCGTTCGTAATATCGCCTTTGCCCTCAGTCACGTCCCTCCCTTTGTAGCTGTACCAGTTCAGAAGATCTCCTCCTCTCTATTCCCCAAATCACCGAGCCACTCCTGGTAATACACACAACTCCCATGATTCACCGGTCCACCCTCCTTGCAAACATCAAACACCGGACAATTCCCACACGGCGCCTCCACAAATGCATTCTGCGCTATCTTATTGAAGTCACGTACAGCAGAATATGTCATCCCATCTGGCCTCTTCTCAATCTTTCCATCGTAGATCAAGACATCCAACAACTGCATGATATCCAACACTGTGAGTTCGGTATTCGTGATTCCCATGTTATTGACCCATTCATGGATTTCAGTCGCGTTGGGGTAGCACCTGGTATAATCTGGCACATAATGCGTCGCCCGGATCTTATCCCCCGCCCTCTTCTACCGCCACGCCCGGTCTTTCAAAAACTTCAATATCCCCTCACTCAACCCCAATATTAACCCCTCATCCAACCCATCATCACTGTAAAACACACCGCCACTCAAACTCGCACTAGGCTCCAAATCGTACAACATGTACCACTTTTGGGTTGGTTTCTCGACCTTTTTGACTTGTTTGATCATTTGTTTTGATTCGAGGCGTTTGATTACGTTCGTTACGGTGACTTGGGGTAGATTGGATCTCTTGCGAAGTGTGGCGAGGTAGATTCCTTCTGTATTGACGGGCTGGACAATTTGGTAGACAGTTTCGTCGTCGGGATTGAGGTCAGAGAGGCGGGCAGCTTCTTGAGGACGGAGGCCACGGTACATAATTTCTCTACCATTTTGGATCTGGATTTCGACCATTCTTTGGAGACGACTGTCAGTGAATGGCTTATGGGGGATGGGGGGGGGAAACATACGAATCCCAACAACTCATTCACTGCTTCTGCGATCTGATACTGGGCCTTATCTGGTAACATGTCGTTGACCTCATCTTGGGACTTGAGAGTTGGGGAGATTGCAACCAATTGTTCATGGAGGAGCCGTGCTGTAACGTAGACTTCTAAATTTAGAAGCTCGAGGATGTAAGGTTCCTTCGCGGCATTGGCATCACTCCCTCGCGTTGGGCTGCATGAGCCCACTCGAAGCCTAAACAGACCGAGTAGCAGCACCGGGTGGAGCATATAGACTCTGGACAATTGGACAGTCAGTTCGTTGCTTGATATCGATTCTGCTGGTACGGAAACGTATTTCGAGTCGATTACAGCTTAGAAGGATCAAGGATCCTTGTGGGGTAATCTATTCCATACACGACGTCGACGCACCGAACACCAAACACGCAACACGAAACAATCACACTTCGCTGAGACAAAACACAACGACAAGCATCATCAAGCAGCTTAATTCGAGATGAACGGCTACTACCAATCTCCTCAGCAAGCTCAAGCCGCCGCACAGCAGTACTACCAACAACAACAACAGGCGTATCAACAGCAACAGCAACAAATGATGATGCAACACTCGCAGCAGCATCAGTATCAATATCCGCAGGCACAGTATGGATATCTGCAGCCTCAGTTGCAGCAGAGTGCGTTGCCTTTGATGGCGGGTGGGGGACAGGGAGGGGAGGAGGGGGTGCATTATCAAAGACAACCAGAGAGGTTGACGAAGACGCAGCAGGAGAAGGCGGCGACGGCGAAATTGAAGTTGGAGCATTTCTATAAGGTTGCTGTTGAGCAAGCTGTTGAGCGGAATCAGCGGTAAGCTTCGGTTCGTTGGATGTATTTATGCTGGCGTGCTGACTTGTGGGCGTGTAGACGACTCGAGGCTGAACAGAGACTGGCCCAAGACCGGGGATCTGAGGAGAGAAAACAGAGACAGTTGAGAAGTTTGGGAGAGAAGGAGAGTCAGTACTGTAGATTACGACGAACCAGACTCGGCCTCGATGATTTCCATACCGTGAAGGTCATCGGAAAGGGTGCTTTTGGAGAGGTGTGCATGATGTTGTCTTTGCCAAAAACCGAATACTGACGATATTGTGCACAGGTCCGCTTGGTACAGAAAGTCGATACCGGCAAGATTTACGCCATGAAGACACTTCTCAAGTCCGAGATGTTCAAGAAGGATCAGCTCGCACACGTCCGTGCAGAGCGTGATGTCCTCGCCGAATCTAACTCCGAATGGGTTGTGCAGTTGTTCTACTCATTCCAGGATGTGAATTATCTGTATTTGATTATGGAGTTCTTGCCCGGTGGTGATTTGATGACGATGTTGATTAAGTGGGATACGTTTAGTGAGGATGTGACGAGGTTTTATATTGCGGAGTGTGTGTTGGCGATTGAAGCGATTCATAAGCTTGGGTTCATTCACCGGTTTGTTCAACCTTTTCTTGTGCGTCTTGAGTTTTGCTGACGGAAGGTGCAGTGATATCAAGCCTGACAACATCCTCATCGATCAGTCTGGTCACGTCAAGCTCTCCGACTTTGGTCTCTCGACAGGTTTCCACAAGACTCACGACTCGGCATACTACCAGCGTCTTCTCACAGCACCAAAGCCTTCATCCTCGTCATCGAACCCTCAAACTCAGATCCATCTGACCTTGAAGGAGCGCGTGGCAACTTGGAAAGCAAACCGTCGTGTCATGGCTTACTCCACCGTCGGTACGCCCGACTACATCGCCCCCGAAATCTTCCTCCAGCAAGGCTACGGCATGGAATGCGACTGGTGGTCCCTCGGCGCAATCATGTTCGAATGCCTTGTCGGCTGGCCCCCCTTCTGCTCCGAAAACGCCCACGAAACATACCGCAAAATCATCAACTGGCGCGAACAACTCTACTTCCCCGAAGACGTCCACATCTCCGCCGAAGCCGAGGACCTCATCCGTCGTCTCATCACTTCCGCCGACCACCGTCTCGGCCGCCACTCTGCTGACGACCTCAAGGCGCATCCGTTCTTTGCGGGTGTTAATTGGGCGACGATTAGACAGGTTGAGGCGCCGTTTATTCCGCAGTTGAAGAGTATTACTGATACGAGTTACTTCCCGACGGATGAGTTGGAGGATGTGCCGGATGCGCCGGCGGTTGCGGCGATGAGGCAGCAGCAGGATACGGCGGGTGCGCAGCAGAGTGGGAATGGAGTTGCGGAGACTGGAAAGGATTTGGCGTTTGTTGGGTATACGTATAAGAGGTTTGACATGATGACCAAGAAGGGAATGTGGTAGACCAGCATAAGCAACAAGAGAAGATGAAGGCGGAGTGGAGAGTGGAGGAGGAAGAGTGCAGGCGATGGACGGTGCAATTGTTTGCTATTTATTTTTGGCTTTTGAGTTTGGGCATGGTTTGTTTCTCGTTAGCGAATATCAAAAATAAAAGTTGGTTGGCCATATGCTCCACACCGATGCATGTGTATGGATCGTGTGACTCTCTGCCCCATATGACGTCTGTCAGTTGCGGAGGTCTCCCCCCATATAACCCCCAAGCAAACCAGGAATCCTTGTGCGAAACAATGAGCTACCTTTTCCTAGAAGCAATGTCCTCAGCAGCAGACATCGACCCAACCATCCTCGCAACCCACGAACCGGACGAAGTCCTCTCCTCAACCTCTAGCTCTCCCACGGACGTCGACACCAAGGCCGGGTCGTTGGGGTTGCTTCACACGGAGAGTCCGCAAGAGATGATGACACACGAGACACGCGGACATGCGAGAACGAATACTATGGACACCACCGTCAGCGAGACGGCGAAGGAGGAAATGGGCGCTGCGAAGGGGTTGCATTTGCCTGGTGAGGATCAGGATCCGCATGGGGGGATGATTATGGATCAGGCAGTTGGAGGACATGGGAAGGGTAGGAGGGAGGGTGATGAGACACATTTTGGGGCTGGGAAAAGTGAGTTTGATGAGCATACGCTTGACTTGAATTTGTGGGCGTAAAGGCTGATTGTGGGTGTCGTGTAGGGTATGTTCATTGAAAGAGGTGGGGGTGGGGGGTACGGGCTTTGAGGTGGACTGATGAAACAGTCATTGAGGATATTATTGAGGACTATATCTTTGTAGCAGCAGAGTCGACGTTAACTGCAGGAAGGAGCACGCTGCGCAGTGGTTGTGAGCTTGCCCCAACTCGTGCTGTATGATAGGCGGAATACATTCTTTTGGCCGGGCTCCCGTTGCTTTCGAAACTCCTGACGCCCGTCCCTGTCCCGTCATAAATCCATGTCCCAGGCATATATGGTATCTTCACCTCCCCTCTCCATCCCCTTACAACAAAATCAACAACGCCAACACAACAACCAACACAACCCCCAACAACCCCACACACCACCCCCCCAACCAATCCTCATTCCTCCTCAACACCTCCCCCACCCTCTTCATCCCCATCTTCAGCTTATCCTGCGTCTTATCCGCCAAATCCTCGACTTCCCGCAGTAGGGACGATTGATCGGCGAGTTCGTTGGACATGGTGTGGGCTTGGGAGTTGAGGGTGTGCAGGGATCGGTGGAGGGAGGTTAAGTTTTGGTCTTGGTCGGCTATAAGGATTTGTTGGTGTTGTTGTTCGAAGTCGCCCACTGCATCGCCGCGTTCAAGGTCGGGGTTTTCGGGCGGTGAGCGGCGGGAGGAATAGGAGGTCCGGGAAGGGAGGGGTTTCCGCATTTCTTCGCGCATGTCGTCGAGTTCGCCTTTTACTTCTGACACGAAGCGTTTCCGTTTCGTAACTTCTGCTGTGTCAAGGCCATACCGCGACGGATCGACCTCAACAACACGTACGCTTTCCCCCAAATCCTCGAGATACTCGTTCTCGATCTCGCGTAACACGGCATCTAACTCATCCTTTCCCGTAACCAATTCCTCTGATGCTGGTGCTGTTGCTCTTATCCTCAGGTAGGACGAGAAGAGGGTGCGAGCTTGGTTGAGTTGGTTGAGAGTATCTGCCTTGACCTCCAGAAAGGGATCTTCTGCCATTGCAGTTGAATTGATGTTGTTCGGTTTTTTGGATGGGTGACGTCGTGGTGGGGAGGGAGGATTGTGCCCTTGCCCGACCGTTGTTCGTACGGCAGGATTACTGCTGTGTGCAGAATTCTTGACGCGCATTCCCGTACATGCGCGAGAAGATATGTCCCGATGTCGACCGCGACAAGGTAATCAACCAATATGCTTCTGGGAAGGACGTCTGTTGATATTGCGGCCAACATCGAGAGGTCTCCTCGCACAGTTTACCGCATTGTGAAGAGATTTGAGGACACAGGGCTTACTGAGCGTGAGGGCAACTCAACCTGCGGGCACAAACCGGCTATTGACGAGTTTCTGGGCTCGGTAAGTAGACTACTACTGCTTACAGGTACCACCAAGGGCATCACTAGACGACCGCAGCAAATTAAATACTTGTACGACACAAACCTACCCTCTATCAAGACGGCTGTGCTGAGTTTCTCAACGATCAATTCGCTACATCTCTATCGCGCTACCATGTCACCCGCTGCCTGCAAATTTAGGGTTTGGGTTTGTAACCAGATCTTACGCGCAAACCATGCCATTGAAATTGCTGCCTATACTCAAGAGCAGCTGGTATTTCTCGACGAATCAGCCGTGGATGAGCGCAGGTTCACAAAAATTTGTGAACCACTGACTGGCACCCGCGCCGTCCAGGAGAAGGTCTTTGGACGTTTGACACGTTGGAGTGTGCTGCTGGCATTGACTACTGAAGGCTTGGAGGCGCTACGCATCGTTCAGGGGTCCTTCAATGATGACCAATTCGCCAAATTCATTAACGAGGAGCTGCTACCAATCGTTGGTCCATTCCCTGGTCGAAACAGTGTCATTGTGCTTGATAATTGTCGACTTCATCATGAACCAAGGGTTGCTGAACTCTTAGTGAACCAACATGGGTACCACATTGTTTTCTCACCACCGTACCCGCCCGACCTCAACCCAGTCGAGCTCCATTTCAGCATGATGAAGGCCTGGATGAAGAGCAGAAACAGCGATCCTGACGCCCGTCTCGCCCCTCCCTCCTTTATCTGCAAAGCGATCGACTATATCAACACAGATGTCAAAAAGATCCGCAGTTTGTGTACACGGGCTGTGGTTATGCGCTACGCGGCATGGATTTGCGCGAATATGTTGATAACAACTGTCAAATGGCCCCTCGAGCAGCTGAGCGGGTGTAGCTATCATTCACTAGTTAGTCTCAGTAATTTCATGAATCAAAGGAACATTTCGTTCATTATTCACATACTTGCCGTTCTCATGGGTCATTTCCCGGGTCTTGATCATTCCACACCCCAGCGCCGACAAAAAACTCGGGATATCTCGCCAACCGCAAATCGGATCTCGGAGCGTAGAGAGTATATAGATTGATAAAAGTCCCCTGAATCCGTTCCCACCTTCAAATTCGGATTTGAAGGTTCCTGGGAGAAGATACCAACTGTTTCTCACCTCTCAGCCCGGCGCTGCGGCTGGTGTGGCACAGCGCATATATGCATAAATCTGCACATCACATCTCAGCAGTATTTGGCAGAGTACAGCAGCTGGTGGAGTGAAATCTGCGAGTTAAAGGTATCAGGATATTCAAAAAGTTACTCTCTATCTCTCTACGCTCTTACCGTATTCCCAAGTTCAATGGCTGTTGAGATATCTTTGAAATTGTGAGTGCGCCGGGGTGTGGTATGAAGATTTAGGAGTGTGGAATGATCAGGACCCCATTTCCCTAACAAAATGACTGGGAACTGCCCCACCTGCATGGGATGCAAGTGTAGCTTACTAGACTACGCTCTTCTGAGACAAATAGTATGCACACTAAGCCCTGCTTTGGTGCGCATGTCCAGCATATTGCTTGCTAATTCCTGCGTTAGAGTGCAGAATGCTTGAGAACGTCACTTCGTACTCGACGGAGTATGTGAGAGTTTTGTGAGCTTATTGCAAAAGAATCAAGCATTGTGGATTGGAAAGCAGTACAGTACGACAAAGATAACTATAAAGCAAAGCTTTCTTCAAACTCCTGGCTCTCGTAGACCTCGAAGGGTGTCTCCTTTAGGCCTAGGGGTCAAGGCTTCGATTGCTGCACCTGCTGGATACCTTTCCAAACCGGCCACCACTGGCGCATAATCCTCACCCATCCATGCTTCACAGGTGGTAGGCCATTGGCCTCAATGTTTTTGAGATCGCCATGCACTACTCCATTGTCGCTTATTGCATCTCGAACTGTTTGACAATTGAAGTCGATGTAGTCTGGAACCTTGGTCTTAACATAGGCTAGAGCCCCCGTCCAAATCATCAGCAGCTGGCCCTTAAAGAGGGCTTGAGCCTCTGAGCATTTGCGTGTCAATGGTCGTGGTTGTTGGGGTCGGGGTTGGAGTAGGCTGACTGGAGGGAGGTAGCGGTAGATCGAATCGAGGCGCAGTCACTGGTGTAAGTAGCTGAGGGACACCGGACGAAGAGTGCCTGCTTTCAGGTGTTTCCAATTGATCTGTCGACTTGAATGGTTCAAGCAACCGAGCAAAAAGGGGATCATGGATGGGCGGATCCTCGATGGTAACTCCAGGTTCTTTCGCCACCAAGTACTTAGACCGTAGATTGAGGAGATCATTGGTAATGTATCGATGTTGGTGAGAAAAAGGATGAACATAGCAGTACTGCTGGTGGTGCTTGGCGCATTTGTGCTTAGCCTGCAGGGTCTGAACAGCAAGGATCCTTTTGTAGCGTTGAGGATCATTCGCAAGTTCATTTGGAATGCCCTGGAGAGCATTATTGGTAGCACTGTGCCTAGGTCGAGGGATGAGAGGCTTTGAAGCCTTGGACTGAGTCTGAGAGGCGTGCACGGGGTTTGCTCGTCGAACTCGGATTGAGAAGCAGCCCTTGTAGGGTCATAGTGTGTATAGGCTAGGACGAACACTGTCCATTCGACCTTGGGTGTATTGCGCCCAACGCGGACGGCATCAATGAAGGCTTCCCAGTCGTCCTCCGTTCGTAGTCTACACCATGGTGCATCCCGGCTCCTTCCACGGCAGACTTTCCAGTTGATGTTGGGCTTCAGGGAGTATTTGTTGACGCCTTCGACGACCATATGATCATGAAGCAGTTCCTCGAGGGCGAGATTGATCAAAAGCTGCTCTTGGTCGGCCCAAGACCTGACTGGATTGACCGTCCAGGGTGCTTGAGGGTACTTGTGGTTCTTTTCCCTAGTGGCGAGAATGAAGACCCGGAATCGTTGAATCTGATGATAGTCAACCGGTGCGTCTTCGTCTTTAAGTTCAATGACTGTCTAGGCCTTTTTTCCCTTTGGACTGTATTTGTAGGTGGTGGTGAGGCTGCATCCTCAAGGAGACGGGAGGGCAGTTTGTGGATACCAGTCGATGCCCTGCGCTTATGAAAAGCCTTAGCAGCTCCTTTCAGTTTTCTACGAGGTGTTTTCAAGCTTTGACGGCTTGTTTGGTGGGATGGTCGCGTCCTGCGCGAAGACGCGATAAAATGATGCACGTCACGAATTTTGCACGCTGCAGTAATTCGTGAAAACGACCGCACCATAATTAACTCTCGAACAACAACAACCAGCACACGATGATCACGCCGTCGTTTTCCGTCACTCAAGATGAAGAGTTTGTTTTCATCGAGATCAACGCGCCTTACATCAAGGTACGCCGTCACTCGCTGCTTATACCGTCTCCCTACTGACCGTGCGAAAGGCTCAAAACATTGAAATGCACGTTGCAGACGAGACATTTATCTTCAGTCTAAAGCCATACTACCTGCGACTACGCTTCCCTGCGCCCTTAGTCGAGGATGACCGCGCTCATGCCTCCTACGACGTCGGCGCCGGCGTTATCTCCGTCAAATTGCCCAAGGAGAACAAGGGTGAACATTTCCCAGACTTGGACCTGATCTCAAAGCTATTGGCGAGGTCTGGGGAAGCTGCTTCTGCGACTGCACCAGAAGCGCGGGTTCAGCTTCCGTTGATTCAAGTTATGGATGATGGATCGGGCGAGAATGCTGGTGATGCGATGGTGGATGCGCAGAATGATCTTGCTCAAGCGAGTGAGTTTGATTGGGAACTTCCGCAGGAGGTAGCGCCTGATGTTTCGGAACTGTTACATGCCAAATATGGGTTCAATCTCATGTATCAGGGACACTTCACATATGCGCAAGAAACGGCAAATGATATCAATGAGATTATGGAGCCGGAAAAGTCAACGGCTGAGTCGAGAAAGAATGAGAGGTTGATGAAGGAGGAGGTGAAATTTGATGAGGCATATTACCAGACGGACTTTGTTCACACGGAGGAGATTGACGAGTGTATCAAGTGGAAGTCACCGGCGTGGACTGCTCTGAGAGAGCTCCAGAAGGCCGAGAAAACCCAGTCAGAAGGTGATGGTATTGGCTTCTACCGTCCTCCTCCGGCAAGCTGACACTATTACAGACCCAACCACCTCATCCCCCGAAATCACCTTCGACGACAAGGAAACAGAAGCCCTCCTTCGTCTCCCCCGCCGCGAATACATCATCTCAGACCCCCGCTCCCTCTACCTCTGCCTCATTCCCCTCCTCTTCGCCCACGCCTACGACACGCGCACAACCCTCAACGACCCAACCCCCGAATCCGCCTGGACAATCGGTAAGCTCTCACCCACAATCGCCTGTCTCGACTCCTCTTTCCAATCGATTCGCGAAGTGATGGTAGCGTGTACGAGGCGAGCTTTAAGTTATCCCCTGTATAGGAACTGGAAACTGGTGGAGAAGTGTTGGGAAGATGTGTATTGTGCACTGAGGCTTGGGAAGAGGTGGGTGTTGAAGTGTTTGTTGGGGGTTCGGGAGAGGTTTGAGTGGCATGACGTTTATTACATCTATAACAAGATTATTGTGGAGGATTTTTGTGTGTGGATTCAGAGTGCGAAGTGAGTCCTCGCTTTCTGTTGAAGACGTGTACGTGTGATGATGCTAATGGTTGAGCAGTGATAATGTGATTAGGACGTTGGCGCATGAGGTGCGGCATTGCACGCTGGCTAAGAGTGAGACGGGGTGGGATTTGGAGGAGTTAGAGAGCAAAACTTCGCAATAGATTACTTCACAGGAATCATAACTCTCACGTTGAGCAGGGTCGAGAGGGCTGTGCTAGGTTGATATCAGAGCGGTGGTCGGAATATGGGAATGATACCCGGACCTTTTGGGTAGGCAATCGCTAGAATACGATTCGGTTAGAAACCACGCATTTGTACGCATGATATCACGAATGTCCCCTTGCTCGTCGAAGTCGAATCTCTCTAAGTTGTGGTATATTCAAGTCATGCTTGGTTAGAATCATACACTCCCACCCTCCCTCATGCCTTCCCAATCAAAACCTCCTCCCTCTTCCCCCTCTCCACATGTTCATCCGTCAACAACCTCTTCTCATTAACCCGACTCCTCCTCGCATCCTCCACAGCCTCCGCCTTCTTCTCCGCCGCCTCATCGATCTTCTGCTGTACCTTCTCCCACCCTCTTCGTCCCAATCGAACAATTTCGCTCGGGATTGCGGCGTAGTCGACATCATGCTGCAGGTATCTGATTCCGGATTCGAGACCAGCGTTCCACCTGTCTGCGAGATGTTCGGTGAATGTGCGCGGGATGTGGGTGGAGTGGAGGTCTAAGGGAACGGAGGGTGCGTTGAGGGAGTCGAACATTGCGCGTTGGTTGTCCAAGGAGCTTTTAATGCCGTTGGCGGTGGTGGTCATCTGTCAATTGGACCTCGAGGTTAGCATTTCGTTGGCGATGAGGAGAGGTGAGGGAAGGGTGGGGTGTACGTGGAGGTAGGCACCGTAGGTAACTGAGGTACCCAGCAGGACCCCAGAAACAACGGGCCAGATCAATCGAGGCATCGTAACGAAACCAAATCGAGATTTGTGGTGGAGTGTAACGTAGACACCCCTTCAGCGCCCCGACGTACAAGTCCGGGGATCAGATACAGCCTAGCCCCAGGGGCACCCCTACAGCACCCGATTTTTGGAGTACGCAGCGAAATAGGGATACGACCGATCAAAGAGCCCGGATCTGTCTATTTTCTCTCAAAGGCATATTTATCACGTCCAGCCTCCTCGGGAGAGAATAAGACAAGATGCCTATTAAGAGAAATATGCGTGGGTTGCATCGGACGAGCTCGCACCGTAATGCTTTGGTATGTGGTCCCTGGGATGTCCTGGTTGTTGTTGTGGAAGAAGGCTATTAATGATGGGATGTGTATAGTTGAGGAACATGGTTGTGTCGCTTGTGATGCATGAGTCTATTCTTACGACATGGCATAAGGCGAAAGAAGCACAGAGTGTGGCAGATAAGATCATCACGATGGGAAAGCAATACCTGGGTGGAGACAGAAATGCACTCATAAAAGCACGGGGTTACTTCTACGTATGACCGTCCTCCACACGTCCTGCAGGGCTGGCCTAACACGCTCGTACAGAACCAAAAGGAGCCGACGAACAAGCTCTCCACCATCCTCGCCCAGCGCTACAAGGAAAGACCAGGCGGCTACACCCGCGTCCTCCGCGCCGACCCCCGTGTCGGCGATAAAGCCCAAATGGCCGTCCTCGAATTCGTGGACGGCGCCCGCGACACACGCTTCGCCATGACCGCCCGTACCCTCGCCCACGACGAAATGTACGACAAACCCCAAACCCCAATAACCCTCCGCAACATCGTCAAAGTTACCCGTTACCGTGGGGAGACCGGAACGGCCGAACTCAAAGATTTCGCGCAGAAATTCAAGGCGGCGTTTCAGAGACGAGGGTTCCATGCGCCGGAGCAGGCTCCGAAGGAGATGGAGAAGCATATGAAGATTAATGATGAGAAGATGAAGAAGATGGATAAGGAGAAGAAGATTAGGGAGACGTGGGTTGCGGAGAAGGAGGCGCTGAAGCTGTTGAAGGAGGACAAGAAGAGAGAGGAGCTTCAGAGGAGGCAGGTGCTCAAGGCTCAGGCAATCGAGAACCGGCGCAAAAAGGCCAAGCAGGTCGAGGCCTAAGGAGGGGTGATCATGGCAGGTGTAGATAACCAAATATCATCATTCACGATTTCGGTGTATTTTATTGGCCTATGCCCGGGGCAGCACGTGCCTGCGCTACAAACTCCACTCGAAGCCGTGCACCTTCGCTCACCACCAAAAGAGAAGCAGCCAGAGGAGCATACAATCCAGCATACACCCCATTATACCCCCCACAATGCTCCGATCCGCTCTCAGAACAACCCTCCCCTCCCCCCGGCCCGCCCTCGCCCTCCGCTCCATCTCCAAAGAAATGGGCCCCGTCGAACCCACCAAACTCACCCCAGACATGCAACCCTCCATCCCCCAATCCAACCAACACGAAGCCCGCACCCTCCAAGCACCCAACCGCACCACCACTTGGTCATCCAGCCAAATCGAGCGCTCACAAGCTATGAAGGGACCCAGGTTCGAACAAACCGATTTCGCGTTGCAGCCTACGCCGTATGCGGCTGTCGAGTTGATTAAGGAGGAGCCGGTTAGGTTTTTGGAGAAGAGGGTTGCGAGGTGTGATGGTGGGGGTGGGCCGAGGGGGCATCCTGCTATTTACATTAATCTTGATAGATCGGGACCTCAGGCTTGTTCGTACTGTGAGTGCACGCCCTTTCTGGTATGATGGGAAGATTATGAATGCTGACTTGGATAACAGGCGGTGTCCGTTACGAGATGAAGCACCACGATGACCACACGCACTCCCTTAACTTCATCCAGGGACAGTAAGAAAAGACGGATTTGAGGTGTTAGGGGCCGGAGTGGAGGTTTGGGGAGAGCGGTTGGGAGTGGGAAGATGGACGACGAACATGTAAGATTCGCACAGGAACATCATAATACACATTTTTCGATACAATACTCCGGGCGCCAATCATTATGCATCGTTTTGTCTTTGGGGTCTAAAGATCGCAACCTATCCTTGCACTTAAGCTTGTCTACCCACCCCTCACTTCTACAACTCCTCCACAGCCTTTTTTAACAGCCAAACAAACCTCCACACCTCCCGAAAAGTATTATACAACGGCGCCGGCGCAACCCTAATCACATCCGGTTTCCGCTCATCAACAACACACCCCGCCCTCTCCAACCTCTCAAAAACCCTCTGCATCGTGCCTTCCTTAAACAACAACGAGAGCTGTGCTCCGCGTTCAGAGGGTGACGTGGGTGTGATGATCGTGAAGGGGGGTGAGGGGCCGGGAAAGTGGGTGAGGAGGAGGTGGTGGAGGTAGGTTGTCAGTAGTTGAGATTTCGCGCGGAGGGCTGTCATGGATGTTTGTGAGAAGATTTGGAGGGAGCCGAGGAGTGCTACCACATCCAACACGCTCGGGTTCGAGAGCTGATACCCTGCCGCGCCCGGGATAGCCTTAAACACGTTCTCCATCCTAAACCTGGACGCTTTATCGTGGCCCCACCACCCACTCAACCGCGGTCTGGGTGTTTGGGATAGTGAATGGCGTTCGTGGATAAAGATCGAGGCGATTGCGCCGGGTCCTGCGTTGATGTATTTGTAGTTACACCAGGCTGCGAAATCGACGTCCCAGTCATGGAGTTTGAGGTCGAGGTTTCCGGCTGCGTGAGCGAGGTCCCATCCGACGAGGATGCCCTTGGAGTGGGCGTGTTGGGTGATGAGTTGGATATCGAAAGCTTGGCCGGTGTAGAATTGGAGACCGGAGAGCATGATTAGGGCGGTTGAGTCAGCGTGCTCGTCGATCGTGGCGAGGATTTGCGGGGTTGTTAGGTGGTAGTTCCCCGGGAGCGGATCGATCAGGATGAGGGATGAGGATGGGGAGAGTTTGTTCCAGGTTATTTGGGATTCGATGGCGTAGTGGTCTGACGGAAACGCTTTTGATTCCATGATGATCTTGTATCTCTCCTTCGTCGGTGTATAGAACGACGCCAACAGTAAATGCAAATTCGCGGTGAGTGAGCCCATGACGGCGACTTCAGCCGGTACCGCCCCGACGACTGTGGCCATTTGTGTGGTAACGGTTTCGTCTATCGCGACCCATTCGCGGCCGAGGGGGTGTCGGAAGTGTCCTTGTACTCCACGTTGTTTCCACACGGCGAGTTCCTCCAGTAAAAGAGATTCTGTGCGTTTTGGCTGTAGACCGAGGGAGTTGCCGCAGAAATAGATACACTCCTCGTTGGGGGTGTCGGGGGTTTGTGTGGTGATGTCTTTGCAGAGCGGGACGTGGAATTCTGAGCGGAGGTTGGAGAGGGAGTCGTGGGCGTCGCAGTAGGCGGCGAAGTGCTCGGACAGGACGTCTAAGGCGGCGTCGTTTGCGAGGTGGAGTGGATCGGAAGATGAAGATATTGACATTGATGTTGATGGTTGTTGGATCCGGAGGCAATACAAATACAAATACAAATACAAATACGACCAGACATCATTTCCAGCGCGGGTCAGGTCAGGGGTATGAGCCGGCCGCGGTACCGGTAGGAGCTGAGCGTAATTGGAGCAAATCTCAACTCAATTAAATCAAATGGAAGTCCCACCCGTTGATCCCGCTATGTGAGTGTCTTGAAACCACCTTTGCTGTCTACTCTGCTGACGGGCCAACCACTCACAGCTTCAGCGAACTCGGCGACCTCGAATCCCAGTTCACCGCCGCAGAACTCCAACTCCGTACACCCCCCCTCTCCCCTTCCCCTGCTCCCCCTCATCTATAGCTAACACACGGTGATTCGCAGTCAAAGAACAATCCCGTATCTTCGAACCCCTCTACACCAAACGCGACAAAATCATCGCCCGCATCCCCGGCTTCTGGCCCACCGTCCTCGAACAAATCGAAGAAGATTGCCTCACGGATCACATCGATTTCGACGACGTTGATCTCTTACGGAAATTAAAGGTGTTGTCGGTGAAGAGGGATAAAGACGAGCCGAGGACGTTGACGCTTACGTTCGAGTTTGGGGAGAATGAGTTTTTGGGGGAGAAAAGTTGTAAGGTGGTGAAGAAGTTTACGTATGCAGAGGGGGAGGATGAGGAGGGTGGTGTGTTGACAAGTAAGAAGGCTAGTTTGGAGTGGAAGGACGGAATGGATCTCACCAAGAACGCTGGTTCCTTTTTCCATTTCTTTAGCTGGACTGGGAATGGGAAAGATAAGTTCCCGGGAGAGGAGCTCGCGGTAGTCATCGCGGAGGATATGTACCCCAACGCACTAAAGTACTACACTGAAGCTGTCAACGAAGATGAAGAGGACTTTGATGAGGAGGAGGGGTTGGAGGATGATGAGGAGGAGGAGGGGGAGGATGAGGAAGATGACAAGGAGGCGGAGAAGGAGCAGCCGAAAAAGAAGAAGGCAAGGACTGCTTAAAGATATTTCGCTAAGCATATTTCCTACCTATATCATGGGTATGCATCAAGAAACTCCAAAAGATCAAATGAACCACTGCAGATAACCCAACCAAGTCCCCATCCATTCTTCCAACAAAACTAAAAGTCACCCTCACTAATCCCACTCCTCAAGCACATCCCCCTAAACACACCATCCTCCTTCCTAAACAAATTGATCGGCGTATCATACTCGACAACCTTCCCCGCATCCAGCACACAAACCCGGTCATACCCAACAATCGTCCTCAACCGATGCGCGATACACAAAAGCGTAGCATCCCCAAACTCACTCGCAATCGTCTGCTGAATTTTGTGATCGGTCTCAAAGTCGACAGAGGATGTTGCTTCATCCAGGATGATGATTCGAGATTTACGTACGAGGGCACGGGCCATCGCCAATAACTGTCTTTGTCCGAGTGAGAAGTTGAGACCTTCGTCTTCGACGGGGGAGTCGAGGGTTAATTTTTGCTCGCTTTCTTTTGACATGTCGGATGATTCGATTAACCAAGATCTCCTCAAGGCATCATACAACTCTTGATCCGTCCTCTCACTGAACGGGTCGAGGTTGCTCCTGATCGTGCCCTGGAAGAGGATTGGGTCTTGCGGGATGATAGACAACTTCGACCTCAAGTCATGTAACCCAATCGACGCAATATCGACGCCATCAATGGTGATCGTACCCGCAGTAAGCTCAATAAGCCGATATAAACTCGCAAAAATCGTACTCTTACCCGCTCCAGTCCTCCCCACGACACCGATCCGCTCACCACCGTTGATATGGAGATCAACACCCTTCAAGACAGCCGGCAACCCAGGACGATACGAGAGTACCACATCCTTCATATCGATCGCACCCTTCTCGGGCCACGTCGGTCTCGGTGCTCTTTCGGGGATATATTCAGGTTTCTCCATATCGAGGTGGATACCGTAATGGTGTACACGCTCCGTCGAGTTCATGTTGTTCTCGACCTCGGCGAGTTGACGAACCATCCAACTCATCATTCCACCGACTTGAACAATATACGACAACAAGAGTCCGACGATAGCAGGACTGACGTTCAAGCCTGAACTGACCGACAAAATTGCAACAACAAAGATGAGGAGGTTGGCAACCATATCCAACCTGATACCAAGCCATCGCTGGTTAGTGATCGTGATGAGGTACGCCCGGTTCATGGTATCAATACTCTGCTCGTTCACCCGCTTGAAGCGTGCTTGTTCTCCATACGCTCGCACCATGGGAATACCAGTCAACGTCTCTCCGAAGTGACTGTACACATGTGACCGCGTAACCGCGTCCAACCTCTTGATCTCACGCGCACTACTCCGGTAGAACAATGCCGCGAGCCAGAATCCACTCATCAACGGCACGAGCGCGATAGGGAACCAGTAAAAGTACACGATGATGAGGACGAAGGTCGCCAAGATTCCACCAGCGGTCTGGAAGAACATGCGGTACGAGTCGGTCAGCAAGTTATCCATCGTATCGACATCCTTGGAGAAACGGTTGATGATACGTCCGAGAGGCGTCGTGTCGAAGAATGACATCGGAGCTCTCATTACACGTTTCGCCGCATTTGCATGCATGACCTGAGTTGCCTTATTGCCAATGATCACCAACCCAGCACCGAGCATGAACTGTAACAAAGCCTGCACAGCTCCAAACCCAGAATAGATCCCGATGTAGAACCCATTGCTCTTCCCGAACCTGTCCTCTGACCAGTATGACAACCACAAGTTGTTGGCAACGTTCGCACACTGCGTCACAGCAACCAACGCCAGTATGGCCGGGATAACCCACAGCCCACCTCCAGATCTAGCGAAGGTGGTGTACACCTCCAACTTGACCGCACCAGTGTTCCTCTCCTCAGCCTGCATCAGGCCCTTCCCAGGCACACCGGCAGCCTTCTTCTCCACTGCTGGCTTCGTAGCCTCTTCAATCGCCTCCTCCTCAGCAGCTTCTTTCTCTTCCTCCTTCTCCTCCTCCTTGCCGCCGAACTCAGCCATGAGCTTCGAGAACGCACCACCCTTCCCAACGAGCTCGTCGTAGGTGCCACTCTCCGTGATCCTCCCATCCACAACACAGAAAATCCGATCAGCACGAGGCAGGACATGCAACTGATGCGTCACCAAGATTCTCGTCTTATCCGCCATGATCCCACAGATACAGTGATCCAACAGATGTCTGCCGACATGGGCATCGACAGCAGAGAGGGGATCATCCAACAACACGATGTCAGCATTAAAGTACGCCGCACGAGCAAGATTGATACGCTGCTTCTGCCCACCAGAAACGGTGATACCACGTTCACCAATTTCAGTCAAATCACCATTGGGCAACATCTCCAAGTCAGCAACCAAGGCACAGTCACTCACGACGCGCTCATACCTCGCCTGGTCAAACTCTTGACCAAACAAGATATTGTCCTTCACAGTCGTGTTCTGAATCCACGCCTGTTGGGGACAATAACCGACTGTACCAGCGATGGTGATCTCACCATTAACTGTGGTCATATCACCCACGATGGCGGAGAGGAGGGAAGATTTTCCAGATCCGACGGCACCAACGATACACACGAACTCCCCACGCTTCACCTTGAAATCAATGTCTTCGAGATGATGCTTGTGAAGTGGCTCACCAGCAGACACGGCAGCGACGGGGACGGTGTCGATTTGGTCCGCTTCAAGAGTTGCTGCCGGATATTGTGTCTCGGCCTGGGCGTTATCCATCGTGTTCGGATCACGAGTAGTGACGACAACTTCCTTGACTTCCAAATCCTCTTCGCCGGGGATCTTTTTGGAGGAACCGGTAACCGATCTATGCAGGAAATCGATCTGATTCTTCTCGGCCTCTTCCTCGATTGCGTCCTCTTCTTGAATTACGCCATGATCCTCCTTCGCCTTGCCCTTCTCCTGACCCTTCCCACGTCCAAATATACGCGCAACCAATCCCTTCTTCTTTACCACCTCCTTCTTCTCCTCCTTTTTCTCAACATCTTCAATCTCCCACACGAAAGAACCCCCCTTAACCCACACCGCCTCTTCCCCCTCATCATTCCCCACAACCCTCACTCCACCCTCAACAACCTCACCCGCCCCAAGCACCTCGCTCAACCTCCCCAGACTGACCCAAGCATCGGTAACAGCACTAAACACCATCGGCAAGAACATCAAAGGCAGCCTCAACATGTTTAACAAACTCAAACTTGAGAACACGACTCCGGCGCCGAGATCGTGGCCGGTGAGGGAGTAGGTAACAAATGCGAGGATGGAGGCGAAGATGGGGATAGACATCGCGACTGCGTTGACGGCTTGTCGGACGGTTTGGAGGTACCTCACCATAGCCAATTCTTTGTCTCGTAGGTCGAAGAGTTTGGAGAGGAATGCGGAGGACCAGGCGTAAAACTTGATCACCCTCATCGCGCCCAAGATTTCCTGAGTCAACCGAACACGCGCATCCGTGATACGGGACACGACCACCCTCTTTCTCGCCAAACCCTTGAATATTTTAGCGGTGATCGGCATCGTCAAGATCAACAACGCGAAACCCGCCAATGCCGAAGCCCCCAAATTCACACATAAGATAACCAAACAAATACAGATCTGCACCGGCGCAGCCCACACGATATGTGCATACCCAGCAGCAAAGTCGATACGCCCCGTATCCGTACTCATCAAATTCGTGAGTTTCCCATTCGTAAACGCCAACCTCGACTTACTCGACAAGACCAAGGTCTTCCGATACAACGCACTGATCAAAGCACCTCTCGAACATGCACCAACCAACATCGACTGATAAAAGAAATGATGCTGGCAAAATGACGCAACGACCTGCATCACCAACAACCCAATCGCCAACCCGATACCATGTCCAGTCGAGGGTCCGGGTTGGTTGGTGTATTTTGCGATGTAGGCGTTTGTGGAGAAGTTTATGAGAGACTTGAGGAGAAGGGGCGAACAGATTTGCAGGGTGTCACCGGTCACCTTAGCAATCCCTCCAAGCCAGAACTGCCAAAAGAACGTATCATTGATCGCCCTCAACAAAACCCATGCTCTCTCCTCCTGATCCATCGGATCCGCACCTCTCTCCCTCACCGCCGCCGCGCGTTTCTCGAAATTCGCCATGAGTTTGTCGGCCAACATTCCTGATTCACGGGACACGGGGACTTTGTATAGATCGTTCAGCTCGAGGGGACGGGTGTAGCCGACGCGCATGAGAGGAGTGAGCCAGTTCCATGTCAGCTTTGATAGGATATTCGCGTGTGGTTCTGGGCTTTCGAGAGGTTCAGTTGGGATTGGTGGCGGGATTCCTACGCTCTTATTAGCATACACCCAAAGGCGACGAGGGAACTCTCCCCAGGCGGAAAGGGAGACGAGGACGTACCTCGATGTAATGGATTAACAGCATTCACAGCCCGTCTCCACACTGGCTCCCTCCCACCCCCCTTCAACTCCTCATCCCCTACCGCCCCCGAATTCGAAGCCGTACTGCTCGTAAGCGAACTCCCTAACTCAATCGTTTCCTTATGCTTTGCCATTGTCCGTATCCCTATCCGTGAGCATTTACCTTCTCCCTAGGTAATTATAGGGGGGATATATGCGGCCACGTAAGCTGTTTGTTTGTACGGGGTCCGAACACGAGCACGAGCGCGAGTGGTGAAGTCAATATGCATCTGGCCTTTTTCCAATTCGCCGCGCATCGGCCCAATGTGAAATACCGAGCCGATCGGGGCAGAATTAGGCGACGCTCAATCAGCTGCAGCTCAGGTCAATTAATGTGTAAAGGTAAGAATAAAAGGGTCAATGAGTGTAATGCGCCAGCGCCATGAAAGTCCATCCAATCAATCCTCTCCTCCGTCTATCCCTCTTTCTCTCCAGTTTAAAAGTTCGCCGCCATCCTCGGGCTAACCGCACCCTTCCCCCCATGTCTCCCCCACCACCCTCTATACCCCCCTTCCTCCTCTCCATCCCTAACTCCCACGCCGTGCACCGTCTCCCCACTCTTCTCACTAACCTCCTCCTCATCGTCCCCACCAACCCGTAACGCCGCTTCCCGATGCGCGACCTCGGCCCTCCGTCTCCGTCTAGTCCAGTAGAGGAAAAATACGACGATGCCAATTACGAGGGCGCCTACAACGCCGATCACGGCGCCGATGATGGCTTTAGCTGTGGAGGAGAGGCCGGAGGTGGAGGTGTTTGAGCCTGAGGAGGAGGCGAGGGAGGCGGAAGAAGAATCGGAGGAGGAGGAGGAGGCGGTTGCGGACGGGATGGAGGTTGAGGTTGAGGTTGTTAGGACTCCGTTTACGGTCAGAAGTTCTGTTACTGTGACAGGCTCAGGGGTGGAGGTGGGCGCTGTTGTTGGTACAGTGGTAGGACTGGAGGTCGTTATGGTCGTCTTAGTGGGTGAGGCAGTTGTAGTCGGAGCAGTCGTCGAGGCTTGCGTCGTAGTAGCTTTGGGCGTAGTACTGCTGCTCGTACTAGTCGACGTGCTCGAAATCGAAATCGAAATCGAAGTCGTAGTTGTAGTCGGCGTTGAGCTCGTACTGGTCGTAGTAGGCGTAGCCGTTGTTGTCGGCGCCGCCGTGGTAGAAGGACTACTTGACGAGATCTCACTCGCGTCCTCACTCACATCTCCCGTAGCAGTCTCATCCTCCTCCCCAGTACCCGCCGCAGCACTGGTCGTAGTGGCCACAGCCTTCGTCGCAGCCGGAGTAGTGGCGGTGTATGCGACTGTACTGGTCGCGAACGTTGCTTCTGTCGCGCTGGTGATGGCAGCGAGGAGGTCGGCTGTGTATGCGCTTATACGATCAGCACGGGCCCAATCGCGGTAAGAGCGTTCATATTCGGCCTCAGCTGCGAGAACGCTGCTGGTAGTCAACACCAGGAGGGCGAGTGGTAGTTGTGGTCTCATCCTAGTCGTGATAGAATGCTGCTCGTAATTGATCTGCTCTTCGATCCGTCTCACGCCAAGAAAAAGGAAAGTCCGTAATGAATGACAATGCTCAATCCGTCAACGCGATTGAGAATGTTGGTGTTGCAATTGAATGAATGACGCGTCCAGCAAGCGATTGAAGGACTTAAGATTTTTTTGTGTTCCAGGGTTGTTGTGATACAAAAGCGTGAATGCAGGGTCTATTGGTTCATGCGGGGCCGCAACTGCAGTCAGAAGCAGGCGGTGCCGGTGCCGGCCCAGTGTGCGCGTGCAAGACGGATCCAGAACTGGAGTGCAACCACGAAAAAAGTCGGGAAATACATGAGACTAATTGCAATAGAAACCAACTCCAATGCATCAGGTGTTTCTCAGTTTCTTGTTCAAGCATGTTGCTCCGTCACGGGTGGCTGCATGCGCTTTCCACAGCTGGCCAGGCAGCTTTATAAATTTAGATATATAGATCTGGATCTGTCGGCCCCTCCATGGCCATCGCGATCGCCAATCCCGCTCGTTATTGGCCGATTATCGACCCTCTTGGTGGCTATACAGGCTCCTAAATCTTGACAGAGGTGCCAGTTGTCGTCCATCACTTAAAGAAGGTCTCCTCTCAGTATTTTCTCTGTTCATTCTGGGCTCCTTTGTCAGTTTCGTGATGCTTTGCTGGCTTCATTCAGCTAAAGCTACGACTTCGAACATATAAGGAGTAAATCACCTCACGCTTCTGGAGCCCAGGTGGGAATACTTCAAAGCCCTTTAGACGATTGCCTTTGTCAGTTGCTCTGGACATAGATTTCGAAGATCTTACATATGATGGTTGTGTTTATCTCCAATTGCAACTGATAACCATTTGCAGTCTTGGTTGCTCGGTCGCTTAAATGCGAACCAGTCTAAGCCCAACTATCCAACTAGCGCCTACGGAGACTCCACGACAAAATCGACATAAAAGGACCAACTCGAACTCAAAAAATGTAACGAACAGTTGAATTCTCAAGAACTATAGACAATGGACTATCCGTGTCGTCGTGAGGGGAAGCCACCCATGTAGTCCTTGGACTGGGACGTCGGGGATTTTGGGGAGGTGTTCGGTACTCAATCACACACATCATCCACAGCGCCATCACGGCTACCGAACGGTCAATTGAACACCAAATTTCTGAATGAAATTCGAATTGTCAGCGAAATCAGTATGCAAAATGTGCAAGTTGGCTGCAGTAGTTGACCCATGGGAGTGTGGGGTCTACCCGGGCACAGCGGTTCCTCCGCCCATCGATCTAACGATTCCCGCCACGACTGAGGCATCAGAACCAGTACAGTCTTCAATATCATGGGATACGTCATCCAACCACGTCAATACTTCCGTCCAGCACGAACGTGTCTGCTACTACGACCTTGCCAACAACGGAGGCTGCCACAGCAGAAGGAGCGAACGAGATCAAGGAGAATGCACCAACTAAGAGAATAAGGGCATGGTAGAAAATCACTGCTCATCAACCGGTATCGACACAAATGGTAACGACGCTGCCACCACCACGTCAACCAAATCGGTGGGAACGGCCGTCGGCGAGTCCTACGCGAGCGATGCCCAGAAGCCGGCCGACGAAGAGTAGGCTGAGTCAACACCTTCATCGTCTAACCCGGCTGCCTCGATTCAAACTAACACCCAAGATTCCGGACCTGAATCAACTAGACAGGTTTCGGATTGATCGTCAAGTCAGGAGGAGGGGAAACCGGAGGGGACGAAGCGTACTGAGAATGGGAAGGAAGCAGGCCCAAGCCCATTACCGGAGAAGAAGGTGAAAACTGGCGTCGGTGACCCTGCGGCTGAGAAGGTATCAACACCTCGCACGATAAAACGTTCCACAAACTCGCCAGCAACGGGTGATGCGCCCCCTTCGTCTTCAGCACCAGCCCCAACCGCACTTGTTCCCACGGCCGGTGCCGCTCAAGAAAAGGTTGCGACAATGGAGGGTGCCTCACCAACTGCAGCATAGTCTCCAGTGGGATACGGGGAGGCTCTTATGTTGAGCGAAGGTATCAGCTGTAACCGATTCATCATAAACCGTGCGTGGGAATTCTCTCCGTAAGTGTGGAGCGTTAATGGAAGGACAAACTCGTGGGGAGCATTCCGATGATGACTAACGACTGCTGCTATGTATGTTCCCCCAATAGATTCGATGATGGAGGAATGTCTAGGTCGGGCTTCATGGTGTCTTTTAATTCCTCGGGGAGAGGAGTGTTCCACTCTCCGCGCGTCAATGGGAGTTTATAAGGAAAGATGGGCTACGTGTCAAGTCAGTGAAGAAGAGGTAAGCCAATGTCTACTGCGCTGCTATACAGGGGCTGTTACTGACGAAACTCTACACAGATATAGAGAAGCACTTATCACATGATCAAAAAGATTCTGTAAACCGTTTGGAGGAGGTTGTATCCCGTAAAGCATGGCTGAAGAATTTATTCACGTGTTCTTGATCAGTGGATGTAAAGACGAAAGTTCGAGTCCAATGATTGCACAACTTCCTGCATTACAATACAATCGGCTAAACGTAGCATACTTTCCCAATTCAAGCAGCAACACTCATAGCCATACATACTCACACCCAGTTCCATCACAACGTCATACTCTCATTTCGCTCTCTCCTCAACAGGCTCCTTCTCCACGACAAACGCACTCCTCCCAAGCACCCCGTCCACGATCATTCTGACCACCACCACCACAACCCCAAGCCCCACACAAATCGCACTAATGATACCCCCGCCCAACAACGTACCCATAAGCTGTCCCAATCCAACCTGTCCATGTTTTCCCACCTTCCTTCCACCCACCTCCTCCACCACCTCCGCCTCAGCGTCGGTCTCGATAGACTCTTCCCACGGTCCGGGATGTTTGGGCGGTAGTGATTCAGTCGGTGTGAGGAGTTCGGGAGATGGGGTGTATGGTGCGTACAACGAAATTGGACTGGACATGGATGTTATGGATGCTTGGTAGTCGAGGAAAAGACGGTGGTGCAGGATGCGGGGGAGGCTGGTGGAGGGGGCCGGATCGATTGGGAAGGGCGTTGGGACTGGCTGGGAGAGGGGAGAGATACGGGGGTGAGTGAGGTGCGTGGAGGTGGTGGTAGTGGTACTGGAGAGAGTGCGGAGGGGGACTTTGGTGGGGCTGGTTGGCATAGATGGGGATTTGATGTAGGAGAATAGCGTTGCGGGGCTGGATGGCATTGATCTCATTCCGGCCGTAGTTGCGAACAACCTGATCATTCTCTGCGGGGTTCCAGGCGACCGGTGCGGCGATGGTCCAGCTTTTGCTGCATTGATGGGTGAATGCGTCGTGATATTGCTAACAGCCGAACGAAGGGCGCGGACGGTTGATGGCGAGCTCATGATGATAGGAACTCGAGAGTTTCGTTGAGTGGGTTGGTGGTTAGAGCAGCTGTGCTGGCTGTAGGTAACCTTCGCGCTGGGAGCGAGTGTATGCACCCAAGGAAACGGATACGGGCCAGAAGAGAAGCGAAGCAAGGCTGTGAGGCTGCGTCCAAGATCCAAGATGTCTGAAGGCCTCACACAATTGAACCTGTAAAGCCCAATCATCCAAACGTAGCAATTGCAACGAAGGTATAATGTTCGACCAGCTGGTGGTGTAACAAGGTTTCGCCTATCGCGCGAGAATTGTGGGGCAGGACCGTTATCGGGAGGCAGCTGCCAGCCGATTGGTACGTTGAACGCGGAATACAACGAGGACGAATTGCGATTGAGATAGAGGATATCTTCAGGAGTAATGGAGGGACCCGAGTGGATTCTGGAGGGACTTTGTGGCAGCGAATGGACGCGTACGTGTTCATGATCGTGGTAGGAAATGGACAGAGAGCATGTACATGTGATTGATGGTGAGCCATATTCGGTGAAGAGCTCTATTTCTCTGCTCTGGGTATTCTCACTGTGCATCCTCTCACGTTCGTAATGCCGGCTCCCGTGGTCATGATTCACCAGAGGCCAAACTCGCCCATCTCTGGCCTCCTCATTCGTCGGCGGCACGGCGCCATCTTGCCTGTGTATGCTCTCCGGTTCCGAGAATAACATCGCACTTGCATTCCAATATCATCCTTATCTCGCTCCTTTCACAATGCTTCTCAGCATTTCCCTCACTCCTCCTTCTTCTCCCCCGCCTCCACCCCCGCAGCAGCCAAAACATCCCTCCGCTCCCGATTTCGCTTCCCAATAACCCTCAACGCACTCCTCTTCTCAAACTCTGACAATATATCCCAATTCGCGATACGTGAGATGGTGCCGTCAGTGTTGACGATGATGGGGCCGAGGTGGTCGAGTTTGACATTTGCGGAGCCGGTGGAGAGGTTGAGTTTGTGGGTTGGGGTTGCGGTTTCTTTGTCCGGGAGGGCTAGGATGGGTTTCTGTTGCGTAGTCTCTTGTGGACCGTCGGTGGCCGCGTTATTAGGGGTAGTGGCAATTGTAGGGTCTGAGGAGTTGGAGGACATTGCGCGGATCAAGTATGTTCTTGGACTTGATGGAATGATGGATGATCTGTAGATGGCTCCGTGGAAGGGTCTTGATGGATGTCGGAGCATATATGCTCGAGTTTGACAGGTTGTGATTAACCCAGGGGTTTAAGTTGGGATGGATGCTCGAGGCCGACTTTCCAGAAACCTCGAGATGCAGCTTGACGTCGCCGGGATTTTGAGCTTGGCCAAGGGCAACGTATTACATCCGCTGAACCTCCACCCACAATTGCCAGTCAAAGGAGCATTCAAGCTCGTAAATTGAACAGAAGAAAGCCATCGTACTACTCAACCGAAGGACGACTTTCGCGAAGTCGCCAACTGCAGCTCCAAGCACGCGCCCTGTCTACTGCAGACATCCTCCACAAATTCCGGGTACAAGGTTGAATACGACGTTGAACACCAGAACGAAGAGAGTCCCACCACACCACCATGGATCTCCCCGACGCAATGAAGAAGCCAAATCTCTCTCAAACAGAGGGCGCGGCAGCCAAGCCTGAAGTCAAGGCAGATATCCCTGCGGTAAGTTCGCTCAATCATTTATGTGAATGGGAACATTCCCGCTGATCCGTCAGTGAAGCCCGGTGCGTTCCCTTCTGCGGCATCAGCTGGTACCGCACCCGTATCCCCTCCTCCAGCAGCTGCCGCAGCCGTCGAGAAAATCGCATCAACCGTCTCCTCCGCCGCCAAAACCGCCGAAAAGATCGCAGTAAACCCAGCAGCCGCCGCCGCAGCCGCCGAGCAAAACCCTGCCTTCAAAGCCATGGGCCTCCCCAACACCAAAAAATGGTCACTCCCCTCCAAACCCTGGCTCGCATTCTTCGCCCTCGTCGGAACATTCACCGCTGCGAAACTCTACGATAAATACCACACCAACAAAATCCAGGAAAAATGGATCAAGCGCGTTGAGCATTTGTCGAAGGAGCCGTTGGGTACGATGGAGTTGCCGAGGAAGATCGCGGTGTATGCGAGTGCGCCGCCGGGTGATGGACGGGATCCTGCGAGGGAGTTGTTCAAGGACTTTGTCAAGCCGATTTTGGTCGCGTCTGCGGTTGACTACGAAGTCGTTGAAGGACGTCGGGAAGGCGAGGTCCGTTCTGCCATCGCCGAGAAGATTCGAGCTATGAGACGGGGAGAGGGAAGAGACCACGACGAGACTCCATGGATGAAGGGGATTAAAAAGGATGAGGTTGGCGGAAGCCTGATTTTGGGGAGACATACGTATAAGGAGTACGTACTGGGTATGCACGAGGGTATCCTCGGCCCTGACACCCTCCCCCCACCACCCGCGCCCGAACCTACACCCGAGGGCGAGACCCCCGCTGAGGAACCTAAGAAATCCAACACCATCCCCGCGGCTACGATTGAGCCCGAGCAATACGCGACCGCGACACCCGCGGCGGATGTGGAGCACCCAAAGCCATATGCGTTGATCCCGTTGCCGCATATCCTCGGTTTCCTGAACACTCATATCCGTACCTGGCGTTACCTCAACAAACGCCACCTCGCGGACGAGATCGGTGCTCTTACCGTCTCCGCTATCCTCGCTTCCCATGACCGTCCCTGGTCACCCGAGGATGCTGAGGCGTTACAGGAGGAAGAGTGGGATTGGGTTAAGCAGTATAGACCCAAGGGAGAGGCAGAGGAGGTTAGGAAGGGGGAGTGGACGAGTAGGGTTGTGTGGGATGATAGGGTTGTGAGGGAGTGGAGGGTGTATGAGTTGAGTCCGGAGATTAGGATGGAGGAGGAGGCTATTAAGGCGGGGACGTGGGTGGCTAAGGAGGAGAAGGTTCAGTAAGACTACAATCAGGATACGACAGGAGAGGAGTAGGATGCGTACGATACCCAGCACCGTCAAGGTCAGCAGGCTAAGAAAACGGATGTAGATATAGAATCTTCTCTCAAAATCCAATCGCAAATCTCAAGAAAGGGACCTTCCACATCTTTTGTTCTGGTTGAGGAACAAACGCGGATTCTTGCACGAACAATCGTCCCGCGGTCTCAAAGGAGATGATGTACGCGCGGTCCGAGCCTGCAGGCATACACCCGCACACGGGTTAAAGAGTCGCACGTCCTCGGGGTAAATGCGATTGCGCTCGACACTGATACTTACGACGAGTCAATTTATTAAGCTTCAATCGCCGTTCAGTCCTACTTTCGCATTTCAATCACTTCGTCAGTTCAGTCCCACCAGCACCAGTCGTTCGTTGAGCAGTATGGCCGGTACGAAGATCATAACCGAGGCGATCGAGAAGCCGTTGTTGGATAACAGGAGCTACCGCTACATCCGTCTCCCGAACCAACTAGAAGCTCTCCTCGTCCACGACCCACAAACAGATAAAGCCTCCGCCGCCCTCGACGTGAATGTGGGACATCTCTCCGACCCGAAGGATCTACCAGGTCTTGCGCATTTCTGTGAGCATCTGTTGTTTATGGGAACGGAGAAGTATCCGGATGAGAATGAGTATGCGAAATATTTGAGTATGCATTCGGGGTTCAGTAATGCCTTTACCGGCCTCGATGACACGAATTATTATTTTGAGTGTGGAGTTGGTGAAGGGGTTTTCGAGGGTGCGTTGGACCGTTTCGCGCAGTTCTTTCGGAAACCGCTCTTTTTGGAGGATCAGAAGGATCGTGAATTGAAGGCTGTGGATTCGGAGAATAAGAAGAATTTGCAGGTTGATATTTGGAGACTCTTTCAACTGGAGAAATCGTTGTCGAATCCGGAGCATCCGTATAATTCCTTTGGAACGGGTAACTTGGTGACGTTGAGTGAGGAGCCGGCGAAGAAGGGGTTGGATGTTAGGCAGGAGTTGTTGAAGTGGTATGGAGAGAATTACTCGGCGAATTTGATGAAGTTGGTCGTGTTTGGACGGGAGGAATTGGGTGAGCTCCAGAAGCTGGTCGAAGAGAAGTTCTCTGATGTCGTTGACAAGAACCTGCCTAGACCTGGGTTCCGTGGTTATCCCTTAACCGAGAAGGAGCTGAAGAAGGTCTGCTTCATTAAGCCTGTCAAGGATATCCGTCGTCTTGACATGACGTTTACCTTCCCCGACACCCAACCGAACTACGCCTCCCAACCTGAACGCTACCTCTCTCACCTCATCGGCCACGAGGGTCCCGGCTCGATCCTCTCCTACCTCAAGAAGAAGTCCTGGGCGAACGGGCTCAGCGCCGGTTCCACCCACGTCACCGAGGGCGCCGACATGTTCAAGATCAACATCGAGCTTACGGAGGAGGGTCTTGAGAAATATGAGGAAGTAGTCGAAGCCGTATTCCGCTACATCGCCATCATGAAATCCCGCGAACCAGAAGAATGGGTATGGAAGGAAATGGCAAACATGGCCGAAGTCGGATTTAAATACGCGGAAAAGTCTCCTGCGAGCAAGTTTACGATGAGTGTTGCTGGGTACATGCAGAAGGGGTATAAACCCGAGGAAGTTCTGAGTGGAGGAGAGCTCTTTAGGAGGTATGATCCGAAGGCGATTAAGGAGTGTTTGGATGCGTTGAGGCCGGATAATTTCCGGATCTTCTTGATTTCGCAGAAGGAGCCTAACGCCGGGTTTACGGAGCAGGAGAGGTGGTATGGAACGGAGTACCGTCTCGAGCCCATCTCCTCTAACTTGCAATCTGCCATCGCGGACGTCAAGGCTGAGGAGGGCGAGCTCAGGTTCCCCGGCGTGAACGAGTTTATCCCGACCAACTTTGAGACGCACCGCAAGGACGTACCAGCTGAGGCTCAGGCTAAGCGTCCGACGTTGATCAAGCACACGAGTTTGATCCGCTTTTGGCATAAGAAGGATGATACGTTCTGGGTGCCCAAAGCGAATGCGAACTTCTTGTTCCGCACTCCTCTGGCGTATGCTACCCCCAAGCACAGTGTCTTGACGAGGTTGTACTGTGATTTGGTGAAGGACGCGTTGAATGAGTACTCGTATGACGCTGATCTCGCCGGTTTGGAGTACAACCTGTACCCGGACCATGAGGGGATCAACCTTCAGCTTTCGGGGTACAATGACAAGTTGCATATCCTTTTGGAGAAGATCTTGTCCCATCTCGCTGCCCCACAGATTACTGCGGACAGGTTTGCGGTGACGAAAGAGCGCTTGATGAGGGCGTACAAGAACTTCGAGCAAGAACCTGCTGTGAATCATGCCGTTTACTGGATGGGATACCTCATGTCCGAGACTATGTGGAATAACGAGGAGAAGTTGGCCGTCGTGGATGCCGTCACCCTCGACCAAGTCCAGGACTTTGCGAAGGACTTGTTGAAGGAGGCTCATGTCGAGGCTTTGGTACATGGCAACATGTTCAAGGAGGACGCATTGAAGCTCGCGCAGTCTGTCGAGGAAGTCCTTAAGCCGGCTGCGTTGGCACGGTCACAGCTTATCAGGAATAGGTCGTGTCAGTTACCGGAGAATGCGAATTTCGCGTTCCCCCGCCCTGTGCCGAATCCTGAAAACTTGAATTCTGCGATTGAGTATATGGTCGAGGCTGGTAATTTGATGGATGTTCGTGGTAGGTCACTCTTGATGCTTCTTTCTCAGATCGCGAATGAGCCTTGTTTCGATCAGCTTCGAACGAAGGAGCAACTTGGCTACAGTGTTTGGAGCGGAGCGAGGAAGACCACGACCGCAATGGGATTTCGTGTCATCATCCAGTCTGAGAGAAACACAGATTACCTCGAATCCCGTATCGAGTCCTTCTTGGTCCAACTCCGCGGTATCATCGCGGATATGAAAGACGAGGAATACCAAACCCACGTCAAATCCATCATCGACAAGAAAACCGAGAAACTCAAGAACCTCGGACAAGAAACCAGCAGGTATTGGCAACACATCTTATCCGGATACTACGATTTCCATCAACTCGATGCGGACGTGGAGAACCTCAAGACTATCTCGAAGGATGATTTGTTGAGGTATTATGATGAGTATGTCATGCCCGGATCCGCGACAAGGAGGAAGTTGTCGGTTCATATGCAGAGTCAGAAGGCTGTCCCCGACAGTTTGCCAGCACCGGCGGATCACAGCAAGTTCATCCAGGGCTTGTCTATGTTCCTCAACGCGAACCAACTCGAGGTATCTACTGAGGACCTACAATCCCTCCTCGTGGGTCTCGAGAACGGTGCTATGACCGAGCTTCCGGGTAAACTCCGTACGTACCTCATCGACGTGAAGAAAGCCGACCCATTAAAAGTCGATGCGGCGCTCGCTCAAGGTATGACAATCTTGCAGGCACAGATGCCCCAGGCTGCCGCTGAGGAGAAGGAGGTGAAGGCTGGAGATGAGGTCAAGGTGGAGTATATGCAGGTGTTGGATACTACGGCTTTCAAGGCGGGATTGTTGCTTTCGCCTGCGCCCAGGCCTGTTGCGGCGTTTGAGACGTTCTATGAGGCTCCGGAGGCGAAGCTCTAGATGGCAGTATATGAGGGTTGGATACGCATGGGACAGAACTTGGTAAAAAGCGTATAAATAGATATGCATCTCATTTTCATACTCCTCTGAATGGAGCAACGCGTACGTACGAGCAACCTTTGATTCCACGGGTATATAATGCTATGTGGTTGACTGGTTCTAGTGGTATCATACACCATCTCCTCGTAAATCGATATCGACATCATACTCATACATCTAAAGCTCAAAATTACTCATCTCCCTCAAAATCCTATCCTCATCCTCAATAACCCCCTCCTTCGTGATCCTCCTCCTCCTCTCCATCCCTACCCCAGGACCAAGCGACATACGATGCGGCGGGAAAACCCTGGCATTCCGCCAACCCCACCTGAACGCAACCTCGTGCGCGAAGATTTCGCCCCAGCCCAGCATAAGGCCGTTGATGAAGGGGAGGAGGAGGTTGATTGCTGTGCTGCGGAGAAGGCCGAGGAGGGTTGGTTTGCGCCATAGTTGGATGATGGAGGGTTGGTAGTCTGAGTCGTCGTCGTCGGAGGAGGAGATGGCTTCGAGATCGGCGGTTTGGGGAGAGGAGGAGGGGAAGGAGGTGGGTGGGGAGATGGAGATGGAGGTCGTTGATGTTGGTGATGGGTCCATGTCGGAGGATGTGTATGGCATTGAGGCTGTGTCGGGAGTCAAAGACATTGTGAGCTGATTTGATGGGGTGTTGGTGTTGGGAGGTGCGGTGCGATTGCGTGTAGGATGGAGGGATTTTGTCAATGTCTACTCTGCGAAGGTTAACAGCAATTCAGATCCGTCAATCTAGATTGTACTTGCCCTTCAGCTGTTTGCAATTCCCTTCACGGTCGACTTGGAAAGCGCAGCAGCGGTGACGCCGGAGTGCAGGGCGTGCCTGGAATATGGATATGCTCCAGATTCACCAAATCGTAAAAAACATGGGTAAACAGAGGGACATGCTCAATCAGTTCAATAAGCGCTACGAAGGCACCGGGAGCTACGGTTGTGGTTGACTAGGAGCAGGAGTTGATTGCTTGGCAAAGACTGGAGGGGGTGGTCTCTTTTTGCGGTTATTTGTTCGAGGATCGACAATAATGGTTCGATCAGCAGTGGGCATGACAAGGTGCTAGACGGTTCAGCGCAGATCATAGCATCAACCCAGGCATCAGATAAATGAGCCTCCAACCGCAAATGGTCGTTCTTATTGGTTACTGGATGCCGGTAGGAAAAAGTCCCGTGCTGAGCACAACTCCGTTTTTTCTGGAGTAAAACCATGGTCTCAGCACACTGAACCTCTCCCCTCGATAAAGCATCACGCATTTGCATCACGCATTTGCATCGTACGGGACCCTTTCCCTGCCTTACTGCCCTTACCGCTGTGCCCGGTTGAGGATGGTTCTTCGTCACTCAAAGATTCGTCTGTACCAGGTGGAGGGATATAGTTAGTAGCACAGTCGAGGTAGACCATGAAGTCATTGAGCTTCCAATGCGTACGCAGGTCCTCCATCTCCTCAAGGAAGGCTCGCCATTCATTGATTCCCGTAATGCTTGTAGGCCCTAGGCGGAAGTTACCTCTGACAACTCTGTAGGCAATTTCGAGGGTGTCGTCGTCTTCACTGACCTCCGTGCTGAAGGTCTGGTCATGATTGGGACGCAACAGGACCTTGTCCTTGATATGCGGGCCCGCTACACTCTGCGGTTTCATTTCGGTGAGGAGTTCCGAATAAGCACTTCGGCCTGGGCGTGAAACAACCGGCCTGGCCTTGGAGGCACGGCTCAGCAAGGGTAAAGCCGCAGTTTCAATCATCTCCGTAGTTGCATCATCAAGTAGGTGCGTCAGACCGGGTCACGGGTATGTCTGGTTCAAGCTCCGCAACCTGTTGTCAAGCCGGGGTTTTACGGGCACGGCCTGGACGCTTGGCATTGCCCGAAGTCATTGCTGAAGTCTGTTTATCGATATCTGGTCTGTAGCTTGAAATACAAGGTTTTTTGTGTTCCCGTGGATGTCGAGTTGGTGGAGTCGACCTAGCGCCCTGCCCTGAAAAAAAACACGTTTGACTAAACTTTTGAACAGCGCTGTACGTCAATGTCATGAACATCCCTAGATTGATTTGGTGCCCTACAGTATGAATATATTACGCAGACAGCGTGCTGTAGCTTAGATAGATCATGCAAACACCCCAAACGGTCATTTTCATCCAGTCTCAAGGGTTTCCAGGAAAATTAGGAGCTTTTCACACGCGCCTAGCTGTCGCAAAGCTGCTGCCCAACCCATGGCCAACGATCACCTCAGGCGTAGGTACACATGTAAAGCAGAGCCGGGTCAACACTAACAGGTTTCCTCGCACCTATGATCTCATTTCAGCTTTCTTCACGCATATCTCTCTTCCGCCGAGATACTTACCAATTGGCGCATGCAACACAGTCCCAATCGCTCTTCCCTCTTCCGCTCCAATCCCACTCTCCAATAACTCCCCCAACGTCATATCTTGCCTCAACTCCCTCCTCGTGATGGGGTGGAGAATGTCGACCCAAGCACTAGCACTGCTGTTGGCCATGGTGTTGCAGCCGGCCGCGGAATTGGAGTTAGGGGTGGCCATGGGAGGGAACCCGTTGATTTCGAGGAGACGGGCGTGGAGGGTTGAAAGGGTGAGGGTGGGATCGGAGAAGGTTAGGGAGAAGGGGGCGTGAGTCCAGACGCAGCGGATGAAGATACGGAAGGTTGGGGGAGAGGTGGTGGGTGTGGAGGAGGTGATGGGCATTGCCATGGTCATTGTGGGAACGTTAGGACGGGGAGCGGTGTATGTGTTCATCTTGTAAGGAGCAGAGACGTATCGTTCATCGATTGATGACAGCATGGGACAAGGTCCTATTATCACAGACGAGTTTATCTCATGTGACTAAATCCTCCACGAAGTACCTTCGGCGCTCCCGGCCCGCTTCTCAACGCGAGCACGGACCGAGGCGTAAGCGAGTACGAACGTCGGTCGGCCCGACGTATCAAGCAGTCAACCTGCCAGCTTCCTCATCGCCTAGATCCTTCCTGATCACATCCTCGACCATGTCCTCCTTTTTAACCCAACATCTTCTTCTCTTTTTCTCTGCCCATTCAAGCTCTTTCTTCAGTCTTTCCTCCTCCTCTTTCGCCCATGCCATTTTCCTCTTCAGGTACCTCCATTGTTCCACCGCGCTCTTCCCTACTTCGACTTCATCCAACTCATTGCCCTCCTCATCCTCCTCGTCGCCCATCCCAGTCCCAGGTCTCGATCCCGCTCCTGCCTTCATCGCCCTCGCCGCAGCATAAGCTCTGTCCGCCACGTTCTGAGGATGCATCCAATGGCCCTTCGGCACCGGATCACTAGGTCTCAAGTCTCCACCCTCATGCACCGTCCTCATATGTTTCGCCAACGCGTCTGATCTGGTGAAACTCTTATCACATTCGGGGACGCCGCAGAAGAATGGCTTCTCGCCTGTATGAGAGCGGATATGGGCGACGAGTGCGAAACGGGAGGTTTGGGGGATGGATCTTCGGGGACAGCTGCGCCATTCACAGGTGTATTTCGGGCGGCGGGTGCCAATGTGATCTGTTACCGCCCTTCTCGGTTAGCCTTGGCCGCGGTGAAGATAGAGAGGTCCGTGACTACCATCGTGTATATGTCTCACCAATCCATCTAAGGTTCCTAAATCCTCATTACACTCATCCCACTGACATTGCGTCACCCACTCTTCCTCCGGCTCGACTTCGCGTGGAGAACCTGGCGCAGAGCCAGATGTGTCACTACTGATGTCGCTCGAGTCGTCCTGCTCGTTGTGAGTAGTGAATGGATCTCGATGTTCGTCGAGAGGAGTTTCGGTATCGTAGTCGGCCATTTTGAGTGGGTTGGGGGAGATGAGGGAGGAGGGAGGTGTAGGGCGCTAGTAACGTAGACGAAAACAACGACGTTTAGCAGTCAGGATGTCAAGGGATCGAGGACTTGGTTTGGAGACTCAATCACGTTCAGCAATATATTGAGGCTCGCCGATGTTGCGCAGGCGCCCGAAATGATGTTGACAATATGGTACAATCCCAACAGCGGGCCGAGGCCGAAACCTGTGCGGCATGTGAAATGATCGGCTCATTAATATCAAAATGCCCGGTGTGCGTACGTACGTCAAATCTATCGAGCTGTTCGTCTAGCTGGGTATTGTCATTGATCAAGGAGGATGAGCGAGTCAGTAGCCGTAGAGGAAGTCCAGGTGTGTGAAAGTGTTGTTCTCGCTACGGACTTTGACTGATCATAGAAGCAGGAATCCGCAGCGGTTTCTCTTAAGGAGCTTATAACCTCGCTCTCGGTGAAATCTCGCATAGAGCGAAAGCGAAGTCTGGCCGCCCTGTACGCACAGACCAAAGATCCAGCCACGATCTCCACTCTCATCGGAACAAAAGACAATCTCGACAAGGTCGGCACCTTCCTCGAATCTTGTCTCCGCAGCTTACTCCCGAATGACCTCCCTTCCGTCCAAGACGTTCTGCAAAACTTTGCTACCTATAAGCTTGGTCAATCCGTCCTTTCCTCACTCGCCGATTCGAGCCCTTCACAGGTCGATCCAGAATTATCCACCTCACTGTCCAGTCTCACTACCCTCCTGGCCAACGACAACAATTCCTTTCCCATTCTCTCAAACCTCGGGCTCCTCACCTCCATCACTAAGGCACTGTCTAATACGCCTTACGGCGACTGGACAGATCCTTCAACTCACGTGCTCTTCGATAGTATCGTCCGATATGTGCTAGGACTGTCTTCCTCGCAGCAAGGGTTACAGATTTTGACGAGCGAGCTTGGAAGAAAAGAGTTGAAACAGGCTTGGATGCACATATTCTTTGGACAAGGCAGACCGTGTCCGGAGGATGTTCGTAGTGCACGAGGGATACTCACTTTACGCCTGACTACCCTCAACGCAGAGAATATACAAACGGACGTAAAGGCAGAGGACTTTGCGGTTAGTTCTGGGTTGCTGCTGGATACTTGGAGGAAATGCGAGACGTTACAAGGTTTATCAGAGGATGGAGTTGCGATTGGGGATGAGCATGTGGGTCTTGCGAACCAAGTTTTGCTTGACCTGGCGGGATTTTCTGTGTATGAGTGTGGACGGGAAGCAGTGACGAATGTATTCCTGAATGGGGCTTTCTTGGGTTTGTTAAGGCGGTTGCAAGAGGTCCAAGATGATGTCCATAGGGAACTTCTTGACAACATCATTGGAGTGATCCAAGAAACTGCGATCGTCTTCGCCAATCTGTTTACTCCATCACTCGTCACGCAAGCCATCATGCTGTCACCGCCAGTTTTCCAAATTGCTTCGCCAGCTCTGGACACCCTCCCAGATCGCCTCAAAGTCTGCTTCGAAGCAATCGACCAACCTCGCCGTTTACGCATTGATAAAACCTTTGTCGCCTACCTCACCCTCGCACTCTCCCACCTCCTCCAAGACGACGCAGCCGAGGTATCCCATGCACACGCCGCTCTCAACCCACCCGTCTCCCTTATCGGTTTTCTTTGTCGTCTTCTGGATGAAATTGGCAAAGCATTTAGGGTCGCGGTAATTCGTGAGCCGGAGCATATTCAGGCCGAGGGCGTGGTGAAGATTATGCGTGTTCCGAGACCGGCAAATGTTGATGTTGTGTTTACGAGGCAAGACGTGGGATCGGAGAGGGAATGGCATGGGACGGTGCAGTGGAGGAGGCAGTTGATTTCCGTCTTGGGGCTCGGGCAGAGATTGATGAACAACGTGGTTGAGGGGTGTTACAGTACTAAGAACTACAAACCGGATCCACTACCAGCTGGCGAGGGTCTTAGTGAAGGTACGAAGTGCTCGATAACACACTTGACTGCCATGTCGAGCATGATCCCTTTTGAGATTCTGCAGAGGTGCGAGCAGCAGATGATCTGCGACGGTGCTGTGATTGCTGGCAAACATGCCGTCCTGCGGACATTGGAGTTGCTCACGTCAATTCGCGTGCCACGCAGCAAGGATACGGCGAAGCCTGTTCAAGCCGTGGGGGCGTACATCACGGAGTCTGGGTCTGGTGGAGCAGTAGTGAGCGTCATACTCGAACAAGCTGAACGAAGTATCGTTGGTGTCGAGACTGCTTTCGAGCTGTTGAAGCACGTCCTCCCTTACGAAGACACCACATCCACCGGCGCCATCACGATCTTGAGGAATTGGTGGGCTAAGGAGCTGATCCCCATTCGCGCTGAGATCGGATTGTTCGTCGCCAAGTGGGCATCTGCCCCAGCCATGGCCTCTATCGTCTTCTCCTTGATTCACTGCGGCTCATCCGAAATTATTGAAGCTGTTATGGCGTCCCTCCTTGATGCAGTGGACGGGGTTGATGGAAATGCGGTCGCTGCAATGGGGCTTTTGCGTGTCATTAGTTATAATACTGAGATATTCGACAAGCTGCAGTCAGCATTGCGGAGAAGTCGGAAGAGTGGGTTGGCGCCATGGTTAGATGAGTTAACGCAGAGAAATCCCGCGTTACGAGGGGAGATCCAAGCATTGAAAAAGTCTCTCGCACTCGGACCTGGTGTGAAGGATGATATGGAGGTGGTGTATGAACCGCCAGCACCTACTCGGGTGCCGTGGAATCTAGCAAACTACATACCCGGCCCCACCGGCGAACGACCACAAAGCTCCGGTCAAGTTCAGATCTTGCCAGGACAGATGCTTCCGCCGGCTATACACCGCCGTGCGAGCTCGACGAGTACTGGCGCTGTCAACCCTAACACCGTATCCCCCAACCGAAGCACTTCACACTCGCCATTCTCCGGGACGATGCCACCACCATCGATGTCCATGACCCCCGTTACGCCGTTACCTGGTGACATGGTACCGTTTCTAAACGTACCCATGGGCGGTGGTATGATGCCGCCGCCAATGATGGGCATGAACATGGGCATGGGCACGGGAATGGGAGGAGGAATGGGCTCGCAGCAGGTCCAGCAGATGCAGGCGCAACAAACGCAGCAAGTGAGGATTATGAGGGCCAATACGAGTCGGCCGCCGAGCAAGCATGTCGATGAGTATGAGGGGTATGGGCCCGGGTAGGCGAGAGGTGGCGTAGACTGGGTTTCTTGGAAGACTACGACTATCTATGCCGTAATATGATGATACTGGTCACGAATTACCTTTTGTATTTCTCAGATTCCCTGCGTCCATTTTACAGCTTCATCTCATCCGCATCTCCATCGTCCTGTCCGTTGCTCCATCAACATTCCTCGGTTGGAGCATTTAGTCGGCAATGTGCAGCGGAAGTTCCTGCTCAAGTGACAACGGCAATGCGAACCGAGATTGGCTGTCACCTCCCCATAGCTCCTCTGACGTTCCCTCTCGTCCAGTCGCCATCCCCTTCCTCTCCTCTCCTCTCCTCTCCTCTCCATGTTAACAGACCGCCCTATTAAAGTAAAGCCGTTCTAATTGAAGCTTGGTCAACGGGTTGTATTACCTTCTAAGTACGCATATGGCTTGTATTAGACTGAGCGCTAAATCCACACGTAATCCTTGGCGAATACTCGTCCTCGATGACCCCCCGACGTCTTCAAGTCCTTCAAGACGAGCATTTACTCCCCGACTTCCCCCAGAAGCACCGTCCGTGGTCAAGAATCTCTGCTGATAAACGGCGGTAACAAGGACCTTATTAGAGTAACTCCCGCTCCGGTTCCGAGACCTTGGCGACCCGCAAGCCTTGGCGCGTCATTCCTCGAAAAGTCGCTCGCAGGCGCCCCGCACAAAATCCTTGTAGTTCCAAGCTTTAAGGTTCAAAGAGCTCGAGCCTTGGAGTTCTAACATTCTCGGTTCGAAGGTTTCCAAGGGAAATAGCCCGACTCGGCAGAAATCCTGCCAAGCTATCTGATTACGGCTACATAAAGACGTCTACCCGCTTCGAGACGGAAGGTTATTGCAATTGATAAGGAGCAGGTCCCGTGCTCAAGGTCTATTGCTAAGCCTTCGCGACGAGGATCGACTCTCATACGGTCGCTACATCCCCAACACTCAATCCACGACCCAATCGGCCGTTTTGGAGTACCACGACAAAGACAAAGATCGCGCATACACCCCAGGTTCGATCACAACCAAGATGATCCCCTCAAACAGACGACGAATCACGCTGATAGCATTCGTTACGGCCGCGATGATGTTGGCTGTGTACATGTTCCACGATTCGGCAATTCGGGCTGGAACGTCTCTATACTCCTCAACGCAGGCTCCGCAACAACAGGCGCCGGCAACGGCAACGGGAGCAGGAGTTTTGAAGGATGTGGAGGCGCAAAAGAAGCAGATCGAGGAATTGAAGAAGGAGGTCGAGAAGCTCCGGGATTCGATCTCGAAGCATAAGGATATGCCAAAAACCACCATGAGTGATCCGGACGCGAAGAAAAAGCAGAAGGATGAGGCGTGTAAGGATGTCGTGCGAAACATCGATTACTACCATTCCGTCAACCACGAGCAGTTCTGGCAGCATGCGTCGCCGCAGGTGTGGGCGGATCAGATACGGGCGTGGAGGTCGTATATGGATTCTGCGCCTTCGTGGGAGTCAGTATCGGCGAAGCATGAGATGAAGGACCGTGGAATCGTTATTGCGGGTGGAAATGGGGATACGCTGGATCGTACCAAGGTCACGCTGAGAATGCTGAGAGAGTTAAATTCAACACTACCGGTGGAGGTACATTATATCCGGGGAGAACTGGGGAAGCCGGAGATTGAGAAATTGAAGGAGTTGGGGGCTACACCGAGGGATTTGAGTGACGAATCGAATCTTTTTACGGTACAGAAGGTGGTTGGGAAGGAGAAGAATTTCCATATCAAGAGTGCCGCGATGATCAACTCTGGGTTCGAGGAGATCCTGTATCTGGATTCGGACTCCATGCCAGTTCGAGATCCGAGGTATTTGTTTGGGTATGAAGAGTATGAGAAGACCGGCACCATGTTCTGGCCCGACTACTGGAAAACCCACAAGGAAAACCCCATTTGGGATATCCTCGACGCCCCCTGCGCCGACGAATGGGAACAAGAATCCGGCCAAGTCCTCCTCAACAAACGCACCAACTGGAAACCCCTCCTCCTCGCAAACTACATGTCCATGCACTCCGAGTTTTACTTTCAATTGATCAATGGGGATAAGGATACGTTGAGGTTCGCGCATAAAGCGTTGAAGATGGAGTACTTCATGGTTCCAAAGTTCTTGACTGCTGGCGGGTTGATTTGGGATGAGAGGTTTTGTGGGCATACGATGATTCAGCATGATCCCGATGATGCGCCGATGTTTGTTCACGCCAACTTGCTCAAGGAGTTCCCGAGGGACCGTCTCAACCCAGACACTGAAAGTAACACTGGGAAGGGTGTCTTTAGGACTTTCAAGATGTATACGGTGAGCAGGGGGAATACGTGGTTGAAGCCGAGGTTTTACGTCTCGAGTGGAGGGCAGAATTGTATGGAGATTGACGCTGGTGCTGGGGAGCCGGATATTCGGGAGGAGTCGTTTGAGAATCTCGTGCCAGGGTGGAATGCGTTCTATAAGAGGAATGGAGGGAAGGGTGGTGGCAGATGATCTTGAGCCATGGAAGGTATTTCGTATGGTATGGTTTTGGGTGGTAGACGGTCTTTGATTTGGGATTGGATTGGAAGATAGGATGCATAGAGCAGACGATAGTATATTTATATCTTCATTGATCACCAACCATCCCTTCCAAAGGAATCGTTCCCCATCACAGGCATGATCACTCTCACTATCTTAGATTGAACGAAGGTATGTAGACCTTAAGCGGCTAATGTCTTCCCCACGAAACCAGGAGTCGACGGCTGTTTTTGTTTTTATGATAGACCCGCTAGGACAGTATGTGATTTTGGCTCCTTTTTGACTTCCATCGATCATGACGGGCAGTGCCCAGATTGAGGAAGCTTCGAAAGTGCCGGATGATTCAAGAGACGAGGGCCGTCGAGTGAGTTCATGAGGAAGCAACGACGCAAGTGTAATGGTCAGGATGCCTATTCATGATCCCGGTCGACGGCCGTACTCGGTGCAATTGTTTAATGGAGGTGTTGGAGGTTGGTATTCCAGGCTGCGTGTTCGGTGGGCGAACTTTTGTGTTGAGGGCAGGTCACGTGCATTTGGCGCGAACACATACTCCAACAACAGCCCTACACCGACTCTTCCTTCCATTGCCAAGTCTTCCACCTGTCAGCTCGAGCCGAATGAGCTCCTCGGAGTACCTCTCGACATGAAACACAACGGTCCGCTCCGCCTCGGGCATCCTGCACATTCTGTAACGGCAGGAGGTGATAAGCTCATACACTTGCATCAACCGGCAGAATTACCATAGCCATCGATTGGTAGGGAATTTCCCTCAGCTAGAAAACGTTCTCTTCTGTTGTAAGGGGATGCATGGTGAGGGGAATTAGGGCGATATGAGCTTGCTCGTGATTGCCACCCAATTTTTCACCTATATAAGACGTGGAGGATCCGCATACTGGGGAACGGCACCGAGTTGACCTCGTTCGCATCCGACATATTTTTGTTTTCTTGTACGAGGCTGGGACTCGACCATTTCAACCTTTCTTCGGCGCACCCTTTCTCTTCAACGTTTTTTTTACGACACAACCGTTGACCGGTTCAACCTTTTACCCCTTTCTCTCTCGATAACCAAAAAGACAAGATGCACACCTCTCTTATTGCCGCCCTTTTCGCCGCCACCGGTGCTTTCGCAACCATGGACGGCTACGGCCCAGGTTACTCCAACCCCGACAACGCGAACCCATACGCCGGTGCCGGAGCCAACATGGCGTCCGGAGCGTACGCCGCCCCCGCTGCCGTCATGACCGAGACATCGTTGATGGTCGATACCATGGCTGCTGAGACAATGGGCATGGGCAAGATGACCAACTCGATGATGAAGGCCTCCGAGACCATGACCATGGCTGGCGGTATGATGACCGATACCATGGCCGCCGCGATGACTCCGCCCACCGCCACCATGGACATGGGCATGACCGGCACCGCCGCCGTCGCCGCCTCCGGCGCAACCCAAACCATCCTTGTCGGCGGCGACGCCGGCCTCGTCTACACCCCCTCCTCCGTCATGGCTTCACCTGGCGACACCCTTATCTTCCAATTCCTCACCAAAAACCACACCCTCTCCCAATCCACTTTCGCCTCTCCTTGCTCCCTCGGCGCAGCCATGGTCGACTCGGGATTCCGTCCGTATAACGGTACAGGCGCCCCGAGTACCTTTGCGTACGTCGTGCAGAGTACGGAGCCGACGTGGTGGTATTGTAAGCAGAAGGGGCATTGTGGGATGGGGATGGTGTTTGCGGTTAACCCGACGATGGAGAAGACGTTTGAGCAGTTTAAGATGAATGCGATGGCTCAGGGCGCTTCCATGTCCGCGGCGATGGGTGGGAATACGATGACGATGTCTGTCGCTGCTCCGGCTCTCACGACTGATACGGCTGCCGTCGCGCCTCCTGCTATGAGCACGGGTGCCGTCATCGCTGGTTCTGGATCTGGATCTGGTTCTGCTGGAGCATGTGAATGTCAGTGCGCATGTGGTGTCTTCCCTCTTCCTGCTGGTGCTGGGTACGGTATGGCTGCGGGCTGGGGTGGTGCTGTCCCGGCTCCTTGGGCTGGGACTCAGGTCGTTGCTGCACCTGCTGCTGCTGCTGCCATGACGGCTGCTGCTCCGGCTGCGGCTGCGGCTGGATATAAGAGGAGGGCTGTTCGATACTAGGCTCCTGGATTGGTGCTGTGAGCGTGTAGAAAAGGTTGGGTGGAGTGTTTTGTTGTGGGTTTTTGTATATTTGGGTCTTGCGGTTTTTACTTTAGGTAGATGGTCGAGCTTGGGAGCTGGTCTCTCTTGAAAGATATCTTCTCAGTCTCATCTTTTCGTTCAGTCTTCATCTTGTCAGTTCCTTCTGCACAAACGCCTTCACCTCCTCACCGTTCACGCAACCCCCGCTCAGTGTCATCCACTCCAAAGTAACACCCTCACGTCCTGCGTATTCTCCCACCTCTCTCTGCCCCAACTTATAGTTCGTCCTACCACCTTCACATCAACATTTCATGTAGCGGTTGTATACCTCCTGCGCGCTTTCTCCTTTTCGATTCCGTAGATCCGGTCCGCCCTTCTTCGTCATCTTCTCGTATAGCAGCTCCACCGTCTTCTCGTTTTCAGATACTGAACATGCTTTGTGCAAGGCCGTTTCCCCATCTCCATCTTGCGCACATACATCCGCGCCCCTCCTAATCAACACCTCCACCATCCCTGTAGCATCTCTATGTATACTCAGTCGATGTAACACTGTCGACCTCATCTCTGGTGTATGCGCATTCACATCAGCGCCAGCCTCGACCAGTACGCTGATGACATCGATATGCCCAGAACGTGCGGCGTGGAGGAGAGGGGTGTAGCCTGACGTGTCTCGTTCGTCTACTCTTTTGCCTTTTTGGAGGAGGGCATGGAGGTTTGTCAGGTTCCCTGTGGTTAAGTTAAAAGGGGTTCTAATGGAGGAGGAGGGATAGGTGTGTGGGCGGACCTGATTTGGCGGCGTAGTGGAGGGAACGGGAGGACGTGAGGGAGACTTCGTGGAGGTTTTGGGTGTAGGCATTGCCTTCATGGGAATGGCCGCAATCGTGGCCATGATGATGATGATGATGATCGGACATATTCAAGTACGTGATGGTGTAGTACAGACAGACGCAATTCTTGCAACAGGTACATATATGTATCGTACCCATGGCCATAACCAAAACACCAAAGATCGAAAAATATGCCCAACAACGCCAAATGAAATCCCAGTACTTTTTAACGCTTCTTTCCGGACGTAGCACGCTTTCCTTGTCCCTTCTTCGGGGGTCCCTTTCCACGTCTCCTCCGCCTAAATGACAAAGCACACGATCAATACACAATCCATACAATCAAACTCAGAGTGGAAGGGAATACGTACACCTCGTTCTCCTTGATCCGCTGTTCTTCCTCAAAGTTGACCAGAGGGTTTCCAATCGCTCGCTCATCAACGGTGTTGTTCTCAATCAGGGCGGCACGCATCTTGTTGAAACCCTTGACGAATTTAGCGACAGTGATGTTTGTCCTAACGTAGTAGTCTGAGATTGTGGGTCCCTTGAGTCGTTGTCTGAGGACCTTGTTTCCGGTTCGTGCATTGGTTGGGTTGAAGGTTGTCATGAAGATCTGGGAGGCAGTCTTCTGGAGGGCCTGTAGCCGCGTGACCGATGGTGGGACGAGAACCATATTTGTGGTTCCTATGGTTCTTGGGCGAGCGTACGTTGGAGGTTGGAGGTTGGAGGTGAGCTGCAGGTCGTTGAGGTTGGGTGCCTGGAAAAAATCTAAAAATAGCAACATCATACAAATGCCGCCGAAGAAGAAAGTCGTTGGGAAGGACAATTCTACACTTTCCAAGCAGCCTGTTTCTCACCCTCAACCACCAAAATGGCCGGCTCTTTCCAAGATTGATCAGTGGGCCCCACCACCCCTCACCACCCTGCTAGGAAACCAAATCATCACACTGCCCCTCTTCTCCCCAGCAACCTGCAAAGCCTTCGTCAAACTATGTGAATCCCTCCCAATGGAAAAAACCCCGTCCGCGGTCAAAGGCATGGCCCTCCGCACCAACGACCGCTGGCAGCTCACCGATCCCGAATTTGCGAAGAGGCTGTGGGAAGACACGGGGTTGAACGAGGTTTGTGGGGACTGGACGGAGAAACCGAATATGAAGGGGGAGGTGCGGGCTGTTGGCTTGAATTCGAATATTCGGGTGTACAGGTATCCGAAGGGCGCGTTCTTTCAGCGGCATTATGACGATCATGCGGTGGATCCGGTGACTGGGCATACCACCCAATGGACTCTGTTGGTCTACCTTATGGGCGAGGAAGATGGTGTACGTGGTGGTGAAACAGTGTTCTACACCAGCACGGGTTCAGGGAAGAAAGCTAAGGAGCAGCCGCTGGTTGCAAAGTTGAGTCGGGGTACGGCGTTGTTGCATAGACATGGATCGAATTGTCTGGTGCATGAGGGGAGTGAGGTTCTGGAAGGAGTGAAATGGGTGTTGAGGAGCGATGTTTGTTTTGCATGATGCGAGCGTTTATTTCTTTGGTGATACCCTAGATCTGGCTGTCATGAACAGCAGCCACCAATTTATACTCTTACATTTCCTGTTCTGAAGACTTAGGCAATCGTCAACGTCCTCCTAACACCCTCGGTAACTTTGTCCACCGGAACAGCATCTACGACATCATCATCATACTCCCCGTCACTCTCATCCTCGCTATCCTCCTCCTCACTGTCGTCCTCTTCGTCATCACTCTCCTCCTGACGTTTCCGATTCGGATTTTCCCATTCCCGTGCATTCTTCGCTTGCTTCAATGTCTCGTAATCATCCTCCGCATCAGGCTCGTCGTCGAACTCCAATTCCTCGGAGTCTTCGTCATCTTCAGGTGCGGTGTTGCCAAGTTTGACGTTACCCCAATGGTCATACTCGACTTCCTCCTCTTCTTCTGATTCATCTTCCTCTTCAGAGTCGGAGGGTGGCAGCATCCCCGCATTCGCATTCTGGCCTCTATTCATATTCCCTGTCTCCCACGCCTCTTCCTTCCCCTCCCTCCTGTCCTTGTATTCCTTATCCAACCCCTCCAACCACTCCTCCTGAACTCTCTTCACATCCTCCGCATCCCCACACTCCCGATACTTCTCCAACAATGCCCCATTAACCTCAAAAAACGCATGTCCCCACGAGAAATTGTCAAGTAATTTCTCAGCCCACTCGAATCCGTGTTCGCCGCCTGCGATACAGAAACAAGCTGCGAGGGCTTCGACACAGTTTAGGCGCCAGGGGCGGCCGTAGTTTACGGGATTTGTGGCGATGAGGTAAGGGAGGAGACGGTCTGCGCGGCCGGTGAGGCGGGACATAGGGAGTTCTTGGAGGCGGGCCCAGGAGGCTTCGACGACGGCTGCGCCGCCAGTCAACAAGATCTCGTGATCGGCGGGGGAGACGGGGATTTTGCCGGAGGGTGTGACGACAATTCCGGCGAAGCGTGTTCCGACCTTCAAGTTCCTGATCAAGCCCAACCTAGAGAGTTTCTTCCCTGAGCAGCGGCGCGGATCGCACTGATCGAAGTCCCACATTCCAAGAGGCGGCATTTTTGCCTCAGCACTAGAAGATTCATGAGCGGCGGAGAGGTCGTGTGAGGATTCGGCGTATTCTTGGTCGCGGCCACGGCGGGATTTGCCCGTGGCGGATTGTGTCTGCTTTCCGCCAGAGCGGTGTTGAGGTTGGCGACAGGCGCGAGGCATTGGTGATGAGAAAGATTTCCTGGTAAGTTGGGCAATTGAATCGCCTTTTCTCTTCTCGAGGTGAGCCGGTGTTGCCTCATCGCCGTATCGCCTGCGCCACGACTGCGCCGCAGAGATCGCAAAGCTACACCGAACAACTCCGTCGCAATTCAGTCATCAGCCTTAGAGCTTCTCAGAATGGCTGCCCAGATGACTCCTGATGAGGTATGCTAGGACGTTGTCTAGTATTGATCAATGGCTAACTAACAACAGAAATACACTCTCATCACCCGTGGTCTCCAAGAAGTCCTCGGTGGTGACCAAATCAAGGCTATCCTCGAAGCCAATGAGCGTCCCCTAAAGCTCTACTGGGGTACCGCCCCCACTGGCCGTCCTCACTGCGGTTACTTCGTCCCCATGGTCAAGCTCGCCGAATTCCTCCGCGCGGACGTCGAAGTCACCGTCCTCCTCGCTGACATCCACGCATTCCTCGATAACCTCAAGGCACCTATCGAACTTGTCAAGCACCGAGTCGAGTTCTATTCTAGGGTTGTCAGGACAATGTTGGAGTCGCTGGGTGTTTCGACGGAGAAGCTGAGGTTCGTGACTGGGTCGAGTTATCAGTTGACGCCGGAGTACTCGATGGACACATACCGTCTCGCCGCCCATGTCACCGAACATGACGCCAAGAAGGCCGGAGCAGAAGTCGTCAAGCAAGTCGATTCAGCTCTCCTCTCCGGTCTCCTTTACCCCGGTATGCAAGCCCTCGACGAAGAATACTTGGGCTGCGACGCACAGTTCGGCGGAGTGGATCAACGCAAGATCTTCACCTTTGCGGAAAAGTACATGCCGACCCTCGGATACAAGAAGCGTGCGCATCTCATGAACCCAATGGTCCCCGGCCTCGCAGGTGGAAAGATGTCCTCCTCAGACCCAAACTCCAAGATTGACGTCCTCGACGACGCCAAAACTGTCAAAAAGAAGATTGGTGCGGCATTTTGCGCTCCTGGTGAGGTGGAAGGCAACGGTGTCCTCGCCTTTGTCAAGAACGTTCTCTTCCCCGTTTACGCCCTCCGCTCTCAATCCTCTGGTGAATCCCAAGAAGGCTTCTACATCAACCGCCCCGAACAATACGGTGGCCCGATCTCCTTCCGCACCTACGAAGCTCTTGAAGAAGCCTACGCATCCCAATCCCTAACCCCCATGGACCTAAAATCCGGTGTAACGGACGAGATCAACAAACTCCTCAAACCAATTCAGGAATTTTATGTCGCGGATAAGGAGTGGCAGGAGATTGCGGAGAGGGCGTACCCGGTGGAGGGAGGGAAGGCAAAGAAGGAGAAGAAGAAGAAGGATAAGGGTAGTAGGTACCCCGGAGGTGGTGCGGAGATGAAGGTGGAACAGACTGAGGAGGAGAAGAAGGAGGTTGGGGGGAGTGTTGAGGAGGCGATGGGGCAGTTGAAGGTTGGGCAGCAGTAGTAGATCAAAAGAATATATACTTCCGACACGTCGGAAATAAACAAAAAGTCCGGTTTACGCATGCGCGGCAGCTGCCCGTGTGCAAGCTGACCTACATGTATGGCGCCCTTGAGTTTCGGCTACTGACTTTGCAGCTGATATCGTCGAGACTACATTGGTGCAAAGCGAAACACGCGTGGGAAACTAATGGACTTTTGCATTCCTCGCAAATATATTGGCAACATAAGTACTTTCCATACCCGCATCTTCCCTCTTTCACTCACTTTTGGCAGGTGAGCGCTTTCCATCTAACTTCACAAGCCTTGGCACCTTTCCCCACCTTCCCCGAAATCCTTGCCCACATCTCTTTGGCGTCCAACCCAACAGCTTCCTTCAATAATTTGTCCTAACGATACCAGTTAACATCTCAGACTTTCTCTGCCTCACGAATGTCTACCTACATCTGATTCATCCCACTCAATGGCAGCAGCACCGACTTTCGTGTATCGACATTGGAGGGAATGCACCGAACGACCGGGGAAGTGTTTCCCAATCTCAGGCCAAGTCAGATCATTGCGGCGCAAAGAGAGAAGCAGTTCGTCGTCTGAGTTTGACCACCCGTGGGACTTCCTCGTTTTCCTGACTGGTTTGGCCACGGCGTTCTTAAACGTCTTTTGCTGCTCGAAGGGTCCAGGACCTGTTGACTTCGTTAGCCTAGACTTCCAAATGCCGTAAACCAATAGCGAACTTACTTTCACTCTTAGTGCACTTCCTCTTCTTCGTCTTACTATCCTTCTGCTCATCATAAACTGCGCTCAACATCGCCTCCAACTCATTCGGATCAACACTCGAAGGATCAGACCTGACAAGTCCTCTCATAACGGGCTCTGCGAGAATCTCAATGGTGGTGAAACGGAGGGAAATGGCATCCATCTTATCTTTATGAAGGAAATAGAGATGGGGACGTAAGTTGAGAAAGTGGGTTACCGCATCGGCCCGAAAGGGCGAGATACCCATGGGCGTGTGAAAACACGGGCCGTTGCAAGTTATAATGAACACGCGGGTCGGAATCGGCATGGTTGTAGGTTAATATCAGGTATATTCATGAACGATTTCCAAACGCCAGCGTCCTATCACGTCACTAAGGTATCTATAGATATACGGTATAACCATCTTCTTCTCTCACTCTCCTTCCATCTCCCATCTCCAATTTAGATCCCAGTAACCATCCACAATGTCTCCCGTCCCCTCTCACTCCCCCCGGTAAACCTCTTAACGAAACCCATACACCTCTCCCTAACCTCCACCAACCCAGTCTCCAACGCCGCCATCTCAACGGCCCACCTGATTCTCAAAAAGACTGCCGCCACAACCTTCTCTTCGCCGTCGACATCAGCATCATCAACGATCGAACGCACAATATCGGAGATCGCGGAACATGTTTCTTCGAGGGAGGAGGGGGATCGGAGCATGGATGTTGAGATCTGGAGGAGTCGAGCGCCGTGGAATTGGGTTAGGACGACGCGGCATTCGAGGGAGATCCAGCGTTCCATGTCGGTGGCAGCGGTAAACTGCGGTCCTTCGAAATTGTTCACCAGACTTGGTCGGTCAGCCCATAACGGCTCCAACTCCACCTTCCGGCCAAGATGGAGGTCAGCGATGACGCTATGCAAACCAGTTCGAAACGCGAGGATTGGAGCCACAGCGCTCTCGTACAACGCCTGACTAAGCGTCGAAGTCTGCGACGCTTCTGGTTCCGGAACGCCATGTTCCCTGAGATACTCCCTCAACACCTTCGTCGCACCCGGATCCGTCCTCGTACTCTCCGCATTAAAATGTGCCAAAGCAGCGAAAATACGCTGCTTCGGAATCCCCTTCTCCTGCCACTGTATTTGATCCCTCTGCAAAACAACGACCAACTCCGCCGCCACATCCGCTACCCAATGTGGTCTGTTCACCGCCTTGAGTACCGCCCAAGTCCCGAGGATCAGGAGTGCAATCATTTTGGCTTCATCGTTCTCGTCACTGCTCAACACTATTTTCCTAGCGGATTGCATGGCTGCATCACCACCGTTCACCGCAAACGTCAACACGACCTTCTTCAAGGGCGCCGAAGACGAACTGAGTGCGGCGAGCCAGGCGGTGGACGCCATCAACTCTGGCGCAGGGCAGAATATCGCACGGGACACGGTTTGCACCGCGGCGGGAAGTGTACACGGCCTAGGCATTTCAATATCAAACAACGAGCTCTGAAATCTCTGAGTCGCCATGGCTTGTTTCTTGAAAGCGTGGGCGTGGGAGGCAATACTGAACGAGTTCCTTCGACTCACATTCGAGGACAAGGGCGGTGACATCGTCGACAACGCCGAAGGCGAAGCAGCCATGGGGAAGTTGTATGCGTGCGTCGGGAAGGATTGCGAGATCGGCGAGTTGTCGTGGAACGAGCCGGATTCCAGTTGCAAGCTCGAGATGTCGGGTGGGATATATGACATGTAACCCTCATCACCTCCGCCAGCACTCTGAGGCATATCTAAATCGAGACCCATGCCCATATAAGACCCACCTAGAGGCGGTGTAACGGACGTCCCAGGCCCAGGCCAGCCATACGTCCCGCTTTCTCCGTCCAACTCTGTTCCAGGGGTAATGAGAGACAAAGATCCGGTAAGCTGTTCCGAACTTAGCGAAGAGTGGTCGTCATCGCACAGACTCAACTCGCTGGCCCTCCTGGACACCGTCCCCAGCAGCCTGGGGTTAACTCCTCCGAACCCCACACCCATGCCCAGTCCGAGCCCTGCATGCGTTGGCGTTGGTACCGGAATCGAAGAACTCAAGATTGAGGAAACAGCTGAGTGTTTGTACACATTCTCCAAATACCCACACTCCAACTTCAACCGCTCGCAGTGTCCACAGATCGGGTGAACTTCGTCGCAGCGGACTTTACGTTGTTTGCAGGTTGTACAGCCAAAGCGGGAGCGAGGAGCGTGTCTGCCGCGGCGTTCTGCCTTCATCTTCTTGTCGTTTTGTTCTGTTCTCGTCGTTCTTGGTTTCTTCGGCGACGTCGTGGTCGTAGTTGTAGTTGTAGTAGTCGTCGTTGCTGTTTGTACTTGGGGATCGAGCATACACCCCGTCAATTGTCTTGTATGAATGGTGCTTGCGCTCGCGGGTGGGCCAGCGACGCTTATGAACGACGACTCATCCATCCTCATGGCGGGGGAAAGTGATAGTGTAATCTACTAATGCTACTCGCCGTAACCAGTGCCGATTATGCCGGATAGCGTTTATGAATGCGATGGGCCCGTATTATCTTATCGGCCGCGGAGCCGTAGCTAATCGTATACGAGAGGATACAGCCCCAAGGTTCGACCGCGAAGGCTTCAGGAGAAAGGTGTAACCCGTGTCGCGCCGGAGATTGCCAATTTGCTGATCACCTCAGCACCTGGATGAGATGCTCTACCCGGTGGGCGATATTGACGTCGGGGCACCACTGATAACCGATACGGGTCCCGGGATGCGTCGATGCAGCTGCAGGTGATAAGAAACGGGTAGCCGATACCTGCACGCCATAGGTCAAGGAGGGGAGAGAGGTGGGTGGGTGAGTCAGTGGAGGCACGAGGAACAGGCTACGGAGAGTATTCGCTTAGGTCAGGAGCCTATCGAGTAAGTGCTGTGCTTGTGTTAGCTACTATTCTTGTACACGGAGCACGCCCTGATACCGTAGGCACCCTCGAGCCCGCACTGCGCGGCGCGCGATTGCGATAGGGGACTTTACCTTTGCCGAATTCGGAATAGCGTGGTGCAAAGGTTCCGACGAGCAGGTAACGTCGATGAGGTAAAATGTTGGATGACGGAGCAGCGCCAGGAGTCGAAGGGATATTCATCGTCCTCATCCCCCTACACTAGATTCAATGTATATATCTCCACTAACCCTTGCTCTTCCTCACTTAATTCACCTCCCACCCCCATTGCTCGGCCCCAACTTAAACACCTTATACCCAATCGCCTCAGCCTCCCGCACACACTCCTCAACACTCCTCCCAAACCGATGACTCGCGCGTCTCCACCGTTCTTTCTCATCCTGCGCAACCCATTCCATGAGTTCGAGTTGTTGAAACGTGGACCATGTTGGGGTGGGGTGTCTTGGACCCGGGGGTAGTCTTGGACTAGGCGGTGGTGGTTGTTGGAGTGATTGTGGAAGGTGCGCATATGGCGGTAGAGGTTGGTACATGGCTACTGGCGACTGCAACTGTGATGCGCCCCACGCCTGTCCCTGATACCCTTGATACGAAGGTGCCGGTGCCGGTGCCGGTGCGGGTACTGACTTGGGTGCAGGAGGCTTGAGACGGTGAGAGTTTGGGTGCTTCGGTGTCGGCGTCGCGTCTGCCATAGATTTTCCTGACGCTCGTGGATCTTCCGTCACCACCAATGTCACAGGCGACTGCGACAGCCTCGGTGCTTCCGCTTGCTGTGACGGTGCAAACACCGGAGCAGGTGCAGATGCGGGTGCCGGTCCAACCGTGGACGCAGCAGGCAACGCGGTAACCGAACTCGGCGGCGTAGGCAACGGTGATGGCCCCGGCGGCGACATCGACATCGACAACGAAAAAGCACCCGTCATACTCCCGGGCGGCCGGACCCTCTGAATAGGATTTGGGACCCGTCCATCCGCTCCAACAGCCGGCGCAGGCTGCGAAGGCAGAGGATTCTGCGACGTCGGCAGGGGTCCATTGTAGATTTGCCCAGTTGGGGATGAAGACGGGAGAACGTACCAGCTTCCTGAGCCGGGGATGTATATCATGGCGGGGTGCGATGGGTCGGAATGGACACCGGACGGATGTTGTGGAGGATGCGGAGGGTTTGGCGGTGCGTTCATAGCCATCAACGCTGGGTCGATCATACTGGAGTTCGTGGCGCCAGTGCCAGGCGTTCGAACAGCGGTAGGTGATAGGCTCGGCGTCTGCGACAAGGTTTTAACCAAGAGAGGTGTCGTTGGCTCGGGCTGTTTTGGTCTCTCCCCACTCTTGTGTCTCGTCGTGCTCGGGCTCGTCTTATTCCTCTCCTTCTCCCTCTCCCTTTCCTTCGCTATAGCCTTATCCTTCTCCTTTGCCTCCGCCCTCTCCTTGTCCGCCTTCTCCTTATTCACATCCTTCCTCGTCATTCTCAACACCCCCATCCCACTAGCCCCGGCCTTCATCCTCCCCGCCTCACCCGCCAACCCCGGCACCCCAGGATCCTGTCTTCCAACATGCCCAATCCCAACTCTCTCAAACACCCCACCCTCCAATCTGAGATGATGCGCATAATGCGCTTTCTGTAGGCTTGGAGAGTCTGTTTTCATACCGCATACGATGCAGACATCGCCTGCTGCGACTGAGTCACAAAGGGAGGAGGGGGAGAGGAGATGGGTTTGGAGGTCGGAGGAGGTTGGGAAGGGGAGGGAGCAGCGGGGGCAGGTGTAGGATTCGTAGGTGGGTGCGGGTTTTGGGGTTGTCGTGGGTGGGTTAGTTATGGCGGAGGGTGCAGGTGGGGTTGGTTTTGAGGTCAAAGTGGGAGGATGTGCCAGTGCAGGCAATGGTGGAGGACCGCCTGCGGGGACAGGTGCCGGTGTCGGCGCCGGGGCACAGTCGGTCCCTTTAGCCGCAACTGGATTCACGCCCTCGCTCACCTGTCCCTCTGAGGTTCCATGAGCACCAACCGGCCTTTCCTCCACCACCACCACCACCTCTCTCGGCTTCTGATCCAAAACCCCCCTCCCCTCCTCCCCAATAACCTCCTGAAAAACCATCCAACTCTCCCTCCTCTCCCAAACAACAACATGCCCCCCAACCAACCTCTCAAAGGTCCTCCTCCCATAAATCCTCAACAACGCCTGAAACTCCACATCCCCATCCTTCTGTATCGTGGTCGCCAACAATGAAGTTTCCCACATATTGTGGACCCACCAGCCTACTTCGGCGGGGGAGATGCGGTGGTGCGGGGGACGGGTTGCGTTGAATTCGGCGGCGAAGCGGGTGAAGAGGGGGGGTTGGAGGCGGAGGTCGACCATGCCGCGGAGGAACCAGGTTGTTAGCATTTCGGTGTCTGAGGGGGGGCGGGCGTCTTGGCGGGCTTGGTACAGTTGGGCTTCGGCGGCGGAGAAGGTTGGTTGTTGGGTGTTGGGTGCGAGAGGTGCGAGAGGTGCGACGGGTGCAACCGAAGCGGCAAGTACAGGATGCAGGACGGTCGCGGGCTGCTCCTGGACTTGTGATTGCACCTGAGGCTGCAATTGAGGTTGATCTGGAGCTTGGGAAGGTGACTGGACGCTGAACGGGACCTGAGCCTGCTGATGCTCCGGAGATGGCAAATCAAACCCCGGAGAACCGACAAAATTCTCAACCTCGAGCTCCGGCGACGCAGTCCTAACCACCTGCTCAGCCCTCTCAACAGGCATCGCAGTCCCGGTCGAGGATGACGCCGGCTTCACCGCTGAAGCAGGCCGCTCAAGGACCGGACTAATTATATCCTCTTTCGGCGGCACCACTGTGTGTGGAACCGACTTTGCGATCGGCGTTGCAGGCGGAGGCGGAGGTGGAGTCACCATCCTCCTCGGCACAGGCACAATAGCAGACCGCATACTCGACTCCCCCCTCCCCCTCATCGACGAAACCGGTGGATTCATATTCTTCCTCGGAGCGAGTTCTGGGTATAGAAGGGCGAGACGTGGATCGAGCTCGATCAGTGGTGGTGGTTTGTAGCATGGTTTGTCTGCTTCGTGGTGGGTTGTGCTGCTGCTTCGGCGTTTCGTGATGGACCTTTTGCGGATGGGACGGGGTGGCGATGTCCGTGTTGCTGTGATGTCGATGTTGTTGGAGTTTCTGGTTGGTTCTTCGACTGCAGCCGCTGTAGCGGGTTCGAATTCCGTAGTGGACTTGGCGACCTCCGGGGTCTTTGCGAGCTCAGGCTGGGGTTCTGCTGCTTCAGCAGGCTCCGCGGTTTCTTTCACTGACTTTGCCAGTTTCATGTCTCGTACCTCGTCTTCGTTGGCGATGGGTGATTCAAACCGTGCGGAGGCTCTCGTAGACCTTCCTGACAATGCTGCAACTGGTTCGGGTGTTACAATGACCGGCGGTGGTGGTGGAGTCCCGCTCCGTTTCTGCCGCTTTGTAGTTTCCGTTCTGGATTGCTTCTCAACTTCTGCGCCCGTGATCTGCGAACGTGTCCGCTTGGGTCTGTCGTTTGACATAGGTGTTTCGGGGTGTTGGTGCTCCTCTGCGACTCGCTGTGCTGCCCGAGTAATGCGCGGCGTAGGCTTGTCCGACTCAGCAGTAGCTGTTTGTATGTATGGTTTTCGGATGACGGAAGCGGACGTCTTCGATAACTTGGTAGATATAAATGTCGGCGAAGCCTGCTCCACCTCCTCCGCAGCACGCTTAGCCGCCCTCGTGCTCCGTCCTGTCGACATGTGCACGTCCTTCACTGCAGTAGTTCCCTTTGAAGCTGACTTTTGAACAGAGGGAGAGGCAACTTTGGACTCCTTGGCAGGCGTAACGGCAGGCGACGGGACCTCAACCTCGCGATTGCGAAGCGACCGCTTCGTCGTCTCCGCCGCTCGCTTCCTCGTCGTAGCCTGCATAGGACCAGTCAGTCTCGTATCAAGAGATTGTATACAAGCTTAAGGAGGAGAAGGTGACCATTGTCCACTTCAGCTTCCTTGATTATTGGCAGTATTTACACTTTGGTACGCTAGGTGATTAGAGCCTGACGTCGCGGGGTGAAACCGCAGGCACTAGAACACCCTTACCGACAATTAGGGACTGACCGTGGGAGAGGAGGGATTAACTAAGAGTTGGATGAAATTGCAATTGACACTTTTGATGTCAGATGTCATGGCTCCTGGAATTGGAACGTCAAAGTCATTTTACCTACGTGTGCGACTGGGCTTCCGTGTATGTACTCGAACAGCATGATTCCATGGCCAAGTGCAATGGGGATATGAACCGACCGGTACCGGTCCGAAGGTCCCTCTCTCCACATAACAGATCAAACGCTCACACTTACCAATCTACACTACACTCATCACCTTCATGAGTTCAGGACGCAATGTCTAAGAAGCGTGATCATATCCAAATCGATTCAGATGAAGAGGACGAGCTTGTAGATATTGAGTCAGATCTCGTCAAGGTAGGCTCTCCTGGGATACGGGACATAGTGATTGACCGGTGTATCAGTTCGATCCCGAAGACGGACTATATGAAAAAGCAAGGCGGCCCATGACCCCGGAATCGCCGAAGACAAAGCGTAAGTATTTTCGCTTCTCAAAGTTCCAAGCACTCATCTCATCTTCAATGCGGCAGGCGTCAAGGAGCAGAAGTCTTTCACCCTCAGGAGGAGCACTGAATCCACCCCGTCCTTGACAACAACTACGAAAACCGTCTCCGCAAAGCGCAAAAGCACATCTGGGTCGGCTATCGACTTTGAACTGCTCAAACAGCTCAAGGAAGATCACCCTAGTTGGTCCTGGGAACAATTCGCGCCTTACTTCCATCCCCACAACGCCAAACAACTTAGGACGTATTGGAGTCATAACAACTCCAAGAATACGAAGTGGACCGAAGAAGAGGCAAGTACTTTCTTTGGGACGTCTCTCTCACGTAACTAATGGTAGGATATAGAAAGATGAATTCGCAGAATGGTTGATCAACGATGACAAGGACCGATTCAAGAGGGCGAGTAAGGCTTTTGGAAAGACGGCATTGGCGTGCAAGGAGATGGCGAAGAATATTGATCAATGATGTCATGCAGTACATAGCGGGAAATCAAAGTACTATCTATCTGCTCCAGCGCAAGCCTTAACTTTAGATCCAGACATGTTGGGGTACTTTCGGTTCTTCTCAGCGGCTTCCGGGCGCCTGCAACTCGTCTCGCGGTTTCCGTACTGGTGAGTCCAGCCTTTTCGGTCGATTGATCCTCAGAAGCGTGTTCTTCAACCCCATCTTGAGTCATGTCTTCGCTGATCAGCTCGATCTGTTCAGGCTCAGGCCACCAACCATCATAAGCATTCTCCCCAAAAGGCCGGTATTGAGGCCCATCTTCGCTAATGGGTCCGTGAATTTCAGTCGATCAACCCTCAGCATCCTCCAAATCGGCATTCCTCTTTGTCCCCCTTCTTCTTGTTCCCCTTTTCCTTCTCCGACTCCCATTCCTCTTCGTGAAGCGCCTGATTGTATTCTTGATTCATCTTATTCCAATCCTCCTCCTCTTCAGCCTCGGTCGGGACATACGTCGTCCTGATACCCACTTCCCAGTTAAGTTTTTCCTGGCCTTTTCTGCTTAGGTTTTCATAATCTTCTTCTACGTCGTAATTCCTGATTCCTCTAAATCCGACCTGGTGGCGAGGAAGTCTTTTGTGATAGCTGCCATAGGTCCAGAACCGGAGCAGACCAAATTTCGCGAGCATGTAGAATGGCCACTTGACTTTGATCCATCGTCTGGCGATCGAGAATGTGGAGCGGTCAGGGAGGTACATGACGCGAACACTCTCATAATCGACGCCAAAGCGGGCTATGCCTTGCAAAAGTAGTTCATCTTCACCATGGGTCCAGCTGGAAGTGGTATCGCGATACGGCCATGCGTACATAATGTAACGTTTCCAGATATCAAGTGGTGACCGTCCAGGAACTGCTTGGCAAATTAACGCCCATTTTCCTGTGTATGCTCCATATTTGATGATGGCATCGTGGATGGCTTTATCATCTGCTCCAGACCAGTGCTTGTTGCGCGGGAGCCTCGTGGTGACAACACCTCTTCCCTCCACGAAGAAATTTACATAGAATCTGCGTGCCAAGCCTGCAGGCGAGGGTATGGGTGTGGTGGTTTTGGTTATTTGACTCGGTGCAAGTTCTTTAAAGAATTCGGCGACCTCGTCCCATTTCTCTCCTCTTTCGAGAACGATCTCATTCAAGAGTTTCTGACAGAATCTGTCCCAAACCACCTTTCTCTTTGGAGGGTCCGGAAGCATGCGATCCAATACCGGCGCTTCTTCTGCGAACACTCTGGACCTGATGAGATCCTTGCGGAACTGACTATCGTATCTCCACCAGTTCGGGTTTTCGTGGTTGACTTTTAGGAAGATCTCCTTGGGAACATCTGCGGGATTGGGGTTTTTAGGGTTGTAGTTCATTAGACCACGGTTATTCCACTTTTGTCGTTCAAACGCGCGGACATGAGATCCATATCCAGCAGCATCATACTCCAATTGTGTGGCTTCTTCTTTTGAGATTTCCTGATCTGACTCATCTTCAAGCTCGGACCATCGTGAACCTTTTTGTGGCGATGGAGGCCCCGAAGTCGAGAGACATCGGCAGCATACTGAGGGTTTGAGCGCAGTTCTTGCCGCTAACCAGGCGAATGTCAGAGAGAGAGACCGAGATGTCATTCAGACAATAACTGACAAAAAGGCTGCAGTAGACGCCTTCGTGATTCGGATGCTTTCTCGAACTTGCCCGTAAGGCTGTACGAGTTCGGCAACTGCGGCGTAACGTAGACAAGTGGCGCAGCAAGGGGCATTCGCCACATATATCGCAGGGCGCGTCGTACAACTCTTGAGACCTTCAGCAGAACAGAAGCACTCACAACGGACAGTTGCAATCTTTTTCAAGTCGAATCTAAACCTATAATCTCGTCGTAATGGCATCCTTCCTCGCGTCTATCTACGGTACCGAGCAGGATAAGGTATGTCCTTCCCTCCTCACCTCGCCTCCGAACTCGCCGCCCTCTTCGAGCGCGGCCAGGTTCCGGGGTTCTCGTTATATCAAACTTTATGCTGACTGTTAATCATAGGTCAACTGCTCCTTCTACTACAAAATCGGTGCTTGTCGTCACGGCGACCGCTGTTCCCGAAAGCACGTTAAACCTTCTTACTCGCAAACCATCCTCATGCCAAACATGTACCAGAACCCCGCGCACGACCCAAATAACGTCTTGAACGACCAACAACTACAAGCGCAATTCGATGCGTTCTATGAGGATGTGTGGTGTGAGTTGTGCAAGTACGGCGAACTTGAGGAGTTGCACGTTTGCGAGAACGTCGGTGATCGTGAGTTTCTCGAAGTCTTTTATCCAGGAGGATGCTAACAGTGTTTTCAGATCTCATTGGTAACGTCTACGCCCGTTTCACGTATGAAGACGCCGCCCAAGCCGCCGTCGACGCTCTCAACTCACGCTGGTACGCCGCTCGTCCAATCTATGCAGAACTATCGCCCGTAACAGACTTCCGGGAAGCATGTTGTCGACAACACGAGACCGCAGAGTGTATGAGAGGTGGATTCTGTAATTTCATGCACTCGAAGAAGCCGACGAGAACTTTGCAGAAGGAGCTGATCAATGGGCAAAAGAAAATGAGGAAGGAGATGGGTGTGGATAAGGAGGCGAGCCGGAGTCCTAGTCCTCCCGCTACGAGGCGGTTCTAGGTTGACGTAAGAGATTATCTGGGATGATTCTTGATGGAGGATATGTAATGTACATAGAATACCCCTCGCCGCGTCCTGTGAATATAGCTTTTTGCGGCCATCATATGTTCTTTTCGCTTCGTTTGATGTTTGTCCTCCCGAATACTTCCCTCCTTATGCCACTAAAGCACGTATTGGTGTTTGTGTCGGTATGTGCATGGGTGATGGTCCTGCCACCGTACCATTTCTTCAAATATCGTGGGAATATTAACAGATCTGGATAAATGATTTGGAAGTTCACAGATAGCCGTCGGCGAAGTTACTGACCGATGACATACGTAGTTTACACTGCAGCCGCTTTGCTTGGATTAAAAGGGTACACCCACTTGCGTTTACCATATTTTCCCACGGACCCGGAACCTCACTTTTGAGCATTTCATTCTCCGCAATCCGCTACACCATATATGAAAGATCGATATCAATTCCTCGCCCAAACTACAACCTCACCCTCAATACTCACATCAGAATAATATTCAACTCTCCTTAGATCATCATCCATAACCTCGACCTCCGCCTCGCCTTCCTCTTCTGTACTGCAATTTCTCCATCCCACAGCCGCTTTTGTCGGTGGTATTCTAAACAGCTTCCCACACAAACTCCGAAATGCGCCAACTGTCGTCCCCGGCACCAGTCTCTTCTCCAATGTCCTTGTCGGTGAAGAATTGAATGGCGGCGGTGAGGGATAGAACACCAGTTTCGTGTTTGGTACACGACTTGCTAACGCACCACTCGCACTCCCCACTTTTCTTCCCGTGTTCTTCACCGTGGCATTCGAATCCGGCACCGAAGCACCGTATTTCGCTCTCAACTCCCCCAACCTCGTCCACTCACCACCCTCCCTCCCCGCCCTCGCAAGATACCACAACTCAGCCTGAACCCTCTCCTGCCCCTTCACATCCGTTCCATTCACCTCCCACACATTGGGTAACCGCGCGATGAGTTCCATCCGTCCCACATCTTCCCTGTCACGGGTTGGGGTGTAAAGAGGGTTATGCGCGACACGGAGGGAGGATAGTGTGGGAAGGGCGTTGAGGGCGTCGATGTCAGACCAGGAGGATATTTGGTTTCGGGAGAGGTCGAGGGCAGTGAGGTGTTTGAAGGTTGGTAGGATGTTTTTTGTTGTGGAGTTGGTGAGGGTTGTGAGTTTGTTTCGGGATAGGATGAGTGAGTGAAGGTTTGGCAGGGTGGATAGCCATGCTATGTCTTCGATTCGCTCCACACCGTTCCCTTCCAGATTAAGTACCTGCAGCGATTGTAAACCGTGTTGTTCAGGTAGTTTGTCTCCGGTGGCGGTTATGGTTTGAATGGCGTTATACCCAAGCTGCAACTCCCTCAACGCCGGAAAATGCATGGTAATTCGCACGACCTCATCCCATGTCAAATATGTCACGTTCAGCGTCAACAATTCCAGCTTTAGGAATGCGCCCTGCGGCACCTTTACCTCTCCTGTTATATGAAACCGATTCGAGTTCAGCCTCAACGTCTTGAGTCCCGGAAACGCCGCACAGATCCTTCCAACCTCGCACAGATCCGACAAGACATTCCAACTCAGATCCAATTCTTCAACCGCAAACCCCCCTGGGCAAACCTCGGCGAGTCTCTCTAGAGGGCCAGTGGTTGATATTTGGGAGTGCGTGAGTGTGATTACACGGAGCTTATCCAGTTGGGCAAAACGCTGTGACATCTTTGCGAATCCAACTGTAACGATGGGCTTGCCCGAGATCCATGAGGCCCGGATTTCTTCTACATCATTGTCGTTGGAGCTTGGGTCGTTCAAAGGGGCGTATCGTTCCAGGAGGGCATCGACGAAGGTTCGTTCTGAATCGGCTTTCTTGTTTGGTCGGATGAAGCTTCCAGCACCATCGATTCTGTGGACAATATTGTAAGCCTGGATGTCATAAGAGGGTTAGAACGGGAAAATCGAACATGCATTGGAAATATGAGCGTCCGTCGTGGGCACCGCCATGTTTCCCTCGAGTAGGATCATCCCATTCGACGCCCAGCCATTCGCCTTTTGTACCGTCGACTTGGCCGACGTATCGAACTGTGGATAGATCCCCGTTGAAGCTCAAACGGTCTCCAATCCTGTGTTCGCTCATTGTGTTGATCGAGGAGCTCAGTATTACGGGGTGCATTGTAACGTCGACATCACTTCACGTGACACCCCACCAAAAAGGCCCCACCACCAAAAACCTTAAATCTCCCTCACATCCTCGATCTCCCATCGAGCCCTCATACAACACCACACCATGTCCATCGTCAGGAAATCCTACGGCGAGCGCGCCAAGCTCTCCACTAACGACCTCTCCAAGAAGATGTTCGACCTCATGGAGAAAAAGCAAACAAACCTCTCGGTCGCAGTGGACGTCACCAAAAAACGCGAGTTAATCGAGATCGCGGATAAAGTCGGTCCATACATCTGTCTCCTCAAGACCCACATCGACATCGTCGAGGATTTCGACAACGATTTGGTCGAGCAACTCAAGCGTCTCGCAAAGAAACACAACTTCCTCATCTTCGAGGACCGCAAGTTCGCGGATATCGGGTCTACGGTACAGTTGCAGTACTCCTCCGGAATTTACAAGATTGCGTCGTGGGCAGATATCACCAACGCACACCCGATCCCGGGAGAGGGTATCATCACCGGTCTCAAATCGATCGGTCTCCCACTCAACCGCGGTCTCCTCCTCCTCGCCGAGATGTCGTCCGCCGGCTCCCTCGCGACAGGTTCCTACACCGACGCAACCATCTCCATGGCCCGTCGTCACAAGGATTTCGTCATGGGATTCGTGGCGGGTAGGAGACTTTCTGATCGTGAGGGCGAGGATTTCATCACGATGTCTCCGGGGGTTGGGTTGGATGATAAGGGTGATTCGATGGGACAGCAGTATCGGACGCCGAAGGAGGTTATTGGGGCTTGTGGGAGTGATGTTATTATTGTTGGGAGGGGGATTTATGGGAAGGGGAAGGATGTTGTTAAGGAGGCGAAGAGGTACAGGGATGCTGGATGGGCTGCTTACCTTGGGAGGATTGAGTAAGTGTTAGTCTCTCGAATATGGATAAAGGTTTAGGAGATGATATGGTACATGCAACATGGATTGAAGCAAGTTTTGAGCGGCTCTTCTTGGCTACAGTTTGGTCTAGGTTAGAAAGATGTTGGTGAAGACGTTATAGACGAATTGACATAGTTCATGACTTTATCTTTCTCACCCATAACGATACGAGGTTCTGTCGTGACCCCGACGGGCTGAGTCCCTAGCCGCTTTCACCCACTGGTATTTTGCAGATCGGTCAATTCTATAATGCTCTTGCCGTCTTCGACCACATGCAATATCCCTCCCTCACTTCGATTTGCTCTCCGTAGATGACTCGTTGCTTCCTGGTGCCGCACCTGCCGCTGAACCGTTCGGAACCGCCAACTCGAAGATACTCTTCCCGTCATTCACCACCTTCACCAACCCTTGACATGCCTGATTAATATCCGTCCCTGGTCGCCCGATACCAAGCAACAACTTCGCATCAAGTTCCACTGGACAAACCCACTTCACACCCCTATCCCTAATATGTACCACAACCGGTAACCCCATCAACCCCCTCGCTCTCCGTTCCGCTTTAGCTTTAACCGACTCCAGCTCCGTCCACCCAAGCGACTTGGCTTCATCCTCTTGCTTTACCTCCCCGATACCGCAGATTTGGAAGCATCGTGGTGCGGGATTTGTCGGTACGTATTTCACGTCGAGTAGGAGTGTATAGTGAATCGATCTTTCAGGCTTGTCGTATAATTCAAGGTAGTATGCTCCCAGTAAAGCAAACGTGGGGAGATGTTGAGGTGCCCATTGTTGGAGGGATAGAGTGATTGCAGCTTCGCTTTCGGTGAGCTGGTCGTACGGTGATGAAGACATTTTAGGAATTGTTCTTGTTCGAGGGCCATTGCCTTTTGGATATCATGGATGGCTGAGTCGCTGAGCCACTCTCACTCTCCCGCACCCCGCAACGCAATACGGCCGCCGAACCCAGCTGCTGGACAGACAGGAGGAGACCAATCTGAAATGTCGAACGTCGAAGACGAACTCGATGACCTCGATGATATTCTCGACGAATTCAATGCACCTGCGCCCTCAACGTCAACATACCCCTCCAAACCCGTACCACCGCCCGCAACCATTCCCAAAACCTCCACCTCCGCACCAACAACAGGCGCCGCAGCCGGAGCTGGAGCTGGAGCAGGACTACCAGGACTTCCGGAAGATGACGAATTTTCACAACAGCTTCAAGCAGGCATGGAAGACTTCATGCGCTCCCTCGAAGAAGACCCCGAGACGCGTAAAGAATTCGAGACCTTGATGAAGCAAATGGGAGACATGACCGCCGGCGCAGGCGGCGCAGACTCCAACAAACCACCCAAATCGCCTGCACCGCCGACTCCCTCCTCCGAGACGGGTGCGGGAACGAAGAAAACGTTTCAAGAAACCATTCAGGAAACGATGGGCCGCATGAAATCATCCGATCAGGAAGCGAAGGAGAGTATCGAGGGAAGTGAGACGGATGCCTTTTTGGCCGAGATGATGGCCCAACTCTCCTCCACGGCTGGCTCTACCTCCGAAGAGGATTTCCTGACGTCCATGATGTCACAACTCCTCTCCCGCTCCATCCTCTACGAGCCCCTCCACGAGTTATCAACCTCCTACCCAGCCTGGATCGCCTCCCACCCATCCGATCCCAAGATCGAGACATATAAAAAACAGGCGGAGGTTGTGAGGCAGATTGTGGAGGAGTTTGAGAAGGAGAGCTATAGTGATGAGGATGCGGAGGCAAGGGAGAAGGTGTTGGGGTTGATGATGGAGATGCAGGAGATGGGGAGTCCGCCGGTTGAGATTATGGGGGATGTGGGGGAGTTGGGGCCGTTGGGTATGGGTGGGTTGCCGGGGACGGAGGGGAAGGATTGTGTGATTATGTGAGAAGTGTGCCACGGTCAAGATACGGAGGGAATAACCTAGGATCGTGAGCGACCATTCGGGTTTGAGGTGGGGTGTAATTGAGTCCGGGGTACAGAGCTTGAACGAAGGAAGAAAGAAAGGAGGGCGGTACTATGATATACTGACATATACTGAGGCAATTGAGTGAAGAAATTTCTATGATTTTTATATACCTACAGTATGTAAGCATCCAGACCCGAAATGCACCAAACAGGTTAACCGTGCGTCCCCGGATTAACCGTGCATGCACCAGTCGAACCTTAACAAACCCGAACAAACAACTAAACCGCCAACCCTTTGGCTCACCTTAACTTATTCTTATCCACCCATGCCAATCCTTGCAGGTGCTCAATTGACGCCTGTGGTCCGTCTTCCCTCATCCTCTACCCCTCCGGATACACGTTGCTAACTTTGGCTGAACAGTACCTCAACATCTACGACCTCCTCCCACCAACCTCCTTGATTTCCACCTTCATCTGGACCTGCGGTCTCTCCCTCCTACACACCTCCATCGAAGTCCACGGTAAAGAATACCAATTCGGGGGGCACGACGTCAAGGAGTTAACCGGGGTATATGCCACACCACCCAACCTCGCCGACGCGGAAGGTGTTGCAAGGATAACGACAGGGGGTGTTGATTTAGGTGAGAGGAAAGCGCCAGAGGGTGCGCATTGGAGGGAGACCAGGGTATTGGGGTGGACGTCCTTGACGGCGCCGGAGGTGAAGGCGATCGTGGCGGAGTTGGGGATGGGGTTCTTGGGGGTCGAGTATGATTTACTACGGAAGAATTGTAATCACTTCACGGCAGCGTTCGCGGCGGGGTTAAGTCCGTATTGTGCTGAGGCTCTCATCGTACCGGAGTGGATCAATCGCGCGGCGGAGTTGGCGGTGAAGTGTCCGTGTATCGTGCCCTCGAGCTGGATTGAGCCGCCTGAGTTGGAGGATGGAGAGGAAGAGGACGAGGAGGAGAGGACAGGGTCGAGTGTGTTTGGGAAGGATGTGGAGAACCCGGGGTTCGTGTCACGGGATTCGTATGGTTCAGAAAGTGGGGGTGGGTCGAGGCGGAGTGGGACTCCTGGGGAGATGTTTGGGGGGCCTGATATTTGTAGGATTAACGACGAGGAGGATGACGGACATTATGCCAATGAGGGAACGAGTTTGATCACGCCGACTGGGAGTACGGTGTCGAGGGGGGATAGCGTTGTGGAGGCCTTGCCAAGAAGTGAAAGAGTGCCGGTGGACAGGGGTGTGAGAATTGTCCCGGGGAGAGCACGAGCTCAAGGGAGATGAGGATTAACTCAAGTGGGACCTCGCGAATACACGAAACGAGATATGAACCATCTGGAAGATGGGTAAGGAACAATGGTATCGTCAGGCGTTGGGACTGTTCTTCGTTTTATTCAAGCATACATGGTATAGAAAATCGCGAGCTGGTCTTCGCATTCACCCATAACAATTCTTACATCATTTTCCTTTCTTACAACTCGTCCTTCCCAGTCGCCTCCTGCCTCCATGCAACCGGCAACTCTTCTCTCTTAACCTCCCCAATCCTCACAGCCTCCATCCATTCCTCCACAGCCAACGTATCATCCATCTTCGTCACCATCCACTTCTTCCTCAAATTTACGGTCGTAATCTCCTCGAGCCCCAAGTCACCGGCAACCTGATACACCTCAACCCCAGCCAACTTCGGACTCTCCACCAACTCATCCACCACCAACCCCGCCGACGCCGGAACGAGTAAACAAGTCTTCCTCCCACACACCTCTCTCAACTGTCCAAGCGACGAGACAACCGCACGAGGTGGGGTCAACGCCTTCAATAGAAATGCCGCGATGGGGCCGAATGTCATATCGCCTTCATACACCCTCGTCTGAGCCCCAGAACCGCCATCCCCGAAGACCACTTTCGCTGCATCCCCTTCGAACGCAGCGAGTGAAGGGAGTTTCTTCGCATCGTCGTGTGTGAGATATCCAACCCCCACCCCCGAAAAATGCGCAGCGAGTGCTTTCACAACCAACGGAACCTTCCCCCTCTTCCCTCCTTTCTTCCCCACCACAACGACACTCTTTCCCCCGTCCTTTCCTTGCAGTACCTCACCGATTCGCTTCCCGGTGAGCAGTCTCCCAGGCATCCACCCCCTCATCGCACCAACGATCCCCTCCACCGTTCTCTGCCCGCCATACTCCTCAACCCTGCCTACCCCGCCTCCCTTCCCAGCCCACACCGCTTTGAGGGTAGGATACCCCCTAACACCCCACTCCCCACACATCTCCTGCTCTTGAGTACAATCAACGGCAGCGAGCGTCACGTTTGCGTGTGTGGAGAGATGGTGGGCCGCACGGGCGTAGATTGGAGCGAGGGATTTGCAGTGGCCGCACCAGGGGGCGTAGAATTCGATTAGAGTTGGGAGGGAGGGGTGGAGGGTGGGTGTGAGGGTTCGGGGGGTTAGATCTAGTTGCGGGTGTTAGCTGTGATCGGGAAGGAGGGTGGGGGGATGGGGAGGGGCGTACGTTTGACGGCATCTTTTGAGGTGTAGAGCGCGTTGGTGGAGGATGCGAGGAAGAGGAGAGCGAGGGTCACCACACAGAGGAATACTGATCGAAGAATCATTGAGGAGGTGGAGAGGTGTCGTGTGTGGTCAGCGGTGGAAATAAGGTTTACGCTACGCTGCTGGGACGAGGCATGTGCGTACACGTGAATCACAAATAGTTATATGGTATTTTTGTTGTTTATTACTGGTTTCTTGTCGTAAATATGCTTTTCATCGTTCATCCCTCAATCCGCGATCTCGACCATAACCGCATTAACACTTGCAACCTTGAACTCACACTCCTCCTCATAGGACATATCCCCCCACCTCCTTTTCCCTTTGACTCACTCAATCATTCCTCGCCATCTCCTTCGCCTGAGCCTTAACCCTCCTCTCATACCCTTCCCTATCCTTCTTAAACATCGTATACGCCTCCGCCTGCGCCGGACTCTCCGGGTTCGGGTTATCCAACAAATCTTGGACACCGAGTAGGATTTGTTTTATGGTGATAGCGGGTTTCCAGCCTTCTTCTTCGTTTAGGATGGAGAGGCAGACGGTGCCGGAGGGGTAGACGTTGGGGTGGAAGAGAGGGGGGGTGAATTTGCATTTGGGGGGTTTGGAGGGGTATTCTGAGGGATGAGTTAGAGGGTGTTGTTCAAATGGTTGGAGAGTCCGGTGCATGCAATGCAGCGACATGAAGGACGACAGCGCCATAGGGCGCAGAGGGGGGAGGAGTATACCTTCGGGAAAGCTCATGGTCAACCTGTACAACCCACCCTCCCACAACGTCCCAATCTTCCCCGGAATCCCAACACTCCAGTTCATGAGATCCATACCACCATCTTCCGCTTTATTCGGTTTCGCCCAGAATCCGAATGGGTGGTCCCGTCGCCACTGCTTGCGTTCCTCTGCGCATCTCTGTCATTCAAACCATTCTTCTCCGTGCACAGAACCCAGGTCGACAACGTACCTTGGAGACGATTCCGCGAGAGACCTGACATTGTAATTGTGATAGGTGGCGATACAACAAGTATTTGTTGTTGCTGGCTTACAGTATCGTACGGAGCGCGTGAGCCGCATCGCCACACGCACTCGCACTCGCCACACCTGCTTCTCTGCTGCTCCCCGTAACCTCCTCGAAACCTCGTATCGTCGCTATGTCCTCCCAAGCCTACCAACCCCCGGCCTCCGCTGGTGCCGCAATCGCCCGTCCTACGCAGCAGATCGTTTACCTGTGTGCCGACTGTGGCAGCAAGAACCAGATTCAGGCCAAGGAGCCGATTCGGTGTAGGGAGTGTGGACATAGGGTTATGTACAAGCAGAGAACGACGAGGATGGGTAAGTAACCGCGATGATGGGCACCTGTGGCAATGCTAACGTGTCGGTTCTTTACAGTTCAGTTCGAGGCTCGTTGATGTTGTGGAGGTGTGTGACGAAATAGACCGGGCGAAAACGAGGAAGGAAAGAGAAAGCGCGATGAACGCGCTAAAGATATCTTGAAAAAGTTCAAATGGGAATGAATCCGGCGTTTTTGGCTTCTTGATCTGGTTTTTACATCTTTTTACGAGCTGGGAAAGGGCATGCTGTATGCTCTTGAGTTTAAAGGAAAACATGCATATATTACGAATCTGTTCGTCCAGCTAGATTGCGTGCTCGTGTAAATTGTTAAAGTCGAGTCTTCAATCGTCTGGCTTCTCACACGGTGAGATAGGCGGTTCAAGAACAACTTGAATTGACGCGTCCGACAATCGTGTTGCCAGGGTAGGGTAACCGGGTATGTAATAAAAAGGTCAAAAACGCCACGATAGTCCCAGTTTTCAAACACCCCTCGACACATCCCTCCCACAAATCACACATCAGCCATCACCACATCACCCTCCTCCTCCCTCTCCCTCTCCTTCTCCACCGCATCAACCTTCTCCATCACACCCTTTTTCCAAACTTCATACTCCTTCACCCTCCTCTCACTCAAGTAATCAACCTGTGGGACGATCATGCTCCCAATACCACTTATCGCGCGGGTTTGTGTTTTGTTTCGCGTGGTCGCGGCGAGTGCCATTGCAGAGTTTGCGGGTGTTGATGTGGGGGTCGGGGTACCAATGTCGTCGTGGACTTGGTCTGCCGCTTTTCGTTTCCGTGAGGGGGTATCAGCGCCAGAACCCGGCGTGGGTTTCTTAGTAGGCGACTGTTGTGGCTGAATGCCATCAAGCCAATCGTGCCCCTCACAGTCCTCCCGGACGATCTCGACCCATTTATCCAGTTCTTTGGTTTGTAATACACCACCCAGGGCATCCAATAACCCCTTCCGCTGTGCTCTCGAGAGGGAGGCGGGAGGCGCGGTGATGATATCGGTACTGGTGTTGTTAGTGGGAGTGCTGAGTCGCTGATGGACGAGGACGTATGCGGCTGCGATGACGCCCGCGCGAGATTCAGCCCGGGGATGGAGCGGGAGGAGTTTCGTGACGAGGGAGATGATATGCACAATCCCCGTCGTCGCGCCGAGTTTCGTGCACAGTGCTCTAATCTCCCCACTCGCGACGTCAACAACGTGGGAAGAAGTCGACGTAGGTGTCCCAGATTCTGCACGGGATGATCGACGGCGGGTGGAAGGTGTCGTTGCGCTTTCCAGTGCGGTGCGGAATTGTGCGAGGAGGGTCTTGTAGGTTTTTGGTGGCATTGGGGGTTGGGGTGTTAAATCAGGGAGGTTTAGTGATGTGGTTAACCTGATATACCACATGATTAATACGGTTGGATCGAAGGTATAGATTCGGGATCGAGGGAGCACACATACCTCTCGCAAGCTAGATGAGCACAGATGTATAGCCTCCCACTCTCCTCCGCCGGCTTCAAATGTGGGATTTTCTTCATGCTTTGTGATTGCAGGTTTTGTGCCGCTGTTACTAGATTCTGTGGTATCGTTCCATAGGATGGCAACAAGCTCTTCAGGGCTGACTTGAGTGGATCCATCTTCGTTGCCTAAGCTCTGGAGTCCTCGAGGAGGAGACGCGCCTGTGTACGGCGGTACCGGTATACGTGACTGCGCCATGCACCAGCCTCAAGGGAAGGATGCCCCCGAACGTCCATTCCGTCAGAATTGCATTCTCAGCAACCGCGCAACTGCGAAGAGGGACGTACAAACGTGAAGGGTCTCTTTTGTCCGTTGATCTGCTGCTTTCTCGAGGGTGTAATTACACCGCGGAGTGTGTCGTACAACGCTGCACGTGCCAGCGCTCACCGCCGCCGACGCTACCGCCAAACCTAAAATACACCTCGACTTTGACCTCCCCTCCATCAGTTCGCAATGTCTGCTCCCAAATCTCTCAAACCCAAACACACCTTCCAAGGCCACACCGCGCGAGCCTGGCACATCACACCACATCCGACTCTCCCCCTCCTCTCCTCTTGCTCCTCGGATCTTACGACACGGATTTGGAATACTGCTACGGGTCGATGTATCGCCATACTCCGTGATCAACACAAACGTTCCGTGCGGTGTTCAGCGTTCAAGCCTCCACGCACAAACAGCGGTGACGAACGAGTCGTCCTCGCAACCGCCTCCTTCGACGGCACGATTGGTATCTGGGAATACGTGAATGATCTCGAAGATAACCAAGACGGCGAATGGGACTGTATCGCAACCCTCGAAGGCCACGAAAACGAAGTCAAATCCGTTGTGTGGTCAGCAGACTCCACCTTCCTGGCAACCTGTTCGCGCGACAAATCAGTCTGGATCTGGGAATCTGAAGATGACGACGAATTCGAATGTCTCTCCGTGCTGCAGGAGCATAGTCAGGATGTCAAATGTGTTGCGTTCTCGCCGAGGGAGAGTTTGTTGGCGAGTGCGAGTTATGATGATACGGTTATCTTGTATCGGGATTCGCCGAGTGATGATGATTGGACGCCGGTTGCGGTGTTGAAGGGGCATGGGGGAACGGTCTGGGGTGTTGCGTTTTCGCCGGATGGGAGGACGTTGGCGTCATCGTCGGATGATTGCACGGTTCGGTTGTGGCAGAAGAAGAAGAAGGAGGAGTCGAAGATCATCCGTACAGACGAGGATTGGGAAGAGGTTGCGCAGCTCCCTCAAGTCCACACTCGTTCGATTTACTCAGTCGCTTTCTCTCCTAGTGGACGGATAGCTACAGCTGGTGGAGATGGGATTGTTGCTGTGTATAAGAGGAAGGAGGGAGATGCAGAGGAGTGGGAGGTGGAGTATGTTCAGACAGAGGCACATGGTGTGCAGGAGGTGAACTGCGTTACGTGGCAAGTACAGGGCGATAGGGAGGTCGTGTGGACTGCAGGTGATGATGGGAAGGTGAGGGGATGGACCATGCCGTGAGGAAAGACAAGGATAGCATACAAATTATTTGCCAGGTCAACAGCGCTTTAAAGTATACACCAAATCCTTACGCGACTACGCCACGCACGAGCCTCAGGGGTCGATGCCGGCAAACCTTAATTCCTGGACAGCAACGATCCCCCGCTCAACTACCCTCCCGTCCGAAGCTGGTCTTCCGTACGGTATATTACGACGTCGCTGAACCATTGCATCCTTGCTGTAGCGTTGCTTGTTGCTGTATTCGCTTCGAAAGCATTCGGCCGAGCCAAGACGTCTATAAAGAGCTTTACGTAGGCACTTCAGGTGTGTTCTTTTGTTCTTGAGCAGCAGAAATATTACTTACCTCCAGATTACACAGCTTACCCACTTGCGACGATATCTCAGACCGTCGCTCACTTTCACCACACTTCATTCCCACCGAGAATACCTCCAAAATAGGCCTCCTCACCTCCCTCGCCCAACGCATCTCGCGTCGCCGCGCCCCTCGCATCGCCCTCTCCCTGGGCATCGACCCCGCCTACCACATCCCCCTCGTCGCCGCCCGCTCCCTCTCCATCCTCCCCTCCGTCCTCGGATTCCTGGACGCATTATCAACAGCCTACACCAACCAATACCTCACAACAGACCCCCATGGCGGAACCGGGAACGTCTGGAAAGAATTCGGGGATAGAGAGTGTAAGATCTGGGAATTGGGTGCTGCGTGTATGTGGTGTGCGGTATGCGGCTACCTAAGTTTTTGGTTCACGGATGGCCTCATGCTTCGGTGGCTTATTCGGTATTCGCCTCTCGCGACGTGTATCAGACTATTATCGCTGAGTACGATCAACGCGGCGTTGACGTATGGGATTGTGTGGGCTGAGTGGGGGTGGGTGAGGAGGGAGCCGAGTGGGTTGTTGGTTGCGTGGATTGTGGAGGCGTGTGTCTTGACGGTTGCGTACACCATCCAAGACTGGGTTACGTCTGATCTGTCACTACCCGTCGCACCACGCGCTCAACGCTCGCCCCGTACTGTTCGATTCAAGAAGAGCGATGACGACGCACCGTCGGGAGTGGAGAAGGATAAAGAGGAGGAAGGAGGGTATAGAGAGTTGGATTTAGTCGAGGTGGCGGTGTTCGCTGTCGTTCCGGTTGGTATGGCGGGGTTTGTTACGATGGTGTTGGGGTTGTGGGAGGTGCATAGTATACGTGCGGGATGGGATGTTGGTGGATGAACGTTGAAGGGGCAGAGAACAGTTTACCCTATGGACGTTGGACTGAATTCTACTCTCGGCAGCTATCATCTATATCGTACCCCCCTCACTCTTCGCACCCACGATCGCTATCAGTTCCCCCTTCCCTCCGCCCTCCTCTCCCTCACAACCGGCAATATCGCCAAATTATCCCTGAAGGCGACATACTCCGCATCCGCATACCCCAATATCGCTTCGATCCCGCCTTCGGATTTTTTTAGGGAGATACCCTTAATCTTGTCGATTTCGTGGGCGGAGTAGTTTACTAGCGCCCTCCCTATCACTTCTTCCTGGATTTCATGAACCCTCTCACCAACAGACACCGTCTTCACCCCCGACGCAACAACCCCCTCTCCCCCAACCTCACGCACCCGCCACTGCGCAACGACATCAACACACTCCATCCTCTGAAATCCACCCTCGACGCCTCTTACCCCAGCCGGCAAGAGTCCTGCTTTCTCGGTTCGAGTTAGTGCGCGTGCGGCGCCGTCGTCGATGTAGATACGGCCGTGAGCGGTTAAGCCGTTGAGGAGCCAGAATTGGCGGTCGCGGACGCGGTGGGAGGGGGGTGGGGGGAGGAAGCGGGTGTGGCGGGGGATGTCTGAGAGGGGGACGGTGGTTGAGATGTCATTTAGTGAAGAGGTGAGGCCATCGACCGAGTTTTGTCGTGTCGGTGTTGTCGATGATGAAGTAGCGTTGATACTGTTGATGTATTCGACGATCCGGAAGATGTTTGTCGGTACGGACGAATGCGCAATAACCGTCGTACAACCCGCACTCGTCGCCAACTCCGCCGCAATCAATTTCGTCCTCATGCCACCCGTGCCCACCCCACTCCCCGCTTCCGAAACGTCCGCCCGTTCCTTCAACTCAGCTATATCCACCACAACCTCAATCGGTTCCGCATCGGGGTGGGTTCGTGGGTTAGCGGTATAGAGGCATTCCACGTCCGTCATGAGGAACAGATAGTCGGCGTTTACCATACCGGCTGTGATGGCGGATAGGGTGTCGTTATCCCCGAATTTAATTTCGGAGACGGAGATTGTGTCGTTTTCGTTAACGATTGGGATTACGCCCATTGCCAACAATTCCCCCAAGGTATTCGCTGCGTTGAGATACTGGGTTCGATCCGCGATGTCGTTCTTCGTTAACAGGATCTGCGCAACAGGCTGCCGCAGCTGTTTAAACAACTCGTCCCATAGCGCAATCAACCTACACTGTCCAACCGCCGCAATCGCCTGAACCGCCGCCAGTTTTTTTGGACGCCGTGCGAGATCCATACGACGGAGTCCCATCCCGATTCCGCCGGATGAGACGATGACGACACGGTGTCCTGAGCGACGGAGTTTGACGCATGTTTCGACGAGGAGGGAGAGGTTTGCAATGAGTGGTTCGTGTGTTTTTTCGTCGCAGATTGAGGAGGTGCCTGTGTGTGACGGGTTAACGGGCTGATCTGGGGGAGGGAGGGGCGGTGGATGTACCGAGCTTGATGACGATTGTGTTTCCCTTCATCCTGACTTGATCTTCGCCTGGCAACTGGAAATCCGTCGAGGACCGGTACCGTACACCTCCCTCGGTGCGACGAGGTCCCGTGCGTCTCCAGCCACGCCAGAAATCTGTCAGCGCACACAGCCAAGAACAACACGCACCACCACCAAGCAGCACCGACGAACCACCGATCATTCAACAATTGCACGATGGTCGCTCCCTCAGAACCCCTCCCCGCTCCCTCCGTCACCGCAGCGTACGTCCCCTCCTCCCTCCCCCGTCTCTCCTTTCAATTTATTCTAACCCCTCCCACAGCCTCGATGTCGAAGGCTCCGCCCCCCTCCGCCTCATCCAAGTCGACGCCCTCGTCGTCATGAAAATCATCAAACACTCCCAATCTTTCTTCCCCTCCCCCGTAACCGGTCAACTCCTCGGCCTGGACGTGAACGGCGTGTTGGAAGTAACCTCCTCCTTCCCCTTCCCCTCCGCCGGCGCAGACGGGAAAGCTGCTACCGCGACTGGTGGTGCAGGGGGCGCGAGGTATCAGGCTGAGATGATGAGATGCCTGCGCGAGGTGAACGTGGACAATAATACCGTCGGATGGTACCAATCCGCATACCTCGGCTCCTTCCTCAACTCGCAAGTTGTCGAAGCCCAATTCGCCTACCAAAAAACCCTATCCGAGAAGAGCGTCGTCCTCGTCCACGACGTGTCCGGCGGCGCCCGCTCCATGCTCCGCGCCTTCCGCCTCTCAAAAGGCTTCGTCCAATCCTACAAAGAGGGTAAATTCACAGAAGAATCATTAGCGCGAAACGGCGTCACGCACCGTTCCATCCTCGAGGAACTCCCCCTCGAAATCAAGAACTCGCATCTCCTCACCACGCTCCTGCATTCTGCACCTCTTGACCCGGAGGCGGGGTTGAGTTTGACGGCGCCGTTGACCCCGAATTTGGACAGTGTGTTGGATTTGGTTATTGATCCCTACCTCGAGAAAAATCTGGAATTCTTGTTGGAGGCAGTCGACGAATACCAATCCGAGACCTCGAACCTGCAATACCACCAACGTGCCCTCGCCCGCGAACAATCCCGGATTAACACCTGGCTCTCCCGTCGTCGTGCCGAAAACCTCCAGCGCTCCTCTTCTGGCCAGCCGCCGTTGGATGAGGATTGGAAGAAGACGGGGATGTTCAAGGTTCCGCAGGAGCCGAGTAGGTTGGAGGGGTTGTTGGTGAGTGCGCAGATTGAGCAGTATTGTGGGCAGGTTAGTGGAAGGGCGGGGGGGGTTTTGGGGAGGATGTATGGGGTTAGGGAGGGGGTTGGACGTTCGGAGCCGTGAGCGAGCCCTGGCGGGCTTGAGATAGAATGAGAATGAGCGTGAAGTGAGTGTGAGGATAAAATGATTATGGGTTTGAGTGGAGAGATGAGGATGAGGACAGCGGTGTGTATAGTCAGTTGTGTGTGCCAAGCAAGGCGCAACTATTATATCCGACCATTTTGGTCACAAGAGCATATGTTTCGAATTGAATACGTTATAGATGTCACCCTTTCATGTCAATTCGGTGGACGTCGTTTAATATAACGCTTGCAACAGGGCTACGGGTGAACTTGCCTTCCTTTGACGATCTTCTTTGCAATTCTTGCTCAATCTGCCAAAGAGCCCGTCCAATCCCATTTTGCCCAAGCTTTCCTAAATTTCTCCTCCCGCTCACCTTCACCCCCCCTCCTCCACCTCCCCCTCTGCCTCCACACCTCCACCCCCAAATCCAGGATCCCTGCAATGACCTCCCTCTCGAAATATCTCGGCCACTTATCTTCGCTTTCGACAACATGCCCCACTCCCCCATCGATCTCATACCAGACGTGGAAGTATGGCATCTCCTTAACCATGCTCTTCCTAAACGCGAACTTTCCTTGTCCCGACTTCGCACGGGCAAGAGTATCGATGATGGGTTTGTGCTGTGACCATTCTTCGTCGGCTGCGAGGATTGCTTCGCGGAAGTATCCGGGCACCATACCGGCTATGTCGCGAGGGATGGGACAAGCCTCGATCTGTGTATGGCCACGGCGACGAGGACGAGAGGCGTCCTCGAAGAAAATGCAGTCCATGTTCATCTCGTCGTACATTCGTAGGAGACACTTCATGTAGTTCCTGATCTCGTCCCATTCGTCATCATCGCATTCGAGTGTGTTTACACGGTGCTGAAGGGGGACGATGATGGCGCTGTACGGGGATAGAGATGGCGAAGGAGGAAGGGAGAGGTAAGTTCTGGTGCCTGTTGAGATCATGGGCGCAATCGGCGCTGTGGTCTCTTGCGAACACAGTGGACAGTTATCCAGGATCTTCTGCGTCTTTTTGAAATCCGCAACTGCCATATGCTTCAAGTCGATCTCTGATCGCTTAACGCGTTTCGCAAGCTTTTCGGCGTTCTCGTCCATATAGTCCAACATGTGTGTATCATCGAATTTCTTATCCCTGGTGATACGGTCGGCGAGCATCCGTCCCTCCCCCCCATGGATCTGACCACGCTCGCGTTTTTCTTCCCTGAGCATATCTGTGATGGTCATCTCCTCTTCGGTCTTCGGAGTGTTTGCGGCAGAGCCTGTGAGACGGCGCGTATCCATTGCGTTGAGAACAATGACCTTCGAAGCTGCCAGTGCACGCTCTTTGTCCGCGTACTCCGCCTCGAGAGTCTCAACCTTTGCGTTACCGCCCATCATTTGAGCCCTCAAGATCGCAGCACGGAGCTTGTTGAGCGTATTCTGATCCACAGGTTCCGCAACGGTTCCCGTCGCACCAGCGTTGTTGGTCGGTGGTGCAGCGGGAAGTCGAGTATCGGGAATGGAATGCTCGGACGCAAGGTCGTCATGTGCGATGATCTGCCCACCACCGCGTGCTTCCAGACGCTCTTCCCACAACCTTCCCGTAATCTTCTGCTTTTCGTCTTTTCTTCCGCGTCCGTACATCTTGCGCCTCTCCAACTCCTCCCGTTCCTCACGCGCAAAGTCGTACTCGCGTAGCGAACCGTAGCGCTCCGTGGCGAGTCCCTCGACCGGACGGCCGTCCTCGACTGCGGCTTCTTCAAGACGACGGAGCTTTGTTTGTCTCCATTGGGATGACTCGTCACCGATTGTCCAGGATGGCAACTTGAGTTCATCTTTATCCTCTTTGTCCCTGCTCCGAGCTGCTTCGACTGAGGATAACGGCTCCTCTGTTCTGCCCTCCGCAAATGTACGATTGAGTTCGCGGGAACTGACTTGAAGCTTGCTTGGGTCAGGCTTTTCCTTGACTTCCTTCGTGCGCTCCCGACCCATGCCGCTGAACATCTCCAGTTCTTGTTCCTTCGGGTCAATCATCCACAAGTCACGCTGGGGTTTCCCCTGTCCCTCCCTATGGAGTTCAGCAGCATCTGGTGTGCGTACTGGTGTCGTGTCTAATACTATCGCTTCAGCTTGTCCCTCCTCGACCATGTCAGCGCGTGATGATCCTCCGGCTGCAGGCTTTTCCTCCCACATGTCTTCATCTTCCTCAGCGACTGCCTTGGACCAGGACTCGTGCTCACGTATTGAGGAGGAATGGTGACTGCGGCTACTCCTGTGTCGTTGGTGTTCACGGTCCTTTGGCGATCTGGACCTTGACGAGTGCCTCCTCCTCTTCGAATCCTCATGTCCATGTCGATCTCCGTGATGCGACGAACGATGACGGTGCCCATCCCGATCTCTGTCGGACCTATGCCTATGACTGCGCTCCCTAGACCTCGACCTCAGCCTGTCCTGTCTTGGTTTGGACTCCATCCTAGGTGTGTATGTTTTGAGAGTCGACGTTACAGGGCACAGTCTCAACGTCACGACGCAACCCGCTCACCCAAGAAACTCCACCTCAACGACAGTCATGACCGACCCTAGATTCCTTCTCGAGAAGCACATCAAATATATCCAAGAGCTCGACACACATCAAGATGATCTGCAATACTGGTTAACAGAGCACCTCCGTCTCTCGGGCGTTTACTGGGGCCTCACGGCTCTCAACCTCATGGGCTGTTGCGATGCACTGCCACGGGAGGAGATGATTGACTTTGTATTGGCATGTCAACATGATAATGGCGGGTTTGGGGCTCAGAAGGGGCATGATCCACATTTGCTGTATACGTTGAGTGCTTTACAGGTTCTTGTGATACGGGATGCGCTGGACAGAATAGACACTGAGAAGAGTGTTCAATGTTCGTCGCTGTTTCCTTCTTATTTAGGACGAGGCTACTGATGGGGCAAACAGATATTGCAAGCCTACAACTTCCCAGTGGTGCCTTCACCGGCGACAACTGGGGCGAAACCGACGCTCGGTTCGTTTACACCGCCTTCAACGCCCTTTCCCTCCTCAACCGTCTCGATGCAATCGACATTGATGCATCCATTCAGTACATCCTCTCTTGTCACAACTTCGACGGTGGCTTCGGCTTCGCACCAGGCGACGAATCCCACGGCGGCGCTGCATTCGTTTGCTTAGGCACCCTCGCAATCGCCCAAAAACTCCACCTCATCGCAACGGATCAATGCGCCTCCTGGCTCTCCGAACGTCAACTCCCCAATGGGGGCCTGAATGGCCGTCCAGAAAAACTCGAAGATGTCTGTTATTCTTGGTGGGATCTGTCGTCGCTGTCGATCCTGGGCCGGGTGGATTGGATTAGTTGGGAGAAGCTTATGGAGTTTATCTTGTCGTGTCAGGATCCAGAGGGTGGTGGGTTTAGTGATCGGCCGGGGAATATGGTTGATGTTTTTCATACATTGTTTGGAGTTGCTGGGTTAAGTTTGTTGGGGATGGAGGGGTTAGAGGAGGTTGATCCGGTTTATTGTATGCCGAAGAAGGTCATGGAGAGGGTGATGAAAGGGCGGCGGTAGTCGTAAAGTCAACGTGTTCACTTTGGGAGAATTCGGACCTTACAATCGATATTTCAGCATTCAGTTCACCAATCGTACACTTTCCCAAAACTCCAATGCAAAAGAGCTCACTCACGTCTCTGTGTTGCGAAGGTCTACGTTACAGGCACAATCTCAACGTCACCAGACAACACGACAATGACATCTACAAGCTGGGATCCATGGAATGATGAAGAGGCAGTCAATAACACGCCTGTAGTACCACCAATACAAACAGAGCGTCCTCCGACGTCACGGCCGAACTGCAGTGCGGCACTCTGGGAAGAAGCGTAGGGTACACCGTAGCAGCTGGCGCCGGAAGCTGATGAGTGTCCCTACAGAAATAAGCAAGCACCAGTTCCTCAAGTAAAGATTGGCGCACCAGCCCTTGCTCAGCGCACAATGTACAAGCCGGAGGTCAAGCTGCTGCGTCGAGAGTCACCATCGAATTCCAGCACCAATTTGAACGCTCTACAGCAAAAGTCAAAACGAGAGTTAGAAGAGGAAAGAAAGGAAAAGGAGAGACGATATGCAGAAGCACGCGAAAGGATCCTGGGAAGCGGGAATGCGAATCCTAGTCCAGTTCCGATGAGACCAGTTAGTGGAGCGAGCGGAGCGAGCGGAGCAAGCGGAGCAGGAAGAACGCTGGTCACAAGAGAAGCACCGAGAGAACAGAGCGGGGTTCTACGGCGGCCAGAAGGGCCAGAGAGCGGACGTGGTGGTTTCAGAGGACGAGGCAGAGGTGGACGGGCGAACTAGATGTATCACTAATACACCTACGATGACTATCCCCCACACCCCTGATACAAATCTGCATCATTTGCCCTAAGCTTCTGGTTGCTCCTTCTCCTTCTCCGCCGCCTTCCTGGCCATCTCCTCCTTCCACTTCTGCGCCCTCGCCAAAAGCCCAAACATATTCCCCTTCCTCTCTTCCTCGTCTGGAAACAAGTAATCGAAATACTCCTCGAAACTCCCATCACCCACTGCTCTACGTTTCTTAATGATCTTCGGCATCTTCGCCTCAACGTCCTTGAGACTCTGTTCAGTGCCGTGGGCGGATTCGAAGGATTTCCAGGCTTCGAGGAGGATGACGCGGTCTTCTTTGAGGTCGCGTTGGCGGAGGTGTTCGAGAGCTCGCTTAAATACCGCGCGGGCGTTCTCCTTCGCCTCTTCCGTCGCCGGTCTCTGCACTTCTTCGTCTTCATCCTCCTCTTCTTGCCCTTCCTGTCCTTCACCCGGTACAGAAACCTCAAACTCCGCAAACGAAATCCAAACTTTGACATGTCCAGTCCGGCTAAGCAACCTCTCGTACAACCCTCTAGCCCTCTCCCACTCCTCCTCCTCAACCTCCATATCAATCCAGCTCTTCCATAGTAACTCGGGCATGTCTAACACCTCCTGCTCAACCGCAATCTCGTAAATCGCCCGCGCGCGATCCATATCTCCGAGCATTCGTTCGAGTTCAGAGTACTTGATCCAGGCATAACACGACGAGGCATCATGTTCCAAGAACTTCTCGTACAGGGTTCGTACCCGGTCGAATTCACGGAGTAGAAGTTCGAGTTCGATGTAGCCCTTGAACAACTTATCCTTCGGACACATGCCGAGGGCCATGCCCAGGTTCTTGCGCGCGGCGGTCAAGTTGAGTCGGCGCACCTCGAAGTGAGAATACCCCAACCACACCTTCGCAAACGTGAACTTCTTGTGCGGGATAAGACCCAAACAAGCCTTCCATATCGCTCGTGCCCGCTCAAAATCTTTGGTCTCGAGTTCCTCCCATAACGCGTACTCAAGCCAGAGATAGATAAACCGTCTCCAATGCCTCTTCTCCTGACTCGGCGGTAACTGCGCAATCGCGCGTTCATACACATCCCTCACCCTCTCCACATCCCCCGCAGACTCCTCCAACCTCACATAATCAAACCACGCGTCATAATTCTTCGGTTGCACCGTCACAGTCTCTTCATACCTCACTCGTCTCTTGCTGAGCACCACGTCCTCGATCCCCTCTTTCTCACCAAATTGTTTCTCAAATGCGGTGTATTGGGAGTAGAGTGTCGCACTCTTTGAGCGGGGCATACGGTCAAGGGCGTATTTGTAGATGACTCGTGCGCGTTCGTATTCGCGCATCTTGGTCTCGTACCGCGCGTATGCGATGAACAACTTCTCTTCCATGAATTCATCGCCGAGGGCATCGATTGCCATTGAGAACACCTCGCGGACGTTGTCACTCGAACCAAACTCCTCTTCGAACCGCGCCCATCGGATCCAGTATTTGGGCTCGGGATGCACGACGGTAAACCTCTCGTAGATTGCACGAACACGGGCGTATTCCTGGTACCGCGTCTCGAACTTGATATAAGCGAACCATGCCGCCTCTGCCGGCTCCCATGCCATCCACCGCTCAAACACCTGTCGTGTCCCCGCAATATTCCCCAATGTTTCCTCCATATAGACATACTTGAACCACAAATTATCCACACGCGGCAACACCGTCACCGCCCGATCAAACAAATTCCTCGCATGGTTGATATTCCTCGTCTTAATCTCGGACTCAATATACCTCAACCATAACGGGACACAAGCTCCATCCGCGTCAAGCGCACGCTCAAACACCGATCTAGCTCTCGCGAACTCGTTTTGTTGTAACTCCCATGCCGCGTAATTCATCCACTCACCCATCTTCAGCCTGTTGCCCCTTAGCTGATCTTCATAGTACTTCCGTTTTCGGCCCTGATATTCGTGTAACTCCTCGAGATCCGCGATCTTTTGTTTCGGCGGCGCAATGGGTGGTTCTTGTCGCGAGTACGACTCCCGCAAGATCTGCTCTGCCGTAATCTGGATCGGCGCTGGGGCCTTGTTTTTAACCCGTGGAGGACCAGAGGACGCCATTGTTGGTTAATTGATCAGGCTCGATGAGAGAGGGACCTTGGGATGGTGTAGAGGTTCGTACGGCTGTGAGCTGCAAGGGTGTGCGGGTGCCACCACCAGCCTCAGGGGGTATCGATGATACTGCCGAACCTTAATTCCCGAGATCCTCGACCAAAACGATATACCGTTCAATGATCTCATCCGTGTTAACAACATGCGCTCAGTGTTCGTCACAGTAGGGTCTACCGTCTTCCACAAGCTCGTCGTGGCGGCCGTAAAACCTGAAGTGCAGGAGGCATTACAGCGGGCGGGGTATACACACATGGTCATTCAGCATGGAATGGATGGTGACCGTGTTCTGAGAGGACAGCTTCGACTCCAGCCGGCAGAGGATTACCGTTTGAAAATACGGAGCTTTGATTATTCGGCTTCAATACGAGAAGAGATGGCGAACGCCGATCTCATCATCTCACATGCTGGTATGGGAGTAACGATGTCTCTTACCGACATTTTCTGACTGTTATCAGGGTCCGGTACGATACTTGAAGCTTTGAACCTTCGCAAGCCGTTGGTTGTCGTGGTTAATGACATGTTGATGGACAATCACCAGCAAGAACTAGCTGATGAGCTACAAAAGAGCGGATACGTAGCAGCATGCCTACCGAGGTATCTTTCATTCTTTACGCATATCTATGCCCAAGCTAACACGGATGTCAGTGATCTTGCTGATGCGATCCAAAACATGAAGGCTTTGAAGCCGTTTGCTACAGAGCGAACAACGGCACTCAATGACGTACTGAAGGAGGAAGCAGGACTTTGAAGAGGAATGTATGGAACGTGACGGTATTACGTTACGGTCGTCGGACCTTTAATCCTTAAAGGAAACAATACCCCGCCCGATTTTAAGGAGAAGAGGAGGAAGACTAGGGCCTGTAAGCAACAGGCCGACATGGAGAAGGTAATCAGAAGAGATAGTAAGTTTCAGGGAAAAGAGAAGAAGTAGTTAAAGACTGAGTAACCATAAGTTCAGACTGTATACTCGACTTCGCCACGACACCAGCCACACCAATACGCGCCCGCCTCCCCGCGTAAAGTACTTCGCGTCTCCCGCAGACATCCTCGACACCAACGACTATTCCTACCAAATGTTTACCTTTCAGAGTCCCGTATCGCCATACACTTTCTCACAGACGAACGCGATCATGCGTCCAATATCATTTTCGTCACCGGCGCCAGCCACCGGTGAGCGAACACACACGCAAGGAACGACATCGACGTCGTCACCCCTCAAACCCCCCGGGTATCACATCCGCAGCCCCCCCTCCTCCCCTCTCAACCCCACCTCAACCACCCAACGACGCCGCCCCCCACCAACCCTCCCACCCCCCTCCGCCCGTCGCCAGAAAAACCTTACACAGACTGTGGCGCTGCTTAAACATCAGCGCGAGAAGAGGGTACGTGAGGGACGGGGTGGAGAGGATGAGATTATGAGGGTCATTATTGCTGCGGAGAGGAGGAGGAGGGAGGGGGAGATGGAGGAGGAGGCGAGGAGGGCGGCGGCTTGGGATGAGGGGGAGGAGATGGATGCTGATGGGGATTTTGAGATGGATGGGATGGATGTGGGTGGTGGCGAAGGTATGGAGATGTACTCTAGCCGGAATCCGACGGGGGGACAGGTGGAGACGCGAACGTGTCCGGAGTGTTGGAGTGACGAGCTTGTTGCCGTCGATGGTGGATCCGTATGCTTCGAATGCGGAGCTGTTGAGGGCGTCGTCTCTGTTTGAATATAGAGGACGCAGAAGGTTATCGCTGGACGATCTGGGCTTTTCTTTTATTTTCTCGTAGGTGTTTGTTGGGTACAGGCGTTTTATTTTTCTGCTTTTTTTTTTTTAACATGACATCGGCTTGTATGGTGACACTCTCCCACTCAAGCGCCGGATTTTGGCACAACTGACTGCACCCCCGCTAACCTCCAAGAACTCTATCGCTGCACCCACAAACCAAATCGCGTACATTCCCTCACCACCTCCGATGGCCGTTTCCGAGCTTCGACAAGAACTCAGCGGTGTGAGTGGGTACGTTTTTGCTCGTTCGAGTGAGGCAGCGTGATTAACAGGTGGTTGTAGGTCGATCTCGTTGGCTTGCTGGCTCGTCGTCCTCCTTCCCCAATTATACGAGAATTACCGTCTCCATTCCGCATCGGGCGTTTCGCTGACGTTCATACTTGCTTGGTTGATCGGTGATGTGCTCTCCCTGGCCGGTGCGCTCACGGGGGGATTACTTTCTACCGTCGTCGTGCTGAGCGCGTACTTTTGCGTCGCGGATGGTGTTTTGATCGCGCAGGTTGTTTATTACAATTATCTCAACAAGGCATCTGGAGAAGGACATGCGAAGACGAGGAGGACGAGTAGTATGAGTGTTGTCGCGGGCGCGCAGGACCACATCGTCGGCGGGGGAGGAGACCGCGAGACGGCGCCTCTACTCCGCGGCCGCAGCACGTCTACTGCGTCAAAGCATTCACTCCGCGAGCAAGCTCGTGCTCGACGGAGAAAAGCCATCTTGCAGAATATCTCTGCAGTCATCCTCGTCATCGCTGCGGGAATCCTCGGATACCTCCTCACCTCCCACCACTCCCTCTCCTCGCCCGCCCCCACCGACCCCCAAATTCCCGAAGCACCGAAACCCACGCCATCTCTCCTCTCCTCCACCCTCGGCTACGCATCCGCCCTAACCTACCTCCTCGCCCGCATCCCCCAACTCCTCCAAAACCACCGACGTCGCGCAACAGACGGCCTCTCCATCCTCTTTTTCGTGTTTAGTATGTTGGGGAATGTGTCATTTGCCGCGAGTATCATGTTTGGGGAGGAAGAGTGGAGGGGGAGTGCGCCATGGTTGGTGGGGAGTGTGGGGACGATTGTGGAGGATTTGGGGGTGTTTTGGCAGTTTTGGGCGTATGGGAGGGGGGAGGAGGGGGAGGGTGATGATGAGGAGGCGGTTGTGTAAAGGGTAAGAACGTCGAATGGCGGGAATTCCGGGATATGATACGGTGCCAGAAGGCGCAGAGGAATGAGTGAGGGTATACACGAACGATTGATCACTTAAAGGATGGGGTTCAGATTTGGGGTATGGTGGGTTTTTCTAATATGCATAGCGTTTATAATATATGAGCAAGTGCCATTTCTACACCACCGAACATAGCTATAGGTAGCAACCATGCTGTAGCCTCGGCCGCGATGGTGTGTGCCATGGCCGGCGCGTACACGCAGACCGTGGGAAATACCCCGAGAACTCTACCAACACGCCATCCTTCTCAACCTCCCTTCTCCTGAAGCTTCTGTTTGCCCTCTTTCTTCTTCCTCAACCCTCCTTTCTCCTTTGACGAAAACAACTGCTAAAATGGGCGCTGTTATCTCATGTGTATGCTGCGTCTCGTGTTCTTCATGAAGCAGATAGCTTCTTCTGGGGTGAATGCTGATACATCGTGTGAATAGCGATCCGCGATCGCTAATTGCCTCGTCGCTGTCTTCCTTGGGATCGTTCGCTGTGTTGGAGCGGTACGTATTTGTTCTCTCATCTTACCTTTGCCGGTATCGGCAGCATACATCCCGTACGGAAGGAGCATAAAGGTTCTAGTTACTAATCTCATGGTGCTGTAGGTCTTCGTCGGTATCTTCAACGGCATCCTCGCCTGCTTCCGTCTCATTCTCCGCTGTTTGACCTGCGGCCGTGTCGGCGGTGGAGAAGTATAGTGCTGCGGATGAATGCGGTTTGGCTATGATACACGATGGATGGTGATGCTGTGCGCTGGTCGCCGGCTCTTTGTTTGTGATTGACTCGTGACTTTATGTTCTCCTTTCTTTTTGCGGATGAACGTACTCTATGGACTGTTCTGGGTTACCACGCTGATCATACATTCTTTAATGGGTCTGTCCATCCTGCAGCTGCTGCTAATCATCGTGCTTATTATTTGATATTGTATTCCTCTCGCGTATTGCCAAAATGTATATGGTATCCAGGAAACCCGCCCAATCCAAGTCCCCCCATCCAGATATTAGTTCCTTCACATCTCCATAGCATGCGCAGTCGTAGCACCATCAACCTCGAGCTCCCCAAGCGCCTCCTCATACTCCCTCATCAACCTCTGCAACTCTCTATGCTTTCCAATCGCCTCAATCGCCTCCCTCAACAACTTCCTCTTCTCATTCCCCGCAACAATCGGTTCCCAATCTCCTTTCTCAGCGTACGCAGTAGGACCCAACAACCCCTTAAACAACTCCTCCAGTTTCTCCTTTAACCCCTCACTCGCGAGTCGCTGCACGTATGTGATTAAAGTCGTCCGATACTCTTCTTTCGACCCGAGCACGCACGCAGCACCCAACCGATTCTCCAAATGCGAAACACTGACACTCATCTCGAACCCCTCGAATCCCTTGCGCATCAACACCGGCGCCTTCACAATCCGATTCAGGACTCGTCCACGGCCGAGACGCATCACAGCCTCGTCAGTCCGTCGTTCCATCATAGCCACAATTCCAACCTTTTCTTCATCGAGACGAGACCGGAGCATACCCGACGCATCCCAGTATTGCGACCCAACCATCCACCAAGATTCGCTGACGCGTAACCAGGATTGGAGAGAGGCGGAGTACGTGAATGCGTCACCATCCGTGAGCGTGATCACAGCCGCGCCCTTATCCGTAACACTCGCCCGCGTCAACGCCGGCGCGCGACGAACCTCCGTTCCCCCAATCACCGCCGCATCTAACACGGAGGCTAGGGAGATAGGTGGGTGTGCTGCTTTGAATGTGGTGAGATTCCAGACGTGAACCATACCGACACTGGTGACGCACATCAGCCACCCCCCCATCCCCTCCAAAAACACCGGTTGGCTCTCGAGCACGATGGGGGGAAGCAATCTGGTTCCGTTCCGGGACCAGGTTAATAAGCTCCCATCCTCGCATGCCGCGGCGTAGAATTCGGGTGTTGAGGTTAGTAGGAGGATCGAGCGCGGCGTGTAATCTGTCCATTGGAGGATTCCCCGTTTAACGGCGTTGAGACGCGTTGGCTCGCCTTCGCCGCGACCGTTTCGGGCTTCGAGGGTTGTTGTGGCGTCGGGGTCTCCTCCTTCGTGGGAGAGGACGCTGATGACTTTTGGTACGCTGAGTCTGATTTGGGAGACCGTGGTGGCTGGGTTTACGATAGCGGGGCGGATCCACTCCTCGCCCTCCGCCGCACCTCCGACAGCTGCTCCATTCGCGGCGTCGAGTTTCCGCTTGTTACCGACTAGGAGGGCCTTGACCCCCCCAGGCGGCAACTGTGCACTCGGCTCGCTCAGATCAATGACTCTCTGTCCTCCACCACCTCCACTGGATGACTGTGCAACGGCGACGGGTTGAGGAAGGGCTGAGGCGGCGGTGTGTCCACCCCCGGAGATTGTGGTGAGGAGTTGTGGCGCGACGCGTTTTCTCCCGTCTTTTGTTACGGTAATTTTTTGTTGAAGGGGTTTTGAGGGTGTCTGCTGCACGGGAACAGCTACTGCAGCGGGGATGACGGGGGCGGAAAAGGCTGTTGGTGCTTGTGCTTGTGCTTGTGCTTGGGGTAAGTCAGATATCATCACATCCCCTCCCCCCTTCCCCTTCGTCTGTAACTCCCGTGCATCAGTCCGTTCCTCCCGTTCCAGCTGTTCCGTAGACTCAGGATACACAACTCCCCGCATCCCATGTCCATACTTCCCCAACATCCCAATCACCTCCTCTTTCGAACACGCAACCCCCAACTCTCCAGGCTCAAACCGTAACATCACAATCGAGCCATCGTAGGAGGCACCGAAGAGTGTGAGGCCGTCGGGCGACCACGCGATGTCTGAGATGGATTTCTCGGATACTTCGTCGGAGATGAAGATTGGGCGTGAGCGTTCTGTTGACCATAGTGCGAGACGTTTGTCTTGGCCTGCGGAGGCGGTGATGCAGTAGGTGTTTGTGTCCGTCGCTTCTTTGTGTGCTTCTTTTTTGTAGACGATAGGTGAGAAGGACATCACCTCCACCGGGCCCTCATGTCCGATAAGCGAGAGATCGGAATTCCAGGTTCCGCGTTGAACGACTCTCGCGCACGTGACGGGCCCATTCATCGCATTGCCAACCCCCAAAAATCCACCCTCGGGACTCCATCCGACTCTCCTAAAATACGTCCCGATACTGGAGTTCTTGAATGGTTCGCTCAACACTGCCTCCGTCCCAAAGTCGGAAGTTCGGATGATTCGGACGGAGCGGTCGTCGGAGGAGGTGGCGAAGTAGCGGGAGGCAGGGTCGAAGGTTATGCCTTTTATGTGGGATTGGTGGGATTTGAGGGTGCGGAGGCGGGTGAAGGTGGGTGGGGACCAGATCATGATTAGGGAGTCTAGGCCGACTGTGACGAGGAGGGAACCATCGTGGGACCATGCGAGGTCTTGGATATCTAGACGAATTGTTAGCCATTGAGGTGATTGAAGGAGGGAGGAAATGTACCGTTTTCGTGCCCGACGAGACGTTTTGTGCACCGCCAGTTTTCGACATTAGTTTCATTCGACCCAAATACTTTTCCGAGGCCGACGCCGGAGATGTCGCGTTCCCATATCATGACGATCTTATCATCCGATCCACTCGCCAGATACCTTCCATCCGGGCTGAATCGCACACATGTCACGGCGCCGTTATGCGTACTCATCGAACACAGCTGTTTCGGCGTGTTGGGATCGTCTTCGGGGGAGAGGATGGAGGCTGTTGACCATATTCGGATTTTTCCGTCGACGCCGGCTGTTGCCAGGCGGTCTCCGTCGGGGGTGACGTGGATGGAGAAGACCATTTGGCCGACTTTTTTGTCATCTGTGCGGGTGGGGTTAGCCATTGATCATCGTTGATAATCATGGAGTGGTGTACCGTAGTGGCCGAGCCATCCTTTCTTCCAGTACTTCATACTGGCTCGAGGGATCAATGGTCGTTGGGGAGGACGGAGGATGGAGGAGTACTTGATACGCGCTGCCGGTGCCGGTACGCGGTGGGTGCGAGTCGATGCAGGGTGCATGCCCGGACTGGAAGGCAGGTAATTCTCGTACGGTTTGCAGTGGCCATGGCCTTGGATGAATGGGACAGATTCACAAAACGATCAGAACAAACTTCATCTTCGCGGCAACTTCAGCATTCCCCCGGCGCGCCACCCAGTCGAATGTTCGGCGACTGTACGTGATCTGCAGCGTGCGTCACCCACAGCCATATATAACTCCCTCGGGTCTTCTCTCCTCGACATCCCCACCAAAGCACAGATCAACTCACATTAGAAATGTTTACATTGCGAACATCACTACGATCAGTCCTACCACGTGCTTCCCAGCCTTGTCAGTTTGCCCAGCGCACATTCTTCTCCTCCGCTCGCGCCGGCGCTCGTCCTTCGCCATCCTCCGCCTTCGCCATTGTCCGGGCACGGTTCGCCACACCCGCTAAGCGTGGGTTAACAGCATCGGCCCTTGATCCATCCGCAGCCGTTCGTGCTCGTCCCGACGAAGCGGAGAAATGGAAGCGGATCGGTTTGGCAGGGGCTCTGTTCGGTGGTACCATCTTCGCGACGAACCTATTGCTGAACCGGGAGACGCGGGCATCGCTGTCCCCGTACGAGCGCAGTTACTTGAATGAGACCTTTATGTACGTCGGTGCCGGACTCGGTCTCACCGCACTCGCGGCACGGGGTCTGCACCTTTCGGGATTCTCGCAGAGATTGATGATGATGAACCCTTGGCTCGTAATGGGTGGATCCCTCGTCGCCTCCGTTGGGTCAATGTACGGAACCCTCAACACCCATCCCAACAACAGCGGTACCAAACATCTTTTCTGGACCGCGTTCCAGTTGACACAGGGTGCGATGTTGGCTCCGTTGTTTTTTGTGAATCCGGCGATTTTGGTGAGGGCGGGGTTGTATACCGCTGGTGTTGTGGGTTCGATTGCGTATGTTGGTGCTACGGCCCGTGATGGGAAATATCTCTACTTGGGTGGACCTCTTCTTGCTGGGTGTTCGATTGTTGCGTTGAGTGCGTTGGCGCCGATGGTGTTGCCGTTGGGTACAAGGGCTTTGGCAGTGACGGAAAATTTGTACTTGTATGGTGGATTGGCTGTGTTTGGAGGTTTCACGCTTTATGATACGCAGAAGATGTTGAACCATGCGAAGCAGGCTCAGGTTGGCGCGAGGCCGAGGGATCCGGTTGCGGAGTCTTTGAGTCTCGAGCTTGACTTCATCAATATCTTTATCCGTTTGGTGCAGATTTTGCAGATGTCGGGGGGAAACAACCGTCGCTGATCAAGTTGATGGAGGATGTATCATATGATGGATTGAGCTAAGCAGGTTGTTTTCGGCGTTTACCTATTTCTACTTAACAATACCAACCCTATCTACTAACGTGATATCGTCCCTGGCCATGGTATACCTGGTATCTTGACTTTATCGAACGTAAATCTCACAACCACTCCTGCCCCTCTGTAATCTCAAACTCAACCCGTCCAACCTCATCCTTCTCGCCAGCGTTCCTTGCCACAATGGCAACGTACTTCCCGGGTACAACGACCCACTTCTCCTGCTCTGCGACGTAGGTCGCCGTTGCCCATTTGTCGAGTTTGATCATGGCTTTGGTCGACTCGCCCGGTTGGAGGAGGTGGACCTTGGCGAAGCCGCGAAACTGCTTCTTCGGGCGACCGGAGTCAGAACCAGCAGCAGAGGCGATGTAAGCTTGTACGACCTCAGCACCGGACACCTTTCCAGTATTGTGAAGGTGGGCGGTGACCTCGATGGCGCCGGACACTGCGCGAGACCCAACATTCGTGATCTCGAACGTGGTGTACGACGACCAGAACCCGAAGCCGAAGGGGAAGAGGGGTACGATGCTCGTCTCGTCGTGATGTTTGTACCCGATCAATACCCTTCTTCGTACCTGACCTCGTCTTGGATGATCTTGCCTTCATCGTCGGAGCTGAATGGGAAGTTACCGTACGATGCGGTGTCCTCGAGCTTCTTCGGGATGTAACGGGTAATTTCCCGGATGGATGGGTTGGCCTTGCCGGTAACAACATCGACAAGCGCCCGTCTATTTTCCTGTCCTTGGTACCAAGTTCAGAGAACTGCGCCAACCTTGTCCAATCACGGCATCTCAACAGGCGTACCAGATTGTATCACCACGATTGTCTTCGGTTTGACCTTTGCCACAGCCTCGATGAGGTCCTTCTGTCGACCGGGAAGGGAGAGGGTCGTCATATCATGCCCTTCACTCTCCCATTCTTGCGTCTTTCCCACGATAAGGATTGCTGCGTCCGCGGATTTGGCAACAGATACGGCCTGCGCGGTTCGGTGGTCGTCGGTGGTCGCGAGTGAGAGCGCACCGATCCGGATTCCGTTTAGGGCTGTGAAGAGGGAGTGGTCCATTGAGAGTTGGATGTATGGGTTCGGTGGGGTGGAGAGGCCCTCGATGCGGAGGGAGCATGTTTTGCTGGCGGTGAGGATAATGGGGGATGATTTGGCTTCGACGGAAGCTGTGTTGAAGAAGGTTTCGGAGAGTTCAATTCAATTCCAGTTATCGAACAAGAGCTGTTCGTCGAGGAAGAGCTTCGTGCGGCCATGTAGGCAGCGCAGGGGATGAAGGAGGAGGAGGAGCCGTAAGCCCAGGTGGAGCCGCGAACGCCGGAAGGACCGTCGGAGGTCTTGATGGAGGGGATCAAGGCATCGGGGCCGCTGATAGACGCGGTTTGGAGTTGATCAGAGTGTTGAAGTCCATACCAGTGACGGGTGACGGTTTGGAGGGGTGATGTCAGATCAAAAGGTGCTGCATATTCGGAGGATCTCAGGGTCTCTTTAAGTACAGCGACCGGATTGTCGGGGAATTGATGTACCGGAGGTCTGTCTTGTGCCGTTCAAACAAAAAGGAGAACCGAACATACAGTTGAGTAGGGATCTCGAGTATTGCAATCCGAAGCTGCGGGCGTAGGCGCTTCACGGTCGGTGAGGACGCAGTAACTTTATAACGCCGAGGCTCGGTTGTGGCATATAGACGAACACAGGCGGCATCTAAAGTAAACTTGAGCGTGCACAGCTAAAGCCGCACATCCTAGAGCACATAGCGTTCACGGAACGCAGACGGAGTGATGGTCATTGACTGCTTTTGCATTGTTTTGCTCCATGTTGTATCGTACAAGTACCCATTCGGGATCATAGGCCCCCGAAACCGGGACCCAACTCAAGCGTTCGACTCGTGGATCATCTTCCCTCCCTCCTGGGCCGCATCAACATCGGTGACCTTAACATCCTCGCCACCGGCAAAATCACCGCCACTCTTGAGACTTTCTGCGGCCAAACTTCCCTCAGTAACAGCCCCAGGCTTCTCGTCCCTGGTGAGTCCAATGTCGACTTTTCCACCGACTCCGGTGTCGGTGAAGGTGTTGGTCGTCATTGGAGCGCCGCGGAACTCCTTACCGGAGATATCTTCTTCCTTGGCGGAGTGGAGGGCTTTGGCACCGGGATCAAGGGCTGATGAGAACGTTAGCGGATGTGAACGATAGACGAGGAGTAGAGGAGCAATGAGATACCTCCTTGCGAGCTTGATTGTGGGTTTGGCATGTTATTGCTTGAAAGCAGAAGATTAGTTGAAGGTGGACGGACGACGAAGAGCAGGAGATTTATGGCAGTCGGCAATGAGATGACGTCAATACGGGATCCGCACGCTCACCGCGGCCGGGCACAGCTATGGTAGGATTAGGAAGGTTAAGAGGATTCAAGAAAGCGTAATAAAAGTAAGAGAGAGTCCCACCCGGCAGCGCTTCGATCCTGCTCCAGTCACGTACAATGCTTCAGCTGCGACCGGTATTTTGCAGTACGCTCCCCGCAATCGCACTCGAGCCCTATCGATCGAACAACCCAAACGATAACTTGGACCTCCTCCATCTACCGCCAAGCGCTACAACAACTGTCACTAACCCAGACTGACGATGCCGGCTACTTCCTTCCTTCTCCAGACCGCCATGCAAAGCGCAGTCCTCTCCTTCCTCTCCAACCTCATCGCTCAGACCATTCGTCTCTATCAACAGCAATCCATACCAGTGTTGAACTCGCAGACACTGCTTGGCATGTTGTCCAGCCTCGCGCTTACGCCCGCTTTTCAGTTCGGCTTGTTTGCGTTCTTGGATTCGATACCACTGACAATGTGGCAGCTCTACGTCGAGAAGGCCTTTCTGGGCCGTAGTGCAAGAAGTGTGGCATGCAAAGTTGGCTTGGATCAGGCGCTTGTTGCGCCGTTGAATACTCTGGCGGTGATCGGTGGGTTAGGCGTTATTCAAGGCTTGACCACGGGGATGATCGTGAGCGAAATCGAGAAGGTAAGTCAATCATCGTGGACCAGATGAGCCTGCTGTTGATAAGACTTTGTTCACCGCTGGGACTCAGAACTTCTTCAACCTCTATACATCCGCACTGAAGTTGTGGCCTGTCGTTGCCCTGATCTCCTTTTCGCTTATCCCACCGCACCAACGTATGCTTTTTGGGAGTCTTGTGGGGTTATGTTGGAACGTCTGGGTAAATCTGCAGATCTGAGAGACGAATTGATGGATGCCGAGAAGAAGAAGAGTATCAAGTGAATTGCACATGCTAGCGATCCTCAGTTACGTTTCAAGATCATATAGGTCAACGCGTGTCCTGAGGTGTAAAAATCTAGTCTTGCTGGCACTTTATTCCACTTTCACTTACACGGCCTCATTAACCCTAAGCCTGTCGGGAAGACCGTCATTCGTAGCCCTCCAATGTATGTTGTTCACGGTTCACGTTCCCACGCCTACCAATACACTACCACTAGTTCGTTGAACCCTAAGTCAGACAAAGTGAAAACCCCCAGTCAACTGGAAAAACCCAGGTGAGGTTTATGCACCGGTTCTAAGTAGTTGACCTCAGTTGACTTAGAACGACGTTAGTAAAAGGGAAAACGGCAAGTCAACTACTACTAGTACATCGACGGCCCATGGCATCGCCCGTCCGTTTTGGGCGATGCTAACCCGCTTGTGGAAACGATCGGCGGATGCGGAGACGGGCCATGCCCTCAGGGCGGGCCATGCCCTCAGATTTGCGCGCTGAGCTGCTAAGTCGCTACCGCTACAGCCTACTCCCTCGCTGTCGAAAGAGCCTACTCCCTGTTACTAGTACATGGAGGTATTATGGCATAATACCTCTGTTTTGGGCAAGACTAGACCATAAGCGGTAGGGATCGCCGGGTCTGGGGAGGGGCCATGGTATCAAGAGGTATTATGGTATCACCGGCAAAAAAGTAGGGTGACGGAAATCGACGAAAATCGAACTGGACCTAGAGAACCCGAAAAGGGTAGGCCCGGCAAAACCTTAAGGTACTAGCTCCATCGTGAGCGAAGATATTGACTTCAAACGCTGTCTAGTTTCTCTAGCCACACTCTTCCTTTCTTTAATATTAAACAAGTGGGCTTCACCGACCTGACGGCATCAAGCGGGTAAACGTGGGTTCTAGGCAGTATGTAACCTGCTCGCTGACGTGAATGAATCTTGTTTTAAATTCTGAAAGCACTCGTCGAGTCGCGTCCACTCGCGAGCGCATCTTTTTCTCACCGCAAAGTTGGGTACGATACGCCGGGCCGTTATCGGCGGCGCGGGTTATGTATGGAAGTACGGCGGCCGTATTCTTTTATGTCAGGAATTCGGAAACTCTAGAAGCAGTCATGTATTTACGCTGCTTACCCTCACCGCGCGATCACTGTAGCAAGTTGCCCTAGATGAGCACTTTTGCTTTGTCGGTCGGAAAACAGACATTGTACGTGAGTTGCAGCGTAACGAATGACCGCTGCATCGGAGAATTGTTCAATGGTGGTGATGCACGTAATTGTGGTTCGTCTATCGAGTCTGCTCGTTGAAATTCATGTCGAAGCTGCATTCAATTGATATGATCATTGAAACTCGTACGAGAATCACAAATGACTAACGCTTTCCCTTAACCTTGAATGTCTTGAACGGAGCCGCTTTGTTTCCCTTCCCCTTTGCTCTATCAATCGCCCTATCCTTTCTCAAACCCCGCACTCCTCTTCTCCACAACCCTCTCCCCACCCGCCTTTGGCATCAAATACTCCAGCACGTGTTTCAAATGCGCTTATACCCGGTTCGGATGTAATTCAAGATCATGACGCAAATGTTGGAGACCTTGTGGGATTTCCTGCAAGTGACGTTAAGGACAACAGCGACGTGTGACATGGCCGAACAGTAGAGATGCGATAATAACAAACAGGAGAATGACGAGGATGCGGCTCCAACGGCGGTCACAAGATCGCTGCATCAGTTGCTTCGAACATCTCCGGTCACCCAAAACACAGTTCAACAAAGTAAGTCTCAACTCATCTTTTCTGCGCGGCTGCATGCGAGGATGAAGCACACGGCAAGCTTTACCAGCGTGACGATGGTTTTCCGCCGGAAGTTGTCGAACTCGTACCTTCCCGAACATACAGCGTGCTCTTGAAGCCCCTCTACGATCACGATCGCAAACCATTCTGTTTGATTATTGCATACACTGTCGAAAATTCTAGGGGTCTCACGGTGCACGATGCTTATAGCTTGGACATCTTTGGTCTCGTGGTCGTGAACGAATTCATGCGACGTTCTGCTGTCGAAGCCGACCAAGTTAAGGACTCGTTCATTTCAAACATTCTACATGGAAGGGGTGGTATGCTGACTATTAAGGATTTTTTGTGGGGGTCAGGGAGACCGGTGTCACCTCTGATCTCCTCACGGTTCACTGCACATAAGTATTCCCTTGGACATAGGGCGCCAGGAGGGGGGGAAATGAAGTCGGATATTTGAGTCAGAGAATAGTCCATTATAACACTCCTTTCCTGTTGAATCTCATGGGCTAACTCTCCCTTTTTTGGGGTGGACGCTGCGCACATGGTCGCCGCGGATACCTTTTCGACGGATTGTAGCTATGTCTAAATCAACGAACCGCTGTAAGGCACTTATATCCGCTTTATCCAGCTGCAGCGCAGCCACGTTGTCAACGATGCGAACTCAGACTCATTTACCAAATATTATTGGGCTTACACCATCACGCGTGATCTGCAGCGGCCGGGGCGCGGACCGTGCCCAGGGTTAGGGTCCATATACTATACCAGGTAGGTAGGTAATGTATACGAACTAGTACTACCCCGTGGCGCGGCCCGGTGGAGAGTGTGATCCCGGTAAGGTTACGTCGATAATGTACGTGATAATGATCTTGGGTTTGCGATTGGGCTTGCCACCGTCCTGACGATCACGACCGTGACTGCCCCTTTCCCGTACGCCGCCAGCAATGGTATATAAAGACTGTGACACTCGCTCTATGCGCAACAGCGTAGGTCCCAGTGATATCGAACTTTCGCATGGCTAGTCACGCTGAGCCTGCAATAAATGCGCCTTCTGTCACACCAACTCCTACGTCAGGACTAGCGACGACGATTGCCGAGAGTCCTTGGCCTGGAGGTGTGATTCGACAGCGTACTCGCATCTCCCATGCCTGCGATGCTTGCAAGGAGCGGAAGAGGAGGTGTTCCGGCGAACGTCCGGTTTGCGTTCACTGCCGTTGTTACGGTCTCAACTGCGTCTACTCCTCACGCCGCAGGGACGGTCATCAAGGGTATGGATCATTCAGGTCTTTCTCATACCCATAAGTAATCATTGTTATAGTGAACTCGCTGCGCTAAGGGATGAGAGGGAGATGTTGACGGACATGATGGTTCGAGCCCTGCCTACCGTCAGTGACCCGACTCTTCAAGAAGCAATGCAAAAGGTCCTCGACACGAACAGAAGGTCGGCTGCTCAGGCAACGTCCATCCCGAAGGAGGAGCCCAGCAGCGATTTGCCTCGCGAGTATCCCGGCCCTGATTATACGGAGGAGGAATTGCTGTATGATTTGAACACCATTCGGATCACGCACCCCGAGGGTTATTTGGGTCCATCACACCCTACTGCGATCCTGAAACCCTTGGCGAATGAAGTTGTGCCAGACTATGAGCGCACGGTAGGACATTTGCTTGGCTTTGGTACGGATGATCTCAAGAATGCGGAGTGGTTGGATCTGAGCGTTGATCCTCTCGAGCTTCCGTCAAGGCAAGACGCAGATGAATTAGTCACAGTATGATTCTTCTTCTCGGTCTCCATCCTGCGTCTACTGATGTCTTCTTCCAGATTTACTTTTCTCATCTTCACTGTCTCTATCCCATTCTCTGGCGTCCTCGATTTGTGTAAGGATCAGGGCGAACCAGGCAGCACATGTCCGCTAACCGAGCAGATAGGTATGAGTACATGAGATTTTGGGACAACAACAAGCGTGTTGTCTTTTCAAATAACAACAACTGGCTCGCAATCCTAAACATGGTGTTCTGCATCGGATCGCTTTACGCGATGGCTATGGTCGACAACCCTGATCAGAATGGACCGTTGATCTATTTCAAGCGCGCGCAGTCTCTCTCGATGAACATGTTTTCGATTGGAAATCTCGAGACGGTTCAATGTTACCTGTTCATGGCATGGTTTCTGCATGCTATGGGAATGAACAATAGGTACGTTGAACTTTGTCTGCTCCGAAAAAGAAGTTTGCTAAACCTTAACAGGGCGTATACACTCTTGGGAACGGTGGTTCGAATGGCTGAAGCGCTTGGACTTCATATCAAGTCTTCTCGTTCTGGGATTGATCCTATTCTCCTAGAGACACGTCGGTGAGTACTACTTGCGCCGTTTCAGTCACTTCCATATGGTGCGGCTAGCATGCGAAATTCGTTCTAACAGACTTCTCAGGCGCGTCTGGCATGGCATAATTGTCTTTGAGCGGTAAGTGGATGGTATGTCATGTTTGGAGAAATTCTTTATTCACTGTCTTTTAGAACTCTCGAACTTCTACTTGGTCGACCTATCAGCAGTCCTGGTCGTTTCTCCAATGTGGAACTTCCGGTGGAGGTAGATGAAGAATGGTTCGAAGGCCCACAATCCCTTCGTGGTGTAGGACAGCCGAACTTCAAGCCTACCCGTGTCGCATACCTCATTGAAGCGTACAAACTGTCGAAGATCACGGAGCAGGTGGTGGACAAACTTTACTCCGCTGTCGCTTCAGCCGTTCCGTGGAGCTTGTATGAGGTCTCGGTCGCCGACTTGGGGAACCAAACCTTGACTTGGAAAAGTTTGCTTCCGTTTCATCTTCGCTTTGAGGATCAGTTTTGTACGGGTGATCCTGATGGGATTTACATCCGTCAAAGAAATGCGTTGGCGCTTCGCTATCACAATGTGCGCATGATGATCTTTAGGCGGTAAATTGAAGACCCTTCTGATGATGTTTGACCGTGCTGACGAGTACGCCGGGTAGGTCAATCAACACAGCGTTAGCCCGCGGAAAAGATGCCCAAGACCAGCATGATTACGTTCGTACGCGTCCGAAACTGGACATGACCGACTTTGCCCTTCGCGAGTGTACCAATGAAGCAATGCAAGTTTGTCTCATGTTCCATGACACCCGAGTGAGAACAAAGCAGATGTTTTTAGAGGTAAAGCGCATTACATGTATCAAGTATCCGAATGTAACGACTGTTTTGATAGCAAGCATGGTGGGAAGCGCGTCCCACGATTATCACTGCCGCTTCGATTCTTGCGCTAGTTTACAGAGCATGCACACAGGGCAATGTTAATCTTGACGGAGATACTATTACGAAAGGCAAGATTCGAGAATGTCTGGAATATTTAAAGGATGCTGTTGAGGCATTGATTCTCGATTCGCTCTTATGTTCAGAGAGGACGAAGGGGATCGTCCTATGGTAAGCCGATCATTCTAAGAAGTCATAAGCAGCCTGCTGAGTCTCTCATCAGTCTAATTAGGTTGGCCGATGGGGATACGAATGCTCTGTTTGGTGAGACATTCCTCTCATCAATTGGAGCCCTGCTCATGTTTCTTTTGCAGACTACAATCAGATATCAATGACTACTCCAAGCGACACAGACAGCTCAGGAGCTGAGACCGATTCGTGGTCCAAAACCTTTGAGATCTCACAGTCGTCTGAAGTCAACTTGTTCGATGTACGGGCAGGCATCGATTACGGTGTGGGCATGAACGTGCAAAACATGCCCACGAACCAGGCACAAAGGTCCAGTCCGGCAGATTATAGGTGGGTTGATCAAGAAGTAGGGCTTGAGCAAAGGTCATATGGGGAAGGCATGCCACAATGGACAACCATGTTGGCTGTGGAAGGCGAAAGACAGGTGGCAACCCCATCAAGTGAGAGACGAGGCGCTCCGTCATCTGCCTTCACCGCTGACAAATTTGGGCTACCCATGCTATACGACAACCCAGGTATGGTACATCATGTTTTCGTAAGGGTTTCGCTGACGGCATACACGTAGTGTGGACGGTTCATCAGCACTCGCAAAGTCAGGGATCAGGCGGCGGACCACAAGGTCAATGAAAAGACGCAAAGGGTTGATAACAGGAGTGGTACGATCCCTTTTAGTAATAATTTTCGGTCTTTTCTGTGCATCCATTGCTAGAGAAGGCACTTGTGAGATCCATTGGTGGTTACTCCCGCCACGGACGTGCTGGTTCATAATGAGCACAGTTTTGAGGTTTCGTCTCCAGTCGATGACAACGCCTTCTTCAGGCACAACTGTCAAGGCCCATTCGATGCGACCGACAGTCCAATAATCCTCTTCCGGTCGATCAGAGATGATATCGAAAAACTCTTCGAAAAACTCCTGGAAGGTTTCGTAAGTGATCCCAGAAGAGTCAAGTTTCACTCGCTTTCGTCCTTGCTCTTCTTCATCGTCATCGTCATTACCATGACTGTTTGTTGATTCGGCGTGTTTGACGGCCATTTTCTCCAACCACTCGGCCCAGTATGATTGTTTCCCCTGCTTGTACCTCTCATGGACAAGAAAAAGAGCCAGGAAAAGGACTTCTTCGTCATTCTCGCGGAGCGTGCCTGGGTTGCCAGAACCAAAACAAAGATGACTTCGACAAGATCGCGAAGAGCGACGGGCAGGTGCGGCGTCTCTTCAGAGATATCTGGAACACCCAGCAGTTGATCCGATGACAGACCTGCCTCATCAATGACGGTAGTACTATCCGGCTTACCGTGACCCAGATCTTGCCATCGAACTTTGTTTAGAGGGGTCACGAGTTCTTCAAGGACTGACTCGGCAGCCTCAAGCGCTTTGTTCAGGACATGCGCTTGACCATTTCGGTACAGCATGGCCCATTTCGAGTTCTGCGGTCGCTGCAAATTATCTGTGGCGACAAAAGTATCGGGATCAGACACCTGTTAAGGAAGTAGAGGAGCTCAATAGGATTCGACGTGAACGAGTCATGTTTCAAATTCTGAAGGCGCTCGTCAAGTCCCGTCCAAATGGTCCTTACTCAAAACGGTCTAGTATTCTGTACCCTCCGTCAACGTCAATGAGCCTGGTGCCGCTCTTCGCGAACGCAGCCTTTTTTATTAAAGTCGGGTACGATGCGCCGTGATTGGAGCGGGTTATGTATAGAAGTGCGGTGGCAGTATTCTTTTATGTAGGGCAATCAATCAATTATATGGCCGCACATGACGTCCTACTACGCGACATCAGCCGTGCATGGCTTCACCACAAACCGATTTTCGTTTGTATGTTCCACGTCGACTCTCCCGTGTTTCATCATGGCCTTGCAGCTAACCGATCACGACAGTAGCCCTACTTCAGAAATCATGTACGTCAAGGTTTCATGGGTCTCTATGCTTCGAGTCGACAATTCAATGCGAAGTTAAATTACGAACAAGATTCGCGACGGGCGCGCGGGACGAAAGGAAACGAACGATGCAGCGCCGATGAGGTGACAGACAAAGGAAGAACGATCCGTAGTGAGAAACATCTTCGATAGAATATGTCAGAGGTGGTTATCGGAGAAGAATACCCGCCACGAAACGCAGAAAGGGTGACGGGTGGATGAAGACGTGAAGGAAGTCGCCATGATACGGGCGTTTACGCCGTGCGTCGAGTCCATGGTGGTTCTTTCGGACGACAAAGGAGGTTCGATTGTCCTTCGGATCCTCCCTTTTCCCTGAAGAAGCACATAAGAGCCGCGAACGTCCTCCTTGATCGTAAGGAGTTCCGGCATCATTCGTCACCACTACGGCGCCCTGTTCTCTACGAACGCGCCAAAAAAATCGTTTGGATGCCTGAGGAACGCAACCGCCCGAAGCGAGGTGCAAGACGGATTCGAGGAGCCCTTCGGCCTCGATTATCTGCCATCGTCGGAACCCCCCAGCTGGCCGACTTGACCGAAGTCGTGACAGCTCTTACTTCGGACGAGGACCTTGGTCAAGATGCTCCAGAGCGCGCGGCCACGATTATCGCCACCGTCTTTCACGCATTCGAGTGCTACGACCTTCTCCGCCTGAAGGATTTGCCGGATCTGCTCATCAAGTTCAGCAGCGGCCTCTATACGGTTGGTTGTCGCTCACCCTTATCGTAAAAGATCGCACTGTTAACCCTAGCCTGGTCGTCAGATAAGTCTATCGTCGATGTACGAGGTGGACCCACGCATGCGGTATCATACAAAGGCGACGGATGAAGATAGTTCAGGAAGGGGAACGATGCATAGGTCAGCCTGCGGACAGACGACACACGCCAATCGAGGAATTGAGGAATTGCTCGAATCGTTGTTCGGAGTCGACGAAACGGAATTCTCGAAACGCATGTCCGACCTCCAGATGCTGGACGTTCGCGACATGCCCAGCATCTCTTGCGAGCACGTCGATGGACCGGGAGACACTCGTGGCATTGCAGCAATATTTCGTTGCCTGGACCGGCTGGCGGCTGTAGACCATGCGCTGTCCATCCGAACGAACTGCGTCTATTGGACTCTGGGCGCGGCCTACGACAGTTTCGCGACAGCCGTGACACAAGGTGTGACTTTCAAGGACGACAGAACACGCTCGCGTTACGTGCTTCGGCGACTTCTCGAAGAGCCTTGGGCCGTCCGTGCGTCCACGGAACATGGTGGCCGGTGGGTGTCTGCGCTAAAAAAGCGCGTCGAGTGCGCGAGGAAGTTCAGGTCGATCACGTCCGCGCTGCCGGTCAGCGTGCTCCTCGTTGTGCCGCACATATGCGTCACGCGGTTGGACAAGATCGGATTGAAGCAACTGGCTTTGCTTCCGTCAGCCGTTGTCGCTCACGGTGACAGTTTGGCGGCTCTCTTGGCCCTCATGGCGAGAACCGATGAAGCCGTCCTTCAGGGTCTGGCGACTCTCTCTGGAAAGGGCGGAGGCGAGGACGGGCATGCGAGTTCTAGTATGGAGGAGTGAGATTCTTCACAGAGTCGAAACCTCTGGGTATTATTTTTTGCGCAATGTCTGCAGCCAGGCATTGCCCGACTCACCTATTGCTTGTTTGCTGCTGTCCCCAGTTCATACGCAGCGTCATTCGTCTCGCGCTTTCTCTTCAATGTGCGCCTCGTCATGCTATACCTCCTTCACACAAAAAGCCAAGAGAAGAATTCACAGAACATTCAATGCCCCCCGCCTCTATCCAAGGCCATCTTTAACACTCTACTTAAGCAAAAGAAAAGCACAGCCGTAGCCCATCCCTCAACTCCTATTGTTTATAACACGAACACCACCTCCTTCTCCCTCGTCCAGAGTGTTTCTTCAAAGGTCCTGCATGCTCATTTTCGGCAGAGCGCCTCTCCTCGTCTAGCGCTAGTCTGCCAAAGGGCACTCAACTCATTTGGTCGTCTGAGGGTAATTTCCGACCATATTATACGCCAACGACTTGCCGTTGCCCGGTTTCTCAAGCTTCGGAAACCCGAAGCTGATCGCCTAACGAAGAATAACAGTCATACGTGGGTTTGAGCAACAAAACACGATCGTGGCTTTCCCGGGCGTCCGAACAGACAGGCTGTCTTTTCGCTAGATCGTCTTCGCATCCAACTGGGCCCCGACATGAATAAGTTATTGTTTTGGAGGATGGTTGAGGTTGCTCGTGCTCATCGCAAAGCAGCAGCGCCTGGAACACAGCATTGAGTGTTTCAAATGCGAACCACAGAAACTACTATACCGCAACAAATACCGAATGCTATCTCCCAGATCCTTTGCCCCACCGACCTCGAACCCTGAATAACCTGGTACCTTAAAGAGAGAAAGGCGTGAAATGGTTTGAGCGACCACACGCGTTAGGGTTATTCACCGATAGTGAAGGCGGCCTTCAGAATCGCAGCGTTTGCGTGCGTTCCCGCAGTCTAGTGTGTGAATTTTCGCTTGCGCTCTTCCGGAGAGTGCAAGCTCTGCTACGCGCCACGTGTTTCCGTGAGGCCTATCGAACGAGTTCATACGAGACTCGGGATCGTGGCCAGTTACACACTACGATAAGCTTATTTCGGCTTCTCGAAAACGGGTGCGGAGAAAGTCGACGTCCGTGCACCCCTCAATCGGACATTTGGAGACGTCCAGTTACCCAACCTGCCGTCTCGTACTGCAGACGGGCCCAACCGTGGTTTTGGAATGCAAAGAGCCTGAGTGAACGGATTAGGCGAAGTACTTCATATAAGCATTTCGTGAACTAAACTTTTTCCTTAAGTGAGGCGCGTCCTTGAACTGAGTTCACACGCTTCCGAACCATTGGCAGGAACCCGACAAACCCCACTTGCGCGTACGGTACTACAAGCAACCGAATATATAAATAATTATCCCAAAATTTTTTAATTCCGTACCGTGTAAAGTAAACCCAACACCTCCAGTTGCAAACCCCAACACCTCCGTATAGTATGATGTATGATTGTGCCGACCCATACCCCAGATGTAACCTCAAACCACAAGGCGAACAACAACGTCCCTTAACGACTGACTTCAACCATTACCACACCTCAAACTCACACTTCGATATCACATCGACGTTGACCCCCCATGCCCATGCCCACGCCTCCACCCACTTCCACGCCCCTGCTCCTCCCCGCTGGCCATGGGCACGGGACGGATCGTTTCGGCACTCCCCGCGCTCTGCATCATCGTCGCACTCGTACTACCCATCGTCGTTCCGGTCCCGCCACTGCCTACACTCTTCATGGTTGTTCTCTGCACTGACGCTACGCCTGGGCCTGCACCGGGACCCTATCCTCGTCCCAGTCCGGCGGATGATGCGCTTGGCATTATGGGAGGGGTGTTAAGGTTGACATTCACGTTCGCGATCACTTGGGATTGAGAATATGTGGGCTGGGAAGCTGAGTACCGCCGCTGGTGGTTTTGGTGGCCATGGACAAAGGACGAGGGTGCAGGCGGCGCCCACTGAACTTGTCCCATCCATGCCGGGTTTACCATACTCACGCTCCCCCTGACCTCCGTAACCCTGATTCATATTCGGGGTTGGTGCATATGGGGTTTGATTCCGGAATGGATACGTCCCCGGACTCTGCCATACAGTGGGTGAAGAACCACCCATGACGTTCGGAACAGCCCTCTGCGGACCCGATCCCTGACCATGGATTCTCGAGGCAGCGTCGGGGTTAGAGAGGGTTGGATACGGACTGGGATTAGTTGGATTGGAGGGGGGAGGGGTTGTTTGTAGCTGGGAAGGCGGTGCTGGTGGGAAGCGGGTTCGGTTCGACTTGCAGGGGCTTTTGGTAGGGGGTGCAGCGTGGTATGGTGGTGATGGAGGCTGTGATGGTGGAGGAGTCGGGTATGGGCGTGCGGGGTTGAGAGTAGAGGTTGGAGTGGGAGGGGGTCGGGTTGTCAAGTCGCGGCCTCCATGGATGCACGGTGCGCCGTCGTGCTTCGTTAATGTTGTCAGTTCTGATTTTTTCAAGACCAAGATGGGAGCGAATACGGAGGCGGAGAATGAGGCGAATAAGATGAGTGTGCTTGGGAGGCAGGGTGATGTTAAGGAGATGAAGGGGTTGTATTTGTATTTGGCGAGTGATGCGAGTCGTTTTCAGACAGGGAGTGATGTGATTCTTGATGATGGGTATACTTTGCCTTAAGCTTGGTCAGGAGCACAAGGACAGTGATAGATAACTAGTAAATCAATTCATTCAACCTCAGCAACCAAAGTGTGAAGATCGTATACTTCAAAGACTTAGAAGACAAGCGAACCAACTGCTGCTCCAGTGGCAAAGGAACGGTAACCCATCAGAATTAAAAGGTTCATTGACTATATACTACATTAAACTGAGCAATCAAAAGGTAAAGACTGTATTCCATCCGAAACTTAGGAAAGGGAAAAGTTCACAATCATTGACGGCGCAGCGAATTCAACGTCCAGCTACTCGGATGTGATGTTACTTGTAGTCGAGTTGAAAACGGTCTTCCCTACGTAAATCTCGAGGTTGTCAATGTCGTAGGCAACGTAGGCGGAGCGGAGAAATGTATCGCCGAGAATGTAGGAAGAATCATAAGTCGGAGGGCCTGGAGCGAGGGGTACCATGCCCAATACGCAGACGATGTTGCCGTTTTGGTCAGTCACGGACCCCCCGTCGTTGGTGTCGGGCACAATGAGTTCATGAAACGGGACATTGACGTAGGTCGTACCGTTGTCAAAAGAGAAGGAGAAGATGTCATTGGATGTATCATCCGCAGAGTACTCAGAGAACATGTCACACGGAAAACCATTTCGCAGGTCAGAAGAAGTTAGACCGAGTACAGCCGCGATGTTGTCGACTATATCCGACGGAACCTGTGACAATTGGCTCCCGCTGTCCAACAAGACAGCAACGGGCAGACTTCCATTGGAAACTTCAGACGTAGAGCCATTGAGAGTTAGAGATACATCTGTAAGCATGATCTCATACCTCTCCACCTGCCCGCTGTCCGGGTTTACCAGCATCGGGAGAGGTCCGCTCAAGTAACCTTCAAATGTGTCGGTATCGATTCCTCCAAACAAAACCTCAGCTACTCCAGCATCGATGTCTCGGGATGGATTATCGAAGACTATACGGCGGGACACATATTCGACGTCGGGTCCGCAATCTCGAACCTCTCCGACTTCTTTTTCGATCCGAACGATACCCGAGCATTACTGTCGCCTCAAAGCCAACCTGGACACGTCACACAACGACAAATATGCTAATCCGGTCGGAAGACTGGCTTGGCAAGTCTCCCAGGAAGGTGGCGAAGGGGAGCCCTTCTACGTCGATCCGCACGGTTTCCAGCGTGGATTGGACATGTGGATCAACGCCGGTAAGGATGTTTACGCGGAGAAGTGGGATTCGTCAGAATGCGCGCTCGTGGACAATGGCGTGACGTTAAAGGATATGTGGAGGAAATGGAGGAACGGAGCCGACGGGCGTGGATGACGTTGATAATTCCTGTACAGGCAGAGATGTTTTGAAAAGCCTAAATAAGCGGTCGTCAAGCATCATCCGGTTCGCTCGCATCGGCAACTTCTTCAGAGACTCTACACTCGTATTCGCATTGCGTGCTGGGTTTCCCTTCGAGACAAGCAGTCCCTCTAGAGAGTCCAGTGCGTGCTTGTGTGGACATCGGTGCATCTCTTCCCTCCCAGCGACGTATCCTTGCGACCTCGCCTAACCAAGTCATATCGCACAATTGACTGTGCGAGTCACCATACACGGAGTGACAAAGTCAATCACGAACCTCGCAAATCGACTGTGGACCACGGCTACCCACCCCCGTCGTACATACGCGTCCACGGCATCCCTACTCCTCTCGCACAAGGAACCCACAAAATCGCATACACGATCGATGACGATAACGCCGGGACGAGTTGCCGCCCATGTACGATGCGCAAAACTCACCGACCTCCCATAAAGAAAAAGAATCATGCCGACTACGTACTATCCTCTGCCGAATCGCACTGTGCAACCGGACCCACGTCATGTCGGATCAAAGATTGACGCTTCCACCCCATAAAGTCGTAAAAGTTTCCGAGGATGCCTTGCGGAACGTGGTCAGGTGATATGCGATAACGGACTATCGTTCGTTGTTGGACTTCGTCGCTGTCGTCAGATCGGATCGTCAACAGCTGTTTGGAGAGCACGGATGCAGCCTCGCCATTTCTGAAGAAAAAGTAGGCGTGGAAGGGCTCCAAGCGGTTTCGCCGTAGAGCCACCTGCCCGTCGAAGATGTCTGTTGCGAGGCCGGTGTTCGATATGGCCGTGCGAATGATGCTGTACATTTCGCAGGCCAGATCCTCTTCGTTTTCATCACAAGCTGCTGTGCCGGGATCATTCTCTGTGATGCTCCTCGTTTGGCAAACGAACTCGAATACGACGAAGTCATCGCGCGCTCCTACGCTTTCCTTACTTCGAAGTTCGGGTTCTTCTCCTGCAACGAGGCAGCCTGCCTTCTCTGATTCTGCTGCCATACCGATGAAGTTTAATCGGCAGTCAGAATTGTCCTGAAAGACTGGCAACTTATCCCCGTTGTTCAACCATTGGCTCTCCGTTACGCACAGTTTCGCGGCGGCTTTCCAAGACGCATGACGTGCCATCTGATGCACTCGTTCCACACAGCAGACCAAAAGACTCGCACAGCGAGTGGGTTGAGTTCCGGATGACGGAGCAGTTACGACTACCGTAGAACACAATGATTGACCGTCGATCATTTCAGCCGAGACAGATATTACCGCGACTGCAGATATCAAGTGTCCTATGGATAGCGGGTAATTTAAAGGCATGTGGTAGGTGCTTTGGGTTTCACAAGGCACCATCGCGATATGAAGGGATCAGGCTAGAAGTAGACATCAATGCACCACGCTGTCGTAGAAATTGGGAACAGATAAATGAAAGAAGGACCGAATATGCTATCTCCCCTTACATACGACTTCTTCGCATGACGCTTGGCGAAACCCAAGGTCCGCTGTCTGAAGAGTGGGGGGTTCCTTTGTTGACCCGAGAGACGTTGTATAAGACCAATTTACGAAGTCGCTCTTCAATGCCTCATGGGTCACACACCTCAGTCTCTTCCTCAACTCCATAATCCTCTCCCGCATAAATCCACTCGTCATCCCCCCCTTCTCCTCCCCAAAACTGCACGAAATCCCCCCCCGCACAAAACCCTTCCTCATACCGCCAAATCAAACAACTTTCCCACCCCTATGTACATGTACATTCACTTCTTCTCTGGGGAGCTCAAGTCCTTCTTCTCACCAGACACCCTAGTCATACTGATCTCGCCTCCACGAGAACATGCAGCGTAGACAACATGCCCACACGGTTGGAGATTCCCTGGATTCAGCCCAACGGGATGTGCTATCTGTGGGTTCGAATGAGTGTCCGGCCTACACCCATAATGTCACAAAAAAGCCCAGGAAGACAGGAGAGAGGCAAGACGTACTCTTGGCCCTTTTCCTTCAATTCTCCCGAAGACATGGAGCTCGTCTGGCAGTGAATGCTATCGAATAAAAGGGATGGCGATTTTAATGGATGAGAAAATCTCCTTTGAAATGTCGATTTGGAGTGATTTAAGGTTGATGGTTGCCGTGGGCGGGGATCTCCGGCGCATGCGCTGCGATATGACGTTTTAGGGCTTCATTGTGCAGCTTGCATAATATAGGGATGAGTTAAGAAATAAATCAGTCCGTCCTGAAACGCCTGAACGAAAGATACCAACTACGCAACACGATCCGCGAAAGAGAGCATCGGATGTTACGGGTTGCTTGTAAGACTTGCAACTTACTTCTGATCCGTCTGTTCAGGCGCGCGAGACACCACGGTGCGGCATTCGGCAAGACCGAGTCAAACTAGCGGGATCAGTCGACGTTACTAGTTCCACCACCACTTTAGTATCGTGTGGCCAAGATTACAGAGTTGCCCTACACTGAAGTTGAAACACGGATACTGTGGCCAGGCTTTGATCCAGAGTAGGACAGAGTCATGACGACGTTTCCTGCGGGTTGTAGAGCTTAGCGTCTTTCCGTTTTTTTCGTGATCAAAACCGCTTCGCTTTCCAATTTTCTTTTTCACTTCACTTATCAACCACTCGAAGTATCCACTTCCACCTACTATCATCTACAAACCACTTCACCAAGCCATATCACTCTACATCCATCAGCAAAGAATGTTCTCCGTCATTTCCCACCCCATTACCGCCGCCAAGCCTGCCGCTTCAGCCGCTTTGACCACCGTCAGCGCACATCCCCACGCCGTGAGAAGTCAATCGAGCATCACTCATTCAAATTTGATGACTTTGATGTTGGAGCAATAGATAGGCAAATTGCTTCCACTTAATTGTTTGTCGTGTTTTGTACCGCCCTGTCTGCCCCGTTGCCCCCTTGCACTGCAAATATCCTATAATAACTCATTCACAATGCCTACACGCAATAGTATCGCCTCCTGACCTCAGAATAACGTGTCCCAAATCCTTACTGTCCTTGAACGTCTCCATGGGAATGCTATTACCCAAAAACGCGACCTCGACGTTTGCCGACTGTTCACTTGTAAGATATCTTGGCTTCTTCTTGACAACTTGTCCATCAGCTCTGTCAATGGTCGCGACAAGTGTAATGTTCCGCAGGAACGTCCGATCAGCACTCGATTGATCGGGCACTTCGGACAGTAGCTCAGCATTAGCCAAAATACCGTGTAAAGGACTTCTCAGATCGTGCGAGATGTTTGAAATGAACAAGTCCTTAGCTTGGTCGGCTTTGACAGCAGAACGTCGCATGAATTCATTCAAGATCACAGGGCCGAAGATACCAAAGCTATAAGCATCGTTGAGTGTGAGACGCCTAGAGTCCTCGACAGTGTAGCCAACAACCAAGCAAAACGGGTTTTGGTTGTGGTCGTAGACAGGCTTAAATACCACATTATACGTCGTGGAGGGCACAAATTCGAGAACCTCTGGCCGGAAACTATCATCACGTTGGAAACACTTGCCGTTACACCATCCTCAAATAAGCCGCGCAAAAAAGACGAAATGAGACTTCCTTCGTTGAATCTTGTTTCGGGGTGACCCGAGATATTCGGAGCAACTGATGCAGAGATCTTCATTCGGGACGCCGTTTGAGCTAGCATCCTCGTCGTTCTCCTTCTTTTTCACATTATCACGTATCTGCTGTTCGGCAATGGTCACACGTTGCTGTTGTCCAGCGGCTTCGACGGCGAAGAAAGGAGGTATCACATCTTGGGTCAGTTCCTCCGCATCTTGCTGCTCCACATTCGCAACACTCCTGCCCGACTGACTGACATTTTGCCACCTTGTGCCCATCTGCCTGCTAATGTTTTCCTGCGCTCCTAACTTCGCCTACTCGCGATGCTTAGGGTTTCGAAACTGTTTCCACGGATGTGCAGTGGCTCCATTCGCAGACTCTTCAGCTCCCTGGCGATTGGGCGACATTTCTAGGTCTTTGTGTCTGAGACCGACTTTGCAGTATTCTTGTCATTGGTGAATCGGATCTGCTGAAGGAGTATGGGCACGAGGAGGATTTGAAGCCGTTGTGAAGGGCTGCTCAAAGGGCGTGCAGACATTCCTCATGTCAGCAACCCCTGAGGACGACGTAAATCAGTTGTTGCAATACCAAGTCAACTGCGGCGAGGAAGGAAAGGGTTAGTGTGATGTGAGTGACGTGTTTTGGGAGGTTTCCGCGACAGGGTTTGGAGGTCGATGTGTGTCCGTGCGATACGTATCGTACGGTGTGAGTTGACTAAAGGGGTCAGCGACCGAGTAGTGCAGGCCCGGGTTCGATGCGGGTGCGGCGGTCCTTTAGGGTAATCGTTGGTGCGGTGGATATTGAAATGACATGTTCGGGCTTGAGCGGGATCCGAAGTGTGTGCAAGGATATGACCTGTCTATGCAGACGTCGCCCTTCATCCGCCTCTAATATTACTCCTCTGGATCGGCCCGCCTTCAAGCTCCACCACCGATAGGCAAGCACCAACCCCCGCATGCCAGTGTTCTCAAAGCCCATGTCTCTAACACAACTTTTGAAAGTACAATGACCGCAAGCACAGAGGGAGGTTGGCTTCAACATTTCGGGCTGCAGTTTTAGGCTGCCGTGCGCTAGCGGTACGTTGGGGCGAAGTTTAAATAACCTGATCTTCCACCCCTTCCGCGGTTTCGGTTCGGCAGTTCGCACCCGTACGGCTGGTCCACCCGAAGTCCAAGGTCGTATGGCGCAATTCCCAACACAGGTTCTTGGCGCAGCCTTCCCCATTTGGGGACTCCAGGCCCGGTGTACGTTCCTCATGGATCAATCCCTGAAGGAAGAGAATGCGGGAAGTGTCCATGTGGTCCATCTGGTTTACCTGGTAAAACAAACCTGTAAAAAGCAGAACCAAGCTGTAACTCCATATAACACATTCACACTGTCTCCGTCCATCTACTCATTATCAGTGTCCTCAGGCTTAGGCGTACCTGGCGCAGACGACAACCAAGCCAAGTGTCTCAACCTTCTACGCTCCTCCTGAGCCTTCTTCTCATTTCTAGTCATCTTCTTCCTCTTCTTCGCCTTACCAACGGCACCAGTCTTTGATTCCGCAGCCTTTCCATCGGTCTTCTCCAAGAACTTGGACTCGTCGATACCATCCTTGGTACGGGAAATGACCTTTCCGTTCTTGATAATCCACAGCTGGAGACACAACGCGCCGACGAACTCGGAAGAGTGGGAAATGATGACAACGCCACCAGCCCAGTCACGGATAGCGACGGCGAGACCACCAAGGGAGTCACGGTCCGAGTAGTTTGTAGGCTCGTCGAGAACCAACAAGTGGGGGTTATTCCACATAGCGGCAGCAATAACGACCTTGGCCTTCTGACCACCCGAAAGACCACGAATAGCGTTATGGTCGGCGATATCACCATCCAACCCAATCTCCTCAAAGTGCTTCCTAATAACCACAGGCGACAACTCACGGTATCCAAGACCCTCCTTGGACGCAAGGTAATCATTGAACCTCTGCACTATCTACCCTTCTCCCTAGGAACAAACAAATTGAACTTGTGTCCCATATTCTGCCACTTAACCTCATACTGGAACGTCTTCTTCAACTTCTGACGACCGATGATCATCTCAACCATACGCCTGTCCTCACCATTAGGAGTCTGGACAACGAACGGGGTATCCAACTGCGCCTTCTCCTCGTCGGTCAAAATACGAGAAGCCTTTTCCAAGACTTCACGGTCCTCACCTCCAGCGTAACGCCACTGGATGTACTGGTTGGGAGTGAGATCCATATGCTGCTCAACGTGGTGGAAAGCGTGCTGAGCGACGTATCCGACACGCAGGTTGGGATGCTTGTCAACGGTACCCTCCTGAGGAATAACGTCACCGGTCAAAACCTTGATAAGCGTAGACTTACCAGCTCCGTTGGCACCGATGACAGCGACACGGGAAGAGAGAGTGATAGTAGCAGAGACATCATCTAAAGACTTCTTCGCGGCTCCGGGGTAGGTAAAGTGACAACGCGTCATCCTCATAATCGCCTTCGTGTTCGACTTAATCCCACTCAAAATCCCAGGCGGAGGAAACTTGAACTTAACGTTACTAGCATCCAACTTATGACAATTCTTCGTCTCGGGACGGAGATCAACGAAAGTCGAAAGGTTACCCATGTAATAAGCCAACTTCTTGCGCTCGTAATGGACGATGTCCTTACAGACGTTATCCAAGAACTTGGAGTCGTGGGAGACGATCATGGATGTCATGTGCTCTTGAGAGGTAAGGTAGGACTCGAGCCATGCGATGTTGGTGATGTCCAAGTGGTTAGTGGGTTCGTCCAACAACAACACATCGACGTTCATCAACATCGCCCGAGCAAGAGACAACTTCATCCTCCATCCACCAGACAAACTGCTAACAGGCGCAGCTTGGCGCTCAGGCGTGAACCCGGCCTCGAGGAGAGCAGCGGCGGTTCGCTCCTTGGTTATACCGAGCTTAACCAATTCCTTATCCTCGGCGACGAAGTCGAGGATGGGAGAAGTAGACTCAGACCCCTGCAAATTATGCTCAACGAAACACGTCCTAACTTTCCCAGGACTCGGGAACCCCTCCAACTTGCCCGTGGCGATCGCACGCATGAGCGTACTCTTACCCGCACCGTTGTGCGCAACGATACCATACCTCCTACCACGGTAGAGACGAAGATGGGTGTGGTTAAGCAACATCATCCCACCATACGCGAGGGAGAAACCAACATCAACGATCTTCTCACCAGTCTCATCGTCGTCGAACTCGTTCGGATGAGCCTTTTTGTATTCTTCAAGGTAGTGGTTAACCATATCCCAACCCAGCTCGATCGACATTTTGGGCGTGCCCAAGACCGGAGCCATGTATGGGACGACGTAGACCCCAGTCCAAGTCAAAGTAGACAAACGGTCATTGTTGACCATCTGCTCCAAGATGAGACAGAGGGTCTGGTAGAGGATACCAGAGACGTTGTCAGTAGGGGCTTCCATCCCAACTTCTTAACGACGAAGCCCTCGAGGACGGTATGGATATGCTGGGGAGTAGTCTCATGCGAGACATCGGCGGCCTTGGCCTCGGCACCGGCAGCAACCATGGTGTTGTAAGCCTTAGTAGCGAGCGCACAGACCTGGGGCATAGAAGCAACCTTGACAACACGCTCCTGCACAAGGGGAATCAACTCCGGCTAGAAGCGAGCCGCGTCAAAGGGGTCCTTGACCAAACGACACAAGTTGTCAGCAACGATGACGGTCTGACGCAAAACCTCCTGACTCCGTTCATTAAGCGCACGAACCAAGATGGGAACGAGGATAGCGAGGACATGGGCATTGACCTCCGCAACGAAAGCCTGTGCGGACAAAGCCTTGATACAGGCGGGGACCTGGGTAGGATTCGCCATACACTCCACAATCAATGGCAAATGAGGCTTAATATCCAAGTTCTCCGCCGTAGCCAACAACCCCCGCATACAAGTAATCGCAGTCTCAGACGCCTCAGCCTTCGTATCGTGCATACACAATTGCACAGCGGGGATCAACTCGACCAAATGCTCCGTAACCTGCTCCTTGCTGATCTTGGGGAACTTGGCCAAAACCCCCAGCGCGGCGATTTTGGATTGCCATTTGGGGTCGGTGTTGAAGTAGTCTCGGATTGCGGGCCAAACCGCTACGCCGAGCTCTTCGGGGCGGAAGTTGGAGCACAAGGCTTCGAGGGCGCATGCGGCTGCGTCGCGGACGACTTGTCCTTTGTCCGCGTGGGTATCGAATAGGGAGGTATTGGAGGAAAAATGGGGTAGCCGGGATCTCAGGGTGTTTGGAGAGCGCGTCAAAGAGACGGTAGTATCCAATCAATGCGGACTCGCGCTTGATTCCGTCCTTTTTGTTTTGCGCATTTTGTTGGAGGTTCGCGAGGACGCCTGAATAGATGAGATTTCTGAGCGTCGCAGCAGGTGAGGGGGGGTGGCATTCAAAAGTCCCTCAGCGAGCTGGTCTGCAACGTGGAGACAGTCATCGGAGGTCTCGGCGATGTAAAGCTGAGCGAGGAGGTCCTCGATTGTGCCTGTAGGAGCAACCATTGAAAAAGACTGAATAAAAATGACCACCTAAAGGAACCTCGAGCCTGCGAAACAACCTTGATTTGCTCGTAGACAGCGATGAGTGGAGAGGGGTGTGGTTGAGTACGGGAAACGACCGACGTTATACGACGTCACAGCTGGGGTGAGCCGATTGTGCCTTATCGATTCGCCTGCGGGAGGCGCGGCACGTAGGTCCACCCAAAGCATGCGAAGAAGTCGGCCCGAATCAATTGCCTCCGCTTGCACGGTTTGTCTTGCAAATGGACCGTCTTTTGGCTCGTTTGAATTTGAAAGATCGTAGGACTTGTAGGGAATGTCACGGGCTCGGGCCCGCTGGTAACGGCTTCACTTTCACGTAACCGGCATTGAACATGACATCCTGTGAAGGGCCTGGAAGATAACACCGGTAGATAGAGCTGCTGAATACGAACACTTTGACTCCAGACTCGGCAGCCTTGTCTCATGTAACCATGTTCGTTCCTTGCTGAAAACTCTGTGATTTCATGGGGGGATCCATTCTCCGGCATCGCGCGCGTTTCTCCACACAGCTGCAACGGACTCGACGTACGACAGACCCCGTACAGGATGACAACGTCCTAACTAACAGGACTAACAGGATCCTGGAACCAACCAGTTAGTACCGACGTTGAGTGTCAATCTTGCGTGCGTGCCTCAATTCTAGTGACGTCGAGTTTGACGTTGCCTACCACTTGGTACTAGGGACTCAACGTCGTTTTCGACCACTAGGTTCTCAATGCTGATTGGTCGAGCGACAGCCCACTAATGGACGGCACCGCAACGCTTCACCCTACTGCCAACCGCGATTCTACTACGGCTACGTCTACGGACGCGTCTCTACAGCCTCCCTACGTCTCCGCGCCCTCTACTACAACTACGATGACGCAGACGACCACTTCGTTCTTGCCCGAGACGGCGCACAGTTTCAACCATCCGCGCTCGGCTTGGGATTGCTCGCACAGCCTTAGGCTTAGATTTACTTAGGGTTGGGTTTACGCACAGTGAGTGAGATGCCCATCTGGATCTCGGCCTCGTCTCTTCGGCATCCTCCCAGCTGTTCGTGGACGGTTCCGCGTCGTTCCGGTGCAAGTGCGGCTTCTCCACCACTAGGCAAAGGGAGCAATCATGTCAAGACCGTCTGTCAGTCCCAGGGCGTTGGCATCACCGGATCGCCAGAGAATTGGAAGTTCAAGTGCGACTGTGGACGGTATGAGAGCGCGGACGGCTGGAATTTTTCTCAGACATTACGACGATTGCCATCAACCAACTACCGCGTCTTAATAGCCCCCCAGGTTATCATAGCCCGCTTCGCACTGGGTCCTCCCCAACCCTTCCTTGCCTGGTTCGCCAGCGTTGCCCAGAAAGCCTCCCCTTTCGTGTTCCCAACTTCGTACGAAATCCCCGGTCCTCGACGGCAAATCCGCCATCCTACGATTCGAAAACGATGGCCCCCATGACCAGTCTCCCACTCAGATGTCATGACCGTCGTCGAAAACGCAGCGCGCACCGTGAGCAACCACAAGAAAAGGACCCAGATTCTTTTGCGCGACGTCAACGATCCTTCGGATATTTCTCCCTGGTTGAACTTCCGTCGTTGGAAGGAACACTTTGGCAGACATGGAGGAGATCTCCGACTGTGGTATGGGAAGATGGTGTATATTCACACCAGACGAGATGCCCTGGTCAACTCGCTCCGTCCAGCCGTGAAGAACATCTTCACCGCGTGCGAGGACGTCGTGGGCACGCAGCAGCGATCTTTCCTGGAGCATCTCAACAGCCCCAACTCCGAGGAGACGAACCTGAAGCCCTTCACCGTGCGACCCGATCGGGGTACAATGATGAAATACAGGAATCAGTGGCTGCAGTTGTTGGTTTACCTGATCAAGTCCATGGAAGGAGACGCGGAAGCCGATTCCTTGGATCCCGATGGAAAGGAACGTCGCACCCAACAATTGATCGCAGACATCAGCGAGACATTAGTTGGCCTGCCCCTTCCCATCCACGACGAATTCGCATAAACTTTGCCGCAGCGCTGGGCATAGCCTCTACTAAGGACGTTTTTCTCAATGTCAGCTTCTTGACCGAAAATCATGCGACCTGGTCCGACAACCTTGTCATATGCCTTCGGCTGTGTTTGAAGTAAATTCGCCCTGCAGCCAGAAAGATCGGCCTTGCGAGTGAAACGGCAGGCTGGGTTATCGTCTAAGCTGCCCATGCGTCTCCTACCAGTCCCAACATGCGCGTAACGCCTGGAATGCTGTTGGGCTTGACGTGGTTTACCCTTTTCGATGTCGCTTTCGAATTCTTGGTCCCGATCAGGACCGGTGGCCTTAGTCGAAATTAGCGGCAGAGGTTCAGCGACGCAGGACTGCCCAGGTTTGGACATTCCATACTGTTGCAGGAAGTCTTCGCGTGGTGGACATTGCCGGGCGCTAGGAGCGATGACGGAAAGGCTCGAAGACGCACGGCAAGGTTGACAACTTTCAATGCCATCTCATGAATGAGTTATCGCGGCTGATCACTGAGCTCCTTGATTGCTTTCGGGTACGGTGCTTGCATATGCTCTTGCTCCTTGACGCGCTGTTGGAGCTGCCCTCTTGATTAGGTACGTTTGGACAGTAGCACGGAGCGCGCGGCCAAAGTCGATTCAGCAAAACGAGAGAAAATGTGCATGAGCTAAAGCTGAGATTGAGATTAAATTTGTAGTTGTCGCAGAATGTCAGCGATGGTGATGCTTAGGCGAATGGAGTGAGCGAAAATGGATGAGCTGAGCCTGAGTACAAGAATAGCAGGAGAGATAGTACGTCACGCCGGGAAAGAGGCCCGCTTCTGCCACGCCGAGGAAGAACCGTGCGGCACGGAGTCCGGAGAAGTTTTGGACGAGACCCATGAGGGTCATGCACGTGCCCCAACAGAGCATGATCCCGGAAATCCAGATACTCGGTCGCAAGCGCTTCAGGAGGATATTGGAAGGTACTTCGAAGAGGGCGTAAGGGAAGAAGAATGCGGTGAGGGTGCAGAGGTATTGTTGGTCGATCATGTGCAGATCTTTGTCCAAGCCGTCGATTTTCGCGTTACCGATGTTCGCGCGATCGAGAAACGAGAGGAGGTAGAGGAAGGACAGGTAGGGGATTAGACACCAGTCGATTTTGCGGAGGAGAGCCCGGTCTGCGGCGGGGTCGGCTAGGGCTGGATCAACGGGAAGGTCGAGGTGGCCATGTTTGAGAGAGGGAGAGTCGGGTGGGGCGGCGTATGTGCCTTTCTCGGGATCGAGGCTTTCGAGGTGAATGACTTGGTTTTTGTCGAAGTCTGACATCTTCGTTTGCATGCAGCTTCAAATCGAGGAGGGACAACTACAAAAGACGTGGACCAGTCCACCTTTATAGCACAGCCTAATGCGAGGACGGACGAGGTGGATTGACCGATCGCGACGCTAAACTGCGGGTGCGGCGGGGAAGGCAACTGCGGCTACTTGTCTGGGGAAATGGCCCCCAACGTTAGATGCATAAACGGACTTCATTCCCGTGCCTGTGGCAGTCGCAGTCGGAGTCCGACTGTGCGTTTGAGTGTGAATGTGAAAAAGATGGCAACCCAGACTTCCTACGCCGCGAGGTATATAATGCCAAGCGAGACATCAAAACGGCAAAACTTGGGGGACGCACACCAATTGTTGCCTTGTTGGATAACCTTCAAGAAGAGGGTCTGCCATTCCGTCACAGAGTGGACGATGAGAATCACGTCACTGGTCTTATCTTCACTCATCCTCGATCGGTTAGTTTCACCAAGCGCTTTCGAACTGTGTTGGTCATGGACTGCACCTACAAAACCAACAAGTTCCAGATGCCACTCCTCCACATTGTTGGGATGACTTGGTGCAACACTCCCTTCACCTCTGCCTTGTGCTTATTCTCCACGGAAACTCGGGAGGACTATCTCTGGGCACTGCGCATGTACTCGGATCTTATGGGTGGTTTTTCACCTCATGTCATTGTCACAGACCGAGAACTCGCTCTTATGAATGCCAACGATGAAGTGTTTCCCAATGCTGCAAAGTTGTTGTGTCGCTGGCATATTGAGAAAAATGTGCTCACAAACCGCAAGGGTGTCTTTCCAACCAATGAGGACTGGGTTGATTTCCTCAAGACAGTGCAACGTCTCATGAACTCGTCTACAGAGGCATTGTTTGAGCAGAACCTGGAGAGTTTACTGTATGAGTATGAAAGGTCACTGCTTACATCCATACTGCCCTCCCCTACTAAACTTACTTCGTCTCAGCCTGGGTTGATGCTGTTACTCACCTTGGTTCCTCGGTGACATCTCGAGCTGAAGGTGCCCACAAATGTCTCAAGGGTCACATTCAGGTCAGCACGGGTAACCTCCTTACTGTCGTCAATCGATCTCGTTCATCCATGGAGGAACAATACCAAGAGATCCTGGGCCAGGTTGCTAAGGAGAAGACAAGTGCTGCGACTTCTTTAACAGCTCCTTTCTTTGCCGATGTCAAGTTCAAGGTTTCTGCCTTGGCGCTGAGCATGATCGAGCAACAATACATCCTTGCACGTCGGGAGTTGGCCACCGAGTTCAGGTTGCCCACATGTCGGGGTTACATGAAGCGGGTTTTTGGTCTACCCTGCGCCCATGCCAGCATCGAGGCATTGGAGGGAGATCGTGTTCTCTCTATTAACGATGTACATAAGCAGTGGCATTTTGTCCTCGACGGGAACTACATTGGGGGACCTGCAACTGCTGAAGCCAACCAACAAATTCGTGATCCTCAAGTCTTCAACGCTAGAGGACGCCCGAGAGGCTCTCAAAACTGCCAACCAGCCATACCACAAAGCTCAACTCAGTGAGATCCCAGTGCCTTTGAGATCGTTCAGGCCCCAGCAAGGCTCTGTGGTTTATGCAGGCGCCCCGGGCATGATCGGAGGGCATGTGAGCTTCGTGGAACCCAAACACCAAGCCAGACTCAGCATCCTATTGCTCCAGTGAATGGTGGGCCATCTCGACCTTGGTTTGTACCGTCCTATGATCCCCTCCAAGCTGCTCCGGTGCAATATCAGTTTTATGGCCCTCCCCCCGGGGCGCCGTGGAATTATTTTGCTGGGTATGGGCACTGAGGAGTCCGTGGGAGTGTTCTGGCTTTCTTTTTGTACATACTGCTAATGTAAATAATATTATCTTGTCTTGTTCTGCTCTGATCTCTCCAATTTGGCCGGCTGCAGCGCGGTATCCGGGCGCGGTATCCGGGCGCGGTATCCGGGCGCGGGGGTGTGGCACGAAGAAACGGGGGTGTGGCACGATCAGGACCCTATATTTACCCCAAGACGAAGAGGGATAAAAGAAGCAAGGTTGCCGATGAGAAACCTGAGTGTATGAAATGCCAGAGACAAAACAAGACTAGACTAATTTTCCCTATGGCGGGTCTGGCACGACTTGTTTCGCTCCTATTGCTTGCGGCTCTCCCTCTCCTGACATGACTTGTGGAGGAACGCAGCGGTACATCTGTGGGGCTGGATATTACTGTTCTCAGTCCGGTTGGTGTAGTAATAGCAAGGCATTCTACGTCTTTGGTGCTTTGAACTTTGCGTGGACATTCGTCGTGTACTTCTTCCCCCAGACTGCTCAGCGTTCTTTGGAATCGATCGAGATTTTATGTTCATGTCTGTATGCGCATGTCCACTTGCTGGAGCCGCTACCTCAACTGCCGTCGTTGCAGGCATATTCGCAATCGCAACCGTCGAAGCGACCTCCGCCACGATCGAAGAGTGATGGGAATGAAGGGCATTGATAGAAACTGATGATTTTTCCTCATCACTTCCATGCTCATGTACCAGAGAAAGGCTGGCGATGAAGCCGAGTGTGGCCGGTATGTATGCTGCGGCGCGCATCTCGACTGTTTGCCAGCAGGCCAAGGCTACCCCAGCGCCTGTCAGTGACAAGACCGAGTTGCCTACTAACGTTGAAGCCATCCGCTGGTTTCCTGTCGAGTGACTTAGCGTGAGAAGGTCATCGATCTTTCGCCGTAATCTCAAACTTGGCGTACAACATAAGCTGTGACAGATAACACCACAAGGAACTCATGGGTGTGTGAATCTGATTTGGCATGCCTTGATTAGAGCTCAGACATCAATAACTACTGAGTATTTGACAATGATTCAGCGACTGTCTCAAGGCCGTTTGTTCTGCGGACTCTAGCGTACTATTATTCGGTCAGTCCTAATCATGATGATGAGTTTGTTGGAGACAGAATGTTGGGAATTGGAGACTCGTGATGAATTGCGAATTGTCCATGTGGGACGTGACCTATTGGTCTGAAGACATGTTGGGTCATGAATCTAAATTATGCATGCGACTTGGCTAACGTACGGATCTTGCAGGCCGTCTGAGACGAAATTATACGCGGGCCGAACATCACCTTAGTCAGTGCGAGCTTGGCCGATGCCGAAGCAACTCATGCCCCTTCTTCGGCCGATATTAATGTCAACCGTTGATCAAGGCCTTGACTGGTGACATCATTCCCCAAGAGGGTATCGTATCCTGAGCAGCGTATGGGTTTGACTCCGAAGCGGGGCATCCTGTGGCGGTATGTCGGTGGTGATGATCGTAAGGTTCTCGAAAACGCGTGACTGTCACGCAGCTTGACTTCATAATAAAATGCCTGTCGTCATGACGTCTCTCCAGAGCATGTTTTGCTATCTTTGATATTGATATCCAACCTCCGGGAGTGAGATTGCTATGTAATATTGAGTAATATATCTTTAGACCATAACGCCACGGTTTTACATTCACTCCTGGTCTCTGCCGTCCTTTCCGACTCTTTCCTTCCACTCGAGACCTCCAGCTGACCCTCTCTTCTGTCTTTCGTCCCGGAATGTACTCGTCCTCCTCGTAATCCCCTCCCTTCTCTCTATGCGCCGCAGCAAATACGCATCGCGGCCATCGCCCTCGGCAATCGCCGAGCCCGGCATGTTGTCATCCTCATGACTCGGCTCATCCACTTCTCTGCCTTCCTCCATAGTCACCTCGCGGACCGTTCGAAGATTCCCAGATCTAGTAAGGTTCGGTTGACCGTGGGTGCCGCCGACGGACTCCATGGTGAATGCAGACGCGGTGGGCGCATCGAGGATGGCAAGTTCTTCTGCGGTGAAGAACCGCGGGAAGACCAAGGTGCGAACCGGGATTAGGATCATGATGATCAATGGGAAGCCGATCGCCGCGATGGTCTGTGTAATAGCAAAGGTTCCGGCGAAACCCAGCAACATGAACCCGACAAAAGCGTAAACCGCGATCTTGCGACATCGGTTCAACGGCTCCGACTTGGACGTAAGGGAGCGCTCGCGAAAGAGATAAACGAGTTTCAAGGTGAGCCCATTCTCTTCGAGTGCGTAGATGCCCATGACCCAAAACAGCCCCGCCAACACGGCTTGCGGGATGAGTCCCAGGACAACGAGCAACGGTCCGGACATACACCCCAACGTTAAAAGCCCCTGCGCCAGGTTACTCACCCGCTGCTCTACAACATGATCGATCACACTGATCTGTCTGTCTTCTCCATTCTCTGCCGAAGCTTTCTCGTCAATGACCCGTTTCGTGACGCACAGTGCTGCGGTGTGGAAGGGCGCTTGTGGGATGAGACCGTTAGGAGCGGGAAGGCCTAGGATACCAGAGACGAAGGTGGTCACGCCAAGAAGGAAGAAGTCCCAGTGGAAGGCGGCGGGCTTCCGGAGGGGAAATTCGGAGCCTTGAGCGATGAGAGACTGTACGTCACTGACTTGCAATAATACCAAGGAGAGCGGCAACTTGCTCGGTTGAGGCCTTGATTAGATGTATGTCAGGCTTCTTGGTCTCCAAGAGGTAGGGTTTAAGGTCAAAAACTCACAACAAATATGTGCAGCATCGTAGCCAGATGATGGTTAGCACGGGCGATCCCGTGTTTCATGAGATAGCGATCGAGGATCTCACAAAATTTTCCAAATTCCTCGCACAAGCTCAACTCAGCAGACTTTGAATCCAGCATCTTACCGATCATACCCTCCACCGAGAGTTTGGATAAATCAGTTTGACGAGACGATCGGCGATTTCGAAACCCTCCAGGGCCAGCTCAGGCTCCGATCGATTTGTCTCCTGGGACTTAGTCCAGGTGGGTTTCAAGGCGGCCGCAAAATACTCGGATGAGGAGGTCAAGAGCGCGCTGTGCACTTTAACGAAGCCGGAGATGAAAGTCAACTTGGCATCAGGAGCCGGCGTGACTTGCTCAATGAACTGCTTGAATTTGAGCACAAACAACGGCTGAAATGGCTCTGAAACTTGCCTCGACAGTTATTTCACCATTGGCACCCACCTGAGGCCTTTCTGGACTGAATAGAAGCTCTTCACTGAGTTCCATCACGCCTGTAGGTTCATGTCATAGACGTTGTTCGGTCCATCTGATATCTTATTTACGGAGCACAGGTCACCATGGATGTAAGCACTTGAGCGAAGCCCGTGACGAGTATACAGCTACCATATTCGTGACTGACTTGAGATGAGCTTTCTCGCTTGTGAAGTGGCAAAAATCAGCACATATTATGTATATCATTTGGGTTAGCCCTAATTGCACCGGTAACTTCAGTCAATCTGCCCGTAAGCCAGTCATTGTGGTGGTGGACCGAAGAAATATGAAAACCACCCAATTCCTGGCCTACGGAGAGTGATTATCCCCAAATGCCGTTCCAGCACTACTCATGGTATTGCGGTACAAGTTTCAGCAAGTTTTAGCGGAGTGGTGAGTTCAAGACATCGAAATCGGCTTCATGAAACCCCGCTGCGATGTTGACCGCCCGTTTGTTCGGCTGACATGCAACAGTTAAGCATCCCGTGAACTTCGGACCCGGGCTGCACTGATCGCATAGGGCTTCTATGAGATGATCTTTGATTTTCAAAAACATCTGAATGATACCGTCAGAATAGAGCACATGCATGGTACTCAGTATAATTGGGATCACGTCGGATGCTGAACGCAGGAGCTGTTTGTAAGGCTTGCCGAGCGATTGCAAAGCACCCCAATGGAGAGCGGCGTGACGCACGATCCCCTCGGTGCTGCAAGGTAGATCGTAACGTCCAATCGTATGTAAAAGAACCGCTACTTGCCAAGTCGACGCCTCAATGACATCCATGTCAGAAAAAGACGAACCAAATGAATACCAGGTTGACACTCACGACATAAACGTACAATTCAGAAGCCAGGACATGCGAGCAATCCAAGGCTTGAGCAGGTAGCGATCCAGCATCTTACAAAACCAGTCCAACTCCTTGCAAAACGACTTTTCGGCTTCAGACGCGAGTGTTGCCTTTATCATTGCCTCTACTGAAAAGCCCGAGTTGATGTAGATCACTTTGGTCAATGCCTCTGCGGTTCTTTCGTCCTCCACGGCGACCTCGCAAAGTATCCCTCGACCGGGTTCGCTCCAGGCGGGTTTCAGAGCGGCAGCGAAGAACGCGGAGGCCGTGGTCAGAAGGATACTGTGTACAGTCACGAAACCGCCATCGAAGGTTAACTTGAGGTCGGGTGTAGGCGTTGCAGGAATGAACTGTGACTGTTCAGCACACCTTGAAACGTCACTCGTCACGAGTATACACTTGCCTCGAAGTTCAATTCAGTCTTATCACCAGCCTTTACCAAGGACAGCTCTTCGTTAGACTCCATTGTGTTTAGGGTTGGAACGTTTACGACTGATCCTCCTGATGTTCTTCCTCTTCCAACTGTACATTACAAGACTCCTCAAGAACATCATCAACATTCATCTCGGACTCAGAAACAACGCTGATCTCCGTCTCCATCCTCTTCCTTGAGGAAAAGCGGACAGGCATGCCAATTGCGATAGAGGTGAGTCTTCCCATGATGAGGGGAGCAGGGTTTCTCATGTGTTGCTCGTCCTCCACGTCCGCATCCGTATCCTCTTCTGCATCGCCGTCTTCGTTACAGGTCTCTTCGCCCGTAACCTCAAGACTCGTGGGCCTAGCAGGAACCCCGAATTTCTTAGACACCATCTCAGGTCTCCTTCGTCTTCTTCCTCCCCTTATGAGGGAGGGACCCTCGTGGGTTTCACCCAGCTCACACGAGATCTGACCAGGCGCCGTGAGGCGGACTTCCGGCTTATCCCTCAGTATGAGGAAGCGTCCAAACTTAACTCTCCGGTTTTTGGCGAACATGAGAAACGAGATTCGATCCCCGATGCACGGTATGCTGTCCACGAACACCCTCCTGGCGGATGCTTCCTTGGGTACAGAGCAGCGAGACTTGGTAGCAATTATGGAAGACTCACCATCGATCCTATTGCAAGTTAATAATTATATTCCGGACTGCTCCAAACCGTCATCCGGAATGTTTACGACGAGTAAGAGCGATATGAGCAGGTCCACAGAGTCAGTACGTCATAGGTGCGACTCTTATCCTTGTATTGGCTTTCCGTCCATGCATGCCCATGTATGCCCCAGTATGCTCATTGCCCACTCGGCTAGGGCGGGAAGCTCAAAGTGCAGTCAAGTCTAGTCCTCACAATAGTCTTGGGCTTGCTCCTTTCATAGGAGGGTCTAGCGAGACGCCGAATTCGGGACTGCCTTGGCGTATTCAACAACTAAAATGTCCCCGCGCTTTTTTATGCGCCACATTACTCCAACACATCCGCACAATATTCTTCCTCCTTCCGACCCCATTTGCAGTTATCCTCATCGAAATAGCGTTCCAGCAAAGATGACGTCGGAGGCACCAACCTTGGTGAATACCCCCATGGCTGCTACACCTCGGCCGAGCGCGTCAACGACGCCTAGTCTGCTACAGCCGTCAGAACATCCGCCGCCGAATCGCCGTTCGAACAGAGCTTCTGCCCGACCTCCGGCAGAAAGAAGTATATGGGACCGATTGGGAATCCATCCGTTGCGCGGGATAATCACGGATACCAAGAGACGTGTGCCGTATTACTGGAGCGACTGGACAGATGCATGGGATTATCATGTGGTCCCGGCCACGATCTTCATTTTCTTCGCGAAGTGCGTACATCACACGCTCCCCTGCCCCTCGGTCCGTAATCTTATAGCGTAGCATTCTACCCGCCCTCGCATTCTCCTTCGACATGTACGTCCGCACCGACCGCTCCTATGGCGTGAACGAAGTCCTTCTCGCCTCCGTCCTCGGTGCCGGAGTCTTCTCCATTTTGGGCGGCCAGCCTCTCACTATCGTCGGCGTTACCGGTCCCATCACCGTGTTTAACTATACTATTTATAACATCATCACGCCGAATGGAATCGCGTTCTTTCCATTCATGGCGTGCGTGTGCATTTGGAGCGCGATCATGCACTGAATATTGGCGGTCACGAATGCGTGTAATGGCCTGAAGTATGTTACGAGGTTTAGCTGTGATACCTCCGGTTTCTACGTCGCTTTGGTTTACATTCAGAAGGGCGTTCAGGTAACACCCCATCTGCTCCTTTCCGAGCTTAGCTGAGGTTTGGTCAGGTCATCACCGACCAATACGAATCCGGTCCTATTGATCCCTCAGCGTACCTCTCCATAGTCATCGCTCTCCTCGTTACCGTTTTCGGGTACTTCTGCAACCTCATCGGCCGCTCTCCTCTCTTCTGGCGTTTCTTCCGTATATTTGTCAGCGACTATGGAATCTCGCTCACGGTCATCTTTTTTACGGGCTTTCCACATATCGGTCATATGCGCGCGGTGGGATTGCAGAGGCTTCCGACGAACGAAGCGTTCGGCACCACGTCGGGAAGAGACTGGCTTGTGCATTTTTGGGAGATCGATGCTGGGCATGTGTTCCTCGCCATCCCGTTCGGATTCCTTTTGACCGTCCTCTTCTACTTTGACCACAACGTCTCGGTAAATTGGCTGCATGAATTCCCTGATTTCTCTCTGCAGAATCCAGCGGCTGCTATACACTGGGTGTCTTGAAAGACGTACCTCATTTCAGTCACGTTCGAGCCGCGAGGGAGACTAATCCAGAAGTAAGCCAGTCGAACTCCAACTGAAACATCGATATGTGCCGAGTGGATCTAATCGTTGCGCACAGGTGATTCTCCAGATTCAAGATATCCTCATGGAGGGTATGATCAAGGAACTGGCATCGACTGGTGGTCCTTGGAGGGCTGTCACTGCTGTATGCCAGCCTACCCGCTCTGCCATGATCAGCAGCTATAGCCACCGGACTTCCACCTATGGGTCGTCTGCCAAGGACGCCGTCGATAACTCGACTTTCCGCAAACACTTGCTGAGCTTCGCCCCGCAATACAAGGAGTAATTCACCTTTCTCTTTAGGCCAAGAATTGAGTGATTGTCGTGCGTTCACCACTGCAATGACTGGCTTACAGAACAAAGGCGTATAGGCTTCGCGTGAGTGCCCTGAAGGAGGGTGAGCGTATTGATTAGCAGTTTCTATATCCGTTCTGTGGTGGGGTTCTGACGTATAACACAAGAACCTGTGCTTTCTCCGCCAAATATATGAGTTACAATTCTCCGTTCTTGCCGCACATCCAAATGCTTCTCGTGCTCCGGCTCCTCATCAACATCCAACGATATCTCAACCTCGAGCTCACTCCTCTTCCTGTACTTCACCCCCATTGCCATAGCCGTTTCATTCCATGAACCGTTGTTCATCATCAGCTGCTGTGGTACAGAAAACGCTGTACAACACTTCAATCTAGACATTCCCACGCTTTCGCGCCCGACGACCGCCAGGAACCCGATGAACCTCACTAGTATAGGAGACCGAGAGGTTAAATAATTTGTTATCGCAAAGACGTTAATTCCGGAATAAAAGTCATATAGGATAAATCTCCAACCCACAACTCTTCCGTGTATGATGACTGTGCTCACTTATACCGCAGCTATACTGTTCAATGCCACCATGAACGACGAGATCCTGCAGTGACCGACTTCAAATTAGCTCCAGCCGTGCCGATGTCACCTTAACATCACCTTTAACACCCGTGCCCATGCTCGTAGCCATGCCCAGGCTATATGACCTACTCGTACCCCTACTACCGCTCCTCATGACTTGCGCGGGGACCGGGACGGATCGTCTCAGCACTCCCAGCACTCTGCATCATCGTCGTACTACTCATCGTCGCACTACTCATCGTCCCACTACCACTGGTCCTACTACCCATACCGGGACTTTGCACTCCCTGCATAGTCCGTCCGATCCCCTCTGCGTTGCCTTGATCTATTCGTTGTTCTGGTCCTTGGCCAGCGGGTCCGGCGCCTGATCTGCTGGTTGTCGGAGGGAGGTTCAAATTGACATTCAGGTTCGCGGAAGATTGTGACTGCGTCCGTACCGGCCTTTCTTGAATATGAGGCTGCGGTTGTGAATACCGACGTTGATGTGAAGAATGAGGATGCGACGGCGCAGGCGGCGCCCACTGGACTTGTCCCGTCCAAGCCGGATTCCCCATCCCCATGTTCATACCCATCGCCATATTCATAGCTTGAGGTCCTGATCCGTGGCCCTGGGTTTGATATGATCCAGGATACGGGACCTGCTGATACGGCCACGGTGGACCACCCTGGCCGTATTTGTGACCTGGATCGAAGGGGAAGGCACTGGGGGAGTAAGCACCATGGAGAACGTTCGGGACTGCGCGCGGCGGGCCCTCTCCTCCTCCTCCTCCTCCTCCTGGCGGAGAGCCACCGTGGTGGTGGATACTCGAGTACGGCGGTAATGTCGGGATCAGGGATGGTTGGATGCGTACTGGGCTACCGAGCGGTACTTGCGGGATTGGCGGAGGGAGGTGACGACCGCGAGCATCAGCGAACCCGCCCGTTGTCGTAGTTGGCGTGGTGGCTGTCATAGAGGACGCGGGCGTAGGGTCTATTCGTGCTGGTGCGGGAACATGAGGAAGGTGTGTGTTGGGTTGCGAACGGTGATAGGGGGTGTAGCCAGGGGTGGTGGCAGATGCGATGGGTGCGGAGGAGGCAGAGGTCGTTGACGAAGGCATACTTGGGCGTGTTTGAGATGGGGTGTACAGATTGGATTGAGAGAGGCTGAGGTCGCTTTGTGAGTGACGTTCCTGCCCGGCTGAGCCGTCCGGTGTGCGGAAGGGCCAGGCGGATCCCTCGTCTCTGCCAGAGTCACTTCTCTGCACCTTCCTTTTCGGCGACGAAGGTTGAGCGAAGGGTCTTCCCTCGTTATCCGCCATTTCCCTATCCCTGTCCATGAAGGCATTCCCGCTCCTCCCCTCCCTCGTTCGATCTCTCAACCCACCTTCTGCGATTGCCCGTCTCAAGTCCTGCACGATCCTCAAACACCTCCTCGCACTCTCCTGTGTCCTCCCGATACGCTCATAGAGACGTGTACACTTCTCGACACAAGCATGGAGCTCATCTTTGCGTTCACGGTCCGGATCGATGACAAGAGCGGCGACGAGGACGACTGCGGCGGACATGAGGTAGAAGCAAATCACCCACCACGCCGAGCTCGTCATCACCAAACTCGCCGCAGCCTCCGCTTCCCGCTCGGGTACAACACCCGTTGCTCCACTCTCCGCAAATGCCGCAGCATGATGGGACTCCATCGCCGAGATCGTGGCGACGGCAGAGTCGATACAAGCCCGCGCAGCGTAAGCGTCCACATCGAACCTTGAATCATGAGCATGCGTCTCCCCAGAACGCGGTGAACAGCTGGAGAGACATACACGCATAATCCATATCCTCGCATTATAATACTGCAACTCCAACGCGAATCTGAGCCGTTTAAACGTGGGCGAGTAAAACCTCAACATCGCGTCTTCGATATCAGGACGGCGGCGGGGTGTGTGGCTGCTGTGGGGACCGTGGGGACCGGAGTGCAAACCGCGGCCGGCGCCGTAAGAGGTTGACGAGCCTGGGACGTCGAATTTGAGGATATCGGGGAGGGAGGAATTCCATTGTTTTAGCTCGCGTTCGGCGTCCATGATGTTTTGTTGGATGATGTTCCAGGGGGTATGTGAGGCCTGCACAGAGTGTAGCTTCCGGGTTGCGTCCGTGATGATTCTCACGTATTTTGTCTCTGATAACAGGAAAGAGACGTAGGAACGTTGGCTAGGAGGTTGTTCACCGATGTTTCCGTCAGCGTGGAGATATTCGTCGTCGATTTCGCGTGGGAGGGCAGCGAAGACATCTGAGTCTGAGATACACGGCGGTCTGGACAACATATGCGACAACTCAAACTCCAAACAATAGATCGACCACCACGTCCTATTACGTGTTTCTTTTTGGACTTCCGTGACGCCTTCCATCGCCTCGTTTTTGAGGTTGAGCCCGATACCGTATGCGAGGCGAACGGCGAGGCCGATGGTGTTCCAGGCGCGGTTGGGGCGGTCCATGCTGGTGAGGAAGAGAGCGCAGAGGAGGACGTATTGGATGTGCATCAAACGACCTACCTCTTCCAAGTTGCCGGCGCATATCTGTGCACGGGCATAGAGTTCTTCGTGGATCTTCGGCGAGGCATCAGCGGAGGTAGATGGAATTCCTTCCCCGAGTGGTTCGGAACGCCAGACTTGGTATGCACCGATCGCGAGAACGATGTTGACTAGTGCGCGGAACGTATTCACTTGTCCCACCATCGGGGGTGGTTCATCCCAGAATGTGTCATACCTCTCCATGAACTGCCGACGATCGAGGAATGGAAAGACGATATGAGAACAGCCCCAGTATCTCTCCAGAAAGATATCTGCGAGGTGGCGGGACGGGAGGATGGAGGTCTCGACGGTGGAGGGGTCGGGACCGGGTTTGACGTCGTCGAGGTGGAAGGTTGTGTGGATATCGGGGTGGCGGGATATGGAGGTGGAGGTCGAGTCGGGATTACGGCCGGGGGTTGCGTGTGCGGAGGGGGCGTGGTCTTTTTCGTTGAGTTTGCTGATGATGGCACGGACGAAGGCTACATCCGTCGCGGGACCAATGAACCCCTCGGGACGGTTGAGATCAATGGTGTTGAAATCCTCCTCGATCGCATCCAGCGAATGTAACGACGATACCTCATCCGCATCCGCATCAAAGGGGTCATCGCCGGATGATCTAGACGGGGAACCAAGAGCGTTCGTCTGGCGGAGTGCCTCGGTTACGGCGGAAGCGGGGCCTTGTGGGAGGTGAGGGAGGATGTTGCGCAGGAGTTGCTGGTAGGTTGTGTTGATTTGGCGCAGTTCGGTTATTTCGCTATGGACGATACGTTAACGAACACTTCCTACAGGCTTACACATATGAAATGGAGCGGCTTACTCTTGAGCTCGGTTGCGTTTGCGGCTCAGTTCGTACTTGCACTGTAAAATTGATGGATCAGAGTGATTCGTCGGTGGAAAGGGGACGGCATACCTCAAATCCGTAGGTACGACAGTGTTGACAGGCGGGACGGTCTCCGGAACATTTGACGCGACGCTGACGACATGATTCGCAGGCCTTGGCGACGCGGATGCGTTGCTCAGGGAGGTGAGAGAAGAGACCTAAACCGCCTCCCGAAGCCATCGAGTCATCGCGCTGTGTATCGCGTTGCGCATTCCCAGCCATGGTTAATCAAACGACGTGATCCGATTCAAATTGATCAATGACGTTGTTGTTCGAAGTCGAACTCGCAGCACTGACCATCAACACACTATGCCACGCAGCGGATCACCCTTATTTGTAGTCGGCGACGAAGCGCATCCGATCCGTCGCTTCCCATTTACATGCGCCTTTCCCGGAGTCCTTGCTGTCCATTTCAGAAGGAATCCTTGATCAGTTGGCTGTGGGTGTACGACAGGGCGCCTACTTCCACCTTTTCCTAAACGGACGTGGGAAACGCGCGATTATTGGTTCCCGGAAACCTGTACGCGGCCGGCCGCGTACAAGTCTCTGCGGTGTTATCAAATTAAGATAAGCTTATTAAAAGTGACGTTTGATGTGCTGTCTATCGATTGGATCGCGCCATTGACGGTAGATGATGTCGGCAGTTGCCGAGGCATGACGTTTCGGTACCCCTCCCAGCTGGCGGTCGACGCATTTTGCAATGACTTCAATTGAGCGGCTGACTTCTACGGACCTTCCCTATAACGTTCCTCGCTCAACTGCAGTAGTGGCTGAGGTAACATGAGAACGTAGCCTTGGAGAGCAAGCATGTGTAGCAGGTGACGAGAACAGTTAGGGTTAGGGTTAGGGTTAGGGTTAGGGTTAGGGTTAGGGTTAGGGTTAGGGTTAGGGTTAGGGTTAGGGTTAGGGTTAGGGTTAGGGTTAGGGTTAGGGTTAGGGTTAGGGTTAGGGTTAGGGTTA